TTTTAGTAGCTTAGTAAGTAGGTAGATAATTCTACTATAATCTTTTAGAAAGGCTTAATAGAAATTATAGAAACCTAGAAATAATTAAAGACTCTTAAAAGTTCTTAGTATAGGCTAATTCTAAATAGTAGTAATCTTTTTAGAGTTCTTCTAAATTCTATTAGTACTTATAATTAATTCTAGAAACTTAGTACTCTTAATAGTAAATTCTAACTTCTTAATATCTACTTATAACCTAGTTTTATATAGTTAATTAAGTACTTTAGTAATATAAGCCTTATACTTAAGAGAATTCTCTAAATAAATAAGAATATTATTAATATATACTATATAGAAATTATCTAGTAACCTATATAATACCTTATTAATATATTACTAAAAGATAGTAAGACTATTATAAAGACTAAAGAGTAGAATATAATACTTATAGTTACTATATTACGTATAGAAAGAAGTTAGGTTTTCTACTAACTTATTAAGCTAGATTCTATAGAAAGTCTACTAAACGTTTAACTTTATAAAGACCTTTATATATAATAAGTAGGTAAGCGTTTTCTAGATAAAAGAAATAGAATAGACGTTTTTTTTTATAATAGTATTAAGCTTTTAGTAGTTAATATAGAACCTTTATTCTCTTTCTAGCTTCTTAGTAAATAGAACTAGTAACGCGTATAATACGTTACTATAGATAATAAAGCTATAGTAAAGGTAAATCTCTAGATAGTTACATATAAGCTATAGATACTCTAGTAATATACTATAGAGAAAGCTATTAGTTACTATATTTTCTACTATAAGCTTAATATTATAATTAATATCTTTCTAATATAGTAGTAGTAAATTAGAATTCTTTTTAGAGAAATAAGCTATAGTCGCGCTAGTATATTCTAGAAATAGAAGCTTCTAGATAATTAACTAGTAAAGCTTCTTTTTAGAATTAGTAGTAGAGGTTTTCTTCTTATTAGTAATAAGCTAATCTACCTTATAGATACTAAAGTATCTAATTATAATATCTTTTCTACGTATATTAATTATAAAGATAGTAGTACTAACTATATTAACGTTAAGTCTAGTCTTTAGATATATTTCTTATAAAATAGATAGCTTTTTTAGCTTATAGAGTAACCTAGTAGGTAAGTTAAGATTCTTAAGCTACTTATCTATCTTACGTAGGTTTTCTTAAAGCTTCTAGCGTTATAATTCTCTCTTCTCTTATTATATTACTTTTAGCTTTTCTACTACTAATATTAAGGCGTTATAGTAATTAGTATTAGCTTAGTAAGCTATCTAAGCTTTAGTAGTAGATTAAGAGAATTATATAAAGATAAACGTATTATATTTATAATTAATTAATTAATTAGTATCTAGCTATATTAGTACGCGCTACTTATAGTTAATCTAAACGTTAGCTTCTTTAAGTAGCTTATAACTAATTATTACGTTATAGTAGCTAGTATTATAATATATAAAGTAGGTATATATTTAGTAGCTTTCTAGTACTAAATTAGCTTTAAAGTATTTATCTATCTAGCTATTAGGTTATCTATTATAACTAGTAAGAGAAATAGGTTCTATACGTAATAGCTTAATATAGAGATTTTTTCTAAGAGTCTAAAGGTACTTTAGGTATACTAGAATATAACTACTTACTCTAGTATTAATTAAGTCTTTAAGCTTAAGAGTAAGACTATTTATAGATATTTAGTAGAGTAGAGTAAATATAAAACTACTAAATAGCTTTTTACGTAGGTTTATTACTCTAGTAGATAGCTCTAGAGAAAAAACTTTTTCTAGAGCTAGACTTTTTCTAAATTATTAGATTTATATTCTAATATATTATTCTTAGATACTTATAGCTCTATAGGCTTTATAGACTCTTTTTCTAGATTAATATTCTTAATAGCTTTCTACGTAGTAGAAGTATTTAGGTAATTATAGCTTATATAGCTAGTTTACTAGTATTAAAAGTAGATAACTAGCTTTTTAATTACTAGAGCTCTATTAGATATTAGTAGAATACCTAGAAGAGTAATAGATACGTAACGTAGTATTAATATAAGCGTATTACGCTTTTTAACCTTTCTAGATATATAAGCTTTTTCTTAGATAAGCTCTTTAGTAAGATCTTAAGTAAGATCTATATATTAATTATAATTATAGGTATACTAATATTAGTAGATACCTATCTATATACGTAGGCTTACTAGAAGCTTTTTATAAAGCTTCTCTATCTATTAGTCTATTAGAAGCTAGCGCTTCTATACTAGATAGAAGAAATTAACCTAGAAGCGCGTAAAATTAGTAGTATTTTAGTAATATAGCTTCTAGAAATTATAATAAGTATTTAGCCTTTTATAGAAGTTTATATAGCTTTTCTCTAGCTAATTAAGTATATATTTATAGAAAATCTATATACTACTATTTCTTAGAGTATATAGAATTATAAAAAAAGTCTAGTATATATCTTTTTCTATCTATATATATATATAGGCTATAATAGTTTTCTTAGTATTCTTAGCTATCTCTTCTAGGTACTAGTTATAATTAGCTTAAAGCTTATCTTATAAGTTATCTCTCTATTACTTAAAGATAATAATCTTACTATTTAATAGTAATAAAAGGTCTAGAAACTTAGTAAAAAGCCTTATTTAGCTCTTTAAACGTTACTTAGTTACTAGTAGTATAGTAAGTATATATATAGTTAGATAAGAACCTAGAATAGAGTTATCTAGTAGTAACGCGCTAGACTTACGTATATATAGTATCTAAGTTATAAAGTATATTATATATTAAGTTAATAGAGTAGATAGTATTTAGCTTCTAGAGTAGAATTATAGTTACGCTTATAGCTATTAAAATTTTACTAAAGTAGTAGCTTTTTTCTACTATAAATTCTAATACTCTCTATATATAGTATCTTCTTTAGTAAGTATATTAGTAGTAATCTAGTAATATATATAAATCTATTATTTAAGTACTTAGTATATAAGTAATTAGCTAACTAATTTATTAATAATTTTACTTAGCTTTTCTAGAAAAAGCTCTTAGAGCTTCTTTCTAGAGATAAAGAGTATATAAGAGCTATCTACTACTAATAACCTAGATATTACTAAGCTCTAGCGTAGCTATACTAGCTTCTATTTAAAGTTATTATTCTAATTTTTATTAGTTATTATATTATATTATTAAATAAGTAATTCGTAATAATAATATTATTTTAAGTAACTAGCTAGTAGATTCTCTATCTAGAATTTAAGAATTATAGAGATAAAAGAGTACTATAAAACTAGAGTCTTACTTCTAGAGTTACTTTATAAGAGTTTACCTATAGTATTTAAGTAGTTTAACTTAAGTATAGCTTCTTATTTAAAAAGTAGAAATATATACTACTAGCGTAGTAGCTAATTATTAGCTCTACTAGTAGAGTAGAGAATTATTAATTTTTAAAATAGAAAGAAGTTTCTATATATAGAAGTTCTATAGAAGTTCTTCTATATATAGAGCTTTTATAGCTTTCTTTAGCTTACTACTAGAGATATCTTTTCTACTACTAACTAGATTTGCTAGTAGTCTTATATAGTACTAGAGGTAAGTAATTAATTAGTATATTAATAGATTCTTAGAGTAAGTAACTAGGCTCTTATAGCTCTAATTCTTAGTATAGCTATTAGTAAATACTTCTTATAAGACTACTTAGTTTAGTCTAATATTATACTACTATTTCTAGCTAAAGAGGTATTAATCTTTAGATAATATAAAAGCTAGCTCTATAGTCTCTACTACTATAAGTGTTCTAGAATACCTAGCTAGATAAGTTAGCTATAGATAGTACTATCTCTATAAGCTATAAGAATAGAGACGCTAGTAGAATAAGTTAGGTTAAATTTAGCTATCTAAAGATAAGAAGTAGAGAAAAGGCTCTAAGAGGCTTTATATATAGAGATACTAAGTACTAAGATACTAGACTAGATTATATAATAAAGTTATATAATCTAAAGTTATATAACTAAGATAAATCTCTAAACTAGACTATTATAAGTAAGAAGTAATATAAAAAAGTAGTAGTACGTAATAGCTAGCTAGCTTAGTAATACTATAGACGCTATAGTAAACTAGAGTATAATACGTAAACGTACTAAATAGTTAAAAATAATATAGATAAGTTAGATAGCTTATCTAGATTTATCTTAAGTAGCTTAGAGTTAGAGTAATCTAATTAAGATAGTAGCTTTTTAGTAGAGGCTTAGTAAAAGTAGTCGAGTTAGTAGTATAGTTAGCTTACTAGTAAAGTACGTTAGTTAATTTTTCTTACTAAGAAATTATAGGTAGTTTAGTAGTATAGTGTTACAATTACAGAATCGAAAATAAGGTTAGCCGGCTAGAACGGAGGAAACGGCGAGCCAAGCCCGGGGTTACGAGACAAGGACATTACGTGCGGAGTCACAGGAATGATCAGGGTCACGTGACGTGGATTAGATGGATCAGGAAGAGCCAGGTGGATCGGGTCTAATCCACGAGAGCCAGGTCTTGGCACCTAATCTAGCCAAGAAGGCACATGTATATAACTAGGAGAAGCTCGCTTCTTATAGCTTCTTGTAGTTATTGCTTTATTTATTAAATTGCTATAGAGACTTGCGATTTATAGTACTATTGCCTCTACCTCTTTGTTACTAAAGATCTAGCCCGAAGCACACCTCTTGCCTTCTCTTACGAAAGTAAGCCTTAGTCTTAGTTAAGAGAACAGCTCGTAACAGTTAGCTTATCTAGATTTATTTTAAGTAGCTTAGAGTTAGAGTAATCTAAATAAGATAGTAGCATTTAGTAGAGGCTTGGCACTTTTAGAATGTTCGTTAGTAAAGTACGTTAATTCTTTAGCTCTTTGATAGCACAAGGTTGGACAGAGCGAGTGGTAAGCTGGTGCTGTGCGTTTATTCAACACGGAGTTGTTTAATACTCGCTTCGCACCTCATGTAAAAGGAAACGAAATAGCAATGTAAACATATCTTGGTGGTCCTTTTTTTTTTGGGCATTTAGCTGTGACATTGCCAGCTAACTACTAACCCGCCCAGCACGAAAAGCAGCTAGAGAGCGTGTGCACGAGTCCTTCACCGGCTACCCGAAAAAAAAAACAAGAAACAGTAGAATCATCAGGAGCGTGCACACCCGAAGAGGTCGACGGAGTGTGGTGTGTCCCATGTTCCATCCTTCGAGTCAATCCAAGGATTCCGGTGCTCAGTGCCTCTCTGGTAATCCCTCAGCAACCCCTCCCAAGCACCCCCCGGAACAATATTTTTATCAACCGGCTTCAGACCCATCTTCGCCTCCAAATATCTCGGCCACTGCGTCGCATAAAACCCGCCAATCTCCACTGATCTCTGCACCTTGAGCTGCGCCAGCCCGCGGATAAAGACTACGCTCTTGCCCAGCCCCATGTGTATGAGACCGTCTGCATCCCAGTAGACGCTCAGATTTTGAAGATTCGTTGCTTCGCGTCGTAGTTTGTCGAAGAGCACGCACCAGCGCTGGGGACTGGGTGCGCTGGCGGTCGCGTCGACATGGACGGTGAGATCGGTGATTAGAGCGGCGTTGTTCGTCTCGAGCCAAGCCACAAGGGCGTCGGGCTGCGACACGTTGATGGCAAGGGATGGGAGGAGATCGTGCGGCGCGTCGTTGAGGGTAGGGAGCTTTTTTAACGCAGGGTCGGTTCCGTCTTCCCACCAGTAACCTTTCGGGCCGTGGAAAAAGATGTATGGTGGGGAATGCATGATGAATGAAGAGAATACTAGCAGTGCTTTGGGAGATGGAGGGTGGGAGGAAAGATGATCGCAGGTGTGCGTTGGATGTGGTGTCGAACGAGTGTCTTAAGTGCGGGGTGCGTGGTCGTAATAAACCTTGGAAGCGTAGGCACCTGTAATATTCGTCAACGTCGTATTTTTACCTAGAATTATGCTGGAGTTGCTTGAAAATATATGCAATAGCCATACAAGCCCAAGCAGCCTTTGCGTAAGGCGTGGTTAGCAGTGTTGATTCTAATCTTTGCCAGTGCTAAATATCTTTGCCTTAGTAAAGATCTTTTTTTTTTTTAAGGCTTAAGAAGTCGAAGCACACTTTCAAGTACGCTACACTAACTTAGGCACCGACCAACTCGACCTATCACGCCTAGCGACCACACTTATAAAAAGCAAAAGCAGAACGTGCAGTTGGGGAGAGGATAGCATATCATAGATGGAAGTATTAACTCGATCATTTATTACAATAAGACTAAACCAGGGCTATGGTATGGGGGTATGGATATCTCATGGGGGTATGTCTCGTCCGTCCGTCGTCAATCGATCAAGCAACTCAAATTCCGAAAAGAAAATTTCTAAGGCGTCACCTGCAAGGTATCAAACTTCCCCCCCCGCTCCATCACCTTCACATAACTTCTACCCTCCACCACCACCTTTTCCTGCTCCCCCTTCAACTCGCTCCATTTCCAGTATTCGGGCAGATTATCCAACGCCTAATAAAGAATCTTCTCCTCAAACACCGGCGCCTCCCTCGCCTTTCCCGTGTTCACACCATCCCACACCACCTTATTCTTCTCATTAAACGTAGCCTGCTCATCCGTAATGATCAACCCGGGGACCGCTTTCTTCGAGTCCCGAACCTCCCGCTCTGATATGCCCATCTCATCGTGCACTATCCAGAGAATCGGTGTCAGGGAAGTGACTGCCGGGTTAAAGAAGGCGCGTTTCTGGATCTCGACGGGCAGCGGCGTTTGCGGCTGGTGGTAGAATTGGTCGAGCGAGGCGCTGAGGTTGGAGATACTGTTGCGGTCCGGGTCGATAATTTTGCGGAGGAAGGCGGGAATGCGGGATGCGCGTGGAGGGGTAACGGGCTCAGCGTTGCCGTTCGTAGTCGCGGACGTTTTCTCCGCGCCGCCGACGCCGTTCTCCAAGTTGTGATCAGCATGCGGGTTCGGGACGGGATCGGCGTACGCGAGGCGCGCTTCGTGGTGCTTGAGTGCGGTTCGCAGCATGAGGTGGAAAAGGATGGTGCAGACGAAAAGCAAGCATTCGATAGCGAGCGGCCCGGCGGCGCGTACTTCCTCGCCGGTGGCGATGGCGAAGAGGCCGATGAGGCAGCCTTCAGAGAGGTAGACGCCGGTGATGAGTTGGCGCAATGCGCGCTCGTACGCGGCACCTTTGGTGTCGATGTCGGTTTCATAGCAGTAGAGGAAGTTGTAGCGGAAGGCGATGTAGATCAAGGAGAAACCTACGGTCGCGAAACCGAGGACCAGAGGAGCAATGCAGGAGTAGGATAGCGCGATGACGCCCAGGTTGACCCACTTCGGGGACTCAGAACCCCACATAGGCCCGGACAGCTTTGTGAGTTTCTGAAAGATCTTACGGGGCGTTTTGCCAGGTAAGATGCGGCCGAGTAGCACGACGGTGACGAAGCCGCCGATGTTGAGCAGGGTGCCAGCGGCCGCGGACAGGCCAAACAGGACGAAGTAGGAGATGTAGAAGTTTGAAGCTTTGGGGAGATTGTTGGAGAGGAGGGTGAGGACAGAGCCGGGATTGTCGAGGACCTCGTCGATGACGGTGGTGACGGCGCCGGCGCAGGTTGTGATAAGAAAGACCTGGATGACTTGGAAGGCGAAGTACCAGGATTGAGTTTGGAGCTCGACTTGGGAGAGCGTTACCCAGCCGGCGAGCTTAGCCATGACTGCGAGGGGTTAGAGAAGCGCGTTGTAAGCGGCGAGATGAAGGAGCACTTACGTCGGCAGATGATGGGGACCAAGGACATGAGGACCGCGAGCATGACGACGGGAAGCAGGCCGGTGATTACCCCCAAGATGACCGAAGGGATGTCGTTGATCCATGCAAGCCAGGTAAACCTTCCAGTCAGATAGTTGATCTGCGATATGGCACCGACGAAGGCAACTGTAGGTGTTTAGCAAGTACTTCACGAACGACAGTGTGGACGACTTACCCGGCAAAGCGAAGAAGATAATCATGACGCTAACGAAAGCAGTCACAACCAGCCACCTGGCCCAATGCTCGGCAACGCCGATGCGCAAGTTGTTCCAAACAACCTCTCCTGGGACGACGCCCAGCTGGCGCGCGGACATCTTCGAGTTGGGCTTCGTCTTCCTCTTTTGCATCATCTGCCAGGCGTCCTGGGCTTGCTTCTGCGTAGCGAATTCCAAGAACACGGCGCCAACGAGATCACCGTGGCCATTCCAGTGCTTGTCCTGCTCCGCCTCGATCCTGGGGATGAGCTCGGCCAGATGCTGTCGTCCGTAGGCAATCGTGTCGACCTTCTTCCCGATCAGGAACTTGAGCTTATGCGTAGGTCGGTCCTTGGGATTGAGCCACTTGGATCCATCGGCGGCGTCCTGGCCCTCATAGTGTTTCTTGCCCTTTGCAGCCTTGAGACGGTTCAGGTTAGCGTCACGCGACAGCTGGATCTCACCAGCCTCGAGCTTCAGTGCCGTGTCATCCCTGTCGTCGATCAATTCCTGCAGATCTTTGCAGTTGGATGCTACCCATGCATGTACGACGCCGGGGAACATCTCGAAGAGAGCGTTCTGGGTGATGTTCATGGGCACGTTGGTGAAGAGGATGGTGCGCGAGGAGAGACGACTGGCGCCCCAGGGAGAGCGGCGGTAGGCCTGGCGGATGTTGACAGCGTAGAAGGATTCGCGGGCGATGATGATCATTACACACCCTGGAAATGTTTAGTTCACGGAGCTGGTAATGGGGGATCTCGAGCGTACCCAGGAACACACAGGACACCAGCGCATGGGCGTAGTAGCGGTTGAAGTCGACCACGTTGCTCATGGAGAGAATATCCAGCTGCTCGTTACCGGCGCCACCCTATATGAGCAGTCAGTCAGGGAACGGGGGCATTTTGCAATTCGTCGCCTTACCGTAGCATTGATGGGGAACAGAACCGGCCAAGTAATCAGACAGCCCACGAAGCAGACGATGATGAGCAGCTTGAAGTAGCGCACAAACAGGTAGCCATCGATGCTCTGATGGTCCAGAATGTACTCGTCCTTGATATTCCGGAAGTCCCTGATCCAGCCGAAGAAGCCATTGCTCGGCGGGGGCGTCTGTCGCTGCTCGCCCAAGCTATCGATGTAGGTGCGCGGCGCATACAGCCTGCGGAAGCGGCGGCGGAAGATGAAGAACAGGGCGACGAAGACCGCGGCGATGATGGCGGTCGGCACGAGGGTCGACAGAAAGGAAGACAGCGAGTTCGATTTGGTCTCTGCGTCTCTGTTGGAGCCGGGCTGGCCGTCGGCCTGTGAAGTTGCGCGATCAGCTCGGTTCAAACGTCCGCTGGCAGCAAAAGCAAGAAACGAATAGGATACTCACCCTCACAAACAGCTGCATGAGCGATACCATGGCGGGCAATTGCGCGCTCTTGCTCCTCCTCTTGTGCAAAGATAAAGGGAACGGACGAGGTGCGAACGGCTTGCGCAGCAGCGACGGCAGGGCTTAAAACCAGAGTCTCGCGACCTGCTGGTGTTCCTTGCGCGCTGGGTAGTCCTCCTGAACGGGCGTCCCCACGTCATTGCCAAGCACAGGCGACGGCGCGCCGGGGCCCAACCGGGCTTAGCCCGTCGGCTTCGTCTGCCAGCCATTGCGCGCTAGCCGGCGCCGGCGGACTGCGATTCGCCACGCTGCCTCTTCAGCTCAGCGCGTCCCGCGAAGCAGCATCTGGAGCGTCGCAGACCGCACTCGCCAGCCTCGTGTGGCGACGTCACCAGAGAGCGAGAGTGATCGCGTCGGGGAGTCCGCACATACGACCGCAGTCTTATCGCGCAGGAGAAGTTTTGCTGGGGCGCGAAGCAGGTTTGATTCCAGGACTGCGCCGGCCAGCCTCGTGTATGTGCTCAAGAACGCCCGCTGCCCTGATTCGCGCTGCTCAGGGGTCATCGCACATCCCGGCAGCAATCACAAGCGAATATTGGATCCGTGCGCGCCATCCGATCGGGGCGTGTCAGCAGCGGAAGGGGACGAGTGCAGATCGATGGGCAGGGGGTGTGAGATGTGAGACATTGCTGCTAGTGTTGTTGGTGTTGTGGACATGATGTCAGGCACAACAAAGACGATGGCATGCTTGGTGTTTCTGTGCGACGCCGAGGCAGGCCACAGTGAGTATGTACTGTACAACGTCTCGCAGAGATCCGTCGAGTCCACGTCATGATGTCGGAGTGCAAGCGAGGAGAATTGCGAAACGTAGCGCAAAGTTCAAACGGAATGCAGCAAACATGCGATCCAGCTAGTGGGCAAGCATCGCCGAAGTGTCCACGGGTGTGAGGTCGATATTAGCGCATGCTCAGCCACCTGATCGCTGTGACGGCTTAGATCTAGATCGCGCTACCGTCGCCTGAGCCACACCTCGTCGCACTGCAACACCACGCCCGAACCCCATCTCATTCTGGCCAAGTACAGGTGCTGACCGTCCACCCATCAGAGAAGTCGATCAGATCGCCCTTGGGTTGATCCCACTTTCCCGGTCGCCAAGTTTCTAATCATCAATTCAGTGTCATCGCTCACCAACAAGGAAAGAGCTATGTAGAGAAGGGCGGAGTCAACATGTAACTATCAGAAAAGACGCCCGAGTCAAGGGGCACCATGGTCTGAATATTTTACTTTGCGGAGTCGGCCGTATTATTTCCTATTCACTCCTCCCATCGGTCGCGCCTTACACGCGATAGCACCCCCGATTACCGAGCTAACCCGATGATTAAGATTACAATATCTCCTTCAAAAAAAAATGCCCATATGGTATCTCAGAGTCGCAGAAGTTCCGTCCCGATTTTGCCCATGGCCATTTTTGATATCCCGATTGCCGTCATAAGTCATTAGAAAGCATACATATCGTCATGTCTATCCTCTCACTGCGCCAAGAGGCTCAAAACTCCCGCAATCATGGAGATTATGAAGCTCCTGCGCCCAGGTGGCTGGACAGCGGGCCCAGCGCCCTGTGCGCTGCTCGTTGCCACAACCTCGCCATTACGACCCGTAGCCCCTGCGCTCGCAGGCGCTGAGCTAGTGATGGGATGACCCCGTGTCGTCGTAGCAGGAAACAGCGCCGTTGAAGTTGTCCTTCCCGAACTTCCGTAGATAAGCTCCGTAGCTCCAGGTGCAAGGCTAATCGTGGTACCGTCGACTGTTATCGTGCCGCCGGGCGTCAGCGTCCGACCGCCGATTATGAACGTGGTTCCCGTTCCAGGAGCGGCCGTGTATGTATGCGAACCGATCGTCAGGACGGGTGGATTGGTGATGGTAGCGTAGTTGTCGGGATGGAGGGTGGTCGTTTGACCGTTGACGATGAGTGCCGTGGCGCCAGGCGCGAGTGAGATGGTGGTCCCGTCGACGGTGATAACACCGCCTGGCGTAAGGGTGGAGGAGCCGATGATGTATGTTGTGCCAGAGCCGGGAGAGGCGGTGAAAACGTTGTCGCCGATAGTTAGGGGTGGAGAAGTGATCTGCGCAGCAGGATTGGCGACAGTGGAAGTTACGCCATTGATTACCACAAAAGATGCAGATGGTGCTAAGGATATGGTGGTCCCGTCTACGGTTATCGCTTGCCCTGGAACGAGTGTCTGGCCTGAGATTACGAACGTAGGGTTGCTGGGGCTGAACGGATTCGAGGGATCGTTAGCATTAGGATGATTAGGGTCCTGGCCCGGGAGAGCGGTAAGCGTGGTGCCTCCGACGACGATCTCCGGCCTCACGGTGAGCCCTTGCGATGGTGGCGCTGTCGGGAGGATTTGAGTCGATCCTTCAACAACAAGGAACGATGCCGACGGGGCTAGACTGACTACGGTTCCGTCAACCGTAGCCGTACCACCCGGAGTAAGCGTCTGCCCCGGAGCAATAAAAAACTGAGTGGCGGCATTGCCCGTAAGTGTCGACGAGCCGATAGTGAGAATGGGAGGCGCGGGATTCTGCGTCTGAGCAGGCTGTCCGGGAAGGATGACCGTAGGAAGAACCGATGTTTCGCTGCCAATAATGATGGCTGTTCCTGATGGGGCCAGCGAGACGGGTTGCCCACCGACAGTGACTACTGGTCCACCTGGTTGCAGTGTTTGCGTGCCGACAACAACAACTGAGGAAGGGCCAATGACAACCGGATTCCCACCAATTGTCCCCACCGTTTGCGAAGGCGCGGCCGGATCGGCGACCAGGGGTAGAGCGGACGTCATCCCTCCCACGACGATGGCAGTACCTGATGGAGCGAGTGATATTGAACTGCCACCAATAGTGACGGCTGGGCGGCCGGGCGTCAACGTCTGTGTGCCTACGATAACACGTGTCGATGGTCCAACTACTACTGGATTAGTACCAATGCTCCCCACTGTCTGGTCCGTGGGTTGCGGAACGTCTGGGACATTGCTACCAGCATTGCGTCCCCCAGAAGAAGTGGACGGTGCTGCTGGCTGGTCCGCTGGCTGGTTCCCTGCACTTGTCTTGATGCCGCCCGCTTGAGTCGGTTCAGGATCCCAGTTCATCGTGAAAGGCTGGCCTTTCGATGTCTCTTGGGCGACGACTACCGCATCTGAAGTGGGATCCTCGAAGCCTAGGGCTGTCGACTCGAAGTGCACGATAAATGGGTTGGCATGGGGGAGATAGAAATAATACAGGTTTACGACGACCAAAACAGTCACTGTCCCCTGTACGGTCCCAGGGCTGCACGCGGATTGCGGAATTTGCTCTAGGAACTCTGCTGGTACCGTTCCCGTGGCCATTGCAGAACTCTCAATGCCCTTAACGTGGTACTCATACGCAGAAGCCTGATGGAGGTTGACGGTTTCCGTGATAGTACTGCCGTTGACTGCAGACTCCACTTCGTACGCTGTGAAGTAGAGAAACGGGGTGGCGGACGTCCTGCATTGGTCAGCTTTCATTCGCGCCACTTCCGAGCCCCGTTTCCGCTTTGGCATATGGAGGAATTCCGCCAGGAGTCAAACTATAGGTATACATTGGTTCAAGCTGCTGAAGGCATTCAGGCCAAGCAATGGCTTGCAACAAATTTGACGGAGCATGAATGTAGACTGGAGACACTTACATAGCAGAGGTTGAATTCGCAGCACTTGCGACGACAACGGTAGGCGCAAGAAGGTTCGAATACAACATATAGGACAGAGAGTCTGTGGAAGGAATGATGTTTCCGGAGGGCAATGGTGCCGCCGCATTTTGGGTCACAATGGAGGTAGCGGCTGCTGTCGGCATCACTGTGTATTCCTCGAAAATCGTGTACGAGAAGTCCCATTCTGCATCGTAGGTTTCCTTTGGGGTGTAGGCAACGTCCTCTGATATCGCGCTGCTGGCATCGAATGTGTCTGTGTTGGGAATCATCGTAAGATAGCCGTTCATCGTAAAATTCGGCGCGCTTCCGGTGAGGGTCCCGACAGGCCAGTCATAGGTAGCGGCATACCACCACTCTAGGTTGGCGCTCGGAATGTTCACGGTGCATGACGCGGTGCTGTTGCTATCCTTGGTACCGTTTTTCGATGCTGAGGGGCTACTAGCCCCCTGTCCAGTCGGCCTTGGGCGCCCATAATCGCTGGTGATGCCTGTCCCGGAAGCATGAATTGGATATAATGGTTGCTGTGTCCTGCTAGGCGTCCGTGAGGGAGCAGTGTAAATAGGGAGCGCGAGCGACTTTGCTACAGAGGTGGCATTCGAATACGAGGCTGGAGGCTTCGTTAGTACGAGCGGATACGAAGCGGGAGGCTGGCGATCCTACCGGAACCGCGAGGACGGAACGCTGCTGCTGACGCGAGCGACGCGAGCCAGAGAACGACGAGCGCGCGAACGATGGCCATGCTCTCCACAAAGTGCTACTCACGCAGTCACTTTCCAATCGACATCAAACGAGCGAAGTTACGACAGAGTCGTTATTATTCCAAGCGAGGAGGATGCGCAGTCGGCATGTGGCTGGCAGAAAGGGGCAATTTAGAAAGCGGGACGGGCTTCAGTCGCTCCGACCGACGGGCGCCCCTCTGATGCCGTCAAGCCTTCGCTATCGCGGAACGACCGGGACCAGGCTTGCAAACAAGGTATCCACGATGAAACTTAAACAGAACGGTGGGGACCAGCGCATGGCTGGCGCACTGGCTAGGCACGAGAAGTCGCAGTCGATCTGCATCGTCGTTGGCCCATGACTTCGCATTGGGTTCCCCATGTGGAAACGCTGAAAAGAACGACGGCACTACCGGTTTCTGCTCGAGTGAAGATCGTATGACTGGCCGCTGTCGTCTGGGGTTAGATTAGCCACAAGCCCAGACCTCTGCCTCCCGTGCAACGATTGATTGCTTGTTTCTGTGCCACAAGGCCCCGACGCCTGCCGGCTGCCGCGACGGTACCCCTTCATTTGACCCTTTCGTCATTGTTTGGAAGGTTTGATTGCGATTTATGCGGCGGCTGCCAGCTGGGGAGCTCTACGAGCACTGCACCGCCATGAGGCTCTCGAGGACGGCGACGGCCAGCACGCCACGTTGTGGGAGATGCAGGTGAGGTGCAGGAATCAGCGCTCCACGACACCGGCAATTTGGATTCGAGGCCGCCCCGGCCCTTCTGTCGAGTCCTGAAAGGCTCTTGCCCCTGTCGCTCTGTCGATCAGATGGGCCGGATTGGAGAGCTTTGGAGGCCGCTGCGCCCAACCAAGGCAATTCAGACGAGGCCGAACGCAAGTGAGGGGTTGCAGAGGGCCCCCCATGGTTTGCGATGGCTCGTGGCATGCGTGGCACGCGTGTGCCGGAATGGATCCCCGCCATCAGTTGTGGAGAGAGCAGGCTTCCGACGAGAGCTGAGCGCCATGCCGCGCTCGAGGCCTGCCATTGCAGCGCCGCGCGAGAGCGCTCTGTTGACGCTGTGCACACAAGTGGTAGCAGCCCTCTGTGTGAAACAGACAGACTGGGGACATGGCAGGAACTTGCTCATGCTCACCTGTTCTCCTCCCATATATGACGGGAAAAACTGCCGGCTGAAAGGGTCGGAGGCCAGAGACCGCGAGGAAACAGAACATTCGGGAGCTTTTGCGCGTCTCCCCCCTAGTGTGGGCCGGGGCGCTCGACGGCGGCGTCGACGGCAGCAGGCACCGCCAGCAGCGCGGAGAGGCACCAAAACCCCGCGGATGCCCGTCACGATCAGGGCCGCGCAGCAGCAGTCCGCGGTCCTCGACGTGTGGAAACGCTGCTCTGTCAACCGCTGCTTCTGGGCCGGGGGACACGCACCGTGAGCAGCCAGATCGCAATATACGCCTTGGCCCGTGGTTAGAGGCTCGGCTGGGCACCTGCACATCCCGGTCGCAATCTGGCTCAACACCATCCCAAGGCCTCTCGCACGCCGCGCTCACCTTTCCTCCCGTCTTCACCTTTCCGACCGGTGTGGCATCGCTATGTCGAGTGGTGATGCTCGTCGCTGCTCCCGAGGCTGAGAGGCTCCCCCTTCCGCCTTCCTGTGGCCGCTTAGTCACCGACCATGATCCGCCATCGAGGTGATCGCACCCTTTTCGCGCTGCTCGTCCTCCTCGCGCTGCCGGCGCTCCTCGGGCCATGCGTGGCCTCCGTGCTGGAGGCCCGCGGCCAGAACGGCTCGCTGCCGGCGCCGCTCTCCGTGGCGCCGAACCAGAACTGGGAGGGCATCGACGGCAAGTGGAACACCGTCAGTCTGCGCGTCGGCACGCCGTACCAGTGGGTGCGCGTCTTCGTGTCGACCGCCAGCCAGCAGACGTGGACGATAGACCAGACGGCCTGTCTCGCGAACCGGTCAGACCCGACGTCGGCGCTGGACAGCACGTGCATGGAGAGCCGCGGGCGCCTGTTCAGCACGGCGAACTCGACGACGTGGGACGAGAACGGCTTTTTCCAGCTGTGGACGGAGAAGAACCTGGGCCTGACGGGCAACGGCTTGTTTGGCTGGGACACGGTCGGCCTGGGGCTGCCGGGCGAGGAAGGCCCGACCATGCTCAACACCACCGTCGGCACCCTGATCTCGCCCAACTTCTGGCTCGGCCACTTCGGCGTCAACCCGAAGCCCACCAACTTCTCCGCCTTTACGGATGCGTCGCCGAGCTACATGACCATGCTCTTCGACCAGAAGCAGATCCCCAGCGTCTCGGTTGGCTACACGGCCGGCGCGCAATACCGTGCGTCTCCATCCTCCGTCCCCCCTCCCCCCCCTTTTGCGTGGCTGCGCTGACCATTGCAGACGATGCCGTTGTCCTGTCGAGTTTGACGCTCGGCGGCTATGACTCGTCGCGGTTTATTCCAAACGACATCACCTTCGAGTTCGCGCCCGACAACGAGAGAGACATCGTCGTGGGCATCGTCGGCATCACGGCAAACAGCTCGACCAAGCCAGCCACCAGCCTTCTCAAGCGCGACTCGTTTACCATGTATATCGATTCGACTGTCGCCGAACTATGGCTGCCGATCGAAGTATGCGAAGCTTTCGAGGACGCTTTCGGGCTGAGCTACGACAACGACACGGGGCTCTACCTCCTCGACGACCAGACTCATCAGCGGCTGCTGGCCGAGAACCCATCCATTACGTTCAGCCTCGGGCAGAAGTTTACAACCAACGCCACCGTAGACATCACGCTGCCGTACGCAGCACTCGATCTGGAAGCAAGCCCGCCTTACCGCGGATTGGAGAATGCGACAAAGTACTTTCCTATCCGGCGGGGCGAAAAAGAAAGCCAGTTCGTGCTGGGCAGGACCTTCTTGCAGGAGGCATATCTGCTCGTAGACTGGGAGCGTCAAAACTTTTCCGTTTACGAATGCAGCTGGGTGTACGGCCAGGAGGAGAACATTGTCCCGATTATATCACCAGTGTACACGGGCGAGAACAAAGCCAGCAAGCCTCATCACCTCACGACCGGCACCATCATTGGCATCGCCCTCGGAGCCGGCTTCGGGTTCGCAATCACAGTGTGTGGGATAATATGGTTTTTCTGGCGCAGACGGCACAAGCGAAAGCTTGCAAAAGTCAAAGCCGACTATGAAGCAAAGGCGGCGGCAGCCGCGAAAGAGCCGCCTGCCGAGAAGAGGGAAGATCCGCCGACGTCACCCACCCAGGACGCGGAGGAAGGGACCAAGGTGTTCCCCAAGGCCGAGCTGCCTGCAGATTCTGTCGGCCGGCCTGAGATGAGTTGTGATAGAAAAGAGGCAGACCCAAATTCACTCAGCACCTTGGTGGAAGTGGACAACACGGAGCGACAAGTCTTCGAGATGCTTGGCGATATTCCTAGCACTGTAGAAGCAGGAGGTCGGCAGTTGTCGGAGAAGGAGTCGATGATGGTCCGCGAGAGGATATACAATGGCGTGGATCCGTATGGTACCCCCGACGTATCGCCTACCGCAGAAGACGCGCCGCGACGGCAGGCGCCAGTGTCCCCTTCAGAGGTGGCGATGGTGAACAGAAGACTGCCCGATGTGTCTCCCACAACGCCTCGCGCACGAGACGGGGCGAGCCTCGAAGCCAACGATACCTTCTTCCAGCCGCCGGCGCCGCGAGCGCCGCGGGACGGCAGATATCTCGAGGCCGAGGACACGCTTCTCTCGCCCATCTCCCCTCTGGAGGGGTCGGCGGACACGTCCCGGCGGCGGTTTTCCTACGAATCATGACCATATCAAAAGTATTATCGCTCCGCATTTACGACCGGCGCATTGGGATGGGGACCATTGGGCGGGCTCTGTTGGGATTTGATGTACGGCGCGTTGGCATAAGTGATCTGGCGTTTGAGCAAGGTGATACCTCATGTCTTTGCATGTGCGATGGGCGGCATTTGCGATAGAGCGCGCTGGAGCAGGCCGTGGGGCTCTACTCAGTCCGAGTAATTTCTTCTGTTGATCTCCTTAGCATAGCAAGGCGGAATGGCTCGTGGCCGCCGGCCATCAATGCAGCCCGGGCACTATATCCAAGACGACGAAGGTTAGCTCGCACCGTTGCATCGCGCACTGTAGATGCGGAGGAAGACGGAATGCGGCTTGTAGCTGGTGGTGCAGGGCTACGTCAGGACGGCGGCGAGGGAGTCGGTGTGCTAGCAGCTGAAGAGCCCACAAAACGGCCGCATGCGGCTAGCGGGCTCTCGTCGCTCAGCCCTGAGAGCCCCGCCATCGCAGGACACGGCAGCGGAGGCAGAGGCACCACCGCCTTTTCTCTCCCTCCACGCCGTCAATCGCCTGCTTCTCTCCCTGCCCTCGCCCGCCTTTGCGCTGCGAGGCGTTCTTCTTTGCCCGGGACAATCTCGCTTCCGCGTCCGGTTTCGACAGCCGCCCCGCCGCCCTGTCGCCGTCACCGTGTTAGACCACCGCTGGTTGCGCCAGTCGCAGTCATCACCTCCGCGCCGCGCGGTTAGACCAGAGCGAGCCCTATATCACCCCCGCCGTCGCCCGCAGCCTGCTGCTGGGAGCCCTTTTGCACAGTCTTACTCTCTTCTCTCCTGCCTTCTCCGCACCTGCCCGCACGTCGCCGCGACCCCGCCTGCGCCCGAGCTCAACTCAGCTGCGCAGCCATGGCCGACCTCGCAGGCCGCAAGGTGTTCAAGGTGTTCAACCAGGAGTTCATCGTCGACGAGCGGTACAATGTGACCAAGGAGCTAGGCCAGGGCGCCTACGGCATCGTCTGGTAGGGTCCCGCGCGCTCGCCGCCTGTGCACCTGGTACTAATCGCTTCTGTGCAGTGCCGCCACCAACAACCAGACGGGCGAGGGCGTGGCCATCAAGAAGATCACGAACGTGTTCAGCAAGAAGATCTTAGCCAAGCGCGCCCTGCGCGAGGTCAAGCTGCTGCAGCACTTCAGAGGCAAGTCCATTGCACCCGTGGGCACTGACACGCACTGACACGCCGCAGGCCACCGCAACGTAGGACAGCCCCACTACCGCGCTCCCCCTCCCGCTCGGACCGCATGCTGAGTGTTTGCCTGCAGATAACATGCCTCTACGACATGGACATTCCTCGACCAGATAACTTCAACGAATGCTACCTCTATGAGGGTACGGCCCGCTCCGCTGCCCCACCATAGTCCGTTGCTGATGACGCCGTAGAGCTCATGGAGTGCGACCTGGCCGCCATCATTAGGTCGGGCCAGCCGCTCACCGACGCCCACTTCCAGTCCTTCATCTACCAGATCCTGTGCGGTCTCAAGTATATCCACTCGGCAAACGTCCTCCATCGCGACCTGAAGCCCGGTAATCTCCTCGTCAACGCCGACTGCGAGCTCAAGATCGCCGATTTTGGCTTGGCTAGAGGCTTCTCCATGGATCCTGAGGAGAACGCGGGGTACATGACCGAATATGTCGCTACTCGGTGGTACAGAGCGCCTGAGATCATGTTGAGCTTCCAGAGTTACACAAAAGCCAGTATGTCCGACTTTCTCTTCAAGAGCCTGTCATGCCCTCTATCTTACTGGGCAGGCCTTCAGGTGCCGCATCCAGTCCGCATGGTGCTATAAATAAGTCCTTCTTAGTCACCTCGCATTATCTTCGATACCAAGACTAACCCCTGTAGTTGACGTCTGGTCCGTGGGCTGCATTCTGGCTGAGTTATTGGGCGGCAAGCCGTTCTTCAAGGGCCGAGATTACGTCGACCAGTTGAACCAGATCCTGCACTACCTTGGGACACCCAACGAGGAGACGCTATCACGCATTGGGTCACCTCGTGCCCAGGACTACGTGCGCAACCTGCCGTACATGCAAAAGGTCTCCTTCCAGTCACTATTCCGCCAAGCCAATCCGGATGCCCTCGACCTCTTGGACCGCATGCTTGCATTCGACCCTTCGAGCCGTATCTCAGTTGAAGACGCTCTGGAGCACAGGTACTTGCACATCTGGCACGACGCGTCTGACGAGCCCTCGTGTCCCACGACGTTCGACTTCCATTTTGAGGCTGTCGAGGAAATTGGCGAAATGAAGAAGATGATCTTGGCAGAGGTCCACCGGTTCCGCCAGCTTGTGCGAGTTCAACCCGGTGCGAACGCCTCGCAACAGCAACAGCAACCTGGTCAGGCCGTACCAATTCCGAACAACTACGACCGTAGTGGGTACGAGGATCCGCGGCCGCATGAGGCCATGATGCAGGGTGGTTGGCAAGGTAACGACTTGGAGAGGGACCTGCAAGGTTTGGACGCTCGTGGTGGTATGCGGTAAGGCGAGACGGATGTCTTTTCTACGGAGACCGGGCAAGAACTGGGCCATGGCGAGGGATAGACGGACCCTAATTTGGGCGGCTGGGGGTTATGCCTCTTTGGAATCTTGTGAACGATTTTCTTCAGCTCTTGCCGTCTGAGACGTATGGCTAGTTTGCTTCCTATTTGCTCTTCAGGTGAATTCAAAACTTTGGGGATTAGGTGCACAGCGCCACTTGCTTCTACGTGCTGGCCAGGTTTAATTTGCTATGAGTAGATCGGAGTATCTGACCAGATCAAGCCACGTGCTCACCAACCCAAGATGACCTCGGGACACACACGTTATCCCACCAACGATTAATATATCGTGGAAGAGCTTGAAAGTAAGGGCCCCTAACACAAGACATGCAGCCGAGGAAGCATCGTACTCGATAAAGAGACATTCATGTCGTCTGAAGAGTTGGGAAGTACGAGATGACGAAGCAAGCTTGTATTGCCAAAGCCCTTTGTGTGCCCCGCCTCCTCCAGTGGTCTATCGTTGGGCGTGGGAAACGTGGAAAGGCGAAGTCAAGTGAGGTGAAGTTGAAGCACACTACCCCTGGATGAAATATAACTTCGTAGACGAACGTAGAGTGTTTACGCAGGGATTTGGGTGAGCGTTCCAATGCCACAGGGACATTCCTGATCTCGTCGCCCATCTAGGGGAGGAATGTTTCGTGTATGTGGAGGGATTTGGGGTCTCTTTTATAGATGGGAAATGGTTTAGAGCGGGTGAGTGTACTTGAGGGAGGTTAGTGGTAGAGTGGGTATTGTTCATGTGATCATAACAATACTAGACTTCCTTTTTAGAAGTCTCTGCTCTTATTTGTAGATTTGCTCTTATTTGTAGATTTAACGGTACAATACTTTCAGTCTCCGTGTCATGTCTGGCGTTGAATGGGGTTTAGTGCGAATCTCCCGTGATACCGCGTCCCCGCGTTTTGCGGCGCGTGCCTGCCATTTCTTCGACGCCGATTACCCACCGCCATGGTGATACCTCTCACACATCCAGCAATCTCTCTTCCCAAACAGTACCGTACCTGTCCTACCGCGAACCGATGCGCCGAATGCCTCAACCACAATGCCGTCGCATACACCGTCCCCGCATCGCTTCCTAGCGCCCAATCCGGCGACATCGCAAAGAGCGAAACCGAAACCACAGTCAGGCCTCCGCCATGGCTTCACGGCGCAGACGCCCAGACCCGTTCTCTCTTCGAGAGAGGCACATACCCCGGCGGGAGAGGAGCGAAGAGTAACGCCCGCGAAGCGCTTCGTGGTTGCGCCGAAACACAATGCGCCGAATAGCAACAAAGGCAAGGAGAGAGCAGAGGAAGGATGGGCGAATATACAATCCACGCTGCGGGTGAAGCCACCGAGGCTGTTGCAGCGAGATAGTATTGATGAGAGCTCGCCGTCTTCTTCGGCGGATGCGGAGCAGGAGCGGGAGCAGGAGCGCGATGGATACAGCGTCTTGCGGAGCATCGAGCAGAGAAACATACTTGCCGAGGACCAAGGACAAGAACAAGCAGAAGATGGAGGTGAAGACGATGACGAGATACTCTTCCTCACAGAAGAACGACATAAACGACGGCGCGTCTCACCATCACCTCCGTCCTCGCCTTCGCATCCGGCGCCGCGTAGCGTACACCAGCAACAGCCGCCGCAGACGCCAGCTCCAGCATCCCACCGCTTCAAGATCCCCGCTCCACGCACGCCCGCTGCTCCTATCTTCCCTGTGTCCAATCCCGCATCCATCTCAACTACCACCACACCAGCCGGCCCCAACCGTCCACACTTCATCCTCCCGCGTCAATCCCCCTCGCCGGGCAAATCCAGCACCCCGCTCCCGGAGACCTTCTCCCCGACGCGTAAGAACGGGAAGTTTATCCCTGGCGGCCTAGCCTCGACGCTGCAGAGCTGGATCATCGAGACTGCAAACACCGGGTACGCGGCGCAGAGCAGCGGCACGGGCGTAGCCTGGGGCAGTAGGGACAGAGAGGACGGCGTGAGGGTGAAGATCCGCGTCAGCGAGGTGTTTGGCGGGAGGAGACGGGCGAAGGAGGATACTGATACTGAGGTGGGGTGCGTGCCGGGTGGTCTAGTGTTTGTCAGAGGTGCGAGCGAGGTGGGAATGTATAATTCTAATGCATCGAGGGCGGGGAGTCTGGGTCTAGCGATGACCAGGGAGGGAGGAGATGGGGAGATCAGAGTGCTGCTTGCGGGACTGGGTGGAGCGAGGGGGAAGGGAGGCGTGAGGGTGAGGGAGGGGAGCGTGGTGGGGGTTAGAGCGCCGATGTGGGATGTTGATGTTGGTGTTGGAGGGGGGAGGTGGGTCATTGGTGTGGAGTGGGTTGTTCTTTCTTGAAGTATGTGGGCGGGAGTGTGGGTATGATATGTAGGGATTGATGAGATATGAGGATATGAATTATGAACCTTGTATTGCGCATTTTTAAGCGAGTCTTTAGGATTTGGTTGTAGACAGAGTAATGCTCTTGCGGTATCTGACGGGGAATAGCGCAGCCGGAAGGCCTTCAAGACCTAAAGTGCGTTTGGACACGCAAGGGATAATAGACCGTGAGGACCTTCAGCACTCGTTACATTAGTTTAGGTGAATGGATCACACACGTCGAGCTTCTTTAGAGCGAATCGACAAGGATTGTGGAAGCTAGAGCTTCAGCCCAAGGAGCACGAATGGAAAGCTGGTCGTGAAGTATTTTAGCGTATGGTACATTGCTCGATGCTTATGTGTATTTGAGTCTGAAATTCTCCACATCGTGTACTTTATACACGACATAACCCATATCGTTGTTTTCGGTCTGTCCGATGATGTCCCCTGTGGCGACGAGGTCCTATTCGACGCTGGCTCGCTCCTTCTTTGCGCCAGCCTGATGTGCTCCCAGCTCTGCGCTGGAATGCGGTGCTGAGGCTCTGGAAGTGGCTGCCCTCACCTTCACTGGCCGCTCTCCCTCGAGCGACTTATGCTGCTCCTGGACCTCAATGAGCGAGTCGCGGATAACATCAGCGACAACTACGGTACCCTTCCTGGTACCGTAATAACCACGGTTCACCGCCCCGACGTCGACGCCTGAGCAGCTGATGAGCTCCCGCGCGACGTCGGCCAGGAACTCATCGTTGTCCATGATGCCCGTCTCCGCGTCCGTGCTTTCGTAAACGTCCTCGTCCTCGCTCTCTGTAGGTATGCGACGCGACGGGCAGCGTCGTTTGGCGGTCCTCTTGCCACCTACCACTGGATCAGCTCACTTCCAAATCCAGCAATGCGTGTACTTACCACCGGTCCCGCACCTCTTGAGGTCCTTATCCCTGCCTACCCTCCTTCCGTCCCCTCTAACGCTGCCTCCGCTCTCGGGCGTGCCTTCCTCATTCGACAAGCCCACACGAACATTCCCATTCCGCTGCAGCGCGAGGAAAGTATCATTCACAAGCGCTCGACGAAGCCGCATAGACTGCGTAAAGTCGAAGCCCAGGGCAGGGAAGTAGGGCCATTTGTAGGCGTCATGGGCTTCGTGCCAGCTCAAGGCGGTGAGAAGCGCGAGCTTGCAGGCGTCGGGGGTGGGATAGGTGGTGGGCAGGGTGGTGTCGTTAGAGAGGATGAGTGAGGCGGAGACCATGTAGAGGGCCCAGTCGGCTGACGGAGGTTAGTGCCTGAGCTGGGATTGGTGAGAGGAGGAAAGTGTGCCCAGGCATACCAGGCTTCGTGAGCTGAGCGCCGTCGCCGGTGGAAGGAGGCTGCTGCGTGGGTGGGGTGGCCATTGCCATGGCGAGGTATGAACTTGCTGGTGGGAAGTAGGAGGCGAGGGATGAAGGACCTCGGGAAGATTGAAGCATTCGGTGAGAAAAGAGAAGGTGAAGAAATGCGATGTGGGGTTGACGCCGACTGCTCCTTCTCATTCTGGTCGGCTTGGAAGGAGGGGCCATGTGGTCCAGCAACGCAGCCCTGGGGTGTGGGAATGCTAGCTATTAATGGTACAGTTGACGATTCGTAGACAGTTCGTATGCTGCTTTCAGTGGGATCCACGCCAGAGGGATAGATTGGAGTCTGCAGCGTCCCCGTGATGTGCGCCAGCTCACGTTTTCCTAGTCCAAGTTGAGAACCCATTCCTATGGAAAATAGGACTGTCCTGCAAGACGAGAAATGCCACTGGAAGAGAGACCGAAAATGCGTTGCCGAGAATCGTACAGAGGCTTGAAGGCCGTCGGGCTGTGAAATGCGCAGGTCGTTTCGTTTCCAAGGCTGTTGCGGAACCAGAGACCGAAAAAGTGTTACCGAGGATCGTATTGAGGCTTGAAGGCCTTGGGGCTGTGATATGCGCAGGTTATTTCGTCTGTTGCGAAAGAGGACCATGGAAGGCTTGGGCCGTCATTGCGGTCACTGCAGTACCAATGGTGGAGTCTTGCTGTACCAGCGGGAAATGTTGACGCCTTGAATGACAGAGCCCAATGTCGTTCAGAAAAGGCAACTTTAAGAGTGAATAAGTCACAACGGATTGTTGGTACGCACTGTCACTGTAAAGGAGCAAACTCTGCCCCAGCAAGTCCAATTTTTGATATTTCACTCGTTCCCTTCGCTCGCTGTATTTTTTTTTATCTCTTCTCATCCATCTTTATGAATCAAAAGAAGTCACGCAGCACCACTCCGAGTGCATCAGGAACCCCCGAAGATACCCCAACAGCGAACCCCTTCAAATCAAAGCCGAAATGAGTGGAAGTCTGCAAGGCGCTTGCGACTCTGCCGATGCGAGAGAGATGGTCATGCCCGAAGAATCATCACCACAGACTCAGGAGCCTGCCTCGCGTGGCATAACCTTCACGACTAGAAGCACCGCCTGTTGGGCGTGCGAATACTCTTCTTGCGAAGAGAAGAGGAAATGCCGCGTCTGCAAGCGAAAGTCAGCACAGAATCCTTTATCCGTCGCTCTACCTGTCAAGCTACCCATGCGTGGCATCAAGCCACACGTCCTAGACAGTATCTACGACCTCTTTCCCAACGATGAGGACGCCCAAGAGCACATCCTAGGGTCTGCAAAGCAAATGAAGAAAAAAGCGCCTGCGCGATCCAAAGCTGGTGACGCCGCCGCACAAACATCCACCTTTGGCAGTGCGCCTTGCAAACGGCGTTTCACTGAGCTTTGCGAACGCCCCGTGGTTGAGCTTGTCCGCGGGAATAGGGAGAAGAAAACTCCATCGATTATGGTCACAGCAGCCAATAACTCAAACCCGACGATGGATATCCGGACGTGGAAAGCGCTTGAGCGGCCGGTTTGCAAAGGCTCCCCTCTCGAGGTTTGCGTTCAGAAAAGATACTACAAGACGAAGACGCATTCGGAGATATGTCGGTGTAAGAAGTGCAAACATTCACAGGAGTGTACGTGTAACCTCTGTCAGAAGGTCTCTGGGGTAAATCAGCAGGCGAAGTTGAAGTTTGCGCCGGCTATTGGTGACGAGACGCAGGAGGAGGATTGGGTACCGCGTGAAGCGGATCGGTTATATAAGGAGCCGAGGGTTTGGTGGCGCGGGCCGTTTCCCGAGGACAGAACGACCGATCGGGATGAATTCGAAAGGACAATAACTGAGCCGCGAACCGACAGTGCGATGAACGGTATAGAGCTTTCTAGACGACACAGCTCCCCGCATGACGGACGGGAAGACGTACGGATTTCCGGTCGGAGGCTATTTCGAGTCGACGATAGCCGAACAACATTGGCATACCTGGGCTTGCAGGGACCAATTGTAACATTGGAAGCGTTGGCGGGGACGGAGGCAAGATGTGGTTAGGAAAGCAGAGCCACAAGAGGGCTAGATTGCATGAGAGCAAGGAAACCGCAGTCGATCAAACTAGGAAACGTCTACAATAGCAATGTTGCAAAGCACGATAGGGAATGATGGATTTTTGGCAAGGAAGCTACCGAGGTCGCGTCAACAAGAGTCCCCGTCGTGAGATACGTATATGGACTGAAAAGTGGAGGTCTTGATATCGAAAATGATGGGCTGCTTTGGGATCCCGTGCGCGGACACAGTTGATACCTCTTTCGCGGACTTGAGCCTGCGATAGCAATTGAAGCCTTTCACCCTCTAATCGATTTCTTTCTTGCTTTGGCCGACGCACCCATGTGCTATGTGCTGGGCGCAGGACCCGAGAAAATTTTCAAGCTCACTGCAACGCATGACGGGACGCAGATTTCTCGCAGATTGGATTCTCCTCTGCGGGTCTGGAAGCTTTTGCATAGATCGCTGTACCGTACCCTGCGGTGTAACAACCGTGAGTTGCCTCAGGTACAATGTAAGTACTCGGGATCGATTGCCGGGCACCGATGGTAAGCGCGCAGTGAAGTCGGGGTTGAGGACGCAGAGTAGCTTAGGATAAGACGCGGACAGCATGTTGCAGACTCTCGTCGTAGTAAGCTGACTGCGCAGAAGGAAGGAGTGATTGACTGTGCTCGACCCGGCTCCTCGAAGCTCTTCAGACGGACCGCGATGGAAGCAACGCCTGCGAGCCGTACTCGAAGAGGCATGAACCGCTGCGTGTACCACATCGGTGCTGCATCGCTTCTTCGACGGTGTGCGATAACCTCTGCAACCAGTGGTACGTCCTCGCGGGCCCGCCGTATCGTGGAGCCTGGAGTGCTCCAGCACCAGATGCCTCGAGCAATCCCGCTCGCCACCCATCGCAGAAGACAAGCATGTTGGCGAATGGAGAGGCAGATTCTGACGACGTCGCTGAACTGCAGGCGGAGAGCCACGCCCACATCCCCACACACGTTGATTGGCTTATCACCGGGCTCTGAGGTTCGAACACGTTCGCAGCGGGTATTCGCCGTCCATCTATTTGATCGAAGCTGGATAGCCGCCGCGTCGATTACTGGATGCACGTCACCCGCAACGGCGAGGATAGATTGCGAGGCCGATCGAGGAGCCGCGAAGCTTCAATGCGACAGAATGGCCATGCGCTGTCGTACGGAAGAGCCCCGAAGCACGTCAGGCGGGCGCCTGCTCGTCCTCCGTTGCGCGGCGGAAGATGGGGGGAGAGGAGGGATGCCCGGGTCGGCTCGATCGGGCCAAGTGGAAGGCGCAAGCGAGGCCACCCCTGCCAGCTCCTCATTCGCTCCGTGGCCACGTCACTCCACTTCATTACTGCTCCCTCCACGCTCTCCTCCACTCCGCCCAGCCAGCGCTTCCTGATGAGCGCCCCTGCATTCCGACCCATACGACCGCGCGAAACGGGCCCGGATGAGATGGCGCTGCAGCCCGCGGTCGACCACGCTCCCCACGCTCGCGTCCGCCCGCTGGCCGCCGACCGCGCCGTTGGAGGTGCCAACGAACGCTGCACCACCACGCCTCGCAGCCGAAACAGCATTAGCTAGCAGCCATGGTGGGATGCGGCCCAATGGCCTTGTGGCCTGACCGGCGAGAGCCCACTTCCGGGCCTCAAATTCTCTCATTGCGAGCGCACTCTGCGTCCTTGACGTGGCTCCAATAGCTGCAGGCCAAGCTCCGTCTTCCCTACTCCCCTCCATGCGGGAAAGCACGGGTTTGCCAGCGCGAGGCTTCCGGTCCGTTTCGACGTCGTGTTGTGACTGCTCTCCTGCATTTCCCTTTCGTCAATTTCATACGCCGATTTTTTTTTAAGTCCCATTGAGCCACGACTGCGCCCATAATTACACTCTCTTCCCAACTTGCTTCTTATTCGCTTCTCCGCAGCCAAATCCCTCACCCCACGTTTTATGTCGCCATTGCCTGCCTGTTCGTTAAATACACACGCAATGGATCGGCGAAGCCGTACAATATAGCTAGTAGCACAAGTTATCGAATCTCTGGACGCCTGCGGAACGCAGTCCCATTGTCTGTCCGACAATGCGTCAGTTCCAGTTTGCCCAGGTCTCGTTCTCACCGTGGCAAAACCCCTACTCCGCCGGAGCGAACTCGGGGCAGAACTTCTACGGGACCTCAAGCACGCCCCAACAGCCTGTATACAGACGGGTAGTCGTACCGCCTCCTGTGTTTTACCATCCTGGCATTCAGCACATCATTGACGAAAGCGATGATGAAGATGACGAGTCAGAAGCGGGTGTGTATATCTGGTCACTGCGCAGAAAAGGACATCAATTGACATTATGCCAGGACCGTCCGACGCCTCTGTCATGTCTGGCGCTTTGCCAGAGGCTCCGGAACCGCCACCTGCTCCTGAACCCCCTTTGCCCGAAGCTCCAAGCCCGCCGCCTGCACCTGAGCCACCAAGCGAGAGTGCTCCTGAGGCACTTCCGCCAGAGGCATCCAGCCCTGACCCACCTGCAGATTCAACACCCAAGGCGAGTAATGAAGGAACTGCGGCGGAAGCTACGCACAAGGAGGATGGCAGCGATCAGCCAAACTCCAGGAAAGCGGACGCCAATAATGAGACTAAGGCTGACAACATAAAGGATGACCGCGCTGGTGAAGGTGGTGGGGGCGATGCTGGAAAGCCGGGAGAGGATGCGCCGCCACCACCTCCAGCTGCGCCTTCCGAACCAACCCAAGATGCCAATCAAGATGAACCTTCCATCGATCCTGACGAGACGACCAAATCTAAGGGTGAACAAGGGGGTGTCTCAATAGACCAGAGCGCACCAGCGCCAGCGCCTGAGGCGACTGAAAACGCTCCACCACCAAGCGATCCTGAGCCGCTCCCTCCGCCACCCCCACCGGCGGACCCAGCTCCAGCACCCGTGGCAGAGAGTGAGAAGAGTGGTGAGTGCGGGCAGGCGGCTGAAGAGCCCCCCAAATCCCCGAAGCCCCACGAAGAGAAATCAGTTCATTTCGCCTCTGACGTGAAAGATCCAGACGCTGCCAGTGTTGGTAAGAAGAAGGGCGACAAGAAAGGACCCAAGATAATCGGCAAGGGCAAGCCCACTGCTTTTGTGCGCGTCAAAGAGCCACCACCTCCTGCGCCGCCTAAGGAGGAGAAGAAACCCAAAGAGGAGAAAAAGAAGAAGGGGTTCGTAAAGGAGCACAAAAAGAAGGAGAAAGCCTCTCCGCCGCCAAAAGAGGAGAAAGAAGTCGCAGGAAAAGAGACACCGCCGCCTGCACCTCTCAAGAAGAAGCTCAGCAAAGCTGAAGAACGTAAAAAGAAGAAGCAGGAGGACAAGGAGAAGAAGTCGAAAGGAAAGAAGGGGAAAAAGGGCAGCGAGCCTACTCAGTCTGAAGACAAGGCTGCCTTAGAGGATTGCGATGCGAAGTCGGAGGCTCAAGAGAGCTCAACAGCAGATCAGCCGGCCGAGGCGCCATCGGAGGATCAGCAACTAGACGGCCAGGCCGAAGAGAGCCCAGCGGCAGAGCCGCCAAGCGAATCACCCGCAGATGTACAAGAAGAACAAGCGTCATCAAGCGAGGCCCAGGAGAATTCGGTCGCAGACCAACCGAACGAAGCACCATCAGACGTCCAAGAGCCTACTTGCGAGGGGCAAGAGGATGCTAAAGACGAGCAGCCCGCCGAAAGCCCAGCCAATGTTCAAGAACCGACTCCGGTGGAGGAAAAGGAAGAGGCTCCAGCAACAGAGCAGCCAAGTGAATCGCCCCCAGAGGAACAGCGCCCCGCTACGGATGCTGTTCCTAATCAAGACCAGAGCCCTGGCGGAGATGCGGCTGAGGCCGAGCCTACCGTAGAGAATGAGCCTGCTGCAAGCGAAAGCGAAGCTGTCGGGGAGAGCGCACCAGCTACTGAGAGTGCACCCTCTGACGAGAGTGTGCCTTCCATTGAGGATGGTTCTACCGCCGAGAGTGACCTCGCCGCTCAGGAGAAGCCTGTCGTCGAGAGCGAACCGGTGGCGGACCCGACGCCTAGTTGTGAGGGGCGGGAGGATGCTAGCTCTTGCGACTTATCTAGCTCAGAGGAGCCACTTCAGTCGGACGAACGGACCGTCGTTGTAGAGAAGCCCAACGCGGAGGAGCAGATGAATCCAGAAGAACAGCGTGTCGCCGGAGAACAGCTTAGCTCACAAGTTGTCGCAGAAGAGCAAAAGACGCAGGGGGGGCCTACGCCCGCGCAAGGCAGCCATGGTAGCGACGGTCCAGTCAGCTCCCCAAAACAGCAGACCCCGGTCGAGCAGGACGTCGTCGAAGAGCTTATCGACACGGAGAATGAGAGCAACGTCGACATGAAGGCGCAGCCAAGCCTTCCTCTAAGCGTCGCCTCTACCGTCCAAGCCAGCCTAGAAGAACAGCAGCACCTGGGATTGCCCGTTATCACACAAGCGCCGTTAGATCCAGTAGTACCGTCTACGCCGGAGCAGCCTAGTCCTTCCTTTCTGCCCAGTCTCGAGGAGCCCACGTTAGGAGAACCATCGGGCCTGGAAATTCAGCTTAGCGTTCAGGGACCCCTTGTCGAAGTGCTAGAACAGGAAACCCGTTCCACTTCGACCAAGAGCGACGAAGTCAGCGAGTCTCAGGCCGTCCATGAAACCACTCGTGGTGACGGTGATGGGCTTCTCGATAACCCTAGCGCCACGGCTGATTCGTTGAGCGTTAACGGCCAAATAATCCATGAGAAAAGCGTCAGCGAAGACGTGGTCCAGGTTGAGGCTGCCCCTCCTGATGGTGTTCAACAACAAGAAGAAGCCAGCCAGTCTAGTGGAGCGTCTCCTAGTCTCGGTACCGCCAACTCTGAACGGATTTCTGGGTTCTCTATACCCATGCCCTCGGCGAGTCTTTCTGGCGCAAGCGACCAGCCATGTGACAAACTTTCCAGCGATGACCTTGCCGCCAAACCTGTCGATGATACTTCTCTCTATTCCAATAGCCCATCCTCGCCATCCTCATCTTCTCCGATAGACCTTTCAGCAGAGAATGCGAATACGGCGGCTTCCAGCGTTTCCCGTGGAAACGATATCCCAGACGAAGACCTCGATGTTACGGAGAATGTGTCAACTCGTTTGGACAACAACCCACGACCCGGACCCCACGAGGGCTCGGATCGATCTCTAGGCAGCTTCAGGGCGCCTAGCGACGATAGCTCGGACGGTGCGCTGGTCCAACCTAGTGAGTCACTTAGTGATCATCCTTCGATCGTCCAAGAAGGGGGCGAGGAAGAGGCTGGTCATACTCGTGCTGTTGAAGTACTATCTTCTCCGAGCCTTATTGCTGCAAGTAGCGGTGACGAAGTCACCCATCAACCCCACAATGAGAAAGCCAGCTTCGACGATAAGCATCATATCCTGGAACTAGAAGCCGTCGGTACCTCCCTTGCTCCTGGTGAAGCCGATACTTTCTCTGGTGTCGCTAAGCACGAGAACGACACCTTGCTGCTCTCGAATTTGCCATCAGAGCCTTTGAACTCCTTGGATGTGACCCGGGAAGTCCCTACGGCGCAGTTCGAGGCGAAGAGCGGGTATCCTGGCGGGGTAACAGACGGAGAAGATACCAGCGTTGTCATTGAGACTCCGGGGATCGAGAACGACAACGGCCTCGTGTCTCGAAGTGAAGATGTCCCCGAAGCGGTCGTCGACCTACCTGGATGCGGAGACGTAGAGGCAGGCGAGTCCAATACGGTCACTAGTCAAACGCAGACCGTTGATTCGAGCACGGCAGGAGAGTTACAGGTGAGTTCAAATATTGTTGCACACCTTTCATGTACGTTAATTTATGTTGCTCAAAGCAGTCGAGAATTCCATCGTTGCCAGAGCCGACAGAGACGTGTGTTTTATCAAATGCCGCACCAAGCGAACAGACGGCGACTGTTGTAGTGGAAGAGCAAGCTGCAGAAGTGGAGCAGGAGTGTGAATGGGAAGGTATCCAAGCCCAAATGCGACCTGGGTCACCCGTTCCATATAGATGCATTGGTATGTAGCCCTGCTACCATCTCCTTTATCATGTCTTATGTTACCCCAATCATGTTGTTATAATCCTTATGTTCCGTACGGCCCATCATACGCTCTGTTTTCTGGGAAAAGGCGTGTCTTGTTTCTCCTATCGGCTGTCTTACACAGATTGAGTTTACGTGATGTTCTCTTGCCGTTTGTCCTTCCAGGTCTAATGCCGTCTAGATCCCGATCTGGATTCCGAGGAAGGACACTCCTTGTATACCACTGAGCCTTCTGCACAGGGGACAGTTCCCGCCATCTTTGGAACGAGCTGCGACCGAGACCCTCAAATGAGGGATGAACTATCTGATGGGGGAGAGCTAAAATCTGCAGCTCCGATTGTGGGCAACCACGTACAGGCGCCGGTGTTACGTTCAGATTGGAAGTTGGGTCAGAACGGGTCGCCAGTTCCCCTAGACGCTATATGTCGAGACCCTGGTTCTATTGTATCCGCCGATGGAGATGGCCAATATTCGGTCCGAGTGAAGGTTGGTATGCAGGCCAAAGGAGATGGAAAACAGGAAGAAGTACGGCCTGCAGACAGCATTAAACCTGTCGTGGTGCTGGAGCAGTGTCTGCCAATGAGGTGGCCATCTGTCGGCGTACAACACGAGAACAGCCTTATCGCCAGGACCGAAACCACCATCGGCAGTTCCCACGACGAAGCAGCTTCTACGTTTGCTGGCGGCGATACATATCAATTGCCCGTAGCCATTCCGACTGGCACGGATGGACCCGTTAGTATCGATCCATCGTCTACCATTGATGCTTTCTCGCACGATATCGAAGCCATGGCATCGTCCCCTTCCCAAGCTACTGGCCATCGTTCCGTTGGGCGAAGCTCCAGGCCTGAGTTCTGCGTCGCGTCAGAGGCACAACCGAATTCTTCTGCGACCCACGCCGACAGTGCGTCCCCCAGTATTTCACAGCCCATCACTGCATCTCTCGGCCTTGCAGAATTGTGCGAACACGCGGACTCACGTGCACCTCGTGCAAGCAAAAAGCTTATATCGAGCAGTATGGGATTGGAACATATCCGCCAAACATGCCCTGATTTCACGATTCCGCGCCAAGACGCCCAGCAAATGCACGTGGGACGATTCGACCGTCAAGCGACGCAATGGCAAGAATTGGATTCCATTCCTGGTGCGCGTCTTGACTGCATGTATCTCGCAAGTGTTCATCGGGGGTCTGGGGGAGCACTACGTCAGTCGCGGTCATCTCCGCTCCTCGTGGAGGTGGACACATCCAACTGCGGCAAAGATAACGCTGTGGACACGTCTCCTACGGCCGAGCCTTATATACAGCTGCGTGTTGACATACCCCAGGGCTTCCAAGCTACACCCCGAGTTGATGCGATTGGGCCAATCGATGCTCATTGCTTATCAGCGGGTGTGTTGAATCAGGACGACGACAGCTGTTCCTTGGAGAAAAACCACGGCCCCCAGTCATTCCAAGCTGCTCCAGTTCATCAAGAGCAGCTTGTGGTGGGACAGTCCATTGAACGCTGCACCTCCATCGGAGACACGAACTCCTGTATGCCCGAGGAGGAAACCAGTGTTGTCGACGAGGCTGCATTAGCTTCTCATGTTACTGAAGCAATAGACTCGGCCACTGCCCATCAAACTCCTAGGAACGTCTTCGAGCTTCCGCCAACTCGTCAAGAATTGCGGTCTTCGCCCGCGGAGTACAATAGGGCGGACGAAGAAGTCCCCAGTCACGACCATCCTCGCCCTGATTTCAAGTCGGAGAAAGCCATGGTAGAAGTTGAGACGACGATCCTGACTCTTGGTCGGCCGCAAGCCAATGACTTGATTAACGAAGATGTAATTTACGGCGGAGAGCTCTTACGGGAAGAGCAGACTATGCCACATGAATGTGGTATCGACGGCCGGTCGAACATCAGCATAACCGCGGATAGCGACGAACTGATCGATGCCACAAACTCGCCACCTGCGAGTTCCCTCAAATTTTCCGAGCAGTCCAGTAGGGGCCGTGCGTGTAATACTGTCGCCCATTTTGGGGGAGACCTCCAGAAGGAGCAAGCACAGGAGTGTGGAAACACCGCGAATCAGCAAGAAGTTGGTGTCGAATTCTCTCCTCCTGTACAAGTTGAAGGAGAAGTCCCGGTCGTACTGACTCGCGCTGCTGTTATTTCGGGTGCATGTGGAAATGGGACTAACCAACTGTCTCGAAAACCCGAGATGCCGGATGCCGTCACGACTGCAGCGACCGATCTTATTGACGATGGCACACAACGAATAATACCGTCCGAGCGGGCTACCGCAGCCCCCAGAATGCATCGCCAGCATCGGTCACCGACCCGCAAGCGTCGCGCTCGGCAGAGGCACGAGGCCGACGACAGTGCCTATCACCGTTCTGTTCGCGATCACACCGAGCGATCTAGAAAGGGCTCACCCAAGAGCGAGAAGCTGACCAAAGATACTGGGGATCTTGACGGGCGGAAGGAGCGTAGGGTGGAACGGCGGTTATGTGATGATTTTGCATCTCATGCCAAGAAGAATAGCAGACATCATGCGCCCCGCCAGATTAGTGGGGAACTGCGGGAGGGGAGGATGCGCTTAAGGTCTTCCCCTGATGGCCGGCAGGTCTCGGACCGCGATGCCGTTGGTGAGGATACAAGACTCTCAACCTTTCGCGAGATTAATCAACCGACGACCGATGAGACAGAGCCTGACGAGCGCTTGCGACCGAGGTCCGAGAAACGTAGTTATCGCCATGAGGGTCGCGAAGAGCCGACCACATCCTCGTCCTTATCCGCAGTGGATAAAGACCTCAATTCTCATCATCGGAGACGACGCCGTTCCGCTGCTGCACTCTCTAGTGTTGAAACTGAACGCACGCAACAGCGCGATCGGCTTCGAAGTGGGCATACCCGGGAGAGGCCTGCCATTCCTCAGGGGAATAGCGGTTTCTTGAGTAGGATCGCACGTCTTGTCTCTGTTGGAGCTGAACCGGAAAAGCTCAAGCCAAAGGCTCCGGCGCGTCATTCATCCTCGAGGGGACGCTGGACTGATAACTCCGGAGCGCGTCCTGGTGAGCGTGCTGTAGAACGAACCTCTCCTCGGGGTTCGAGTTTGGTGAAGCATGCACTTGGAAACACCGAGGAATCAGCGCCTTCTCGGCCTATGCCAGAGCATCAGCTGGGCGAAGGTTCTGCCGGTCCGGAGCTAGGTAGTATTGTGGGATCTAGTGGACGTCAGCGTCGTGCTAGCCACAACCAGAGAAATCGCAGGAAGAGTGCCGACAAATCCGCCGAAGCGAGTGGTCTCAGAGGCTTGTGGGGGGCGCTGAAGAGAACGGCGACTTAATTGTACATTTTACGTAAGATTTTACCGTCTCCCGGTGTGCAATTCCTCTAACCTTTCATCTAGTTATCCACGTCAGTTTCGATTCCACGTGCGCTTTCAGACACCGCTGGTGTCTTTACCTTCCCACTTGTCATCTTCACTCTCGACCCCGCGCTCCTAGAACGAAAGATTGCTATTTGGAAGTGTTGGCATCGCTTGTATTGTCCAATTTGAGCCGTCTCTGGATGTCGGGTCTGCTTCGGCGTTGGAGGAAATCTGTATGTATACAATCATGGCTTCCTCTCGGGATGAGTGGGAGGTACACAGGTTGTGACTACCGCTGCTAATGATCTGGAGGTGTTTGGTGTTGCAAATTGGAAGGGCTCAACACTAGAGATGATGTTGCGGATCTTTGAATGTAGCCTAAGGGCGCTTATGGATACGTTATTTGGTATGCGGTATAACTACGGCCTTGTAATTGTTAGCATAATTAACGTTGTACTGCTGTACCGCTGACGGGAAAGGAAATAGCATGGGTCTATTGTTTGGTATCGGTAAGTGTAATTCGTAATTTAGTAACCTGCTGCGATCCGCAGAGAGTATGTCTTCTTGTACTAGCTAGTGCTCTAGATATAATTCTTGTGCGCAATACTCTGTTATCCCCCGCGTCTTCTTATTCTCGTTGTAATACGTATGTTTTATAATAGGGGTAATTGATATCTAAGCGCGATGGTGGGGGGCGGGGGGTGTATAGGATCTTAATTAGCAACTACCTCAGCCTCCCTTCCTCACCCTGAGTGGGACGGCAATGGATGGGTATCGAAATGGTAAGAGCGACCCGTGGGCGGCTATAGGCTGAAGGGCGGATTCCGAGGCAACTTTCTTCCTTCTGCCCCTGTATACTGTTAGCGTCGCGTGGTTGAAATGGCCTAGGGTGGAGTGTACCTCTTCTGCGGGGCAGCCTTCTTGTCAGTGTTGGTTGTAGTCGCCTTCTTCCTGCCACGCTTCGGCTTCAGAGCTTCAACTTCAACTTCTGACTCAGCTTCCTCGTCGCTAACTAACTTCTTAGCGGCGGCCTTCCTGCCTCGTCCTTCCTTAGCTTTCGGCTCGAGTGCTTCGACTTCGCTCTCTGGAGCCTCCTCCTTCTTGACGGCGGCCTTCTTGCCCTTGCTCCTGGCCTTTCTTGGAGCGGACGTCTCATCTTCCTCCCTAACGGTGAGCTAGCTTATTGCTGTCGTCTGCTCGCCCCGGCGAGACGGTCGCGCGTCCGGCGGGAAAAGGCAGCGGCTCATCGCTCGGTCCTTCGTCCTGCCATCTGTAATATGCTGACGCTCCATCTTTCCTTAGTACCGCTCGTAGTGCTGTGGTCGTCTGGGGGTGTATTAGCGCCACCGTAGAAGAATACAGCGGCCCGGCGTACGTTGGAATCTTGGAGTATGCGCTTTTCGTCAACGAAGTGGGGATGTGCGCTGTCGTAATCGGAGTCGACAGCAGTGTCGCGGTGGTGGAAAGACTGCCATATGCCACCTAGTCCATGTAGCACTGCTCGCCTGAGGATACTGTCAAGAAGGGCGGTGCCAGATCTGAGCTAGGAAATGACGAGCCTCGCGAGCGGGAAACCATCCCGTGCCTCAGTAAGGCAACAAAGGCGTTGGGTTCTTGGCATGAGCTTACAGATTTGTCCTCCAACGCTTGCCAAAATCCAGGGCAGAATCCGGCAACTTCGTGCTTCCGTCCAGGCGGGCGGACTGCAGAGGTTCCCGCAACTGCGAGGTGAGCGGGATGATCATTGCTTGAGGCTCCATGGCGTAGCTGTGGCAGGGTCGATGACTCGACGTCGTGAAATACGACCGATTTCATAGAGCTGAAGCTAAATTCAACGGAATGGCAATCGCCAGCCACGGACTTGGTGGGATCGTGTCGACGCTGTTGTTGGTACAACCTTCCTCGTACTCGTTATTGGCTTGTCCAGTCTCCTACCTGTTAACCTGGGAGCCCAGGACTGGAATGGCAGTTGCTAACCATGGACTTGGCGGGGGTTCGTCTTCTCGACGTTCTTGTTGGCTTGTCTCGCGCCGGATTGTCCAGTCTCGTACTCGTCGACCTGGTAGCCCAGGATGGAAAACTTGTCATCCGTGGTGCTTACCCAGTAGTGAGTCTTTCCCTCTGGGGAGGCGTCTAAGTTCTGCTTCGCTATTATTAAAGACGTAGGCAACGGTATTGATAGTTCCGAGAACGGTGGCAAGACCGCGATCCTCCTCGAATCGCACAGGCAGGCCTTGGGGCGTCTAACCAACGCATCGGGGTTCTTTCAGCATAATACTCCGCTGCCACCGTGATTGCGATCAGCCCTCTTTCTATTGTGCCTAGGAGATCTCCGACTTGTGTGTATCGCTGCCCACCCATATACCTGGGACGGCCGCAAGAAAAACATCCGTCCTGGAATTTGACGGTTGCTCGGGAATCGTCTGCCGTAGAAGTAACGGGAAAGCTGTATGGACCGAATGAAACATGCTTATAAGTGTAGGCGTGTCGTCGTGTATAGCGTGTACCGGTTCTGCGGTGCCTAGCTGTTGGGATTGGTAGTTTGGGTAGAAGTCTGACGGTTACAGTATCTTTCTTACCTCTTCTTTGAGGCTGGCAAGTTGCCGGTCCTTTGATGTTTCGTCGCTCGGGATTCCCATTGGGTGGCGTTGGATTACGATCTCGGCCTTACTATGGTAGTATCTTGTGATCGGTATTGAGCCGCCTTCATAGAAGTAGACGATCTCGACGCGGAGGCAGGACGTTGAGAGACTGACTGGTAAAACGATGCGATTAAGATGTGAGCTCGAGGTGCTGGGGGGTTTGAACGGGCCGCAGCTGCGGTTTGCGCACTGCTTCGGAGGGACACGAATATGAGGCCGAAGGACTAAGAAGACTGGGACGGGAGCCAGAAGCGCTGGAAGATTGTAGGCTCATGCTACTGAGACAACAACTAGCTTAGAGTAGTAATTTGGACGGAAACGGCATGGGCTAGTATTGGATGGATTGCAGAGTATTGGGACATGAGTTGATTGATTGAGAATACGAGAAATATGGCTATATATATACATGACCAGGTCACGTGAAGTAGTAACCATATCCGGCAACAGCTAGGTACTTACCGCCAGTGAATCAGCGACAATATGAGTGTCTGCTCTATTTCTGTAGAAAGTCGCTTGCAAGCGGCGTCTAGTTTATTGGTGTCGTTGGTGCCGCTAGCCTGCGCCACCCAGGGTCGCGTGTGAACTTCATGGGCTTATTGTCTACCCTAGGGGAGGCAAGGCTTGGCACCGGCCGTTTGTTTCTGCGGTCACGTGCGATATTCAAGGAAGGAGTGACGTCACCCGTCTGCAAAATGGAAGGACATGACTCAGACATGACTCGGTGGTGCTATCGCCGCCGGAGGCTCGTCTTCGCCGATTTTCTCGACATCCTCCAACTGATTCCAAGTGCTTTCTGGAGGTATTGCCATATAAATCTGGGAACAACTGACTATTGGACAGCACTTCCCTCCACCAACAACAGCACCTTGGAGTCTCATGAAGTTGTTCTGCAGGCTCCTCGTCGAGAGGCGTGCAGCGGACCGCGCGCACGCGCATGGATCTTGTCGTCGACTATGTGCCTCAGGCGCTAGTAGTACGTTCGGCCGAGGTAAACCTGTGCGCGCGGTTTCTTGCCCGTATGCCTATTGTACATGATCTCGAAACCGCGCTTCTAAAACTTAGCCTTCTCTAGAAGTTTGGAGATCTGGTCGACGGTGACGTCTGTGAAAGGCGTTGCGTCGCTTTCGGAGGCGTTGATAGCGCCGACCAAGTGGGCAATGGTCATACGCGAGGGAACGGCATGCGGGTTGATAATTAGGTCAGGCGTGAGGCCATCGCGAGTGAGGGGCATGTCTTCCTGGCGATAGGTAATACCAATTGTACCTTTCTGACCGTGGCGAGAGGCAAACTTGTCGCTAATCTGTGGCGCCTTTGTAGTTCGTGTGCGCACCTTAAAGAAGCGTAGACCTTTAGTGTTAGTAAAGAGAACTTAATTGACAATACTATTCTTCGTGCTTCTAAGTAGTGTAGACACATCGCGCTTTGTGTGCAAAGCCGTCTTCTAACCTAGCTTCTTAGCATCTTCTAGTATAGGCGCCGTCTTTCTAATAATAATATTGTTACTAGAAACACGGATACTAGGCGCAACTACACTATTGTTGTTAAGTTTGTTATATGTGCCCGCCTTTAGCTGCATAGTGTTAGCGCGCGTAGGCTTCTTAAACTGCTCTAAGACGTTAACACTAATACGCTTCTTCTGCTCCGTGTACGCGCTGTAGAAAAGACTCCTAAAGAGACTACGATTAATACTACTCTAATTTATAATAACGGAATCTTCCTAGTTGTACCTAGAGTAACAAGCAATAGCCACGATGGCGTTCTGACTAGCGAGTAGTTCACGAAATCTTAGATACTCCATGAACCGCGTTGTAGCCAACGGCTTCTGTGGATAATAAAGAACATTTATCATAGTTTCCATGCGCAGCGTATAGTTGGTAAGAGCCACGCCTATAGCTTGTTGTTAGCGACGAAAAGCCCCTGTTTCGGGCCCCTGTATGGGTCACATAACCCCCCTCAACAGGTGTATATATAGGGCCTTCAGCCCCCCCTTATTTCTTAATATAGAGCTTCTTTTCTCCCTAAAAGTTATGAGCCCGGATTTTCGCCTATATAGTCACCTCTTCAATGAGTGTTGATCGACGCTGCCACCAGTTAATATAGAGTTAATATGGGAGTTCTCGTCAGTTAATTACACCTTGCCGTCGCCTTAAGGACCTGTTTGCCACTTCTTTTAGCATGAATCGGATCACTGCTTAAGGCTCTTAGGAGCTAGATCCACCATGGAGGGCACAGCCCATTCAGGAGCCCCTGATAACTCTGTGGCTCTGAAAAGGAGAGCCTTACGGGCGCACAAGCCCACTTATTGCCACCTCTTTTAGCATAACTCTGTAGCTCTAAGAGGAGAGCTTACGGGCACACAAGCCCACTTACAACTGGATTCTGGCTCTCAAGGAGCTGGATCCATCAAGGGTTGCTGCCTTATAGCATGACTCTGTAGTTCTCAAGGAGGAGAGCCTCACGGGCACTTCTGAAGGAGACGACCCCTGGGCACACAAGCCCGATAACAACTTTCTGGCCACCAAGGCCCTACACGAAGCTGCGCACCGAGCCAGCTGCCCCTGACGATTCTGCCGCCGCCCCGGCTACCCACAGCTGCGCACCGAGCCAGCTCTTACGATAACTTGTCTTTCTGGCCACCGATTAGCTCTTAATTGTAGCTGCGCTCTAAAGCTAGCCTACACCTACACCTCCTGGCTACTCGATAGCTTTGAGTTTGATAGCTCCGTCTTGAGCTCGGCTGTATTCACAGCCTTGAGTTTGACTCTAGCGTCTAGAACTCGGCTCCTTTGAAGCCTCCTCACTGCGGGAACGCCTCCTGTTTTACACCCCTGGCACCTGCCCCTGAGTCTGTTTTGGCTTCTTTCCTTTCTGGGCTACATGCTGCCCCTGAGTCTCCTTGGCTCCTTGGCTCCTTTCTGTTCTAGCTCTTCCTGTTTGAGCCCTCTCTGTCCCTTGTTTAAGCCTCTCACGGCTCCTTCCTGTACGGAAATCTTCTTGAAAGCATCACCGATTGCCTATTTAGGTATAGTTTCAAGCTTCTGTTTACAGCTTTCCACACTGTTACAAGCTAGGAGGGTGTGTTAGCGACGAAAAGCCCCTGTTTCGGGCCCCTGTATAGGTTACATGACCCCCTCTTAACAGGTGTATATATAGGGCCTTCTGCCCCCCCTTATTTCTTAATACAGAGCTCCTTTTCTCCCTAAAACTTGTTTACTTATAGCGGACTAGTAGGTGTTACAAGGGGACTAGTTGTGGTTAGGGAATAGAATAATACTGGCACAAATACCTAAAATTATAGCCAGGTGGATTTCGCAGTGCGTGTAGATGGCAACCGTAGGGTTTGGTTTCGGCCTAATGCGGCCTAGACGGTTCTTCTTGTCTGCATCTAGGGCGGGCTGGACACCTTGTTTAAGGTCGCGCTATTTATCTAGCTCTTCAGGCGACATGACTATTATAGCGGTCTCTTCTTCCTTAGCATTAAGGTATTCAACAACACCGTTATGAATAAGTCCCCTCTATCTATACTTTATCTCTATTATATCTTCGTCGTTGTATCTAGATGTGTCTACTGTAGAGTTATTAAGAAGCTTCTGTAGATAAGTTTGGTCGTATACGAGGTGGCCACGGTTAGGCTTCTAAACGTTATTTTCCACCACAAAAAGCGGCCTCATGACACGTCCAGCATCGGTGAAGATCTTGAACTCTCAGTCGCGAATATTCCGAATAAGGCTTATCTCGTACGAGAGCGTCCCGTTTCGTCGGAGCTCTTGCACAACCGTCACAAGCTGTTGCGGGTTCATATGTGTCCCTACCCAGACACCGTTGACGAAGACCTTGGTGGCGGTCGGATTGATGACCGGGTCGTACTCCTCGAGAAGTTCCATGTTTCGCTGGGTCATGAAGTCGATAATAGGCGTACTCTCGCTGCCGACACTTACATAACACATCAAGGACAGGTTCTTGACCTGACCAGACCGCACGTATATTATACATGGTTTTCCTCGCGAGTTCCTGGTATAGGGTAGAATGCGGAAGGTCTGGATTCCAAGCTCGTCGCAGGCGAAGGCGATGCCGAACAGGGCCTTGATGTAGTCTTCCGCGTTCCATTTTAGAAGTGGAGCACGAGGGGCGCGCGGCTTGCGTGGGACTCCGTTTTTGTTGGTTTTTGCTATCTTACTTCTAGGCTCCTTATAGTCGGATTCGCTCTTGGCGTAGTTGCTATCATTAGGGGTGGCGCTATGTTAGGCGCTCTGCTAAAGCTACTGTTGCTAGTCCTGAAGAGAGCACGATGGTAGGATTTGGCTTAAATCGTTGCCGTGTGTTTGAAAGAAGTTGATCTCTCTTTGGGAACAGGTTCCTAGTCTTTGGCAAGTGTGAGAGTGTGGTTCGGGCGTTGTTTGCAGTCCGCGTTGAGCCTACCTATGCGCAGCGTCGCGCGTACCTGAATGGGCGATGCACAGCGTCCCGTTAGGAATATCGCGAGAGGTCAGCTTGCTGCTCCTTCGCGGCGGCCACCGTCGCTCACTGCAGCAGTTCATATCTTTTTCGCTTAAATCGTGGCAGAACTTTGTTGCTGTCAAGAAGGTGGACGAAGCGTGTGCGGGGATTGTTGCTTCGGGCTTCCCCAACCTGACGATCAGAACGCGCCGAGCGCGTTATCTCCCTTGTCTTGTTTTTGCTTATAGTAGCATACTTGATAAGCTATTTTCGCCCTCCTTTTACTCCGTGATGCTTCGTTGTGTTACTGGGTGATGCGCATTAGGTTAGTGTATGCTTCTTGAGATGTATGTTCCAAGGTTAGATGTTGCCGGATATGGTTACTGCTTCACGTGACCTTGTGTCGTATATATATAGCTATATTTCTCGTATTCTCCATCGATCAACTCATGTTTCAATACTTGCTACTTCACCTGAAATTAAACCTCTCCTCGTCGGCCAGTAGACCCCTGGTCCGGTTCTGGCCGATAGTAATGAACGAATTGCGTTGTCAGAGAACTTAGGGGAAGCAGTGCGTGCGCCGAGTGGGCGAGCAAAATGTTGAACCGCTGGTAATGCTTCTCTGTATCGATTGGTTTCATTGCACTTGGGCCGTCCGGCATCGTGACTCTGACGCGCTTTGCCGATTCGGATAGGCACCGTGACCTCCGGGTTCTGCGGTCTGCCGAATTTGCAAGAATCTTGCTGTTGCAGGGTTGCTTAACGCCTCGTATGTCTGCCCGGGGATGGGGGCCTCGAGACGCATTGCGGTCGCAGCGTGGGGGTATCACGGTGGGGTATGCTCATTCCCCTACATCCCCTCCCGCCCTCACCTCTGTGCTTTTAGCTTTCTCGTGCGTTCTCGGGGGTCGGCTTCCTTTGGTATTCTTGCACATGCTCATTTCGTCTGGGTATTCGTGAGGGGAGGTGTCGATTCGCCTGGCGGATACTAGCCTCTTGATAGCTACGACCTCCGGGTTATGGTCCGTTAGTGCAATATGTTGATGTATAGCGCGTCAGGGGGGCTAGCTGGGCGAGGGTATAAAGATTCAGACGTGTTCTCGGAAGTTCTGGTTGGATCCACGCTTCTGGATGAGTCTTGTACCTCCGCACCTGGCAATCGCCGTACAATCCCCGGTACTGCTTTCCTCCCGTGGGCCTTTCTCTTCATTATGCCTGGACTGGTTCGGGCGCCATGCGGGAATATAGAGCAAACGCCGGAACTTTGTATCAAGTATATCGTAACCGAGACGTAGGGGGCGAATAGGTCCGCAGGATGCATTAGACCTCGGATTGTCGGTGCTTGTGCGAACGGCGGGGGGGGGGGCGCCTGCAAGCCTGGCATGAGCATTAGCGGTACGTCAGCATTCGATACAGCGGTGTACGCATACCACACGGTTCGGATGCATGAAGGTAGATCGCATGGTCTTCCAATTGCGGGTCGGTCGGTTGATCTTCGGCCTGTCGTCACCTATGTTGCCGGATATGGTTACTGCTACACGTAACTTTTGTCGTAGATATAGCAGGCATAAGTTGACAGTGTATTGCTACTTAAATTGTCTGCCGTTGTGGACTATCGTCGTTGTTGAGGAGCTTTTTAGGGCTCCTTTTTCTTTGGCGGCTTCTCCTCCCGGCCGCTGTTCCGTGAGATTATCATTCCACTCGTCCCACAAGCGGGCCGCAGAGATCAATTGTCAGGAAGAAATGTGCGTTTGTGAGGTCCTTCGGAATAGGAGAGCTGGGATGATGAGGCGCGACAACGACGTGGCTCAGTTGATCCAACTTGTGTAGGATGGACTCGGGAAGCAGAGGCGTTCTGGGGTTTGGGTCTATGCCAGCCATTAACAGCATCAGCAATTTCTGGCCTATGCGAGGCTAAAGAAATAATTGCACAGTGCCTCACACTATTTACAGAATCAAACTTATGAGAATCGTAGAACCCGGGAGTTGATTCATTCATATGCGTGCCTGAAGCATTCCCCATTCATTACCAGACGCCGATGTTCGCCAATCGCGGACGAATATACCCATTTCATCCTTGCCATATTCCTCTACCGGTGCAGATCACGTATTTGTGTGAATGCGAGAGCTTTTTCGCCTCGCGAAGGGTATCGACGTCTACTGCATGTCGTTGAGATCCCTGTAATCGGCCGATCCGTCCGTTGCCCTGGACAACGTATGGGATGGGTTGAAGTCAGCACATGAACGGGATCTGTCGCATGTGAAAACTTACTACTCTGCTACCTCTAGCAGATGGGCTTCGTCTTCATCTGCGAGAACAAGCCAGCCTAGGTAGTCGATATCCGTCGAGAATCTGAGAATGTGCACCTCGCGGCAACCATCGACTAGTACGACTCAGTCAAATCAATTCTCTCCAATGTGGTAAAGGATGCCCACGCCATAGATAATACACCGGAAAATAATGCTCAGCCTGGTTCACAAATACGACTCATATTGTTCGGTATTCAAGAATATCCGGGACGGACCACAGTACCCGAGAGTCATGTTCAATGTTTTAGGAACGATGTTGCTGTACGCTACGTCGCACGAGGAAAGTATTGACGAATTGTCGCTTGTCGAGAGCTATGAGAGACAAGTGTAACGTTGATTGGTGGCGTGGGTGTGGGATCAGTGCAATGGATACCGAAGAGAATTTTTCGAGCCGAAAACAATCGAGTGACGTTAAGCGTGCACGGACCGACCGCGAGGATTACGCTGTCGGGAGAATCTTTATCAGAAGATGGCACCTATCGTTAGCCGAGAAGTAGCTATTCACTCGTCTTCTGACTACAAGCTTCGATCAAAAGCCTTTTGTATATATCCAACAGTCATGGCATAACAAAGACGCATATACATCTCAATCTCCACAGCATAACCTCTATAGTTTGGTGACTTGGAACGAGGAAAATCAATCAATCAATCACAGCGCACGGAGAAACACTCCGAGGACGTCATTCCGACCGGCTCCTTCGTAAGTGCGAAGTTACAACCGAGTCTGGAAGTCAGCAGTAGATCAAAAGTTTGCGGATAGAAGTGTATCACGAGACTTGAAAGTCCATAGAGTGTTCAAACCAAGAGAGTTCCGCCTGTCCGACCCTCAAATGTATCACAGCGGCAATGAAGAGCCCGAAGCCGCATCCAGGCGAATATTCCTGATCAGTAACGGCCGCACGTAAGACAACATTAGGGGGGGGAGGCCTTCTGCAGCTTGAGATTTCCTGATCGTGGCATTAAGACCATGCGACTACGCGAAGACCTTGATAGTCTAAGATAGATGATCGCCGTGGTTGTTGCCAGGGTTCTGCTTGCACTAGCAAGAGGATACAATGTGCACATGCCCCTTCAATTGGATAGCTCGGCCTGCATTGTCGAAATTGAGGGGTTGGCCATACTTCGTTTGGTGAAGCCACCCGGGGAAGGTAGGCGCGCTTTAGCGCCGCGTCACAGATAAAAAATTTTCCGATTCCCTCATCACACCATCACATACCCCTTCGCTCTGCACCCTGTTTTCTGCTTCCCGCTTTCTGCTGTCTACGTTTCCTTATTCCGAAACACCCCTCGTCATGGTGCTTAACCACTTCATCCGGGAGCGTACCGCTGCTCGTCACCTCTCACGTACGCCGACCACGACGGCAGCCCTGGGCGAACAGTCTCAGGGCAACCTCTCAAACAGCTCCAGCGCTCGTGTCACCTCGTCGTATACTAGCGGATTCCCCTCGTTCGCGACCACTGTCTCGGACCACTCCATCGACAGTATCGACCCCAGTACGTCATGATGTTCAGTGTCGATGCTACATGCTAATCTTGCAAGCTACGCATGCCAAGCGGTTGTGTAGAGCTGCCCTCCACTTCGAAAAATCCGAAAGCGTCACGTTCGATAACCATTTCGATGTCTCCAGTGCCGTGCGGGACAGTCTGAGTAACTGCAACTGGCTCTCTCATGGAAACATGACAGTCGATGCAGCAACACATCTCGTCCACGATACCACAAACTCTATTTTGGCGAGGGGTATCGTCTCCATCGCAGGGTCAAAAGCCCCTGCGTTCAATCAAAATATCATGCAACATGGTTCGTCCTTCCTGATCATTGCTTACCCACCCGGACGTCAATCACTGCAAAAAGTCTCTTGCAAAGTCCGCGCTGGCTGCTGACGGTCAGACAGGGTACTATTCTTCTGCTGTATCTAGGTCTACGGGCGGCACTAGCCTTCGTCCTCGAGTGTGAGTTGCAACCCCTCTCATCTTGAGACAATTCGCTGACTTCATTCACAGAGTATCGCCCTCCAAGTCAAGCGCACAGAAAAGGTCTCTTGAGCTCGTTGACTTGACTACACCCTCACCGAAACGCCGATACGTGTCACCGGAGGAGCATCGTTCTGTTGCACACACACGCCCATTCGACAACGCAAAGTCGACAACACTATCCTACGGACTCGGCGGTCCAAAACGACCGCCGTTCAACCAAGATATGGATAACGATAACTATGACGAGGGTGAAGATGAGAACGGAGATATCGATGATCACGTCGGGCCAACGGATACCCAGGGTCATCACTACCCCACTAAGGGCCATGCAAGCCCCGAGACCATGGAAAGAATCTTCAAGTGGACCCGGAGCAACGCTGCTGCATTCCCACCTATGCTGGGGTCGGTTTTTTTTGCAAAACCCGGAGGCGGACGGGAAACTGTCCAACAGAACTGGCTTCGAAAAGCTGACGAAGGCCTTCTTGAGGACGGTAAGTGGTGGCATTACTCCAATTGCTTTCGAATAGACCTTGACAGGATGGAGATTTCCCCTCAAGGCTTGCTCCACTTCCTAAAGGATGGTGGACTTCCAGAAGAGTATTATCCCCCCTTGCAGGTATACCTCCAGGGCATGTTAACGTCGCATAACCCACCAGGGAGTACGTAAATTCCACACATACCGCATTGATGAAGGCTAATCACGCTCAGAAAACTACATTAGCGTTGCCAACGCCGAGAAATTCGCGAGGCGTTGCGGGTTTCTCGACAAACTTATGCCAACGATCAACCAAGCTCGAGCGGACGAACCAAAACAGCTTCAACTCCAATGTTCTCTTTGTGGGGTGGAGTTTCTCACAATCTGCAAAGGGAGGGGTGCGTTGGTTCATATCGAGAGTCATGCTCATGAGCTCGGTCTCCCCAAACTCTCGAAAGGCAAGCTTCGACGATGCCATTTCCTCGGTTGCAATGCTGTCATGGACCAGCGTTGGCCGAACTACAAGAGCCATTTTTCGGTATGCCCTTTCGCTCCATAGTGGTAAGCATCCTCCGTCGCCGGTGGTGGGTTCAAAAGCACCCACCGCTCATCCATACCAATCGCGCCCTTGATGTTGTTGCCAGTTCATGTATACTATTTCCATTCAGTAGTAGAGAGAAGTTAATAGGAACCTTGGCAAATGTTTAGACGAGTGTTGAAATATGTATACTTGGGGGTTGGAAAAGAAGAGTGGACAGAACATAGAATGGATGTGATTGACGAGCCTGGACTTGAATGGAGTCGCGGTTCTGTGGCATCGCCTTCCTCGTGTGCTTTAGCCCTAAATGTTTTCATCCACGCGCGTGACACATTCGCAGCGATATATGTATTTGGTCTTGGGCGTGTGCGGTATTGGCGCAGTTGAGAAGGATGCATGGACGTATTGCGCCTTGCATATTGGATAGGCGTACTCCCTAGCCCTTGCGCTTCTATGTTCGCGTCGTATTCGGATGCGCTGCCAAGTCCGCGGAGAGCAGTGACTGATGACGAAATCAGAGTGTTGACGGAAGGTGCGTCTCAGTCAGGTAAATAAACATGACGTGAAACCTCATCCTCTTCGTCCTCCTCTCTCCTCCCTTCTCCCTCCTCTCCACCTCAACACTTCTTGCACTTTATTTTCCATTCAAAAACTTGTCTCACTCTTCGTCATGTTCCCTTTTGGCCCATGCGTGTATTCGACACCCGTTCCCAGCATATTCGCAGGCTTTATAGGGCCTACGGAGTTGGCAAATATTATGCTGGACTTCTGCCTGTTCTTCACCAATCGCATTGAAGGACCTTATCGATCGTCCGCTGAGATGAAGGTTCACGCGCTCAGTGTCTTCTACGAGTGGCTTCCTTCCTGCCCGTCCCCGGGCTTGCCCGATCTGTCTGAGTACAACATTTCCACGTTCGCCGTCCAGGCCCAGTTCATTCACGATGCGATCGAAGTCCTCCAAGATGAGGGCAGGCTTCAGCTGCAGTCCACGATCAAGATAGAAGGCGACGAAGACGGCCAGGTCACGTCTTGTGAGGCTTCCTCGGATGCTCACCCCGATCCCGACCGCGCTCGCCCCACCGTGGAACAGATCAGACCACGAACCTCGTTCCGGAAGCATGATATCGGTCCCTCCAATATCGCAGAGCCTTCTCTCCCACGGGAACCTTTCGGCCCCTCAAAAGAGCGGGCCGTTCAATCAAACATTTCTCGTGTTGGTGGCGTCAGTAGAACGGCTCAAGTCGGAGAGCGCAGGACTCGGGTTTCGGTAACGTAGAGTATAATCTCATCCTCACACATACACTAATAAGTCGTATAGGGGTTTCATGGTCGCGATCTCACTTCGGATTCCTCCAGCGACATCCGTGGTGACGAGGGCCACCGCTTACACGCTCGGTCTTCGTCCGTTGACCCGGTCGGCATGCCAAAAGGTCGTGCCGTTCAAACAAATACTGAGGGACTTCGCACCATGGACTCGCACAGCAGGCCAGCGGACGCCCCTTTCCTTAACGTCCCACGACTATTCGAACGGGCCGACCTTGACGTTCCAAAGGCTTTCGCGGCGGCACGAAAACTCAAATACCCGCGCATGATGGGCATACCGTACATTAGCGACAGGAGCAAGTCTGTCATGTATGCTTGGCTCGGCCAGTCGCAGGGGAGTAAGGATGTGCCCATTTTCGATCGTCAGAATGCCTTCCGCTATGATATGGGCAAGGATGGCGTCGTGATGCAAGCCTTCATGAGATATTTGGAACAGGCCGGTCTGAATGAGGTAGACTCCTACGTCTTGAGCAACGTGCTCAAGGACAACAGTATTGCGACAGCTAATGCGGGTGAGCGACCCGCTTCCGTTTCTATATCTTTGCTAATTATCCGCAGTTAATCTGGTCAAAGTAGGCGTCGCCGTGGAGTTCAGTTCCCATGCAGGGTTTTACAACCAAGCCAAACCCTTCCTCGATCAATGCCACGCGTCCTTCAGCTCCGAGCACCGGTGCGGTCAGTGTCACGAGGAGTGGATATTCGTATCTGCCCACAAGGTCGACCGTGACCAGTTGCATCTGAAGAAGCATAGCGCCTCTGGGCTTCGGGTTGAGCGAGTGAGGTGCCACAACCTCGGGTGCAACTACATTATGGACAAGCAGTGGCCGGATTGGAAGAATCACTTCAAGGTGTGCCAATTTCGCCACGCACGTTGAGCTCAAACTCGGGTCTTCATCTCAACAGCTTAAAAGGTCTGTTGTTCTGTCGTAACGCATGGGTATTTGGGATAGATCATTGGTGATCCAACGGCTATGCAGTTTCCTGTTTCTTCAGCGCTGTCTCGTTTCCTCCTCTCGTACTGCAGGGCATATATAATGAAATCGTTTGCACCGACGTATGTGACATCGTATGTGACATTCCCAGGTTGGTTGGGTGGATAATACATCGTGTGCGCATGTCCCTAGCTAAGGGGCTTGGTGCAGGGAAACGACTTCTTGCCGGACGAAGGCTATATAGGGGAGGATGCCGTGGGTTGGACCTCCGACGAGCACACTCTGCTGCACGGCCTCACCGATCCTGACGCGTGTCGGCTGCTACTCGAGTACTCAATATCCCCCTCCGACGTGGGTCTCAATTCCGATCGAAACATGCCAAATGTTGGCGAGCGCGACTTGCGGCGCAGTCTAAGGAGGAACGGCAGTATGCAGCCAGGCTATGAAGACACGTTCGCTATTCTATTTTCATGACCCGTTCCAACACAGTAACATTTATTCAAACTACTCTAAGTCTTGGTGCAAATGAATCCCAAAGCCGGCGAAAGGGCCCTATCGACGAGCTTAGTCAGACCTCACTCTGTCTGATTACAAAGTCACCTTGGCAATTAGCGACACGCACCCGTGAGCGGACCATATACTCTCCGCATCTTTGCCTATTTGGCCCGAGGCCGCCCTCTAAATATCACAACATACGCTACTTCACATCATCACCTGCATGGCTATGGGGGGCTATAGCTGCTGCAACAGCTACAGCCCCTACGTGTCACGGCAAAATTAAAATCACAATCACACTTCAACACAAGGGACCAAATGGTTCAAAGACACCTATCCCTCACCGGGACCTCAAACAGGCCCAACAGGGCGCGTCAACCTAGCCAGCGGACGGCAATTCTCTTGACTACGGTCAACTTTCATTGCAATTCTTATGTCCTCGCATGGAGGAGGATTAGGAACCGACAGGCTCTCTATATGGGGAGCAGCTGAACACACGATCCGCTCTCACAGCCCAGCCCACAGGCAGTGCTTAGCGCGTCCCTAATGCCCCACGGGAAGCACTCATGTACAATAGTACTGGACGTAAATCAATTCCAACCAACCAACCAACCAAGCCTATTTGGCTAGTGGAGAATTGGTATTCGCTTATTTGAAGTTAGCGTGCTTCGAGACAGGATATTCAAGACGCAAAACATTCCTAGAATGCTTTGTTCACTTGGGTTTTGCACACTGCGCAATGTGTTCCTCAGCCTGCCCCCTAATACAGGGGGAGCCTTACCGTAGTGATGTAAACTGGTTTGATGATACTCAAGATGGCGACTAAGAGTTTGAGTGAGGTATTTGGATCAAAATGGAGATATGGGGTTCAGGGGGCGCTTTAGGTCCTTTTTATCTTGCTTTATGCAGCCCTACGTCCAGGATTTAGTAGTTGCAGTGCTCCTCGTCCAGGATCTCGTGGTTGCAGTGCATATATACGATAATACAACACTTCTGCTTCCTACAGGTTTCCGGGTTTCAAGCGCCATATGTCGAAGGTGAATGTAATTCTCTACCTTTTGCTTCATTATGTGTAGGAAGCCAGTTATAAATATAGCTCAAACATCACCTACATATGTAAGCATCAACGCTCAATTAGGTTTTAGATCAAAAGCTAGGAACGGCAACGGACATGGTCTTCTGCAAAGCCCAATTCGATAGAGACCTGAAAACCCTGCGACAGCAGCAGTACACGTATTCAAACGTTCCAAGCGTCATCAAACTTCAGGGCGACTCCTGTAATGTAGTGCTTGAGTCGACAGTACTCCCGGGACTAGAAAAGCAGTACGTGGTAGACGACTTATACAAGCCGTTGCAGCCAAAGGAAAGATGTTGGCGGATATATAAGGAATCACAACTGAAGAGCAGAAGGATTAGACGATCCTTTTGCTTAAAAAAAAAAAAGAGGACAGGTGCGCTGTATTTCTTAAGCTAATTGCTGAAAGCAAGATTGGTAAGATATCTGATGCCCACAGCTTTGCAGGAGCTATAGTGCAGAAAGTAATCAATAGGTTCAAAGCCAAAGGAGGTTACAATCCCTTTGTGCAGCGACTGGGTGGAGTCCTGGGCATCACGCGCGTGTGCAAACATATTACAGGTCAGGATGCCCAGGATTTCATAGCTGCATGTGAGAGGCAGGGTGCATGTTACTTGGGGTCGCAATAGGTGATGGACGAGCTTCTGGGCTATGTTGTGGGCAAATGATGAGACGGAAGCGAGCCGGTGACGCCTCGGTGCTCGCGCCGAGGCGGAAAGGGGTCGACTCGCTCACCGGGATCGACATTTCAATGCAGGAAGAGTGGGACACGGAGATGGAGGAGAAGATAAAGCAGGCAAAAGAAGAGGCAGGAAGGACGGAAACCAACACGAACTATCACAATAGCCTTAACAAAACTTCCACCTTCAAGCTATCCCTTTTGGATATGTTGACAATATTCAATGAAAAGATCGAACTCCAACCCCGAGTTATATGCCTTCAACCAAGGACCAGCCGCACGCCCAATAGTATGGTTGAACGCCATCCTTTTTAGTCCGGCGATGAGAATCATGTTAGATTGCAGCCATCCTCCGCACCAAACCCTCCGCAGCATATACGTCGAAATCAGCTGTATGCCAGGGATAATTTCCTCCACCAAACAGAGCAACATAAACATCTTGCAGCCGGTAACTGTCGAGTGCGATCATCTCTCGCAGGATTGCAAAAATATTGACAGGCTGGAAACAGGCGGGCAGATCGGTCTTCGGGGTCGGCGCGATAAAAGGGAAGTCGATCGCCAAGATGATCTTCCATAGGACTTGCATGTCTAGTGTCGTACAATATGAGATGCATTTGCTGATCGCGAGAGTAAATCCCGCAGTGAGAAGGTCGTTTCTCATTGAGGTGAACTTGGAACCGACTGCGCGACCTGTAGGATAAAACCGCGCAAATGATCTCCGGATCCTACTTGCATTAGTTGGCGGAGGAGATCCAGTGTCGTATACTTACCTATGTTCGTGTAGAGGATGCAAGCGGAAGCCGGGAGGGGAGACTGTATAATAGAGGCGGATGAGCTCATCGATAGTGCGGCCCTCGTAGTCGACCGTGTCACTTATGATGACCTCGCCGTTGTAACGTTTCACGCAAATCTGGAAGGCGACCGGACATGCGTAGTTGAAGATCTGGTATTCCACATCAATGATGAACAGCTGCTCTGGGTTATTTCCTGCAATATGCTTTAGCAATCGCAGCTGTTGAGTCCAACGCTCTGATCTAGGACCGTGAAGCTCTTTCTGTGGCAGAATGCCGCCGCGGGGTGCACCCTGATGATACTGACAATTTTCAGTACCAAGCACTGGCGGTAAGGTACAATCCCACAGTGCGGCACAAGACGCTCTTCCGTCAACGTTCCAATCCGGACGGATTGTTGCCCGCTCGATGTTTGTAACTGAACGATCTTGCTTTTGCTCGATCGAATGGTTGAAGTCGATATCGCCTTCATCGTCGACAATATCATCAACCGATAGTGGCCGGCAGACAGCAGATGCCCGAGTCCGAGAGAGTTGCGTGGCCCATGCCGGCACGTCGGAATGATGAGAACCTTGCTTCTCGAGAAGGAACTCGGAGAGGGCAACTGCTTGGAATGGTACCGTAGGCGGCCCGTCCGCGGAGAGCCACTGCACAGACAGAGCGAGATAGGTGAGTCGATCGACCAGTATAGAGAGTGTCCTGAATCGGTCCCACGATTGAATCGATTCCCAGAACCAGTTTGGGCTGAACAATAGTGTCGGTGACCTCGAGCCTGTTGGCCCGAGGCAATCTTTCACATACCAGACCGAGCTAAACCTGCGTGCCTTCCACTCCCCATTTGGGGACGAGAAGTGGTCTTTGGTCTGAAGCCTGTCCTTGCGGAGGATCTCGTGGACGTCGCGTACCAACTCGACATCGGAGACGCTGAGTACGGGCGAATCGCAGAATTTCCGAATCCTCGTAGTATTTTCCGGTAGATACTCAGTTTGCCACGTCTCCATGCCGGTCACGCTTGGCTGATTGCTAGAACTATGCAGGTCAAGCTTCAATGGAACTAGCAACTCCTTCCCGTTTATAAGGCGGAAAACGATTGCATGATGTGCCGGATAACCGAGTTTGGGCTTGTTGCGGCCGTGGCCAATTTCGACCGGAAAGACATAATCGACCTGGAGTTCGTGAGTAGCCAGTTTAGGAGAGTTGCCGCAGAATTACATTACCTTGTCTGATGCCAGAGAGAGCGCCTGACATATCAAGGCGACCACCTTCTCTCTCTGTGTATGACTCTCATCGGATCTCCAGGTGTTGTCCCTCTCGCCCAATGGTTGATATATGAAGTACATGAGCTTTGAGACTCCTTGTACATGGGTATATGCCTTCTTTCGCGTCATCAATGTCTTGCGAGAGTAGTATCCGGCTATCGATTTTTTGTACCCTGGCTCGATATCTGCCCGACGTGCCGAGCCGCAAATGACACCTTCGTCGGGTTTTCCAGGATGACTGCGACCTTGCGGAGGTATTCGAAGGACTCGGTATAAGTATTCGAGATCGGAATTTGTAGCGGATAAAAATGGTGTCGGATGAGACCAGTTATGCACCTGCGCCTTGAGATCGTGAGCAAGACCCATTGTACAACGGAGAGGAGGACTTACCCATGTAGGCTGTTCTCTTATAGAAAGAGGGAGGGGGTGTTGATATGATTTGAGTCTCTTGACGGCTCGCGTTTCCGGTGAGGCTGTTGCGTGCCGACGACGAGAGTTGTTTGGATGAACGGGTGGCTTTTTTGAGCCCCCGACGACCGAGCCGGTATACGGCACATTAATGATGCAAAAACCTATCTCCTGCATCTGGTAGACGAGCTGAACCACGGACGAATCACACTGGGCTTCGTCGTCACAGTGCGGACGAAGGTAACGACGTATATCCTCAAAAGTATGTGTCTTATGAATTGCAAAAGAATGTAGAAGGATGGTTTCTTCAAAGTGGGTGAGCAGGGACATGTCGATGGACGGACGACGCAGGGCAGAGGTGTCGCTTGTGTTAGTGTTTGCAAGCTACTAAGGAGAGGGAAGAAGACTGTGTTCTACGAGCCACGTTGGAAGGTGCAGGCCGGCCACTCCCAAAACAACAGAGAAGGCGCGCTCTACGTGAAGTACTATCCGAATGTTGGCAATCAACAAACGATATCACAAGAACGAAGATAATGAATCGTGAGCAAGAGATGGTTGCGATATTGTCGCTCTTTTCTCGCCTCTAAGCGTCCAAAACCATCGTCCGGATGCCGTTTTCATTTGGCCTTTTGAAGTTGAGGGATGCCGGTATGGAATAGGAAGATCTAGCATTCATCCGCGCCCGCAACATTCTGCGCACAGGCCTCAAGTTCCTGGATTAGCGACGATGCAATTTGCGTAGGGATCAACATACTATTTGCATTTTAGCGGAACTTGGCCAAAATCCAAAGGGGACCCCCTTAGAGAGGTTATTCCCCCATACAAACCGTGATCAGGCTCTGTCCGGGCCGTAGAACTGGACCGCGTTTCGCTTCCTACGTAGACTTAAAAACTTCACGTTCTTCGGTCCATATCGCTGCTGTTTTCAAAGCCTGCCCTTCCCAGGGTATCTCTCCGCTATTGTGAACCTGGTTATAGTATAGCTGAATGCCTAGAATCGCAGAGTTTGAATGCGGCGGTGTTAGGATGTCTAAGAAGGTCGCTGCTCGGATTAAGGAGGATACCAGGAGAGGTTTTAGAGGTCTGAGAGTGATTAGCGGGAGCTAGAAAGAGTGCCTGGCGATGTCTGGCCCTGTCCAAAGAGCAGAATCTACCTGTAGGTCTCCGATCAGCAGAATAGCATTCGCGGAGCCTACGATGGAGGAGGATGTCATACTACATTTAGGTGTCCAAGAGTGGCACTGGCCAAGGTGGTCTAGGAGAATAGGGTGGTCTGGAGGAGATACTGCCTGAGGGTTCTGGACCCCCGATTGCGCTGTTTTGCGCCGCTCTGGTTCCTGGAGATAGCTTCTCAGACAAGCTAGATGATTTGGAGTGACAGCGCCTATTTCGCAAGGCCTTGGTGGTAAGGTTTGGGGCGGCTCTGACCTTGACGGCGTCGTCGGCTTCCCGGTGCAAGATTCTCTAATGCCGGGAGATACTAAGCGTTACAGTGCCCGCATCGGATCATTGAAATGCTTTAAATTTTCATCTTTCCGGATTTTCGGATTTTCAGGACTTCATGGGTAGGAATCTCCCTGTTAGTCGCTGCAGGATTTTTGGATGCTGTTTGAACCGTCTTTTGATCGCACATTATGCAGGCTTGGAACTTCTTTCTATATTGCTTCAGCTACAAGAATCCCATTTGCCATAATACATAAATAAATGTATCATATGCCCTCTCAATTCCGCTGCGAACCGGCCTCCCTTGGGACTTGGATATGCCTAGCAGATGTACATATTCATCTGCGGCTTCACTCAGCCCCACGACAAAGCTGCTGCCCCCAAGCTTCAGAACTGGGATTCTCAAAACTTTGTCTGACGCGGGCGTAACGGAAGAGGAATGTAGAGGCGGCGTGAAGTCTAAGGAGCTTGAGGATGGCGGGGAGAAGCTGCTGGCAAGCTAGACAAAGGGAGGCGAAGTGAGCGAGAACACGGGTTCTGGGTAGCCTAGAAGAGAAGAACAGAGGTACGTTAGCAGAAGTTCTCACTCTTAGGGAAGCTGGGGAACGTAGAAAAGTGGTTAGCGTTAGGCGAGCGGACAAGAGGAGAACATTTAGGACTGCGGTTTGCGGTGGGATATTAATCTTTATATAGAAGAGAAGCTGGAGGTTGAATCTCTGCTAGATTCTGTGGCTTCTGGTGTATCTGTGGTGGCTCTAAGTCGCGGGAGAGAGTTTGGTTTCGGACAGGGCGGGCTAGGAATCCGCGCTAACGGCTAAGCCTCGGGCAGCTGAAGACCATTGTTAAGCATAATCTACTGCATCCTCACCACCATCAGCGCTAGCTTCTGTCTTCGTGTCGTCTGTGGTCCTTGAGCCGGCAGCGCCAGGTTTGGTGGACCCGTCACTATCGCGGACGTCTGTCTCCTAGTCGCTTCTCCACCCTCTGGATCAGCGTCGCCCGCGCAGTCTTCTTTAAGATACGGCAGAGGAAAGGGGTGTTGCCAGCGAAAATGTCCGCTATGCATTTCGCAGCGGAAAAAGATGCGGTGCAGGTATGAACTCGATGGATCGCGCGATCCCAATTAGGTAAGGTCCGGAGCTCCATCTCTTTGCTTCATCGCCAGAAGTACCGTCAGCCAGTGCAGTCTCCGCTGCTGCGCCGTTGGAAGGGACTTTATCCGGAGCAAAAGGATCCAATCCTTCTGCTCTTTCAGTTATAAATCCGGTAATCCGAGATAACGAAGCACCGTTTTCGTTTCTCGTCCACCTCGATCCGCAGCGGTGTTGATGATCTCTGCCACTAGGCACAGGATGTCGCGGTCGTACGGAGCGTTCCTTTCTTGCGTCGGTCGTCCCGGCTCAGGTGTGCAGAGAAAAAGAAGAGAATGGGACATTAGAGTCAATTCCCAATCCAGCACCATCGTCCCGCCCAAAAGGGGATCCCGACTACCGCAAGAAGAAGGGAAGGCAAGCGAGCTCAAAAGCCCAAGCGAGAACGGGGCCGGGTCAGGAGCAGCAGGTCCCGGCAAATCAAGGGTCAGAGACCTTTCTCTCACCTAGCCAGCGAGACGTGGCAAGCGGTGGACCAACTTTACTTGCCTCTATCGAAACCGACCATCTCGCTTCGCCCGCGGTTGCAACGCCCAAGAAGCGGGGAGCAACAGCGCAGTCAGCAAGCAACCACAATCCGGAGGTTCTCTCACCCCCTCGCACCGACCGCCGCAAGTCCGTCGCTTTTACGCTGGACACAAAAACCGTCGACGGTAGCAGCGCTTCGGATCTCTTCAAGAAGTGGGCACAAGAGCAAAAGGGTGCGAGCGCTGAGTTTACTCCAGCTAAGCTAGCGCAGTTCGTACCGCCTCCTAAGGTACACCCTGCCAATAGCATTCCTCCAGCTCAAAGCCCGAGCACCAAGGAAGAGAAGAAAGCGAAGACTCCTGACAGGAAAGCGCTGAAACAGACTGAAACAGGTTCACCTGCGCCGGGTAAGGGAGCTGAGCGGTCTGCCGATAAGTCCAAGCCACCACCTGGCTCAGCATCCAAATCCAAGAAGGACCCGTCTCTCTATCTTTCGTATCTTACTCAGTATTTCTCCGATCGGAAAAACTAGAAGTTCAACAAGGCAAAGCAAAACGACGTTCTTAACAACGCGCTCAACATATTCCGCATCCCTAATAAGCACTTGGAGGCACTGCTTGAGTACGTGAAAGGACTAAAAGGCGCTAGTGTTATCGAGCGACTGAAAGAGCGCTGCAAGGCTACAGTCGAAGAGATTGACGCGGCCGGCGAGCAAGAGGCAAGCACTATGGATGACCCAGAGGTCCGCAAAGCGGCTAAAGACGAAGCTCTGCAGGAGCAACTAAGCAGGCAAAAGAAGCGAAGGCAGCTTAACGCTAATATCAAGAACATGCTCAATCACCCTTACTTAGAGGGCTACATTCGACGGCTTAAACGTCAACGCGCGGAAGCACTACTCTACGCACTGAATCTTGCTGCGCCTGCCTCTATACAACGCACGAACGGCGCAGCAACCCAGCACGCTACGTCTACAGTGAGCACTGCGCGTACACAGAAAACACCGCGCAAACGCAAATCAAGGACAGAAGTGTCGAGCGAGGAGAGCAGTAGCGAGAGCAGCAGCAGCAGCAGCAGCAGCGAAGAGAGCTCGAGTTCTTCAGAGTCGGAGCCGGAGTCAGGGGAACGCAGCGAGTCAGACTCCGATCGGGCCACGGAAACTTCCGCCCAAGAAGATGAGAGCAGTGACGGCCAGGAAGACTGCTCAGCCTCAGGTTCGGACGGCGAGCGTGAAGACCTTCGACGTGGAGTACCGGTCGATATTTGACTTCGTAAACTACATCAAAGAGCTTCAGGATGTTGGATACCAGGCCAATTCCTAACATTACTTGCCCAGGGTTTGTAAAGCGTTCGAAGCTCGACCTCGCGCCCCCGCAATGACCAATTCAGTGCAGGTGTCCCCAAGATATGACAGCGACGAGGGTGATTTGGACGCTTTCGAAACTATTTTGTTTATGCCATGCAAGTGGTATCGCGGGGATGACGTCCAGAAGGCTCTTGAGGAGTTGGGAGATTTCCTCACCGATCCGACCGTTATCGGCCTCACGAGGGTCAAAGTGTCACCCACTCACAGCTAGGCAATGCATGCTGCATTTGAGAGATGCTTGAACTCTATTCACCGGCGCACACTGTTGAGGCATTCGGGAGAAGGCAAGGAACCGTCGACAAGTACACTGACCGCCCTCTCACCGCGCTATGCCACGCGCGCAGGCCAACAAACACCGACCCCCTCAAGGATAATAAACATCCCTCCCGGTCTCAACATCCATCATAAAAAGATGCGCATCAAGTATCGCTTCGCATCTCACAATACCTTCAAGGCTCTCAAGCGCCTCCCCAATATCGTCACGCTCCCAAACATGCGGCTCGCGCCAAATCCCCTTCGATTCCACCTCCGCGCCACCGTCCGCCAACTTCATCATCTCCGTAGAACCTTCAGGATTGCGCATCTGAAGACACGCCTTATACAAATTCTGCGGCGCTGCCTCTCTCCTCGCTAAATATACTCTTACGTCCGTCCACGTATGGCGGGCTGAAGGCCTTCAGGCTCTAGGATACTAGTTTGGCCAATCGCTGACCTTGGTTCACTCCTCAAACGTATCAGTGAAAGGTATGTATAGTCATGTGAATTCATTAAATCGTCAGTAATAATACGCACACCGCCTCAGAAGAAGAAAAGAATATACACATCGACATGTCACATCTCGCAGTCTCCCAGCCATCGTCAAACGCATACAAAGTCGTACAAATACACAATGCCACCCAAACCCAATTCGGATAGAGCAAAAGAAATACGAGAAGTCGTCAGTGGTATATCGCATCTCCCAGCCCAAACACCATTCAATGAAGTTCCCATGTATGCCGCCGTGAGGCCCGTCCCTTTGCCATGATCCCAAAAGCACGAACGCGTATCGTACCCACCACACTATGCAACCATTCGCTTCAAACTCCCGAAGAACCCCTTCATTGCTCCGCCATCGTCCTTCTTCTTGTGACGACTGCTCCTCTCTGTATCGCTCCTCCTTGGCCTAGGCGGTCGCTCCTCTCCATTGCCCCTCGTTCGTGGTCGGTCAGACTCCGTGCGTCTGCTCACTGGCCTCTCTTTCTCCGTCACGGAGATACGGCGGGATTTGGGCCGATCGTGCTCAGCGATCGAGACGCGCCGACTCGTGCGACGACGCTCGCGGCGCTCTGCCGAGGACGTAGATTGGGTGCCAACAACAGCAGCTGCATCATCGATCAGTACGGCGCGAGGGCGCTCTCCCCCTTCCACTTCCGTTTCCGGTCTGGGTGCCGGGGCCGGATCTGGTTCTGCTGGCAGAGGAGGCTCGTCAGCAGGTGTAGGAGCTTCATGGCGGCGGGAGAAACGGGCGACCTCAGACTCCTCCGCAGCACGACGAGCAGCGTCGCGAGGTTCGGGTGCAGGCGGTTCAGAGTCCCGTGCCTGATCATTTGATTTGTCGTTCGAAACTGTGAGTGAAGGCGCTTTCCTGTCACGTGCCTATCGCGCCTGCCTTCAACGCTCAAAGGTAAACAGCGCCCTCAACTCGAAAATTTTTTTCTCTCCACCTCCACCACCTCACCTCAACAGCCCTCTCTCCCGTCCAAACAGTTCCCACCGTCAACCATGGTATGTATTCCCTTCGTGTTTTACTCTTCACCTTGCCTTGCCTCAAAACTCTGTTTGTGTCCCCAGCGGCGAGCTGGCGGATGGCTCACATCGACCTGCATCACAGCGGCTGAGCTACTCCTTCTAACGCATTTCTTTGCACTACTCGTCTTACTGCAACGTCAGCCGAACACTGCGTGCCCTCATCTTTTACTCTTCCGCACAGCTGCTGACGTTATTCAAGAGCCTCATTCGTAACATCGAGCACGCGATCACCTTGCTCGGCTTCTGCAAGGCCGACCAGCGCGCCCATCTCTATGATATCGGCTTCGACGTCGCTGAGTCAAAAGACTCAGCGTTCACTGAATACATCATTGTGGTGGGGCACGATGAGGGGGGAGAAAGACATTTTTTTGATAAAGAGGGCATCGAGGCTCCGGGAGACCATGCTGACGCGATGCTGTCCGAGGTTTGCTGCTTCAGGAGATATAACGAGGGGCAATCCAAATTCGATGAGGCACTGGCGATGAACGACAACCTCAAGACGTACAAGGCATTCCCGAATATCTCGGTGAGCAATGCGGTGCGAGACTTTATTACTGATTACCAGCCTATCCGCAAGGAGTTCGTACAATACGACCTCTTGGCGGGTCGCCCGCTTGGATTCCATACCGTGACGAAATTCACCAAAAAAGGATACGCTAAGGAGCATAATCTGTTCCGTGGCGCCCATGACGGTTGCAACGACGCCGTCTTCACTTTGCTGGGCCTCATATACATCATTCTGGCAGTTGCCACAGAGGACTATGGCTACGAGATTTCTTCAGAGCACGAACCTTATGCATTCCCAGTCAATTTTCGATTGATATCCGTGGACTGTGAGGGTCCTTGGGTTCCCAAGTTCCAGACACGCAATCCGAGAACTCGGCAATTTGGTTTCGCTGAACTCCGAAGCGTAGACATCCAACATGTCCCAATCAATAGATGGGTCGAGAAGATGCGAGGTGTGTCATTTCATTTCTATCCTGCCTCAGCAGCTAACAGTCCTTAGTTGCATCTTTCTTGAATGCGGAGGCCTTGCGACCGCACGCATTCTGTCGGCCAGGACCGCCGATGTTCGCACCACGGCATACTACTCTCAGCGGTGCAGCCCTCAAGGCTGCTGTGGAGGGTTTCTTTGCACCTCGCCCTCCTCCCGATTCGTACCATCCAAAAGCTCTCGAGTTTCAAGTGCCGCCGATCACTCAGGTTCCCGAGGCTGCAGACACAGGAGCAGAGGCCGTCGCTGGGGCAACAGTCCCAGCGTTCATTCATACAGGAGGGAAGCGGAAAGCGGACGAGATTGAAGAAGAGGAGGTGCTGCCTATCGGTCACGAAGAGGGACCAGTAGCTCTTGAGGCGGATGACCGGCAATACGAGTACGGCGATGAAGCTTCTCCCCACCCTGAAGATTTGTTGTACGACGACCCACCGCCGTCCGGCATCCAAGAAGAACAATGGATCGCGGCCTTGGATGATAGCGAGCGGCAGCTCATCAAAGATGCTCTCGCTGGCGTTTGCTATGATCACCTCAATGGACACAAGTGCAGGCGCTCGAAGAAAAATCGAATTTGCCCCATGCGCGCGCACATATGTGCAACTTGGTTCAATCATCAATACAAGAACAAGGATCGGGACCAGCCAGCATGTTACGAGCCGTGGCAACACAAGAACTCCGATGGCCGTTGGATGGTGCATATAGCGCCGTCCTGCCTATCCATATACTGGGATGAGCTTTGCACTGCGGATGTCTGCCCTCGCGGTCATACAGAAACACAGATTCGCCGGGAAGCTTTCCGCCAGGGGCGAATTCTGAGCAAGGCCAACGACGCTGGTCAGCTGTTTGACCACATGGCTCGCAACAAAAAGCTCAAGCTTGCCGGGAAGCCACGGGAATCTAACCGTGAGCAGAAGGCTCGAGTGCGTTCGCTCCCAACTTGTAGCAATTGCGGTACAAAGGGACATGCGTTTGCGGAGTGCCGGAATGAAGATGGCGGCAACTACTGCACGCGTTGTCGCATCGGTGGCCATCGCTTTGATGATTGTACCAAGCCCGGAGGGGGAAATTGGTGCGAGTATTGCAGGAAGGGTGGACACAAGAAAGCGAACTGCCTTCGCCTGGGCAACAGTCCTGGCGTTCATTCATACAATGGTGGAGGCTATGGTGGAGGCTATGGTGGAGGAGGCTCTTCCTATCGTCCTTTCCGTTACTAGTATCATGTCGGTAAGGAGTATTTTCATAGATCTAATCGGCAAAATTTCTCTATCAATAAGCGGGACTTTGAAACTTCGAAACTTCGAGCTCTCAACACCAAAATTGCATCACGGCGTCGCCACTCCACCACCCCCACGCCAACCGCAACACCAAACCAAGGTTGCAGAATATTGCGGAATCCGCTCTGTCCATCCAAGTATCTCTGAGGATCCTAGCAGCGCAAAGAATAGCGAACAAAGGTTGTGGGGTTATGAAAGGTACGTCTGCTATAACCTACTACTTTCCTAAAAATACCCAATTCTGCCCGCTTGCTTCCAGCCATTGCGACATCACAATGCGCGCTGCATTCTCCTACATCTTCTCGCTATTCATTCCTATTCTGTATATTCTTAGCCCTAGACACGTTCTGACAAGCTCGGTCCAGATTTCTAATACCCATTACCCGGCCGCTAGAGCTCCTCAGCACCCCCGAACTTCTTCCTTATCCATCTCAATCAACTCAGCGACCTAAGCGGACAGCCTTATACCCCTAATTCCTCATCTGCAAGCTTTAGCATCTAGAGTTCCTTACTACATTTATCTAGCGCAGGAGATCACCCCCTCAAGTAAGCTACAGAAAGTCTACGCTTAGTGTTAAGCAACTCCAGCTCTTAGAATCTCTAACTCCTTAGGTTACAGCGGAACCAATCTTAGGGTTGCTTCTATCCGCTGGACAAAGTCCCAGCTCAAAGATCGCGACTTTAGAATTTTCGATCAGAGTTATTATATTTCCTAGCCACCGCCGCCTCCAATGCAGCTCCTGTAACATTATTCCATCCATGCATCCTGCCGCTTCCATACCACAATGCCGCGAAACGTTAGGCTCAAGCTGGGCCTGGCAAGACCTTCGACAATAACGTTTCTAAGCCTCCCACAAAGCGCGCTCGAACGACAGCCTCATACAACACGATAAGCAGAGAAGGAGGTCTTGGCGAAGACCCCATTTGCGGCACCCCACCACCCCAGATCTCGAGCTTGCCGATTCGATGAAGTCGTCCAGAGTTGGCTTGACCGAGTGGATAATGGCGGCGTTGCGCATGATAACCCTGACGACGAGGAGGTCCCGCAATGTAATCCTAACTACCTGCATAAGAAGCAGTTAGAAGAGAATCCTAAGAGGGATCTTAATTTGTCTAGATTCGCCGACCCACAAATCGCAATTGCCAGATTAGGCAATTTGGGTGGTTCTGTAATGCCTCAGGCCAACAAGCCTGACACGCCAGGCACTCAAGGTCCCAGGGCTTTCTGCCACCTCTTTGTGCAATGCCCGCTTGTTTTCTGCCGCTTCTATCAGGGGTGGAACAATTTGAATTACCGTCAAGCACTGCATCCCTCTCCCGTATATCTTGCAGTCTCAGCTATCCGTCTATTTTTACAGTTTCTCCGCGTGTAAATCGCTCGCATCCGATCGTGAACGTAGGAACGAGCCACATCGCATTATCGTGAGCGTAGGACGGTTTGACGTGTCGAAGGCGCTGAGCGATGACGGGTCTATTCGGATTGCGGTGGTAGCCGTGGAAGGCGTGTGCTTTTCTGGCATGTTCGAGCCGGCATCAGCCCCTGCCGGTATGGCTTCAACAGCCTGGGACTCCGCGGGATGCTGTGCTGCAGACTTCTGGCCCATATCCGTTTCGGTCTCTTTCTGGAGATTCTTAGGAAGGCCGAGACAGACTGAGAGTATTTCGGCGCTGTTCATGGTCAGTCCTTACTTATTCTTGTACCAGGTTGCCACCCACTCCTCGGACATTTTGATCTCTTCCGCTATCTTTTTCCGTTCCGGGGCTTCTGGTGTAGGGTTTTGCTTGAACTTTGTTTTCAGAATCTCTACCTGGTCCCACGTGGCCCACGTTCTCAGGACCCTCTTTCTCGAGGCCCTCTGTCTCTGTCCCGTTGTCTGCGGCTTTCCAGGACCGCAAACCTGTCGTGTGAGCGTTGGCTCGTCGGTGGGCAGCGTGGTTTGAGCCGACACTTGGTGCTTGCTTCTGAACCTCGTAATAGGCCCGTTGGACGAGCTGCCCGCGTTACGGAAGCCAAGGCGTTCTTGCGCACCCATGTCGACGGCTTATCCGTTTGCCGGGTGGGTTTTGGTGGGGGAGGGGGGAAGGAATCGTAAGTGTCAACCTTGTCGAGTTCATATTAGCGCCGATATTCTCTAGGCTGGCTGGTTTGAGATCCGGCCGGCGCGCAATTATAAAGGCATATATCAGGATATGGTCGAGGCACAGTGTTCAGCGCAAGTGTCGGAGAAGGTGAGACTGGCTTCGGGAACGGGAGACACGAAGAGGACGCGTGCGACATCAATTATTTCTCAGCCTGCGACGGCATCGCCAGCCAGAATACCAAAATGGCCGACGATCTCCAGCCCTCAACAGCATTCCACAACTTCAACCTGCCCCACGGGAATGATGATAGCGATAAGGATGGAGCGGCCGATACCTGCAATAACGACTCCATGGGAGACATACTTCCAACTCAGCCTGGCAATGAGCGACTCATTGAGTACGAGAAAGGCTTCTCTGATAACGAGGGGTGCGAGGACGCATTCGACCGCTCCTTCCCTGGCCCCAGGCCCGCAAAGGACAAGTCATCCAAGGGCAAGAAGTCTCCGATGACGAAAAATCTCCCGAGCAGAGCCCGAAAAGCAAGAAGCCTCGTGTGCTGTCACTGTTCGGAGGCCCGATCTCTCAATCAGATGATGTTGGCGACGATGCCGACGATGAGGCGCCACCCAAGACCCCAGGGCAGGGCATGGATATGCGAATGTCCAGTCTTACGCTCGATCAACAACAAGAAGAAGACAACGGTGAAGGCCCTTCCAGACCAAGCTTCAACCTAGCTGCTACCCTTGGACTTTCAGACAACGGTAGCCCAAGAGAATCACCCGCACCGTCGGCCGTTAGCATGGAGGACGAAGTTCTAGCTAAAGACCCCGTGGTCTTATATAGGCTGCGAAAGAACATCGACAGGCAGGTTGTGCTAGTTACGTGGGTTAACGTTGACCAGAGCGGTAACTATAACCTGGAAGAGGAGCGACAGAAGGCCAAGGCGGCCAAGGCAAAGAAGAGGAAAGGCAAGCAGAAAGCAGTGCTAAATAAGGGGCACATTAAGTGCATTGTGCGGTTGCTATTTAAGGCAATTAGTACGGTTAAGAATATTACCAACCGCGAAGAGAACTGGCCAGACAACTAGTCTATGATCGATTCTGAGGATAAACGCGAGCTGCAAGAATTTAGGGCTTTCTACCGCCGCAGGACGCCTAGCGTAGAAGCTCAAGTCCCTATCAAAGATCCAAGAGGCGAGTATGATGATCTCACCGGACACCCCGTGGCTCAAGGCTGTCAGGATTGTAGGCGGCTTGGCCAAGACTACTCTATAGTCGAGAATAGCGGAATGCCGTGCTCGCAGTACTTTAAAGACAGAATTAAGTGTTACCTAATCGCTAAACAGGAGTAGCGCGTCGACCTAAATAGCATCCTGTACAGACTAGACAGGAAATAGGCTCCTTGCACCTACTGCTAACTTTACAAGAAGCGTTGCTCGCTTAAAACAAAGAAGGACCAGCCGCCGTGCAAGTACTGCAAGAGGAACAGGATTAGCTGCACTTTCTACGACTTGCCGAACCTAGAGATGCCCAAGCAAGGTGGCAAGAAGAAGGCGGTGCAGGCTAGCATCGCTAGTTCGTCTGCTCTAAATATCGCGCCGGAGGTTTCTATGCCAGGCTTAGACTTCTTCGACGCCAAGGATCTCGCGGACTTAGAACGAGAGGATAAGGAGGAGTTGGTCCAAGAAGAGACGCCAGAAATAGAGATGGAGGATGCCGAGGGTCGCCGCGGCATTTTAACAGAGATCCAGACCTCTTTCGCTTATCCCATCAAATTTAGCACTTTGGAGAGTTCTTCAATCTGCAGCTTCTGCGAGATGCCTTCGTTTAGATTTACGGGTCATTTCGAAAAGACGGTCCATGTCCTAAGATGGAACAATGGCCTTAGATACACGGAGCTCACAGCCGGACACCGCGAAGATAACGACGCAACTATTATGTGCCAGGAGTGCGTCATGCAGAGGGTGCAGACGATATACTGCCCGGCCCACGGGATCAAGCGAATCGCACCCTTCCCTCCCGTGGACCTCAGCACTTCAAGCCGCTCCACTCAACCTCATAACACCTCTAGCAGACTATCGCTGGCAGATCGCAAAAAATCGTTAGCTAAAAGAAAAAATTGCTTAGAAGCGCCGAGCCGTTGGAACCTCGTCTTGGAGAACTTGGTCTTTGCGTCTATCGTGTAGTGTTCCTGCTCCACACGGTAGCCGTCTTGCCGTCTTGCGAGGAAGAGACGAAGAGGCGGGCGAAGGCGGTGTAAAAGCGCTTGAATTGAGAAAAGGTGTTTGGGTTTGTTTTCTCTATAGCACAGAACGGGTTGTCACAACCTTCGCCGCAAAACAGCACCCACAGCCAACAATGGGGAGAGAAAAAACAGGTGCAAGTGTTTGTTTAGCGCCGGTAAGTACACTGGTACAAGAGTTTCAGTTATGGACCTCTGGCGGCCACAAAAAAAAAAAAAAAAAAACCCGGTTCCAAGAAGTTGTTAAATCCAAGCACGCAATTTCCTCGCTGATAGATGATAGGCCTCGATCTCACTTAATCATATCTTATCAACATATATTATGGCGTACCTGTGCTGCTTGCTCGGGAAATGACGGGCGCACACCCTTTCGGATCAATCTACCAACGCGAATTGAACGCGACTTGACAGGCCCTTGAGTGAGTCTACGGCGGGTAGTGTATGATCCCACGCTTTGTTGGCTTAGAAACTTCATTCTGTTAGAGTAACGAGTGGCAGTCAGGCCATTCTATTCGTGCGGCTTGTAATTTGAACGTAAGCGTACCATTCAATGGTATCAATAGGTAGTATTGGGGTCTGTTCCCCCCCCCCCCCCCCCCCCCACATTCGGGTTTACCACCCTAGTTCAGGAACACTATGATCGCGATAGACTGACCGCCTTGTCTGTGATAGGATGGCCGAGACTGTTGAGGATAGCACGGTAATCCGCACTGTAAGCACCTAGCCAATTCAGCTCGCCTATGTCTCCTTCCATTTTTTGTTTGTTTTCATCCTCATCCCAATCGTCTCATCTGCACACTGTGATCTTCTTTCGCGAATCTCATATAGAGGAAGACACCCAGCGGCCTGTGACGACCACTCCTTGGCTCTGACACTCTTGTCTCGTACCAAGGATCACTACCGATGCGACGGATAGGCATGCCATTCTAATATCTTGGCTGTCGTGATCTGGGGAGTCTTTTCCAATCCTCAAATTTTGCTCCAAATGGTAGGACACCACGGTGATTTCCCCATCTCGACCATACAAATGAACGCGAGGTCGGCAGCGAGCGATTTGGAGGCACAGAACATGGCCCTGGTTGCTGACTGGTGGCATCCAGAGCTACGGAAAAGGTTATTCTTGGGCCTGCTACTAGGAGCGCCTTCTCCAATCATCTTTTTCCTCCAACTGTATGCCCTAGCTTCGGCGGTCGAAGAAGGAAAGGCTCTCGATGGTGGCGTGGTTGGGAGCCTCTTCATTGTACTGGCCGTATTCGAAGACTTTATTCTTGTTGTCGGACTTGCGGGTCCCTTCTGCGGCTTGTTCGGCGCCTGGGTCGAACTGAAGCCCCGTAACCACTGCATCAGTTGCCTAATCCTACTCCCTTCGGCGGGCCTAGCAGTGGCATATGTGTTCATGATCACGGGCGATGAGGAGCCGGGACACAAGCTTGTGGACCTATTCAAAGCTGGCGAGCTGCCAGAGTACATATGCTACAGCTTCGTGGCTGCTATCGTCTCGACCATCCGGTTTTTTCTCCTATTGATTCTCGGATTTTGGGACACACCAGTCGGGAAATGTCTTGGATTTTGGGAAATGATTGCCTGGGAATGTGTTGGATTTTGAAAGACTCATTGCGCCCGCACGACGAAAGCAACGAGATCTAGGGAAACGACCACCGAGCCCGCGGGAACGGCCCGGCCCGCAGCCTGAGACGAGGTCGACGAGAATGTTCCCAACTCTGACGTCGACAAAGAGCAACTGTCCAGGCCCATAGAAGCCACGAGGAAACCCGTCCACAACAGTTCCCATCAGGTGGATGCCGCAGCCGATGCCAACAAGGATGAGCGGCAGGCTGCTCAAGAGCCCCCGAGATCTCCCCAGGCTTCACTAGCCTCAAGCGACCACATGGAAGGTTAGGAAGCTCAGGATTGATCGCGTACTCGAGACTTGGGTACATCATGTCAGCCAAGCCAGCGGAGCCAGCGCCAGTCGATCGGCCAGCGAAGGATTTCTTGTGTAGGGGGTGGAGGGGCTAGGCGCGTTAACGAGCTAGCGCAGCCAGGGCCTGTGAATTGCCTCTGCCGTTAACAAGCCAGCGCAGCTTACCGTTAACCAGCCAGCGGAGCCAGCGCAGCCTACCGTTAACAAGCCAGCAGATCCAGCGCCTACGAGTAATAGAGGTAGGATATAATCCTACTAGGGGGAGACCCCCTAGGACCCCCCTTTCCTGCGGAGCTTGGTCCTGCGGAGCTTGTTCGCACAGAGTAGAGAAAGAGAAGAGTTTTATAGAAAAGGAGCACTACGGAGCGGGATATCTTCAACCCGTAAGGAGGCCGTAGGGGGGCCCGTGAGGAGGCCCGTGAGATAAAAAAGGTGCGCTGCACGGACAAAAAGCGTTAACTTTGCACGGCGACGGCAAGGTATACAGAAGGCGGAAAATATACGGAGTAGTAAATAAAGTTAGAGGCGGATTTGACGGTTGTAACGGTGGTATTTTAAGGCCTTCGGCCAAGGTAGGAGGGGAGACCGATCTACTCAAATTATAAGATAGATTGCTAAGCACTTACCTACGAACGGCCCGGGCGCCAGTGCGGACTCATTCTTCCCTTGAGCCAAGTTCGTGACTCTTCGATCAGCAATCGACAGTATATAAGTGACATGTTGCCTACTTTCTTTCTTACCAAGCGTGCACCCCTTAAATCGAGTTCGTGGTGCGCTCTATTACAACATCAACAAACTTCCAGCTTTGAATCCCCGACAGACATGCAAGAAGCTCCACAAACCGCAGACCCTGCCGGCTCAGGAGAGCCTCCCCAGCCACAGCGCGACGAGCATACCCCCGAAACAGACCCCGATCCCGGCCGGCTCGTTTGCAAATGCAAACGCAACACGCCGGAGGACAAGCCAACTTGGAAGAGACCGGCTCGCCGCTTGTGCTCAGAATGTCCCGAGTTATCAGACGAGGAAAGGAAATTCTGCGCCAAGATAATTCGTAAGTCTCTCCAAAAAAGCGCGCAGATAGCCTGTCCGCTAACGCAGAAACATAGACGATTACAAAGAGCGACAAAACGAGAAAGATAAAGACAAGCTCATCTCTATCGACATCCTCAATGAGAAATTCGCGTGCAAAGCATGCCTCGAGATACGAAATCCGCCCGGCGCGCCAGACGTACGAGAGCGAACCAATGACGGTAAGGAGATTTTCTCCAAGGGGTTCCGACTCGAGCCACACATGCCCCGCCGCTGGTATCCAAAAGAGATTATGTACGCGCTGAATGTACTCAACGATCAGTTGACGTATGATAAACATCCTTTGGAGGATGGACATATTTCGAAGAGAGACATAGAGACTGCGGAGAAGCTGCTATGATATGTTAGAGGTTCTTCGGGGAGCTTTGGAATGAGCGGTTTACTTAGAGATGGCGAATTGAACACTCTCTTCACTTTTTGTGTCGCTGTTCCATCTTTGCGATAACGTCGGAGTAGGTGGGTTGGGGCCTTGAAGAGGGACCCTTCGCAGTTGTATGGCTGCTGCAGCGCCTCTACTCAGCTTGTTCTGTGTTTCCATAACTGCCCGGGCTACGATCTTAACTAATCTCGAAACCCTGTGTTTGATGGCAGGACAATGTTAGGTTTTAATAACGGGTTTGCGGGCGGGAAAACGCCGTTTCCGCAGCTCAGTACGAAGTTTCGCGGATTGGATATTGCGATGGAATGAAGAAAAAGCGGGAGGAGTTTGAGGATGGAGTGAACGTGACGTGTATAGCTCAGGAAGGAGTCATACTCGTTCGACTCAGACATCCGTTAAAGACTCATCCGCGTGCATCACCACGAGACTCAAGAATCGCAAAAAACACCAGATTTCAAAGTTCTCGCCTGTTGCGGACAAAGACTTTCGAACTTCCTGATAAATGGCCGCTACGAATATCGACGGCGGTTGTCCGGCAACATCGGGGAAGGACTGCCCGAGTTCCAGATACTCGAAAAAATCGCGTGCATCTGGAATACATGAGAAGGCCGTGTCCTCTTGAGCAGAATCACGCTTGGCTGAAGGTGTTGTGAGGTATAGAAGACCTGGAGGTGTTGTGGATGTCTTCGGTCCCACGAGACCACGCTAATGCAGAGTCGGCCTAGCGTTCTTTTCTGACACTTCCCGCTCAGCCTCACCCCCTTACCACCTCCAACGGCCATCGCCGCACATCACGAGCCACGACCCTTCATTAATTCATCCTCGCAAGGGGCTCACTATCCCACCCAATCACCTCCCTAGCCATCGAGGCGTGTCTTCCATCACATACCGTTTGAGCTCCTCGTATTCGTCCGCAACATGTAACGCCAAGGCCAGCATCGGGGATTTTCTACCCTATTAGCGTGCAGGAGAGACGAGACCTTACATCAGTAGACGTTCGATCGCAATCTTCTACGGACTTTCAAGGCAGCTGTCCAGACAGCTGGTACGCCCCGTATCGAATGCGAAAAAGAAAACGAGATCTTCTACGAGGGGGTGGGGCAACGATGGAAGGTCGAAGGATTCTTGGTATACGGACTTCTCAGGCAGCTCTCAGGTTCTCGCTGTTTCTTCCTTGTCTCTTGCATCGGACTTGGGGTCTATCATGAAGAATACGAAGGGCTGCTTGAGGTACATGTAGGGTGCGTTTCGCCGCGTTGACTAGCCTGCACTCTTTTAGCTTTTCTACGCTCATTCAGTTTGAATTCAGTCCGTTCTTTTGCATCTATACTCTCGCCGGTCGTTTAATTTCTGTCCATAATGTCGCTGCGCGGTTGCTTGAAGTGGGCTATCCCATTTCTTCTATTCAATGCCAACTATGTGGTGGCTACCGAGCTGGTGCCCATACGACCGTCTGGTGGACGACTCAGCAAACGTCAAGAGCCTTCGGGAATGGATTTGAGGAGCGAGGAGACCTTCATGTGGGGTGATGGTAACGACCCGCAGCCGAGCGCATGCTTAGTCTTGACTGATGGAACTACAAGGAAATTCGAACGCCGCTATCGCCACCCTAACGCTCTATATGCCAGGCGAAACGGAGAACGTCCTCTCCATGGAGAAGTTCGACGGCATGCTCGCTTCCGTCGAGTGCAAGAACGACAGCATCGCCATGACCTTTGAAGACGATGCGACTTTCGCCTACGCACAGCGCGTGTGGGATTGGGTCAACGGCGCAGACAACCACAGCTTTGTGATGGTGGCCGGCCCAGGAGACTGCGGCAACAACACCAACAGGATGCCTTTCGTCATCACGGCGCTTCAGTACGACGAAGCAGCCAACAAGGCTACTCTTGCAGCAACCCAGAGTGATTGGATCACTGTTTCCCACAGTTACGATCTTGTTGTCGGCTCTGTCGCGCAAACACCCGGAGACCTTCGGGCACGAGACATATCGAAGACTTCGTCCATCGACTTCAACCACGACCTCACAGGCTCGTTCGCCCTCGGCATCGGCAACCTTGAAGCCCGCGTCGCATGCCTGAACTGTAGCACCGCGGGTCAGTTCGACATGGAATTCAAGATCTCTCAAAAGTTCTTCGTCCCAACCGGAGCATCTATGAAATTCTCCCCCAAGGGCGTCTCCGCTATCGCGCAACTCAAACTCTCGGGTAGTGGAACCATTACCGACTCTCTTACTAAGACCTTCGACATCCTCTCCATCCCCATCAGCGGCATCAAGATCCCCGGCGTGCTGGATCTTGGGCCTTTTTTGACGATTGCTATTGGCGCGGAGCTGTCGGCGATTAGTCTTACCGCGGGCGTGACTTCGGGAGCTACGGGAGCGCTGAGCGATGACGCGATTGTGGAGATGAATCTGCTGGACCCGACGGAAAATAAGTTCTCTGGATGGATGCCCACGATTGATATCCTGGACGTCACGGTTGATGCGTCGATCAGCGGAGGCGTTGCAGTATTTCTGCAGCCGAGTCTGGAATTGAAGGCTGAAGCGCTTGGTACGTATTGGTGCCCTCTTAGACTAAGAGCGGTCCAAGCTGACGAGTGCACAGGCAAGGGCTTCGAGATCGGTCTGAACATGAAGATTCCCAACATCAATGCTAAGCTCACAGCGATCGCATGTAAGTGTCCCCTAATGCGCCACTTTGCAATTCCTTCCAACGTATTAACACATCGGCAGCCCAATCCGGCGCTTGTCCCAAATCGGACCCTAAGACGACGCTCGGTGTAAAGATCGGCACGAACATTGGCGCTGCTCTCAACATCAAGGCTCTAAAGAGTGGTGACGAGTCGGACCCACTGTTCACGTTACAACTCGCGGTAAGCCGGCCTCGTGTCCCTTCATGCTATACATTGCTGATGCGTCGTGATACAGGCTCTCGACAAGCCCATCGCAGAGGTCTGCTTCCCCTTCGGACCTGAGGTCGGCAGTGGCAATTTGACGGCGAGGTGGATAGGCCATCCTCATAAACGCCTGCCCGCTCCCTTGTACTGAAAGAGCGCTCATCGCACATGCGAATCTTGTTTTGATAGCCTTTTCGGAGATCTAGTTCCTCTAGAGTAGATTTGGAGGATAGACAGTGGAAGACAAGGGGCTACAGTGATGCCGAACGGAAGTCCCAAGCCGCCCACCTGCTCAATAGAACTTTCTCTCGACGAGCTTTTGAATTGTCTCGATCGTTGTATGGACTGAAGGACTCCAGGGGTGTTTCAGCCTCGTGCATGTTCCGAGGCGTACTCAGCCTCACTAGCGGTCCATGCGTCACCCTGATCGTGGGTTGCCTTCATTGCGAAATGCAGCATGCCACCTACCAACCCCACCCTTTTCTGGCACCTGTCGCCTCGATCACGTCGAATACCTAAACAACGGACTATCATCCCCCATCTCAGCTAACTGCGCATCCGTATATTTTTCCCTCACCTCTTCCACTGGAATCTTCGTCCTCTTCGCATTAATCCTTTTCAGAATGAAGAAATACATAGCCGGCCAAACGATACCAAAGACACCCAGCATGGAAATACTAATACCGAAGCCGACGGGGTAGCGCGGTGATTGACTCGCAATATATATGTTAGAGCCAACAATTCCGCCAAGCTGCGAGAAGGCGATCATGGCGCCGATGCCGACGGAGCGTTTCATGGTGCCGGCGAGATTCAGTGCCGTCCAGGCAGTCACGGCGGGAGAGATCGGGTAGAGACCGCCGATAGCGAAGAAGACTCCGAAGAGTGTTACACCAGGTAGTTGCTTGTACCGCACACTGACGATTATAATAATGAATCCGATCATAGCGAGGAGGTTGGGGAGGAGGACAGAGAGCATGCGCTGCTTGTAGCGGTCTGCTGCCCAGCCGGAGAAGACGGTGACGACGCAGGCGAACAGATAGGGTGGGACGGTCATGGCTTGAGCGTTGGCGGCGGAGTATCCGAGATTTTTAATGCTGTGGAAATATTAGCTGGATTCGAGGAGGGAAGGGATGTGTTCGTTCACATAGTAGGGAGGACGAAGGAGACGCCATAGACTACAACGCAGAGGGTAAACTCTATGAGGACACATGCATAGACATGGAAGGACTGCCAACCAATCAGCACACTCCACATTGCACAATTGATAACACGTACCTTAAAGACCTGATGGGCAGCGGTCCACGAAAACTCCTCTTTCTCTGCAATCCCAGACTCGCCACCAGCCGAGAACTTATGGCGAAGAATTAGAAAGCGCTTCTCCTCTGCCGTGAGCCACAAGACCTTTGATGGAGTGTCGTGTATGATGAAGAAAGCGGCGATTGCGAGGACGGCTGAGAAGGCACCTGGAAGGTGTAAGCAGTGGTCATACGCTAAGGATATGAGGCATCGAACCTTCAAGGCAGTAGATCCAGCGCCATCCTCTGTAACCCCATGTACCATCAAGCTGTCCAATCGCATATGCAAGGAGGCCGGAGAAGCCACCAGCGGCCGAGGCCCCCGTGTAAAAGATTGTCATGCGCGTATGGACTTCGTGAGGCGAGTACCTTTGAGGAGGTCAGCATCACCTATCGGACGGCGCGATCAGCGCACGAAGGTTCTCACATACCATGTTGTAAGTACCGCCGAACACCCCGGAAACACACCAGCCTCAACCGCCCCAAGTAGCACGCGGAAAGCCGTCCAGCCCGCGAAGGTGCTCTGCAAAGAAGCGCAAATCAGGATAATCGAGACCGAAAGCATCATCGTAGGCAGCCAGATCCGCGGCCCCAGCTTTTGCAGTGCGATATTCGCCGGCACTGCACCCAGAGAGTACGTGACGAAGAAGACAGACAGTGCGGTATTCCATTGCTGCCCAGACATGCCCATATCTTCGAGCGCGCCGAATAGTTTCGCATTTCCTGAGAGTCGCGTAAATGGCGATTGTCACATACTTATGGCTGGGGTCGATTTACCAACGTTTGTTCGGTCAACGTAGGACATGAGGTACAGAATGATCAATTGCGGCAGCACGCGAACGCTATTTGGACGCCGTCAACATTAGTTTTCCATTTATACCTATGAGTGAGTGCTTACTCGATCTTGCGAGCCAGTTTCTTCATCTTGTCTCCCGTGATGACCTCGCACAGCCCAAGGTATTCGTCATATTCGGGTAACGCTGTGACGGACGTTTCGGGATTCGTATACTTCTCAGAGAGAGGGTTTGACGCGGTCTTCTCCATGTCGGTCATGGTTGCAGTCGCTCACAGGGATAAGTCGAATGCGTGCTATGCGGTAAATAAAGGGAGAATCCGGATGCAGAAACGCCTAGGACATGCGAGGATTATAAGAGTGGTCAGGCCTCAGCAAGTTATACCTGAAAGCCAACCCATGGTGGAGTGTCTATCTCAGCGCCCTCGCTTCTGAATCGCTGATAACAGAGATACCATTCTAGCCACCTGGATACTTGTTTCCTGGGGGTGGAGAAGGGGTAATAGGGCGGCACGTGATGGAGATCGGCTCGCAAATTTGCTGGGCCGAGTTAGCGCGTGAAAAGCGGGTCCGGGTAGTTGATCAGAATTTCCTCTCCAGGCCTAGTCCCGTAGCCATCCGTATCCTCACCGATAGTCCGGGCGTCCCCTAGTGGTCGATACGTTTGGGCAAACATGCTTCCACATCGGATAGATGTCAAAATTCCTAATGAGGAAATGATGGAGGTCGAGAACCCATTAGTTGCCCCGCAACTGAAAGGGAAAAACGGAGACCGTCGGAAAGACCCCTCTGTGTCGGCTGATGCCGCCGAGGATCGTTGTTTTAAACACTGAACTTTTGTGAAATATATCCACCTCCAACTTTCCGCTACAACGGTCCACTTGAAGTAGCAAAGGCCTCGGAATTTGCCGAGAGTGCCCGCTATACACCGTTTCGCTCAATATATCAGGAGGCTCCACCGTAGCTTCGGCACTGTCCATCCTCGAGGAGCTGATCCCGAGTATTGGATGAGACAAGATGGCTCGAATTACAATCGTGGGCTCCGGGTAAAATAATTTTTTTTTTGGATTCGTCGGCATCGTGAGTGGCGAAGCTAACAGTGTATTGATAGAATCACCGGAATGGCGATAGCTAGCCTGCTGTCGCGGAATCACGAAGTTACGATCGTTGCGAAGAATCTGCCGGGAGACGAATTGAGCAAAGAATGGGCGAGTCCATGGGCCGGCGCAGTGTTTCTCGGTCTTGACGGCTCCAATCCTTGGGAACAGAAGATGCAGCTCGACTCCTTCGCAGTTCTTTGGTCGCTTGCTGTCTCCAATCCGGCATCGAGCATTAGACGTATCGAGATGAACGATTTCCACGATGATAAGACGATCGATCAGATATGGTACAATGGTAAGATGCCTCAATTTCGGGTCATGCGACAGGATGAGCTCCCCAAGGGCGTCAGACTCGGCATGAGCTACAAGACTGTCGTCTTGACCCCGAAGGTCTTTCTTCCTTGGCTAAGAAAGAGGTTGGAAGACACCGGCGTCGTATTCAAACGTGTGCACCTTGACTCGCTTGCTGAGGTCAAGACGCAAGGCCATGACATCGTCGTCAACGCCACCGGTTTTGGACCGAAGTTCCTGGAAGATATCAGAGATCAGGAGGTACAACTGGTTCGCGGCCAGACTGTACATGTGAAGAGTAACTACAACAAGATCTACATGCGCCATGGGAAGGACTATACCTATGCAATCTCCAGGCTGGATGGAACTTGCGTCCTGGGTGGTATAAAACAGTACGGGCAAACGTGTCCCGAAGTAGATATGGACCTGCAACAAGACGTGAGTATTCGTGCCGAGCTTCTATCTGCATGCTGATGGCGGTGCAGATTGTACGGCGCGTCCACGAGGACCTGCCTGAGGTCTTTCCGGCGAAGCTCTCCGATTACGAGATTGTCGGACATAACGCAGGCATCAGGCCAGCGCGAGCAACAGGACTGAGACTAGAGAAGGAGGTGATGAATGACGAGAAGGTCGTCCATGCGTACGGTGTTGCTGGCGGGGGTTATGTGTTTTCATTTGGCTTAGCTAGGGCGGCCCGCGACCTTGTCGATGAGTATGTATACCAGTTGCCATTGGCGGCAAAGCTGTAGACGTTTGGCTACAATGAGCTCTGTCGTTTGCAGATTGTGTAACCCCTGAGGCTGATGACTCGTATGCCTCGCCTTCGAGCTGCGATTTCTCCTTCCACCGTAGAAAATCCGACGCATTAATCTAGCCAGCCATAAAGAATCGGCAGCAAATGTTTTGAAGGATCTCGATGGCTTCAGGTCGGGATTCAGCGGAAAAACAGGAATAGGGAGGGAAGTACGCAGGTGGTAATGATGCTCCCGCTATGTATGATGAGGGCACGCAGACAGTCGAGGAGGACTTCAAGCGCGGAAGCATGAGGAAACTGGCGGCTGGAAAGGCTATCGAGGGACCCCAGGAGGCCAAATGCGCAAGCAAACCGAAGGTGGTCGGCCGGGCCCAACCGGCGAAGCAGAGCGCGATAACGCCCCGCACAGACCGAGGCTTCCAAAGTTTCCTTATCTCCACGTGACTTCATTCATGACGTAAGCTTCACGGCTAACCTCGGTTCCTGTCCCGCTTCTGCACTACTCCTTCGCAATCCAAGATGCCTCTGCACGATCATGTCTGCGCGCAATGGGTCGCTCGTTTTCAAGCCTTTCGTCCCCAAAGGGGTCTCTCAAACCCTCAAGCAAAAGAGAACCCGTCCACAGGTCCCCGATGACCAACGCAAGAGGGCCCGTCAAGCATGTGAAAGCTGTCGCCAAAAGAAGGACAAATGCGAAGGCGGCATTCCCTGCCATCGTTGCGCTCGAGAAAGCGTCGCATGCCGCTTGGAACCAAGCCCTCGTATGGCCAAGAGCGAGCGCACCGAGCGTCTCGAAAAGGTACTGAAACATGTGCTGGGGCTTCCATCACTAGACGACGAGGAACTTCGAGCCCTTTCCGACTCCATAGGTGCTCCGGACGGCTCCCAAGGCGACGAGAAAGAGCTAGGCACCGAGAATTCGCTTCTTACATTTTCACGCGAGCTTGAACAAAAGCTCGGAGATGCTCGGAAGGGTGATCACGAAGATGAAGATGAGGGCAAAAAAGACGAGGAAGGTGATGCGATTGCCACATTCTGTCGGAGTCCATCGCCTGTAGCCGCTATCGGAAACGCTATGCTAGACTCGGCTCTGGCGGCTCTGCCAGGAAGAGACGTGGCGGAGCATTTGGTTCACGTCTGCTTCAAATACGTCCAATGCAACAGTTTTTACGCCCACGAGAATTGGGTCCTCGAGCAGCTCCAACGCTGCTATGCAAACGCTTCCACCCTATCGGAGCGCGACATACCCACCATTGTGACGCTCATGATGATGATGGCTCTGGGATCACAGTTTACCTCTGATCTTTCCCTGGAAACCCTGGGTGCCGATTTCTACGAGCGGACGAAAAGCATACTACCCGAGCTAGTCAGCCGCTCCGATTTCGAGAGCGTTCGAGCCTGCCTCCTTCTAGCAACCTATCTCTTCCCGGTCAACCTTCCCGGACTTGCCTACACCTATCTCGGCCTAGCATTGCATATGGCCATGCGGAATAATATGCACAAAACTCTTCAAGACGAAATTGAAATCAGAGTCTGGTGGACTCTGTACACTTTTTATCAACGCGCTCGGATTTTTCATGGCCGCCCGAAGGCCCTCACGCACATGGATGTCGAGGTGCGCCGACCACGCCCGGTCCCAGAGCTTGAGCCAGCGGACGGCGTTTCAAACTTTCGCAACCAGGTACGTAGTTTGCGGTGAGAAGTCTAGCATGTCTTAGCCTTCGCTGCGGAAAACTCCTCCTAGAGACCTTCGGTAGGTAAAGACTAAGCTAGGCCATACTGGACTGTTAACATTTTTCCTCCTTGATTTAAGGATTTGCTAAGTGTATGGCCGCCTTTGTAGGTCGCTCTAATTGAGATTACTATTACGCTTGAAAGTGTTGCGGACGAAATGTAAGCCTGATATGCCCCAAGCAACTCTAATTGCTCACACTACGCAGCGCATCACTTCGGAAACATTGGAAAGCGGTGCACGTTGCCAATCTTCTCACGCTAAGACGAAAGCTCATCGATTTCATGGACGAGATGCCTAACTTAGCGCATCAAGACCAAGGCGCAGCTAATATAGCTCGACTTCGACTGGATATCCATGTCTACCTTCATTACTGGCACACCCGCCTATTCCTTGGTCGACCCTTCTTATTGAAGCACTCAACTTCAATTCCAACAGTCCACGGGATGGCTTCATCTCCGTCGGCGAAAAATCTGTCTGCTGGAGATCTACTGGCGCGGGACTCTGTGGATGCGGCCGTCAATATCATCCAGCTCTGCCAGATGATCCACGATAAGATTGGTCTTGCTATAGCCTCATACGCCACCGAATTCACATCCTGTCGAGCTGCGATGTTAGTCCTTGTAGCCAAGGGTATTACCGACAAGTCTACAGCACTGAGCGATTTATTAGCCCAAGGTCTGGCAATTATCCAGCAAATGTCCACTGGCCAAGGTCAGGCAAGCGCTGAAGCCCGCGTTATCGAAGCCTTACAGCGCGCCATCATGGGACTCCACAGAAGAAAGGCATGCCGTCCGGCTGGCTCTACAGCCCATTCGTCGGATGATCCACCATCATATGATAAGTTCAGGGAGTGGGAGGAGCTGTGGCAACGCTCTAGTATGCCTCCAAGCGAAGCGCCAACCCATAGCGCCGTTAGCCCCGCAGCACTTATTAACCACATCAACGTGCCTCAACCATCTCTTGACACCGGTTGGACACTGGCGCCTTCTCTTCTGAACGATTTTGGTGTTTGGGGCCAAGAACCGGACGATGTGTGGAGCACAATTTTGCACTTGGACGAGTTTAGTCTTATCTCTTGCGCTGACACTGTTTTCGAGCCTCCCGAGCCCTCTACTCACGATTGAACATGGCGTGATAAGATGGAACTGGAAGTCCTTTAGGGTACTATCCCTTCTGAGGTCGTCCATGCAACTGATAATAGAATACTGAGCCGAGTTTTCCTAACAATCCTGCCTGGAATGTCGCGGGTACATTGGGCTGCGAACCTGGGCTAGCCGAAAGTTCCTTTGGTAGCGCTCCACCGGTAGGGGTCGAGTTCCACCACGTTTCCCTGCAAAAGGGTCTTAGCGCGCGGCACTCTCTACACTCCCCCTGTGCATAGCCACGCAAGGGTTGCACGTGCCTACCGTTGGTCTTTTACAAGAGAAGAACATTTTGACTATGTGCACAGGGGGGCACTCCAGCTTGCACTTCCTCACGTGTGAAGGCTTTCCTCAACCTTTCCTCAACCTTCCGCTTTCACACATCGTACACACAATGGACGCCAAAGCTTCAAGAAAAGCATAATACCACCACCGAAGAATGTAGAGCAAAAGAAGCAGCGCTAGCAGAAACACCAGACACAGAAAGCCAAGCTGAGCTGCCGACGGTCCACATCGGCGGATGGCTGGAGACCTGCTGGTTTGGCTTTCAAGCCTGGGTCAAAGAGATTGAGTTCGGACCTGGATTTATCGTGAAAGAGTACGTCGCATTGCTCCCTGTTGAACCGGAAAGTCTTCCTAGTAGCTGACGGATTGACGTGAAGCTCACACCGTGACGTCGTCACCGGCGCAGACAGCGCATTCCGCGAGAAGGTCGAGAAGATAGGCCTAGGTGACATATCTATCAGCGACGCCGCCGTTACACGCCTTGGATCCGCTTGTCCCTCCCTCAAGTGCCTCTGCCTCGAAGGCGGCGTCCTTCTCACATGAATCTGCATCCATTCTACACTCCTCTCCTGCCCTGACGTAGCCTACATACCCATGACAGGCCATTGATGACGCCTCGGCTTCCTCAACCCACTTCGCTCCCCTCTCCACCGATCCTACGCGCGCACATCCTCCAAACTCCAAACTCCAAACGATCGATCTGCGACGCGCTATATCCAACGACCAGCAAGACTGACATAAGAAACTAGCCACAATTACAGTGCTGGAGAGCAGAGCGAACACATTGGAGGTGATGTTCAGCGTCCCACTACGCAATAAGAGAAGACGTTTAGGAATGGAAAGGAGAAGCGGGAGCGCATAACGGCGAAGAAAGCGCTTATGGGGGTGCTTGCTGAGGCGATGGTAGCTACAAGTATGGCGCGTATGATAGCGAGAGCGAGGAATCGTTGACGAAGAGCGAGTGGAGTGTGCTGATACATAGGAATTAGCGAGGGATAAGGGTGGCGGCTTATGGAGAAGGTGGGCACCCAAGCGTGTTCCTCAAGAGACGTGGCGCTTTCCATGACAGTAGATGTTGCAGTCGTTACAGTCGTTGCGTCGGCTGCGGGCGGCGCGATAGTTGACATGAAGATGGACACGAGGTCGGCTGCTTCGCTGTGAATTTTGTCCTGCGTTTCATCAGCTCAAACTCACAATATCGCACTAGAGAGAGAATTTCCCAGGATGGGGGAAAGCCAATGTAGACCTTCACGCTCACCCTTGCGTCCACAATACCACGACAATCCCACATGGCGCCCGATTCGACACCGCTAGTGCATTCGACTCCGTCAGCACTCGTATGTTTGCGCAATACTACACTGAGAGCGATGCACGTCCAGCGAGCGTCAGTGCGCAGGCGAGTCACAACCTGGAGCTTATCTTCGAGCGCATTCACACCGGAACCCGGAGCGACATGATCAAAATATACTATCGCCAGAACAGAGTCATCATTGCAAATGTTCCTTCCGATCTTCAAATCTCTGTCCTCCTGCGCCATTGCAACGACATTGCAGCAGAGTGCGCTCGTCAAGCAGAAGAAGCAAGAACCCACCGTCGCGCGACTCGTATAGTACTTGATCATGTGCACACTCTCTGTGGGGCATTTAGTCTTACTGTTATGACTGTCCGCTTCCGGCGCCTCGTGACTCTGACAGCGCTGACTCCTGGATGAGCAATCGAAGGTATAAGAACAAATTCTTCTCCTCCTTTCACTGCCATTTCCTACTTCAAATCTACATCACGAGTCTTCGCCATTTCAAGCGCTGATTGCGAAACTTTCGTCTTCTGAAGCTATCAAGCCGCCTTTACTGCAGTATCCAGCATTCTTTTCATTCTCACGGTCGATTCTGAGAAGCTCTCCCATCTCCAACTTGTCAAAAGTTCGTCAATCGGACTATTAGGCGCCTCAATGTCACCGCCCACGCCCTCAAAGCTACAGGCCGCGAAGGACTGGATGCGTGTCACCGAGCTCAGCCAACGTCGCACCAGAACAGCCAGGGCAGGCTCGCGAAGCAGTAAAGGAGCAGGAGTTACGGGAAGAACAGGCTCGAGTTTGGATGGAGGCCTATCGGAAGGACCAAGAACAGCAGGCAAAAGAGGAAGCGGAAGATACGGCAAAAAGAGAAGCAAAATATGCGCTGAAAAACACGCCGCCAAACTCCTGGCGGGAGGTATCTTCTGAGCTAAATGACGAGGAGAAAGCCCTTGGTGAGTCTTGCGTAATTGCGAAAGCCAAAAAGATCGGTGACTAACGTTTTCTGAAGTTGCGTACGAAAATGACTTCATGTACAACGACGCTGTGGGCCGCACGATCTACATGTACAAAGGCGCTGAGGGCCGCAGCATCTACCCGCGCAAAGGCATTGAGCGCTAGAATATTGAGGCTCTGGGTGTTGAGGACCGCGCTTGGGAGGGCCGCGATATGAACGGGCGTGCTTTTGCGGTCCGCGACGCTGAGGTCTACTTCCTCGAGGGTGACAGGCGAGGACGAGCTACCGCCTGTGTACAAGGCCGGCCTCAAGATGCGGAAGGGAGCCGGGGGATCAGGCGGTGACGTTTCCGAACCGCCGACAATGACGATCCCGAGGTGGGTTAGTAGCGTAAAAGCTGCTTTGGAAGAACTCAAATACTGAATGGAGATTGAATGGAATACTCGCGGTCGTCCTCCAAACTGGTAGCGCCCGCGCCTCTCTTGTGTGCGGTTTGCAGACTGCGCCCGTGCCGCAGGAGGTTGGGGTACCTGTAGAATCCTGTATGCTAAGAAAATGTATCTATCTGGCCTTAATCCATCTGCTCTCACACCGGGGATTCGGAATGCTAAGGATAGTTGCACGGGTGTCGCGCACTAGTAAGCCTCTCTAGTACATCTTATTACAAACGGCGCTCTGTCAGCTATAGGCGCGCTAATACACCTCGTACGAAGGCCGAATTGTCTAATCCTCGCGAGGGTGTTAAAAAACTAGTGAATTATATTCTTTGCTAAGACGTTAAGGATGCGAATACGTCCGGAGATACACATAGCACTGCTCAACGCTCCCACCTATCCTCATAACTCTCCTTAAACAGATCTCCCCCGCCCTCACCATCAGTATCCTCAATCCCTCGCCGCTCCTCGGCCTCTTCCTCTCCGTTTCCAAGCCTTCCTCCTTCAGCATCGACATCCATCCTCTCCACCCTCCGCTCACCTTCAGGGCTTGGGGACAGGCCAATAGTATGCGAGCTATCAGGCGTTGAAGACATAGTAGGACTCTCCTCGCGACCAATCGTATGCGAGCTATCAGACGCCGAAGAAGTATTAGGACCCTCCTCGCGACCAACTGTACACGAACTAGCTTCCGTCTGTGTCCGTCTTTTAGGATGGCCTATGGTGTGCGACGACCCAGTTAGAGCAGGGGAGAAACGAGCCGGAGAGCTTGGGGATACGGACGAGCGACCGAGAGTACGCGACGAAGTCGACCTGGTGTCTGACCTTTCATACGTGTACACGGTGTTGATGTAGGTCTCGGCGGCGATGTGGACTCTGATACTGTATTGGAAGTTAAGGGCTCATTATTAGCCGAATTCTCGCTATCTTGCTTATACTGTCCGAATTTGCGCTTGTTGTACATCGGAAGGCTTTCTAGAGAGCCCTCAGTATCTCGATCTTGATCTGACGTTTTGGTTTGATGGGGTGCAGATGGGCAGAAAGGAGGCATGGGGGTGGAGTTGTCAGTGGGGTATTTGGGTAGTGCGGAGGTTTTTGTGTGGTGAGGAGGGAAGCGGAAGGGCGGTAGAGGAGGGAATTTGTATGCCTTGGCACAAGACGTAGAGGTCCATGTCTCAAAGGGAAATTTCAGCTTCGACTAGATGTCTCTGGCAAAGGGTGGAAGACCGTAGGAAGCGCTGGTCGTCACAAGCCGGAGTAGAATGTTGTAGAAGCCTACGTCACAGAGTAGGACATGAGGAAGATTGTTTGTCTAACCTTACCGCGGATTTTGTCTACCTTTTCAGAGACCAGAAACATCAGACCCTATTCTCAGACAGGCACACTATACAACTCGCTGACTCTAATTCCCTTACGCGCCCATAACCGCATCCTATCATTAGATTAGCAACACGTAAAGCACGACAACAACGTCGGAGCACTCACCCTAGCGATCCGATACAGCGGCTTGATCCCTGTCCAATACTCAAACTGCCACACGCCCTGGCCTACCAGGACCTCCAACCCATTCACCGTCTTCCAACCAGCATCCATTGCCATACGAATCAGTGGCGTAACCGGCGGCTTATACGCCATCTCTAGTAATATCCTCTTTCCATCCGCCGGCAAACTACCAATAGGCACCTCACCACCCTCCTTCCTCTCTTTCTCTTCGTCCTTCGCTTTCTCGAAGAGCGCACAAAGAGTTTCGCGGATAGAAGAATCGATGGGCTGGTCCGCGGGGATGGTGCCGATCGCCAAGGTGGGTATCTTTTCGAGGTTCGCGATGTAGGACTGAGAAGGGATAACGCGGATGTCGTAGGTGGCGGGGAAGTCTTGGGCTAGCTTTTCCATTTTCTCGACGTTCCTGCCGAGGATATAGATGGGTGAGTATTGCATCTCGTGGAGCGCGAAGATGGCTGCGCGGGAGGTGCCGCCACCGCCGATAACGAGACCGGATTGCAGGCCTGCGCTTCCTTGGGCGCCAGCGTTGCGGAGTACGAGGACCATGCCGAGGTAGTCTGTGTTGCGACCGACGAGCTTGGTGACTTCTTGGCCGGTTGCAACGTCCACTTGGGCTTCGGGAACGATAGTGTTAAGCGCGCCAATGGCGTCGACTTCTTGGCCTACACTGTCGAGCAGGGGTCGAACAACCTGCTTCAGCGGAATGGTAACAGACGCGCCGCCAAAATCTGGGGAGCGAAGGATGCCTTTTATGTCATTAACATCCGTCGTTTCGTAGAGCCCATAAGAGTGCGGAAGTCCTGTCTCTCGGAACAAGGTGTTATGCATAGGTGGCGAGCGACTTTGCTGGACCGGGCTCCCGACGATGCAGAACTTCTTAGGTTGAATCTCGCCAATCAGTGCGAGGCCTCGGCGGATATCAGTGGCGGAGAGCTGACCGGGTGCAGTGGCAGAAGGGAGCAAAGGATGCGCGACTGGCGTCATGAAGTTGTTGAGAATCCTGCTGAGCTTGCCGTGTTCGCCCATGTTGATAGCGATGACAGGAATAGGATGCGAGCTCTCAGCCCAAGCTTTGAATTCTGCGAGCGCGAAATTGTCCTGCAGCGTCTTTGCCATGCCGACGAGCTTGATCACGTTTCCGTACTGGAGAGCGCGATTGTAGAATGGTATCCACGATCCGTTGCTCCATGAGAGTTGTCCTTGTGGGTCATGGTGAGAAGCGATGATGTTCGTGAAGCCTCTATTCTCCGAAACTTCGCGGAGGATCTCTTCGGGCATCGTCATCTCTAGATCAATAAACTCGACACCTAACCGCAGAGCCGTACGGTAGAGTTGCTGAGCTTCGTTATAAGCATCATCCGGGAATCTGCCGCCTTGTGCTTTCGTCCGTAGTGTAAATATTACCGGAATCGTTACCACGGTCCGCAGAAGAGCCAGCTGGTCAGTTACGAACTCAGGAGAGGGCATTTCGGGTGACTTTGGATCTTCCAACAGGTCGACTCGCAGCTCTACAGCATCGGCACCCACTATAATTTCCGGGAGCTTCTCGACCCATGGGAGTATCTGAGGCGCTGATAGGCAAACGAAGAACGACTGCTTCTTCTGCTTTAGCGTCTGAAGCGCCGCACTCTTTCCGGAGATGAGATCCAGGAACCGCTCAAAGTCTTGAAGCGTAGTTGCCAGACCGACGGAGTCAACGCTCTGACTATGGAATTGGTAGTTGCTGCATTCCAAGTACCACGGTTTCCGACGGAGCCACACACCCATCATGTCCTCGACGTAAGCAGGCCGCGTCTTGTCGACCTGGAGGAAGCTCATGACCTTCGCGATATCTCGGGAAACGAGCAGCACAATGCCACCGTCCTCCTGGTAGTCTTTGAAGACCTTGCGCGCCTTTGGGATTTCGACGATTCCGCCACCGCACGCGAAGATGTGCCCAGTCGGTCGCTCTTTCATGGTCTTGTGCAAAAGCTCCAATTCCTCGGCACGGAAGGCATCCCAGCCCTTGGTTCTGATGATTTCTGGTATGGTCATGCTGAGATGTTCTTCCAGCGCTGTATCGAGATCGACTAGAGGCCACCCTAGGATGCGAGCTGCCCAGCCGCCTGCGGTGGTCTTACCGGCGCCTCGCATACCGATGATGAAAATGGACTTTTCCCGCGTCTTGAGACCGTGATGGGTAATCTGCCGAACAAGCGGTGGCTCAACGCCACCAAGGTTAACCTTGAATAGCTGATGGAGATTGTCCCAGTAACCCGGCCAAGTTTTCCCTGTGCAGTCCTTTTCAAGGATCAGTACTGGTTCTGGTGCGACGAGAGCGAGAACTGCGAAGCTCATTGCCACACGGTGGTCATCGTAGCAGTGAATTCCATCTTTGCGCGCATCTAGCTGATAGCCTCGACCGTCAACCTCAATTCCATCATCGAATTGCCGACATGTGACACCGAACTTAGCAAGCTCATCTTCCATAGCTTGTATGCGGTTGCACTCTTTCACACGCTGGTTAGCGATGCCATATATCCGTGTGGTCGTGGTGGAGCCGTTCGAGGAAGCTACCGCAGCGAGCACGGATGCCGTGAGGAAAGCATCTGTCATCGGCTCCATGTCAACCTCTTTGACAGCTTTGAGACTACCTCTCCGAGGCCCTGTTACGGTCGTGGAGGTCTGTGTCTGCTCAACCTTGCAGCCCATCGGCTTCAAGACCTCAATTGCAAAGCGTGCGTCTCCTTGGAGGGATGCAGAGCCGATGTTCGGTACCGTGCATGTCGTTCCCGTAATGGCTGCAATAGCTAACGGGTAAGTGGCTGAGCTAGCATCGCTCTCTACGATGTATTCGGCTGGGTTGGTGTACGGCTTGCTCGGGATGTGGTAGGTGTTGGGTTCAGACTGTGACTCCTCAACCTGCACACCGAACATAGCCATCATGGCGATGGTCATGTCGATGTAGGGCTGCGAGATGGGCTTACCGCCCACGAGACGAAGGGTGACCGGCTTCTTCGAGTACGGTGCGCACATAAGGATAGAAGACACATATTGCGAGGATACGGTTGCTGCAAGCTCGATGTCACCGGTAAATTCGCGCTCACCAGAGCCAGCTCCAAAGCCGCCACAAGCCGATATCCGCAAGGGCAAGCTTCCCTCTTTTTCTTTGTAATGAACATCAATGCCCATTGATCGGAGGGACTTGACGAGTGGCGCAATCGGCCGCTCCTTCATCCGCGCATTGCCCGTCAAAACTGTTGATGTGATGTCTTCTGAGCGGCTTGCTAGAGCAGCTACGGAGGTTAAGAAGCGGGATGCCGTTCCTGCGTTGCCTAGATAGAGCTCGTCATCGGTGGCCTTCAGGTTCCCTCCATTTCCGGTGACAACCAATTCTTTTCCGTCGTTCTCCCACGAGAAGGTCGCTGCCTGCATTCTAGCCAGTGCGTCCAACATGACTTGCGTGTCATCTGAATGTAGCAGATTGCTGATTCGGCATGACCCGGAACCAAGCGCTGCCAGAACTAGCACTCGATTTGAGATACTTTTCGACCCAGGAGGCGTGCAGGTAACATTAGAATCTGACGGGATCCCGGGGTGAACTGATATGCTGGGCGAGAGAACGATCTTGATGTCCCGGTCCGCGACTGAGCTCGCCTTCTTCTCGTATGTTCTCCCGATCCCCGAGAGAAGGACGATCTTCTTCTGCTTACCCGCATTCTTCTTGTCGACGGCCATAATTTGGATGAGCTCGTTAACGGGACAATGCTTGTGCGCGGACCTTTTTCGTACGGTCTTGTCTGCCAGCGATGTCGGCAGACCATAGCTCGCGATGCACTTGCTCAAGCGAGCTACAGCGGACGGATCCAGCACTCCCAGGTATCTCGCCAGTTCCGCCTCTTTAACCATGCCTATTGCTACGCATTCCCCGTGCAGAATCTGAGGAGTCAGTATGGCCTCTATGGCATGGCCGATCGAATGTCCAAAATTCAGTAGGTTGCGTAGGCCGCCTTCTCGCTCGTCCGCTGACACTACCTCAGCCTTGACTCGCGCTGACCCGAGCACTATGCGCTTCAAAATTGAAGCTATGTTGGTGAAGTCGCGTCGGCCGCCTACCTGCTTCTCTTCGATCGCATGAAGTATCGTCTCGGCGTTGCCCTCGAGCGCGGTGAACTCGTCCTCGTCCCAAATGGCTGCGGTCTAGCACTCTCAGTCCACAGGATCATAACAGATGTTCCCAGCATTGCGTACCTTGACTACTTCAGCCATACCATTTATGATCTCCCTCTTAGGCAGCGACTCCAAGAATTGTAGATCAATGAATATCCTCTCCGGCTGCCAGAACGCTCCAACAAGGTTTTTGCCCGCTGGTGTGTCAATCGCCGTCTTTCCGCCAATCGACGAGTCGACCATAGCCAGCAGCGTCGTCGGCACCTGCACGAACTTGATCCCGCGCATATACGTCGCGGCTACAAAGCCAATCATGTCCCCGATTACGCCTCCGCCCAACGCTATTATGACAGTGTCCCTTGTGCATCCTTGCGACAGCAGCCAATCCTCTACTACGCCTTTTGTGGATCGCGATTTTGAATTCTCGCCGGGCGGTATCTGGTACGTGAGAAGCCGTGGAGCGGACGAAAGCACGGAAGCTTCTCGATTGAAGCTCTTCTCGAAGGAGGGTATGTAAAGTGGGCCGATGTTTGTGTCTGTGATGAGCACGTAGGTTGAAGAGGGGATGTTGGTGAGGAGGTCTCGAGCAACGTAGCTCCGCCATAGCCCGTAGTCTACTACAATTGAGTCCTTGCCCAAGATCTTGACCTTAGTAGGCTCGGCTGGGGCTCCGTTCGTGGCCATGTTGGCGGGGTCTGGTGCGAACTCCGAGGGGGAGGAGGCACTGAAGGCGGCAATCCAGTATCAATTGAAGGGGAGAGAGTCAATCCGTGCAATTGGTTACGAGTGAGGGTATTAAGGCCACATGTTGCTAAAAGGCGTCGTGGAGTGACTCAATCCGGCAAAATAATCTTTCGTGAACAAGGCGGTCAACACTAGCTTGCGCCACACGTCGAGGAGCCGACCAAGCCACAGTGGTCGGCTTAGTCATCTCAGGAAAGATCCGCCCCGCCCCTACCTTTCGTCCCCTCTCGGGCCCTGAACTCAAAAGCCATTATCCTGATAGCTCCTTCTACTTTCGCACCGTCTCCTCTTCGTCCTAATAGCGTGATCATGCCGAGGTGTCGGCTTTGGTTGACTCTCCGGACACCGGGGAAATTCCTGCACCAATGGCACACGAGAACGCCACCGGCTCAATAACTACGGACCTGGAGAAATTACCTTTCCCCGGATTTTCATCTGAACCTGGAAGATGATGCTATGAATCGAGAACCGCGAAGACGAGCCGTTGGCTTGGCTTGGAAGATGGGAACTGAGGGACCCTCGATCTGGGGCGCCCGCTCCTCTAAAGATGCTCATGAGCGCTGTCGCTCAAAGAGCAAGTGTTTCCAAGTCCAGATTCGAATTCAGTCTACATTTTCCAGCACTAAGCGGCATCTCAAGTGGCGCGGTACCACGAGGTGGAAGACTTTCAACGCTCTTAACTTCCAGCCAAAGTAAACTAGTGGACGAAATGCGCCTCTCACTAGCTGTAGCCATCGTCTCAAGCCTCTGGAGCCTGAGTGTCGCAAGTCCGCTTTCGGCCGGCAGCCTCAAGGAGCGAGCGACGACCTTCACCAATCCGGTCCTGTGGGAAGACTATCCAGACCTCGAAGTAATCCGTGTGGGCGATGCGTTCTACTACACCTCCTCAACCTTCGCATTCTCTCCCGGTGCACCAGTCCTAAAGTCCTACGATCTCGTCAACTGGGCCCCAGTCAGCCACAGCGTCTCCACGCTCAACTTCGGCAGCAAGTACAATCTGAACAGTGCGACCGACCGGGCTTACGTTAAGGGTATCTGGGCGAGCAGTCTCCGGTATCGCGAGTCCAATGACATGTTCTACTGGATGGGGTGTGTCGAGTCGGGCAAAACGTATGTCTGGACTGCCGGAGGAACTGGGGCGGGCAAGAATAACGGCGAGGTATCTAACTGGAACTGGACGGCCGCAGCAACCATCAACAAGTGCTATTACGATAACGGTCTTCTAGTCGATGACGATGATACGATGTATGTGGCCTATGGGAACACGAAGATCATGGTTGCGCAGCTGAGTAAAGACGGTCTTTCCGAAGTCAAGTCACAGCAAGTCTACGTCTCCTCGGACAACGCATACATTGAAGGGTCGCGCATGTACAAGGTCAATGGTTTTTACTACATCTTCGTCACCAAGCCAGCAAACGAAGAGTGGGTGCTGAAGAGCCAGAGCCCTTGGGGTCCCTACGAAATGCAGGTTCTTGTCGCTAGCATTGCTGGTCCTTTGACGAGTGCTGGCTATGCGCATCAAGGTGGCATCGTCGGCACGAAAGACAACAAGTGGTACTACGTCGCTTTCATGGACTCTTACCCGGGCGGACGCATTCCAGTTGCTGCGCCAATCACATGGACTTCGGACGGCTGGCCGCAACTTGTCAAAGACGGCAGTGCTTGGGGGAAAACTTACCCGATGCCCGTCCAAACCACCAAGACTGTTCCGTCACCCGTGGGCACAGATAACTTCGAAGGATCCGCCCTCAGTCATGAGTGGGAGTGGAATCACAATCCAGACAACAGCAAGTGGAAGCTCGCAGGTGGTCTCCAACTCCAAACCGCCACCCTCACCAACGACCTCTTCACAGCCCGCAACACGCTCACCCACCGAATCATAGGCCCCAAATCCTCCGGAACTTTCCGGCTCGATATCAGCCAAATGAAAGACGGCGACCACGCCGGCGCCGCCCTCTTCCGCGACATCGCCGCATACATCGGCATCCACAAAGACGGGTCCTCCGCTAAGCTCGTCATGGTCAACAACCTCAGTCTCAGCACAACCTGGGCTACGAACGCCACCGGCACCGTTGCAGCGACAGGCCCAACACTTGCTTCGGGCACCACGGACCTGTGGCTGCGCGTCCAAGCAGATATAACGCCTGCGTTTGGGTCGTCAACACAGCGGACCACGACGTTCTGGTATAGTACTGATGGGAGCAAGTTTACGCAGTTGGGGTCGCCTTTCCCGATGACAAATGCGTGGCAGTTTTTTACGGGGTATCGGTTTGCGGTGTTTAATCATGCGACGAAGGCTTTGGGAGGTTCGATCATGGTGAAGAGCTTCACGATGGAGAAGCTGTGAGCGCGCCAATGTTGAGAATGTAATGGAGAGTGCAGGTAGAGTCTCTCGCCTCTCTCAAGCTCCGCTTGCGTCGCTCCATAGTCGTCTTTATCTAGCGACACATAACTCGATCCTCTCTCTTGCCTTTTGTTTCATCCATTCAATCCTGCCATAATCCCCTTCATTACACATAGCGACTGCAATCGCAAGATCACCTCCACTACAAGGCGAATTTCGTAGCCTGCGTTGCCGATGCTCCGCCAAAGCGCTACCAGCATAACCCGTCAAACTCCCTTCGTTCTAGCGATTAGCGATGGATAGCGCGTCAGAACCCCGCATAGATCCCAACTACTGAAATCTGAGGTAACGAACACTTTCAGGCGTGCACCTAATGTATGGTGTTGGAGGATGAGGGAGAAACCCAATCGCAAGCCATCTTGATCCAGTTGCATTCGCCGCGTGATGTGCAAAAGGTTAAGGGCGGCGAGTAGTGGACGTGGCGCAGGTGGCTAGTGGGTTGTGTCAGCAAATCTGACCAATCAGATACCCCTATCGAGCCCCGGTATGCAGCTTCTTCATTCTCCTCCATCCCCTTGCGCTCGGATTTTGAGCTCGGATCGTCGGCAGTATTCCGCATGCTTGGTAGACTCGTAGATATCTGGGCGGAAGGGGACAGTGTGCGACTCGGGTAGCGAGAATCCACTTCCACTCTTGTAGCTTGAACCGACGAGCGTCCATGAAATCGATCGGGATGCTCAGACTGACAGCGAGTCCATCATCTTTTCGAGCGAACAGACTACGTCATTATAGACGGCAGCCTGCAACCCTTTATTTCCGAGTTGAGTTCCAAAGCCGAAGTTGCACTGGAGGCATTTCTGGGCGAGCTTTTGATACTCCGGTCCTAGCGGAGCCCGAGCGGATGCGAGGCGTCGCGCAGCAAAAATCTCGTTGTTGAGATCCCTTGATGTCATTTTCTCCTCCAGAGGTGCCCAATGCGCGATCTCGAGCAGAGCGACGCCGAGGAAGAAGAGCGTGGTGTTGTTGATGCCGTAGCGGACTTCCTCGCTTACTGCTGCTTCTTGGGCACGCTCCACCCCGTCCATCGCCAGAGTGTTTGCTCGAATGGATGAAGCTATTTGAGAGCTGAGGTGGAGGGACTTGAGCGCAGCTTCGTCGAAGACGCGTTGGCTTCCGAAGTAACTCATGTCTCGGAGCCGCCAGCGTTCAGGCAGCCATGGAGTGTCGTTGAATTGGAGGATTGCCAGTGCGGTCTTGTGAGCGAGCTGGAGTTGATCCTTAACTTCCAAAACGTCGTCGGCTTCTTGCCTCATAATGTCGAAGATGGATCGAATGGCAGCCAGGTCACGGCTTGTTGATGTGGCACTGGTCGAGCGCTTTTCCTTTCGAAGATAGAACAAGTGTCGATACATCTTTGGTGTTTCCAGGTAGCCAACACAACGTCTGGCGACGGAACCGTCACATGCTAGGAGATTTCGTTTCAAGTAATGGCAGATGTTCTTGGCTTGGCAGAGATTCAACATCTGTGTAGTCTGCTGCGCGACGACTGCCGAGATGGTGTTGCATAGATTTTGCGGGGCCTCTGTGTCTTGGTCGTTGATGAAATGGACTCGTTTCTTCCTCTTCCTGCATGTCGTTGGTTGGGCTAGGTCTGAAGAAGCTTTCTTTTTCAACACCGTCGAAGAAGATGAAGAGCCCGAGAGCACCGCTGACAAAGGCTCCTGTAAGGATATGGCGGCTTCTTTGGTTTTCTCATCGTACCCTCTCGCATCGATGCTCATCGACTGCACGTACAGCCAGATCGGAGGCTCCTGCATTAACCTGTAGAACGCTTAGTCTTCCTTCCCTCAAACCGTAAGGTATACTGCTTACCCATCAATGAGTTCGGAAGGCGTCTGTTGACAAGATATGGCGAGGTCGAGACGTACTTCGGCTTGGACATCGGCGTCGACGCATAGTTTAGCGTAGTGTCCACGGTGGCTCAGATCGTCGCAGCACCACGCGCCACAAAGAGCCTCGTGTAGCTTCTGGGAAGCCGTTTGGATGGACTGAAAGCGTGTGGGCAACGCCCTATGTCGCACGCTTGTGCCTGATGCGCACGTGTCCTGCTGTTGGAAGGCGCCAATTTGGGCTCGGAGATGGCTTAGGTCGCCGTTCCGGTCTCGCAGTTCAGCCAGGTACCTTTGGTACTTGGATTTGTCAAAGGAGATCTTGATAGCACCGCGCAGGCGTCTGATGGCTGACTTGATGGATTCGCCCTGTGAATGTTGAGTCGAAGCCGGATGAGGACGGCGATGACCTCTTCTGCGCTAGGGCAATGCCTAGGTATTGGGGCGGAGCACGGACCTGTTTCTTCTCATCCAGCAGGACATCAAACTGGTTTAACTCCTTCCTCAATCCCTCAATGATGTCCTTCGTCTCTTCAATGATGCTGCGACATAGCTCGAAATTGTCCCGAAGTGCCGCGTTAAGCCGGTCATTGAACTGTTTGCTCGTCCAGCGACGATCTACTTCGTCTTCCAGCATGTCCTTCACCCCCTTCTCGTCCTCTACCAGGCGCAGCAACAAGCGGCATTCGTTGAGGAAGATACCGTTGTGTACTTTCAGCTGGACCGAGCTAGATTTTATCTCCCTTGAATAATGGCGGAACGTATGGAAGCCGTCGGAGATGGATGAGTAGGCCTTCACGGCTTCAATGAGGAGCGGCAAGACGCCAAAGACGAGACCGGCGACCTCTATTCCAGACATGATGGAGAGCAGAGGCGTTAACGGGCGTGGGCTGAAGCCTGGGCGATTGCCCCATATACGCGTTGAGGTCGGGCGTTGTGCCTCGCCTCAGCCTGCTGCACAGCCCCGCACCGCACCTCAGCTGAAACCTCGTCGTTGCCGTCGCCGCCGTCGCCCTCTATCGAGCTCGCACCTCAGTCAACTTTCAACAACGCACTCTTTCCGGAAGCCTCAAAGGCTCGCCTCCAACCGCCACTCTTCTGTAAGGAACCTGCGTGCTGAATAGCCCAATGGGCGCGCACGATGCAAACACCGAGACGCTGGACGATGTGCACGACATGGCAAGGCTGCGCCACATCAGCGGAAGAGACGAAGTTCAAAACACTGCCGGAGAGGTATCGCCATCGTCACCGACTTCCTCTAGTATGTAGCAACTGATATCTCGTGTCTAATCCTGACGGCAACAGCCTACGGCACCGAAGGGAAGGACGAGGTCCCACCCTCAGGCTCAATACCCGACAAGATTCAGCGTTGGCAAGAAAATGCATCGACAGAAACCGAAGAAGCCGAGTCCGGTATCATTCTGCGCCTCTTCAGAGCTTGCCTAGATGCATTATCATGCATTATCCAACCTCCTGTGGCAGCGACTATGTCAAAGCGCCATAAAAACGCATTACAACGGTGCCATTCCATACTAAAGCTTTGGGCAGACGGGCATGGCGTTTGGACTGGCAAATTGGATGACGTCCTCGAACGGTCCAGAAATCTCCGACACACAACGCTCTCTATTCTTAATCCAATGTGCGGAGTCTTATCGAAGGGTACGTTACTCGACTTTCCACGTTTTGCACTTGCTAAGAAGGCAATAGAGCTTCAAAGAACCGCCGTGCCACTATCTAGCGGTCCTAATATCAGACTCTTGTGTAATACCGCCACAGAGATTTACAGCCAGACCAAGTGGCTCTTGATCGATCACGATGAATGCACGAGCGACAGTGACAGCGACAGCGACAGCGACTCAGATGCCATCGGGGAGAAGTCCGATCAAGGTGGGATCAAGAGGGTTGTAAATGACGTCAAAACATACACTGATTGCCTAGTGGATCTGGGCACTGCGCTCGACTGCCCAGCGATGGACCCTGACCAGGAAGATGAGCCGAGTCTCCCGCGGAGGGCACGTGCCGCTCACGATTACTACGCAGACATCATCTTGGCCAAATTCCCGAAGGTGAATGCTAACCTTGCTGAGCGCCTTGGAAAAGCAAATTGGCTTCGCTATCTGCGCATGCAACAAGAGCGGGAAAACAATGCACACCAGCAACAGGCCATATCATGTCCCACACGTTCCGAGTTCCAAGACTCAGGGCTGGGCACCTCAATACCCTCATACGCCGAGACAGTTCTATCCTTCATGACCAGCATAAGCGGTGGGAAGCGGGTTCCAATCCCACCCCTCCCAGCAGAAGCGAAGAACGGAGCGCAGTTTGAGTGTAACGCATGCAATAAGCTTATACGAGCAAGAACAAACCGCGATTGGAGGTAAGTGTATTTGTATTGAATGCGTGAAGCTACCCGTTCTGATCTCTCATAGAAAGCATCTTTTCCTCGATCTTCAGCCTTATGGTTGTTTCTATGCTAGCTGCCGCTTTAGCGCAACACCTTTCGCGGACCGTGAGCTTTGGAGTAACCACCTTGCACTCGATCACAAGCTGGGCCCTGATTGGTCATGCATCCAATGCCCGCTGTGCTTGGAGCTCACAGAGTCCGGGAAGAGCGCTGTTCTTACGCACTTTGCTAGGCATATGGAGGACATAGCCCTTGCCGCCCTACCGCGCGAGGTCGAGTCTGAAGCCGGATCTGAGGCGGAGTCCGATTGCAGCGCCGCGACGGACCAGAATGCCCACATCGCGGGTGATCTTAATTTCAGTATATTCCGGGCTGAGAACGAGGTAGCATTCGGCGTTGCGGCCGTGGATGAAACTAGACGCCACCCTGAGAAGAGTGCTCCAGCGACGTCGGCAGCGCCACTGGCTCCTCAAGCACCAAAGCCGCCAGCGGCCACCCATGCACGGCAACCCACCCAGGACGATGACTACAGGCAGAGAGACAGCGGTTACTATGAACAGGAGCCCGTCAAACATACTTTACACCTTGAGCAACCGCTTCTATCATCAGAGGAACCCACCGTGAGGTATACTCGCACTGGTCGCATATCGAAGGCAAAGACGGGTATGAGGGTTCATAATTGTGAATGCGGAAGATCGTACACGCGCGCCGAGCACTTAAGAAGGCATCAAAAGAACCACGCTCAGGACGCGCTCTTCTGCCAATATCCTGGGTGTGGCAAGTCATACTTTAGGTTGGATCTGCTGCAGCGACATCAGGAAAGACACTCGCAGGCTATTCAGAGCCCTCAGCCTCCAGCAGTAGGAAGGCGTCTTTCTATTACTATCCCTAACTCAACTGCATCCCACGATGACAGCGGAGTCCCACTCTCTGACCTGGACGAAGAACCAGTTGACAGCCCAGCGGACACTCCAGAGATAGCAGACCCTTCTCCCTACGCCCAGTATCCCACAGGCTAACCTTCGCAACAACAGCGGGTACCAAGCATCCAGTCAATGCTCCAGCCGCCCATGGCAGCATATCAGCTCCCACACCAATGAGCATCGCTTCAAACTCCTACTTGGCTTCGGCCCTCTTTCAGCTTTGTTTCTCGTCAATTCTTACGACCCTCACGACAATGATAGTACGCGCGCTGAGGTTGGTAGCCTGTCGACTCCTACATGGGAGGCGTGGGCGTCAGGCACAGCCCAATAGTAAGGTGGATCCATGGATATCAGAGTTGAAGGAAGCCTACCTAGCTTGGCGACATTGGAATCAGCGAGCCACAGATGTATCGAGAGCTCTATTTCTTCAGCCACACTCCATATCACGATCGCTTCCGATTCTGAATGCTTGACCTGGGGATGCTCCAAGCGCAGTACACAACCGACTTGTTCGTGGTGATGAAGGGCTAGCCACAATCCTATTGGACGTCTTCGCGCCTCAACTGCCGAGAAACGAGCTTTGTGAAAGCGAACGCACTCGCATTCACTCGATGTAACACATAGGTAGCGGTTTCGGTGTCGCCACCTGTTCGACATTTGAGAACCAACAGTAAGCGAGCCCCTCTTCACAGCCAATTCCGATTGCTTCCCGTCAGTTTTCCCGATGTGGCTATTATTTGCGCAGCCTCATCCTGTGAAACGCTCTGTCCTACGCGGTGCCCGCACTGCCGCATAGACGTGTTTATCGGCTCGTACCTTTTCTATTCCTTCGCCTCACCAACATATGTTTCATTCTCCTTCGTTGCATACTATCATGAACCGAATCAAGCGCTGGTATCGTATCCTTATTCCAGTCGGCATCTCTTGCTCTGCCTTGATTTTTCTAGGTGTCCACTTGCGTCTGGTTCCTGACGTACAATTGTTCCACCTTTCAGAAGCTTCCTTGCAGATAGACAGCGTTTCTTCCCTGCAGTCACCGGACCCAATCAAGTCAGAGACATCGACCTTACCAACAGGTAGTGCGCTCAGTCGCCCGACAACGTGGCAATACGATCCACTGGCCGATGCCGCCCGCTACGGACTCTCCTACGCGCAATGCAGCTCGGCATTTTCAGATCTGTTCAAGGAGATAGAACGTTCTGTCGCGCACAGAAGGCGGATCGGAAATGTGAGGCCATCAGACATTGACCTCGGGTGGAAGAGAGCCTCTGTAGTCAAAGCCATGATATATCACCAAAAGGTAAGGTACCACTCTTCACCACCGCACAACATATCCGATTGTCATAGGAATTGAGGAACTAACTGCTTTTCCTTCGTTATTCTACAGCTTTATATTCTCGAATCGAAAGTCTTTGGCTCAGGGTACGATAGCACCCGCGCTCTGGCCATACTGCACCAGATCGACCGCGCGATTACAGCGAGTCCCGAACTATTGCCGGACATCGAGTTTTCTTTCAGCGTCGATGATATCACCGATTCAGCGCATGCCCACCATACAATCTGGTCGCTTTCCCGACTTTCGATTGACGAAGAAACATGGTTAATGCCCGATTTCGGTTACTGGTCCTGGCCACTCGAGCTTGTCGGCACGTATGAGCAGATCCGTGTCGAGATCAAGGAGAATGAAGCAAGATGGGAGGAGAAGCTTCCGAAGGTGTTATGGCGTGGCGCGGTAGGCACGAATAAGGTTCGATCTGTGCTGCTAAGAGCTACGCGTGGTAAAGAGTGGGCAGATGTAGAGCAGGTCAAGTGGAAAAATCGAACGGACCTCAGCGATGGCTCTACGGAAACTGCGATATCCATGGCGGGCCACTGTGCATATCAGTTCCTGATCCATACTGAAGGCAAGTCTTCCATTCACGTTGTGGGACACAGAACGTCATAGCTGACAACAAAAACCAGGACGCAGCTACTCCGGCCGAGGAAAATACCTCTTGAACTGCAACTCAGTCGTCATCATGCACAAACGCAAGTGGATCGAGCCGCACCACGACCTTCTCGTTCCCAGCGGTCCGAATCAGAACTTCGTAGAAGTCGAGCGCGACTTTTCCGACCTCGAGACAAAAGTTGAGGAGCTGTTGAAGGACCCGCAACGCGCGAGAAGAATCGCCAGCAACAGCGTGGCCACATTTCGAGACAAGAATCTCACGCCTGCGGCGCAGGCATGTTATTGGCGGCAACTCATTCGTTCTTGGGCCACAGTCAGCTTTGAGCCGGACGGCTTCGAGATCATCGAGGGAAGGAAGAGGCTCCGTGGGACGCCGTTTGAGACATTTGCGTAAGTTGCATAGCGGCATTTGCAGCGCTCGACTGACTTGTCCAGGATCAATGCTCTGGGCATGCCTCAGAACACTTGTTCCTTCTGGAAGAAACTCACCTTCCAATGTTGAATATATGCAGGAATTGCGGACAATGCAGAGCTTTCTCGCACTCGTCACACAGACGAATCACCCGCCATAATGCCTTTGCCTGAGGCTTGCTGCGCCTTGAATATCGCCTCCATAGCCAGTACAGCCTGCAGTATTTGAACTCTATCATACACCTTTATGGGCTCTTCCAGGTCAGCAATGGGAAATTGAAAGCGCAAAATTTGAGAAAACATTTACATCACGAGAGGCTCTCATTTCTCTACCCACCACGAGCGCATTATAGCGCTTTCGGGGCGCGATATTGGGCTCGCCATCATGAGTCGGTCTGTGCGGGATTACCCCCCCCTGGACACCATGCGAAAGGCAGACAACCGGTGAAGAACGGTAAAAAGCGTCGTGCGTCAAAACTCGTCTGCCTTCCAGGATTTACTCGCAGCCATTCCAGCTGGTCCTTAGTCGCTCCGCCTACCCGTGCCACCTATGGTGCTGTGCCTTGCAAGGGAGCCTTAATTTCTGTTGCGCCGCATGGAACGCCTTACGCAAGTAAGAGCACGTTCATTCACCTCTCAAGCGCGCACAACCTCCACAGTGAGTTCACTATTTCAACCACTTCTCTATACTCTCTCCGTAGCTCAAAGCCTCGAACTAGGCTCGAATATTTACTTTGCCCTTCCTTTCTTGATCCAAAATGTAACCCTCTCCTATTTGCGGTCCGGTGTTGGAACGCCTGGACCTTCGCCCCGAATCCTACTGTGGCTGGGACGAGTACATGACAGACTAAGCCCCATGAGGCGCAAACTATATAGATGACTTGTCGCTCTCGTTAAGTCATCGCATCCAGCATGTATCGCTTCACTTTTTCCGTTGCTCTGAGCGTCATTTTGAATATTCAGTTTGTGGTTGCACCTGGAGGTGGCAGCGGAGGAGGTGGCGGTGGCCGAGGAGGAGGATCAGGGGGTGGAGGATCAGGGGGTGGAGGAGGTGGTAGGTCAGGCGGAGGGGGAGGAGGAGGAAGTGGCGGTAGATCAGGTGGAGGAGGAAGTCCGTCACGACCCGGCAGTCCCAGCAGCCCAGGATCTAGAGTGCTTGCATACGTTGCCCTATTCGACGGTATCCTTCCCGCGCAAGAGCAGGTTCTTGAAGCAATGAGCGATCTAGAAGTGGGCTTCGATGGCGCGAATACGACGAACAGCACTGAGCCGGGCGACGTCGCGAAAGTAGTCAAGGCGATACTCGCAAGCCCGACGTGTTCGCCTACGACCTCGAACACAGAGGGTATTAGTGCACCGACTGGTGTATCGCAAGCTTGTACGCCTAGGGACGTTGACTGTAAGTATTCCCGTTCAATCGTAGATTTCAAGACCACATACTAACGCGCTCAATAGTCAAACCAACCTCCACCCTCCCCATGACCGCCTACGCAGCCTGCACAGACTACGCCTCAATCCTCAACTCCTGCGCCTCCGCAACCCCCTCCTTCTACTCCCTCCCCGCCTCCCAACAAGCATCCTGCGTCTGCTACACGCCCTCCTCCGCCGCGCTAGGGTGCTCCATCTCCCCAACCACTGTCGACGCACTTACACCCACACTCGCGACCACCGGCAGACGATACGCCACTGTTTCCGCTCTCGCAATCTCGCGCTTCGACGACCCCGTTGATGCGTGCTACGAGTTTTTCAATCTGCAGGGCTACACGAACATCGCTGGGACGCTGTATGGCAGGAATTCCAGGAACGAGACGTTGCTGGGCTGGGGCTTTTGCGCGAATGTAGACGCGGATTTGAGCGCCAGCGCGAGTGCGACGGCGACGGAGACGCTTGGGTATGCGACGACGACGGGTGGACTGCCGAATATGATTGATCCGACGCCGTCTGGGGAGTGCTATCCTTATGTGGAGGCGGATAGGTATAGTGGAGGGGTGCGGGTAGCGGGGCTGACGCCGTTTGATCGGATGGTTCTGGTGAGTCGGAGATCGTTCTGGGTTGAGGATGTAGATGCTGACTGACGTTGCGTAGGTTGTGGTTCCGGCGCTGGTGACGGTGTTTTGGTATGGGCTGTTCTTCTAGTCGACAAGGGTACAAGGGTCTTTCAGCTACAGATTGGTGTTGATGCAAGAGCGCGGTGTATTAAGGTGCGGTGCGATGGATGCGGATACCGTCCCGTGACGGAAATAGAGTGCCAGTGTGAGCTTCGGGAGCTCGTCCAATCGATGGCTTTTGAGGTGTCTCCAGCGGCGGCGGCGGCGGTAGGCGAAGCCGTGGTGGAAGAAGATAGGGACCCTGCCGTTGACATCTACCGCCTCCCCATTGCCCTTGTGCGAGGCCTTGGGTAGCGGAGAACGGGCATGGCAGCGGTCATTGCATAGACGAGACTGGAGCGAAGAAGTTTAGCTTAAGTGAAATTAAAATTCCCGCCCTTCATTCCGTTGGGACAAAAGACTCGCACGCGCAACTTTAGTCCGTAGCGTTTGTTGGCAGACTACGTAAGACGTTCTTCCTATTATTTGTCGCTCTGCACCCTTTTCGACTTCTCATCCTCGACCTCACGCATCAAGAACCTATCTGGGTGAGGTTTGAGAAACAGCGTGCACTGCGTCTGCCGATCTTCCCTCTTCGCGAAACCACTTTGCAGCGTCCTCCTCCTGTGTATGAAGAGGCTCAGTGGGCACTTACGTGCTGATCTAAAGGGCGGCGTGGTAGAAGTGAGCGAGCGCTGAGGGCCTCCGGACAGCACTGCACAAGTCTGTAAATGTGACTTGTCAAGAGACTGCTGAGGCGGGGGAACGCGAATGTAGGCCATCGCTGGATCGGCATCTGTGTCACGAAGGGAAGGACAGGAATTCAAATTGAAGGAGGTGAGCAGAGCGATGTTAAATTTACGTGCATAAACGACGAACGAACTCCAAACCGGCCTGTGGAGATTAGAGCAGACCTATATTCCTCAGCCCGCCATCCCTTCATAACAACACTCCTTGCCTTCAGACTCGCAGACAACACACGCCGACCCATCTCCCAAATTATAGCACGTTCTTTGCCTCCTCGCACACGCGAAACAAACAAACCCCTCCTTGCCCGCGCCCCTTAGCTCCTCCTTCAACGCATCATCATCCACGGCCCTGAAATTCCTCCCACTAAACCGCCAGAAGTCGTCCGAGTCATAGAATTGCACCTCGCTTGGTACCTCTTCGCCATACATATACGGCGGGATGTACGACTTGCCGGAGTGGAAGCGTTGGCTGAAGAGGCGAAGATGAGCGCCACCACGAGCTTCGAGTGCGGACGCGAGCTTGTAGACAGGGCTGCGGATGGAGCCGCCGAGCAGGGCGGCGAGGATGGCGGCGTAGCGGCCATGTGGGATGGTGCTTAGGATCTGGTCCTCGACTGCGCTGTCGTTGAAGCAGACTTCGAGGTCGAAGGGGTGGGAGGTGCGGCGGGTGACGAGGTCGGTGCAGCGCTTAAGTACGTCGCCGGGATGGTGGACGAGGGTTTGATCGGTTAAGGTTTGGAATACTGCTGCGTCGTTGATCCTGAGCGTTTTGAGAGAGTCGGGGTAGTCGTTTTGCTCTAGGTAGGAGTACAGACTGGATTCTAGACCGATTTCGAGGAAGGTGAGATTCTTGAGACTGCGGAGTTTGCTACGGCTGGCTTGGTCGTCGATTTGGGTGGGGAGAAGATGGGTGAAGGTGCCGGCAACGTGAGTTAGCTTTTCTAGCGAATCTGCTTGTCGTGCGAGAGCGGTTAAGAAGAGCGGGTGCGACGTTCGCTTCTTGGGGTCGCGTGACGGATGTTCTTTGAAAACGTAGAGACGCTCGCCGATATAGAGCTCCTTTAACGCCTTTGGGAGGTCGAGAACGACGTCGAGGAACTGAACGTTGACATTACATTCAATGAGGGTGAGGGACTGAAGCGGCGTCGACTTCCTCTTCTCAGGGGAGATATCGGCATGGGTGATGTCTGCGTCGAAGTTGGTGCACGAGAGGGTAAGATGCCGCAGAGTAGGATGGAAAAAGACAACCGCCGTGCGACCTAGGACGAACTTCCTCTCATCCCGGCCATGTCCGTGAAGGGCGACTTGGGCTGTTAGCGTTGCGATGCTTCGTGTTCTCGACCTAGCACTCACGTGATTGGAGCATGGGCAAAACAGGTGGTAAGCCTGGAGGGGGATACACCGCAGCCTCAAGAAGCGATGTATAGTTGATCTTCGTCCAATCATCAAAGTGGTCCGAACGGACCCACTCGGTGTTGTTAGGGCACGGCGATTCGATTGTCAGATGGCGCAGTTTGTCCATCAACCCAATGTGATGGTTCAGCTGATCGATGCCCTTTCCACTACCATGCTGATAGCGAATAGACAGCTCATGAATGTACGACGCCCGTGCCTCTCGGCTATCGAGCGCTTTGACGATATCGATCGCGTGGTCGCCCTTGCGGACCAGCAGGGACCGCCAAATATACGGCTCTGTTAGACTCCGAAGACGGGCGCAAGTCGCAGCGAGGTTACGAAGTGATTCTCGTGAATCGATTTGATCGATGATGGAGAGGAGGAGCTCATCGACGAGGGATAAGAGGCCACCCTCTGTTTGCTGTTGTGGCGACTCTCTCGGAAGCATTTTGAAGATTGGGCGAAAGTGGCGAGTTTTGCGCTTCTTGGCCCCGGCATAGAACACACTGGGCATCAAGAGCGTGCGATGTAAAAAAGCCAACGGACTGCAGACCGAAAGGGAAGGAGAGACAGGATGCGGTGTTACTCGTGGCGGACGGGTGGAGCGTCGTGCAAGCGCCAAAGCTAGGCTGCAACGGGCTTATCGATAAGTCGGCATCACGTGTGCGCTAATTCATTCCACCGGCTCGATCATTACGTTTCCTCCACTTCCTATCGATCTAGAGCCCCACGCCGAATACTCGTTCTTATGATCTCACGCGTATGGCTGACATCAATGCCTTCGCTCTCTTCATGGAAAGGACCGGGGCTCCGCTTCGAGCGGCACTGGAAGTGGCCCGACAGGGCTAAGGAGAGGCGAAGGCGAAAGCAAGTCAGGTCAGGTCAGGTCAAGTCAAAGCGAGGACGAATCACGGTCGAATCACGTCAAAGTTGATGAACAAGGATGATGAGGAAGAACGATGTTATTGTCTGATGGCTTTGATTTGAACAAAAGATTGAAAGAGCAGTATACGATGAGAAGAGACCATGCGACCAAGATCCAACTACTGGACTCGTAGGTGCTGTTCAACCGGATAGAAGATGATTCGGTTGGTTCCTTAGGCAGCCCGGACGGCTGCCTAAGGAACCAACTATAGGAATCATAGTCTATCCAGCGCACCTACAGTGAGTCAACCCGTACAACAAACAAGTAACGAAGAGTACATGAAGAAACCATATATGCCAGAACCCGCCGTACATGCCAGAGACCTGTTCCGAATCCTTCTAGTTTGATGTGAGGTGTCTGAGCTATCTGGAAGAGGTCAGAATATGAGGAAAGCTGGAAGGTAGGGTGAGACTTACATAATGAGCAGCTATGAGCTGGAGGATGGCGTGATGGAGAAGAATTTGGCTGGAAGATGGTATGCTGAGAGAAGAAGTTGAGCGAGACGAAGGCGTGAAAAGTTGAAGGACGAGACGATTTGGATGTTTACGGTCGGCGAAGCGAGTACTGGTGCTACCGTTGTCCCGAACAAACACCGGTGTGCTTGCATGCCAGGTAGTCAGTACTCGCGTCGATCAGTAGAGAAGTGGAAACGGTAGATCGGTCGGTCGGTCGATGAAGCAAGTGTTGGTGCTACCGTTGTCCCGAACAAGTACCGGTGTACTTGCATGCCAGGTAGTCAACACTCACGTCAAGGCGGTGAAGGAGGGAGGGAGAGATTGATTGAGGATTGATTGATTGCGAGGCGGTTAGAGCGATTGGTGGGAGCGGTCGATGAGGCGAGTGTTGGTGCTACCCTTGACCCGAACAAGTACCGGTGTACTTGCATGCTGGTGTAGTCAACACTCGCGTCAGTTTGTCGGTGGATAGTATGTTGAAATTGGACTGGTTGATGGATGTTGAGGTGTTTTTTTGACGTGATCTTTTTAGATGTTTTTTTTTTCTGAGAGAGGTCAGTGAGTGGATGTGGGTGAGTGGAGTGAGCTTACTAATTGCTATGGAAGAGAGCATGAGTGGAAGATGGTGAATGGTAGATGCCAATGTAGGATTGAAGAGGCTTGGCTGGATGTGTGGTAATGACAGCGCTTGTAGCATGTCATGTGGTCATGGCTTTTTTTCTAAGGACATGTCAATGAGTGAAAGTGAGGTGAGGTGAAATGGATGACTGACTTAGATGTTGAGACCACTGAGCCCGATCGGTAGGATGATAGGTGCAGGGGGTTGACGATCATCTTGTGATGTCATGGTGGTCTTGAGATTGTTTTCTAATGACATGTCAGTGAGTGACGGTGAGGTGAGGTGAAGTAGATGACTGACTTAGGTGTTGAGACCACATGAGGTAGAGGCACCGAGGAGGGTTGAGTCGACTTCATAATGGATGGAAGTTGAGATGAGACTCAAAGGTGAGGCGAGGTGAGCTCATATTGGTTGGATAGTTGAGTTGGATAAGACCAAACCGATCAGAGGTAGAAGCCGAACTCGGAGAGAGATGAAGCTCAGAGTTGAGATAATTGAAGAGTTGAGATGAAGCTCAGAGTTGAGATGAAGCTCAGACTTGAAATGGCTGAAAGTTGAGAGTCGAGCGAGTGGGAAGAAGGAGTGAGGGAGGCGGGCGAGGGGATTTATATACCCCACTAGCTCCTCGCTTACCGGGGATTACGAGAGCGAGCTTGGACTAGTTTCGGGCTCGCTCAGGGCTGGGCAAGACGATTGCGGCTCGTGCGCGGCCGCTCGGGCGTTGCTGAGGTGAAGGCGGAGCACGTGATATCAACAAACAGCGGCTAACAGCGGAGATTGTAGGCAGCAGCTGCGAGAAGGAAGGCGCGGGTGGGTGGTCTGAGTGAGTTGAGTGAGGTCAGTGAGTGAGAACGCTTCAAGGTGAGGCTCGGATGTGTATATTGGCGTGAGGCTTGGGCGTGTGCGGGGATTGGGGACAGCGACGCCATCGCGGTCGCGACGTTCTGTTGATGCCACGCCGCGCTCAAATACCTCCATCTGAAGTTCTTCAAAACGTCCACGACTTTTGTTCCCATACGCCTACCAACGTGCTGATCAACTTCACCGTTACTCTCACCCCGACACTGACCTCCGTATCCCCTTCCAGGTCCGGCACATGCAAGAAAGCCACGTCACTTTTTACGCTCCTCTTACGCATCCTCAGCATACTAACAGGATAATGGAAGCCACAGACATAGGCTCCTACATCGTCCCTAAGCCGTATGTCCGCTATTCTCTTCACATGCTTTTTCTTAGATCCCCCTCCCTCCTCCTCTATCGCGACCTGGCATACTGATACTCGCGAAAGCATTCTACCATATTTCTACTGCGGCTTCGAGATGGAGCGAGGTGTTGAGGGAGGGAGGCGCTATTCCGAACATCTTATTTGCGCGGGTGAAGACCTCATGCTCAACGTCTAGGATGTCGCGATACGCTTCGTTCGGCGCGCTCCGTTCGACGACAAAGAAGTCTCAATCGACCGCGAGTTCTATAGGGATGGTGATGTGCGGAACATGCTGCTGAATCAGGCCGGTGGTTTGTGTGAGAATTTGTGGTAGGCTACTGATTTAGGCGCATCCGGCACGATAGTCTTGATGTCTATACGTTTGGAAGAGTACATTGCAACACGCAGCTCGCAGACAATTTCTCATGACGGATTTGTATGTCTGTGCATGCCCAAGGTGATTTGCAGATTGAGTAAGCTGAGCGGGTACGCCGGTAATTGCAGCATAGAAGAAAAGCGCAACCTAACAATAACTAATAAAGAAGTACGAAGAGCGCGTAAAGCGAAGAGGGTATTTGATATATACAGTTCTGACTTATTTCGTCGATCTCACATGCACCATATAGCTAAAGCCCCCCTAATTACTCCCACTCCCTCCCTACCACTTCAATATTCAATTCCCGCACCAAACAAACGCCCCCACCATCCCACCTCCAGCAAGCGCCATCTACATCTCCGGCGCCACCTTCCCAATCGCCTTCCCCCCCTTCTCCGTCCACCTAGACCGTTCTATTTCCAAGGTCCCCCCTCCGCTCCAACAACTCACTAATCCTCTGCCCACCAGGCGTAAACACCCGCCCCGCCCTCGCATCCTCATCAATCCGCTGGTCGATAACGCGGTCCAGTTTACTCTGTACCTCCTTCGACGGCGTCCTAACCCCTCCTCTAGCCCTCATTCTAGCCATGGCAGACTTATTAGGTACAGGCGTCCTGGGCGTATTCGCAGGTGTACGTGGGGCTTTTGCATGGGGAAGACCTGTCGAGGTGGGGCGCACTTTGAGGTTCTTGATAGGTGAGGCGGGTTTGGTTGGAGAGCCCTCAGGCGTGTACGACTCTTTCTCTGCCTGTTTCGGCTTCGCGGAGGATGTGCCAGTGGGTTTCGCAGGCGTCTTGGTGCGCGACTTCAAAGGAGGCTTTGGTATCCGTCTGAGCTGCGCAGCCTCGACCTTGTTACTCTTCTCCGAGCTGTTCCACTCCTCCACTAAGCTCGCTATCTCCTTCGCGCCCGCGAATTTTTCCTCGTGCGGACGTGGGTCGGACGCTGGATCGTACGGTTCCTCTTTATGCATGATCTTTGGTGTCGTCGGGTAGATGTTACGCGCTCGGTCGTGTGAGAGTATTGGCATAGTGCGTTTGAGAGTAGAGGTAGGTGTGGGCTTGGGGGCGGGCGAGCGGGACGGCGTGTCGAAGATTGACATCCGCGCGGCTCTAGGTAGGGAGTTTGATGCGCTCATTGGTATTGTGGGGGAGGCTTTGGTGAGGCGGGCTCGGACTGGTGTTTTCGTCGCTGAAAACTGTGCTGTTTGGACAGTCTTCTTCGCCGTCGGTGTTGCCTTACTCTCACTCTTCGTTGCGGTGAGGCGGTGACGTAGTGCTGGGTTCGGTTTCGCTGTAGGTGTCCCCTCAGTGACCTTCACCTGAGCAAGCGACGCACTGTCTACAGATGGTGAGCTTCGAGACTTAGGCTTAGAGAAGTAGTCCGATCTAATGGAAGTCCTCAGGCTGGAACGCATACCGTCCATCTCATATTCCATAGCTGCCCGTATCGCGGGCGGAGTACCCAGGCGCTTCCCGCAGGGCTTGGACAAGCCCTTCACTGTCTGGGTGTGGATCCTGTTGTAAGGCAGGTTGCTCTCTGACGCCTTGTGCGAAGTGACACCGGCGCGACTCTCTTTCCTGCGGGGGTCTTTGTGCAGTAGCGTGGGAGCTTCTCCGCTCGATGCAACGTCTACTAGCTCACCTCCGTCTTTCTCCGCAGGCATCATTGTTCCTGAAGCCTCGAGGCTGAGCCCAGCGATCATCTCCCCGATATTACTCGGGAAGTCCCTCGTTGGCATTCTTCCCTTTGGTGAACTACTCAAAGAAGGTATCAGGACCTGCGGTGAGCCGGGCACCGAACCCGCCGTGAGAGTGACGCGTGGCGTGTCCTTTGACGTCCTTGGCGCAGTGTGCTGTATCGGGGTCGTCGCAAGGTCGTGCTCCTTACCAGCTGGAGCGGCGTAATTAGAGGTTGTGGGCTTAGGAGGCGGTCGCGATGGCGTGGTAGTGTTGGAGTCTGGTATAGAGGCTGTGTTCACTTCCCTTGTAGCTACAGCCTTGGAGGGCATCGTCAGTCTGTCCAATACCTTCGCCCTCGCATTCTGCTTCGTAATTCCCTTCTCACCACTCATCGCCGTCTTCTTCTTCTCCGCACCCTTCCCACTCTTTCCCTCCTGCATCACCACCTTCACCGGACCTCCCTTCTGACCCTTGGGAACAATCTTTCTCTCCGGCAGCTCCGCAGAGAAATAAAAGCCCTTCGGCCCAACCTCCAGCACTGCGTTCTTGATCGGACTAGTTGGACGGCTCGCGGCTTTCCTCATAGGCGACGACGCTGGAGTGTCGCGCTTGACTGGACTTACAGAACGACTAGGCAGCCGCGTACTCGGTCGGTAGGGCGAGGACATGGAGCGCTCTCTTGGGGGCGGGGCGCTGGGTGGTTGTGGATGTGAAGATTTGGTAGTTTTGTGCTTGACTGGGCTGCTTGGAGGGCTTGCTAGTTTGCCGCGCAGTCGCGGTGAAAGCGGCATAGTTAATGGGAGAGAGTTGCTCGCCTTGACTTTCCACTTGAAGAGCCTGTACAGCGGCGTTGACTGCGTCGAGCTAGGCGAAGCAGCCGGTGTGCGTGCGCGTTGAGGCGGTGGTGTAGATGGTGTGCTCGCATCTACGTGCTCGGGCGGCGAGGAAAGTGAGCGGGGCCTACGCATGTTGCTCGTGCGTCGATCGTCTGGTGAATAGGATCCTCACGTGCTGTGTTCGATCGGCCACTGGGGTACTCCAAGTATACAGCACAGTACCCGGTGTAGATGGAGACAAACCGGAAGCCGCGTCTCCAAAAAGTATGATGAAATGCACGATAAAAGAGAATAATGCTGCGCGAGCGGCCCATTCGTGTAACAAACAAATGCAAACAAAATGCAGTGAGACAGCGCCCGCATGCGGGTTCCCGAGTATCCACCCCGTGTCAGGCGGACGAACGAAAAAAAGTCTTTGATCTTGCTGCTGTTATCTACGCTATATACCGCGCAAACTATGCCAAAAGTCTTCTGGGTACAGTAAGCAAGAACATCTCATATACAGGTAAGATCAAGAACATCAATATCTACCGCTTTTCCATACACATATCATCCTCAGAGATCGTTTCCAGGCGCTTATAGCTTCTCCTTCAGACTGGCCTTCAACCTCCTCTCTACCGCCGCCAAATAATCATTCGTCACCACCCAAGCACTCCTATCCTTCTTCCCACACGCCAGCGCCAGATCCTTTGTCATGATGCCATCGATATCCACCGTATCCACGCACGCCTTCTCGAGCTGCTCTGCAAATACTACCAATTCTGGGGTACCGTCCAGCTCGCCGCGCTTCGCCAGGCCCTGCGTCCACGCGAAGATGGAGGCGATGGGGTTGGTCGAGGTTTCCCGGCCCTTCTGGTGCTCGCGGAAGTGGCGGGTCACGGTGCCGTGTGCGGCTTCGGATTCAAAGGTCTTGCCGTCGGGCGTGATGAGGACGGAGGTCATGAGGCCGAGGGAGCCGAAGCCTTGGGCCACGATGTCGGATTGGACGTCACCGTCGTAGTCTATTTCAGTTAGCTCATTCATCCCATAGAAACACGCTGAAACATATCAATGTTAGGGTGGAGGAACGCACTCTTCATAGCAATGATGAAACCGCCCTCGCTCTTCATCATCTGGGCGACCATGTCGTCAATCAAGCGGTGCTCATACCAGATACCAGCTGCCTCGAAGTCCTTCTTGTACTGCTTGTCGTAGATTTCCTGGAAGATATCCTTGAATCGTCCGTCATACGCCTTTAGGATGGTGTTCTTCGTGCTCATGTACAGCGGGAGCTTCCTGTCCAGTGCGAGCTTGAACGACGCTTGCGCGAATCCGGCGATGGACTCAGAGGTGTTGTACTGGGTCTGCGCGACACCACCGCCTGGAGGGAAGTTAAAGACAGTGATAACCTCGGGCTTTCCGCCCTTGGGCGTGAAGACCATGTCTAGTGTGCCCTCGCAGTCGATGACGCGGTCCTTTGCGCGGTATTGGTCGCCGAATGCGTGACGGCCGATGATGATGGGCTGTTTCCAGCCGGGTACGAGACGCGGGATGCGGGGAATGACGATTGGGGCGCGGAAGACGGTTCCTCCTCTGCGCGCAGTCAGTATCGTGTCTCCATTCAAACCGCAACCGGGTGTCTTACAGGTGGTTTCGGATGGTGCCGTTTGGAGATAGCCACACTGCATCACATGGTCAGCATTTCCCTTCGAGATGTGGAGCAATTGGCCATACTCTTCTTGAGCTTGAACTCCTCCACTCGCGCCTCGTCCGGGGTGATGGTCGCGCACTTGACGCCGACCGAGTACTTCTTGATCGCCTCGGCCGCATCGTGTGTCACCTGGTCCTCCGTCTCGTCGCGGTACGGCAGGCCGAGGTCGTAGTACTTGAGGTCGATGTCGAGGTAGGGGTGGATGAACTGTGGCCAAAGTTAAGACGTCTCCCAACTGTGTAGCCGTCACGCCCACGCACCCTGTCCTTGATCTCCTGCCAGATGATCCTCGTCATCTCATCGCCGTCCAGCTCCACCACGGGGTTCTTGACCTTGATCTTCTTGGTGCCCGTAGAAGACGCCATCCTGCGCTGCTGTCCGAGTTCCACACTGGCCCGTGTCGCAATCGCCGGTGCAAAGGTCGAAGGCGTCGGTCGCGCGCGGAGGAGTGCCGATCTCGCGGCCTGGGAAGCTAAGCACCTAGTCGCAAAGCCACGGGCCGTCTGTCTCGGGAGGCGCGCAATTGACGTCGCAGAGCGGAGCGCAGCAGCGGGAGAAGAAGTGGCGGCCCTCATTGCTGCAGAAGAAAAGAGGGCGTCCTAGTGTCTAGTGTAGTAACCTCGGAACGGCGTGTGTCCACGATGACTAGCAGGTCCGGCCTCTAGTACGAAACTTCTGCTCTCTCGGCCGCGGCGATTATTGTTCGACTTGCAAAAGAACGGTCGCAGGGTCCGGCTTGGGTTGACGTGCGTGCGACGGGCGCGCTGGCGGGGGTAAAGAGTTCCGAGGTCTGCGAGGTCTGCGAGGCTGAAGTCCCGTTGATGCGAGAGGGAAGCGTCGAGGCTCGCACGACGCTTGCGCGACTGCCCAGGTGCAGCAGCGCGCGCTCCGTCGGCTAATACCCCACGGGCAGGTCGCAGGCGGGTTGCGACATTTGATTGCCCGTGTTTATTGCGGCAGTTGGCGCCGTTACGCTGGAAAATTCGTCACGCGCTGGGCCGCGACGTGGGGCAGAACACGCAAGAGGCTGGCCGGGAGAGGCGCTCTCCGGTCCGCGCGCTCCCGTCGCTGTCGAACATCGCCGCGGCGAGCAATCGAGGGCCATCTCTTGAGAATGTCCATCGTGAGCGTGTGGGGTGCGGAGATTGGTGTCTGGGGTCGCGAGCGTGTATGTTTAAGTTCAGATGGGCGACAAGTGCCATGCATAACCGCTCGGAGCCGCATGCCCCTCAGCTCAGCTCAGCTCAATACGGACAGATGGAGATAGAAGCGCCGAGTGAACCACCTGTGGTACGTACAATTGGTCAATGCCGGCCAGGGAAGGTTTGAAAGGTCGCTTTAGAGCTCTCATGTATCTATCTTCGACGAGCAGCCGACATAATGAACCCGATGCGCTCCGAATCTCGCCGTCTTGTGGTGCATGCAGCAGGACACTACCAGTTGCTACAACATTGTGTACCTCCCCCATGCCTCCATCAATTGGGTAGCCCAACAGGAGGCTCATTACAAGCCGGCGGCCCCTCGCTCGGCTCCTCAGGAGGCTTCGCCCTCCCGCCCTCCACTCTCCGTGCCCTTAGAAGCACCGGGATCACACCGCCGGTCTGCAGCGCAAATGTCCTGTGCCTAACCGCCTCTAGCACACTCCCAATAGCCCCCGAGTGACTTGTGAGCGACAAAAACACACCGTCATCGTTTTCGAAGATGTCGTCGAGGAACTGGGAGAGCCTGTACTTGCGCGCAGACTGTGGCTCGCGATAGTCGGGCGTCCAGAAAGGATCGGGCTCAGAAAAGTGCGGTTCGAGGTGTATGTGTGGGAAGCTCTTGAGAATGTGGGACGCGGTGCTTCGCCGATCGCAGGTGTGGACTCCGATTGCTTCTCGTAGTAGCTGTGTCTATTAGCACACTGTTTTCCTTTCTTCCGGTCAGCAGGCCACATACCTCTTTGACAACAGGACGGTACGGCTTATCCTTCGGAAGCCCCAGTCCCTTGAAACTGAGATCTGCGGTCTCAATCGTCCGCGTCAACGGACTGACATAATACGTCTCTGGTGGCGGAATGCCCTTCGGTAGCAATAGCTTCCAAAGCTCATAGACCTCTTTGGCTTGATTCTGGCCCGTTTCTGTGAGGTTGGCATCAGACCATGTAATGCCCTCTGCGCCGTCGAGCATAGACCAGTAGCACTATTCTGCCGTCAACCTGGCATGCTACAGCGAAGGAAGGAAGGGAAACGCACATCCCAGGCCTCGGTGCCGTACTTCTCCTCCGCAACGTTATGCCAGCCTTGCCCATGCCTACCAAGGAAGAGCACCTTGATTTTCTCGCCCTTCCTGCTCTTCTTGTTCAAATGTCTAGCATATCTTTCGAATCTTCGCCACTGGCCCAGCTCTTCTTCATTCTGCCCATCTGTCTCGTAGTCCCGGTCTATGAGCCCGAAGTTCTGTTTTATCTGTGCCCATTAGAGAAGAGAATACGGTTAGAGGCACGGGAGGGCCTTACAAAGTCAAACTTCGATGAATCCGTGCCGTCTTCGCTCTGCATGAAATATCCCTTCAGCGTTTCATACTCGTAATGAAAGCTCCGCCCGGGCTCAGGCATGGGCAAAGTCATGGCGCCGTGCATCAGGACAAACAAGAAAATAACTGTAAAAATAAAAAGAGTAGCTCTGGATGTACATCAGTATGTTAGAAGATGCTCATTGCGCCGGGGATCTCACAAGGATCTATTGACGCTAAAGGTGTGTAGCCGATAGTTCTTGCTGCCAAACCTCACGAGCATGTCGGCATCATCCAACTAATGTGAGGAATACGTGTGAGGTATCATCCTGCGATATGGGCACAGCAGCGTGTTAATGTGAGCTGGCAGCAGTTGGGGTTGAGGTTGGCTTGGGCACCCCACTTGATCTCTCGACCAATCAGAGGTAAAATCGCAGCCTCATGCTGCTTTTGATTCTATGAAATTTCTACGCTTCAGTATGCGTTCTCAGAAGGTTTTCAGAAACATCCATCATTCCGAAACCGACCCTAGCCCCAAACGCCGTTGCATGCATCAATTATCGAACAAGTTATACGCTTTACAGATTCGCCTGCGCTTGTGCCTGTTCTCTCTCGACCTCGTACATGAAGTCGAAGTAAGGCTTGTCGAAGTGATGTACACGCACGTAACCATCCTCTCCGCCGCTGCAGTATCCTAGGCCTTGTGGGTGGACGGCAACGTAGTTCAGCGGGCCGAAGTGTCCCCTCACACGGCCGATTTCCTCCATGAAGATCTTGTGGTAGAAGCGGGCTTCAAACTTTCCTTGCCTGGCGCTAGTCGTGGTGACGTCCATAGCGGCTTGACCACCACCGAGGATAACGTAATCTTTCACTGGGGTTATGGCGGCGCTGTTCAGCGGCGTGTCGGTGGGGTAGGATTTGAGAACATCGAGGCTGTCTGCGGCGACGAGCTGGAAGGTATGTTAGCACTTCTCTCTAGTACAAGGAGTGATGCTTCCACCCACCTTCGCTGTCTTGTCTTTTGAGGCCGTGATGAAGTATGTACGGTCCGGTGCCCACTGGAGATCCGTAACTGTGGCTGTTAGCGTGAAACACAGGAAATCCTGGAGAGCGCGTACTTTGCATATCGTCCTCATGTACCTGAGTGCTGAACAGCAACTCCCCGGTCTTAGCGTCCCACTGCGAGACCGAACCATCCTCGTGTCCAGAGATGATGTAATGCGAGAGATAGCTGAAGCCCGCGACCGTAGCCTTGCTCTCGTCACACACTATTCTCAGGGCTTGTTCATCCGTCTGCTCCGCCGCTGGGTCCGGGTTGATCTCGTAGACAACAATCGTGCTAAGATGGCCCGATCGCTTTTCCGTCACGCCGAGCAGCAGCTTGCCGTCCGAGGAGAACTCGACGCGCTTGATCGATGTAGCAAACTCCCACGTCTTTAGGAGCTTGCCGGTCTTGACCTCCCATAACCGCATCGTGTTGTCTGCGCCGCCGGTCGCGAGGAGTGAGCTTGTGGGGTCGACGTCAACGGTCCAGAGAGCGCCCTGGTGGCCATGGTAGGTTCCTAACCGTTCGCCGTTGTGTGAGACTGGAAGAGTGTCAGTAAGTGCTTTAGAGCGAGCCTAGGGAGGGAGACTAACACCAGGCGCACACAACATGATCCTTTGAGACTGAGAATATGATGTCTCCGTCCGGGTTGTATTTGACCTGGGTGAGCGCGCGCTCGTGGCCCGAAAGCAATATCGGCCTCATTTTTGACTGTGTCTGCGGTGGGGGAAGAGTGTGGGTTGGATGTGGCGCGGGGAGAAATTTCGCGAATGACTCTGATATCGACGTCTTTTGGTGTTGGAGTGGGCGGCGAATGTAAGCTAGCTGAAGATGGGCTAGCGCCAAATGCCCCGCATAAATTTCGTCGATCGGGAAAGAACCTCACGTACTCATCCTTTCACCACACTGGAGCACTGATCACGGGCGCCGCTTACGACCCTAATGTCGGAAGAAACAGTCGAGGATCCGTTCCGTTTACTAGTATGGATCGTGCATGATCGTTATGTCAAGGCATCTTATGCTCGCGTTGGATTATGAGAGGCCGCACACACGGCAGAGATGTGTTCGGGAACTTAATCAGTGTTGTAGCCTTGATGCTCTCTGCAGCCATTAAGTAAACCGGCGATTCCTATTCTTTAGATACGCACTGTTACATCTTGGCTAATCTTTCCATGGGCTTCTGTGTATCTCCCGCTATGAAATAACCCTTCAATCCAGACCTCTTCACCGACTTGCCTTGCGGTAATGGTGCTTCTAAGTCCTTTCACTGCCGATAAGGTGTGTTATGATTAGGCCTTGGCGCTACAGCAACGCGCCTTCCCCCTTCAATTTCTTCACCGTGGCGACTTCAACACCCTCGCCAACTCATCACGACAATCGCCTAGGCACCTTATTTCCAAGATTCGCTGACTGGGCCAGTTACGAACAGGATCGAGCCGTACACGTATTGGACCGACGAAGCTGCCAGGCCCCGCTTTGCGCCGTCGCCGCAATGGCTCTGTCAAGTCCAGCAAACGCAGTGGACGTCTCAGCCGCTCTTACGCAGCTTGAGGCACTTGAGGCTGACCAATACTTCGTAGCTTTTGGACCGGCAGGCATACAGTTCTGCGGCACGCCGAACGGTTACTCTGCGTATGTACTGGGGTATGCCGTGAAGTCGGAAGGAAAATCTAATTTGAGCGTAGCAACCAGCTTCCGCCAAAAATCGTCAAGGACCTCAGAGGCCGCCAGATCAAGAAGGTGGTGTGGGCCTCTTTTGGCAGTGAGCCGAACTCGTTCTTCTTCGCCTACGAGATGAAGGACGGTAGTCCTGGTTTCCGGCTTGGGAAGGCAGTCCCGACCGCGCTGCAGCCATTCATCAAATATGCCTCCAGCACAACGCTCGAGCTGGCTTTATCCTTGCGCGTTCAGCTTGGTGCAGATGGATCCTACGTTGCCTGGGCTGGCCCAAATTGGACGTCGTTCAAGGTTCCTTCTGGCTTGTCATCAGCACTCTATCAGCTCAGCTCTGTACACATCGAGGGCAAGGGGGGCACGCTCAAGTCTGGGAGTCTCGATTATGTCGCCTGGCACAACAATGGATCGTACTACTTGAAGGGCGCAGAACACTCGTGGAAGTTCCAGTCCGCTTTCATGAATCAAGGTTGGAACGATTTGTGGCGAGGATACAACTGCGACTTGCTTACTCCCCCCGAGCTTGCTGACCTGGCGTATGTTGCCATCGATCCGCATTCACAGAAAGGAGACACCTTTATGTTCATCAAGAAGCAGCAATTGGGTATAGAACCTGCCTTTGTCCTGAAGTTTGAGTCGGAAGACATGATCTCTCGAGTACCTCCCTCACCGCCGGCCGATGCGACAAGTGGTCTTCCCCAAATTCCCCATCAGGTGGTCAGCCATGCAAACCACGCTGAAGACCCTCAGCACTACCACTGGGCATTCAGCAAACGCGCAGGCCGACCACATCCAAAGGAGTCCTGGGAGCTTGAGCTGAAACGAGGAGAAAGGGTTAAGGTGATTAAAGAGATGGGCAGAGATTGGTATGTCGTCCTGAACAGGCATGGTGTCAAAGGCTGGGTGCATAGCAGCTGGTTGGATTTCAGAGGGCTCCAATTGCACGCCGACCCGCGAGAGGCCTACGCTCGATGGACCGCCGATACGGAGAAGATGTTGACCACTCCTGGTACGATTCGCAACTTCCCGCACCTTGCAAGCTACCTGGACGCTTGCGCAAAGGATCTTTGCAAAGCTATGAAACAGGACAGCCGTGGAATCGGGATCTGCGTCCACGACTTGCACGAACTGCTCCGCGGCTCCGGCCAATACTCGCTGGACCATCTCAAAGCGGAGCGGAACAAGTGGCACCCCGACAAATTCGCCCGATTCTGCCACCCCGAGTCCAGGGACGACCTGAAGCCGAAGGCCGAGGCTCTGTTCGTATTGTTCGGCGTGCTGATGGATTGGATGGAGAATCCGCTAGAGAAGTGAGCGCGGCATCTGCTAGGAGGAGCCTGTTTGTTATTGTCTAGCCCACGCGGCTTCGATGGAGGTTTGCATTGGCCAATTCATCCCCGATATTCATCCCGTTGACCTGGGGTGGGTATGGGCTCCGTTCTAGAGTGCTGGCGTTCGCAACGTTGACACTCAGAGAAAGCTTTGGGAATGTGGTTCTAGGCACAATATCCAGGGTCCACGGGTATACCTTTGTCGGCTATCACGCTAGACCAGATTCGGATAGGTAGAAAATTTGATGGACGAGGTTCTCGAAGCTGCCACGCTTCAGAAATCATCAATCATCCTTCTCTTCTCAGTCAATTGACCCCGTCTCCACATTGTACTTCTGACTTTGTACGTAATTGACGCGCGAATCAGACGCAAGGGACCGATCTAAACACAAATGCCGTCGGAAGCGGCTTTAATATCCCGGGACAGGTCACTGTGTCTTCTCAGGGCGTGCGCAAGCGATGACTGACTCATCAAACGGCGCGAGTCTGAGCCATGATTGACAAAATTTCGTGCAACAGTTTCTCTAGATTTGTACGTCTTTGGCCGCAGGCGTGGCCGCCGTGAGGATGAGGCTGCGTCCGATCTACGTTCGAAGCCGTGGATTTCCGCTGCAAGCTCGTACCCCGCCGAGAATATTTCGCCCGCCGAATGCGCTACCTCATCAGCTCACCGTGCGACGACGCTTCTCCAGCAGCTTGCCCGTCATGACGGCTACCAAGATCGATGGGACTGCCATTGCACGCAGCATTCGCGAGCGTCTCGGCACGCAGATCAAGCAGAAGCAGGAGACGAATCCCAGGTACAGGCCGTCATTGAAGATCATACAGGGTGAGTCAGGCGCTTCATCTATGTGAAGAAATATGCTAATGTCAGTATAGTGGGCGACCGGTCAGATTCAAGTACGTCTTCCTATTTTCAGCGGCTACACGCAGCAATTGACGCGGGGCAGGCACCTATGTGCGCATGAAGCTCAAGGCCGCCGAAGAGGTGTGCAGCCACCACCCAGCCCTGCACTTGTGGGCTCTGCTGACGAGCAATTCTAGGCCAACATCGACTGCGAGCTTGTCAAGTTCCCCCAAGACGTCACCGAAGCCGAGCTGCTCCAGACGATTCACAACTACAACAACACCCCCGCCATCCACGGCATCCTCGTCCAGCTACCCCTCCCGAAGCACATCTCCGAGCACACTATAACCTCGGCGGTCGCCGATGAGAAGGATGTCGACGGATTCGGGATCCCAAGCATTGGAGAGCTGGCGAAGCGGGGCGGACACCCTCTGTTCACGCCCTGCACGCCCAAGGGTGTCATGATCCTGTTGCAGGAAGCTGGCGTCGACCCGAAGGGAAAGAACGCCGTTGTGCTGGGAAGGAGCGACATCGTTGGGAGCCCCGTCAGCTACCTGCTCAAAAACGCCGATGCGACCGTTACCGTGTGCCATTCGAAGACCACCAATCTCCCCGAAATCGTCAAGCAGGCGGATATCGTCGTGGCCGCCATCGGAAAGCCTGGGTTTGTGAAGGGAGACTGGATAAAACCCGGAGCTGTCGTCATCGACGTTGGTACAAACTACATCCCGGATTCCACAAAGAAGTCGGGACAGAGGCTGGTGGGGGATGTCGACTTCGAGTCAGCAGTTGAAGTGGCCTCCCGGATCACTCCGGTTCCTGGTGGAGTCGGGCCCATGACAGTAGCAATGTTGCTGCAGAACGTCGTCGACTCAGCGGACGCCGCACTAGAGAGGCAAAAGCTTCGACATATCACACCGCTGCCGCTCAAGCTCGAAGATCCCGTACCCTCGGATATCGCTGTGTCTCGAAAGCAGCATCCGAAACCAATTACCATGATTGCGAAAGAGGTGGGCATCATGCCCCATGAGCTTGAGCCCTACGGCGCTACCAAGGCAAAGGTCGATCTTTCTCTCTTGAAGCGGCTCGATCACCGCCAAAATGGCAAGTACATTCTCGTTGCTGGAATCACACCGACTCCGCTAGGAGAAGGGAAGTCGACCACCACAGTCGGACTCGCCCAGGCGCTTGGTGCTCATCTTGGCCGAGTATGCTTCGCCAACGTTCGACAGCCCAGTATGGGACCTACGTTTGGCATCAAAGGCGGTGCGGCAGGAGGGGGCTACAGCCAGGTCATACCCATGGACGAGTTCAACCTCCACCTCACTGGAGATATTCACGCTATCACCGCAGCCAATAACCTGCTCGCTGCAGCCATCGAGACGCGCATGTTCCACGAGAGCACTCAAAAAGATGGTCCCTTATACCGACGGTTGGTGCCGGTGAAGAAGGGAAAGCGGGAGTTTGTCCCGGTCATGTTCCGTCGCTTAAAGAAGCTAGGGATAGATAAGACAAACCCAGACGAGCTGACAGAGGAGGAGATCCACCGATTTGCCAGATTAGACATTGATCCCGAGACTATCACCTGGCGTCGAGTCCTAGATGTGAACGACAGGCATCTGCGACAGATCACTGTTGGTCAAGCGCCGACCGAGAAGGGCCATACGCGAGTAACGGGCTTCGACATATCCGTTGCCAGCGAATGTATGGCGATCCTCGCTCTCAGCAACGATCTCGCCGATTTAAGGGAGCGTCTCGGTCGCATGGTGGTCGCCAGCTCTCGCAGCGGGGACCCCGTAACTTGCGATGATATTGGGGCTGGAGGCGCTTTGGCTGCCCTGCTAAAAGACGCCATCAAACCCAACCTCATGCAGACATTAGAGGGCACACCAGTCTTCGTGCACGCTGGGCCTTTCGCCAACATCAGTATTGGAGCATCGTCCGTTCTTGCCGATAAGCTTGCGCTCAAGCTAGCTGGGACGGAACCCGATGAAGATCCTAAGGAAAAAGAAGGCTTCGTGGTCACGGAGGCAGGCTTCGACTTCACCATGGGTGGCGAGCGTTTCTTCAACATTAAATGCCGAGCATCCGGTCTCGTGCCTGACACGGTGGTCATTGTCGCCACGGTGCGAGCACTAAAGGTCCACGGCGGAGGTCCAGACATCGCGCCAGGCGCGCAACTCCAGGAGGTCTACCGAACCGAAAACGTCGACCTTCTCCGCAAGGGATGTGTTAACCTAAAGAAGCATATATCCAACGCGAAGTCATTTGGCGTACCAGTTGTGGTGGCAATTAACCGATTCTCGACCGATACTCAAGCTGAGATTGATGTCATCAAGGAGGAGGCACTCGCTGCCGGCGCAGAGGATGCCATCCCTGCCAACCACTGGGCTGAGGGCGGCAAAGGGGCCGTCGACCTTGCCAAAGGGATCATCGCTGCGAGCTCGAAACCGAAGCCAGATTTCAAGCTTCTCTACGACTTGGAAGGATCGGTCCAGGAACGCATCGAGAAAATCGGCCAGCTCATGTACGGCGCGGACAAGGTTGAATTCTCAGAGTTAGCCCAGAAGAAAGTGGATACATATGTCAAGCAAGGATTCGGCAATCTCCCCATCTGTGTCGCAAAGACACAGTATTCGCTCAGTCACGACCCCGCTCTCAAGGGTGCCCCTACGGGCTTCACGGTCCCCATCCGGGACGTGCGCATGGCGGCTGGTGCGGGCTATCTTTATGCTCTTGCGGCGGATATCCAGACTATTCCTGGCTTGCCAACTGCGCCTGGGTATCTGAACGTAGATGTGGATACTGAGACCGGAGAGATTGATGGTCTCTTTTGAGCTAATACCATGGTTCCGGCGTTATGAGAAAAAGCGGGGTCTTTGCAATCTTTGTTAGGAGGGCATTCAACATTTGGCATAGCGTCATGGATTCTCCTTCCACTAGACAGCTTTGGTTTACTATGGACGGGATATTCTCATTCAACACATGAATGAGTTCATAGCATAGGAGCCGGATAGGTGTAGAACTACGAATTCGACTGGATAGTTCCACTCAGCCCTCGTGCGCACGACTACAAAAGCGAACGGGTTCGTACCAGGATTTTGCAACAAGCCTTCCGATCCAGCTTCCGGTAGATAACGGTCATCTGTACCTAGCCCGCTCTCCATTGGCACCGATCCTTCATTCTTCGCAGGACGAATCATACATGTCGGAGAAGCATGCCATTTGCATGCGAACTACTGCATCTGTGCGGCGTCAAAAGCCTCGTGAAAAGTACCTGCATGAAGGGAAGCACGAGCAAGAGCACGAGCACCTGGGTCTCGAGGTGAGACGACCGCCCTGGCTAGCCCTCCCACAGAACCTAAAGATACAACATACGGCGGCACGGCAACCAATGAGCATGCGAGCGCAACACCGATCGTATGAGCTGCGGGAGGCTTGCGGCTAATTTGGCTTCGTGTGGCACAGTTCTTAGACCTCAGAGGCCCCTCACCGTGCCGAACCACGCCTCTTCCTTCAAACCACACTGCCGCAAGGCTATCTGCATCTCATTTGCAAGACAAATCAGGGTTTGGTCATAGATTGATCGGGGTTGGGAAGGCGAGAGCTCCATCAGGCCAACCATCAAGCGGCACTGTCAATTTCGCATGACTGCTGTGGGGTGTGGAAAGTCAGGATGGGAGCACTCGAAGTCAGAAGGACCGGCTCATTAAAACACGAAGGTGAGCCATACGCGGAAACTTGATCGCTGCGGGATGTTGGTGGTGGCGAGGAAAAATGGCCAAGTATCCCTTCAAATCTATGCCTACTAAAGAAGACCGGATCGTGGTGACGAATAAGAAACTTCGCCGCGTCTGCATGTTTCGAAACATGCAGACGAACAAGCATCATTCAGAGAACCATTTCGTGTGGCAGCCCGCTGGGCCGGCGCGAAAGATGGGGCATAGATCATCAGAGTCGCCCTGGCGGCTCGTCCTTGTCATCAGCCACCAGCGATGCGCGTTTCCCGGTCAACTTCGCCCCGCCGATCCGTGCGATCCGTCTTCTCGTCCGGATAGAGGGCGGCTCGTATTCATACCGCATCAGAAGGCCGGGAACGGGATCGGAACGGGACGGTTCGTTGCGCGCAGAACGGCTTAAGGCGGTCTCTTCCAGAACCTAGCACGCGAGAGCAGCACCACCAGAATAGTTCAATCTCTTGTTGGCGGCGTGATTTAGAAGAGCTTGGGATGCATGCGACCAGGAAATCGCCAACATCTACAATCCGTCATTCACCAGCTCTAAGAGACCCCATGATGAACACCTTCCGGAGATAGCTAATCCCGCACGACGGATTTGAGACATGGACTGCGGCGCTGGATAGGCAGTCACGTCCCACCGAATGCGGCCGCCTCGTGTTTCCCTGGCAAAAACCACGCGCTAACTGTTCTGTCATGCAACCTTCGCCGTATTGGGCGCGCATTCGAACCGTCGGAAGGGAAGATAGCGGGACCGGAACGAAACGACGAGGCTACACGTGGAGTGACCTGAGGGTCTGTGACTTTCTCTTCCTTCCTCGAAGAGTCTCATCCCTTGCGGCGGATGCGAATCTCCAAAGGAAAACCTTATCAAAACGTTGAATCTGTCCACATTTTGACACCGCTAATTTCTTCCACTAGAGTTTTGAACCCAGTTTTGGGTATACGCTCCACTTTCATCGGCCCCAAATCTACACGAGATAAGCAGAGTTCCCCGCTCTGCGCCTCGATTGAGCATATGCCACTGAGTATACTGGAGACGCTGACGCTCACGCGGCCTCAATTGCGGAGTACTCTCTTAGCTACCTCCCCAGCCTCTACGCCTTGCTAGCGTTCCAGTCTGTGGCCGCAATTGGTTCCGGCCCTGTATCCGAGGATGTCGTCGCCGTACCGTCGACTCACTGCCTCGTTTGGCCGTTTCACGTTGTCTTCTATGCTTCCAGCATTGGTCCACCGTTCGCGGCTGTAGCCGACGCTGGCTTGCATCGTGTTCACTAGACAAGCGCTCCGTCCAAGGATATCAGTCCGGTCTACTGTGTCGAACTGAGACCGCATATCCACCAATCCTATGGTAGTCCCGACGAGCGTCGCTAATGTTACCCGTCTGTTCTGTAGGCGTTTGCGTTTCTATCCGCGCTCGGGAAACGCGCTTGTCGCCATGCACCATTCCACTAACCGATTTACCCCTCTGTACCTGCGCCAAACTTCTACTCTGTTCTCAGCAGACGCTGTACCGCGGTCCTTTGACTACCACGCCGCCTTCTAAATGTAGGCCAACCCTCCGCAACGCCTCCCAACACTAAGCCCCTCCAGGCACTCCATCCTAGAGGGCAGTGTTGGTAATGAGCAGAATGAGAGACAGGACGAGGAGGAGGATCGCTGGTGCGGAATGTGGAAAACGAAGTGCTGTTAGGATGAAGGGGATGCGTATAAGAACGGCCCACTTCATCCTCATGGAGCAGCCAGGTCGCCATCAGTGCTGGACACTTCCCGCTCAAAGTCTCGGCCACTCCTTCCTACAGCTATATATCCGTTCTTCGTCTTCACCCCCCTGCCTTCTCACAGCCGGCCCCGGATACTCGTCCATTACATTGTACGTCCTACCTTCATGTCTCGACAATCGACGTCTGCGACGTCGTCATCTCTTCATATTACGCCCCTGACTTTACTCTTTCTTCTCTTCTTCTTCCACTCCCTCCTCGTCGCAGCCGCTTCTCTCAACAATCCGGCTGACGTAGCCAGTTCGTTGCGCTACCGCCGCGAAGCATGCAAGGCGCTCAACAATTGTCCGCCTTCTCTGCAGCAGAGGGCTCTGGACAACGTGCCATGGAAGGGACCACAAGTGTCTCAGAGGAAGAAGAGAAGGGCAAAGCGATCATGAAGATGCCTCTGCGGACCACTAGCCTTGGTATGCTATCAGCCCCTCTAGTATGTTTGGTATTTGATGATCAACCACTTACACGAATCCAATCAGCACGTCTTCCCCCTCCGCCATCTTCTCCACCGCCTAAAGCGGACAAAGGGGCCAGAAAGCGCGCTTCTTCCTCCTCCTCCGTCGGACCCTTTCTGCACCCGCTTCCCACCATCGAAACCATCATGACCTACCCCTCCCTCTCCCGCCCGACTTACGACAGCATCATCAGAGGAGACCCACCAGCAGAGTCATACAACACTGTCACACATACGCCGAAGCCAGCGCGCCCCAGCAAAGCGCCTATTCCCCGCTCGGACCGCCTCGCCAGCATCCGCGCTCTAGATCTGATACTCCAACGGGCCGACGAAAGCTGGGATGAGCGCAGCAACAAGCGCTCCAGGTCGGACACAGGGTCATCGAGTGCGAGTTCAGCGACGGCATACTCCGCCGGCTCGAGCGACACGGAGTATGGGGAAGAAGAAGATGCGGGCAAGAGCCTTCTTTCGTGTCTGGAGCCGCCCAGCCCCACGCTGAGCGTCTCGTCCACGTCGAAAGCAACTGTTGCTTCCTCCCCGCCTGCGTCCGTCCCATCGTCGCCGTTCCCCCCGGCGTCCCCTGCGCCCCCGGACGAGTCGACCACTGTGCCCTCGCGCGCCTCGTCGGCGGCTTCGTTCCGCACGTCACTTTCGACCCTCTCCTCGCTCTACGAATCCTACTCCGATAACAACACTTCCGGGACTTCTTCGTCTGCGCGCTCCTCAGCGCCTAGCTTCGCGAGCTCCGCCTATCCCTCTCCCGCCCTTAGTCCAGAGGCCTCGCGAAGGAGCAGTCCCAGTTCCAGCGAGGAGTGGATCTATCCAAGTCCGCCTGCCTCGCCGCGTCCTTCAGCGGTGCATGCGCAGGCCGAGCCTACTGCGCAAAAGCACCACGTGCGAGGGCAGACCGGGGAGAGGAGTGCTGTGACGTTTCCCCCGCCACCTGCCCCTTCCACAGTCTCCCTGCCTTCTCTGCCCTCCCTTCCGCTCTCGTCTCCGCCGCCGACGCTCACGCGGCTCCGCGCTTCGACACTGCCCAGTCTGACGATCTCTCCTCCAGCCCCTGCTGCGCAAGCCCAGCTCCAGCCCCAGCCGAGCAACATGTCTCCTCTCGGCGGCGGCATGCTGTTCGAAGACTTCCCCGGAGGAGACGCTATGGAGTGGAGTATGAACGGCGGGGACGTAGTATTTGGCGCTGCGGGCGTGGCGCTGAGTCCGCGCTTGATTAGGGAAGGGGAGGGAGGAGGCGGGGGGAGGTGTTGCTGTGAGTGTAAGGGGTTGGGGTTGTATGTTATTGAGGAGGAAGAGGATGGTGAGGGTGAGGCAGAGGCGGAAGAGGTAGAAGAGGGCGTGGAGGGAGGGCAGGAGTAGGAGGGGAAGTCGAGATTGAGTGATGAAGGGAGGGAGGTGGAAGGGGTAAGGGAATAGGGATAGATGGGGGGGTTTTTTTTTTGGCTGTAACGGCGTGCTTGGTTGTGTTCACCGTCTCGTCTTGTCGTATCCTTCGTGTCGGTGTATTTTTCTCCCTTGCTTAATTGAGAAATCGTGTAAATGTTTACTGGCTTCTTACACTAACTCGCTCGCATTTGCAACGTGTCCGTGACGTTGCGTAGCTCATCAGAACTACTCCTGGGAGACGTTCCTGACCTCCGAAACCGCACCGATTGGCTAGCTGCATTTTCCTTCCCTGATAACCCAATCCATACTCTTCGCAAAGAAATCGCCAAACATAAAAGGAAAAGAAGTCCTTAGACTTCGATGCTACGATATTGATCGGCTAGTAGATGAAAGATGAGAGATGTGCATATAGAAAGCAAAGAATGAGCGCACAGGAAGTGCCCGTCATGATGTCATTTTGCTTAACGTCTATAATGCTCCATGGCGAAAGATGAGGAAGAATATAGCAGGCCAGGCCCCGTGAAACCGACAAAGATCAAGAGCCAGGATTGTTGGGAGTGCAATCTGTCTGTCCTTGAATGAGCCGTCCGTTCGTTCGTCCGTGCAGTTTTTCTTTCTATCCGTCAAAACGCCCGCTAATTGAAAGAATCTGTCCATCCGCCACTGTGTCATCACCGCCTCATCTCAAAGCCGCAGCTCACTTCTTCTTATTCGGAAACTTCGGCTGCCCAATCCCCTCGCCCCTCAGCTTAACATTCAGCACCCTCTCCATGGTACCCAGCAGCTTCTGATCCGGCGCGGCAGTCCCGCGCTCAAAGTCCGCAATCACGGTCGGCGTGGTGTTGCACTTGGTCGCGAGCTCCTTCTGCGTCATGGTGCCGCCCTTGTCGTTCTTGGCCTCGCCGCGCGCTTTGATGATGGCTTGTCCGACGACGGAGCCGACGGTTTTCGGCTTCACGATGTCGTCGCTGCGGTCGACTTTCGTGAGGCGCTGGCCTTCGCTTGAGGTCGCCTGGGTGGAGGGTTAGTGAGGTGGGGGTAGACAAAGGGTTAGATACATAGAGACTTACGGCATTAGCACTCCCAAACTTCTTCTCCGTGCCGACGATAGCGCCGGTGCGCTGAGCGGCGTTGAGCGCGCTCTTGCCCTTGACGACGGTCTCGCGGGGTCCAGCCGCGCCGCCGCGAGTGCGGCTGCCAATCTTGGTGACGGTATCCCATTCCTGGTTGGTGCTCATCTTGGCTCTGTATTGTCCTTCGAAAGAACTTCTCGGGGGATGCGGTAGGGTGGTGTGTGGTTGTGTGTGCGGAGAGGAGGAAGTTGGGTTGGTCAGGCGTGAGCTGATGTGGGCGGATGTGCTGGGCTCGCTGGGCCTTTGTACAGTACTCGTGTGCGGCGGGTGTTTGTCGGTGGCGTTTGCTAGTTGGACGGCGTGAGAGGACGGATTTCGAATGCGAGGATGGACTGAGGAAGGGGACGAGTAGCTGGGGGCGAGTTTATATGGGCAGTAAGGCGTGTCCGGGCGTGAGTCGAAGATGCGGTGGCTATGTCCCCGCGCTAAACCATATCGGGCCCGTGCTTCTCGTTCCTTCTCTCGATCTCGCCCTTTCGCCGCCCTTTCCCGCCCCAACATTTACAATCGGCGCGCGGTCCGGTCACTGTACCTGCGTATGGCGAATCGGACTAGCAGTCTTCCAAAAAGCCACTCGTCGGCTTCTGAAACGCCATTGAAGCAGTTCAGACATCCTGTTGCACACCATTTGGGAAAAGGGCACTAGTAATATATGGTCCATTCACCACTATCTAGGGCGTAGGAACCAATCCCCCTTCCCTTCGCCACAGCATCCACCCACATTATCACCTCCTCCCCGTCCCGCAATCCACGACTACCAATACCACCCTCCACGTCCGCCAAGCCTGGTTGAAAAGACATAGCAGAGCCAGAATACCAACCGAACTAGTCCAGAACCGCCGTGACTTTTGCAAACGCCGCCGACGCCGTTAACCATCAAAAAACAATACTGCTGCTGTTATGGTGGACAGCAGATGCAACTTCTAGTGCGTCTAATGCTCTTCATTCATTGTCATAAGGTCGTGGTCGTGATGTTGCTGCCGTTACCGTCGTACCTTAAAACATTCCCAAATCCGTCATGGCCTGCTCGAACGTGTCCCACTTGGTGAGCGCTCCCAGAGCACGTCGCATGTGGGCACTAAGGAGCGTAAGACCGTATATGTAGCTGGCGTTGACCCAGCCGAACCTGCACGTCGTTAGCAACCACCCAAGATCTGCACTAAAAAAAAGTCACATACCCTTCGCGAGGAACGCCCTTGAAGTCGCTTCCTTGGTTTCCATACTCCGCCTCGACCTTGTGAGGATCAATGGGACGGGTGACATCGTACTTCTCGACAACAACGCCATTGAAGTCGACGAAGGCCTTGGTGACCATGTAGAGCCACCTGTACGACAAGCGCTGGGCCTCTGCGTCGTATCCGTATCGCTGGAGACCGACCCAGGCGAGAATCTGCTGCGGGGCCCACCCGAACGGATAATCCCACTGGCGGTTGGGACGGTCGATACCAACTGCACCGCGAGACTTCTCGGTACCCGACACGAGACCTCCGAAGCATTCAAACTTGGGGAGCGCTTGCTGCACTAGCACGTTCGCTTGCCGGGGTGTGGCTAGGCCGGACCACATGGGCCAGAAGGTTGTTGCGCTCTCGTAGCCGGTGCGCTCCTGATTGACGGTGTCGTAGTCGAAGTACATGCCGGCTTCCTCGTCCCAGAGGTACTTGTCGACGGCCATACGGCGCTTCCGCGCGCGGCGTTCCCAGGCTGCGGACGTCTCAACCTGGCCAGGCTTCATGCCGGCTCCACAGAATTCGGCAGGCATTTCCAGGTGGTCACCAAAGTGATTACGGATGCAACGGCCGATATCGACTTCGTACTTGTACAGGAGCGCATTCACGTCGACAACAGCGAGATTGGCAGCGACCTTCTCGAGGCGGTACGAGGTATCGTGGCCCGACTCGCGCACTGCTCGGTCGTGAAGGAAGTACTCGTCAAGCTCCGGTTCAGAGACCTTCCGGTAGTTGTATGCTTCCACAAACTCTTCGAAGGTCATGCCATGCTTGTTCGCGTACGGCATCAGGATGTGCTCGAAATGGGAAGCTTCGGTCTCGGGTGGAACGCCGAGGCCGCCAGGACGATAGCGAGAAAGGCCTGTCACAGGATCCAGGCGGGGCGGGGCCGTCCACACCGTGTAATACTCCTTGATAGCAGCGAGGATGGCCTCGCGGAGGAATTCTTGGGCTCCAGGTTCATACTTGATGCGTTCGTAGACGCGCAGAGCCATGTCCGTGAGGAAGGGGGGCTGCGAGCGGCAGAGGTAGTATGTACGGTTAGCGTTAAGAATTTTGCCATAGTGCTTAATACAGAAGCAAAAATGGGTGACCATGGCTTTGACGAGGTCCACGCGGTCGTTGATCATCAGCCCGAGGGACTCCATGTAGCTGTCCCAACCATAGAGCTCGTTGAATCGTCCACCAGGGACAACAAAGGGAAGACCCCTCAGGTCCTTCTTGCCAGTTACAGGGTCGAAATATTCCTCCATGGCAATAGCAAGCAGGCCAGGCGCCTTGTTGAGGTCCCGCACGTAAGCCTCGTCTCCGCAGTTTTCCGCAAGCCATTGGACGTCCAGACGCATCTCGGGGTGGTCTTTCGCGACGCGAGTGTAGTATTCGTACTGCTCGGGTGCGCCTTGGGGCACGTATATGCGCGGACGCGGGTCGTCGGTCCAGTCCTTTGGATCGCGGCCGACCTTCTCGATGTTGGAGCCGTCAATGCGGCGCGTCAACCCATCCCAGAAGGAGTATGTAATCAGCCTGGAGAGGCGGTTCACGGGGTTCTCGTTCAGGCGGGCTTCGTCGAGGACAATGGTCTTGCGGCCGTAGTCTTGGGCGAGCGTGAGCTCCTGCAGGAGGTTCGAGAGCATGTAGGTGCCCCGCACGTCGAATTTGTTGTGGGCATTGGAGGCGAGCGTCCCAAGGGAGAGCACCTGCACCGAATTAGCTCCCGAACAGCGCAATTGACACAGAGAGTCGTACCTTGGGGCCCTTGTCCTCAATTGTTATCTGGTAGTTCTCGTCCGTGTCCTCGCGCGAGAGGAGTGTCCTGAGCGTGGGCTCGACCTGGATGAGGAAGCGGCGCGGCTGCAGGGAAACTTCATCTGCGGACGGTAAGTATGTGTGCAATGCATGCAGATGCTGCGCTGGTACGTACCGTGAGAAATTCGCCGACCTGGAAAGTTGCCGTCGGCGTGGGAAGCGTTGCGGCCGGTTGCTTCTACGTTCTGCAGCCTGTCAGACACTGCATATCAGTCATTGGGGGCCGGTGCGGCCACTCACAGCAGAGTAGGTCCTGGCTCTGGCATGGTTCCGCGCGGTGTGGTCGCCGTAGTAGATGTGCGGTGCAGCGTACGGGTCGAGGGCAGTGGATGAACGGCGCGGCTTCAAAGATTGCGAGCTCATGCTACGGGGGTCGGGGCTGGCGGCAGGCCTGTGCAGAGAGTGTACGCAGGGGAGTGTGGTGTTGCGGTCGAAGGATACTGCTGCGAAGTACTGGTGACGCCGGTCAGTATGGCTCGAGGTACGAGTGACTTGCCCTGGCGGCGGGGCGCGGGGCAGACGTGCTTTGAGGACTCGGAGAGGAAACAGGAGACAGGTCACACGACGACGATGAGGGCTAGGAGAGCTGGCTGAGGTGGCAAAAGTAATTGCTGTGAAGAGGAAATGGAAATGGACAATGAATGCGGGCTCACGATGCGACGGGGAAAGGTCGCGAAGAGCGAAGCCACGGCGGAGGGCCGGCCAACGACGACTCAACAGGCAGGCGGAAACCTGTGGGTCGCGGTCGCGGCGCATAAACGGGCAGGAAGGCGGTGAGAGAAATCTGCATTGTCTCTGCTCAGCAAAGGTGCGATAGTCGGCGAGAGGCTGCGACTGGAGCTTGCAGTGGCTCGTCAGGGCCTGCCGTGCGGCTCCGGCCTCTCTCTACACAGCAATCGCTCGGCCCGACGCCTGCGGCGCCCGATCCACAGAAAATCAAATCTCTTCGCAGCTTGCGTCATTGGCACCTCTTCGCCAGTTTGCAGTTTGCAGTTTGCAGTTTGCATCGCGCGGCCTCGCTGTCCTTCCTCAAGCTTCAATAATAATAATGCGCTGGGGCATTTCCTTGTCTGCACGCCCCGGCCATTGCGCCGGCCGTGAATGGCTCGCTTCGCGGCTGCAGTCAGGTGCACCCCCACCAGGCGCCCTCCAGGGCCCACGACTTTCGCCATCCATCCCACGCCCGCCCATCGTGACCACGGCAAAATTCCTCGATTCGCTGCGTCTGTCTGCCGTCCGAGATCACTTGAGATGAAAAGTCCTCGCAGAGCTTGCAGAGGGAGATCGCCAAGGTGGACAGCGCGGTTTTTCAGTTGCTCCCTCATTCCATTAAGTCCGATGCTAATTCCGAGCTTGACTATTACACACTACTCTATTCGCTACTGTGGTATATCGTGAGGGAAGGCCGGGGTCGCGTGTCGCTAGCCGTGTTCTCCGAGGAAATGCGTCTGGAGCACCCTCCGTCGACACCCGTGGACAGAACCGCACACCGATCACTTCGGCGGACTCTGCGGAGCCGATCTCGGCCTCTTCGTCTTATCTGTCGTGCTCCGTCTTTGTCGCCTCATCCGAACCTTTTGCCAGTTCCTCGCCTTGCCGGCTTCTCTCCTTTCCTTGCTTTCCATGAACCTCGAAATAGACAGTGTATCCGACGACGGTCTCGGGCTCCCTGCGCTTGCCTCCCCGCTCTCGTGTGGCCCCGCCTCTCCGCTCACCAGCTCCGATGCAAGCCTCCTTACATCGAGCCCTTCCAGGTCGCCGGACGGTACGCCAGACTCCGCCATCAGATTCTTCGCCAGCCACGGGTGTGTATCCTGCGATGGACTCATTGCGAGAAAGCGGTCCATTGGCGTGGAAAGAGATGCGATGGAGCCTGTGTATAGTCTCAACGCGTCTTGCGATGCTTTTCGACGAAGCGCTATATCGGTGTCGTGGGGGGAGAAGTCTGCATCCGACAGGTGGTCCACGTCGCCGTATATCTGGCGGTAGGTCTCGCGCTCGGCCTCCCGTGCCCGCTCTTCCCGGATTAGGTTGACCTGGAAATATCCGTCGCTCTGCACACAGCTCTCGTCAACAGTCGTTGGATATTGCTCACAAAGGCCATCTACCTTTGGACACGCGGCATCATATATCCGCAAGTTCTCTTCCGACAATCGATTTATCCGTGATGCCGACGCTTCTTCACCAGATTCAACAAGGCCGATTCTTCCACTTCTCTCCATTGTCTCCGTGAACAAGGCTACAAATACCTGTCAGCTATCTATTGATCATTTACGCGCTTGCAGACCTACATCGCGCTTGCTCGCTTCGAGACCAATTATTCTACTGCTGTCACTTACCAGAGGCTTCAGATCGTATGGCTTGGTCGTTCTTCAATCAATGTGGGCGATAACCAGTCGAAAATGCGACGCGGAGTAGCAGCTCAAATCACGATACTTATTGAACGCTAGCGCTGGGCATATCAGTCTCCAAGCCCGAGCACTTCGTATTAACTCTCGGTCCCACCGATCCTCACAGTGAACGTGCTCTCGTCCCGGAACCAAGGCCCTCGAGAACCCAAGTGGAGACGAACGTGCAGATGGCACTTGCACTGTATGTACTGTGTACGGTATCCTCGCTAGACCCTGTGATAGGATATTGAAAGACAGCCTAGCATGCGATGTGACCGGCCTCACATCCTAGTCTACAGACCGTGCTTATGCCTGTGCGCTCGATGAAAATGGCAATTCGCGCCTAGCTTGCACAAGAGGTGAACGAGTCCGCAGGCCATTGATAAAGTCTCATTGAAAGCAAACCTTCTCTCCGGCACGAGCATGGAAGCCCGACCATATGTGCCTTTGTCGACTTGCGAAACGTACCGAGCCTGCCAATGCGCTTGCTTTTCTCCCAAAGGAAGATGCTGCAGGTGCCCGAGCTTCTGATTGGCCAGCCGCTCAAACCTTCTTTGTCTTGCAGGTAACAGACAGACGCAAGGCAAGACGAAATTTGTCACGTTGCCTTGTACGGAGCATTTGCGTGGGACTATGCACAAAGCGCCCGCGAAGCGGGGCGTGGAGCCAAGGAACGCTCTATCTCTATCAAGGGATCACGAACACAAGCACAGAGCCATTTAACCGGGCCGTGTAGCAGCTTGTGCTCTTCGGCTTTTAGCGTCGAGATCCGCGTGTGTTTTTTCTCTTTGCCTTGCGTCTCATCCTCCACCACTTCGAGTTCGCCAATGCCGCATCATCGGCATCAACGTTTGCATTCACGGCCCCTATTGGAGCCACGCAGCAACCGTTTGGCCTTGGCTGCAGAAGGCTTATTTCTTTTGCGCTTCTCATGTCATTTGACGGCTCAAGTTGAGGGCGAGCCGTTTCTTTGGGGCGACCCGAGCGGGCGGTTGCTGGGTGCACTCTAACCGTTCCGCCGGGCTCCGTGGGGTGAACGTGCTCTCAGGCACCCCTAGAACCTCACCATTGCGGAATAGAAAGGTCTTTCCGACCTATCGCTAGAATGCTTTACGAGCGCGGCCGGTCCCAGCGACTTGCGACGAGGCAATCAGGCTGTCGTCAGTGTGTGCGCTCCTCCTTCCTCTTCCGCGCACACACGGCAGCAAGCGATAATCGCAGGACGTTACGAGCTGCATGCTTTGTTCTCGGCCCTTCAGCCTGTTTGTTCTCTGCAGCTAATTTCTCACCCAAGAGATAACTCAATCCCAGTCTGGCGGCTACTCAAACCTCCGCGCAAGCCACCTCTATTTTGCCTCAGCTTGACGCCTAATCTATCCGCGACAGGGACAATGCCGTGCTACTATTCAAGCATACGGCTCTCATCAATCATCCCGCGCGGACCTGCACGTTACCTGTCCTGGAAAGGATTTCGCAGACCCGCATATTCGTCTCCTGCAATGCCGGCTTTTCCCTCAAACTATTCCCACTCCACGGTCGCACCGATAATGCAATGCACTGTTGAATACGAAGCCATCAGTCCCCTTGCCCGATGCCCTGGTCCCGGAGCCAAACCTACCCCCGTCCCTCGCTCTTGTATTGACTGATCACGAATCGTGCTTGGTCGAACGTCAGCCGTCCGTCCCGCAATGGGTGAGAAGAGTTGGCTGGGCTGCCGCAGGCCCTCAATCACACCCCATGGTCACACCGATCATGCAGTGTGATTTGTATTGGAAATTTATTCCCTGTTTTGCCCGGAGCCCTGCTCCTGGGCCGAGACTGACACTATCTTACGATTTTCGCATTGGGAGATCGCGAGCCGCGGTCGCACTCAAGCGAATGCCAGCCAGCCAGCCATCCTATTCTCGAGAAGAGTGTCAGTTCTCGTGCTTGCGAACCGTCGAGCTTTTTCCGAGCCAACCCAGGTTCTGATTTTTGAGCTTACGTATAGGAATGTTCCCACGCAGTGGTAGTCAGATGCTACTCTGTCTACCTTACTAGTGATTACCCATTGTAGAGAAAGAAGGCTGTGATACTGGCCCAACGCTGTGGTCGTTGGGTCAGTAGATGCGGAGACGATCATGCATATCGACGCGTGGAGTCTCACGGTGTTCCCCCCGGCGCCGGCTCGGAGGCGTTGCGCGCTCCCGGAGCCCAGTTCGAATTACCAACCACGCGGGTTCTATACACCAATGGTAAGTTCGCCTCTTCACCGCCAATCGGCCGGTGTGCGAAGCCTGAAAGTTAAGTGAGCAAGACTTGGGGGCATTGGCTGCCTTGTTTTTTGGGCGAAAATTCCATCACCTGCTTGTGCCGGACTTTCCGGTAGAGTACATATCCTCCTAAGGCTTCTCGCTTGGTATCGATGCGTCGGCAGGCGCTCGGCTGGAAGGCGAGGGAAGGCCGATGATTTTACTAAGTCGGTTGCCTGACTTGCAGGCTGGATTTTTGCGACGGATGGTGATGGAACTCCTCGGAGACCCATTTACCGAAGAGCCGGAAATCAGGAAGGTGTGAGCAGTTCTTCTCCCAGCTCGAGGGGAAGGCGAGATAGTGACTGGTATTTCGGCAAGAGTAATTCTCATGTTCTTTAGCTAACCGTCTCGCCGTACATTGGGGTTGGGGGCACGACAGCGCGAACGCATCATGAGCGATCATGAGCGAGGACGGATGCGCCCTCTTCGTTTGTCTGCCGTGAGGGATTACATGACGGCGAGCGACAAATATCCGTTAGCACGGCCTGAAATTCGAGACGAGTTTGTTGCACCTAGCGTAGATTCGGTAGACATGATCATCTTTCGATACCGCCCTGCGCAGAACGTAGGTCGGACAAGCTCGCTCTCGAACCCCTAATGTCTCCCCTGAGAATTCCATGGATGTAACGGTTTTGACCATGGAGCGAGCTCCTGGCCCCGCATAAAACTGCATCATTTCTCCCTGCCGCTTCGCATACGCTCCTCGGCCGGGCATGTTTATTTCGGCACTCCAACGCGGCGCCCACTTCAGACGCATGCCATCTTACTGGGACGCCAGAAAATACCGCTCAATACCTTGAGGAGAGGAAGAAAGTCTTGATAATCTCAGCGCTATTGTAGCGACCGTTAACCGTTCCATCAACCATGGATGTATGTCCGCTACCGGTAGTGTCGCGCCGTTCCGCGACGTTCGGCCCTCGTAAGGGCCCAACCTTGGCAAATTTGACGCCGAATGCTGAGGGTCAAAGACGAGCAATTGTGAGTAAACTTCATTGCACGCAGTGCTCTCTCGATCAGCCGGAACAACAATGCCTCCTGGACGCATTGTGTCCTCATCGTAACAGCGACCGATCCCTACGAATGCTTCTCCGTTATCGCACCACGTGGATCTCCCATGTTGAGGAGGTTTGAGGAACCACGGAACGTCAATATTGCATTTGGCAAGTCAGCTTTTGTCAATAACCCAGACGCCTTCCCAACGAACCTAGATGATGCATCCTCCACCTCTTCGAAACACCTCTCTCTGCATTCGCCGCAGATTCTCGGCACACTCCTCGGAGCTTCGGTGGATACTCTTCGACATCGCACAGCATGGTTGCCCCCAAACGCATGAAGAAATTCATGGCTAAGTTTTTCCACAATCCCCGCAGGGAGAAGCTAGTCTACGAGGTAGAGACTAAGCCACCAAGCCATGTATCAGGGTTCACCGACGACGTTGTTCAGCGAGAACCGGAACGGCTCGCCGAATGCCGTCTTGGGATCAACGAGGAGGGAACTCGTAACGACGAGGCTTCCACACAAGGTCTAGTAAAGGAGAAAAATCTTGTAAGTCACCATATGCCGCATCTTCCCTGCGCTCTTCATCCAATCCAAGCTTTAAACGTGTTGTGCAATGTGACTAACACTAAATCGTCCAAGCAGGCACCGGTGAAGCGATCAGCGAAGAACCCAAAAACTGAGCCGAACCGTGAGCTCAGAGCAGTCAAATCAGGACACAACAAGCCCTCTCCCCGCCGGAATTTGTCCTTCAAAAGATCAGCCGAGTCAAGCAATGGAAGCCGCACTCCAACCAGCTTGCCCCTAATAACCACTCCCCAAAATGATACTTCCGGTAGCCGCTTGCGTAGGCCAAAACCGAACTTAGAGGCGAACATACCACGTCCACTATCCATGACCAGAGCTCCGAGACCGCAAAACCAGCTATCCAGTGCACAAACGCGTCGATTTATATCCCTAAGATACTCCAAGCGTGCTTGGGAGCCGCGAGATGGACAAGTCCCATCACACCCTGACCTTAGCACGTCAAACTCGGAAGAAGAATCACCCGACGGGACTCTGGTGTCGACGATGGATTCAGTATTGAACAAGGGCCTACAACCTTCCTCAGCCTCGACTGGCTGCCTGGGTGGTCTGCCATTCATAAAGAATACGCATAAACGAAAGCCAGTGTCCGACGTGTTCGCCATAGCATCCAACAGAAATTCTCAGCATGGAAGCTCCCCGGGCACGCTGTGTGATGGCCGTAGTCCACACACTTCGTTGGTGTTGAATGGAGTCAAAAACGGTCCTTCAAGGCAGTCCGGAGGGCACCCACCTATTCCGCAGATTGCCCAGGTTGTTAGGAAAGCTTCTGAGCATCCGCTAATTGAGAAACATGAGGATGCGGTCCCCCCACCGCAATTGGAAAGACCCGATGCAGACGTGGGTGCTCTTCAAACCCATCAGACAGGGGAACACAGTGCCGTCGATGCATGGCTCGAAGCCCGTGATCGTATGGAAGCTATCAATGATGAATCGACTCTGTTACAGCACCCAGCAGTGGAAGATACTCGAGCTGAGCAGCAGAAGCCAGTAGCGGACAGCATGCCTGCAGCGGCTCCTCGCTGCGACGCAGGCACCGGAAGTCGCGGCCGAGATAATATCGAGGTTCCAAAGTTCTCTTGCGGGCCCTTACAAGGGCCGTCGGAGGAAAGCACTGACTTCCTGCCTGAGATTCTCGCTGGCAGTACGAGCCTAATTCCCAAGGATGTTTCCTTAGATTTTTCGCGCATCTCACATCCTGCTGCGCATCCATTTACTATTCGACGAACGGCTTCTGCTAGCAACTCACAACCGGTAGCCCTCTGTACACTAATGTCGCAGTTCAGCGAGGAGCTTGGGCAGGGCCTGGAAGATTCGAGCAGCGAATACCAGGGCGCAGGTCAGATTGCTGAAACAGCCACTGAACGGCCGCTACTTCCGCGAAAGGCTTCAAGCAGGAGGAAGTCTATCGCCCCTTCGTTCCCCGACGGCTCGTCACCTTCGGCTACACCTGGTATATTCCAGGATCCTTACCCGAAGACCGTCGCGCCGTCAAGCGCTGCAGGCCTTTTAGGACAAGATACTGATCGCTCCGATTCGGCACCACGAGGGGACGATGAGCAGATCCATGCCCCGTATGAGGAAGCTATGCTCTCGAATCCCCCGAAATTGAAGGGGAAGCAGAAGGCCGATTGCGAATGCCCCCTCGCACCCCCAACAGAGGATGCCTTGGAGACAGCTGTTCTTCAAGCTTTGGGCAAACCTTCGGAATCTCCAGCTACCTCCACCAAGGGAGAAGACGATGTAGCCTCCTGGCGTTGGAAAGGCAAACAGGGAGTATATCGGGACGCCAGACCCTCAGACGAAGAGCTCGAGGAAGCCCTTCGTCAGGCCCTTAACCATGCTTCGTTTTCGAAAGCGAGTTCGTCGGTCGGTCGTCAACCTTCAAAAGCCAGACATTCTTCACTCCCTCTGACACCACTTGCTCGACCATCACCCGAGCAGCTGCAAGAAGCTCTGCAGCATGCTCTTACCTTCTCCCCCTCTTCCCCCTCGCCCACACCCTCGACCGTTGAACTCAATGAGCTCCTCAGCCGCTCCGCGCCCGTGTCGCGCGTGAACTCTCGCGGCTCGAGCATATCAGTCGCCAAGGATCCTATCACCGGATCCAGGTTCAAGGAACTCTTCGACGCGCCAGGTCTCCAGCGGCTACCAAGCTACAGTAGTGGTGCCTCTGCTCGGCGCGAGAATCCCAAGCTGAAGCACAGACACTCTGCCAGAGTCCTAGGCAACGGCAAACCAGCTGCGCCAGGAGAAGAGATGGGCGGTGTTGCAGGACCGACAGATTGCCAGACGGGGAGCGGGAGAAATTTCACCGGCTCATACCATCCGCAAGCGAGGCGAAGCGCCCCACCGGATAGAGACCTGGCTTCGCAAGCGGCTGCTCTGCTAGAGGCGTCACTCTACTCCACACCTCCCCCAGAGTCGATCTATTCGGCCCAGCATTTCAGGTCCCATGGCCCGAATGGTTTCTTGAAGGGCATCAGGGGCGCTAACAGGCAGAGCATGTCGTCAGCTGCACGCGAGTACCTCAACTCGGTGAATGAGGAGACTATTGGAGCGCATTGCGCTAATGAGGCGAGGACCGGGCTGCCCAGGTGGGGCCATGATGAAGTGTGAGTCTGACCTTATCGATGTCGAAGGAAGTGTAGGTGGGACTGACACATGGGAGTAGGCAGCGCCGGAGGCAGAGCAGGATTGCGGAGGGGAATGGCGATGAGGCTTCTGCCGCTCCGGGGGAATAGTCGGAGCAATCGACATTTGCGTTCGTGTGCGCTCGCGCCTGGCCTTTCGCTCTTAACTCGCGGACGTCGTGTGCTCCGCAAAACACGCACGCTCTGCACCGTGAATCTCGCAGCTGCCCTTGCCATCCTTCAATCCAGCCCTCTTTCCTTCTCCATCACATCTCGCCTCTCTCCAGCCAAAACGTCTCACCGCCCCCTCGCACGATCAAGGCATACACCGCGCCCGCCGCCATGCCGATACTCCACCAGCCGCCTTCCCATCTTCTCCTTTCTGAGCAGCACAAATCGGACATTTCCCGGGGAGAATTCACCACTATTCCGCTGGAGAGCGGAGGGACTTCGACGACTCTCGGCGCTGTGCTCATACCTCCGTTTCAAAGCCCCCTTCGATTTTGCTTTGGACCTTTTTCGTTCTGTGGATACGAGCGCGGTGCATATAGATAGCTATGTTCCTGACTTCTATCCTGAAGTTATGGAGGTCCTCTGTTCGTTGCGAAGACTGAAATTTCCCAGTGCGTTAGGTGCGGGCGGTAAAAGCGGACTGGGATAGTAATGGCGTTGTAGTCGGTGTCGGTGTCCATGGAAGGCGACGTACGTATTGTGGAGTTGTATGTACAGGAGATTGAGGCGTCGCAGGTGGGAAGCTAGGTATTGTACTCGGGCTGGGGTAGTTCTAGCTCTTGCCGCTTGGTCTTGTATATGTAGTTCCTTTCCTCCATTTTACGAGTAGTAGGATATGAGTTCAGGGATGTAGATGCCTGGCGTGATTCGTCCGTAGTTCTGTGGTTCCCAGCTGTGGCTTTCCACTCTATCACCGCGATTGAGAATAAGGCATTGAAAGCTATGTATCGTTAGAAAAACATCGGCCCCGTCTTTCTGGATAACGTAATAGAACTCGCTACGACACGCACACATACGTTTCTCGGTAAGTCCGCTGGGAACTTGTTCCAACTATGCGTTTTGCTAGCTGCTATTTTCACTCACATACCCTTCCTTCCTCCAGCGCAGAGTGCGCTGAAACCTGAGTTACCGCAGTGCACAGCCAGCCCTCTCGCCTGCGTTTTAGCCGTCAAACACCTGAGTAAGTCCAGAGCCAGCAAAGACGTCAAAGTTAAACTCAAACTCAAAGCTGAAGTTGAAGTGAAAGTTAAACTCAAACTCAAAGCTGAAGTTGAAGTCAAAGTCAAACCCACTCCCGACTCCTAGAGTGCTGTGATTCTCCCAATCCAGTCCAACATATCCCACCCCGCCACTCCTCCCGCCCCGCTCGCCGCGCCCACCAAAGCGAGACATAGTACTGCACCGCGCTGCACAGTCCTAACCAACTAGCCTCAGGCCTCCCACTCGCTTGCTTCCCGCTCTTGCTCGGCCCGATTCGACTCGCCCGCAAACAACCGTCATCCCGGTACATCGCACCCATCGGGAAGGTCCACCAGCCGCCTCTGCGGGGTGGGCGTCATACATATGTACAAGGGTAAGTAGGCTGGTAGGCGTGCTGAGGGATTTGAACCTCGGGATGGATGGATAAGCTACTGTAAGCTACAGTGCATGTGGGAGAGGTTGTGCTGCGCGGGGCCTGGGCTGGAGTAGATGCACTGGTGGGGTTGCGTTAGGTGGATGCTGGGCTGGTTTCCCGGGCTGGTTTCCCGGGCTGGACTGGGATTGGGGTATCGGTTAGTGGAGTGCGGAGGGTAAGAACAGGGGAGTGAGAGGGAATAGCGATGACCGATAGATTGGGCTGTGTTGTTGTGCGTGAATGGGTCGCCTTAGGAAAAGAAAACTGCGCTGAGCTGAGCTGAGCTGAGCTGAGGCGAGAGCAGAATGCGGCCCAAAACGTATTGTAAGGAGCGGACAATTATCACATGAAAGCAAGATATCAATAGAGGTGATTCGGTGGTAGCGGTAGCCAAGGTAATGGCACAATGCATTAGGTTGTTCGTGATACTCGTGGGAGCTTTTTATGCTCCTGTACCTATCATCTATAGTAGAAAGATCACGGAGATGATTGGGCGCCTTGGTACAGACAGCATGCAATGAACAGAGCAGAAACAGAGTGAATAGAGACTAATAATACAAGCCGAGAGCCCCGCATACATGCAGAGGCATCGACAAAAAAAAGACAAAGCCCGCAATGACGCCGAGGCGAGAACTGCAAGGAAGGACGAAGAGGGTCGAAGGGTGAAGAGATAGTGGTACAGGAGCCTAAGAAGAGGGTATACCGGGCCATAAGCCAAAACATTCCGTCATTCGTGAGATAGTAATCCTGATATCCGTCGTTGCCATTGCCATTGCCGTTGCCGTGTCATACCATGCCGAAATGCTAAACCACGCTATGCCGATGCACTATCCAACAGTAGCGGTGAGGGAATGCGAGAAAGAGAATATGATGCGAGAAGGACAGGAATATATGCGAGGCGAAAGAGTGCAGAAGGAAGAAGAAGAAGAAATGCGAAACGATGAAGGTAGTAATGTCGACCATGTGAGATCATACGTTGACGCGTGATGGCTGTCGATGCTTTGCGTTGCGCTCGTTCCTGTCGTATAAGCTGGAGAAGAAGTATGAAGGGGCTTAGACGCCCCAGCCTTCCCAGCCCCTTCCCATGATCTTCTCCAGCACTCCGATGACTCCATCAAGAAGTTCACCTAGGCCGTCGCCACCACGGCCGGTGCCCGCACTAGTAGGACCAACATTAGTACCCACAACGCTATCCCTCCCCTCCATAGCCCCATTCCTCAAACGCATCTTGACCCAGCGCATTAGAGCCGAGCAGCCCTGCTGCCACTGAGTCACGTCGCGCGGCCACTGCGGTACGATGCCGAGGAAGTCGAGCTCGAGGAGGGCATTGGAGAGGAAGTTGATGGATGTCATGGTGATTTCCGAATGCGACATGCTAGTTGGCGTGGAGGGTGGTAGCGGTGCTGGAGAGCTGTGTGAGTTGTGCGGGATGAGGCCAAGGGCGGTAGGGTGGGTGGGGTTCGGAGAAATGCTGGGTGTGCCGGCTGCGAAGTGAGTCGGAGTGGATGGATAGGTGGGATTGGACGGAAGAGGAGAGTGGGACTGGAAGCGATGCGGCTGGTTCTGGGTCTGAGGCAAGTTGATGCGGGTGTTGGCTGCAACAGTGACAGCCCAGATCGTCAGCGCGGCGAAGTAGAGACCCATGTCGGCGCCGAGTTCAAGGCGAAGTGTGTGTGCCGGTTGCGCGAGGGCATGCTGCAAGATTTCGATCGACAACTTAAGGGCTTCCTTGATAGGAGTGTGTTGCTCAGCTACATTGGTCCAAAGTCCAGTGACCCAAGTCCTGAGCGTTGTCTTGTAGTTCGAGAAAGCCTGGGGGGAAGGAACCTTTTCGGAGAGTATCCACGACTCGCCGGACACAGCAAGTAGAGCGCGGATGGGGGTGACTTGAAGAAGCTTTGCAGTGAGGAGCAAATGTTTGGTGATGGGCGAGCTGTCAAGCAGATGATCGATCGCAACGAAGGGCGGAGGGGCAAGATAAGGAGCAGGGTTGCTGAAGTGGTTATAGTGCGCCGCAATGAGGAGCGAGGACTGGAAGCAGTCAAGAGCCGTCGCAGTCATATCGGGCGTGATCTGGTAAACGTATGGTTGGTGAACGTATTGCTGAGCCGCCATCGCCCAGTCGGACGGGTTCGTCGCGTCCCATAATGCGGAGTAGGCCGGGAAAGGAAGGTCGAAGCCAGAGAGTTGAATAAGCGATGGCTGGGAGTTGCGGGCGAGCAGAGTGGCTTGTTGAGACTCCAAGATGTAACAGCAGAGCAGTAGTCGTTGCTGAGTGGAGAGCTCGACCCATTGACCCCAACGCTCGTATGTAGCACTCTCCGATTGCGCAAGGGCGGAAACATTATCGACGATATTCGATGTGATGATCCTGAAGTTTTCGCCAAACTGAAGATCGTCAGTAGGGCCGGTGGAAGTGGTGAAAGAATGCCTACCTTGTGGTACATAGTCTCGAAGCGCGTCGACAGTCTCTTGGCCGCGCGGCGAGCTCGGTATTGGGAGAAGACTTCGATGAGGAGCAAGGCCTGCCAGTCGCACAGGCGGTCCGCCTCTGTCATGACATCAAGGTCTCTCTGCTTGCCTTTAGCATTTTCCTTATCGCCAATGGAAGAGTAGTTGGTCCATACCTTGTCCAGCAGCTTCATGCACCTGTCGTGAAGTATTCGAGACTTCCGCTTGACGCAGGCGTCATGGGAGTATTGCCCACCGATAGCGATCATGGCGGCGTGGAGCATCGGCGACTGGTTTAGGCGTTCATGCGTAGCTCGATGCACGACGGGAAAGGTGGGGTGAAAGTGTCTCCAGTAATTGTCAAGATATTGTTCAAACGGGTACGTGTTTTCGAGGCCCATACCATAGGACTGCTCTGCGAAGAGAATTGCCTGCTCCTCTTCATCCCTCTGCGCAATGGTTTTGGGGCCAAAGTGCCCAAACCCCGATATCGGATCGACTCCAGCTGACATGGGCATGCTCGTCATGGGATAAGACGTGGCCATATAGGCCAGGCTGGGCGGAGCAGGACTCTTGTCGTTTGAGGCCCACGTATATGCCATTGTCGAGGTAGCAGAAGTAGGTGACCGCGACGGATATCCCCAGGATTCTATGAACGATGCATTGGAGTTTGTGCGGGTGCGTGCTTGATTCGAACCAGGGCCGTAAGGATGATTCGCGAACATGTTCGTGTAGTCGGCCTGAGGAATAGGCGAAGCATATCCGCTCGAGGATGAGTAATTGGGCGACTGGCCGAAGGGATCATTTGTTGACCAGGCAATGTTGTTGGTTTGCAGGTTTTCAACTGCTACCGGAAGTGTTACAGAATGACGCGCCGCAGAGAAGGATGACCTGGGCTGCTTCAAATGGCTGCAGTCAAAAGTCAGCAATTTGTGCAACGCAGGGATCTGCGACAATGTGAAGAAGGAACGGAAAAAGACGACATTTGATGTACAGTTGAAACTCACTTGAAATGGGAAGTGGACTTGGAACTTGGAGAAGAACGGAGGACAGGACCAAAGGTGGAGGAGGGGAGCTGAGGAGTACGAAACGGGTTGGAAGTATACCTTGCGTTTGGCGCCGACTCCGGCATAGGAGAGACTGGCGGCTGGTAATACGGCGCAGGCGGGACTGTGGTCACAATCGGCGTGGGCATCGGGACCGACGCGGAAACCACAGTTTCAGTCTCTGCGCTGCTTCCTGGGCTAAATATTGGGGTTTGTGGCGAGTCTTTTCCGACTTCGTTACTGCCATCAATCAGCATTTTCCGTTTTGGGGAACAATGCAAGGCGCTTACTGTCTTTCCTGGTGTCGTTGCAGGAGATCCAATCTATAAAAGGGCTTCCCACATCCTGGGAAGTCGCATCGCAGTGCATCCTGCGCGTGGTTCTTCTGGTGCCGTCTGCAAGCCATATTAGCTGTGCCCCTCCGTAGTAAGCGCACTTCAACCTCACCTCAAATGCTCTGCTCTTGTATAGGACTAGATAATCTGTCAGTAACGTGCTCATCAACAATCTTCAGGCCGCCACAATAAAGAGAAGTTCGATGCGGCGCGAGGCGGAGCAGGGGAGGAGTATGGATAGAAGAGTCGTGGCGACTTCGTGTTCAGCCAGCCAGAGCGTGGGCGGAAGCGAACGCGAGCTGAAGCGCAGAGAGGATAATAACATACCCGTCCGCATTCGCAATGATGCACCTTCAATCCCTTTTTCGCCTTACTGATGCGGCCCGTCCTGGTGTAGTGGACCGACGTCTCCTGCGACATCTGCGTAGGGCTGGTCGACCGTTGCATGGTGGAACTCTCGCCACGGGAGGAGCCGGCGTGGGGGCCGAACGAGGCCTCTTTCCTGGATCCTGGGCGACGACGAGATGTAGACTTGGTTCCGCCGACACGCTCATCCGACGACTGCGAGGTCCTGCGACGTTTGCGTTGTGGTGATGGTGACGGAGGGCTGCCTTCAGGTTGCGGGATGGATGAGGCCAATGGGCGGCCGCCTGTCTCACTGGGGTAGTCCGACATAGCTGACTGCGGCAGCGACGAGCAGTATATATCTTCTAAGAGCTGGAGGGGCCCTGCGGGAAGGATCAGAGCCTCAAGTGGGGAGCTCGGACACAAGAGGGCCCGCGAGGTGGTAGCGGGCGAAGGGTCCAGATCCGGTAGCACAGCAGATGACTATGGGCTAAGGCTCATGTTTCGCGCGTAGGTGTGGCGGATTAGCAAGGAGTGAGTAGGCGGACTCGGAGGACGAAGCGGAAGATTAAAGACGATAGGAGACCAGGGCAGATGCGAAGGGTAGGGCTGTCCGTCCGAAATGGGGATCACGGCCGTTCCAAATCGGGTTCTGACGAAAGACGCAGAGGGAGAGGCTGCGCCCTACAGTTTGTGGAGGGGAACTGTAAATATCTGCGGGCTGTGCCTGGAGCCAAGCGTGATATTAGTGCACGACGAGGAGGACACGGGAGCAGCTCTCTGGAGGAGGCAGAGAGATGAGGTGCTTGAGCTGCAGGTCCCGCCCTGCCCTTGACGCTGGGAGATAGGGCATGGGGGAAGGCTGGCAGGGGAGGCCAATGGCAGTGCCGCGGCGGCTCTCATGACAGCGCTCGACGATCGAGGAGAAGCTCGACAAGCTTGAGCCCACGGGGATGGCTGGAGGCGCAACCGAACGGTTCCAGCAGCCGCAGAGGACAAGGAGGCATCCGAGCACCAAAATTGGGGTGGGCGACCCCTGCATTGCTCGGGGCTCTGACTGGGCGGTGCCCACGCCAGGCTGCGGACCGTTCCCGCATCAAACCTTCGAGGCACACCGCGCAGTGGTTACTAAGAGGGGAGTGGCTTGGGAGTTGCGGTGGACGAGCAAGCGTGAGCCGTCACGCCCGAAAATAGCGGCATGCGTGAATGGGCAGAACGAGCGCGCTCAGCCTTCCTGCACCCGCGCACTACCTGCCGCTTACCGCCGAAGGATCACGGCCTGTCCCAAAGCGACTGCCAGTGGTGCGGTCATCGCGACGCAGCAGATGCGCGACGAACCATGAAGGATGATTAAGAGGGTGAAGGGGGAGGGCAGCGACGCCGAATCGACGTCGCGATGCAGCTGTCGGGGACCGCTTGGCTGGCAAGCGGGCGTGCGACTGCTGCTGCCCCTGCAGCCCATGGATAATGCCCGACCCTGCGGCAATTGAGGGCCATTGGTGGAGTCGATTATTGGACAGGTGCAAAGCGCGGCAGACTGGTCCTCCTGCAGCTGCTGCAGCGGGGATGCCATGCAGAGAGAGACGTCGGCAACGACGTCGAACGTTGCTCCTGCTGGGCGACGACACGACGGTACGTCCGGTGCAGCGTGGAGATGAGAAATTCAGAATCCAAAGGCGCTGAAACCGGTCTTCGGCGCGCTGATTCGTCCGCTGAGGAATATCAGAAGAGCATCGCTGGGCCGTAAGCATCGGGGTGCAGTCTCTCCGCACACAGGATTGCGGCTATTAATGGCCCTGTCCCACACCCTCGCCGCCAAGGCGAGCAAATCTCCACACGGACAGCCCACTCGCCCAGCAAAGAGCGCAGGGCTGCCCGTGTTGGCCTGGATGTCTTAGCTGGTCCGGGCTGGGAAAGCTTGGGGAACACGTCAACCAAGCTCCCGCTCGAGCACCCCTAGTCCGCGCCATCAGCCCTCTAGGGCGCGACGAGCCTTCAACGGACGACCAACGGTGTCGACGTCTGCACGAGGACACATGCGGGACATGGCAGGACAGTCTCGAGTTTGACGAAGCTTACCGCGCTCGTCGCGCGTTCGGAAGGGGTGCGCGTCTGCACGTCGCACGTCAGATCGCATCTTTCACCGGTTTCTGGGGCTCGAGCGCCGACTGCAGACCAGAATCTCTGTATCCGCCGGCGCGGAGCATTGAGCCGGCAGAGCCGCCAGCGCGTTGACGAGGAGTAGAGTGCGCACGTGATGTCGCACAAACTGCTCGCAATCCTTTCCGGTCCACGTTGTGGGCGGCCGCCGCGGGCGACGTATCGCCAGGAGCGGTTGACGTCGTATGGTCGCCCAGACGGTCGGAATCCCACCGACAAGGTCACCGTCGTTTGAAAATCGGTCCTGTTTTTCCGCAACCGAGATGGCGGTCTTGGATGGCGGTTAAGGGTCCCAGCGTGAAAGACCGACGTTCTCACGGCTTTGCATACCAGGCCAATCACAGCCATGGAGCCACTGTCAGAAAGTGTGAGAGATCAACGGCGGGCGCGTAACAGCGCCCAAGGGCCCATGATTCAGCAGCCAACGACTCAACCGTGTCACGTTCAAGCTTTCAAACAGGGGATTTTGTTCGCTTTGCCAGCCTGGCAAGCACGAGCGTTGGTGAGCCGTGCTGACTTACTGTAGCAGAACGAGCTCTTGCTGCTTCTGCGCAAGCGTGCCCTTTCCCGCTCCGGCTTCGCATGTCGTTTATGAGGGAGCGCTACGAAGCTTGTCGGGACGGCGATCGCTGTGACGACAGAACCCTTGGGACCTCAGGCTGACCTGAATGGGCGGGTTTCGGGATTCAGCGTGCAGCACTCCTTGCATGTAAGACTTCTCGAAGCTCTGAGAGGCTGACGTTGTGAGAACTCAAACCAGAGAGCAGGCATCGCGGCTGAGGATGTAGATTGCTTTTGCGATTTGGTGCGCTAGAAGTTGCAATATGGACGGGCATCAGGCATTCTGATGCCTGCCGGTTCTGTACGGTTGAGAGGCCTAGAGCATGAAGTGAGACAGGGCCTCAACACTCCAATACAGCCGAATCAACCTGAGGCAGGCTCAATGCTCCTGCAGGCGGCACGTGGGCTGCGCTGCATGTGGTGATGCAGGTGGACTGATGATTGCTCGAGCAGCGGGAGGGATGGTGACATCGGCAGATGGCCGAAGGATTGCTGCGGCAGGAAGTCCGCTGCAGCTGCACGGCGAGCAAGAAGCTTCATCTCCACGCTCCGTAGTCGCAGCATACCCGACGCGTTCCGGGCGTTGAGTGGCGAGCGATGCAGATGCCGATACTTAACAGTGACCCCGCCCGCGAACGGACGGGCATAGTCCAACACCAAAGCTCTGAGACATGGCCAATCCAACACTGCTGGCGTATCGATGAAACGGAGTCGACAGCATGGCGACGGCGGACTGCAACTGTCGCTCGAGGCTAGAGCGGGGGAAGCGCCTAGGCTCAGGGAGTACAACGAGTCCGGGCCTGTCTGGGGAGTCGCATCTTGCACTCTTCCATACCGTCCTCCTGAGGAGTATCGCCGCGCCGTGGCAACATGCAGATGGCGTCGAGCAGCAGACGGAACTCGGAGAGGGCTAGGCGCTTGCCTATCGCTTCTCGCGGCGCCGTTCCAAGCCGGCCCACGGACGGCCGCTAGCTCGCGGGAAGCAAGATGCGGGATTCATCTGAAGGTGCTGGACCTCACTGGCGCGGCCTTTGTTCGGTGTAGCGGCTGGCGAGGTTGACATTGAGGTGAGGAGAAGCCATCGCCGTCCGAATGCGAACATGGAAGAAAGTCAACAATGGCACGATCCATGATGTGCGGGGCGCTAGCGAGTCGTCGCTTCCTAGCCTCGCTCGAGCCTCCGAGCGTCGCTCCTTCGGCAAGATTGATCTGATAGCGCTCTCCGCGGACATTGGCTGGTCGCTTTCAGGCAAGATTATCGCCAGCTGGTGTCTCGATGCGAACCTTGGAAGCACCATTTTCAGGGTTGCAAGCCTGCCGTCTGAAGCATACCTAGGCACAGTACCAGTATTGACGAGAATGCAGGCTCGCGTCGTACCATGCTGTCATTCCTGGACATGACTGCTGCGACCCCGACCAAACGGCTAAGCTAGATGCTGCTCGGGAGGAAGATGGGGATCGGTGGTCGTGAGCAACTCTGTTCATCCTGCCAATATTTGTCATGCTATGTCGGAGAAATCAGTGCAGCACTGTACCGTAGCTGGATCCAGGGTAGCCCAGCACGCAAACCGTTTCCAGCAAGCCATCGTCGCGGACTTAGCGTCCTCCGCCGTTATTCCCCCAGCCTCGCCATCGCAACACCTGGGCACCGCCGAGCAGCTAAACAAAGCAGCCGTGAAGCCACGCACGACGCTTCGCGATACTTGGACTGTTTCTCTCTACGCGCCCGTCTTCACAGCCTCGCCGCCTGCCGCATCTCTATCGCACGCCTCGCGATAGACGTGCGGGGCAGGTGCAGCTGGGCAGCACCACCCGAGATGGCTTAGCGCGGCTGCAGGATGCGCCAAGGCTCTTTCCGTTTTCTATTCATAGCCCAATCACATGGCCCGTTGGTGAGGCTGAGGCTGATCCCGCCGCTCTCAAAACCAAAATCCGCCTTGCCTGCCAGAATTCGCTCGCTCCACCGCGGCTGCGTCAGGCTGCGTCCTGGTGTGCTGCAATTCGCGGACCGACCGGCGAATGCGAACACAAGGCAACCAGGCAAACTTGAAGCTTAATCTGGAGAGATTGGTCGTGCGGTCGTGATGCCACCCCCAGCGTTTCCCTCTCTGGGCGCGCGACGATCGAATTTCCGCATGTGGAAGGGACGGCCAGCGCCCACAATTTCCCGTCATCGCTGCACCCGCACCCGCGCCCATCAGCCTACACAGTGCGCAAAATTAGTGATCTCTCTCATGACATCTGCTCCCGCAGGCCGTCTGAGCCTCCACCACGTGGAGCAACCCGCCCACCCAGTTACTAATCCGCCATCCGCTCGCCCTGTGGACGTGACGCTCTAAGCGCCCGCACGTAATGGCTGCTCCGTCTGATATCAGCACCTTTTTCATCCTACCTCACATGTCAGATCCAGCCCTACGTTCATTATTGCCGTCTCGCTTCCGCGCTCCATCTCGCTCCATCTCGATGCCAACGCTCTCCCACATCACCGGCTCTCGCTCTACCCGCTCGCTACGGCCGTTTCATAGTGCCAACACGAACCTCACCTCATCACTAGATCGCCATCGTTTCCCCTAGAGTCGCTTGCCGCTGTGCTAGTCGCCACTGCAGTAAGCTGCATTGGCTCCGCTCGGTGCGACAGGACTTGGTGTTGTGCTGTCCCTCCGCCGAGCTCTGGGTTGGACAACCGCAAGTGTCCGTCCCTGCATGCGTGGCGGCTGTCAGAGGACCGAGGTGTCGTCCTGAGGCAAGCCCCGAGTGCAACTCGACCCCTGCGTTGTACAGAAACGCTGTTTCGGACTTGTGTTGGTGGCGTCAGGGCGCGCCTACGGACACCGATGCACGTGACCCCAACAGTGGGGACACGCTACGCAGCGTGAACCCGTCGCAGGGAGAGACATTTCGAGGCACCTACGAGGCAGCCTTTCTCCGGGCGGGAGAGGACATCTTTCGTCAAAGGGCTGAAGACTACGTGGCCAGAGGTCTTGAATTCGGCCGGTATCAGGTGACTCGTCTTTCACTGTCACAATTCTATCCTCCTCCACCACACTCCGCACTCTTCAGAAGCGCGAGCGGATAGCTGTAAGAACCCGCCTGCGGGACGGGCGCCATCAAGCATTGCGTAACACCTAATCCCGCCCCTCTTCCTTCTCAAAGACCACAGCTTATCAGCCGCGCCCGAGCCACGCACGGCGGCAGATTCGACGGCAGGCAATCTGGGGAATTAAGCATATCTTCCTTCGGCTGCACAGTGTGAGCGCGCTGGCGGGAGATCTACCTACTCGTGCGATACCCGGTCGGGACCTTCAGTACAGTAAGTTCGCCCCCGTCAAGCAGGCGTAGACGGCCTTATAGGGCGTAGACGCGTCCACAGGTAGATGAGAAAGGTACGGGACAGCCAGCGATAGGGAAAGGGAACTGTAAGAGCGCAAGTGATAGCTTCAAGCTCACACTTGCCTTTGCTCGCTGGCTTTGATCAGTAGGAACCTTGGAAATGAGCGTTCAGTGCAACATAGTTTGAAGATTACTCCCCTCTCCCCATCGCTTCCAAAGCCAAGCTCCATTCGCATCAGTAGAATACAGCCTTAACGAGGAGGGAGCATGCAGCATTTCCACTAGGTTTCCTCCAGTATCGGCATACCGTGCGACAACGCACTGCGGTGAGCCAACTGCCGACAGATCTTCCACCCACCGTACATCTGCCTCCGAGCGCACTACATGCATATCATAATCTTATATTCCCCAGGAAACACACCCATGTGCAGCCACCGTAGCATCGTCCCCGGTTGTGGTTGCGCAACAGCATGCATCTGTAGCCATTATAGGTGCTGCTGTCCAAAAACACCGCACCAGCTAGCCACATTCGTAAAACCCTAGTTTTCGGACTACAACAACCACACACAGTATACGAGCCAGCTATATGCTTCCTCAAAGCTCCATGTAGCTCGGTTAACCCGCAGCATCGTCCAAGTCCATTATTTCGCTCCTGAAGTCCTTCCACTAACACAGACGGGTGGCTTTCTCCTGCTAGCGCTCCTTCCTTCCCGCGTTCCTTCGTGCCTTCCCTCTCATACCTCGTCCCAGCCATCCATGCCTTCCTTACAAATCTCTGCATCCCATCTGCGTCTGCCACCAACCACTCCCCTCCCAGCCCCATCCTAGTTATCACTCCCCAATCGTGTGTGCATTCCTAATCGCGCAAGCATGCCAACACCCCGGGGAAGCCGGCCCGCGTGGTGCCCATGGCTTTTCTGGGTGTAGTGTACGCATTCCGATGTGAGGATTAGGCTTGCCGCGAAACGAAACGAGGCTGTGTGGCTGCGATGGGGCCGATGTCCGATGGATGGCCCCCCGACGAGTTCTGATTATATATGAGGAAGAGCCCCTGGCTGCTGTGCTGTTTTGTTGCGTTTCTTGGGGCTCTTGATCGTGGAATGCGGAATACTGACCGGCGCGGTTGGTCGTTTGTGAGGCAGAGTGGGGGGAGTTGCGGGTCGGAGGAGGGCTGGTTGGACACAGACAGAGGTGGACGCGAGGCACGATCGAACGGATAGCATCTGCATCTTATCTCCCTTATCTCGATGGATTGGAGGAAGACATCGAAGCGGCGGGATATCGGCAAGACGAGGAGGATGTGTTTGGGATCCTGGAGTGCCCGGTGAAAACCTTCCTTCCGCAATGTCAGGCACTCGGGAGGGAGCAGTCCATCCGGCGGAGATCACAACGCGTCACGCGCTGAGATATCGTAGGCACAGTCCCCGAGTTCTCTCATAGTATTGCTCCAGGAGTTTCAGTCCAGCTGCTAACGATCCAGGTGAATGACGGCGGCCAAAGTTGAGAGCTTGACCGTTCCAGCTTCTTCCCCCTTACATGATCTCTTTAGTCTCTATTACCTTACTACCAACACCGAACGATACGATTATTGCCCATACTTGCCGAAATACATCTTAGGATAGCTGCCGGTCTCGGCGGTGGCTCTAAATCAGTCGGCGGGAGGGAAGTGCAGATGCAGAGCGGTAATACATCTAAGAGCGCATTAAAATCTGGCAGCTCTAACAGGCAAGCTCTTTGCATGCCATCCACGGGGCGCATTCGCTTCGAAAGCACCCCCTTCACGGTCGTCTCACTAGCCGAGAATCGTACGCCCTCTTCTCGTCAGGACTCAGCTCCCTTAATGTTACGCTGCGAACCATATCGCATCCCGACGACGCTTCGACTCGGCTGCCGTCCGCACCATGATCCCCCGTCACGTACGACAGAACGTTAACAAGCTCCTTTCCCACAACTTCATCATCCACACGGTACGGGCCCACGTCGACGTCGTAATGCCACAGCCCTTCTACGGCTACTCGTATACTCTTGAGCCTTTCGCCACGGATATGCGACCTACAAGTCTTGGGGATGTAGTGGGTGGTGGCCAAATCGGATGTCGTAACGAACAGGGACCGAAGCGCGACACAAGCGAGACACATCCTCTTGACGTCGTCTGCCCTCCACGCAGAGAATCCTATGATCGACAGGCTCTTTACGTCCGACCAAGTCTGTGACAGTGTCCCAGTAGCCAGACTTACCATCCCCGGCTCCCGCATGTCGACTTCCAAAGATCGAAGAGAGGGAAGGCGGAATACCGGCCAGAGTTCCGATCCCGACAATGACCCAAGATGTAGCGAGAGATGATGTACAACTGAGAATTGAGATGCATCCAACGCCCGTCCTATGCGGTTGCCTTCCTGGTCGAGCCTCGGGTGGAGCCAGACAGGATCGCTTTGTTTTGGTGGGAAACGGGAGAGATCGAGGACCTTGAGGTTTGGGAGCAGTCTAATGGTCGACAAGAGAAGGGGCCCGCATTGGTCTTCCACGCGGCCGTACCACTCATCCTGCTCGATGCTGTATTTCGTGATAGTCTGAAAACATCCTTCCGCGCTATGCTGGACGGCAAAGTTTTCGACACATTCGGCAAGATGGCGATTCGCGGAAAGCGTACGCAAGAGCTGTCGGCCCATGGTCCCGGATGTGCTATGGATGCTCACATAGAGGTGCGGCTTAGCAATGCGATACAGTCTCCGCGATGCGAGGCATAGCGAATGGAAGGTCCGAGAATCCGGACGCGTCAGATACGGTTTGCGGCGGGTGTCGATGCTGCGGATGATTGCGTCCACGATTTCCTCAGGGAGCCCGTCCATGGCTCGCGAGGAGATGTGTGGTGGTTGAAAAAGGCCTGAGGGAGAAGTGGAGAGGAATGTTGAGCAATGGGTTGCTGCCTGGAATTTATACGGCCCATGGTGGCTGTCCGTGCGGGGTCAGCAAGTAACCTGCAACTTCCCCATCACTTCCCCGAATGGAAACTTATTCACTTACCCAGATACTTCCGAGGTCCCAATTGCTTGCGAAGCCAAGTTATCTTTCGGTGCGAGGATCAGATGCTGAGGAGCAGGAACCTTCCAAGGTTGGAAACCGCGAGGCTCACGCTTGTGCCTTCCCGGATGGATGACGCTAAAAACTGCCTTCCACGGTACCGACATGACTCTTCTCTGTTGAGACTACAATGCAACCTTGGAAGATAAAAGGCAGGACCAAGTTAGGTAGCCCTGCGCACATTCTATGGTTTATATTTGGGCTTTCTCCCGCTGTCTTAGCCCACATCCTACCGTCACTAGTTACTTAAATTCCCGACAAAGCCTACTCTGTCCAAGCACGAATTCTGTCCGGGTCATCAATGGAAGCCACGAGTAAGAGGAAGTCCCCGTCTCCTTCCGGAACAATTGCGGCAGCCGCGCCTTTCACGGCGGTGCTAGCCATACGCAAGCGCAAGAAGGAACAATTGAAGGAATGGTGTGCAGGCGTGCAGGAAACCGGAAAGTGTGAGGCGATGAACACGGAAGCCGTCGCCGAACTTGGGATTCCAAACAATAGCTACTCCGATCCTCAACCAGGAGAGTCCAGCAACGATATCGACATTGATAAACAACGACAGTGCTCTATAACCAACAACAACTCCGAAACTCTGGCTCTCAGTCTTCCCATGGAAGGAAACATGGCCCTGAATTCGTCGCCCTACGAGGATCCCAACCCGAAGACAACATGGGCTTTGCCAGGCGACACTCAGCCGCAGGGCAATGCGGATGTCGACGCCGACGCCGACAAGTCACAGTTCATGAAGGAGGATGCTGGACACAAGGCCGTGCAGGTCAGTAGGCACTGTGAAGAGATGCAACCTTTCTCTGACCTTGCTCATTACGCTCGCCAGGATACGGAAGGAGCCCAACAGCGATTGCGAGCGCTGGAACAGCAGCTCAGCGAGAAGGACGCCGAAATCCAGCACCTTCAGACCCGGAACAAAATCCTGGATCACACTCTAGATATCCTAGAGAAGGAGAGGGCACAGAAGAACGAGGAGCTTACAAAACTGGAACAGTCCATCACTCAAGGCACATTGATGAGTCCAGAAGAGGTTGAGAGGCTTTATCACAAGCTCCAAAGCCTCGAAGCACTCCCAGAGAAAGCCCAGCAGTTGGAAGAATGTCTCTCTAAGGGAAATAGCGAGCTCCTAAGACTGCAGAACCTGTCCAATTCGCTGCAGGCGCAACTGGATGCGAAGACTAGAGACACCGACCGCTATCTTTCCTGCGTCATTTCCCTAGAGCAGTATCTCGAGATTGTTCTGCGGGATCGGGATTCGTCAGTGCAGTATACGCACGAGCTCCGAAAGAGGATCAGGTCGTTGGAAGAACTTCATCGAATCGTCATGCCCACCTCAACGAACAGTTTCATCTGAAAACATGCATCTAAAACCGCGACCATGGCCTCCCCATCATGCACGGCATGGGAGAACAACCGTTTGTCTCCATCGCATCTATATGCGCCGTGAAGTGCCGGAAACAGCTCATCCACGGCAAGGCAAATGAGCACGAAAGCTGCGAAGAAGAAGAGGAGAAGAAACCAGAGATCGTGCACGGAATCCATATAAATGACTGGAGACACCCGGACGCAGCGTTACTCCGCCCGGCACATGAACAAAGGGCAACTAAGCCAGTCTCACAGGTGGAATCAGAAAGTTTAGAAAGCAGAGTAAAGGCCTTGGAGCAGCGGCTGTCTGAGCGACGAGTAGCCCCCGACGAGGAGCTCTGAATAGTCCAGACTGATGTTATGGGGAAAGAAGACGGAGTAACTTCGCTGGACTGGGGATTTAGATGAAGGGTGTGGGGAGAGACAGCGAGGATCTCTACACCACCCTCCTAGAGATTCACGCTGGGTGGAGCGGGGTGCCAGGAAAGTCTTGGGTTATTTGAGGAAGAGTATGGTGTCGATGTCACGGCTGGGCGTGAGTATGAAGAGATAGGAATGCGGGTACAGCAGCTGGGGACACAGGTCTTGAGGGGAAAAGGAGGAGAATAGAGATCCGCCGGCCGTGAATCTTTCGCTGAGAGACAGGCTTGCGATGACGTGGGAGGAATTTTTCTCAGTCGTCGGACCAGGAGAAGGCGGTAATGCTGGTGCCTGTTGTGAGAGTACTTAGGTTGGAATGGAAGTGGCCAGGACGAGAGAGCCCAATCCACTACAGACAAACGACAGCAATAACGTAACAGCGTTATGTAGTCGTAATGATAGGTTGACTTAGAGAGAAGCAGAATACAAAAGCTTATCGAGGTGTACAACTTCTCCGAAGCCCGATATGCGATTCCCATTCCTCAAGATGCGTTTTCTCCCAGGGCATCTCTCAGCATCGCAGTATCCAGATACGCTCGCACACTAGCAATCATCCCATCATCATTGAAACCCAACACCCAGCAATACTCATTGTTATACTCCTTCCCTGTTCCACAATCAGCGCAGTCCTTCACAGCCATTCAGGCGCTGGATAGCACTCACCGCTCTTCAACACCCCGCCCACACCCTTCAACTCCACGACGGCCCGTCCCTTCATGCCTCCCTCCTCGGGCTCCACCATGACACCTACAACACTCAACTTCATCGGCTTCTGCAATATCGACCCAACCCCCCGCCAGCTTTCCCTGATGAACTGCTCTTTAGAATGGTACCGCTTGGCTAAGGGATGCGCGGAGCCCGTGACGAGCCAGTCCACATCCTCGGCCACGTGGTCGAAGAAGGAGGACGCTTCGCCGGCGGCGAGGTGGGCGAAGATGGAGAGAACGTGCTCTTTTGTGAGGGGTGGCATTGTAAGTTCGCGTGGAGGGAGGGGAAGGGAGTTCAAGACTGTAGGAAATGGAACATGCGCTTGAGGGTATGCTTATAGCCTGAGTCTTGTGATTATATCGGCATGAACGTTAGCGATGGAGAAAAGAAACTCCGAATATTTTCGGCGTGGATGCAGATAGTCGAGCAGTATCTTCCTGCAGTTATACGGGGAAGAGACGGGGTTAAGAGGCCAGCATCCGTATCTCCGAAACGAGGACGGCCCACACGCTGGTGGGAGAGAAGTGCTCACAGAAGCGCAGCGAGCCTCACGCCACTCTCAGCATTCGCTAGACTCCTTACAGAAACTGCGGTCGAATGTGCCGTCGTTTCAATCGTGGGGGACATCGCACTCACCATGCCTCGTCCAAGTAAAGCCACGGTTTCAACGGCCAAGCCTCAGACGACGGAACGGAACAACGGGCGGCAAACTCTGATACGAGGCAATGCGGGCCGTGACCCCCTTGTCGCATCGGCATCGGCAAACAGCTTGGCGTTATTATCTCAGCTACAGTGCTCGTCACGTGCGGCTCTTTCCGTATCCCCATCTACGATCTCCAACGCGCGAAAAGCAGCCTCCTACTAAACCCCATCGGCTATCCATTAAAGCTCCCTGCGAGAACGACTTTCCACGAGCTCGTAGGGAAGATGGCTGTTGTACGCGGCTCCAAACGCATTTCACACAGCGCGGCAGCCCCGTGGTCTGATTTCCCCAATTTTCGCGCGCCGCAGCCAATCAGCAGCGGCGCGCCATCGCACTTCTGAGGCGCACTCCAAACACCGCTTCCCACTACTCACGCCACTCCAATCCATGCCCAAATACTATCCCATCCCTTCCCCGTCGTCGCCATGCGATTCCATTCTGTTGTGCAGAGCCGGCTCCCAATCTTTTTTTTCTTCTCTCCTCCCATTCTGTTCTCTGTTTCTATTCTTTGGCGTCGATCGCTTGTTGGATTCTTCGTGCTTTCGATTCCGGAGCAGCAGTCATTTCCGCGTCGAACCGACCGTTTTTGAGCAGTTAATTGCGTGAGGAAGAAGCGCCGCCACAATGCCGCCCAAGAAGAAGGTCGGTCGTGACCCCTACACGACGCTCGCCATCGCAGTGTCCTGCCTGGTCCTCGGCATCCCCGTGTCCGGCGTCGCCATCAACCTCGAGTTGACCTTCATGGCCACGCAGAACATCAACCCCTCGGACGCCATCATCCAGTCGCCGCACATCGCCCTCTTCGCCGCCGCCGTGCTCGCCATCCTCTCGTCTGTCGTCGTCATGCTCGGCTCCATCATCCTGCGCCACATGTCGCCCAACAACGTGCCCGTCGGGCTCGTCAGCTTCGGGCTCGCGGGCGTGAATCTCGCCGGCCAGCTGATCATCCTGGCGCTGATTTACATTACGAATTCGCTGCATCCCGAGAGCAAGAGCCGGAACGATGTCAAGTTTGCGAATGGCGTCTATGAGGTGGCCGGCGGCAAGGAGTTTACGAGGGAGACGTGGAGTTGTATGATGGGGAACTTGTACCTCGCGCAGGAGCCTTGGTCGACGAATGCTTGCTCTGAATATGTATGTCGCCCTCCCCTGTTGCTGGTATTTTTATCTTGTAGCGCGCTAACTCGAGAACAGCACTATGCTAGGTACTGCACTATCCTTCTGGTGAACACGGCAGCGCTTCTTCTCGGCATCGCCTACTGGCCCGTTCGCAACTTCCTGTTTGGAGGCAGCCAGCAGCCCAAGGCCGGATAGGGCTTTTGAGGGGATTTTTCGGGCTACGGCACCGCGGAGCAGGGCTCCACGGGCCGTCGAACTCACGCATGGCTGTTGCGAGGGGGAAACGAACGAGAGATTAGAGGCATCGCGGCAGGCGCATTTGACGCTATACTTTATTGTACATTGTAGATCGGCTGTAATACACTTACTTGGTGCTTGCTATATAGCCAAAAATTTACTCGAAGTCGAGATCTGCGGAAGGATCTGCGTAGCAGAGATCTCCGTTCCAGCGAGTGATGCTAAGCGATGCTAGTCCCAAGCTCTCGGTACCCACCTGTTCATCGCTAAGCTTCCCCTCCCTCTCCACTGTATCACACACCCACCTCTCCGGCCCCCTCGCGAACACCAAACCCCCTCTCTTCACTCACCATACTAGGTAGTCCTACGCGCTGGCGCCAAAGCAAGAAGATAGTACTTCCGCAGCAGATGACACGATCACGCAGGGGCAGACTATCCTCCCAACCTCCGCCCTACTTCTCATCGTCCTGACTAACAAGCGTATCAAACGCCGTATCAACCCTCTCAATTCCCATCCTCCCTTTCAGCGCCAAATGCTCCCTATCCTTCAAATCCAGCGTAGCCAGCAGATCCCCCGACGCAGTGACGGGGTTATCCGAATGACATCCTTTCCACGAGCCGTACCCCGCTTCCTCGTGCGCAAGCCGCTGGAGCTGCAGCGTGCTCGTCGCCGACCATTCGCGGACCGCGTGCAAGGAAGCGTTGCCCCCGGCCTTGAGGTGCCGGCGCTCTTGGAGCCAGGTGGTGAATGGTGCTATGGCCATGTCGAGCAGCACGATTGTGCCCCCGATGAAGAGGATGAGGGATATACCGAGGACGTTGAAGGAGGAGTATTCGGTGCTTTTTATCTTCTAGGGGGTGGGAGTTAGTCGTCGGGAATGTAGTGGCTGATTGTATGGGAAAGGATGGCGGATACCTGGTTGATACACATGCTCTTCGCCGCGGTGTCGTTGGTCTCGGGTACTACTTGAAACTGGCTTAGCTCTTGTGGTGGGCCTCCTGCGGCTCGAACCAGCGCATCTTGCATCGAGGCCAGCTCGCCCTTCACCCAGTGCTCCGCTTCCAATTGCCACTGGTTTGCAGGAAGCGGGCCTTGATATCCCAATGCCAGGCCGTAGCGGGCCCTCAGCGCCGCGGCGCCAATCATGCCAACAAGCAGGTTAATGCTCGCCGTATCGATGCTAAACATGTATTCGGCGCGATTCACAAAGTCCTGTTGCGACTTCGACGGGAAAATCTGCGGTATCGTCGTGGACTTTTGCGGATCGTAGAGTCCGCGTAGAGGCTCGCATTGCTCGGACGCAGGCCCCTTGGGGTTGCAGAACTGGACTTGCATGGTGCATCCCATGGCGTTTATGGGCGAGTCTTGGATCCACGATGGTCGAGTCTTGTTGTTGCGATCGTAGAGTACGGAGGCGTTTCTGTGTGCGGAGAACCACGGATCATCGGTAGGTGCCGAGAATCGTATGCCTGGCGCTGATAGAAACATGACGAAGACATCGGCATCGGTCCGATGGAGCTGAGGGATGGGCGACCACATGGCGCCGCCGGAGTTCTCTAGCGATGGATCTTCGCCTGCGATGGATTCCATATGCCTAAGTGACCGTTAATGTGGTACATCGACAGCGGAAATATAATTAGACCAACCCCAGGTTATACTCGGGTCGACTTGTGCCGATATAGCCGGTGCCGTTCGAGGGGCTGTAGGGAAAGTCCAGGGGTACTTCGTAGGTCCATGCTCTTGGATGGAATGCACCATTGCTTCCCTCCCCATAGAAGACCCTGGCGACGGCTCCGGTGTCGGTGTCGTTCACGGTGTCCATGAATCCCTCAGTAACAAGTGGCGCACACTCGTGGACTACTCGCAAGTCAAACTGGTTATCTGGCGGTAAATTGATGCCAAAGTGCTTGAGGCTGTTGAGACGTCCGGTGTCGAGCACAAGGTTCTCGTCCAGTGATTTGCACATGCTTGTGTTGAAGGGACACGGCGCTTTCGAGTTCACATTTAGCGGAAGCTGCGCCGCAGTGTATAGGTTACAGCCGTCGGCATTCTGGGATCTCAATCTGTTACTGTAGCATTGGAGGCCGTAGTTCAAGAACTTGCTGCAAAGCTGTGCATGATACGGCTTGAAGAAAGAGTACACAGCGGATGCATTGTTCGCCTTCGAGATGTCCAAGGTTGCGCACCGGTCTCCTTTGAGGAGAACTTCGTTGGCCGTATCGGTAGTTACGTGAGAGGAGAAGACGGATGCGACACCAAAGGCAGCGGAGAGGATGAGAGCAGCGATGATCAACGGCAACAAGCGGAGAATCGGGTGCCGCGCCCGCCGTCGCCATGCCATCATGCTAACCAGTAATCTCCAGGCTCCATCTTGCGCAGTATCTGAATTCCGTAGTATTGCCTGGCGTTGATGGTACAGGCCATCCTTGGGTTCCGGGCTAGAGAACGAGATGTGTAGGCAAAAGCAAGCCAGACGCCATAAGCTCTTGCCTGCCATCCCAACGTAAATGGCGAGGAAGGCGATAAGGAAACCTCCATTAGGGCGGGAGAGTGTTATTGTGGCGCCACGGACGGCACCATGGGACCAATTAGTCCAGAAGCCGAGGTGGACAGCGTAGGAGTGGAAATAGAGTTCTGAGGAGTCCATGCCTGGTGAGAAAGTAGCCCGCGGGAAGGATTGGAGGTGGCGTGTGCTAACGTGGCTCGAGGGTGAGCACACAGGATCTTATACCGTGCATGTAGTCCATACCGCCCCCATATTCGTACGACATGACGCTTTTGGGTTGATGTCTTCGTTCGTATCGATAACGCGCCTGAAATAGAATGGCGGTTCGGCGATCCTGCATCCTTGGCCCCTATCAGCTTTGCAGCCTACATGAGCTCAACCCAGATTGGTACACTGCAGCGTAAGCTGAAGGGAGGCATCTGCATGCGGGAAGAGAATCTTTCGTATGAGTTTTCCTCGACGCCGAATTCCCAGGGTCGACCGTGAACAGGGAACACCTACATGTGTTATTGGCTGAAAGGGTTCACTATCTGCGCATCCCCTGCCTTGACGGGCGCCATGTGGGAGGCCAACGCAAGTAAGCTCAACACCCAGCTGTACGACTGCATGTATAGAAGGAAACAAAGCAAGAAGGCTATAGATGATCGGGCCGATACAAGCCCCTTTTCCCAGCGGCAGCAATTTCTATCCATATCAGCAGAGACATGGTAAACAGCCAAGAGCGGGGTCGGGCACAGAGATCGAAGTACGGTGTTTCTCTTGGGATACTCGTGCCAAGGGACTCAGCGGGGGAATACCAGGTCTCGATGACAGATCTACCTCCTGTTCTCTTCTCCGGAATACATCCCAATTGAGGATACGGGCGTACTGGAGGGGCGGTAGGGCCATTGCATGCAGTATCGAGGTGATTCAGAACGATTACTGATGGATCCAACTTATCTTCTCGTCGAGAAAGGTCCGAAATGGACGCGTACGGGCGTAAGTGCAACGCTGATGTAAGCGATGGAGAGGGATCCGTCAGAACGGGCGTGTTGCGCTACGCCCGAACGAGATGGCAAAAAGCGGGGCGGAGTTGCTCCGCGCGGAACCGAGGCACATGGCACGCCTGTGAAGAGGAACGCCTGCACTTTCAGACAAGAGCTTAAAAGGGGCTCAACAACCCCTCAACGGCACCAACTTTCATCCCAGCCTACCTCGAACTCCATCAACACCCCCTTAAACCCCTGCAGGGCACTTTGAGACGCAGATTCGCACAATCCTCGTTCCGCCGAAGCTTCCGCAAGCTCCACTATGGCTGAACTACCGCCCTTCGAGCACACGCCGCTCGACGACATTGCCTCGATCGCATCGCGCATCCGCACGAGCTTCCTCTCGCACAAGACGCGCCCATTAGAGTTCCGGCTTGTCCAGCTGCGGAAGCTGTACTGGGGGTAAGCCCGAACCTCTCATACGCTCGCTCATCGCTGACACGCGCTACCGCAGACTGAAAGACAACCAGGACCTTATCCTGGAAGCATGCAAAAAGGACCTCGGCAAGCCGTCCTTCGAGACATACCTCACCGAAGTCGGCTGGTGCATGAACGACATCGTCTTCATGTCCAAGAACCTCGCGCGCTTCGCAAAGGATGAGCCCGCACAGGACATGAACCTCACGAACAAGTTCTTCGGGCCCAAGATCAGGAAGGACCCGCTGGGATCGGCGTTGATCATTGGGTGAGTTGTGTAAATCGGGCTATGTACGGAGTAGAGGGGTGCATGATGGCTGACCGTGGCGTGCGCAGAGCCTACAACTTCCCCATCCAACTCTCCCTTGGCCCTCTCATCGGCGCCATATCCGCAGGCTGCACCGCCGTGCTCAAGCCCTCCGAGAGCTCGCCCCACGCCGCCGCCGTCATGCAGAAGATCATCGCCGAGTCGCTCGACCCCTCGTGTTATACCTGCATCCAAGGCGCCATTCCCGAAACGACCGCTCTCCTCGACCAGAAATGGGACATGATCTTCTACACTGGGTCCGTGAACGTGGGCACCATCATCGCGAAGAAGGCGGCCGAGACGCTTACCCCGGTGACGCTGGAGCTGGGCGGACGCAACCCCGCCATTATCACGAAGCATGCGGATCCGAAGCTAGCGGCCCGACGGCTGCTATGGGCGAAGACGCTTAATGCGGGGCAGGTGTGCGTATCGCAGAACTTCACATTAATCGATAAGGAGATGGTGCAACCGTTCCTGCGCGAGATGAAGAATGCGCTTCAGGAATTCTATCCGCAAGGTGCTAGGAAAAGCCCGGATTACGGCCGGATCGTCAATCTAAGGCAGTTCCAGAGGCTGAAGAAGATGCTGGATGAAAGCAGTGGCAAGATTGTGTTGGGCGGCACCATGGATGAGAGCGATTTGTTCATCGAGCCCACTGTCGTGGAGGTCAAAAGCATGGATGATAGTCTGATCAAGGAGGAGAGCTTCGGCCCGCTACTGCCCATCCTCCCAGTCGCGGATCTGGATGAAGCGATTAGAATCGCCAACGAAGTGCACGACACACCCTTAGGCCTTTACCCCTTCGGCAACAAAGCCGAGATGGAAAAAGGTACTTCCCCTCCCTACCTCGCGCCCCTCTCCTAACTCACTACTAACTCTCCCACAGTCCTCTCACAAACCCGCTCCGGCGGCGCCTCCCTCAACGACGGCTTCTTCCACGCCTCAATCCCCACCTTGCCCTTCGGCGGCGTGGGCTCATCCGGCCAGGGCGCCTACCGCGGTAAAGCCTCGTTCGACGTCTTTACGCACCGGCGCAGCGTCACAAACACACCTGCTTGGATCGAGAGCATGCTGGATATCAGGTACCCACCCTACACTTTGAAGAAGCAGCAGAAGTTTGCCAGCATGAGCGAGCTGAAGCCAGACTTCGACCGCGAGGGGAGACCGATTGGGTGGGGGCGGTGGATGCTCGGCTTGTTGGGCGTGAAAGGCTTGGCGGCTGTTGTGGGTAAGTGATTGCATGTGCTGCGCGTCTCATGTTCTCCTTTATTTCTCTGATCCTGTTCCCTTGGATTTCTTGGTTTATACGTCATTTTCGTTTGCTTTTTGTGTGGTGTTTCAGGCAATTTGGGACGATCTCTGATACCCACAAAATGCTATGTATGGTAATGCCTGGGGCTCGTAGTCGGCTCATTGAATCTGCCCCTTCGTTGTATTCTGCGTATTCTCCGCTGTTTGATTCCATCGTGCGGTGCTCAAAGGCTAACGTAAACCAGTGGCTATAGGTATCCGGCTGTATCTCCAACGGCGGGCTAAGTTGTAAACGGACAATATAATAAAAAGGGGAACGGATCGGTTATATCCTCACAATCTTTGTCTTGGTGCCATCCTACTTTTCAAGAGGCTTTGAGTGCGACTCCGTCCTGAGCTATAGGATTCCCTACTTATTCCTTTCCCCCTTTCTTTTAGCGACCCTCTAGGTCTTGTATATGCTAATATGCTTCTATAAAGATATTCTCTGGTCGTGTCGCCTTGCGCCCTTCTTTTCGTGGTCTAGTTGGTTTTATTAGGGACCTTATATCTGCCTTGGAGAGCGAGGCGTGAGGACTGGATTCGCAACTGATTTAGTTTGAATGATGATAAAGATGGTTAAAATAGCGGGGCGCACTAGTTAATACTAGACTTGTCTGGAACTGGCGAGAGCAATGGAGGTAGATTAGGCTGCTCTTTAGAGCGCGCATCTTACCGCCGCTGTGGCTCTCTCGCTCTCGAGTGGTGGCTTGGCGAGACTTGGGTTTTCTTGGACATCATTGCTTCTTTGGCTTCTGTATTTCAGCTCCTCACCGCCCACTCTCGTTTCCATCCTTGGGACTCTCGTTTCCATCCTTGGGACTCTCGTTTCCATCCTTGGGACTCTTGTTACCCTCTGCGTGGCAGCACGCGTCTCGCCGGAGCCCGAAAGCATTCCTGCGCTGGGACACCCGAGAAATTGCTTCAGTGATGGAAGAGGTGGCAACGAAAGTGCTTGAGCTGGCAGAGAAGGCAAAGAATCACTCTGATCAGAAAGAAATGAAACATGCGGAAAAGGCCTTCTTGGAAGCATTGAACAAGGCTGAAAGTGCTTTTGGTCCATATCATCAGGTGACTATCCAAGTCTCTAATAACATAGGCTTTTTCTACCAGACACGGCGACCTCCGGACCTCCATCAAAGCGAGCAATACTATCGACGAGCCCTTTCTGCATGCGAGAAGGTCTACGGTTACTCGGCGAAGCCTACTTTGAGGACGTTGAAGATTTTGATCGGCGCCATTTGGGATTGCGACAGACAAGAAGAGTGTGAACCGCTCTGTCGGCGCGCTCTAAGGGGACATTTGGACCGGTTCGGATCGGATCATGAAGAAACAATCCAAGTTATGGAGTGGTTAGGCTGCAAACTTTATTACTCCAACCCCGGGGAAACCGAATGCCTTTTCCTCGCTCGACTCGAGACTCTCCAGATAGTCCGGGGAAGCTTCCATCCGTCCACTATCGCTGCGGCTACAGATATATCACAAGTTTACTTCGATCAGTGCTACAGATCGATCGTAAACGATCCGTGCGACACTACCGGCGAAGCATTGCATCAAATCGTCAAAGTGGCTTCGTTCTATGACAGATGCCCTCCTGGCTGGGGGAAATCCATGTTTATGTTAGGAAGAATGTGCCTCTGGTGTGGCGATGAACATAATGCGCAGGTTGCATTCAATATTGCATTACAGCAGCAATACTCCAACCGAATCTGCGACGGATGCGAGAAGGTTTTCGATGGCATAGTCCGTCTTAGGGCCATTTGTCGCGTCTGCAAAGACACGGATCTCTGCGATTCTTGCTACACCGTTTACCGAAACGATACGTCACATGTTGCCGTTCTCGTCGATCAGTGCAGGGGCCATTCCTTCTTCGAAGTCACCGAGGCCGACCTTGTTGACTTCAACATTTATCTTTGGGTTAAGAAGCTTCGATCTCGGAACGAGGAAGAGTTGGCGGATAGGAAAAAGGAAGCAGAGTCTCGTCTAAAGTGCTACTATATCGGCGAAAATCCTCATGCCGACTACACTTGGCACGGTTTCACTCGTATCAGAGACGATATACCGCCCGGAGATGATTGGGACTTACAGCCAACTGTGCTGGAAGATATAGACAACGATCTGCTCGCAATGCGTGCTTACCAGGTCAGAGAATGGGTCCCGCGCTTGTTGCTGAATTGGTTCTCTGTAAGAGGTAAGCGTTTGCCCATACACCCCGTAATTAAGCTGATAGCTGCCATGAGATCGGGAGCATTATAGCCTTCCAGAATGGGCTGAAGGGGGAGAGGCAACCTTATACGACAGCTTGACCAAAGTGCATGCGCAAGCGGAAGCCCTCCTTCGAATTGCTTTAGGATCGCGGCGTACCCAAGGTCAGGTGGAAACTCCAAGAGAGGACCCCAAAATCGGCTCAAACTCGATTTATGTACGGGAGGACTTCATTCTGGATCGCAAATTACCGCAGATACGAGTTCTAGAGCTCATTAGCCACGACTCCACAACGGTGAAATGCAAGATAGCCCGCCTCAATCTTCTCGACAAACCCATCTACGACGCTCTTTCTTACGTGTGGGGTCCTTCAGAACCCTCCAAGTGGATGGAAATCGACGGTAGAGCCATACCTATAACCCCGAATCTCTTTGCGGCGCTCTGCTCCCTATGTCAGGATAGTTCGCTCAGAAGGCTATGGGTTGATGCCATTTGCATTAATCAGGATGATGTCGACGAAAAGGAGCAGCAGATAGCTATGATGGCCGATATATATCGGTCTGCAACAACCGTACGAATATACCTTGGGGGCAATCTACCGACGCGCCTCGGACTGCTAGACTACTGGAATAGAGAAGGGAAAGAACCGGATGAACATCTAGAGGACACCCTGCCGCGACTTGGAATTTCAATGCAAGGTCTTCTCGACGACTTTATGGACTTCGTTTCCAGGCCCTGGTGGACTCGTGTATGGACCCAACAAGAATACACTCTTGCAGCCCACGGTCCAGTATTTTACTTAGGAAGCAGGTCTGTCCTTGCATCAGAAACGTGGAAAGACTTCGAAAGACTGCATAACGCGGTGGTAAACGTATCCACCCCTTTCATGGGCTCACATGACGTTGAGCTAAAGACCAATCTCTCGCTACAAAAGAGGATCAGGGTAGTAATTCATGCGGCCTATACACTCAATCGACGCCACGAGGGGCGAAACGGTCTGGCATTCCACACTCCGCTGGCTGGCTTGTTTGAGCATTTCGTCCTCCTCAGATCTACCGACCCCCGCGATAAAATTTTTGGTCTGCGAGAGATCGCCGAACCAGTTGTGCAACGGCTCTTCCAACCAAATTACAGAGCTCCCGTTGAGGACGTGTTCGAAAAATTGGCGGCATGGCTGTTGGTTTTTGACCTCTGGGAAGAGATGTTTTGGAATTATCCTTTGAAACTCTCAGCCGGAAACCTTTCGCGGAATATCCCTTCTTGGGTTCCCGATTTCTCCCGACCACTTTCTTGGTCAAGCGACGAACTCCACTCTCGGGTAGTCGAGACGCCGGATGCTTGCGACTGTCTGCCGCTGACAGCTCTTGAGCCGCAGATGAATTTGCTTCCTTCGGTCCGTGAAGGCGCGCACGTTGCGGGACCCGTAATTTACGATGGAATCCTTGCACTCGGAGGAAGGGAGCTCGACGGCATAAGCAATGTGTTCCATATGGGCCACGGCCTGTGGCATAACCTCTTGCCTAGGCTATGGTATCTCGATCAGTTCTTCACGAGGGAGAACCCAGTAGTCCTCTATTACGCTTCGGATCCACTCTCTCAACTCTTACGGCGCTATAGTCAGAGACAGCTTCACGGGTGGGCCTTTCGGTCTCACCACCACCCAGGAGCCGACCTCACCATCGCTTTCAGTCAGGACAGTTTGACACATCCAGAAGTCTTCAAAATTCTACTGGATCGCTGTCAGTGTATTCAACGCGAGCTCGTAACTCTCAGCGATATCGTAAAAGTCGAAGACTATATCGTCATCTCAGATCACCAATTTGAGCGTATGGAACATGACCCTCCCCTCGCAGAGGATCAGAGATCCTGCATCGAGGAAACCAAAGCCACTATTCAAAATGTCTTCCTCGGCGTTGCGTCCCGTCTAGCAAAGCTCCTAGGCTATCTCGCACATGGACTAAAGCATCCTCTAGGTATCCTAGGTGCGGCGTTGTTCAATTACGAAAATCTCGAGAGCCAATTGAAGCGTCTGCGCAGACCCTCATCTAGCTCAAGCCCTGACACGCTGATGATCAAGTTGCTGGCCGCAAAACTTGGGCCGCTCATAGAAGTCACTTCAACAGAGTCGGTCGTTCCAGGTGTCCCGTTCGCCGGAATCGATGAACCAATTTATGAAGACCTTCAGTCTCATATTACAGAATGTGAATCAGAGCCCGAGGTTCAGTTGCGAGTCCGATTTGTCCTGCAGGTTGCGGAGACGCTTCGAGCCGTCGCCTCAAAGCATATCTGCCAGGGCCATCTTCCAGACAGGGACCTTGCCTTTGCCAAGGCTACCGGGCCTCCACCCTTCTCAGATGACGCTGATAGGGAATTTGAGAAGTACGCGGAGATAGTTAGAAGAGCAGGGGAAGCTTATAGAAAGGATAACAGCGTCAGGACACTCGAGGATTCGGAAGCAGACGCCAACGATGGCCAGAACAAGCTCGACAGACACGAAGCCCAAGTTGCACAGCAGTCGCAACATAAACGAAAGCTTTTCTCCCGCGTGTTCGAGGAGTTGGAGGCTCAATTCAAGGACCGTACTTTCTTTGTCACTAAACGAGGTTTCGTAGGGTATGGCGCTCCTGGTGTAAGCGATATCCGGGTGGCAGACACGGTTATACTTCTCGAAAATGCGAGGATGCCTCTGGTCGTGAGAACGAAGACGCAGGAGCATTTTGAGATCGTCGGGTTTTCGATTGTCCGCGAGCTTATAAAGGAAGACTGGAAGAGTCTGGAAGAGCTTAAGACTTTGCCTCGTAGAGTATTCAAATTCCGTTGATGGATGAGAAGGTGAAAGCTAAGAATGCTTGCGCGAGTCCACGGGCTCAAACCCCGCCCCCCCCCGAAAAATCACTCCCTTCTCCAAATACGTCCGGCGCTCTAGTATGTTTTTGCTCCATTATTAATAACTTCGCAGTTGCCTGAGCCATCGGGGCCTATGCCATCTACCGTGTGGTACCTCGTTACCACTGGCACGACAGAAGGCCATTGACAGAAGCATAGGCCCCTTCGCCCTTGATAGAGAGATGCGCTGAGTTTGGTGGCGACCGTACGATATGCATCGCTTCTATGTCTTGAGGCAGTACATCATGTAGAATGCGGATGATACTCTACTGTCGGCCGCGATATGTCACCGGGGGCCAGGTACTTGTCAGATGAAGAAAGGCTACGATCAAGGCGCGGCGAGGGACTAGCTACAAAAATCGTCTCTCAGTGGGATGGGGGGTAATGGGTGTATTCGGGTACTTGTCATGCTGGCGGTGGGTTGCCTTGGGACCCTGAGTTAGGGACCACTCCCTAACGGCAAGCTACACATTTGAGCCTCTATGAGGATCTGCACCGCAATATGTTTTAACGGTTAATATATTACCCCGAAATATAGTTAGTCGGGCGTAAGCTTACCTACGTACTAAGCCTGTCGCTTACAACTGGCGTCAAGAGCGCCCCGCGACCTCGTCCTTCACGTATCACCTCCGTCCCACCGCCCACTCTAAGAACTCGGTGTTAACCTAATGAGTCATCTCCGTTCGAATTGAGGCGCCATGACCTCCAGCAGCTCAGATGTTTTGAAAAACACCCAGCCTAGCAAAGACCTGGCGTGGTGGGTGCCTAACATTGACCACAAAATCACCCCAGAGGTAAGACTAGCCATCTTCTGCACTTACGAAATCTCACAGAGCATGTGCTCATCTTCGGTGCTGCAGGTTCGTCAAGTCCTCGAAACGTACAGTAACATCGCTCCCGACGACGTTGTTGATCATGTCTACGCCATAGTAAGCACAAACACCACTCGGACCTACCGGAGACACTGCTACGCTCACCAATAATGCAGCGCGAAAAGGCATGGTCCATCCGGCCATGGCCCTGCACCGGTATAGGCAATTTCTTTGCACCAACACTGCCCAAACTCTCCTGCTACGCCGAAATCCTCTCCCGTATCAAATCCGGTGGCAAAATCCTCGATCTCGGCTGCTACTGCGGCACCGACCTCCGGCGTCTCGCGCTCGACGGATGCCCACAGGAAAATCTCTACGGGACTGATCTCATCAACCACTGGGACCTGGGCTTCGCGCTCTATCGAGACGAGCACAAGTTCCACGCCACGTACGTCGAAGCGGATTTCTTGCATCCAAACACCGAACTACTCGGTCTAGCCGGGAAAGTCGATGCCTTTTCCACGATCCATTTCCTGCACAACTGGGACTGGGAGACGCAGCTCAAGGCCGCCACGGCCATGTGTAGCTTGTCGACGTTGGGCAACAAGGTGGTTGGGGCGCAGGTGGGTACGCAGAGTAAGGATAGTACGAAATGGATTAGAGAAGGGGGACAGGAGGGGTTCAAGGCGCAGAGTGTGGAGTCGTTTGCGAGATTGTGGGAGGTGGCGGGTGGGATGACTGGGACGAAGTGGGAGACTGATGCTGAGATAAGAGACTGGGAGGTCTTTGGGTATCGGAGGGAAGAAACGAAGTACTTGGGTGAGGGTGCGGGAATACTTGAGTTTGCGGTGACTAGGGTGGAGTAAGGTACAAGAATGGGCCCGCAGCAAACCGGATCGTGGGATGGAACACATTATCGGACACTGGGGAACAAGGGATCGATGTAAGTCTTGGGGTAGCCGAAAAAGATCACTTGCATATTATCGTTACCAGAACTGAAGGTTGTGTTGGCGATATTTTGAGATGTTGTAGCGGTGGCGCTAATCCCAAACAGGCTGACGTTCCCATTTCGTCATCGTTACCACGGGTGCCACGACAGTCCTCAAAAGACCGCAACAATCCTCATACTTACGATACAAGTCCTCAATTCCAACCCTGCACCAGTCCACATATCAATTCACAATGGCGAGCAAAAAGGTCCTCATCGTCATGTCCGACGCCGCCTCCTTCCCTCTATACAACGTCGGCAGCGACGGAAAGACAATCCAACAACCGTCCGGCTACTTCCTCATGGAGCTCGCAAAACCACTCCAGGGTCTCCTCGAGGCTGGCTACGAAGTCACCTTCGCGTCTCCAGAAGGCAAAGAACCCACGCCCGATCCTCTCAGCCTGTCCCTGGCCGCCTTCGCCGGCAACTTCTACGAGCGCAAGCGCGAAACAGACCTCATCGAGCGCATGAAGAAAGACCACGGATTCTCGCACCCGCGCAAGTTCTCCGACATAAGCGACGAGGAGCTGAAAAGTTTCGCGGGAGTCTTCATTCCGGGTGGTCACGCGCCGCTGTCCGATTTGGGCGACAACCCAGAGCTCGGTCGCATCTTGAAGCACTTCCATGCTGAGCGCAAACCCACTGCTGCTATCTGCCATGGACCATATGCTTTCCTGTCTACCAAGTATGCCGGCGACAAGGAGTTTGCGTACAAGGGGTACAAGATCACCAGCTGGTCGGATGCCGAGGAGAAGTTCATGGAGACGGCAGCTTTCAGGGGCGAGGTTACTAAGGTCGAGAGCGCCTTAAGGGAGGAGGGTGCGGAGATGGTGGAGGGCGTCAGTACGGCGATTGGGAATATTACGGTGGATCGCGAGGTGGTCAGTGGTGCGAATCCGATGGCTGCGGATACCCTGGGGAAGAAGTTTATTGAGATGTTAAAGGCCTGAGGGATACTTCGATGGCTAGGGGAATGTTCATAATCAGGATGTATTTCACTGTTGTTCTCTAGCTTCAAGGTTCAGCGTAGACGAGCCGGGCAAAACGCCGTACTCCTAAAAATGGACTACGAACGCTTCCAACAACACAATACAAACTCACTCCGCATATCCGACTTCGCTCTGCTCCCAATTATTTCCCTATCCATCTACCTTACTGATATTCCTACCCTGGGCTGGCGCTCTGGCCGGCCACTTCAAATGCTGGCCTGAACTAACATCCCGTGCGAAAGCGGCTTCGACACATGGAACAAAAACATCCCATAGCGATCTCCACCTACATTTCTTATTTTCATAGTCATGCGCCTAGCTGAAGTGGTAGTATCCCTCCCCCACGCTTCGAAGCTCTCATCCGTGCCAAGGTCGGTAATGTCCAGCCAAACTTTCCAGTTATGAGCCCATAGATTTAGAAGAAAGAGTGTGTCGCTCTTCGCATTATTGAGCCAGAGGCTACTGTATTCTCCTGTCGCATCCAACCAAGTTCAGAACCGAGAAACCCTCTTGGAATTTGTCATTCTCAGCGAACAATGACGATATACACCCTTGGTCCACCTCTTTCAGGTAGATAGCTCGTTGACAGTTTTCAGGCGCATAACAGGCCTGAACCACAGCAAAATGCGCATTCACTCTTACGATGGATAGGTCGTTGCGTAGCAGTCTGTTGGTCATGGAGAACTCTAATGACTGGCCGTTCCCAACAGTGAAACGCTTGGAATCTCTGACGCAGACCGCGCGAATGGACCTCCGTCTGCTAGGGACGAGACGCTCAAAACTGATATGCATCTGCACGACACTACGATGTACTCATAAATGTACATAGCATATGTGCATTAGCTAGGCATTCTTCTCCCCCATCTCCCCACCAGAGCGAGTCTAAGACCTAGGCGCCCTCCCATTGTAGTCGACACCCGGCGTAGCAACGTAGTCAGCGAAGCAGTCATAGTCGAAATCAATGTCAGCGCTGCGTTTCCGGAGCACTGAAACGACATTGTCGAACGAGCAGAGACCGTTCGGGTCGGCTGGGCAACCTGCGTAATTGGTAATGGGAATGACAGCGTCGTTGCTAAGTGCCCAACGTCAGCCTGGGACGGATATTAAATGGTCCGAAGAGTCGGAACTTACACGATGAATCTAATCTGCTTGGTAGGCGAATAAGCCGGGCAAGAAAGGACCTGCGTAGTAAAATGCGTCGCGAACGGCACAACCCTGCTAGCCACGAAGCTATTCTGGTCGCCATTTCCAGCGGGGCTCAGCGGCGGGCCGGCGAACAAGGCGGTGAGGTTGAATGCGGTGAGCGTATCGAGGACGACGACTTCATGCGTGGCATCCGCATAGATCGACTGGTTGAGCGGGAAATAGGTGGAGCTGTTGTCGAACGTCTCGTTCAGCGCCGACCGCGGCGCAGGATACTCGCCGGTAAAGCGGGCGATGAACTCGTCGAGGAAGCCTTTGCCCTGGGCGGCGGAAACGGGTGAGCCGGGGCCGTTGTTGTAGTAGAAGGATAGGTCATAGTAGTACTCGTAGGCGAGGAAGTCCTGCTTGGTGAACAGGGGGCAGAAGGCGGAGTATCCGAGCGCGTGGGTCTCGTAGGAGCACAGCTGGAGCATGGCAATGGCGTCGGTTGGAGTGAAGTTGAGACCGGAGACCTGCGACTGGAGTCGTGAAAGCGTGGCGTTAAAAGCATTCTGCGCGAATTGCGTGGCTACTGTGCTTCCGATGCTTCCCCTGGAGGCGATGTTCGAGTTGTTGCACACCTCGTACGGTGCTCCGGAATTGTTCAACCCGAGATTCTCGACCAGGATCTCAATGTTGACTTGGTCCAGGTACTCAGGCACACCGAAGAAGCCTGCCGCGAAGTTCTCCGCCGTCTTGACCATGCGATCCTGCGACTCGGTGCGGAAGACGGGGATGGTCCCGGCCTCAGTGAAGTTGTTCAGAAGGTGGCCATACAGCTCTCGGTACTGGATGCCCAGGAGGAAATTCTGGCTGCGGCCGAATGGCGTGAGAAGCTCAGCACCGAGTTTGTACGTCCAGTTACCGAGGAAAGCTAGTTCTCCCGAAACGGTGAATCCGCTCTTGGTGGCATTCACGATCTTCTGGGCGAATGTGGCAGGCGCCGCACTGCTGGTCGGGTACCGCGCGCCGTGGCGGTAAAGCAGATGCATCTGGATGACGTCGCAGCCCTCTGGTGCGAGTGGGCTGGCATCGGGCAAGCCATAGTCGGACGAGCGTAGAGAGCACCACGGCGACAGATTGCCCCAGTACTTGGTGATGTCGAACGTGGACTCGGCATCCTCGCTATGATGCTGCGGGTTGATCAGGGGAAATTGGTAGGCGCCCTTCTCGTTGTAGGGATACGCGGGCGCGGTTTGAATAGCCGCGGGCTCGACTCCGGTTGGTGTGGGGCCCGGGAAGCCGACTACAGATTCGGGTGGGAAAAGCGCCGAATCAACTGCAGCTGGATGACCGGGACTTCAGCAGGCGGTAAAGGGGCATGGAACGAATAATGTTTCTGGAAAATAACTTACTGTCCGAAGGAGGGAACAGATCCGCGGTAGAGGATCCCGCGTACGGCGCGGCCCTAATTGTCGTGGGTGCTGCAATGCTTTTATGGGCGAAGAGCGCTAAGAGGACAGCGGCGCGCCCCGCATGAGCCATGTGTCTTCATCTCGAGGCCGGATGGATGGTCCACAGCAAAGCTTAACGCACTCGGCAGACGCAGGCAAGCTTTTGCCCAGCAATCTGGGCACTGACGCACATCTTATACCTGCGCACCGGCGACTGTAGCGAGCCCGGGAATCGTCGTCATGAAGCTGCAACTGAGCTGCTTGGGAGCACGCGGTTGAAGATGCATTGGCCAATCAAACAGCCGCCTGCCCGCATGTGCTGGCGATCGCGGCTTTTGGCTCGGTGGTTCGCGCGCCGGCATGGCGGGCTAGCACCTTTTACGTACTTACAAGCCAATTGTCATAGGGCAGTTTCTGGTAATGGGGAGACCGAACGCAGGTACCGACATCATGACGGCGGGGTTAGTAGGCGTTTAGCAACCCACGTGGTCATCATGTGGACGGAATTGATTACCGCGCAAAGCCCACCATGTGCGGAAATAATTCGTGATTGGCTTTTCGGGGAGAGCTTGCTTATGTCAGATCACGAATTATTGCCGCAATTGGCACTTGCCGGTGCTACTTTTCGCTCAGTCACAGGACCTAGCCCACTCCAGGACTAATTCAGGGGCCCTGTACATCTCGGAATGCCGCGTACATAGGGGACCCCTAACGATCCCGCGTAAACATCAAAACAGAAATTCCCAGCTTTGCCAAAGAAGTCCCGTACTTCTACCTTGACTCGAGGCAGGGGCGCACATATCCTACTATTACCCTTTCCCCAGCCTGCCAACTCACCCTCCGAAATACTGATAAACCCCCTCGCTGCCAACTTCCAACTTCCAACTCAAACTCACCGCTTCTCTCTCCCCACAACCCGCGCACCAGGCTAGAATTTCCCGTCATCTCATTACCTCGAAGAGCGCGCATCATGACGACGCATCGCGATGCCCTGTGTGAGCGTTGGGACTCCTCTGGGGTCTCGCGTGGCCGCGCTATCCCCAATCGGCGTTTATTGCTGTGCTTATGCGGCGTTCTTATGACGATCGTCCCCTTGTCCCCCTGTCGATCTATGGGGAACCGTTGCGCCGCCGCGCCGCGTCCTTTCGGACCGAACAGGACAGGACTTCGTTCTCCTGTTGCTCAGTATTTGCGACGGTTTTCATTCCAGTCGGTATTGTGTATGCGTCTTCGCGGGTTTGTACGCTGCAACGCTTAGACATGCTCGAGCTGTATTGGAGTCTATGTCTTCGTAACCATACGAACTTTTGCTGGCGTACCCGGCCAATAGGTATGGTCCAAAATGCCGGGCCATCCGGCCGAAGAAGTCGCGAGCTTGGACCGACTGTAGGTCGGCACTTGAACCGGGCTATCGGAATCTCCCACCATGAGGATGTTCATCGCTATATACGTGTTTGGACAGACGTGAGCGATGAATCCAGCTGAAGGCTAGTTTTGCGCGGCGGGGCTGATTGGCACCCCCTGCGTGCGGCATTTTCCGGCGTCTCTTGTTGAGGTGATCGTGAGTTGTGCGTGTTTGTGTTGTGTCTGTCCTACTTTGCGGCTTATATGATGCATATGGGTGAGAGGTAGGTTAAGGGCTTTTTGGAATGTTTTCCTGTGTTTTCGGCGGAGACATGGCCTGAGAACCAATTCCATGGTGGCCGACTCCGAAGGCGGAACGGGTGGACGCATTATTTCCCAAGGGTGAGATGTGCGAATGAGGATGTGAGACTTCGAAAGTGAAGGGGGCCTCAATCAGTCGATCCTACTGTACAGTGCGTCGGGGCAGGAGTCATGACACCATGACTACCGTAAGATTCTCCTTTGGCTCTGTGTTTAAAAGCCGTCCTGTCCTCACGAGCATCTGCTTTCTTCTCCATCAGCATCAGCATCCTCACCCAGTCGCTCATTCAGCATCTTTTTGCAAAGCATCATTGTCGTCCTTCTTTAGTGACCATCCAACTTCCTTACTTTTTCCCGTCCATAATTCTTATTCAATAATACACCAACCGCCAAAATGAAGTTCCTCAGCTTCTCGCTCGTCGCCCTCTCCTCCCTCTTCGCAGCCTCGTACGCCGCGCCCACCGCGTCACCAGCCGACGTCGTCCCCGCCCCGGACGTCAGCGTGCCGAAGCCGCTCGATGTCGCCGACACGCTCGATCGCCGCACCGACAGCGTCGTCTGCTCCAAGATGAAGACCACCATCGTGGAGGTCAAGAAGCACACGTCCAAGATCAACTCGACCATGGAGGGCGTCACGTACAGCGTATCCGAGGCGGACAAGACCGGCATCATCAAGCTCGTCAAGAGCGAGGTCACCATCGTTATCCAGCTCGTGGCCACGCTTGTCGGCGAGGTCGTCGAGCTGCTCGGCTCCACGGTCGAGGCGGTTGAGAAGGAGGAGCTTGTTGCGCTTGTCCTGGAGCTTGTGTTTGAGATCCTGTACACGCTTAAGCATGTCATTGAGACGCTCAAGATCAGTAAGTCGATGAACGCGTCTTGATTCTCTGAAGCTGCTGGTTGACCTTATCGCAACAGCCATTTTCGAGCTCCTCGGCCCTTTGGTCTTCGTCCTCCTGTCCGTCATCGTGCACCTGCTCACCGTCCTCAACGTCCTGGTCGAGGGCGTCCTCAAGCTCGTCCTCACCCTTCTGGGCGATGTCATTGGGCTGCTTTCGGGCGTCTTGGGTGGCCTGCTGCCCATTGTTCTTGGCCTGGTCGGCGGCATTCTGAGCAAGATCGAGAGCCTCGTCTCCTGCCTGCTCTAAATTCCGCAATTTGGAAATCGGGTTGGGAGGGGCGACCCGCGGTGGAAGGAGAGGAGTGGAATGGCGGTCGGGATGAGCGGCTGAGACGGTGAAGGGAGCGCTGCTCCGGCGGGTGCTTTTCGAGTTGGTACCACGGGCATCTTGCGAGAGTTTTTGGAACTTGGCTACATGACATGCAACGGCTCGCAACCACTTAGCGATGAATGTAGCATATTGCAGTTGGTTCAGGTTTCTGTTCCGTAGAATACACGTGTCTTTGTAACGGTGTCGAACTAATGAATCTGCGTATCTGGTCGATGACTTGCAGCTCGATGTATTGCACTGTTGCATGAGGCTCCAAAGTTGCACTTGGGACATTGGCACGAATTTATAATTGCAATACCAGGCAGGAAAGACGGTACGGCAGAACTAGCCTAAGACTGTGTGATCATCATGTCCCAGCCATCCATGCCGTCGGTCCATACCTGCATACCGTTGACATACAGGGAATACATACTGTAATATCCATGTTTGAGCTCCTCATCGTTCATTTTATTCTCAGGCAAGACATCGTATATATCTTCTGCCTCGAGTACGGTCGGGTCGACCATGACCTCCTCGATGTCCCATGCATCGCCCTTGACAGCCGCCGGGAAGTGAATGTTCGACTGCCCCTCCAGGATTTCACGAACAGCATTGGGAAATGCCTCGGAGACAGAGCTTCGGTCGGCTGAGAAGATGCTCGTTTGGAGTGGTGGGACCGATTCCGCGCCGGGAACGCTCAAGCATGGCCTCCTGGACGGCGGCCGCTCTCTTCAAATTGTCCCATATCTGCTGCTGGAACTCAGGAGATCCATCAAACACCATGGAGAACGAATTAGCAGGCATGCCGTATGCGCGTAGCACGGCAGCTTCGTCGATCCAATGTCTCAAATCGTCCACGGCGATACCCGCGTCAAGTTCTTTACGCGTGCGATAGTCCTCCACGGCCGACAGGGCGTCGGACCAATAGGGTGCGAAGACGGCTTTGAACAGATTGACGCGTCGAACGATCCGGAGTCGAGCATTTTCTTGGCAGAAGGGAAGGAGGCCTTGCGCATGGCACTCGGGAAATGCAACGCCTTTTCTGTCTTCGTCTAGGAGGACGTGCCGTATGCACTGCCTCAAGTCGGATGGCATACGTTGCAAGAATGACACAGCTGCTGCTGCCGCTGATCAAAACCATAGTGCATTGTAGCGGTCCTTACGTACGGACCAATCGGAGTAGTCGCTAGCCCTCGGAAGAAAGCCTGTCGGTGCATCCAGGTCAGAGTCAGCTGGCATCTCCCAGCACAACGGCTTCCATCCTATAAGTGCCCATTGTGAGCCCTCGCTATATATTGCAGGAGAACTTTGCAAGGGTACCACTGGCCCTTTGTCGGGTGCATACCCCTTCGCTGTCGAGCGCCGGAACTTGGGGTTATCCGAGGCAAGCCGCAACATGTCCTGGCGAGTTTTCGTGTGATAGATGCTGGCTCTCCATTCGACGGTAGCTCCAATTTGTAGAAGACGCGCGCTCTTTTTTTTATAGGAGAGACCCCGAAGCACTTTGACGGTGGAAACCTCCGGGTACTGGCGCGCTAATTCCTCGAGCACCTCTGGTGTGACGCAGTTGCCAGCATCGCTCAGCATGCAACGAAAAGCGAACTGCTGCTCCTCCAAAAGCCAGTCGAACCGGTATGCTTTCGAGCTCAGGTCCGGTATCGGGGTGAAGGTGATGCGATTCTCCCGTAGAGCGATGCCTCTCATTTCCTTGGCGATAGCAGAGCAGGTATACTGCAGGGAGAGGTTGATGGGGCGGTCATTCGGACAGTCGACAACCCGCAGCTTACAGGTGGCGGAGTTATGGCGATAGCCGGTAGGTTCGTGGACGTAGTAGACGTAGATTTCCTCCCTTAATTCTCGCGGGATGCTCAGGCAGGCAGCCTTTTATCCCCGCGCCTCGCAGGGCCTTGCCAAGGCTCCGCCACAACCATCGCACCCAGAACCATGGGCGTGCGGCATTCCGGCCATTTGCACACTCTGCAAGGGCGGCCAGCGCTGAAGAAGGAAAACGTGATTGATTGATTTCTCTCGTTTTAAGTCACCAACCTATAGAGGTTATGCTGACTACGCCTACGCACAAAAGGGCTCAAAAGACGCCAAAATTAAGAGAAGGGAACAGGGTAGCACAGAACCACGGGCAGGTGGCATAAGTCGACAGACTGCGATAGCGTTAGCCACTGGGCTGTATTGGATTCGAAGGCGGAGTACGCACAAAGAACGGTTCGGGCGCGGATGACGAGGGCGTAGCCCACCACGGCGCTACTGCAAGGTGGTTAGCGAGTACTGCAAGCGGGGGATTATAGTACACTACCCACCGAACCATGGCACGAAGCTGCCAACGAAAAAGGAGCCCCAGAAAGCTCCTCAACAACGACGATGGTCTGCGGGCCCATTTGTTAGCGCCGCCATGCATCGTGGTGGGGGTGGTGGCGGCGAAGGAGCGGATCGGGCCCGCGATGACTCACCATCGAAAAGGGCGCAAACAACACCAGCAAAAGGGCTGCCATCCTCGTTAATCAGCAAAGTGACCCACAGAGCACACTCACCAGTGAAGGCGGACAGCCATGAACGCTGCGCGCGAGGCCCCTGTTCTGCTTAGCACATTGTCTATGAGCGGCGACAGAGATACTGACACAGGTATAAAACGGAGTCTCTTGCCTGCTGCGACACCAATTAGCATACGTAACCGTAGGAGGTATTGCCCTCACCGCTCCCAGTCCACCACATCTTGCACAATATTCGATCGAGCAGCTCACACTACACACGAACGATGGCACCTCCTGCAGTCATTAGTGCAACGCCCGGAAAACATACAAACAACAACCCCCGTGGGAACTTACCGATTCTCCTCTCCGTCGAAGGACCGGCGAACTCTTTCTATCAGACCTTCACACGGTTAGATGTTTTGCCCACGTGCATATCATAGAGCTGGGGAGCCACTTACAACACGGAACTCCCAGGCGAGCTTACGGGGTATGGACGCAGCCATATTCAATAAGCTCTGCAACAGGAGGCCAGGGGGAGCTGGCAAGGATTGCAAGCCTAGCTCCATCAAGCACGACACCACAAGGGCATTGCCTAGACAGTGGTCAGTGATGCCCGGCAGTTCGTGGAGGTGGAGACATACAGTTCCTCAAGTGGCACCTCGAGATCCTGGAGGAGCGAGCCAGTATGGATGCCCCTCCGTTCCAAAGCATCAACTAACGCCTGCGAGGGATCAGCAGTTAATGCTAGGAGGGCCCAGAGCACTCACAAAGCAGAGAAGAGAAACACTCCAAGCGACACCAACTACATCCTTAAACAGAAAGAGTTCGTCAAAGGTCTGCTTCGGAAAACGCAGAAGGACAAGAGCTACAACACCAAGGAGAAGAAGGCCATTGAGGGCATCAGCGAGTGGCTAAGTGGAGAGTATGTCAGCGACTTCCTCGTCAGATGTCGGATTACTTACAAAGAGGACTGGATCCAAGACCTCTTGGATCTGGAGAGGAGGTAGAGCACTAGGAACTTATCATGATTAGCTTCTCACTAATCTAAGGGGGCAAGACCAGTCCTGTAGCTAGACGTACACAACGGCAGACTGTAGCGAGTAAGTCACCACAACACTAACCACGAGCTCAGACTCACCAAGTTAGGTAGCAATACACTGTTAACTCATGCCTATACATCATGTGCAAAGACTCTATATGTAAGACACTACGGATCTGCGTCGAAGATCCGAGCGAGGTACTCCCTGATCCAGTCGAATCGGCGAAGAGGAAGGTTGCGAAGCGCCCACGTTGTCGTAATGCGGACTACCGTCATGTTAGCAGGGAGGAACGTGGGGCTCCGATAAGGGTTGGGTAGACGAACCATCGCGAGTAAGCCACAAGCGCATGTCGGAATGGCCAGTCTTGGCTAGGAGATCACGGCGAGGGAGTTCTAAGCGAGGACATTCAAGGAGGCAGTGCCGCACAGTTTGTTGGGGCGCGCCACATTCGCAATGGGGTGTCTCGGCCAGCTGTCCGTCTATTAGCCGCAGCCCAGCTCGTCTCGGCGTGAAGCTTACCTTGCACCTATGCATGAAATCCTTGAGGGCGATCTGCTCCGTCTTCATCTGGATGAGTATGATGCTCTGGGGCCGACTCAGCTGATCGTGGGTGCGCAGATTGTGCATGCCCCAGTCTCCGTACAGAGACGTGCGGCTTTTGCCTTGCTGCAACTTCTCCGCAGCGTATGCGCGCCACCCGTCCTCGCTTGCTTCAGTCGCCAGAGCTCTTGTATACTCGCGAATGGCGACGTTGCGCTTGCGAAAGTCGTGGCGGTCCTCGCCAAGCCCCCACCAATCGCAGGCCGCCTTGATCAACCCCCAGTCTTCGCGCAATAGCTCCGACGGGTCTACAACCCGCTGGAGGCGCTGCCGCTCGCTCGAGTGGATGCGGACTGTGCACACCACACGGGCGCGGTCGCAGATGTCGTTCAGAATGCGGCAGAGTCCGTGATAGTTCGGGGTATCGACAAACTTGGCCTTAGTAGCAGTGGCCCTTCTTTCCAGGTAGAGGAGGGCGCTCTCCGTGACAACTTCTTTCTGTAGTTCTTCAATTGAGGTTGGCCGATATGCGCCGGCGAGCACACGGAGACACCGGTTTTGGGCCTTCGTGAGCTTGTTTCTGAGCGACCCCTGCAACGCCGTCCGCCCAGTCGTTCGATACCAAATGGAGCATCTGTAAGCCATAGTGGCCCGCACGACGGAGTTGTACAGTTGCCGACCGAACTTCAGCTTTGGGCCGGAGGACGGTCGGAAGATTTTCGCCATAGCTCTTTCCAGCGTGAAGACTTTGGCTACGACCTATGCGCTTTTAGTTGTGGATCCTGTGCAACATTGCGACTGCCTGACCTGATTCACATGTGCTTTCCATTTGAGCTCCTTGTCGAGCACCACTCCCAGCACCTTCTGTTCGTTAACGAGAGCGGTCTGCTTGTTGAGGCCGTCAATGCGGGGAACCACCGACGTTTGTTGCAAGATAGATCGCTTGCGTCGACGATTGAAGTGAATGATCTTGAACTTGCTCGGTTCGAATTTTGCGTCGAAGCTTCGGGCCCACTGCTGGCATTTGTCGTACGCTTTCTCTAGGAGTCTACAGTTCATCCGGAAAGAGTTGGACACCACTATTACATAGGTGTCATCGTGGTACGCTACGGCGTATCTCGAGTTGGGCGACAAGGTACTTGTGTCCGGATTGGTCAGCAAGTCGAGGAGGGCTGCGGAGTAAAGAAGGAAGAGGATGGGAGACAAAGGACTGCCTTGGGGGATGCCCCTCTTGACCAGAAATGGCGCTGTTTCATGGCCGGGGATGCGGAGACGCGTCTCGCGCTGAGACAGCCAGGATTCGATCAGCTCAACAAGCCAGTCCTGCCATAGCTGTAGTCAGCAGCGCTCTTTGATATGGAGGGGAAGCACCTGGCTTACCGGAATGCCTTTGTTTCGGAGAACCATGAGGAGCTTGCGATGGTTCACCGAGGGATACGCGGCATTGATGTCTTAGAATCGCGTGCGAGTGAGTAAGAGTACTTGAAAGGAAACGCAGAAATAGGTAGCGCAAGTACGTACCAAGACCCATTAGACTCACAGCCTTGCTCTGCTTCCAAGCCATCTGAACAATATTCGTAATATATGTCAACGCTGTCTCGGTGGACTTTCCGCTGAAGCCCATCTGCGTCTCTGGGAGCAGCTGATGCTTGCAAATGAGTTGTGCGAGGCGCTGGGAAATGATGGAGTCCAGCATCTTCCCCATGCAGCAGAGTAATGAAATGGGTCTCCAGTTCTTCGGTAGGCTGTAAGGAGCTGGGCCCCATTCACCGCTGGCAAGCTTCTCCCTCGTCTTTCCGGGCTTGCGTAATGCGATGGTTATGGAGAGTCTGAAGGCCTCCGGGTAGTATCTAAGTTCCATACAGGCGTTGAAGATGTTTCCGAAAGGCTCCATGAGGATGTCTTTGCACAACTTCAGACACTCGTTTGGCGGGTCCTCATCCATGGTGGCCTTATTCCGCTTTAATCGGCGAAAAATGCGGTCCAACTCCCGGCGCTTGACTCTGTTGAGGGAGAAGTGTTGGTGGTCTGCGGGAGGGAGGTCGACTTCGAGTGGCCCGGTCACAGCAACAGGCTCGCGGAACAACGTTTCTCTAAGGCATTGAGCTTTGCCCGGCTCGTCCGTGATAGTGACACCGTTGTACACCTGCGGTGGCATGTGTGCCTGCGGCCTAGGTTCGTCAAGCTTCTTAGTGTAGCGGAAGGAATGGTAGAGATTGGAAATAGTTGCATCTGCAAACCGCGACTCCGCCAGTCGCCGCCTCTCGTTGCGCAAAAGTCGCCGTGCTTCTGCCCTTAAACGCCTGTACTCGTCCTTGTTCTCCTGAGTAGGGCGTCGGCGCATTTGACTCCTGGCTTTCCTAGCCGCTCTGTGGGCTTGTTTGACCGCGGGTGTGAAGGCGGGATTGGCTCTCCGGGTTGGTTGCTTAGCTAGCGGTACGAGACCCGTGGCCTCCTTGAGGACTTGCAGTATCTTCTTAATGTAATCGTCCACAGCTTTCTTGGACTTCAGGATTGGGTGGCCCATTCGCGCCAATGCGCCTGTGATATAAGCTTTCACCATCTCCTCGTCGGCCTCCTCCCACCTCCTCCTCCTCCTCTTGACCATTTCGTACGCGACGCTAAGATCGACGGATATCCGAATTGGATAGTGATCGGAGCCGTGCATGAGATCCTCTCTTATTTGACTCCACACGCAGCGAGACGAGACGTTCTTGGTAGCAAAGGTTAAGTCGATAGTGCCCCACACTGGCGATCCTGGTGTCTTCTCCCATGTCATGATCCCCGGTGGGGTAAGGAGATCGACTGTGCCCTCTAGGGCGTTGAATAGCATCTCCGCCGCAGGCTCAGTGCTATCGGCAGCCCTTATTCCTCCCCACCATATGTGGTGGAGGTTGAAGTCGCCTACGAGGATATGGTGCTCGGCTGAACCTTGCAGAAGGTCCACAATGTTAGTAATGTCGATTCTTTTCTCCCAATTGTACAGATTGTGTACTGCGACAGATCCGATGCTGGTTTGGATGGTGACGGAGATGATGTAGTTGCTGTGGATGGTGACCTCCCAATCCTCGAGGCGGAGCCTGTTGGAAATGTAGAAGCAAACCATAGGAAGAGCCTCTCCCGTTTCGTGAGTTTCGAAAGCGTCTCGGTCGCACATCAAGTGATAGCTAGCTTTGTGACTGAGGCTTGAATACGTATCGCTAGATATCTCCTGAAGAGCGATAACGTCAACGCCCAGCCTCACAGCCCAGTCTACCAAGTCGAATTGTGCGCTCCAGGACTTGCGCACGTTTAACTGCAGTATATTCAACGGCTGCGGGTTTGTTACAGGAGTCATTGGGATGGAGTGAAGGTGAACTCGACAAGCTCTGGTAGACTAGGTTGCGTGGACGGGGCACCGGATGCATAACTATCGGTACGAGGTCTCTTCGATGCGCTCCCCGGTCGGTCTGATGTTCGTGTCGTCCTCTGCGTCCCTTGTGCTGCGGATTGGCGGCCTGGATGACGGTGTGATTGTAACAGCTCGCCAGGAATATGGGACAGGGCTGTCAGAAATGGTCGCTTTGCTGGAGTATATGATACGGTCGAATTGATTGTTGGTCCAGCAAGCTGAGTTCCGCTGCGCAAAGTCATCTGCCCAGTGTTATCGGCGGAGTCCACGGACATTGCTGTCTCCCGCATTGCAGACGATCGTGCGAGCTCTGTCGACAAGCTGTGCTGCTGATTGGTGCTCGGTAAGGAAATAGAAGGCGTTGTCGCCAATGTGGATCCAGAGACGTCGGTAGTTCTGTCGAAGAGGTTCGCGACTCCCACGAGATCTGTCGAGCGGCTCCTTGCTCGTGGATTGCCCCCTAACCGCCGGGTGGTAAAGGCACGGGGACCAGCCCGTCCATTCGTACGGCCTCGAGTTGCGCTGTGCGAGTGCCCACCACCGGCATCGAAAGCGTGCTGGGGGGTCCCACTTGTGCTGTCGTTAAGGGATACTGGTTGCGGAGGCTGGCGGGGTCGATTGGCAGACTCAATATGTGCTCGACTAGCGTCAGTACGGGCTGGCTGGCGTGGCGGGTGCTAGCTCTGTCGAGTGCCGGTACCGGCGGACGGTGTGCACGCTAGCTAACTACCAGCGTGTACACTAGAGTGCGGCAGCGTCTAGCAGGTTTGGGCAGGCGGAATCGATGCTACAGAGACTCGCTCACTAGCTACATAAGCATACAAGGGAGAAGGGCGGTCTTGCTAATAACCACGGTTGGAGGATAGAGGGCTGGCCTGCCCAGCTCCATTAGAAGGCGCCTAGTTCTAGGGATGCTGCGCATTAACGCGTCTCTTTAGTCGCCTAGTTCGACATCAAACTCTTTACCAAGTCCCGTCACCATTAGTGTAAGTAAGAGGCAGCCAGTAGGGCCCAGAGAGAGACTTAACATAGCAGTCGTGTTTATGCTTCGCCAAGGCTTCACTTCGACACTTGTTAAAGGCCCAGGTGGGATGGTCGCCGCCGCAGTTAGGGCAGCGGGCACCCGTTCTCCCGTCACCATTGACAAGGTACGGGCAATGGTCCTTGCGGTGATCCCCACGTGCGCAGAACCAGCAGTGCGGCTCCTGTAAGCACCCATGCTCCTTATGCCCGGGCTTACCACACTTCTGGCAAAGATATGGATCGAAACTGCTGTCCCAGGGCTGAGCTGCGTAGGCTCGTCCTTCCAAGAAGAAATAGGGCTCTGAGTCGAACTTGGCAGCATCCTCCAAGGACGCCATTTCCAGGCGGAGAGTTTGATGCTTGTTGAACGCATGCAAAATGGTCACGCCGTTCTCGCGCCCCCATTCCGGCAACTTTAGGCTCGTCCCAGCGTTTACCTTGTAGGGGCAGGCCACCCGGACGGTGTAATTGCGAGGTGTCCGCTGTACTTTACATTCTACGTCAAAATCGAGTACGGAGGGTATATGGTCAGAGACTTTCTCCAGCTTGTATAGGTCTTGCTGCGTTATAACCTAGAGCCAGAGGGTCTCACCTCCTTCATCCAGGGTGATTCGGTTTGGTAGATTGTAGGGATGCCCATGGTTTTGCAGGGTCTCCAATAGGCGCTTCCAGGGCCGCTCTTGCTCAATGAGGCGTGTCTCCTAAGCCTTACTTAGCCTTACGCAAAGGCAAACTAGCTTTAGAGAAGAACGAGAGCGAGGGAGTTCCGCTAGAAAAGTCTTAAGCGTTTTCTTTAACTGTTTCTGCACGACCTGCCTTACCGTTCTAGCTAGAACTCCTTTAACAGCTTGCTAGACTATCTTCACAATAAGCGGCCGGAGATTCTTAGAGATGAGGTTCAAGAGCTATGGTGTTTCTGTGCGCACTTGCTTCGCCAGCTTCTTATAATTAATATGCACACGTTGTGCCATGGTTAAAATTTAGCGAAGGAGGCAGCGTACGAGATAGCGTACAAGCGAGTACGGACGCTATATCTCGTCAGCCACACCGCCCAAGGAGAGAAATATCGCCAAGGAATCTAACAGCCTCAGCAGGGCACGTACATACTTTGGAAATATGCAGTTAAGCTTGACGTGGTGAAAACGCCCCTCTGGTGAGATACCTCCAGGGTACAGTTTAGATGCGATGCTCGATCGGAGGAAGAAGGTAAGTGACAGGCTCGGCAACGGCTGAATGTCCGTGGGAAGCCGAAATAAGGCAACAGAGAACGGGGGCCGCGGGACAATAACAGGAGCATATACGAGTAGGGAGGAGCCACAATGCTGTGTAGATGCGAATGATATGGGGGAGGTAGTGATGGGGGCTTGGTATGCTTGAGGAAACGTTTGGCGTTAATGGATCCAAAAGCGAAGGGGATATACCATCCATTCCAAGCCGGACATAAAGACCTTTAAAAGGGAGCACCTGGATATGGTAACACTATTGGAGCTTAGAGGCTTCAAGGCCTGGACGTCGTATAGCATATTGAAATGTAACGCCGGCGCTCCTCCGCTCCGGATTGACGGCCCTTAGACAGTCTAGAAGCGGATAGTAGCGGACACTAAACGCTGTGGAGAGCTTGGAACTGTGCTGCTGTAGCGTATGCACTAACTTGGCAAGTCCTGCCGGTTGAAGCCCACGCTTGGGCGGTCGCGGCCGAAGAAGCAAACAATGAGAAAGACGGCAGTCGCATCGGAGAGCCACGTCGAGCATATCTTGGGAGCCTAGAAGCTCCTCAGCTGTGGATCAAGTGTGGTCGCGAGATACCGCTGGTTATCGCTTGGAGGCAATCCCCTGAGGCGGGGAGGTTTTCCAGCAGGTTGATCGAATGATGGGTGTTTTCTATCCTGGCTACTGTAGCCTATCGCCGCCATTTTCAAAGTCTAGATGCTGTCAGCCGTCGTAGAGGCGAAGCCATCACATGCATAGGTTATTGACTAACACTTGAATACTTGGCTAAAGGGACGAATTGCTCCGTAGCTTGAGTCCAGGCGTGTCTTGGTGCGGCGAGAGCGTGCACTGGCACTCATCCCGATGATAGGGCCAGTTGTGAGAGGGCCCGCTCGCCGCGAGTGCAAGCAATGCCTCGGTCCTTTCTATTTGGGTAGTGGATAGAAGTGTGACTCTATTTCTGGAGCCTGGAAGCGCTTGTTCTGCGCGCTGCTCCCAAGCCCAACAATCCGTCGTCTGCGGAGCGAGATCGGATGCTGGCAGATCGAGTGATTGATGTAGGACAACTGACCTTCAAAACGGGGAGGGACTTGGCTGTAGTATGATCGTTATGGTGTGGTCAGACGCGTCGTCGTACCGGGGAGGGGTGGCGTGCCGCGAGCGCACGGCCGAGCGCACTTCTCCCGCATCCAAGGATTCCAACGGTCAATGGCTGCGTCACACCAAGGCGTTCGAAAAGATCCAAATTGACCTTGACATAGCGCTCATGGAGAAGCAGTATCACGAAGAAGACGGTGTTACGCTCCGGCGACGGATCATGTCCCTGCAGACAAGGACGCAATATCGAAATCCATAGACACCTCAAGCTTTTCTGGCATGTTGTACAACCGCCTACCCAGACGCGTACTAAAAAGGCCAGCGGCTAGGACAATGTACGGAGAAGTGCCCGGCCTTGGGGGCCTACACCGGTTTTGGCCATACAGGCTTTGATGCCATTCATCAATACCAAGTTCTAGCAGTAGTCAAAATGAGGCTGAAGAAGTCGCCATGCGACACTGAGGGCTCGGTTTTCCAGCCCATGCAAAAGACGGTTGCGGGGCGTTCAGAACTCCGACTATCGGATACATAAACGTGAATCACAGATAGACTGTGCTACAGGGAGCCCGGGCTCCGCTCCAACGCATTCCAAATGCTTCCCCCGCGTGCTATGTGGCTTCATCTCGCTTTCTCGTACTGACGAGACTCGTCACCATTCACGTGGTACCACTTGTTGCGACTCTTACTCCAAGTCTAGTAATCATCGGCCGTCGGCTGCTCTTCAGTTAGTGGATCCACGAAGCTCGCCTGTGATTCTGCGACGTCATCAAACGACACAAGCGCCTGACCTTGATCTTGCTGGCTGTCTTCTGGGTAGTGACACCTTGCAAGTCCATCGTCGATATCTTGGGGTACGTAGTCGTTGGTCTCGAAAGGTTCCTGCTGATGAGGAGTAAGGCTCGACTGGGTAATGTATGAATCTTCATGATCATTGTTGTCGAAGCTCGATGTGAAGCCAGTTGTTGTGAAGCTTGTCGGTTCTGCGGCAGAGTGAAGGGATGCAAGCTCCTGACTTTGGTCTTGCTGGCCGGCGTCGGGGTAGATGCCTTGTGATGCCGTCCCATACGATGCCCTATACGGCTGACTTGGTCCCTTATCGTGTGTTTGCCTGCCGCTATTTCTACGCGACGGCTTGCGCCTCTTGCTAGCGCTGGATCCGGAATCATCGGATGGCGGTTGACGGGTCTTCGCTTGTTCTGCAGCCTTCTTCCTGCTTTCTTCAAGGATGATATCCAATGCATCCTTGATCTGCTTCAGGCGTTTGTCCTTTCCCCAATCGAGAATGTTTCGAACCTTTTTGCGGAAGTCTTTGAAATGTTCTGGGCTTGATAGGAGGAAAGCATCCACCCGCTGGAGGTAATAGTTTAAGCCATCCTCCTTCCACGATATATATAACTGGGCGGTATTGTTGTCTACAGCAACGCAGTAGGATAAGTTGTCGATATGTTGCACACTGGGATGCTTTGGTAGCGAGGTATTTAGCTGGTGGACAGCGTTGAGGCAGGCTGATGAAGCGCCCGCACACTGATTTGTGGCAACCCAGAGGTCGCCTCGAGTACCTCCGGCAGCTTTGAATTCGATGGCGAAGAACGGAAACCGAAGGCCTTGTGACGTTGCCGCCGGATAGTGTGGTATTTGTGGATGGATTGTAGTTTGAGCCAGGAGCTGTGGTTGCGTAAACGCCGCATTAGGGTTTCCAGAATACCCATACAACTTGTCTGGTTTGGGTTGAGTAACTTTGTACGGACTTATGGGGTTGGTAGGAACGAGATGCTGCGACATGAGAGCACTGGAGCTACTCATCAAACCTGTACTAGGACCATAAGCCGGGTCGGTTTTGGGGTTAGGAAATATGGTATCATTAAGGAAGACCGCCACGTCATCCTCATCGCATCCCTCTGCGAGAGCGTCCAGCTGGTCCACAACCCGGTCCATTTCTCCGGCCGACAGCCCTGGGGAGTCCCGGTCGGCGCGTAGTGCCTCCATGCGGCTGGCCACGACGTCTGGCAATGGGGCAGCAGACGGTCGAATGTAAATATCGTTGAGTGCCAAGTTGTTCTGGCGGTACATTCGATGTCGGACACCAGACGATGGACTAGAACTGCCCGATGCCCCGGTAGCAGAGAACTGACTGTGATTATCCGCTGTACTGGGTCGACGTGACCGCGACCCGGTAGAAGCCGGCGTTGGCGGCACCGCAAACCCATCGGCGTCCCGTGTGTGACCCATCTCCGGCGCCGATCTCGTGAGATGTCTAATGGGGTCGCCGCCTGAATGGTACAGGTGGCTGACTGACCGGCAATATTTCTCGCCTGACCCGACTGACTCGAGCCACTCGGAAACAAAGGTGTGGACGGATGCGGGACCGGGATCGGGACGAATGGGATCGACAAAGTCTTTGAGGAACGAGGCGTATGGACGCTTGGGAGGGTTCGGCTTTGGCTGCTGGAGAGCGGCCTGTATGGGATGCCTCGTTAGCTGTGAACTTCTGTGGGCGACCGATGTCATACCTCGTCCGCTGGCTCTGCTCTTTCGTCCTGAACTGCAGGCCGTTGTGTATCCGCCCGTGTCAACCGGGCTCTCTTCGCGGGCGCTGGATCGCTCTCAGTTGTCGTATCGAGGTGCCTCTTCCGAGCCGGTGCGGGCGGGGCGTCTCCGGAGAGACCTTCGCTCTCTGAATACTGCTCTGGATGCTTCGGTGGAAGCTCTATGCCTGGTAAGTGATCAGTTTACATGCCCTACCGGTCTCTAGAAACATCGGCATCCATACCTGCAGTGTTGTTTGCAACAGCGCCCAGCAGCGTTTCTTGCAAGTCCTCGGATAGTTTCACACGACAGCAGCGCCTCCATTTATAAACTCGGCTGTTCATGGCGAAGGACGTGCCAACGTGCGCAGGGGGGGATGAAATCAGCGCTCGCTGGCCGACAGAAAGGTCTGCTGCAAGCCGCAAGGTCGTTCGTCTTGTCACAAGCAGTCGCAAGGAGTTGTTTCGGTCGGGCTGATTTTGACTTGGCGGCACGTACAGTCAGCAGAGCGTGGGGCCGGCTAACGATTGGTCCTCGTGCTCCGAAAAGGCGTGCGGGGTTGTCGCCGAGCTTTGGCCCCTTACGAATGTTCTGAGCGCTGACACCCAATCGAATCTGCCGCCGCCGTCTTTGCGGCAACAAAATGGCACCGCTGTCAGTAGTAAAATTTGCAAAGTCTAGATATGAAGGAATGTCGGCTAAGCAGAAGAAAAGATAAGAGGCAAGCAGAACATTGAATTTGCATAACGGCGTACATTACAACAAGTTCAGCAAGTCTAGATATGATTAATTTTGCGAAGATGAGGAAAGCTTCTTTCTGATAGGATGAGGTGACCGTCGAGCTTGTCGTATCTGTACGCCGCTCCCCTGCGCCAAGCCCACAATCCCTATCCTTTACTACCTACAGCACGCCCGGCCAAAACCTCGCAGAATTCCTCCCTCGCCACACCCCATCATGCGCCACCACCACCTCGACCTCGACCTCCCCATCCCCCTCCTCCCTCACACTCCCTTGCTTCAGCAGCCTCGCTATCCTCTTCACCGTCTGCGCCGCTGTATCCGTGTCCGCATGCACGCTTCGCAACCCGCCTCTGCCGTCATCGTACATCGCAATGCCCTTTTCGCCGGACAGGATGCGCGGGTCGTGGCAGCAGTCGCCGCCGAGGTAGACCCATTTCCCCGGCGCCGTGCGTGCGAGGATGTTGACGTGTCCTGGAAGGTGGCCGGGCGCATCGATGACGTACAGACTGCCGTCGGCGTAGAAGTCGATGGCGGCGGGGAAGCCGGCGAGCGGGGACCAGGTGTGGGAGGTTTGTTTTGAGAAAGCCTTGGGGTGGTCTTCTTCTCGCGCGGGCGGTAATTCTTTTGTTCTGTGCTTAGGTAGTTCGTCGGGGTTGAATATTTCAGCAGGGTATAGGGGGCCTCCACCGTTGGCTAGAAGATGCATGGTCCCGCTTCCGACGACGAATTCAGCGTTTGAGAAGTCGCTCGGCGTGCCCACATGATCCCAATGCACATGGCTCAGCACCACGGTGTCAATTTCTTCAGGCCCTAGTCCACCTTTTCTCAAACTCTCGGCTACGTCGGGACTCACAATTGTCGGTTGGCGCTGCGAGATGTGGTGTTGCTGCGCGTCGCGGTAGCTGGTGAAATCTCGCTTGAGGCCGAGGTCGAAGACCAGTTTATGCGGTTTGGAGGCGGAGGAAGAGGAAGAGGATGCGGAAGCATGTTGGATGAGAAATGATAAAGAGGGAACTGTAGCGCGCTTTTCGGGATCTGCGTCTGTGACGAAGAGCTTTTCGGGGAGGGTGAGTTGGCCGCCTTCAAGGGCAGAGATGGAGACGTATGTTTGGTTGGGCGAAGCCGCTGGGAGGGTGATGGGTTCTGGGTACGAGGACGACATGGTTGGACGGAAGAGTTAAAGGTGGAAGGATGGCTTGCGTGTTGATGAAGTGAGGTTGCGAAACGGTTGATGTGATTCGTTGGAGAAGCGTGTTGGGGAACATGGCATTCTGGAAGAGCATAGCCCCACCTCAGGCGACTGTACCCCGCTGCGGGGTCTGCGTCGCCCGGCTTTCATCCGTACCGCTTGAACGAAGCTCCGAGATATGTCGCGCGTCTGATGTCCTAGATCTGCGAAACAAACGCGCATAACTCACTTCGAAGGCTACCGTCTCATATCGCACCGACCACCATGGCGGCCAACCTTCCCAAGACGATGCGAGGCCAGTTCCTCGAGGCCTTCAAGAAGCCATATACTTTGCGCACCGTGCCGTTACCGAAACCAACCACCCCAAACGACATCCTTATCAAAGTCGATGCTGCATCCTATTGCCACACCGATGCCGTCCTCGCCGATGGACAAATGCCCGGATTTCCGAACTCATTCCCACACGTTGGCTGCCACGAGTTCGCTGGAACAGTAATCTCACTCTCCGATTCTCCAAGCTCAGCGGCTAGCGCGTTCAAGGCTGGCGACCGCGTCGGTGTTCCTGGTCGGGCGTTTCATGCTTGTGGGAATTGTTTTGAATGCCAGGGCTCGAAGGATCCAGTAAGCCAGGACGACAAGGGTTATTCGGTGTATTGCACTGATGCGGAGAATAATGGGATCAGTAGAGACGGAGGGTTCTCGGAGTATGCGATTGTGGATGCGCATCAGCTGGCACCCATTCCGGAGTCCATGACGGCAGTGGAGACGGCGCCGCTCATGTGTGCGGGCATCACTATCTACGCCGCGCTTAAGAGGTGCCAGCTACAGCCCGGCGATCGAGTGGGTATCATGGGCGCTGGCGGTGGGCTCGGACATTTAGGACTGCAATACGCCGCTAAGATGGGGTATAAAGTCCTAGGCGTGGACGCCGCCGATGGACCGCTGAAGCTTGCGAAGAACTTGAACACGGGAGCGAGGATGGTGGATGCGAGGTCGGAGAAGGCAGCTGATATTGTACAACAGCTCGGCGCTGAGGACGGAAAGAAAGACACGGACGAGATGGGCCTTGATGCTGTTATCATTTTGCCTGAGAGTCAGGCGGCTTTCGACTACGGGATGACGCTGCTGAAGAGACATGGAAAATGCGTGGTCGTATCATTCCCGGAGAAAGGGTTCCATATCTCGGCGAGAGACGTGGTGTTTCGGGATATCTCGATCATTGGGAGCCTTGTTGGCAGCAACAGGATGTTGAGGGAGATGCTGAACTTCTCCGCCGAGCACAACGTTCGAGCGATCGCCAAGTCGTACCCGCTGGCAAAACTGAACGAGCTTGTGGAGGATTACCACAAGGGCGGCGGAGGAAAGCTAGTCGTAGATATGTCGCTTGCAGACTAGTCAATACATTTCCATAGGCGTATTGACATGACTTTTGCTTGATGTAGATATATCGAAAACCAACGTCAAGCCGAATCTTAACCTGCCTCTAGCATGTCCGCATAGAGATTCAAAGCACTGCCGATAACATCCACGATCGCCCACGTCTGCGCGCCTTTGAAGATAGTCGCCCACACTCTTAGGACGCCGGCGCTCAGATGTTTCGTGTAAGCCGGCGAGTCCTCAGAAATGTCCGGTGGTAGTGCGAACTCGGTCTCGTCAAGCATGCTCTTGACGATGGCCGCTATCCTTCGCTCGTCCTCGGTGATAGGTGGTTCTGGACTGTGGGTCGAAAGCGCTTCAAGCCACTTACTCATAAGGTAGGCGCATTCCAGCGTGCATAGCGAATGCTGGATCGACCATATGAAAGACTGCGTCTTAGCAACAAGCCTGTATCCAATCTTGACGGGAATGCTGAGCGCATGAGCTGAGTGCAGGACTGCTCTAGTAATCTTGGCGGACCGCTTAATAGCGGGCCCGGCGCGGAAGGCGTTCGCAATGAGAATCGGGTCCCGTGTATCCAAAGCCCGGCCTGCGGTATCCACGTAAAGGCGTATGTATGCTAAGCGCAGTAGCGCTGTAGAGTTGAAAGCTACTGGGCCATTGGGACTCATAGGATCAAGTGATGATTCCGGATTGTGCTTCCAACCAACCTGCCAGTTCCTCAATGCATTCTCAAGCGATGTGACATCCTCCTGGCTGAGATCTCCCGGCCCGTCAAAGCGACACCGCGCGACCTGCCGAACGAAGAAGATGTGCTGAATCAGGGCGTGGATCAGGGCATAATTGCCAGCACTCGAGTTCCATTCAGTAATGTCTCGCCCATTCTTCGAGAACAGTCGTTGAAGGGCATCCTGGAACTGGATCTCTGGTGGACTCTTCTTCCTTGCTTCTTTCCATGCTGCCTCGGTTGATGCTTTGAACTCCGCGGCACTGCAAGGCAGCGTGAGCTTGACTTCCGACGTCAAAATGAAGGGCGGGATGTTGTAGACAATACAGTGAAGGTTGGAGAAGCCGTAAACGATAAACTTGGTTCTTTTGATGGTCTCCCGTCGAACCCAGTCTCTCCATGAAAGCTCTTCCCTCAGGGCCTCATTCTGAAGTCCGTCATCTCTAATGAGGGTGGCAAGTATACTCTGTATGCCGAGCGCTTCGCGGAGGATTTCCTTGTGCTTTGCCCATGTACATAGGGCCATGAGCAAGAGCAGGGCTTGCGCGGTCTGCATCAGGTCCTCGCCAACAGCGGAGACATCGGATCCAGAAGGCAATCCAAGCGGACCAACAGTCGACGAGGTGCGTGCTGGACTACGTGTCACTGACGCACCGTCTGCGTCGTGGGACGAAGACCGATCGGATTCGGCGCGACGATGCACTTCCACGAGGCGCGCATCTCTTCGCCGTATGCGATAGGTAGCTATTGCGCGACTCGCATTGAAGAGCTCTACCCCCTTCTCTCCTTCGAAGGTGTACTGGGCGCCGACGGCTGCGATGGCAAGGATGAGCTCAATCGAGCAGGTGTCGATGGACATGGTCGGAATATGCAAGAAGGGCATGTGTTCATGGAAGCCGTTGATGTATGCAGCAATGTATCTGCACAGAGCCAGTCGCGTTGGCAACCTGAAGTCGCTTGGAAGCACCGTGGAGAAGTCATGAAGCTTGTCGGCGATCTTTTGTCGATCGTCCATGGACACATCGGCAAACGACCGGCGGATGGTGGCGTTTTCTTGCTGCGTGAGATCGTCTGGCTGCAACGAGGGCAGTCTGGACCCGAATCGTGAGAAGGAGTGAGGTTCATCCCCGTGCGCTTGACTATGACCAAGGCCTGCAGCTGGAGTTCCCGGCGGAGGTAGGAAATCGTGGCCATAGCTGAATGACTCCGGGGAAAAGAAAGGCATGGGCTGCTCTGTATTGATCAGAGAAGAGAAGTGGTAGGAGCTCAGCGGCTCGTTGTCGAGGAAGGCTGCCAGACTGTCGAGCGACTCTCCCAGACTCGGGCCATGTATCTGCATAGTCGCAGCGGGTACAGCGGGCTGATGTTCTACCGTGTTGGATATGGGGTCCTCTTGCAAGTGGATTTCGTGATGAGGCGTGGGTGCGCCATTGGGCATGGCTCCATGCATGGCCTGATACTCTGCGGCGTAGGAGAGCGCCGCGAGCGAGAACTCGTCATTCTGGCCTACCATTGGGGGTCCAACAGGAGGCGGGTGAGGATGTTGAGGCGGATGCATGTCCATGTTCATTGGCGCGGGGGTCGACATCATGCTGGGAATCTCGGGCACCGGCCGCCCGGCATCAAAGCTGGTGCGCATGCGCTTGTGTGGTCTGGTATCGGGAGGCAGCGCATAGCTGTTTTCGGTAGCAGGCTGATGGTTCTTCCCGTTGTGGTCCTTGTGGTGGGTCAGTCGTTCGTGACGGACAAGGAGGTCGCTATTGATGTCAGCGCACGTTTCGCTTAGGTCACGGCTCGCATACCTGCGCGTGAACGAGTAGTTGCACTCGGAGCAGCTGAAGGGCTTGACTCCGCTGTCTTATGGGGTGTCAGTATCCATCAGGGTGCTTGCGGCACGGGCGACTCACGAATGCGCTCATGGCGTTGCAGGTGCTCGAGACGGGCGAACATGCGCTGGCAGTGCTGGCATTGGAACCGCTTCTCCTTCTTGCCGGCCGGCGCTGGCTCTGCCGTGCTCGATTCCATTGGGCGGGCTGTAGCAGGTCAACGTGCTTGGACCATCATTGGCCAGGCGTAGCGTCTCAGCAGTTCGGAGAGGCCTCAGGGGAGAGCATCGCGTTTGGAGACAGGGCCAGAGGGTGTTTGATGGGGGTCGGGGATGAGGAGTGCGAAAAGTGCGGAGAGCGGGCGGGCGTCTGCGGAGATGCGCCGGAGCGTGACAGGTGGGGACGCCACCAACCGAAGCCGCGGCTTGGCCGGCGGACCGCAGCTCCTGCGTCATCACTCAAGATTCAGGACAAAGGGCGAGCAACTGCGATGCATTGTGACTTCAGAGGTCGTCTTGAGATAGATTGATGGTGTTGAGGTTACACATCGGCTTGTGGGGCGCTCTTCCCAGGTTTGGCGGCCTCGCCTCTGCTCGCCTGCCGTGCCTTCATCTACGGCCCCGTCGCGCCTGCCAATCACGCCGCACCAAAACAACCGACACAGCCCTCTGTCCACCGCCGCCTCACGCTCTTCGCTCGGACTACGCTCGGTCGCTCCTGTTGCCCATCTCGCGCGCCATCTCGCCCTTCTCCGCCATGTCGTTGAGCACCTTCTCCGCCGTCTTCATGGCGTCGACGCCCGCCGGCACGCCGCAGTACGTCGTCGCGTGGATGATCGCCTCGCGGATCTCGAGCTCCGAGAGCCCGTTGTTGCGCGCGCCGCGGATGTGCACCGCGAGCTCGGGCGCGCGGTTGAGGGCCATGAGCATGCCGATGTTGAGCAGGCTGCGCTGCTGCTTTGTGAGGCCCGGCCGCGTCCACGCGTAGCCCCAGCACCACTCCGTCACCAGCTCTTGTCCCGCCCGCGCGAACTCCGACGAGCCATTGTCGAGCGCGCGGTCAACATATTCGTTCCCCACAACGCTGCGTCGCATCTTCAGACCCTCCTCAAAGAGCTGCTTGTGGAGCTCGTCGTACTTCGGATCGCTGGACATGGCGGCGCGCTGATTGGTGGATAAACTCGGTCGGGCTAGAGGATCGTATAGCACTGTCGGGGGGAACCAAGAGGCAGTGGAGGCTCAATTATTCAGGCGCGAGGGAGAAAGCTTGATGGAGATGTCTCTTTTGAAGATTTGGAATATGGAAGGCGTTGTCGTCGAAGAGCTCCCTCTGCTAGCCCTGCTGACCCTGCCCCTCCTTGTGGGCCTCCGGCTTCGGTGGTGCCGTCGAGTTGGGGTTGCCCCTCTTCCCCTCTTCTCCAACCCGCCCTCGCTGGTTGCATCATCGCAATTCACGGGCTAACACGAGCACAGATGAGGCGCCCCAAAGGGGAATTCTATCAATTCTATGGAGACCTTGCCTTGTCCATCCAATCCTCCTGGCCGCCCAGATACCGATACACCACCCGCGAGTCCAGGTCACGGCACCTCGGGTCTTTGCTTGCGCCGTCGTACGTAGCCAGCCCAACTTCGCCCAGCACATTCTTGCTCCCAACCCGCTTTGCCATATCCAGCGCCAGACCAAAGTCCTTGCGCATCAGCTGCACCTTGAAGCCCTCCTTGTAGCCTCCTGTCGACGGTGCCTCTGCGAACACATGCGGCACAGGGCAGAAGCGGTCACTGATTGTGTTCTGAGCCGTTCCGGCAGCGTACACCTTCGCCAGCGTCCGCGGGTCCAAGCCAGAGCGCATACCCATATCAAAGGCTTCCGAGCAGGCGATAGCGATCACGCCCGAGAGGTAGTTGTTCGAAAGCTTTGCCGCAAGACCGAGCGAAGGACCGCCGCACGGGATTATCTGCTTGCCCATCATGCTCATCAGATGTGTGAGGCGCTTGACGTTCGGATCGGATTCCGCGCAGCCCAGGAAGAATGCAATCGTGCCTTTGATCGCACCCACAACACCTCCACTGACTGGCGAGTCATAGAAGGAGGCCGTAGGAAAGTTCTGCGCGATATGATCCTTCACAGCCAGGCTCGTCGCCGTGTCTATCGTCGAGCAGTCGATGAGCAGCTTCTTCGCGACGTCGGTGCTACAGATGCCGCTTTCGGGGTCGAGGTAGACGGATCGAACGTGGGATCCCTCTGGCACCATTGTGATGACAGTTTCCTGGATTTATTTCAGCACCCTTCCGCCCCCTGTGATCACATGGCTTACCACCTGCTGCGCGACATCTTTCGCGCTCGAGCCCTTCAGCACTCTGTTCGGAAACTGCGCGCATAGATCATCCACCACCTTCTCTACCACATCGAAAACGTATATCCGAGACTCTGGCGGGAGCTTGTTCGCCAGATGCACCACCATCGGCTTGCCCATCGCCCCCAGGCCGATGAAGCCCAACGTCCTAAATTCGAATGATTCGCTCATCTTGCTTCTCTAGAAATAAAAAGGCTGCGTGCCAAATGTCTGCTCTCGCAGAAGGCACAGATGTGTAAATACAACGACGACAAGGACTGGCGTTCCGAGGACTGTTCGTCAGATCGGAAACGATTAAGCTTTCTCCCGAGTGCCGGAGGCGATTTTCCCCAATCCGGCCAGTTTCCACCCCACACTAGCCGTGGTGGGGTTGACGTAAACGCCTCCCCAAGCCATTGGTGTCCTGCGTTGAGGCGCGCTACCCCGACATGTGGGCGCTCAAGGCCACGAGGGTGCTCTGCTATTCATCCGTGCCAAGCACGGCACTGGGCGTTTCGCCATATCAGCCTCAAAGAAGTAAACACCATGTAAGCCTTCCTCTCGCTGCTGGCGCTATATACAGTCACGCTCCTTTCGATCTATGTTCTGAGCAGCCGCTCCTTGATTGCATACAATGTCGTCGGCTGTCTACGTGAGGCAGAGCGGACCACCTTCTCCGCCGCTCGAAAAAGCAACCGTCTCAGTCCATGCGCTTGATGCTGGTCACTTCTCTCTTCCAGAATATCAGTTTGTACACCCAGTATCCCGCGATGCACGGAAGACAGTCCCTTCGCTAGCGTTCCTCATTCAGCACCAAAACGTTCAGAATGGCAAGGTGACACGGATTGTCTTCGACTTGGGGTTGAGAAGAGATATCAGACGATATGCACCACCAATCCAGAAGCACGTGGAGACGCGACAGCCTATGAGTACGGATCCTGACGTCGTCAAGAGCCTAGCGAAAGGTGGCTTGACCCCGGACGACATTGACTACGTCCTATATTCGCATGTATGTTGAGAAGGTCCTTCACCCCCACTACAACTTCCACCGAAGCATTGTTGATCGGGTTCTCGTATAGGTACACTGGGATCACATCGGCGAACCACGGGACTTCCCTAATTCGACCTTCATGGTCGGGCATGGAGCACTTGCTCTTCTAGACGGGACATCTTCGTCGCTCCGCGGCGGCCACTCTTTCTTTGAACACGATCTCCTTCCGGAAGGACGCACAATCGAGCTATCAGACCCCTCAAACACCACAGTTAAGCGTCACTCGACAGACGTAGCCCGGAAATCAGGAACCATGAATCTCCAACAGGCATGGATGCCCTACAAGCACCTGCCCCAGACACTCGACCTTTTTGACGACGGATCCGTTCTTGTAGCGAACGCGCCTGGACATCTACCCGGGCACGTTAACATCCTCGCACAAGTCTCTGAAGACCATCAAGTATATCTCGCCGGCGATGCGTGCCACGACCGGAGACTCCTAACTGGAGAAAAAGAGATTGGAGAGTGGAACGATGCGGAGGGGCACGTATGTTGCATACATGCCGACCGGAAAGGGGCAGAGGCCACTATAGAACGAATAAGAGGGCTAGAAAAGAACGGGGTGGAAATCATTTTCGCGCACGACGTTGAGTGGGAGAATGTCCCTGCGAACAAGGCACGTTTCTTCGGCGCGTAGAAGGCCGGCAATGGGTAAGGGGTTTCGGAGTTGAATGATCTTGCACACTCTACAGCGTTGCGTTTGCATCCTTCAGCGTAGCAGCACCCATGACGGAACTGGGCCATGGTATCTCCGAAACATTGCTATCTATCGATAGATGGGTTGTCAGCCTGAAGCCTCGTGACCACAACCCCTCGATTCCAAAAAAACCAGAACCCCGCGGTGGCGAGCTATCGTTGGAGAAATGTGGGGCATCGCTTCCGCCAATCGGTTCCATCTCTCCAACACTCTGCACCTCACTCACGGGACCAGTCAACAGCGTTGCACAACATTGCGTTCACCGTACCATTCTTCACACGGACCCAATCCAATAGTAACACTAGACCTAATCCAGACAGCTTGCTCGAACCCCTCATTACTCTACGCTTCGCTGCTGCAAATCCAGCATGTCGTCGGCGTCGTCGCAGCACCCATTCCCTCAACCACCCGCATACTCCATCCTCAGCACACCGCCCGACATGACCCTCACACCCGAACAGCAATCCCTCAAAGAGCGCTTCGACGCCGAGCTCGGCGCCTCCGCCTTCGACGAACCATGGTCGCGCCTGCTCAAGCACTCGCCCGAAATGTTCGCCGCCTCGCTCCGCCTCACCGCCGTGCCGAAGCGGAAAGCCCATCTCAGCCCTAAAATCCAATCCCTGGTTAGCCTCTCCGTAGCGGCGGCGAGCACGCATCTCCACGTCCCGAACGTCCAGCGGTACACGAAGCAAGCGCTGGAGCGCGGCGCGAGCAAGCAGGAGATCGTGGAAGTGCTGTGTCTGACGAGCACGCTGGGGATTCACGCGTGTAACATCGGCGTGCCGCTGCTGTGTGAGGTGTTAAAGGAGGAAGGGAGGGCGCTGCCGACCGGGATGGACGGCATGAGCAAGGAGCAGTGGGACCTGAAGGAAGACTTTGAGAAGAAGAGGGGGTATTGGCATCCCTTCTGGGAGGACTTCCTGCGCTTGTCGCCAGAGTTCTTTGGCGCGTATGTGGAGTTTTCGAGTGTGCCGTGGACGAATGAGGGTGGGGGTGGGGTGCTGGAACCGAAGGTATGTGTGAGAATCGGTTTCCTTTTTTTTTCTTTAGCCTCTGCACTGAGGGGGAAGTGGAGGTATGAACGGATGTGATGTAACTGGTCTAAGGCTAACACATTGCACAATCTAGGTCAAGGAACTGATATACTGCGCTTTTGACTGCGCGGCCACACACCTTTACCAGCCAGGGCTTAAGCTGCATATGAAGAATGTGCTTAAGTATGGGGGTACGCCAGAAGAGATCATGGAGGTGTTGGAGTTGGCGACGTTGCTGAGTACTGCTACGATGGATGTTGGGCTGCCGGTGTTGGAGAAGGAGCTGGCGGCGCTGGGGCGGTAGATAAGGTAGAGATGTTAGATAGAAGATAGAATGTATAACGGTGTCTAGAGCATTCCGAAGTGGAGGGTTCAGGGTGATAGGATTTGTCTGCAACACCAGGACCCTGTTCGACAATAGCTTCGCACCGATGGCACAATGGGCGCGGCTAACGGCTAGATGAGCGGCACCTGGAACTGCCAGAGCGTGGAAAGTGGATGCAGACAACCTCCACGCATTGTTCTCTCAGTCCTGGTGGAGCTAGCCAGCGAATCAAAGTCCACACAAGAATAAATCAAGACTTTCAAAGCTCTACTATCCCACTCCACCGGCGCCCATCCACCCCTACTTCCGCTCACTCTCATTCAACCACTTATAAACCACCCTCGCATCCTTCCCCCGATACCTCTCATCCCCCGCCGCCTCCCTCAACGCCCCCAACGTCGGCCCATCCAGCACCGTCCGCGCCCCCACCATCTCCGCCAAATCCGCCCCCATCTGCAGCACCTTCGCACACAGCTCAATCCGAAACCCGCCCTCATACCCCCTGCTACTCGGCACATTCTCCTGGATCCCCGGCACGGGGTTCGACTTGCTCGTGACCCAGCACTGGCCGCCGCTCACATTAATTACGTCCGTCAGCAGGCGCAAATCAAGCCCCATTTTCGCCCCGATGTTCAGCGCCTCGCTAGCCGCTAAAGAGGTTATGGCAGACAGGTAGTTGTTGATGACCTTGAACGCGGTGCCGGCGCCCACGCCACCGCACAGGAAAATCGCGTCGCGCTTGCCCATGTGCGCGAGGTACGACTTCACGGTGTCGAACGCGTCCGCTCTGTCGGCGCCGACCATGAACGTCAGCGAGCCGTCCTGCGCGCCCATCGGCCCGCCGGACACCGGCGCGTCGACGAACGTCAGCCGCTGCGCGACAGGCGAGGCTTGTGCCGCCCGCGCGACCTCCAGGATCGTCGCCGTCTCGATGGTGCCGCACTCGATTACGAGCTTCTCCTGCTCAGAATTTTCCGTCAGCGCCTTCGCGGCGCCCGCGAGGATGCCGGTCGCGGGGTCGAGGTAGACTTTCTTCACGGCGGCGGCGTCGGGCAGCATCGTGATGACGGTGTTGGCCTGCTGGATGGCTTCGAAGCCGCTGCTGATTGTAGGGACTGGGCCGAGGGTTCGGCAGTCCCATTGGAAGCGGCGCAGGGCGGCGGGGTCGACGTCGCAGATTAGGAGCGTGTGGGTTCTGGGTAGGGCTTTGCGCAGGTTGAGCGCCATGGGGTAGCCCATTACGCCGAGGCCTGGGGAGGGTTAGATGAGTGTTTGGTGGTGGGTGGTGTGCTGGGGGAGGGGAGTACCGATGAAGGCTACGGTTTGTTCTGGGGGGGCCATTGTTGAGGGGGGTTTGCTGGGAGGGTTTGCTTGCTGGTTCGGATTTTCTGGTGTTTGGAGTTTTTACTAGAGGGCGTACGGCGTGGGTGTGCTTGGCTAAGGCTGCTCTGCGCAGGTAGTTCTGATGATTGTGCGTCGAGTTACCTAGCTCCCGTTACGACGTCGTTCCGGTACTCCAACTACAAGCGCAGTTCCGAGACCGCGGGAAGCGTTCCGAGGAATTTGGAGCTGCAAAAAAAAGAAAGAACTGCTTTGGAGAATGACACGGGCTTGAATCATGGAAGCCTTGGTGTTTCGACTCCCCCATGTCATGGGCGTCTCAACCCCTCATTTCGTCTCGTTCCGCACCCCACCTTTTACCCCAACTCGAACCTCCGCGTTCCCCGCCCTTCTCCAACGCCGGAGATTAACGCACAGCTAAGCTGCTCTCCGAACGCCACCACGCCGAAACGCACGCCCGCGTCACCCGTTTCGCTCCCTCGGGACAGTTCCCCAGCGGCTTGGTCACGCCTCGGCTGCCTTCTCCAGGGACGATCCTTCCCCGAAAACGAACGATGCCGGCACTGCAGGTTCTGCTGCCGGATCGGATAGCTGCAGTCAGACGTTGACCCCGGACTATCCCCGCTTTTGGGCGCACTTGGCAGCCCGTCAGCCGTGTGCTGGGGAGATATCGCAGCTGGTGTTGGGGACGACATGCACACTTGATCATCTCATGCCCTCCATCTCTTTTCCACACTCTTTCCACCCTGCTTCCATCACCCCGAGAACCTGGTAACGGGGAACGCAACGCAATGACCGAGCTCGACAACAAAGACGTGCTCTCCCTCGCGGACGAGAAGGAGCAGCAGGCCGTCACGCGGGAATACCTGCAGCAAGACGAGTCGCCCGACGCGGTCGAGGCGCGCAAGAGAGAGGCGGCGCTCGTGCGCAAGCTGGACTGCTTCGTCGCGCCCGTGATGATGCTGCTCATGCTGATTTCGTACTTGGATCGCGGGAACATTGGGTTTGCGGCGACGCAGGGCATGATTGAGGATATTCACCTGAAGGGGAGTGAGCTGAATGTAAGCATGCATTAGCCGGTCGAACCGAGTAGGGATGAGATGCTGATTCTGGGTGGAATAGACCGCGGTGTCTGTCTTCTATATTTTTTATATTCTGGCTGAGGTACGTCTGTCTCCTCTATCACACCTAGCGAAATGTTTTCATTAACCAATCTCGCTGCCAGTTCCCGACTTCCATTCTCGTAAAGCGCCTCCAGTTCAACCGTGTGATCCCCGCCATCACCTTCTGCTGGGGCCTGGTCTGCCTGTGCACCGGCTTCGTGCAGAACTTCGCCGGGCTCGTTACGACGCGTATTTTCCTGGGCTTCTTCGAGGGCTGCTTATTCCCGTCTATGACGCTCTTCCTGTGTAACTGGTACACGCGCGAGGAGCTGGGCGTACGAGTAGCTTACCTGTTCATTGCGAGCGCGCTGAGCGGGGCGTTTGGCGGGCTGATTGCGCTGGGCGTGCTTTACATGGACGGTGTCAGGGGCTGGGCAGGGTGGCGGTGGTAAGCTTTCTTTCCCACTGAGTGATGGCGAATCTAAATAGCTAACGGTGGGCTAATAGGCTCTACGTGATCGAAGGCATCCTTACCATCGTCTGGGCCTTCATCTGCATCTTCGTGGTGCCAAAGAACTACGAAACGGCGTACTTCCTCAACGACGATGAGAAGAAAATCATGCGCCACCGCGCTGAACGCACGGAAGCGTACTCGGGCGGAAGCGGCCACTACAGCAAAGCCGACATCAAGGAAGCTGCCAAAGACATTAAGAGCTGGGTCCACGGCGTCATTCAAATCGCCGTCGTCACCATCCTCTACGGTTTCGGAACTTTCTTGCCCATTATCATCAAGTACGGGTTCCAGTACACCACGCAACAGGTACGCTAGCTCTAGCCCCTAGCAGAAATCCCGGATACAGCTAACTAACTCGTGCACGCAGGCCCAATACCTCGTAGTCCCCGTGAACCTCTGGGGCGCATTCGTCTACGCCGTAGGCGCCTACTTCTCCGACCGCTTCCAAACGCGCTTCCTGCCGCTCATCCTCATGGCGCCCATCGGCATCGCCGGCTACGCGATCCTCCTCGCGCCCGTCTCAGCCGGCGTCTCCTACTTCGCGACCTACCTCATCGCCACGGCCTGCTTCCTCTGCACCGGCAGCAACATCACCTGGCTGTCCGTGAACTGCGCGCCGGACGGGAAGCGCGCGGCCTCGCTCGGCATCCTGCTCACGCTGACTAACATCGGCGGCGTGGTCAGCGGGCAGATCTACCGCAGCGACGCGGCGCCGAAGTATACGCTTGGCCATGCGTGGAGCTTAGGGTGTCTAGGGTTTGCATGGTGTGGGTGGTGGATTGTCAGGGCGATTTATTTGAGGCGGGAGAAGAGGAAGGATAGGAAGCTTGCGGGGGATTATAGGATGCCGGAGGGCCAGATGTATACGGATCGAGAGCCGGACTTTAGGTATCAGCTTTAGAGCGAACGCTCGTGCCGTGGACGACGAGACTAGTGATGGAGCTATGACATTGTTTTACTAGTAGCAAGGTTCTAAGTCATTGGGGCCTAGGAATACGAATGCGATCAAGTTCAGGGAACGTCTTTGTTGTCTGGAATGATTACTAGTAATTTATATTTCCCTAATGAGCGCTCTACAAGCTTCTGACGTATCCTATTGATATCATCACGCCTAGCGAGCTCATCCCTCGTCCCCATATATTCGCGCCCCGCAGGTAATAAATAGTTAACAAGTCTTATGGAAGAAAGCTCGCCCTATCCATAAAACCACTCCTACGCTAATAAGCTCGGAGACGATCAAGGACCAGGACCAGTAACAGTCTACTCTCACAGTCAAAACAGCACAATTTGGAACCACCTATCTTCCCACAAAACCCCCAGGGCGCTGATAACCCCTTAAGCTACCTTAGCCACGAAGTTCGACCTGTGAGCCCTAGCACAAACCGCATCGGGCTCGAAGAAACATGCCACGGACTAGAAGACTCCCTAGCGCTTCGCAGACATCACGAGCAGCTCAAGAGCTTTTTCTAGCGCAGGCTTCAAGATATCATGCGAGTCGATATCATACAGGTCGACATCATGCACCGACACTTCGATCTGAAGTCGGCGAGCGCCTCACGCACTCCAACGACATGAGACTTCTAAGAAAGGAAGCTGTTGAGCCAATTGCGTGGATGATCGGATTCGTTCCGTACGAATTTCGCTTTCGCAAAGACGCGGCGAGAGGGAGGGTCTGGATGGCAGTCCGCAGCAATTCGTGACGGAGTTTATGGCTTTGATGTGAGACGTAGAATTGGAAGATGTTGTTGGACTTGGGAGGGTCGGTGGAGTTAGGGCGCGAAGGGTGGAGGGGAGTCAGAACGCTGCTGGGTACGCGTCTGCGCGGAGAGGCAAGAGAGCGGTCCTCAAGCGTGGACGGACTTATACCCGCGTACTATTGTAGGCTTGCTCTACTGCGTCCACCTCCACCTCCGAGGCACACTGGCAGGTTTATTGGCTGAGGTCATTAGGTTGCTGGTCAAGTTGATCGCTAGTCTCTCACAAATTTCGAGATCATATCCTGGATTCGACATGTACCTATTTCCCAACATTCACGACTCAGAAACCGATACTTCACTCAAAAACCATCCTCATAAATTCAACATGCTGTAAAGGAATGATATACCCATCAAGCAACCCACAACCCCCTCGCACAAAAGAAAAAAAGGAAAGACCGATATCCATGCAAAACCCCCAAGCCATCGCCATGCAAGGAAGCAAGCAAGCCAAAACAAAGAACCACAAAAACGAAAAGAAAAAGCCATCTTCCACCCCATCAATTAAATTTGACAGCTCATAACAAACCCCCCAACATCCGTCTCCACCGCCTGTCCCGCCACTCTATCCAGCTCCAAAAACGTCCTCTGCTCATTCAAAAGCCCGACCTGCCCACCCGCCGCATCAAGCACAACGCACAGCACACCGGGCACGATCGTCGTCAGCTGCGCGCTGGTCGCGATAATGGCGCCGTTGCGGTCGAGAGCCGTGTTCGCGAAGGCGTCGCCGTAGAGGAGGGGCGTGCCGTCGAGGAGGATGTCGCTGGCGGCGTTGGCGCCGGAGACGTCGTTGGCGACAGAGAAGGTGAGCGTTGCGGGCGGAGCTTGGCGGCGGGCGTGGAAGTTGTTGTTGTTGTTGTTGGTGGTGGGTGCGGGGAGGGCAAGGGCGAGGCTGAGGAGGGAGAGGGTGGGGAGGATGGGGATCATTTTGGGCGGGCTGGGGGGTTGGTTTGTTGGTTGGTAGCGGATTGGAAGGCTTGGAGCTCTGAAAGACAGATGGAGGTGGGTTGAATGCGGAGTGGAGTGGAGAAGAGCTGAAGTGGTTGCTTGTTTAGAAGTGAGGATGCTGTGATGGAGAAGCAGATCGTGGAGACTATGGCTCTCTTTATACCACCTCTATCGCCCCTAACTTTGCATCACTCTCGAGTCTCATCACCCAGCTCTGCCCCAATGTAGCCCTTACGCGGATCTCTCCTTTACCGGTTTGTTCAGCACTTCATCAGCCTTAGACAAGTTGTATCCCTCGCCGCGACGCCATCATCATCGGTCAAGCACTTCGCGGTTCAGCATCGTTGGTGGTGCGCAGCCGGTCTGCCAACCAACGCCACATCTCCCAAGAACCTCCAGTTCCAGTTAGCGGGACCACATATACGCAGCGCGCATTCATCCCGCGCCACAGCCCGTCTCACGCAAGCAGAAACCTTGTCATTGGTCGGTGAGTTGGGTGTCTGGGTAAAGGCACGTGGGAGGCTATTTTTATGCTATGCTGACTTGGGTAAAGGGCTGGACGATCTTGGCTTTAGTAAGTGAGCGAACCGCTGATTGCTCTAGGCCGTCCAGCGTAAAGCGGAGGAAGGCGCGAGCGAATGGGAAAGGAGTGGGGGCTTAGGGTGCCGCTGCTCTAGAGCGCCTGCGAGTTGGTCTTTGTGATCGTTATGGTGATGGGAGAGGTTTGGTTTCTACGCCGCTGAGGGGCCGGGCAGTGTTCGAATAGGTGCGGCTGGACGATTGTGACCAATGAAATAAGTCACACAGTTTGAGCGCGACTCACGGTGTCGACTAGGAAAAAAGCTGCGCCGTAACGGAGGCTGGAGACGTGACTTGAAGCGCGGCGATCCCGTGGTGCTTCAAAGGCTGGGGGCTTCACCATACCGCAACGGCACCGCCCCTTCTCCTCCCGAGAGACAACGCTATGGGCGCTCGAAGCAAATCTGCAGTTCAACCTTCCTTCCCAACCAATCCAGCATCCAAAACGTGAGGAACTGGAACCCATCCAATGGCTCTCAGATCAGAATGATAAATATTCTTGAACTCCACCAACTACACCCCACAAGGACGGGGTGACGGCCTCCTTGGAAGGCCCAGTTCCGCGGTCAAACATCCTCGCAAGCTATATTTAGCAGAGCATCGCATGGCGTCGATATGAACGGTAGCAGTGTTTGAAACCTCTTGACCCACGTGTGGATGGCAAAGTAGCCCATGGTGCGTTCTTGGTCCCGGTGGATTCCTGGATAAGAGTACCGGTGTGAGATCACTGCTCTTGGCGAGTCTACGTGCTCTGGCTTGAAGTGGTCGACTCGATGGGCGTGATGATTTGTAGTAATGGCGAATGGCCTAGTGAATGGGACGAAGCCGAGTATCGATAGACGGTGACTTCCACTTTCGCAGGAGAGTAAATGCCTTTATCTTGCTTCTTTCGATTCGAGACTCTGCGTCTCGTTCGTCGTTCGCGCGATGATCTTCGAGCACTGATGATCGTAGGCACATGGACTCCACCGGAACCCTCTCCGTTCCTAGCCCCTCCGGATCTGCGGAACCTCGCCTCGCCATTCCCAAACTCCGCATTACGTGCGACGCTAACTCTTCGGACCAGCTCCCTCGCTCACCGTTGCACGACCTCACCTCGTCACCCCACCTCGCGTGCTCTGCACGACCCAAGACGCGCAAACAAACATACACTCACAAACCTACGCTCACTTGCTCGATTGCGCTCGCCTCCAGACTTGGATAGATTGTAAGCTCGGGTTGCCATATACTCAAATTGGGTCTCGGCTATCGGACTGCCTGTTTCGGTAGTGTATATGAAGACCCCACCTCTACGTCACCTCACCACAACGACATCAGCGTTCGCGTCGAGAGAGCAGAGGGAATGCGCGGTCTAGAAAGGCTGACTGAGAAGAGTGCGTTCGTATTCCTCTCTTGGAATGCTGCGTGAATGTTGTGGATGTTACTCCGTCTGACGGTTACGAGGATTTGCGCTTTCTTTTCTATCAGTTTGTGTAATCGCGGTGCATGTCTAGCCGTCTGCTGATGCCCTTCTTTTTATTCAGCTCTTGCGCGCTCTCTTGGCTAGTTCGATGGGCGTGCTTCCAACCTTAGCACAACTTGGACGCTGTACAACGCTTCTTCATCGACCCATATATAAACCATAACGAGATGTCGCCGTCTCGCTCAGGTGACGAACGCCCTCTAGCCTTGACATATTAAGCTCGTGAGGAGGTCGCATCTGAGTCGTGCACGCCAAGTGGAAGTACAATATCGTGTTGGGCCGGCGCTGCGCTTGCATGCCATGAGAGGAAGTACTGGAGCATATTGCATACGAGGAGCAGCGCATGAGGTGGTTCAGCTGTTTTTAGAACATCTGGTGGAGGAAAGGGCTGAGGTGGGGAGAGATGAGAGGTATAAGAGGCAGTGATTGTCCGGGTAGCTGGGTGGAGACCAGTATTTCGATACTATACTGCCTTTTGAAAAGTTATATTGAGCAACATGCGTTTCTTGTCTGTCATCGCTGCGCTCATTGCTCTTGCTGCGGCCACGCCGGTCGAGCTGGAGGAGCGTCAGTCTACGCCTAATCCTGACCAGGTCTACGTCGAGAGTACGTTGCTTCTCACCTCTGCATTCAGGCCTCGCTCCCCATCCCCCCATCTTCTTCGCTTGCTCCTAACATCCATGCAGAGGTGTCCTGGGCTGGCACTGGCTGCCCGCCCGGCAGTGCCCAAGTCGATATTGTTGAGGAGGGCACGCTCGTGTCCCTCGCTTTCAGCAAGTACGTCGCGGCGACCGGCACGGGTCAATCCGCATCCGATGCGCGCAAGAACTGCGATGTTCGCATTACGCTCCACTACCCGCAAGGTTGGAGCTACACAGTCGCCAGCACGGATCTGCGAGGCTATGCCCGTATCCCCAGTGGCTGCAGTGCCAGAATTGGGGCCATCTTTTTCTTCAGCGGTCAGACAAATGATGTAAGAGCATCCCTAGCGTTCTGCTCCCCTGATTTATGCCTTCCCGAGATGATCCGGTATAAGTTGTGCTGATGGTGCCAGGCCTCCGCCATGATTCCATTCAACGGCCCGGTAGACAACAACTACCGCCTCACGGCGAGCATTCCCGCCCAGTCGCTTGTGTGGTCTAAGTGCGGCGTTACCGGCCCGCTGTTCAACGTCAACTCCCAAGCCATCATTACTTGCAGCAAGGATGCGATCTTGGGCGTTGATACCCAGGATACGAAGTTCGAAATGTTGTTGCACCTGCAGTGGAAGAAATGCTAAGGGGTGGCGGCTGCTCAAGAGATCGGCGGAGTCAAGTCGGCGGGTTGGGTGAGCATGGAGATCTGAATACTTAGGTCCGTCTCTTCGCGATTGCTTTAATTTCGGCGGAGTTGAGTTTTCTCGGATCTTGGAATGTTTGCGAAAAGCCCCTCCACTCATTTTGTCCCGTAACGGATTGGATGTGATCAAATATATGACCATTGAATGGACACGGAGTTTCTTGAGACACTGTTACAAATGCGAACTCGGGCAGCGGCTTCAGGGTAGTGCAAGAGCTTGGCGAAGGATGCTTCAATAAGCTCAGGTGTGGTCTTTCCCGATGGGCTGCCTTCGGCCAAGATCCATGGATCTGATACTCTAAGCACGAATCACCTGATCCCGCCACATTCCACAAGTTCCGTTTTGAGCGCGCGGGATGCCGGCACGCTGATGGTACGATGATCTTGGGCCGGGGTTGTCCCTAGTTACACCCGGGATTTCTGTTTTACATAACCATGGCTGCGCGGCATGGAGGTACACTTTGGCAGATGAAGGAATGTCTTGAAGGGTACGTCTTGCGGAAAGGTCGCTTGGTTTTGTTGTTGGTGGAGTTCCCGCGCTCGAAATAGCCTTGTGAAGTGAGGTAAGAGGAAGCTGCGCCAGGATCGGGAAGTGGTCGAGTGTTAATGGTTGAGCACGGACTGGTATTATGGAATCTTGAGCTCTGTTCCATAGAAGGTACCCGGAAGCGTTTTGAAGCAGTATAAGGAAAAAGGGGGAGTTTCGCGGAGAAGTAGATGAGGGGCGGTGACGTTGGTTCAGAGCCGCATGAACGCTAAGTGCAAACGCGGCTTAGCGCTCTGCGATGGGATTGGTCAGGCACTCAGGGCCTCAGGTGCTGTGACCAAGAAAAGTCCGATGCAGGGCTAAAACCACGATTAGCGGAGTGATCCGAAAGCCAACAGGGATCGAGAGATGAGCGTATTAGATTAGTATATTCTGTCCCTTGTTTTACGACTCTTGCCAGGTCCCATTCCTCCAACGCCATGCCAATGCTATGCGGAAAGGGTATTAGCCATGCACCGCTCCCATAAACGCCATGCTATCCATAGACGACGTTACCTCGTATCATTCCCGCGTGAACCACAATGCCTCCACTGGAAACCGGTGCTGCTGAGATCTCGGCCAAGGAGCGGAAGCCGTCACAACCCGCTGCGTACCCGGGACCCGCCGCACCGACTTTCAGCTGGTTTTCTTGATAATGAAGACGCCCACTTCGACTCCTGTTGTTGGATGGGCAATTTCCTCCGTGTCGTCTACACGATCGTATTTTCGATTCGCAACCCCATCCAGCACCTCTTGGATCAGGTGCGATCCTGTCATTTCGGACTCCGGCAGCCTCTTAGCCTTGCGGAAGTACTTGCTGACCGTCTCCCGGACCCTTGGCTTCTCTTGCTTTATCCACCAATCTTCCGCCCACGCAGACCGGCTGAGGATCACCTCTTCTCTGGAGGCATGAATCACTGTGTACGTCGCACGCTGATCGTTTATTGGCCGCTCGCTGAGCACCTTGCAGAACCTCTCGACTTGCGATTTCATACGGCCGTATTCGTCAAGGTGCGCAACGGCGCTCATCTGGCCAAGACTCTTCCCCAGATCAGACGACAGTTCGTGCACGACGGTGATGGACCGAAGCAGCGGATCGAGAATCGGGCCGAGGTAGTCGTGCATGAAAGTCCGCGCGCCAGTCTTTGTCGGATAGACGAACAGGAGCAGGCCGTTCTCCGGTGTCAGTTCGACAAGGCGGTCGTGAAGCAAGGAGCGACCTTTGAGCAAGAACATCTCTGAGTACTCATTCGTGTTAGTAGGCGGTATGTAACGCTCAACGATGGAGATGTTGACGCTTCCGGGCGGAACGACGGGTCTTGGTGAAGGAGGCAGGAGCTTCGACTCGAGCTGGTAGTCTGGAATGGCTACGGCGCTGTCGAACACCTTGCTGGTGAAGTATTCGTCGCCGCCAACGGCCGGGCCAGGCGTGGAAGGCGGGGATTTGGGGAGGTCGGAGAGGGTGAAGCGGCCGGGCACGGCATGAAAGACGTTGATCCACGCCGTGGTTGCGGTAGTCCTGTCGTGAACGGTAGCAATGACCTGGCCAAAGAGATGGCCTTCCATCGAGGGGCAGGGAAGGGCATGGGTCAAGACCTTGACGGAGCTGAGGCTCTGGCATCCTGATTCGGAAGCTGCGACCATCAGCGCTGTTGCCGTCGGAGGGTGCGGGGCAGGCACTTACTGAGTGTATCCTTCACACTCTGCACCCAGGGTGCCATTCCTACTGTTCCGCCGAGGTTCGCGGTTGGCACAACCACAGTCGATGTTGGTACCGGAGACGACGCGCTTGCTGTGATGGTGAGGCTGGGCGACACTCCCGGCTCAGAACTTGGCGGCGACCCCAGCCCAGCCGGCCTGACATTCACGAACGCGCCCCAGTTGATCGTCCCCGGCTCCGACGGCGGCGGAGTGACGATGGGCACAAGGCGCTCTACCTGGGCCTTGGCGGCCTCCGGGCTGGCAGCGCAGGGCTCGTCGACGCCGTCAAGCTGGCGCAGTCGACCCAATGGCGGGCTGAGTGCATGGAGAGGGTCCTCGGGCTTGGAGAGAGGTCCAGCGCCCAGGGACGAGAAGGACAAGTTGGAGCGGAGGGGGACGCGATCTGGATGCGGAGCAGCGATACCTAGCAGATCGAATGGGGGAAGGCGCAGATTGTGCGAAGTCTTCACTGGAGGGGCAGGCAGCGACACATCAGTCGGCGGCAGAGCGGCTCCGGCGAAGTTAAGACTGAGATCCGGCCCGTCCTCGTGTAGGGGCGTTGGGATGTCTTGGGGAGGGGCGGAGGGTGCTGGATAGGGTTGCGGGAGAGAGTGTTCGAGAAGAGTCGGGTCGTCTGGGGGTGCCGCAGCCAGCCCACAAGGAACCGCAGCTTTGGGGCAAGTTGCGCCTACATCCCCGTCCGGCGTCGCTGGCAGCTCTGGCCAGACGGCATCACTGCGCTGCGGGCCCACCACGGTCGACGCCGGGTTGCCGTCCACCATCTCAGGAGGAGACATGGACACCCGGCACCCAGCTGGTGGGAATGGCTCGGAGCGATATGCCCTACCACAGCAGATGGACCTCAGTCACGCTACTCAGGCGATAAGGGTGACGGGCCGCAGGGGGGAGGGGTGGCTGTCAGCTGTGCGTCCGCACGGGTAAGGCCTTGGGCTCCGCGCTTCGCACAGGGCTGTTTTCGATGCGATTGCGCGAAGGGTGGGACGTGGAGGCCAAGACCTGGCGATGGGCGGGGCGCGGCGGCAGCGGATGTTGCGTGCAGGCAGACAACGGGGTGACAAGCGAGGGGGTTGGAGCAAGAGGAGCGGACACGGGGGAGAGCGCGCAAACGGGATGCACACGGGCGATCGCTGTGCACCCACGGCAGCCAGCTTGAAGAAGAGTCGGCGCTGTTTGCTGGGAGCGAGGAGGATTTCGTCGCCATGTGTGGTGGTGCTGGCAGCGGCCGGCAGTGAATGGCTGCACGAACGCGGTGCGGGGCGGTGCGGCCAATCAGCGCGCGCCGACGAACAGCCCCTTCTCTTTGCGCCTCAGGGTCCACGCGGTCTAGACCGCATCTTGTCCTCTCAACGGTGACTTTGCTGCACATCTTCACCTCGCTGCCACCGAAATGGCCTGACATTTCCCTGCCATCCGCGCCGTCAGCAATCAACCCGTGGAGCCGCCAACCACTCGCCCCGTCCGCCTGCAAGACACGCAGCCCTTTGCGGCTTTTCGACGGATGAAACGCGACCCGCAGCTGCACCGAGCCGGAACGGGCATCCTCGATACCTCTGCAGGCACTTCTGAGGTCTGATCGCTCGTCTTGGAAGCGTTCCTGGACGCGATTATTAATAAGTGGTGGGCGGCCGGCCCTTAGTTGCGCCCATCAATCGGCCTCGTCTCTCCCTGCTCCCTCGAAACCCCGTCTCCCTGATCTCCGAGTTTGGCGCGTTTCGAGAAGATTTCCGCCTTGGGCGCCGTAGCGCGCCGCCCGGCAGGGCCAGCGTTGCGCAAGCACCCCAGCTGAAGCGCAAGCCTCCCTGAACGACTCGACGCTGGGGTGGCCATTGGGGTCTGGCCCCGGCAAACGTCCCGTTTCGTGCTTGTTGGCGTTCGCGGCTTGAGTGCACGCTGCCCTTCGACAACGGGCCGTCAACTGCATCCTTTTGTACACGCTGTTTCCATCCTGATCTGTCGTGTTAAGTACGAAGCTTTTGCCTGTGAGAGTAAAGCGGTTTCCCCATCGAGGAGCATAGCATACGAGGGACGCTACGGGACAGCAGGCACTCAAACTTTATCAGATCTTGTCCCACCGCATCCAATATCTGTCACGCACTTTCGCGCGCCAAGGCGACAGCGGGATCCGCGCAAACACCTCCAGTAACTTCATGCGCCGGATGCACAGGATCAAAGGTGCAAGCGCATCGGCAGGCTCTTGTACATACCACGGATGAACAGCTGCGAGATCGTCGTGGACGACACTTCACGGAAACGCTGTCAATTGACCGTCTACAGAATCCGAATCCGAACACCGGATCGCCTACTCTCCGAGAGCTAAAACCTAGCCCCCCAGAGCTGACATTTGCACAGTAATCGGTAGAGTAACGTGCGAAGGCTTGCTCGTATGATGGCAGCGTTGAGCGGGACCGTTTCCACTGTTTATGGTACCGACTGACTCGCACATAGACCCCAGCGATTGCTGGCGCGTTTTCGAACACGAGACGAAGCACAGCACTTATTCGTGGGAATCCCAGGTCTGTTTTGTCTCTGAATGCATCCCGCCGCAGGAATCCGGCACTGTCCGCCGATCCAATCACGGCTAGGCAAACTCCCGGTCACCAGTCCTCTAAACTCTCATCGGCCCCGCGAGGCCTCCATGGGTCCCCTTGGATTCCAATCCTTCACACATCACTCGATATTTTCCGGACGCTCATTGCCTGACGCCGCAATGGCCTCTCGTTCGCGACGGGAAGTCCCGCATCTGCCTACAGACAGCGATCATGCGTATTAGCAGAGATAAGAGAGAAAGCTACGAGCTCCTATACACCCTCAAAAGCCGCGGTCCGGCCGGTTGGAACGTAGAATCTCGCTTCGGATGACCCGCCGAATCCGCCCCTCGACTGATGAACAAAGAAGGAGGAGGTTACTTGGTGACGGGCGTGTCCATCTTCGGATATCCTTAGGGTGCCGCACGTCGTAATGGTCGCGAATTCTAGCTTAGATGTCAGACTACGAGCGCATTTGCTCGTGGTCAGGTCTTCCAGCCGCGATGAGACGATGAACGACAGTCAACGGGCCCGAGGTGGTGTGAGATGGGTCATGTCCTTTTATAGATCTTGAAAAGGTAGGCAGAGTAATATATTCCACTCAGGGTAGAGGGTCAGTCACTGTATCCAGCTACGCCCGTGGGCAATGGCGAGGACTGGAGGGGGGTGTAATGCTACTAAGAGGCGCGAAGCAGATGTGCTATGCGCTATCTCTCTAATTGGTCAGGCCGGCTCCTACACAGCATTAGCCACCTGCGCCACTATCCGATCGTCAAAGTCACAGCGTCACATTTGCTCTAGTAATTTTGTAAATACGGTGAGAGACTATACAAACCAATGCAAATAGGGCAGCCAGCTACCACGACTGAGCAAACTTGAACCGTTTTATGTAATTCCAATCTTTGCGACTCTGCCATCGTCTCGCCAAGACTTCGTAACGCTAGCGGGAAAACCTCTGCCAAACCTCGCCACACCACCAATGGCAACATACACCGTACAACCCACAACGATCGGGATCCCGAACGCTTTATAATTGTGATTATAGTAGTAAGTGTCACATCCTTGCCAGCTGTCCATTCACTCTCACGAGATAATCTTCGGTACATTTCCGATCCTGGTTTCTGTAGTCCCTACATTCGAGTTTTTCTTTTCGGCCTGCATCGCAAGCGCTTTCCGAGTGTACATTTCTCGACTTTACTGCGTTCTCTCAGCTTGTGTCGCGTTAACGAGAAGAAAGACCTAGCTCATGCTTTGAAAGATTGATCGATCAGCTCACTAGCGTGGGCATCAGGAGTATCGCTAAGGACGCGAAGTCGAACAAGAAGAAGTAACTCATATCTCGCACTGAGGCTTGTCCTTTGGCTTTCAATCATGCACGTAAGTCCTTCTCACTGCCATATCCATATACCTCCACACCCCAACACCCTGTTCACATTCCTACTCCTATACTACCAACCAAAGCCACGCTAACACTCCCAGATAAAAAACGCCCAATCCGCCCTCCTCTCCAACCACGAAGTCCTCCTGCACCTCCAAGCCGAAGAAGCAGAATACGCCGGCACCGACGGCACAGACCGGGGGCGCCGCATGCCATTCGGTCTCGAGCACGTGCTGCGTGATGTACGTTACGTCTCCCCGCTTCCCTCTTTCCTTCCCTCTTTCTCACCACCTCTCACGACCCACGTGCCTGAATTAGCTAGCTAATGAAAGTCACAGGGCCTGAACTACCTCCACACCCCGGAATACAGCACCACCACCCTGCACACCACGCACCCCACGCGCCCGACAACCCTCTACAAAGGCCCGCACTCGCTGCTGCGCGCGCTCGCGCCGAAATACCGCCTCAATAAAGCGGAGTATCTGCAGATTTATAATATTCGTCCTAGGACGCAGATCACGCTCGATCTTATTATCGAAGAAGTACGTTCCTCATCCCCATCTATCACTCTCCGACTATCTCATCTTCCCTGCTTCCTCAGTTATCTAGATCCCGTGAAGCGGGAGCGCAGAGCAAGGTGGAGTTAACAAGGAATTCAGGCGTCGACCCGCTTCTCGCCCGAAGAAATGGACGACATTCTAGCAACTATCAACGCTGTTTTCGACGAGGAAGAGAGCGCGATTCCTGAGGGTGCCGAGGATCAGAAGATGGAGAAGCTGCCCAATAAGCTGCTCGGCGCGTCGAAGAAGAAGCGGAAGGTAAAGCGGAAGGTTTGATGCTGTTACTATGGAACGAGAATGACAGGCCTCGGCTCGGGATGGAAACAGAGATATTCTACTGTACGAAGGGAGCGTGGGCGCTGCGGGGACGAGATAATCATGGTCGGATGACTTCCGATGTTCATGACACGGTATCACATCCACGAGGGCATGACAAAAGCTTGAACATTTCGACTGGATTTTCATATGCTTTATCACGCCGCGGGTATTTCACCTGCTAGGACCACACCTGACACCCAGCGACGACCCTAAATAGCGCACATGAGTCGAAGAAAGAAAACATGGACAACCTATCCTCCCAATCGGGAAACGCCCGACTCGCTCACGGATGGCAAGCCAAATGATCAATCTCCCCGTAAACGCCATGCCCCATTTTATCTGTGACATAGAGCCAGAGAAAGCAACAGCCTGACCCCTTCCACTACATGCTCGATCCGCGTATTTAGTCCTTGCTCTTCTTCTTTTTCTTCTTCTCACTTTTTTCACCTTCATCATCGCGTTTCCGCTTCTTGCTCTCCTTCTCTGCCTTCTTCGCCTCTTTGGCCGCCTTCTTTGCTGCCTTTGCTTCGCGCTTTGCTGCACGCTCTGCTTTTCGCGCCTTCTTAGCCTCCTTTTCTGCTTTCTTGGCTGACTTCTTCTCTTCCTTGGTCATGCCCTTCTGTGGCTTGTCCTCACCGGCCTCCGACTCCGATTCTTCAGCACCAGCATCGCCATCAGCCATGCTCTCATCCTCGTCCTCGCTCTCGACTTCCTGTACGAGGGACTTCTTCGGGGTCGTGCCGTTCACCTGAGCAGTCTTGGCCTTTTTCGCAGCGGGCTCGTTACCTGTGAGGCCGTCGGCGTCCGGATTGTACTTCCGCGCTTCCTTAACCTCCCACTTCTTCGAGCCGGCCATCGGTGTTTGATTCGCGTTGGCTAAGCTCTTCAGCGGCTTGCCTTCAAGCGCCCGCAACCGCCTCTCGATGCCGATCCTCGCTTCGCGACCGACTTGCGACTTCTCTTCTTCAGTAGGCTCGTTTGAGGCGTCCTCGGAGCCAACACCCCAGGTGCTGAGCGCGTCAATGCGTAGACCGAGCGCGGATTTAGCAGCAAGCATGCGCGCAATTTTGCCCTTGTTCTTGCCGGTTGCCTGGCCAATGAGGGATGCATGATATATGAGGCCGTACTTGGGCGTGTCGTGTTTCGTCTTCAATGCGCGGAATAGGGCCTTCTCAGCACCTGAGAGGGTAACGTTAGCATGCCGAGCCGGGTTTCATTGCATGGGAAAACTCACCGAGAATCTGTATAGTCGATCCAGGGGATTTGGCTAAGTTCATCAAGGACCCGGCGTGGGCGATGAGCCTCGCTCCTACTAGCTCTCCAACGAGGGCAGTCAGATTTGGCGCTAGCGCTTGCATACGCGTGCTGAGGTAGTTGGACAGGTTTTGGCGGTGCTCTGTCAAGTCAACGACCTGCTCAGCTAGAGCGCTTGTGGCCTCGAGATCCTCATCGCTAATCTCGGTTCCCATTGAAATTTCCGCCGCCGCCTTAACGGCTGACTCAATTTCTTCTGGTAGCACAGCCTATCACGATTAGTGACGCCAAGACCGAAAGGCATAGGACTTACGGAAAGATCGCAGCTGCGGGCATTGGATCGAAATCCTAGGTTGGCATGGTTAGACAATCTCGGTATCGGATCGGGGGTTCTTACCCATCGTCAGGACGACGCGTGAATACGCTAGGTTATCGTTGAGGCTGGGAAATGGTTATTGGTTGCGTACTTTCGGCCGGAAAGGGGTCGAGCCTTACATCTTCGCAAGCTCAGGGAAGTGCCACCCGTACCATTCCTTCACACGCATGGCGTATACGTTGAGTTGCTGCGCGAGTTAGTCTCCAAAATGAAATCATCTTATGCTAGCGTACCTTATCCAAAACATCAAGCGATGCTATTGCTTGGACGATCATAGTGTCCTAGGTGGAGTGCGTTAGTGGGACTTTCAAAGTGTGGTATGGTTCGTGCAAGTCTTAGTCGAGAACGCGCAATCGCAAAATACGACGAATGCTTCCCAAAAGACATGGGTATCCAATTCTAGGCTACGCACCACTTTATCTGGACTAAACCTCTGTATAACTGTCAGCAACGCCGTTAAAGCAATGATATAGGGAGGCAAAGAGGTTGCCATACCAATTTATGCCTCGATAGCGAATGAGAGAGACCCAATCTAACTCAAGTTAGTCTTGACCTTCGAACTCAGGAGCGTCGAGATGTACCGCGTGGAGTCAATTTCTGTCGGGACCAGGTCGGTGATCAGCGAGGGAAGGTGTTCTCTAATAGCGCGGTAAACGTCCTGTGTTGAGGAGTCGGCGACGATCCTCAACGCAAGATTCGGTAGCTGCGCGATAGCGTTGCCGAGCTGTCATAGCATTAGTCGGCCAGTGCATTACGTAGAAATTGGTGAGAGCTGGTACCTTGGGGTCGGCGACGGCGAGCGCGGCTTTTGTTTCGTCCTTGAGAGAAGCGAGCAGTCCTGAGAGCTAGAACATGTCAGACCACTTGGGAACATCGCGGAGCAAAGATTCTGTACCATTGGAGTTACTTTGCCCTCAGTCAGCGCGGCAGCCTGTGTCGTATATTAGCGAAAACCCTCAATGCAGCGAAGAGGGAGGACCCACTTCGTTTAGTGCCGTGACGGCATTTTCAAATTTCTCGAACTTTTTACTGCGGCGGCTGTTAGCTCCACATCTTTCCAGTTCTTCAGTCTTGCTGTGCTTACAGCTTCAGAGCGTTCACAGTCTCCTCGACACTTCCCAGCGCGGCATCGCCATTAAGGAGCCGTTTGTCCTTCGCCTTGAACAAGGCATAGCCGGCGGACGTTTCTGCTAACACAAATATGGGAGCCATGATCTCGCTCGGCGGTCCTTCGAGTGTGTGCGATGTTGGGGAACGGCACCAAGTGTTTGGTGCGCGGTCGTGTCAATCAGGTAACTGCGGTCTCCCGTGCGATTGCGGAGGCGGCCGTCGCTGGTGCAGCGGGAGTGGGAGTCGTGGTGTTGGTGCACGTTGCAATTGCTCGTAGTGGGAGTTTGGACGGGAAAAATTGAGAGAGGTTGAGCACAGACCAAGGCGGTCAATAGTTTTCCCGCTCGTCCTTCACGCGAGTCCGATTGGCCGCCGTCTGCAAGGGAATCGTTCGCATCGTCTTAACACGGAATACAACTCATTCGTTATGCCTTGAAAGGCCCCAATCCACGCCTGCTCCTGCTATAGCGTCCATCATGTCCTCTCTCGGCGGTGAGCGCAAAGTCTCTGCCTCCCTGAGCCGCTCCATCCGCGGCACGACCCCCCGTCTTGCAGACCTCGCATCCACCCCCGAATCGCCGCGAACACCGCTCCTGCGCTCGACGTCCTCCCTCTTCGGCTCGCCCGGCGGCAGCTTCCGCACCGAGGACGAATACGTAGTCCTGGAAATCGGGTCGCGATTTGTGCGCGGCGGGTTCCCTGGCGAGAGTACGCCCCGGTGCACGCTGTCTTTTGGTCTGGAGGAGCAGCGCAGGATGGGCGACTATCGACAGTGGGACCCGGAGTATGGACACAAGAGACGGAAGAGGAAGAGGGGGGAGGAGTGGGGGCAGGACTATGAGTTGTATAGGTTGGATTTAGCACAGGTTGATCTGGGGCTGGTTGAGGATAAGTTCGAGCGGGCTATGAGGGAGGCCTATAACAAGTACTTCCTGCTGGATACGAAGCCGAGGCGGATATTGCTGGCGCTGCCCCCGAAGATGCCGCACTCGCTCATGTCGACGATACTGGACGTCCTGTTTGGAAGCTTCCAAGCGCCAAGCATCATGCTCATGTCATCCCCGGTCCTGTCGACAGTCGCGGCGGGATTGAGGTCGGCATTGGTCGTGGATATCGGATGGGCGGAAACACTTGTCACCGCCGTATCCGAGTATCGCGAGGTACACGAACGGAGAACCACTCGAGCAGCTAAACTCCTCAGCGAAGAGATGGCAAAGTTACTAAATGCTGCGTTGGCTAATGACGTTGAAGACGGGTCTCCCAAGGCGGACGTATCCTTTGAAGAAGCGGATGAAGTTTTAACACGGGTTGGCTGGTGCAAGTCAAAACCCAAATCCAACCGCAACACACTTTACTTTCCCGCGCGTACCTCGCCCATCCTCGAGGAATTCGAAGACGCCGTGGAATCGCCTGAACCGTCCGTTACCATCCCCTTCACGCGAAACACGCCGCCGACCGAAATCACAGTCCCGTTTGCCTCGCTTGCTAAGCCCGCCGAAACCTCCCTCTTCGCACCCGGCACCGCACTGAACGAATTCGACGACGACGAACTACCCTTGCATCACCTAATCTATCGCGCCCTCCTCTCCCTCCCCATGGACGTCCGCCGCTTATGCATGTCCCGCATCATCATCACAGGCGGTGTCTCTGCACTTCCGGGCCTCAAAACACGCATTCTCGCAGAAGTCGAAGCCCTTGTCCAGCAAAAAGGCTGGGATCCCGTCCGTAGTTACGGTTCGGCCAGTGCACGCCATGAGCAGGTTCTCCGCCAGCAAAGAGAGATTTTCGAACTGCGACGCCAAGAAGGGGAAGACAAAGTCTCTGAATCGCTTGATCCAGACGCCCCGCTCCCCGCTGGCCTACAAGATCCGGAAGAAGATGCGATCGACGCAAAACTCGCTCACCTTGCGCTTCGTAACGGCGCTCCACCTTCTTGCTCGATCGGGGGAACGATACGTGGTGTTGAGACGCTGGGTGCTTGGGCGGGCGCAAGTCTTGTAGCGCAGCAGCGGATCAGAGGAATTGTGGAGATTGAGAGGGAGAGGTACCTCCAGCACGGTCTTCAGGGCGCCAACAGAGAGAAGGAAGTTTCTGTCGTGCCGCAGCGACAGAGCATGGGGCCTGGTGTTGTGAGAGGAGCAGGAGAACGAGCGAGTTGGACCCTGGGTGTGTGGGCATGAGGTACGTGCTCCCATCTGAAAGATGCTTCATTTAGCGTTCAAGCGTAATCCGATACCCTCGCGATTTATCTTACATTATCCGGAGACTTTTGCGCGCTTTACCGAAGGCTGCTTCTGTGTACGGGTAGTGGTTGAGGCCGTGTCACGTGCATTGCTCCTCACCTGGGCAGAGGCAGGCACGTCCCGAAACCGCGCCTTCCTAGTGTCATAGCGTCATCCTATCCTCCCCATTCGAGCCTGTTGCTCGCTTTTTCACCCACATAACACGTCTCAGCTTTGCCAGTGATCCCACTACTTGAGAGGCTCGCACGATGCGACAACCGGACAAGCTTCTTGCCCTCCGTCCCACATATCGGCTGCGGAGTTGTCGCCGACACTGGGCTACGGTGTCTGCAGCGCCTTCCTCCAAATAGCCCAGCGTCATTAACGGCATCCATCACCACCGGCCGTGTCGGAGTGGAGCGCCCAGCGTACTTGGCTGTCCATGACGACCGACAACCTAAGCCAGCCGCTTTCCCTGTGACTCGGTCCTGAGCCGTGTGGCCACCATGAGCCTCCCGCCTTCCGCCACCGCCGTAGCCCCCTCGCCCGCTCTTACGAACACATACCGAGTCAAGCCCGCAGCCGCACCCTTTTCAAACCCTCGCACTAAGCCACTATGCTCTGGGCGCCCATTACATTCACAACCTCCGAGAGAACGCTTGCCCACAGTTTTCGACATATATTCTGCTAATGCCTTCAACTTTCTTATGGCCTTTTGATTTTGGAGGGGGGGAAGGGGTTCTCAAGACGTCCCCGACCTAGGCAGGATCCCCGCATTTCTATTGGACAATCCATCATGCACGTATGCACGAATGCACAAGCGCACGGAACCACGACTGTACAGAACCACGAAGTCACAGAGGCACGAGAAGAGAAAAGGCATCAGTAATATTGGCGTTAGGCATATTGAGGCTCAAATGTCTGCCAATCATATCTAGCATCGGCTACTAAATTCTCGCGCACTCTGGTCGGCCAGTTTCGAGTTGAAAAGCGTCCTTCGTCCCCCCAATGCTCACTGAAGCAGCACCAAAGCAATCATTCGGCGAGGGACCACTGCAGAGTGCTCTGCGTCCCTCTCGGCATGGACGACCGACATGGCTCGCGTCATCCTCCAACTTTCTATGACTTAGATCAGGACGTATTTCTCAATCCGAACTTCAGTCTCATAGAGCAATGTCCCCCGGAATCTGCTGGAGTCCATGGCATCTACAGTATGCAGCCTCAAAACGAAGGTGACACTGATTTGGACTCGAATTTGGATGCGGTAAGCAATTTCCTGCTTCCTCCTGAAGTGCGAGCGCAAGTTAACGAACATGGTATAGCCAATAATCACCGCTCCTTTAGGACCGCCCACCCACACTCATGCCCAAGAACGCGCACTTGCCGAAAGCCCTCTCCCTGATACTGCCCACATACCGACGCACCAACGCCCGCCTGGCGACCTCTTGAAACAGCAAACAGTGCATGGGAAAACGACTCTGGCTTGTCCGATCTTTAAAGCCGAGACCATCAGAGGAGATGATCATACATGCAGAGGGGTAAAGGCTCGCTATATGAACGAGGTTATCTCTCATCTTACCGATAAACGATCTCACGCCCTATTCTTGGAGGTGTGCCCAGTGTGCAAGGAAATCGTCTTGTCCTTACCTGAGAAAGAATCCCACGCGGATAGCTTCAAGAAATGCAACAACCCTTTCACGGAGAAGGGGCCCGCTGCTGCCCAGGCGCAGTGGGAAGCTTTATTCAGGAAGCTCTTCCCCTTCCTGTCGACCGTTCCCAGTCCTTGTGAGTATCGATTCTCACACGGAAAGAGAGTTATAAGAAGCTGATGCTGTTACAGATAACGAAATCCCACATAGCCCCTCCGTGTCACATCGAGAGGCACGGTCAACGAGCCCGTTCAGAGATATGCAACATCCTTTCGCCCCGGTCGCAAGGAACTGGACCTGGACCGAGCAGGTCTGGACCGGTACAGCACCATCGTGGGACTCACGAGCCTCACAACACCCAAGCACAGCGCACCGCCGGACCGGTGGCTTGCATGCCAATTCCGTCTCATCCCTTGAAATGATTCAACGTACCCAGTCTCAAGGCCGCACCTTTGGTCTACCATGGCCACCAGATACTCCTTTGCCGGAACGTTCATCCCAATCACCACATCCCGAAGATATCCGGACGCAAAACCGTATACTCAAAGAAGCCTTGGCAGCTGAAAGAAAAAGCAGGCTACCTGAGGGGGAGAAAGATAATGCAATGGCCCTAGTGGAAGCGGACCTTACTCGGTGGATGCACGATGTGCAATCGCAAGGCTTGCCAACCTCTATCACTCTCTCGCTTCCGGATTCACAAGGCCGGTTACCAATGCGCACTAGCTATAGCACAGGCTTTCGTGCGAATGGTTCGCAATCCTTGGTTTATTCCCAGGAGCATTCTCAGACCGGTGGTACCGTCGATCCACAGTATCAATCTCAGCCTCCGTACGGCCCTACAGCTCAGTATGGCTCTGCGGCGAGCTCCACTTCAACGGATGAGGTAAGAACCCGTCTATCCCTTTCCAGGCTCATCTAATAGATCATGCCAGTAACCTCGGCAGTAGTATTCCGGACATCCTTCTTTTACGTCCACGATGCCTGCAGTTTCCGGACAGGAGGGCGCCCAAGCCTTGACTCCGCCGACTGAGATGTACTCATATCCGATTTCCATTCAGCACCACGAGTCTAGAACGAATGCGAAGCCTGCGGCAAACACAGATCCTCTCTCTGAATTTTCTGTCTCATGCCCTGACTGCGGTACAGTCTTGACTGGTGCTCACGCAACTGGTAACCTCACTCGCCATCGAAGATCCCAGAAATGCTCGGCATCCCAGAGACGAGAATACAGATGTGCCATATGCGGCAAGATGTATCAAAGGTCCGACGCTCTGCGAAACCACGAGCGCAAGCGGCATGGAGGTCAACCGAGGTTATCATCATGATGGAACCATACTGCGATGTGCAGGCATGACCAGGAATATCCGGGCACAGATTCGCAGGCTGTTAGGACTATCCGTCGCTTTCCTACAAGTTCTTGTGCTTCTACAGATTTCCTTTAATGATCCGTCAATGTGTTTCGTTGCGAGTTAGTTCGACATTATACGATTTGACTGGAGATATCCTCCCGTCGTCGCAAGGAACTGCTTGATACCCTTTAAATGGAACGCTTTTTTCCCACGAGGTACCGCGCGCTCTCTTGCACGCTTCCTCCATTGTTTTATCCATGGATATGCACGTGAGGCAGTGGCCCGTGCGCTGCATCCACGGAGCAGGCACGACCGATGTCAAGTCTCCCTCGGACTTCTCAATCATTGTGGCCATCATTGGAAACTTGTCCCACATGACATCCCTATTTCCCCTGCCCAACCGGCCTAGTCTTTAGTATGGCCTCTTCTGCTTTCATCGGAGGTTGAAGGTGTCTCAGCCTTGCCCACTACCGCACTTGTCACCGGCTTGCAGGAATGGATTCCTGTTAGCTCAACTCCACGGCTGTGGGCCGCTCGCGTGTGTGTAGAGATGACGCGCATATCGCGGTGCACACTCCTCGCTCCCGTTTCGCCGACGCCCAATTGCAGGGATCAGCCTCGCCAATTGCACCACTTACTACACGGTAGGCGCGAACTTCTATTTATGCCTCGTCTGCCGTTTGTGGGTGTCAACTTGGCAGACTGGCGGAGTTGCGTAGATGCGTGGTTGGACAAGGGGCTCGCTGCCTATATCACTGACCTGCGCAGTTCTTTTCGGCTCGCCACCCATAATCCCTCAATTCCCTTTGAGGGACTTCATGATGGAGCTTTCTAGGCTATTTGGAATTTTGACATCGCTGTGAGGCGGCTTCCCAGGTCCAAATGAAGTATAAGGAATGTCACCAATCGTAGCCGGCGGACATCCTCAGCCTTGCACTGTTCAGCCTTCTTCGCCAAGTTGCCCATTCCCTGTTTCTCGCGCCGTAAGGCAGTCAGGCATCTCGACAACTGCGCAAGTCCGCAAGCCTGCAGGTCGGCAAGCTGACACTTATGCAAGCCCATTTCTCGGTTCGGCTGGATGAGCCAATCAAGTTCAGATCCCCACGGTTTAAAATCTCCCTGTGTCCGCTCCCCCAGGTCCTTCAAGTCCTCCCTGAGTCCTCCAAGCAGTCTTAGTCTACTATGGAGCAGCAAAATAACCAGAGTCCTTCGCCATCCTTTTACGACTTCTACATACCGGAGGACTCTAACTCCACTCTTCTCTTGGACCCTTCCCAGGACACTTTCCCAAGTACCACACAGAATACCCAGGATCCACTGCCGACTTTCGAGAATGACTTCTTCTTACCGTACGACAGTGAACTCTTAGGAGTAGATTATGTAAGTCCCGCTGCCGGTGGCTCCGGAATCGTCCGATCGCTTCGTTCTTCCCCTTTCTAACGTATATAGTGGAGCCCGACTCCTTCTCTTCTGCCACCTTTGCCATCTCCCGGAGATGGATCATTTACACTTCATCGCGACCAGACCCCATCAGCAGCGAATCGAGGAATGGCGAGCCCTAGCCCAACCCCAAACTCGCGCAAACGGAAACTGCATTGCCCTAAGTTTGAATCAGAGGCTACCCGCGGTGTACCCCGACCGGACCGCTCGTGCAATGACATCAGCAAGGATAACATGGCGGAAGTTCGGCGTCACATGACCCGTAGCCATCGTGACCTGGATTTTCTGAGGCTTTGCTCAACCTGCAATGATGATTTCCTTGACAGAAACGAGTTCGAAAGTTCTCATGGGTACAAGGGCGAACTGTGCATTAACCCTCAAGAGCAAAGGAGAGCCGAGGGACAGGAAGAGCAATGGACCGCCTTGTACAAGAAGGTCGATTCCCTCAACGCCATCGCACCGGTAGAACTTCGTAAGTTTCTTTGTTCCATAATGGGGTACACCTAGGCTTACAGTTTCGCAAGCACATACATTTGAAGATGTCATTCCAACGCCAGTACCGACCCAAGAACCCAGACCTCGTGCAAAGAGCAAAGTCACTCCCTACCTATATATATTCGAGTCAGATTCGGACGACGCCGCAAATCCTCCCAGTCTTCCCAACCCTTTGCCAGACCCTCTTGTAGACCCACCGCCCGGCGGAGACTGCGTGAGTCCCCCTAACTGGCTTAACGACCCATGCTAATAGATCCGCCAGTAGAGGCTACATTCTCTATCCTTCCCTTCAGCGTGGCCCGATTCCCTAAGAAATGCATCATCTCAAATAGACGGCATGATGGAAGATACTGTTGGCTCGTGCTACGAGGCTAGACGGCAAAGCCGCTATTTCCCTCCCTTCGAGTCCGAATACTTAGACGCATGTCTATCTAGACAAGAATCCTGGGATCCTTACGAACCGAGAGATCTATGCTATGAAATCCTTCACGGCCGCTCTAACACCGCCTATCGTCATTCTAGCCCCTTGCGCGAATCCACGCCTGAGTCCCTAATGTTATCAGAAGGAAATGAGCTCTGTGGTATTGCGGGTAGCACAGCCACCCTCCGGATGGCCCCGGATCCTCAAATTGGGTCAAGTCCATGGTACGAGGACCCTGCCGAAACATCGGGCAGGGCCGACCAACCTGTATCTGTTGGCACTGCCGCATCTCCTGTGGTTCCATCTTATCTTGACGGGAGCTTCATAAGCTGCCAGGAACACTTGTAAGTTTTATCTTGGGGTTACCTAGTCCATGATAGAGTTAACATCTAAAGGGCCATTCCAAGAGGTGAGCACGATTCGCGGCCCTCGTCTCCATCACCATCTATGGTATCAGCGACGTCCTCGATCACACCTTCGACTCTAGTATGCGTTCATTGCGATGCCAAATTCAAAGGTGACTATCGGAAGGGGAATCTTGCTCGACATAGAAGATTGAAGCACGTTGGTGAAATAAAAGGTTATCCGTGTGAAGTAGAAGGATGTACGAAGGCGTTCAGGCGACAGGACGCGCGTTTGAAGCATTATCGCAAGCACCACCCTCGGCTTGCTCCGGAACCTCTATTACGACGCAAGTTATGAAGTCGGTCAATGAAAAGATTTTAGGAAGATTGGGCTGCCACTTACCTCCTAGATGAGATTCCCCTGGGACTATATCACGTCCTTTTTTTGCTATTCCTCTAATTCTTCCTCGTCGTAATGGTCTCAGCCGGATTGGGGCGCTCGTTTCCTTCAGCCAAGGTTAGGCGGGGCATGATCTGTATGAAGGCTCGCGCAATGTGATCACGTCCCGGATCGCGATAATTACTTCTACCGGACCTTCAGCCTTCTCACCCATGGTATCAGTACGAAGGCACATGCAAGGCGAAATACTTACTGGAGGGGAGAGTTGAAGGCGACATCAGCGCAGCCTGGTCACTGCCCTCGGTCAGCCTTTTCACGGCCTTGACCCTGAGCTACACTCTGCACGTCGCTATGAAGCAAAAGCTGACCTAGTGGGCCCTCCCTCATGGGATAAATTGAAGTGCGCGTTATCTCATGCGCGGGTGCCTTAAGAGAGGTACATAGCAGGATGTTTATTGGACAGTCCGAGAAGGCAACCTTGGCCCCCAAAGTCACGCCTCACTTTTCGCCTCGAACGTATAGCGTCTTTCCGCGTGTTGATGTCTCGCAGCATTCCACGTCATTTCGATCCTGATTTGTACCAATGCAGCTTCTTGCAAGAAAGAGAGGGCTCCTACGAGCTTCGTTGGCTCATACCTAGCTGCGAATTGCAAATCCCTCGCGAACGTAACTCAGGCAGCCTTTCGCCTATATATACTAGGCTAGCCTGTCCGGAAACTGTGCTCCATCATCCAACGTCGTCACCCGCAGACCATCCCCCTCCCCCATTCTGTTCGAACATTCTCCAACGATAATACTTTCCTCCGTTTCAAATATGTAAGTCGAATACCGCCATCGCGCATATCGTATCGAGCCTCTGACGTACATCTCTATTCGCAGACCAGATACTATGTGCTGCAACGGCTATCCCTGCGGCTGCCAGTCAGCATCGACGTCTTACCAGCAACCCTACATCATCAAGTACGGACGCAGAACGCCGATTTATTGGAAGGAGATCACGGAGCAATGGTGGTTCGTCGGGGCTGGGAATAAGGCGCACAAGGTCCCTGGGTGGTACGAGATATTTGGGTTGTAACTGCATTCGTTTGACGGGGGTTTGTCAACACTGCGGTTAGCCATTCTCTACTTTACGGCCCTAACTTAGGGAATGGCTAACCGTAGTGAAGGTTTGAGGTTACAGTGGAACGGAACTCGATGCGATGTTATCGTGGGACAGGGTACACGCTCACTTTACCGGTAATGGGTAATGGTTGGTGATGGAGCATAACCGATTCAAACATGGTGTCCTCCCAATCCAGCCAATCGCCTGCCTTCCACCCACCCTTAACGCCAACGGCCCCAGTGCGCGCTCCCAGATCCGTGGTTGTTGGGAGATTGCGATCTATCGCGTGACTTTAATTTCGATCCTTGGAAGGCCCAGGAAGGGCTCGCGGCACGTGTTGCTAAACCATAGTCGTCTGCAATCCAAGACACGATCTTCCAATGCGAACTGATTCTCTTCATTCCCTTCAGTGCGCTATTAATTATTCCCTGCCCCCTAGGACGGTGCAGTCGCATTAGGGACCGCATCAGGCCTCTCGCTAATCCGCAAACCCGTTCTCATCCCTACCACGGGATATAAATTCATAGCTGAATACCACTCCGGCGGAAGGCGTGTTCAATGGAAACGCACGACCAATCAGCTCTCTGCACAACCGCAAGGCTTCATATACGCATATTAAACGCATGTGATTAGCTCGCAACAACTGCCAAGACGGCGGTCTAGACTCTCTCCTGATGCAGTCATACCATGTTACGTAACAGTCTAGCTATACAGGGTCGCATTAGATGTGTTGGATGCGAACATCTATTTCTTGATCATATTCTTCCCGTTCAAAGAAGACTTCAGCATTCCTCCTTTTTGCGATTTAGCACAACGACTGGCTAGCCATATCACAAATCACTGCCAATCCACCCAAAGATCCTACGAAGAAGACTTTATGCGATACAGGCTCAGGTAAACCCAACTTACATCATCGCATTGGCAAGGCTCAGCTTTATACGAAGCACTGTAGTACACTCGACATCAGTATCGATTTCCAAAGCGCAACGCTTACTTCGTTAATTGCCCACCGGAACAGTGCGTTACTTCTACCTCGCATTCTTCGCTCTCCTACCCTCATCTGACAATGTTGAGAATGGTGGCGCTAGGCAGTCGTCACTGCATTTAATATATGTCTTCTCGGATGAGCGCACTTTTGCTACACCACGACAACCTCCAAATGAAGAACTCGAGGCCTTGCGCGCTTTGCACCGGAGCTGAGCTGCCGGTGAATCTGATCTGGAATGGTTGGAATGCGCGTCTGACCATCCGTTCTATTATAGCTACCTACCTAGGTAAATAGCCTCACGAAGACGAGAGGTATTTTCTATAAAGCACTCCCATCGGCCGCTGGCAAATGCCGTTTCATCCACAATATCCATCTGCGACACTTCCTCTCGGAAAGACTTTACAGTCCATCCACATTACATCACCATGAAGCTCCTCCTCACACTCGCCTTCCTCACGGCAGCCCTGGCCAACCCGGTCCCAGAGGCTGAAGCCGAAGCCGCCCCTGCTCCCAACCGCCTCACCACTGAGGCCGCCCAAGGCCAATACTGCAAGATCCTGGCTAGTACCTTGAACTGCCGCTACCATGCCAACGACAAGTCCGACATCATCACCACGTTTAGCAAGGGGCAGAGCATATACTTCTCCTGCTACTCCTCGGGGACGTGTGTCAGTGGAAACTGGTAAGATGCCTGAACGTACTACGACTATGTGGAACGTATATGTGCTGACGGGGGGCCTAGTGCGTGGGATTACGCGCCGGACTACGACTGCTTCGTGAGCGCGCACTATACGGATGATAAGTGCACTACGAGTATGGTGTCTCCATTTGCCCCTTGCTTTGTGGAGCCGTGCTGATGGTTGAATAGCATCTCTGCCGAAGTGTGGCTTTTCCAAAGTGTGAGAATGCTCGTGTGACAGCTGTGGAGCATGGCGATGCGTTCATTGAGAGCTAAAAAGAAGGTATGTAGGTGAGAAGCGATGGTGGCCAAGGGTCATGAGGATGCAGCTAGTCCGTCACTACCTTAGCTATATACTCTATAAATATGTGAAGTCTCGTAAGATACTTACACCCGAACGTTTATTGATGATCCTGGAGGGGTTTCTTTCTTTCATGGTCAACAAAAGCAATGGTGCCATACGTATTGCGGTGAGGAGAGAGGTTACCGCTTTTCGGGTGACCCCTCACTGAACGACAGAAACGACAGACAAATTTAGGATCTTTTAGTCATAATAAAGGTTCTGAGGCGATCATCAGCAGCAGCATGTTGTATTGTTCACAAACGTCTCGAGCAAATAGGCTTGTGTAAAACCAGACGCATCATTTTATGCCTTGGTTGTCCACAAGTTCAGGTTTTAATGGGGAAGGAGAGAGTACTTGATATGTATTATGGTTTACCTAGTCATTTCTGATCGAAACAAAAACACCGACATGTAACTACTTGCCTCCGCCAGGAGAGGTAAAGGGGGGGTACGCGAGGAAATGTCTCTCCGTCTGAAGCCTTAAAGAATTGTAACTCGTTAACCACCCGATGACGAGTATAGACTTAGGAGTATAAAATAGTTTTTGACTCTCTAGATACGTCATTCTCACTATACCTAACGTCATGGTTGACGGGAGCTCGTATCACTCCAACTGACCGAATGCCTTCGCCGTCTGATAGTCGTTGAGAAAGTTTATATACTCCTTCCAGACGCAAACTAGGCCGTGTTATAGCTATGACTCCTCGTTGGCGAATCTCGATCTACTAGTCATGATAGCCTTCGACTCATGTCCAGGCTTCTGCTACGTGACGTCACGTGATGACGGTCCAGCGGTCGACGCCGAACCGAAACTTCTAGGGCGTTGGCCGCGCAGGAATTAAGAATGCAGTCTGCGGAGTGGTATAATACATAGGGGCTTCGGGAGCTGGCTGATCCATAGGTGTCATATGTTTTGGAGTCATCGCGGAATGACTCCGAGGTTGAAGTGAGTGGAGACGAGCTGCGTGAGTGGTATACAGAGACGTCCTCGCGCCAATGTAAGCATTTTCACTGCAAAAACCGTTCGAACTCTTGATGTTCTATGGCCATGCTTAACGCCGCTGGGTTTCTTTCCGCTCTTCATTTGCCCTTCGAGAGCTCGGTCTTGGTGATGAACGATACAAGCATAGGCCTAGCATCAGTGACGGCATAGCGTCATGAGAGGGCCGTTGGAGTAGTCACCGGGAAGTAAAAGTATGAGTTGTTTCGCCAAGGGGGTTTGACTCTATACATTCGATGACTTCCTTATGAGCCATAAATCAAATGTAGGAGTATAAAAGGACCACTTCGCTCGCCCTAGAGGATGTTTCTTTCTTCACACTGCATCACATCTGCGAGATACCATACTGCACATTCCACTACCTTATCAAAGAAATACACAACTGCCTTTTTGAACTTTATATTCCTGCTTACGCCGCTGCCTTTCCGAAAAGATCATCGACGTCCAAAACGCATCTACCTTTGCAGAATCTGCTCTACATCAAGGACGATGGCTAGCCACAATATTTCCGCAATGCCCATCCCTCACGATCGGAAAACCTGCGATCCCGAATACACCGACAACGCCATGAGTTGGGTAGATGAGAAATACTGGAAGCATCCATACCGAATCAGATGGCCCATGGAGTCAGAACTGAACGCAAAGGGCGATCCGCGAAACCTTCCGATCCTCTTCGGCCACTGGCCATGTACCGAACCTCCACATCACCCAGACAATGAGTGCGACGCCGCTAGGGTGTGGCTAGACCGTGAGGTCACGCGGAAGAGCGAAGTTGCGACTTTCTGTAAAACATGGCTCGGATCACCGCCGGAAAAAAAGGTCGAGACTCTCCTTTCTTTGAACATCACTCGATCGGAAGAGCATGAAGAGATAGCCCCAAGGCACCAACAGGTGTTTGGTTGGATTATTGACCTTTTTGTGAAAGAGCATGGGCTGGAGACCGTTCGGTACCAGGAAACAGACTTCACAGTCCTCGGCAACTCAAGTGGCCAGCTTGAACAGTTCTTGGAACGCTTGCCGACTAGTTCTGGAATTTGGGATCGCTGGGTTTCCGTGCAGATGTGGAAGCACCCGCAAGGGATCAATGCGGTGAACGAAAAGACTTTCGTCGTCGACCTCAACCTGGACAATCCTTGGCGCCAGCTTCTGGGTGCCGCGCTCAAGGCAAAAGGAGTTAAGCCGCTGGGCGTCATATGCATGCCCGTCGACGAAGACGTGCCCTCCGGAAGTCGAGACGAGATATCACCGGAATTGGCGGGGATCCTGAATGAAACGGATTACGAAGTGTTCAAATGGATCGACACCGAAGTGGTTGAGAAGAAGACGAGCCAGGACGGGAGCCAGTACGATCGTCTGAGCTTAAGCAAGCCCAACATCTATATTCGGAAGACTTGAGGGAGATGCCTGTGAGCGGTTAGAGGGAATCGGGTCTTGGAGTTTAGGAGTCTGTGGCTTACCTTCCTGTATTTACACTTAATGGAAACGTGTATGATGAAAAGAACCGCCGCTGTGAGTCCGTAGTGCGGAAGACTCAATTCTGAAATGCAGGTGACGGCATATCATAGGTGTTCGACGTATGGAGCCTAGCCAAGGCGAGAGTGGATGGTAGGATCTAAAAAGCAACAGTGCTCGGAGCCAAGTCATCTAGCATCGCAAACAGGGTCCAATAGTTCGCATACCTGATTTCGCGCCGAAGGATCTGATGAGCAAGGGGGCATCGACCCACGGCAGGTGGACGATGTGCGACTGAAGGCTGAGCAAAATTTTTCAAGGTTCTGGGTGGAGGCTTTGTACAGTCATGTCTCGATAGCGTCATAGCGCTCGGGCCTTTGCCTGCACTCAACTTTCGGAATTTCGAAACAGATCGCTTCTGTGCTCCAACATCGCTCGCCCTTATCGGCGCAATCACACTACTTGCGACATATCATGGCGGCGGGTGCAAGTTCACGTCATGTGTCTGGGCATCCTAGTGCCCGCGAGTTTCTCGTTGTCTGATAGAAAGAGTTCGGCGGTCCTTCGACGGAGAGGAGAATCGGAGGTGCCATCGTTCCTGTGTAGTGTGAGCTGCTCGATCGAATATTGTGCAAGATGTGGTGGACTAGGACAGGCAAGAGACTCCGTTTTATACCTGTGGGCCTCGCGCGCAGCGTTTATAGCTGTCCGCCCTTACTGCCCTTTTACTAGTGTTATTTGCGCCCTTTTCGATAACTATTATCGTTGTTAAGGAGCTTTCTAGGGCTCCTTTTTCGTTGGCAGCTTCGTGCCATAGTTCGCGGTAGGCTACGCCCTTATCCGCGCCCAAACCGTTCTTTTCTGTTAACTTATGCCACCTGCCCGTGGCTCTGTAATACCCTGTTCCCTTCTCTTAATTTTGGCGTCTTTTGAGTCCTTTTGTGCGTAGGCGTAGTCAGCATAACCTCTATAGGTTGGTAACTTAAAACGAGAGAAATCAATCAATTAATCTAGTGCCCGCGAGGCCAGCTCCGTGCGTTAGGAACACTCCTTGTCTCATGCATTAATATTAGGGTAGGTACCTCCTTGGTCTGTCGCAGCACCTAGCCAGAGAAGGAGCCCCTGACACTGCGCGGAAACCCCATATCGCGCTTGCAATTGTCGGAAGGCTTGAGCCGTGAGAATAGAGTATCTACATTTGCGAGGAAGCTGGAGGGAATTACGGAATTGACAAGACAGTGTAGAGCTAAAGATGTCCGCGAATGGGGCTTTCAATCTAGGGAGGCTATCGAGAGGCGGGTCATGTAACAAGTCCCGGCCTTGGGGCAACTTGGGCATCTACAAGTCCCTGTCCGGCAGTTTCCCGGAATTCGCAAGCTAACTTTAATTCCTTCCCAGAAAGCGCAGCCGCTCATGACATATTGCGCGGTCGGACCTCGTCGTCACCTGTGCCTTCCCATCGTGCCTCTAAGACACTTCACGACGAACAGAGCAAACGCATGCTTACTCCTACCTTCTCTTCGCTCACTCAGAACTTTCCGGTTGAGATGAGAGCTTTGATCGGCTAAATACAAGAGTACCAAAGCAAGCGCCGAAACCGACACCCCAACGCAACGAGGCATGGCCAACAGAGCAAGGTGTGCAGACTTGCCTTCAGGTCAAATTCTGGCGGTATCGAGTACACCTCGCCGTCTTCACCACCTGAAGAGGCTTCTCGGCCGCTCCACGAATATGGGTTAGACCGCGGAATGAGTGATACATCAAGGCAACACCCGTTGGACGACACAGCGGCGCGATTTCAATAGGAATGTGAAGCAATGATCGATGCGATTCGTCGATCACCCAACTCGGTGTATTCCCTACCCGCTATGGATCCTACCAGGACGCTTCCTGCTCTTTCGCTTTATATACCGCTGTCTCACTCGTTTTCTGGACCACGCTCGACCTACTACGGGTTAGACCAAACCCGCTCTATCTACCGGCAACTTGCAGTTCCAGCCTGAGAGACAAATGGAGCCTTCCCGGCATAAGACTATCGATACTTTGTTTTTGGAATATCACCCTAGTCCCACGCGTATGGTAGGTCATGACGAATCATCGGTACCCTTAGTGAGTCGACCAGGAGCGTCAGCGTATGGGCGTGCGTTCGCAGTGCACTTTCACGACGAACCAGATCTACTACTCGCGTCCAATAGGATTTGCCTCACGCCCTAAGAGCTCGTCCTCGCGCTGACGAAGATCTAGCCAGCGTTCGTTCAACGTCTCTGTACGTGGTGTGAACTCCGCTTCGCGCCGGTTGAGCACTTCTTCTCGCAGAACGACCCGGGCCTCCCGCTAAGCGAGTTCCTCGAGAGTCGCTTCACGCCTGTCGAGTTCCTCGGGCTGGTTATTCCGCTCATCCGCTCGTTGCGTGTTCGCCCACTCTCGGCGGGTCATTGTCTCCGCGAAATCTGGGGCGGTACGTTCCCCATGGAGGCGCGACTGGTGGACATATCGAGAATGAGTGCGTTCACGGAAATCTGGTATGTACATTTCGCTTGCTGCGCTCAGACCAGCGGATGGCTGCTCGGGGCTGTGCGTGGGCGGCGCAGTGATGTTGGCCCATTCTGACGTTAATGTTGCTGCAGCAACATTCGAAAGCTGCTGCAGATGAGGGTCAGACGCCGGTCCCTCGTTCAGTGTAGCTCTCGTCTGCTGGAGTCGTCTCAACCGGCCAACGGGCGTTATAGTGCGCCGTTCCCGAGCCTGACGGGCCCGCCGATGATTTAGATACAACGGCGATGATGGCGGGGACTCTGCGTCGAATTCTGCTCTGCTTCTTCGTACGCCGCGACGACCTCTGCGTAGCTCTTCTAGAACTCGTCGCTCGCCTTCTCGTTCAGAGTCATCGGAAGACCTCCTCAAAGGGCGCTCTTCATCGGAGGAGCTCTCGTCCATATACTCTTCAAATTCTTCGCCTATTGAATGCCATTCTTCACCTGACGGAGCTGGCTCCTGTTCGCTTTGGGAGGACTGCTGCAGCCGGAAGGGGATATATTCCGAGATGTACCACACTGTCCGACACAATGGACAGCGGTTCGCGTTTTGCTGAGTGAATCGCCGGGAGCAGAGCTCGTCGACGCATGCCTCGCAAAAAATATGGGTGCATGACGGCACGTGGGTGCGCATGGCGCGGTGTGCGTCCGCGTCGTAGGCTTCCATGCATATTGGGCATTGCGACTCAGTCGGCATTTCCAGGCCGCTGGCGGGAGAGACTTGAGTCTGGCGGAAATGCGCGTGTGTAACTGTTGTGGATGCCATGGTTGTGAGTTGGTGTATGGGCTCGAGCGGGAGGAAGTTTGCGACGATGTTGGTGTGACCCCACGAAATCAGTAGAAAGTAGACTTAGCCTGCACGTATAACCCGAGTGGAGGACTCTCTCGGCTAGCCTCGTAGATGTGAATACGGCCTATAACTCGCTTACTCTTCCTTGATGATGACGCAGTGTTGTATTTCACCTTTGCGCGCCTTTGTCACGCGAGCTCCTTTCTACCTCATATCGCCCATGTGCACTAGTAATACTAGATCAATGGCGAAAGAGTATACGCTTGACAAGGTTATTGGATACCCAATGAGAGTACGTAGACAGACGATTCCCTATCGAATTCTTCCTGCGCGTGGAGTCACCCACGGGAAGTAACAGGTATCCCTCGATTGAGCGGCATATCAAGCACATACACCGTCTCCTTCCCTCGAATCACCTTTTCTTGCAATGGCTCAAATCTCGGCACACTCCGCATCCACGTCAAGAAACTACGTGGCAGTCTCACGAAATCGGACCAGCACGGTCTCTTAACCCAGTGGCATGGTAGCCCAGCGCAACAACCGATTAAGGCAACTCATGATCCTGCAAGTCTCCTTGGAGGAAGGGAAACCCCGTATGAGATTAGATCGTACATTAGACGCGTTAGTGCGACCGATGTTCCGGATCCAGCGCGTCCAGTACTCATGGTGCGTAGAGATTTCCCCAACGCCCATGTACAAACGCCACCGATTGTTACCGTAAAGGACTTCGGAAACATCGTACTGGAAAAGGCTGGCATGTATACATGAGCGCCATAGGCTCGACGGATGGTATGGGCTCCCGTAGCCAACAGTTTTCATGGTCGACATTGCCGGACTCGATATTGTATTTCACTAGCTCAAGTCTTTCGCCTTGCGCGAAGAGGAGAGTGTAGATTTGGTCGCGCGTGTTGTAGAGAAGGCTGAGAATTGGGGGAAGGGCTTCGTCGCGATCGGTTCTCGTGCGAGAAGGCACTGCGACTGAATAGGCGTGAGAAGTCGTCATGTTCCGGCTATTTTATTGGATTGAATAGAAGATGACGTTTGACACGACGCAGTAAAATTGAAGAAGGGAGTTGGGTTAGAGTACAGTAGGAGCCAGACTTCCGATCAGAGGAATCTACTAGAGGCTGACGCTCATTTCATATGATATGCGCAAGGAGATCGCCAGCTACCAGCGGTAATCGGGCAGCTTCCACTCCTCTTCCTTTGTGTCACCAAGCCCTTGAAAGAGCTTATCCAGTCTTGTCCAGTATGCAGCTTTCAGCACTGCATGTAAGACCCCAATACCAAATTTCGTCTGCGGGTTCGCAAACTGCGGAAATCCTAGCGGGGCCGTAGTATGATTGTCAACGTAAGGCCTGAAAATCTCCTCGTATCGTCCCAGGGCCGCTGAAATATCCTCAGAACTGGTTGAGCTCATCTTTGCTAGCTCCCCAGCAATGATGTACGCACCAGTCATAGCCAAACTGGTGCCTATGCCCATCGTGGCAAATGCTGAATCGCCCACGATGGCACATCTGCCTTTGGTCCAATTCGGCATTCGAATCTGAGCGACTTGCTGCATGTAGAAGTCGCCACATTGGTCCATGCCGTCGAGAAGACGTTCGGTTTTCCAGCCTCCACCCTCGAACCGTTTTCGCAGAAAGGCCTTTTGAGCGTTAGCGTCCTTGGAAAGCACCTCATCAAGTTCCGGTAGCCGCTCTTTCTTCGCGTTCACGACCGAAAGGTAGACTCCCATCGTCGTCTTGTTGCGATGCGGCCGAATGTGGGCGGCCAAACCACCAGGGACATTGCGCCAGCGCCAGTAGTCGTCGTCATCTTTAATACGCGGAATCGTAAAGTACGCAATGAACATTCCAATCGGGTTGGTACACTCTTGCGGAGCCTGCTCCTTGAAAATCATGGGGCGAGTCCGTGATGACATTCCGTCCGCTGCGACCACGACATCGTACTTTTGCGGTTCGAGCTTCCCGTTCCCGAACTTCACTGCCACGCCATCATCATGCTCTTTCAGCGAATCGATGCTCTCGCCATAGACAATCTTCACATTCGCTTGCTCGCCCTCCCGAGCAGCTTCAATCTCCTGCAGCAGCAAGGCCGTTAAATCGCCCCGGAGGATCTCATACTCGCTCGAAAATGCGGCCTGCTTATCGGCGTCGCCACTTGCGTCGAACTGCGCAACATTCTTGCCCCTTGCGTTGACGATAATGATGCCAAGTTCGGTCGTGTGTAGCTCCTTAATCTTCTTCTCGAGCCCAAGCTGGCGAATCACGCGAACTGCAGGGCCGCGGATGTCAATGGCCTGTCCAGTGGTACGCGGCGTGGCGGAGCGCTCGAGGAGCGTGATGATGGGTTTGGGATTGAATAAGGGTTGACAGGCAGCCATGAGGGCGAGCGAGGAGCCCGCGACGCCGGCGCCGGATATGAGTATGGAAAGCGGCTTTTGAGCCATTTTGCTATCAGGTCAAACAGTTCATATCGCTCTCTAAGCTGCCTCCAACAGAGGCCTTTATGTCCTGAGGTCCAGCGGAACCCTTGCGATCCGACCCCGAGCAGGAGCCTACGTGCCTGTATAACTTACCCAATCCGCGGGGCTTGTCAGGGCGAAACGAGTACTTCGGGTCCGATGTTGACTGAGACGATTCAATCACATTCGGAACCGAAAAGGGGCCTTACCTCTTTGCGACTCGAGAACACGATGAAACGCCGATGCAGAGTTGATATCAATGATGTCATCAGTGATCCTAAATTTTCGTAAAGGATACAAGGGGCGTGCGTCAAGGCAGCAACGCGGCGTTAGGCCACCCGTATAGCAATTTTACGCAGAAATATAATATTTCTCTATAATACGCGGAGGTGCTGGAGTAAACCAAATATACTATGGGAATTTGTATACCTATCTCGGTTGTGTGAGAAGCCGTTTGCTCACGTGATACATCTCTCCCAAACTGGCTTGCCGCCCCGTGAGTACTCTTTGGGGCTAGTGTTTTAGCTCTCAAGGAAGCCCTTCCCTCGAGTTCGGAATGCCAGGTTCCAATCATTCCTTTAAAGGCTGCGCACCAAATTTCTCGGGCGAGAAGTCCAAGTCCCCAAGCCCGACGGCAAGGAGCCATAAAATGACGTTCAGTTAGGCTAGGAGTGCTGCAATTCATAAAAGGGATTCTCGTCTTGCCGCACTTCGAGAACATGGAGATGATATGCGCGAACGACAATTTAGGAAGACAAGGAGGATTGCAGGAGGGTGAAGAGGGAGTGAAGTGCGGCCAACCGTTTGGATATGGGTGTTGTGGATCGGAGGAGCAGCAGGATCAGGAGTTGTAGAGAGATGAGAAATATTAGTGGATTGCGGGCGGAGTTGCTGGGATAGATGGATGTTTGGATATGGGCGTTACCTCGGGCCAATTCGTTATAGGGTGTGCGAACTGCTTACTGCTCTTTCAAAGGTGCAGCCGAAGTGCGCAACCTCACCACTGCATGCCCGCCCATATGTATCTCCAACATCTTCGCAGTAGCAATCCAGCTTGGTCCCTCCTCCTTCATAGCTTGCTCAATCGTACTCGCTTCCGACTCTTGCTCATCCTCATCGACGTTCTTCTCGCAGCCGTCCTCCAAATGTCCGTACCTTTCGCACACCGTACACCTGCCACCCATCTCCTCCGTAACAGCATCCTTCAACGCTTGTATCGCTTCCTCGCCCCTAATATGACACAGCGGAAACACCTCATTCATCAGCTCCCAGTCGCCCTTCTGGATCCCAGCCAATGCTTGCCGCCACAGCGCGCCGATAAGTAGCACAGCGAGCGTGTACACAGCGTCATTCGCTCCATTGTGTCGATAGCGAACCAAACACCCATACTCCTCCATCATCCTCGTAAGCCCTGGCTTAGGATCCCAGGTCTCGGCATGGATCCGAATGGTATCCGCAATAGCTTCGATGCCAACTGCGTCGACGTCGAGGCCCACGGCGTCCTTGAGCCATTTAGACTCATTGCCCCATCCCTGCGCGACGAGTATAACCTTGCGGTATCGGGGAGACTGTGCTTCGTCCTCCCGGATTTGCTGATTAAGGTCGTCATCGGGAATCCGCATCTCTTTTGCTACCGCCTCTCCCAATGCCTCGCGCTCGACGATGATGCTGTTTCCGAACTCGAAGTTATTCGCCGCATAAAGCGGCCTACCCGTATTATCAACCGCATCTGACTCGATCTCCTCGCAGCCCTTGGCAAGGAAGTGCTTCGCCCGGGCTTTGCGCATCCAGTTGCAGACGTTCCTTCCTGGCGCGATGCCCCGGACGTCGCGGGCGTCGAGTATAGCGAGACCAATCTCGGTCAGCTTTCTATACTCCGAGTGGTCTTTGGGGAGGAAGCCACCCCACTCGACGTCAATGGAGATGAAGATAGGGTCTTCGTTGGGCCTGGGTAATGGTTAGATGAGCTGGACAGAGCAGCAGAATGAAAGAGCGACCTACGTGGAGTCCGTAAGCCTGAGCGCTTCTGCGATGAGATGGCGGGCGGCCTCGCGAGCGGGGATGTGAGGCATTATAGTTCGATAGGATTCAAGTAGCTGGAGTTGGGTTTATAAAAGAAGTAGAGTCTGAAGCAGGCGTTATATATGCGCTTTGCAAAGTTGGAATGCGCCGACTTAGGAAAGATGGCCCCGCGGCCACTTGGAAAGTGATAAGTGGTAAGTGCCCGCCATTGAAGCATCGAGTGAAACACCGTGCATACTGCAACCAAGACGAAGGCATTAAGAATACTCGATCTCGTGAAAAGGGTGTATTTCGAGAAGGGATGGGTTAAATAGGGAGGGAAATGTTTGCAAAGCTAGACTGTAGAACGCAAGCGCAGGTCATCTGATGTCTTGATCAGCAGGAGCAGCAGGATGATTTCCAGTAAAAGAACAATCCCAAGTCAGAGTGATTGGGAGGAATGGAGTCGGTAGTGAACAGCAACCTCGATGCAAACATCAGGCTGGGCCCCGCGGAGCCAGGCCCTCAACCGCTCCTCCTTTTCCAAACAAGTCCCACGCTGGCCGGATCTCTCATCTCATGCAATATCCTCCCTTCATGCTCGATATCCAAGCCCGCTTCGAAGATCCTCTTTCTGGCCTGCTCCATGCTCTCCCCCTTCATGGGCAGCGGCTCAACAGTATGATTGCGAAACAGCACCGCTATCGCGGCAACTGTCTCTACCTGAGAGAATCTCTTGCCTGGACACACGCGTTGTCCATACGCCCAAGGCAAGAAATGGGCCGAAGTGTCGGAAGCTAGGGTTTCGTTTTCAAGGCCATGCGCGGTGTCCGTCGGCCGGGAGATGAATCGTCTGGGGTTGAACTGCATCGAGTCGGAACCCCAGAGCCGAGGGTCTGTGTGTATTGCGGACATACTGAGATGTATGGATGTTCCAGCTGGGATGGTGTGGGTGCGGCCATCCACTTTGATGGTTTGAGCTTCGCTCGTTATCTTGACGAGTTGACCCAGAGGGTGGCAAAGTCTGAGCGATTCCATCTGGAAAGATTAATTAGCAACCCAAATCACGGAACATGAATGTATAAGATGCTGCCTATACACACCATGACCGCGAGACAGCGCTTTAGTTTTGGAAACGTGCTGTAGCTCCACTGCGTGGGGTCATCCTTGGGCAGGTAGTATCGGGCCTCCTCTGCGATCCAATCCTGGCTTTGGGGATGTGCGGCGAGAAAAGTTATGAGATGTGTCAACGAGACAGCAGTCGTATCGTTGCCTGCGAAGCCGAATACAAAGAGGTTACTGATTATCTCCTGTTCCGTGAGCGTCAATTTCCTTGGCTTTTCGCTATGCGAAGGCTCGTCTTCCCCTTCGGCTGCGCATGCGCGGACGAGCGCTGCAACTAAGTTCTGATTATCCTGAATGCCGCGCGACATGTTGTCCCTTTCCTCGTTTATGAGGGCCATGACGTAAGAGCGGAAAGTAGAGACCGCTTCGCCAGCTTGCTTCCACGATTTTGGCACCCACCATGCCTTCAACCCCTTCTCGCCAAAAATGTAGATGGGGATGACGTAGTTGAGGAGTTTCGACATAGAGTCCCGGTACTCGTACGACTCATCTCTCGCATGTGCTCCTGTTGTGGCTGCTGCTGAGCCTTCGAATGGATAGGATTTGTTGAAGACCGCCGCTGCTAGCACATTGAGAGTGAAGACTTTCGTATCCTCGCCGAGGGTCCGGATCGGCTGATGCTCTATCCAATACTCAAGCATGCCTTTCGCCTGCGCCAACGTCTGCCTCCATACCAGCTCGTTGTTCTTCTCCGTAAATGTGACAGCGGTGACTTTACGGTGCTTCTTCCATTCGTCCCCATCAGTCGTCGATAGATTCTTGCCATACACATTCACCACTTCGAACTGGTCCATATTGCGGCGGAAATCTTTCGGGCGCCGGATGATGTCGTCGATGACTTCAGGGTCACTGATAGAGACCCAATTTCCCCCTGGAGTCACCTGCATGAATACCTTGCCCAGCTCTTGGTGGATTCGATATCGGTCATTCGCTTCCCAGGCGAACATATAGAAACGCCAGAAATTGGGAGTCCCGATGCCAAGTGCGCGGCAACGCCGAACGATGGAGCTGCCGAACATCATCCAGAAAGGATTTGTGAGCGCTATCCACCGCGTAAATATTGGGAGGCCGACTTTGTCGACTTTGGCTCGATTGACGCTGAGTGACCATGCTGACCAGGCACAGAGGCCGATAGGAAGAGCTAGAATGGTCAGCAAAACCGCAGCGAGCGCCATAACGACTGTAAATTTATTGCAGGAGAAGCTAAGGAGGATGCGCAATGAAGACCCCGGGGGCAGGCGGAGTGTGTGATGGTTGAGAGAAGGAGGCTATTGATATGCAGCCTCTAACGCCTAGACGCGGGGCACATGTGGCGTCGGTCGCCTCTCCTGTCTCGCACGAGAAGAACGAAATATACCATATGAGCCACAAGCCTCCGTGTCGCGCGGCGCCGTGGACAGCTCATCGGTAGCGGTAGACGCTTGATGTGAGACTGTTGGACCGCGAAGAGATGAAAGGATCACTCGATTGTTGTCGGCCGCAGGGTTGCGTACTGGTAGTCAGTACCTCTGTCGTGCGCGCGCATCAACGGCTCCCGTCCCTGCCATATCTATGGCCTTGAGCGACAGCATGTTTTTTGGATCAGCGACATGAGGAGTGATGGTCGAAGAGGATGAGAACGGGGTGGTACGTCGACATGCCCCTGGCCGCTGGATCCTTGCAATGATCATGGTCGAATGAACTACGCCCCTCAAAAGACAGCTCCAGGTCAGCCGAGGTACCTACTATCAACGGCTTTTCAAAGTTGCCTAATGCGGTATATTGATACTGTTACCCACACTTTCATTGGCTCATGAAGCGAGTTTTGACACTCCTGCTGTGATCGACGGTGTCCAGGACTTACCTCATAGGGCAGTTCGGGGTACAAGTTACACCAAGAAAGCCGAGGATGAAGGTAGCAGCAATTGGGCAGAGGGTCAACAGCAACTTCAGCTCTTCCGACTAGCGCCAAATCTTCCCCATCTCACTTGACTTGAGCAACACAGTTCACCAAGCTTGACAAGATGGAACTTTCCCATCAGACACTCGGTGAGAGACTGAGATGAATCCTAGCTGAACATCTCGAAAGAGTTAGCACTGCCAAGGCATGACTAATCGCCGGTTAACTCCGCCCGATTGTGAGCTCAACACCATCACCAAAAAGCAACCATGAGGCCGCCTTGAGGCATCCCAACGCCTTCACGGCGAGCACGAAACCATAATGGATCCTTCCTTACCCCCTCCAGAGGTCACTGTTCTTCTGCTCGGCGACCCAGACGTGGGTAAATCGACTTTCTTATCGTGAGTATCCCCGCCAGCCGCTGCTGTTGGACTTCAGCGCACGACGTTCAGCTCAATGAGCTCCGTGCTGAAGCCACCCTAGCTCCAATATAACAAGCGCTTCATTGCTCACACATCCAGCAGCCGTCTCACCCTCGGTGTCCGCCCGCACAACGATGACCTCCCTCCCTACTCGCTCCCCACCCTCCGCGATAGCGACCAGCCCTTCACCTTCAACATCTCCCTCTACAACCGGCCCTACACGCTCTCCTTCTACGACACCGCCTCGCCCACATCCTACACGCTCATACAGCCCTCCTTCATAATCCTGTGCTTCGACATATCTCGGCGCAGCACCCTAAACTCTCTCCGCGATAGATGGATGCCGATAGTCAATAGCCACTTCAACTACGATGAAGCGCTGCCTGTGATGGTTTTGGGGCTGAAAAGAGACCTGAGGACTGAATGGACGGAGGAGGAGAAGAGGGATGGAGGGAGAGGGGAGAGCGTGATGCCGCAGGAGGGCTTGGGTATGGCGCAAGAGGGGCTGTGCGACAGGTATGCGGAGTGTAGTGCGGTCACCGGAGAGCTGTGTAGGGAGGTGCTGGAGGATGTGGCGAAGACTTGCGCGAAGACGACGACAGAGAAGGGGGCGAAGAGCCAGCCGACAAGCTGTGTGGTTATGTAGGGGAACACGTCACGGATACCGAAAGTCATGGCAAAATGCGCGGGAGGCGCTGAACGAGGCTTTATGTACAAAATGGCCTCATTCTCTCCATCCTTTCCATCCACATCGCTCGACTTCAATACAACAATTCCTTCCGAAACACCTTCGCGATCCCTCCCCTCATATAGCCGCCTGGCTCGCCTTCAAAGCCCCCACAACGGTAAACGCCAGCACCGGACTAACCATATAACTAATCGTCAGAATCTTCGCAATCCTTCTCTCATCATCTGGCCCCGCATCACTAATCTGCACCATCGTGATGAGCTTCATAGCCGGCGGCCCCGTCGGCATAAGCATCATCGTAAACCAGAGCATCGGATCGCTACCCAATAGCCCGCCCCTGCCTTCCTTCTTAACGATCGCATAGATGACGGAGATCGACATAGCCGGCCAGATAATGAACCGGACAAGCAGGATGAAGGAGGTTGTGAGCCAGGGGATGCGCGTTGCCTGTCCTTCGCTTTCTGATTTCTTGGACTCTTGGTAGGAGGTGTAGAGCGATATCCCGGCTACGATAAGTGGGAGAGGGACGAAGAGTTGTCCGACATTCTTCCAGCTCTCGGTTAACCACGCGCTGAACACGCCGCCATCATACGTATCGTTAAAGAATGCGCGATGCAGTGGGCTCGCCAATCCGATGATGGCGCCTATGACCGCCCCGATCAGCGGCGCGTTTAGGAAGTCGTAGAAGAATAGCAGCCACCACTGCGTGCGCAGACCGAGGGAAGACCAGGAGGGGAGCGGGATGTACATTGGGCGCCTTCGAGTCGTTGTGAACTTGGGCTTTGAGGGGAAGAAGGTTATAGAGGTGACGCTGGCGTGGCGGTCACGCTTGGGGGTGGGTATAAGGAGGCCGGTGCGCTCGTTAGATGTGCTGGCTTCACCATTCTCAAGGTCGTTATCCGGCTCTTCTTGGCTCTCTGGAATGCCTTTATCCTCATCATCGGTATCGGGGGCGTGCTCGGTGTCGATGAGGCGCGGGCCCACGGCGAATGTCAAACAACTCGACACAGTGCTGAAGACCAAGAAATAACTCTTCGCACGCTCAATCATATCCTTCGTACTCTCATCCTGAACCTTCAACACGGTTAAAATGCCCGTCTCGTCTAGACTCTGTATTAACAACAGCGGATAACTCGTCGTGTTGTTAAACATAATCGCACACGTAATCCAGTCTGGCATTTTGAAAACTGCGTGCGCACCGATGCCGATGAGGAAGGAGATAATATGGCAGATGAACGCCCAGATCAGGATGATAAGATACCGGTGTGCGGAGCCGGGATGCATTTCAGAGCCGAGTTTGACCAGAAGAAGTGCTGGAAGAAACATTTTGACGCATATCTTGCTGATAGCTTTACCATTCTTGCCGTCTAGAAGGCCGAGGCGCGCTGCGATGCCGCCGTAGGATATGACGAGGAGAACGGAGAGGGAGGCTTGGAGGGCGGCCACGAAGGATGTTACGAGAGAGGACGGCATCTTGGCAATTCCTCCTCTTCCTCCCCGAGAATAATTACAGTCGGTATTTTGATATCGAGGAAGAAGAAGAGAGCGAGTGATTGTGGAAAGGTCGAAGGACTGCTTGAAGTCTAGGGAGGGCGTCACGCGGATAAGAAGAGCAGGGGCAACCCATGCTTGCTTTTTCGGGCGTAGTTCTCATCATGGAGTGGCGGAAGCACGTCATTGGTGGGGTAGGCTAATGACGTGGGGAAGATGCGCACGTGGCCGTGGATCATGAAAGCTTGTTTTCTACTCTGCAAGAACGACAAAAGATCTTGGGATTTGACTTGATTGACAAACCGTTCAGTCTTTAACCCACCCTTCAATTGCCGCTTTGCTTCGCTGCAGCGGGCATCACGGTCTTACCTAGTTATCGTCCGATGCTCTCGAGCTCTGGCAGTGACACTGAGCTTTTGGATATGCTGTCGAAGACGGCAGACTAGATGCCTTCACTAGGGATCCCCAGATTTGGCTGCAGCCTGGGGATCGGATGCATCCCACCACTGAAGGACGAGGAGGACTTTCCCGTCCATACCGTCCAAAGAACGAAATAGTAGTAGTGAGATACTCACCAGGACAAAGACAATTCTCTAGTAATTCCTCAATCAATTCCAGTGAACACTAAACGAGTGACTAGGTGTAAAATGCGAGCAAGGAAAGATGCAATGCTCCGCCCCCTCCGGCTCTACCCGCTTACAGACGACACTGACTCCTCGTCACGCTCCCAAAACTTCCATAAGCACATCAGCAGTCAACAGAGTACGAAAACCATCCGCTCGGGTCCTGAAGGCAAGCCCCCAAACCAGCCTCGAAAGCGCCCACACTGCAGCTGGAATCACCATAGACAGTAACTATCGCCCAGTCAGCATCAAGATTGACATTTTGGAACAGAATAAACGGGGAAATGAGGAAGAGTGAGCCTTACCGGAGCATCCAGCCCGGACGCTCGTGGATCGGACGCTTAGAATCCCGGGGAGCTGCTGGCACGATCCATCGCTCTCATCGGTTTGGACCGTGGTCTCATAGTTGCCGCAGCTCGAATCGGTGAAGAGGTCGATATTGGTGGCAGCACTGTAGACGCCCGTGGCGGCGAAGGCGAGAAGAGTGGCGATGGTGAAGCGCATTTTGATGGTTGGAGAGTGGAAAGGCGGGTATTTGAAGAAGTGATTGGGAAGTTTGAGAAGTAAATGGAAGTCGATGCGTTGGGCTGTGGATGTTGAGTGAGGGAGGAATTCAAGCCAGGTTATATATGGCTTCTAAACATGCTCGGTGACGCTGTGGTTCTTGATTGGACTTTGGTAGTTACTCTGCTGAGGCAGTTTTGCGACTTCGCCGACTACGACTGAGGCTCAGCTTGGCTCGGCCGAGGTAGAAGGGACGAGATCCAGATGATGGTGTAAGACATGCACACCGCAAATAGAGAAGTTACTGACCAAAAGGGTATTGACGCCAATCACTCAGATTAATCTCCAGGACCGGCCGGGCTTAGAAAAGTTCAGCTAGTGTTTGAGCTAGGGCTGAAGAGAAACGTTTCGGAATAGGACTAGCTGCATGGGAGTGAGATGAAGGACGTCTGAATGTGCGAATCAATGGTAGGGCTTTTTTTTGACCGGGCTACGATGGCTTGCCGATGCTCCACCGCCCCTGCTACGGACATGGCTACCATGATCGATAGAAATGTAGCCATTCGTTAAGCAAGGTGCGTTTGACTTTCTAGAGCAACCGCGCTATTGCAACTGCATATGCGGAAAACAAGAGCAGGACAATGCAACGTTGAGTGCGCTCATCGTGAACTAGCGCTCCCACCAGAATGCCCTCAGTAGGTCTATACCATTTAGTAGTAGTGTGATCCTTAGATATGTTTAGAATTGAGCAAAGCTCCATCGAGTCTTAGATGGCGTAAGCTTGTCCCTCGAAGGCTTGATCTGTTTAAGCTTTTTGCTGACGCTGCTCATCCAACCAATACCCAGACGGCTTCGATGGCACGGGACTAGCCGAAGAAATCCCTCAACTCACCGCCTCGAATATCTAGGCCACAACAATAATAATGTGTGAGTAAGCATCTCATGAAACGCGCCCCTTCTTCTATCGGTCTAATCCGAACCGCTCCCGGAGCATGCGCTAGTCAGCTCCAGTAGGCTCGTTTCATTCCTCACTAACGGCATCAGCAAGCTTTAACATGAGACGGTACCCTGAGGTCCGATCACCTGATTAGCCTGATTACTGATGTTGCTAAGGCCACTCTTGGAAAGACTTAAAATAAGCTTATTTGTTGCCGCGCGGCTGATCGTCAGCCCAAAGCGCAAAGGAGGCGGAGGACTCACGGGTATAAGCAGCTGACGCTCAGCCGTTGTGGGGAAAATCGCCGAGCTTATCCTAGTGCCTTTCTCATTCGCGACTGTTATTTTCAGCTCCCGAGACCTACCCTAACGGTAATTAGAATTGGAATACGGGGTTGGCGATTTCCCACACGTCCAAGCCTCCACACCGCAATGCATAGTCCAGCGCGAAGAAATGCGTCCACGAAGGCAATGGTGGGGAACATACACCGTTTCCTCCACGAGCTTTAGAAGAGAGCGAAGAGCGGTCTGCAGATGAAGATTGGGGTGGCGGTAAAGGCTGGTCGTCCCTTCATCTCAAAGACCGAGTTCCAACTTCGTACAAGCGCCACTCAGCTATCCAAACTGTCACCCACTCCTCACTTTCGCGCATATGCAGTCCTTAGCCAAGAACTACCTACACGTACTCCCCGTCCAAAAGCCTGGTCATTGGCGACTTCTGCTTTGGTGGCGGCTGCGGTACTCGAACCGGCGGTTTGGCGCGCTTTGATCTCGTATAGAAGTCCACCTCGGCTACTAGCTTAGGCTTTTGGAGCGGCAGCTCCTCCTTAGGCCACATCCCTTCCAAGTCTACGTCCTTGTCTTCCTTTTCCTCAAGTTCGAACACATACCCCTCCTCTTTCTCCCTCCTCTTGATCTCTTCCTGGATGTCCCTACTCTTATTGTTCCACGTGAGACGCAGCGGTACGACCGGCTCCCAAGCCTCGGCCAGCGCCTCATACCACGCTCGGTGTTCTGGGTGACCCTTCACGGTGCCCTTCCTCCCGGTTTCGCCCCTTTCGAGAGTGGCCACTTTATCAAACGGTTTCCGCAGAACGCCGCCTGGATAGACAATCGTCCAGTTATTGATGAGTTGTTCCACGGGACATTTGAAGCACAGCCATTCAATGCGGTCCTTGGAGAAAGAACGGAAGCCGAGAGCAGAGCCCCTGTGCTGGAAGACGTTAGGTAAATAAGCGACTTCTACACTATTTTCTGGGACTTCGTCTCCTTCGGCAACCGGGAAGCCAGTCAGAGTATCCTTGGAGAAGAGGTTCGAGATATAGCCGTTCCGATCCCGAGAAAGGGAGCGTTTGAAGTCTTCGAGGGGCTGTGCGTAGTTGTTGTAGTGGTAGATGATGATTGTGTACTGGTAAGATCGGTATTGAAGCTGGCGAAGATTAGCCGGGGGATAGGACCTCGGAGTCCTGGCCTTGATCTTGGCCTTGGTTTTAATTGACGGCCGAGTAGACATGGTCGGACTTGGCTTCCTGAACGCTGGAGATTGGCGGTATCTATTGTTCAAACGGTTGCGGGTTCAAGTGAGGAGTTGTTTGTTGTGCTGAAGAGAAGGGAAGAGAGTGGTCTTATAGAGCAGATGAGAAACGCGAGGTGAAAGGCGCGAAAAGTGCTCCCGTGGTGAAGATGAGAGCTCGGTTCACTGGGCATGGCGATGAAGGTGATGGTGATTCATCTTGACTCGTCCGGCTGGCTTAAAGTACGAATACGGCCAACTGCCAAGCTCTTCAAGCAACGCTACCTAATGCGAAGGTAGAGAGAGCATACCCACGCCAAGACACCTGTTCTGCATGTCTCGTCTTTAAAGTCTTCTCCGAGCTCTCTCTGTTATTTCAAGTCGACACACTCGCCTACTCGTGTTTCTCCTTAGCATTGAGTTTCTCATTGGAGTTTCACTATCCTTCTTTCCCTCTCTCGACTCGTTGGCTTTGGCATTCATTCCTTTAGTCTCCTTGTACATCCGGTCAAGGCACGACCGGTTATGGATCCCATTGGCGATCTTTTGACACCACCTGGCCCCCTTCTCGACGACTGACTCCTTCTGCTCAGCAGTATTGGTTCATATTAAGTTGCATAGCTGTGCTGCTCCAATGGTACAGTCCTTAAGCGCGCGAAGAGCTTAGGAATCCACACTTGCGCAAGGCGGTTAGGTTTACCCGGGCAGAGATTACCCAGGTAAAACGCTACGCTAGATTTGGTCCACATGGGTTTAATCACGACACAAACGTCATCATGGGCAGATCATTCAGCTAACATGTTCAGTCAGCGCCGCTACCAATACTTATCTCGCACTACAACCTTCATGGTATTGGTCCATGTAGTCTTTCCCATCAATCCGCAGCAAATAGTGTCAAGCCCAACTGCCATTACCGGCACATCATCGATCCATCAACCGACTCAGGCAGGAGGAAAATCAGGGTCTACCAGCTCCCAATGCGCCACTCAGTAGTCGCAAGTCCATAGTGGAAAGCTCACATTTTGAACATCGCTTTAGATTTGAAGGTGATCGCCGGGGCCCAACCGGAACAAGCACAACCATGGGAAGTACTACCACCGCTACCCGTCCAGGACACTCTCACATGTATGGCTTGCGAAAGAAGAAGCAGCTTGGTCGTGTTGAATAGCGCCTATGCAAGTACGTCCATCCAGAGAGTCACGGCGAAGCGTGGGAACCCCATACAACGCCAGAAATCCTAGATCTCTCGGGTAATTGCATCACTTCCGAGGTGCTGCTTAATCACGCGCTGGAGCTGGCCGGGAGAGAATCCATTACACGGCAGGAGTTCCAAGGTTTCTCCAGTTGGACATATCCTTGATCTAAGATATGCCCATTTCGTTGCAAGCGCGTGAAGCAAAATATGATCGGGCTATTAAACGTGGCCGAGAACTTAGACTAAATCCTTTAGTAACATGACTTAAAGAGGGTAACCAATCTAGTAGAAGGCTGGGAATACAGAGTGGTGTAGAGACTACTATGTATAATTCTCCATCGAGAGACTACCGAGGGGGTCGTTAAGGGGCCTGGAAATCTCCCGCAGCGCAAAGGAGGTTCCCGATCCAGTCTTTTGGAGCACAAAATGTTCTAGATGTGACTGAATGTGAGTAAGTGATGCATAGATATTCAAAGTATCAGAAGTGAATGATATATATACGTGCATTTGTATGGGATTTTGAGTGGCATGACTAACGCGGCGATTGAAGAGTTGCAATTGACGGCGTTAGTGTCCTCTGTAGCATGAAGACTGGAAGTCAATGCAATCGGAATACGTAACCCGAACTTTTCTTCATGGCTTCAATTCTGCGCATTTCTCGGATCTTCACATCTGTGGAGAACACAAAGAACTGACTATAAAATGCCAGCCTTCTTGCTCCTCATCCCCCAAACTCTCATTAACGCATCATCTTCCTATAATCCTTAACAACCGCCGTAACAAACCCCCAAGCAACAACATTACAACGCAAAAAGTCAACTTTACCATAATGTCCAGCAGGTTTGGAAGGGAGGAAGCTTGTGGACAAAGAGGTCACACCGGTAGCGGTCGACCAAGCCACATGCAGATAGCAAGGCGGCAACAACAAAGAGAACAATCCCAAGGGCCGAACTCCAGATCAAATGCTGCTCCATCGAGACCCGCAGCTAGTACAAGGTCAACCGCAGGCAACGGATCTAGAGCCACTAACGGGCGAGAGGGTGGCGATACCACTCGCACGCGAGGCTCCAGATTTGCTGGCAGTAGAAGTGGACTAATCGAAAGAAACACAGCAGTCGAAAGGAACACAGTAGTCGAAAGACACACAGCAAGTGGTGCCCCGACTGGAGGGGGATCAACAATAGCTCGTCCCGGTCACGCTCATTACTGCAACGTCCGGTCTAATAGAGAGCGCGGACGCATCGAGTTCACCGTCTGTAGATGCCGGAACCCAGCCAACCACGGCCAGGCATTCTGCAGTTCAAAATGGTTCCCCGATATATATGGAAGGCTAATTTCATGGGAGGCGGGCGCGGACCAGATTTTGGAACTTGTGGGAAGAGAAAGCCTCAGTCGCGCGGAGTTCAATTCAGAGTTGGACAGGGTTTTCCATCCGCGTTTCGCTGACAAGATGCGGAGATGTAATGAGAGGCATGACTTCATCATCCAAAGAGGGGGTTATATCCGGTTGAGTCCAGAAGCTCTCTGGCAAGGCGAAGGGGAGAGCCTGGCGGGAGGAAGGATCGGAGATGCCGGTGTTGCGCAGCCTACTGTCTACAGGGGGGCCGCAGGAAGGACTGATCACGGATGGAACGGTACTCAGGGAGGTGGGAGGTCTGGCAGGAATGGTTGGGGTGGATTTCAACAGTGAACACGTGTACAAGATGTGTCTCTTAGATATGCTGAGCGTATCTAGCTAGAAATCATATAAGGTATCGTTTAAAGTACCGTGCGTTGTGCACCCTTCGAAACTATGACTGGGGCAAACAGCCAGCATATTAAGCGATTGGGCGTCTCATCCGGCAGTTCCAACTACTTCAACCCCACCTTTCACTTCTTCGCCACACCAACAAGCGCCACCATCCTTATCCCCACACACTCCTCCACCTCTCCCCCATTCCCACCTCTTGCCGGTCTCTTCATCCTCTCCGCCCTCTCCCTAACCACCCTCCCCAACTCCACCCTCAACCTCTCCCCCTCCATACCCCCCACCAACGCCCACACACTCTCCATTAGACCCTCCACACTTCCCGCCGCATAATACACCACCTTCTCGCTAACCTCTACATCCACAAACCCGCCCTCCCTCAGCGTCTCCTCAAGCCACCCCGCCTCGAACCAGCGCTTTGGAATCGGAACCCTGAACACCTGCGCATCGGGCCTGACAGCCCTCTGTGCCTCCCAAATAACAGCGTCATACCCCAGACACTTCCAGCACGTCACCAACGCCGTCCCGCCCGGTCGCAGCGTCCGCCAAATCTCCCGCGCCCCCGCGCCCGCATCCCCGAAGAACAAGAGCCCCAGATTCGTAATGCTGTGCGTGAAACACGCGTCCGGGAAGTCCAGCTTCTCGCCCGGCATTACAGCCCAGGTTACTCATTCCGCGCCCGCCAGGCCGTTCAGATTCTGCTTCCCGACTTCAATCATTCGCGGCGCGCCGTCGACGGCGTGGATAAGGGGTGGTGTTTGCGAAGCGCTGGATGCGTGGAGGAGAATTTCCTGCGCGACGATGCCGGTCCCGCATGCGTTGTCTAGCACGACGGAGGAGGCGGTGAAGGGCGGACTTATTTCCAGCAGATGGCGCGCTAGCTCGCGGGTGCAGCCTCCAGTGGACGCTTCGTAGGATTCTGCTTTTGCGTTGAAGGCTTCGAGGGCGGTTTTGGGCGGGGCTGGGTTGGTCATTTTTGGGCTTGCGGCGGTGGGATGCTGGGGAAGGGGAAGGGTGGGAGTAGTTAGGAGAGATGCGTTGATTGTAGGAAGCTATAGAGGCAGAGGCTATATATAGACGTTGAATAGTCACGTGAACAGGAGTTAGATTGGGGAGCAGGTTGCGAGCTAAAGGTCGGGAGGACACTTGAGCACCTTGATGGCCGGTGCTTGGAGGATCTCGCTTTCAATACGAGAAGCATCTCTCCTCGCTCGATGCATAGCGCTTTCTCTGAGTCCCCATCTCGCTTTCTGCCAGACGGGATACAAGCTAGCAAAGGAGATGCGTTGCGGTCTTCGTTCATCTGAGTCGCCTAAAAACACTAGCGTGATCTTGCTTATGGTCAGTATCAGAAGTACGTCGCAGTCCCTTAAAGCAGTAGAAGGTTTCCAGAGCAAATGATCTCATTAAGACCCGATTCCATCGTATAAGCATTACCTAAATCCAGCACTACCTCGCCCGAAATTTTCTACATTCAGATGGCTCTTCAAAAGAGTGCATCTACAGCATACCAGCAACAACCACAAGCCCAAGCAGCGCAGACGCATAGCTTCCCCAACCAAGTGAAGCACCAAAGTCTGAAGCACTCCCTTCGAAAAGCACAACGGACGCGGATGCTGTTGCAGTTGGCGAATTTCCAGGAGGTGGTGTGGTGGGTTCGGCAACGCCTTCAGGGCAGTGCCAATGATCCCCATGAGGTTCGCATTCTCCTAAGGCCACCGTTGTGGGACTTGTCGCGCTAGCGGCCACTGGCGGTGGTGTAGTGGGTTCGGCGACGCCTTCCGGACAATGCCAATGGTCGCCGTGCGGGACGCACTCGCCATTAGGGCTTGCTGTTGGTGTAGCTTCTGCGCTCTGTGGAGGCGGAGTGGTGGGTTCGGCCACGTCCTCGGGGCAATGCCAGTGGTCGCCGTGGGCAACGCACTCATCCAATTCGCCTGCAGTAGACGTTGGACTGTCTGCCCCCGGTGGGGGTGTTGTAGGCTCCGCCACGCCCTCCGGACAGTGCCAATGGTCATCATGGGCAACACATTCGCCTGGAGAACCTGTGGGCTCAGGGCCATCCGGTGGTGGCGTAGTTGGCTCTGGTACCCCTACTGGACAATGCCAATGGTCTCCATGTGGAGTACATTCGCCTGATGAAGGGATTGTTGGCTCGGGACTGCTAGGCGGCGGGGTAGTCGGTTCCGCGACGCCTTCTGGGCAGTGCCAGTGATCTCCGTGGGGAATGCATTCTTCTGATGGCGCACCAGTTGGTTCAGGCGTATTGCCGGGTGGCGGCGTAGTAGGCTCTGGAACACCTGCGAACGTGAAGTTAGCAAACATCTTACGTTCAAAGAGAGGACATCTGGGCATGCACTAAGTATTCGTATCTGATATACGTTTTGAGCGTGACATTGTAGGATCAAGGCCAAGATGTGCTGGTATGCGTGCAGCGACTTGCTTACCTTCAGGGCAGTGCCAATGATCGCCGTGAGGAACACACTCGCCCGACGGTGGGACGCTCGTGGGCTCCGAACCTCCTGGTGGCGGTGTAGTTGGCTCTTCCACACCGGGTGGGCAATGCCAATGATCTCCATGGGGAGTACACTCTCCCGCGGACGAAGCGATAGTAGCAGGTGGGTTTTCCGACGGTGGAGTGGTAGGCTCTTCTACACCCGGCGGGCAATGCCAATGATCGCCATGTGGCTCGCAAGTCTGCGATGGATTGGGTGGGGGAGCCGTTGAAGGGGGAGTGTTCCCATCCGGCGGCGGAGTTGTGGGCTCCTCGACGCCAGGCGGGCAATGCCAATGATCTCCATGCGGTTCGCATGTACCTGATGGGGGAGGCGCCGTTGAGGATGGCGTGTTGTGCGAGGGTGGAGGCGTCGTTGGATCTTCGACTCCGGGTGGACAGTGCCAGTGATCGTCGTGAGGCTCACATGTTCCCGTTGTCGGGGATGCTGTTGTTGAAGAGGGCGTATTATGCGATGGCGGGGCCGTTGTTGGCTCTTCGACACCAGGCGGACAATGCCAGTGATCGTCGTGAGGCTCACACGTTCCCGTTGGCGGGGGTGGTGTTGTCGAAGAGCTTGGTGAGCCGCCCGGAGGAGGGGTAGTCGGCTCATCGACGCCCGGTGGACAGTGCCAATGATCATCATGAGGCTCACACGTGCCGGTTGGACGCAATGAAGTAGTAGAAGTAGGTGTATTGTGGGAAGGAGGCGGGGTTGTTGGCTCAGAAACGCCAGGCGGGCAATGCCAATGGTCGTCGTGGGGCGTGCATTGTCCAGGAGACGTCGTAGTTAGGGTCGTCGTGTCGGTAGCTTCATCGCCTGTCGTCGTTGGGAGAGGCTCGCAATGCCCTAGATGCATCAGCAAACCCGCCGAGCGAGAAGCCATCATGTCGCAGATAACTTACAATGATCTCCATGCGGCGAGCACAACGAGCCTGTCGGTGACGGCGGCAGCGTCGCAGTCGGACAAGGGCCCGTGATTGTGGTCACTCCAGACGTGATGCTGAAGCCGGCCGCACGAAGAGCGCTGGCATCGTAGAAGCCATATGCGGTGATTGTGCCTAAGCCGGGGAAGTCGAAGACCGATGTATGGACGGGGATTTCCGTGTCAGTGAAGGGCCTGGTCCCGGTGCTGTAGACAGCGTCGAGAGAGCTGAGGAAGGCGTCATAGTCGGTAACCGTAGTTGCGATGCCATAGTACGCTGAGGTAGAAGTGCAGATTGGTGCCGCGGTGATACCCTGCGGAAGGGCTGCGCCGAAGACCCGGGAGAAAGGGACTGCCCCAAAGGCAGCAACAACGAATCTCAAGGAAAACATTGTGGGAACCACGAATGGATGCTACTGATGCAGTACCAAGCTGACTAGATGTACTTATCCTGCAGGAGAGCACCTGTCGTTCCCAGAAGCCGAATGAGGAAACCCGCGATGTTTGCCAACATGAAGTGATGCAATATTGTGGCGTTGCGCTCGAGGCTGACTTTCCCGCAAAATGTCGCGTTTTAGTTATGCGTCTGTCCAAAAGTCGCAAACTACCCACGCCCAAATCAAGATTGTTTTGGAAAATGGTACACGGCGCTGCCATTGATCCTGCGACAAGACTGTGACAAGACAATGACAAGACTGAGATACTATACCAGGCGATTCTGCCCAGTAAATTCAAGCACAGGCTTAGCTAAAGCACCGGTGCTACTGTACAGAGGTGGTTCGGTTACGGTCCAGAAGTTCTTGTCGCTGGACATCAGGGTACCAAGTGCACCCGCGGCGGGCGGAGGGCCAAGGAAAGCGGCTTGTGAGGGCGGGGGAGCACCACGCGCGCTTTACAGGCACCGTCGCTGATAGGTTGGACCGTCTACCCAGAATTGGCCAAGACTTTGTACAATTGTACTCAGGTTCCGTCCGGCGCGGGTTGTGCCCGTTGTCAGAATTCTAGGCATACGGTGAGCATCGAAGACAACCAAGCAGCTCGAAGGAAACACGAAGCGTGTCCATCACGGTTCCGCCGAGATCCCGTATACTAGGTGAGCACCGGTGGCCATGGAACTGCCCACGCCGTGGAAGCCCCGGAGAGGAAGGAGTGCTGTCAACGCTTTCCGCTCGCTACGAGGACGGATACGAGGAAGATGGATTATGGGGCACAATTCGGATCCAACGAAGAAGTTTGAGTTTGTCGGCGCATTGGGAGCGATACCGGCGTAAAAAGATATATAAAGATGCCTTTCGCAGCTGTGTTACCCTCCTCAGCAGCGAGCGCATCTCCCCTCTCCAAAGCAACTATTTTCGACTTCGGACTCATTCTGCAAACCACTGTTCCAACATGAAGGCTTTTCTTTCCGTCTTCGCCGGGCTCGTCGCCACCATCACCGCCCTTCCCGGCATGTCTCCCGTCTCGGGACTGGAGAAACGAGACTGCGTCATCCCCTCCGGATGTACCGTCTGGGACGTGGATGAATGCGAGTACTGCTGCACGTACGTTCCTAGCCAATGCCACGTCCACGATCCCGTCGTCATTTGCCCGAGCGGGCGCGGAGTTGTGTTCCACTGCGATGATGAACATGATGAGTAGAGGACCCATTGCCAAGGTAAGTTTGTTCACATGGAGGGTACGGTCTGCATTTTTTAGCTAATTCTCGCCAGAGAATCATGGAGGCGCTCGGCGCGTTCGAAAGCAGTTCGCTCCGGCTCAGTACTAGCGCCGGATGGTACGGGTAGCGATAGTCTTTGGGCGATCGTACGGCAGCTCTTTGGCAGTATAAACTATTTCAAATAGTGCAGGAATATCGATTACGCTTGGAAGCGGATTCGGTGTTCTCGTTAATCCTTGGATTTTAGTTAGCTCGCGATTCAACACGGACGAGCTGAGTAGATCAGTGGGCCATACCTTCGTTTGGAATGGCATAAATCCTCTCGGCTCATACTTCCCACGTCTCTTCCACGCACTTAAACCATTAGCATTCCTCTTCCTCGTCATTCTCTCTATCTCCGGGATTGTCTCTAGAGGATGCAGTACTGAGATGGGCTTGTCCTTTGGTTAGTATAGGCGCTTTCATAGTCAACGTAAACTTGCGAGCGGCTTCACGAGGGCGCGCGTGAATTTCGTGGATGAAAAGGAACGCTGCCAGCGCCGTATCCCAAGGCCGGCCCATTCTGAACTCCAACTTCACTAAGGCTCGCCGGCCGGATGGGCTCTAAATATGGAGTTCCTAGAGAACTGCAAACCTTCCAAGAACGCCGAAGTTCCGACTAGACCCTATTGTAATGGGAAAATTAAACCTCTTCAAGTGCACCAAGGATACTCTTCCAAGCTCCCTATAGCAGCTCTTCTCGTTCGTCCCTTGCGTTGGTTCCAGACTCTTAGTTCTTTTTCAATAAGCCTTCCTTGGCGAGCCACTTGCGGGCCAGGGCGCCCGCTTTTTCTAGATCGCTGGCATTCAGTATCTCCTGGCCCCTTTTCTTCATCTCCGGCCCCGCCAACTCTCTCTCCTTGTCCTCCCATAAATCTACTGCATGAGATGGACGAACATGAGGTTCCGAGAACTCGGCGGATCGGTGTTGGAGCCCGAGCCCCAGTGACGAACATAATTTGCCGGATCATTCGCAGAAGGAGGCAGAGTAATGCGTTTGGAATCAAGGATATGTTGCAGGAGTGCGTTGCATTGCTTGGTGAGAGTGATGTACGGAATGTGCATGGCGGCTTCGTGGGCCGGAAACCAGTCGCGGAGGCGGGTGAGAAATGATATTGCGCTGAAAGTAGTCTTGGGAGCCGAGGGCCTGGTGTTTAGGTTAGACACCGACTAGGTGCATTGGGCCTTTGTTCACCACTTACCTTTTCCCTTTTATCGTGCAATCCTTCTCCATCTGTTCGTTAAGAGCAAAAAGTGCGCGGATTGTCGTCTCTTCTCCATCCAACATCGAATTCAAGATGCGCGACGCTTTAGAGACTTCGAGGCAGGCCGATGACCGTTTACTGTTGCTGGAGTTGGCGTTGACGCCAACTGCAACCTTGCCAAACCTCTCGCCACGAGGTTCATTGCTGTAGTCTACCATCGAAAGTCCCTTCCGAAGAGCGAATCTCATATGGATTTGCTTCGCTGTTGTTGGCCGCGATCCGAAAAAGATAGAGTCGAGATGGGAGCGTATAACATCTTCGATATCCTGCCATTCCCCGTTGAGCAGCTGCTTCTGCTGGAGTGCGTTATAAAGCTGAGCCATGAAGACGACCGAGAGGTGGTGGTTGGCCACCAAAACACCGGCGTTCTCAACTGCCAGGGTGAAATTGAGAAGTACGGTTCCGCAGAACAAGGGATTAAGATCCAGGACCACGTGCTGATGTTGATCAAGCCCTTTAGGACAAGGAATGCCCTTGACGTTGTCACGCTGCTCCATGAATGCCGCCCCCTCACGATATATGCTGTCAATCTGGCTTCCTTGAATGAAGGAAAACTGCTTGATCAGCGCAAGACTGTGGCTATCTTTGGTGGTCCAATACGGCCCTCCCCCACGTGGCATCGAAGCGTCCGTATATTGAACGCTCTCCATGACTGGGTCAATGGCGGCGAACAGTTCCTTTCTCGGCCTGGATTCGACGCCCTCAAGAATGCCATGAACTTTGGCCATGACTGTGAAAGCGAATGCCACCTGAATGCTTCCGGCCAAATGTTGAAGGTTAGCAACGACCTGTGAGAACTGGTCCGTGTGGAGTACCCGTTGATTTACCGGCAATCGCAAGACCATACTCATAAGGAAGCCGTGAATGCTGAGACTAGCATTGAATAGCCTCATGATCAGCTGTTCTTTCTCAAGGAATTCATCTGCATGTGGCTCGAGAGCTCTCGCCACTCGCGGCGAGGGGTAGAAAAAGACTCCTGGATCCGATATCTTTTGTATGCACCCGCTCAGGTGGACATTGAACCAGTAAGCGCCAATATAAAGCAACCTTGAGACATGGGACTCGGTGCTAAGAAGCGTCCTGTGGGTATCTTTGACTGCCGTGACCCTGTCCTGGACATGGGGACCCAGAAAGCAGGGATTTCAATAGGTAATGGTGCGAGAAATCCTTTTCAAGCCCAAGTGCGGTGACCAGGTTCTCTTCCATCTCTTCCACAAGACATAACGCGGCATTCGTGATCAAGGCGGCGGTGCAAAGGCTACATTTGCCGGCACGGTAGTCGCGCCATGTATTACAGACAAACTCCTCGATTCTGTGCAGGTCCTGGAAGAAGCCGAGGATGCGAAGAGTGGCATCGCTTTGATCTCCTCCGTCGTCTTGCACCTCATAGCGCTCCTGAGGCGGGCTTTGGGCGGTCGTAGTGTGAGGTTGAGCACGGACGCCGGCGCTGAGGTCTTCGGCATCAGACTCAATCTCTTCCAAGTCGAGGTGATTGAACATGTTATTGAGTGTAGCGACACTGGGCTGCTCGGACTCGACCTCCTTTGGCGAGACGTGTTGTTTCCTTGTCGAAATGAGAGGCGATAATCTGGTGTGGAGCGGGTGAACTCACGCTTACTTCAGGATGTCCAAGGCGTGTTTTAGAGCCTTAGCGAAGTGCTCATGTGTCGTGTGGCCAGATTCATCATCGCGCAACTCCTTCAGCAGGTTGGTGAAGGACTTCCTCCCCTCAATAGCATGCTCGGCGATCTGCTCGATGCTGCGAGGAAGCTGCAATCCGGCATGACCCGACTTCGCGATCTTCTCGGCCTGTCACGGTAGCTCCGAGACTGGGATGACATATGGCGCATCACTTTCTGCTCCGGCGCTGGCGGGCTGTTTTGTTTGTTTGCGTGCGACGGGGAAGGCTGTAGCCGCACGCCCTCGCAGTATGTGTCAGCCAGGTCGTGAAAATAGTCGTGTTCACCTTGTAGCGCTGGTAGCTACCGGTCAGATGTGCCGGCAGCATGGCGATCTCTGGGGGAAGTGGATGTGAGAAGGAGTGGTGGACGCGCGCGGCAGGTCGCGACTTGTGTTGCAAGAAACCCGCTCACACCCACTCTCACTTATAGCAATATATCTATCTGGTTTTGACAATACTCAGCGCGAAGGAAGTTGACTACCCAGGTGCTGACATTTTGAGTCACGTGCTACCTTGTGCTCCCCTTTATGAATACGGTGCCTACCTGGGTAGGTAGATGCCTACGACGACCCCATCACACAACCGTTACGCCCCTCAGATCTACCCTCCCATGCCAAACCTTATACCCCTTTAAACACGACACAGAGGCCCCACCCTCCCTTGCACTCTCCTACTACAACAAATACCTCGCCGTAGAACGATGCCATACCTGCGTGATCTACGCATTCCACTCCGACAAGGTAACCTTTCCCACCGGTGAGGCTTCCACCTCTAAGAAATCCACATCTTGCGTCCGAGTCCCTACATACGGGGGATGTTCTTCCCTTCTCGGTGTGACTCTTACCTCGACCGCATGCACTGTCGATGTCGATTCTACCTACTACCAGAGCGCGCGGCGGAGTCTGTCTCCCTCCGATTTCTTCTATGGCCTCTCCTGGACATGTTTGCATTAGCTCGTTTGTTCGATAGAAAAAGGCAGGTAGACGTGGTGAAGTGAACGCCATTGAGACTTTCGCGCTGCGGTCTGGACATCCAACCTGTGGAAAGCGCGGCCACTCTTCGATGCGGGCTTTTTTCGCAGATTCGGGCCGGCCACGCTCCCTTCTTACTATGATATGGCGGTATTAGGAAGGCCGTGGTCCGGCTTTCGGAGTGTCGTTTGCTTCGGAGCGGTGAGGGCCTCACGTGGAACATGGACCCCACGCACTAGATACCTATAATTGGAGACTTTTAGTCTCCACGCACGTCCAGAACAATACTGCTACTTCAACAAATTCCCTCCTCACCAAGCACGCCTCCGAGCCCAACCCATTACGCTAAGCAGCCATGAAGTTCTGGAAACGGGGAAAGAAGAAGCCACGAGATCTTCAATCCTCCTCAACCACGGCAATCGCTCACCGCGCGAGCAGCTCGAACCAAGATCGGCCCAGCGGAAGTTCGTACGGTCTCCGCAGACTCTCTTGGAGGAGTAGCCAGGCCTCTGATGCTGCCATCCCTCTAGGCCCCGTGGATCCGAAACGCCATTACTCTCGCCCTCACATCACAGGTTATTCCCCCGACACTGTCCTGAGCGGCCCACACACGATCTGCCGATGCGCACTCCCTCAAGCGCATGGCGATGCATTCACACGCATCCACCACGCTGAAGCCGCAAATGGCATCACTTTTCTTTCCACCCGTGGTCAGCCTCTCTCCTGGGAAGAAGCCCAACATGCCTTCTTCGACAGGCTGGTTGTCGATTCGCGCGTAAGCGCTGGATGGCATAGGGAGGATGAAGGCTTGTTGAGGCAGGTGTATCATGAAAGTACTGTGAGGCAGATACTGAAGTACCACGAGGTGTGGAAGGGAGTCAAGCGACATGGGAAATTGAGGTCTGTGTTGGAAGGCGATGTCATTTGGTGGGGAAGGGTGAACCCGAAGGGAGCCATGCTGAGAAGTGTGGAGCGTCCACCAGCGGATGGAACCGTGGTGTTGAGTACGAGCGGGCCTTGGTATGGACGTCCGGGGAGGAGGGGGGATCCTTCGAACCCCGGAGAGCGCTATGGAGACGGTCTAAGCAAAAAATTGTCCGTCCTCGGCATAAGTCGGTGGGCAGGTATTGGTGACTAATTGTCACGTGTGGGGTGCTGGATGTAGCTAGCTTAGGCTTCAGCTTTTGTATAAATAGGAGTCTCCTGACGCTGATGCTCCTGATCTCGACATCTGCGTTTCTCCCTCCGGGTTCCATCGTTCGTTCCTACCGGCTCATGACTCAAGATATCATGCGGCTCCCAGATGCAGCCGCCCAGCGACGATCTAGATAGGAGCTGGAGCGAGGCGGAAATGCCAAGACCAACAGTGTGAATGCTCCGGCGATGGAGCCGCGACGAAGAGACTTCTGGTCCATTGCCGGGAACTATATGCACACGAGACCCCTCCGATGGCGAGTACCGATCATGAGGGTAGGTATTTAGTCGCAGGGAGGTGACAATGGAAAGGCCAGTTCGGCATGACGCTCGGAATCTGAATCCTACGCCAAGACGGCCCCGCCACGAACAAAGCCACGGCCACCCGGCATCGTCATCGTCGCTGTTACGCCTCCATCACTCTTCAACAACACTCTTCTTGACTTCTACATCTCTTTTGGCTTCAATGCTGCGCACTGGTGCTGCAGCTCCCCGCGATGGTGGTCATAGTTGACCTGGACGACGACGCGCCGCCCGCGCATAGCCCGCACGCGTCGGGAAAGCCGCTGCACCACTCTCTCGCCGCCGTAGACTTGACGAGCGAGCAGGAGGCGGACAGCCGGCCCAATCCCAACATCAATGGATTTTCAGCCGCCCTGAGCTGTTATCCGTGAGCCTGAACCACAGCAAGGACTTGGCTCCGCGCCGTTTCACATGCTAACCACGTTAACGGAGCAGTATTGTGAGCCAGCTTGCCAGCCAGCTCGACCTGAACACGCTGCACAGTCTCTCGCGCACGTGCAGGCAGTTCCGCGCGAATCTGCTCCAGTACAGAGACCAGCTCATCAGGCACACGCTGCATTGCGAGTTCGAGCATGCGGACCTGGGGGCGCGTCTCGGCTCGCGGCTCAGGGAGGCGGCTACCAACTTTCAGGGCTCGCGTCAATTGACGAGCGGAAGGGTGGGCAAGTGTGCGCGGGACATGGTAGCCGAGTGCCAGCGCTGCGGCACTGTGGTATGCCGGGTATGGTGTTTGAATATGAAGGCTCGAACAAGTGCTGACCGCCGTGCAGAACTGCACCATCAAACCGCCGCCTATGCCGTCCCTGCGAGCCCGCCACCGCCGACTCTGTCGCACCTGCTCCAAGGCTCCTCTGCAGCTCCTGACAGCCTCCAAGCGGCCCCGATCGGCTTCGAGCACAACGCCGTCGCCCCCAGCTTCTCCGAATACGCGTCCAGCCCTGTTCGACGACGACAAGCCCCCAGCTTTCACAGCTCTGGCCTTTGAGAGGACGCCATGTATATGCGATACTGTAGTCTGGCTTTGCCAGCCATGCGGCCAACAACTGAAGACTGCGGACACGATGTACATCCGGGCCTGGACATGGCGGACCCGGTACAGCCACTACCTCGGTGGCGTCGGTACCGGCGCCGGCGAGGGAAACGAGGGAGTAGAATGTGGACGAGGACCGAGCTGTCTGGCAGCCAAGATTGTCGAGCATGAGATCGATTGTGACGCCGAGACACTAGCCAGCATTGAAGGCACAGATCGCTGGAGAGGCACAAGCTATCACGCCCAAGAGATCGAGGGTGTCGGCGGAGTCTTCAAGATGAAAGTCAAGAAGCAGGTTCGCGTCGGCGAGACCGTAAAGATCTACGTGGACGAGAGGAACAGGTCGATCCAGTATTTGGAGCGCGAAGTAGGCGGTAAGCTGAGGAGCTGGTGTTCTTGGTGCGAGAGGGTGGTCCCTGGGGAGAAGGACAAGGCTTTCGCTGCTGGCGAGAGGCCACCGTCGAGCGGATCGAGTTCAGCTTCATCCACGAAGTGACCAAGTGCGCTTCACTTCAGCTACATATTAGGGTGTACATAGAGGCGCAGGTATTTGTCGCTTGCGACTATGCATCAGCGATGGCGCCCAATTGATTTGGGAATAGTAGTAGGTACACAAGGGCCACCTATCGCAATACTCCCTGCCTGATAACCTAAGCGGAAACCTTACAAAACGGTCACGTTTCTCTCCCCCTGTAACTTTTTATAGAATATCTTGGAGAAGCTTTGTAAAAGGAAAAATGCACGTGTAAAATATAAGAGTGTCTACTTTTAAACCCTTTACTGCGTTCTTTTACCTGATTACGAAATTGCTTGCTTACGTGATCCGACACAAAATATTGCGATGGGGCTGGCTTCCGTCACGCAGCGCTCCACCCAAACTCAAACCCATCTGCACCGTTGATCTCCCGCCCTCACCATAATCTATCTTCAAGGCCTACTAATTTAAGGCGGCCTTATCCGCTCTCTTCGTCAGAAGCTACCTACCCGCCTCTCATCGTATAGCTGTCGGTCGCTTACACGCGTTTCTCACGCGTGTGGCCTTGATCAGTAAGTCACCAAGTCCGCTTCTCGATCCGTTCTCATGCTGATGGCGTATGATAGGCATTTCACATTGTCATCACCTACAAGTGGTCGCATCGTAACTTAAGCGACTCCAAGGTCAGAGACATGGCAGCGTCCGAGGCCAAAGAGCCAGCCACGTTGCTTTCACTCCCGAATGAACTCCAGGCCATGATCTTGGAGCCGCTACTGTGTTTCGAAGACCCAGTAAAGGTCCTCAGTAGATGGGACAGACGAAGGATGGGCATCCGCGTTGGATTGGGAAAACAGCCGCGTATGAATATTCTGCTCTCATGCAAACAGCTCCGCGATGTCGGTCTGGATCTTCTTTACTGTCGCAATACTTTCCGGCTGGTGGCGAAAGCCTCTTCCTGCGACAACCCGCAGTGGATCTGGGAGATCGGCTTGAGAAACTTGGCCAAACTCACGTCTCTGACCCTAGTCCTCAGCATGGCCAAAAGTTTCGATATGAATGGCTCTGATGAGTGTCCAATTGCCCGTCGAGTCGAGCACCACGTCCAGCGCGCGAATCTCCTAAAGGGATGGATCAACGGGATCTCGTTAATATCGTTCACTTCAAAGCTGCGACACCTGGAGATAACGCTGCCCACTCAAGGATACCATGCAGATAATATCATCTCCATGGTCACCTTTTTGAGGAGCGTGTGCTTAATGAAGACCCTTCAATCTTTCCGCCTGATTGGGGGTGATCTCAACTTCGCGAGGGATATTCCTGGATTAATTCTGTTATATCTGAATCGCCGACTCCGCATTCCTATCAAGCACCCTCGGCTTCAGTGCTACTTCTTGGGACTCAGGGACGGGATCTTGCAGCTCGAAGAGGAAATGGAGTCAACGAGGTTGCTGATCATCGAGTCGTCGTCTCGTACAACATCGTCAATCCCAGAGCTTCCCTCATCGTTTGCAGACACCGACTGGATTGAGCCTAGCGAAGACCGCGTTCAATGCCATACGTCTCGCCTTTTTTATTTGTTCGCCATACCGGCCGGCGAGTTTGACGACCCTCGGCATTACCAACTCACTTCTGATCCCGCCCGTGGCAACGACCAGTACCTCCCGGTTCTCTTCCGTGGCCTCAATCTCTTCACCGCACAGAAAGAGCTTCACTCCGGCAAGTTCTGGCCGCAGGTTAATTTCCACAAGCGCGAGTTCGAGATCCTTGGACAGAAGCGTCAGTTCCTCATCGAGTTCTGGGAGGAGTTGAAATTGCTCGGGATTCTAAGGAAGAAGAAGAAGGTTGAGAGCGATGCGCGAAATGCCGGTTAGGCTATTGGACGAAAGAGCAATCTACTCCCGGGGGCTTACGCTGCTTCGAACATTGATGCGAGGGTGCGTTGTGGCCATTTGCAGCCTCGAGCAGCTCCTTATCTTGAACAAGGAGCTCTTGCTGGACGCTGAAGTGCTTAGGGATTATCCGGATTCATTTGCGTGCGTAGAAAATGCATTGCTTGGGTCAACCTTGGCCAAAGGACCCTGGATGCGCATCACGCGTTGGCATTTCTGGGGCGTAGTTTCGGAAAAGACGAGCCCATGAGTTCGGAATTGGGTTCGGAATATCCAGACTCTCGCACGGCTTCCAAAGAAAATTTTACCAACCTTTGTCTGAATCGCCGGCAAACGAATCCGGCTAGGCTACCACACAAGGCGGCGGTTTTCAAAAGCGCGGCCGATAGAGCAAACAGAGACGCTTCCCTTCCATTCGAGAGATGTCTCGCAGTTTGAGAGGCTACACACCCTTTGTCTTTGCGTCAGTTCTAGCATCTGTCTCAGACTGCACAAACACGACTCTAGTCTCACCTCGCCTACATAAACACCACTCTGCATCTTCCAAGCTATCATTCATCCGCTCCATCTATTCTCTTCAAAGTCAGTAAGCATGGCAGACGAACAACCCAACAACACCCACGAGGACGACGTAGAGGTAATGGACCAGCTGTTGCGGCGAATCGACGAATTGGGCGAGGAGCTCAAAGATGCAAGAAAGCAAGAGGAGATCCTTCAACACCATGTAGCAGATCTCGAGAACGAAGTCGGCGAACTGAGAGCCAACAACAACGCACTTCCACTCGGCCGAACACCACCCAATAACACTGGATCGCCATCCAACTGCGTCATGTGTGGCGCTCCTCTCGCAACCTCTGCTCCTCCTGCCTCTGCACCACCAGATATCCAACGTGAGGTCAAGGATCTCCGCCGCCAGGTCGCAGATCTCCAACGCGATCTCGCAGAACTCCACGCCAAACGCAATCGCTGCTCGGAGAAACTTCAGACATGCCACGAAAATGAGCTGGAGAATGAGAGCAAAATCGACTTTATGGAAGGTCACATCGAGTATCTGCAAGACCGCGTGAGAGAAGAGGAGAAGAAGAGGAAAGCGCTGGAGCAACAGCACGACGACGATTGCGAGAAGAGGTGCAGAGAGCTGAAGAGGAGGCTGCAGGTCTTGGTGAACGGCATCCAGGTGCATGGGGAAGCGGTTAGGCTGGCTGCTATGGAGGCTTTGGCGGATTTGCCGGACTGCGGAGGAGGAGACGCGAGTGAAGGCGAAGAGCGGGTTGAAGCGCAGGATGGACACGCGCAGGACGATGGTCATGAACTGCACGAAGACGAGGACGACTCGCCCTCCCACAGCGACGACGACAGCGAGTACACTGTGACTGACCCTCCTACCATCTCAGCCGAACGCGAAGAAGACCCAGCGCAGACAAGTGCCACAAACAACACAGGAGACCCTCCCAATCCAGAATACGCAGACCAAGAACCCCCATTCGACAACTTCGACCTCTACTGCGACGCGGACGGGCGAGCTCTCCCAGAAACTCCAGTCCCGTTCGTGAGACGCGATTCTCAAGATGTCGCTGCACACTCCTCCTCCTCCTCATCGCCAGCTCACGTGGCAGAAACCACAGCGAGTAATCGGGATGAGGATGCAGGGTCTGGCCAGCGGATAGCTTCACTGGACCCATTGAGCGATTCTGCAGAGGGGAGAAGTGCCGCCGCTGAAACAGAAAATGAGAATCACGGTGCCGTGCCGGTTAGCTCACAGGATTCACGGGATGACGAGGTGATGAGGTTGGCGCAGGAGTTCGGCGGCGAGGATGCGATTGTGCAGGTGCTCAGCTCGTGGAGGCCTAACGAGGGGGACGACGGAGAGGGAGCGCTGAGGCAAGGTACGGAGGTGGACGATGGCGGAAATAATGAAGGAGGCCGAGGTTCAGGTGAGGAGGAGAAGGGGGGACACAAGAGGTGGTAGCCGTTGGCTTTCATGTCTGACGACCTTGAACGGTGAGGCTAGAGCGAAGGCAATTCGTGCAGTCTCCTTGGATAGCTCCGTGAAGCATACGGACGAATAGAAGCATTCTTCAATACGGCAAAATCTTTTTCATGTTTGCATTTGCCTCCAACTTCTCTTCAAAACAACACAAGACGTACTTCGTCTTGCCGCTTCGGTAAGACAGCGATGCGGAACGAAATCGATGTCAGCTTTCGGGGATAAGTAACGTTACGTTTTTGTAAGGAATGAAGAAGAATATATCTATTGATCAGCACTATACATCGTTCCCACGCCCTACCCATTAGCAAGAATTAACAACATCAGAAACCCTCCCAACCCACCGCTACGCGCTCCCCTCCATCAGCACTCCATCACCTCCTCCCCGCCAACACACCCACCAAATCCCTCGCCCAGCCCACCATCGTATCCCCCGCATACCCCACATGACTCCCCTCCAGCAACGTAACATTCAACCCAAACCTCTCCGCCATAACCACATTACTCCGATACTGCGCACCCTCCGCGCTCGTCGTACTCCCACACGCCAGCACCAACTTCTCCTTCCTGCCCCCGGCGCCCAGCGCATCCAAATCCCACTCCTTGAGCGGATACTGCAGCACCTCCCGCTCAAACCAGTACTGCAGATTCCCACTCACAAACGGCGACTCGCGCGCATCGATCGAAAAGCCAGAGACGCTATCCGTGCCCGGGTTGAACGAGGCGCTGGGATCGTACAGCGTGAGGAATTTCAGCAGCGCGGCGGGGATGCCGAGCGCGCGGTAGACGGCGTAGACGTCGCGCTGGCCGGCGACGAGGGCCGCGACGTCGGGGAGGATGGTGAGCGCGGGGGGTTCGTGGGGGATGAGCGTTTTGAGGGCGGCGGGGTACATAAGCAGGAGCTGCATCGCGACGAGGGCGCCGGAGGAGGTTCCGAGGACTGTGGCGGGCGTGCCCGGGGAGAGATGGTCGAGCAGTTGTTTTGCGTCGGTGGCGTCGGTTTCAAGGCGCAGCGTGTAGTTCTGCACGGCGGTGGGCGAGAGGTAGGAGCGCGAGAAGCCGCGGCGGTCGTAGATGGCGACGGTGTAGTTGGCGGCGAGGAGTTTGGCTACGGGCCGCCAGATGTCGGCGTCGCCGTTTGCGCCGGAGATGAAGAGGAGGAGGGGACCTGTGCCATAGGTTTCGTAGTAGAGGGATGCGGAGGGGACGGTGAGGTAGCCGGTTGTTTGGACGGAGGATTGGGCGAGGGCGGGGGGGAAGTGGAATGGCGTGATGGCTAGCAAGGAGAAGGCGAGGAGACGTGAGAAAGACATGCTTCGTAGCCAGATGTCACAGAGTCAAACCTGGTTGACGATACAGGTCGGTTCCAACCTCGTACGCCAGAGGTCAGCTCAGTTCTTATACGCATCCTCCATTGCCGCAAGCGTCTGCGCCCCTAATTCCAATACGAACCTTTGCGCGAACATCACCATTATTTTTGCTAAGCGGGGCCCCGGATCTTGTTTTCTTCGCCAGAGTTTTCGACTCTAGTATACCGCGGTCCTGAAAGTCCCCCAGCTTTCTCGCGGGATGAACCAAAATAGGTTTAGCGTGACCGCATCCTTGACCGTACCTGCATATGCACCCCTCTTTTAGCCGACTATTGTATATGTATGTAGTGTCGGCTACATCGCGCCCGATGCTCCGAGAATGTCGCGTTCATAACCCACAAAGGTATTTAGTCCACTGAGAAACCGATATTAAAGTACAGAATGAGCGGATCGTTCCTTTATGTTCAGCCGCGTCAGGCGCGGAAATCTATCGCTCGTGAGTATGCGCAGCACTCGTTCTTTGCATCCTTTACCCATCTCCACTAGAGGCCATCATACAGGTGCATTGCCCCCGGCGTTGATAATGAGCGTGAGTTCTCGCCAAACACATCCGACTTAGATTCAGAGCAAGGTGTCAGTCAGCCACTAGGGCCCGCAGTGGCGCTCTCATCCACGTGAATATGCCATGGAGATGTCGAACAAGCGATGAGTGCTAAAGAGCGTTGCAGTTTGCAAGAGATGTGAAGACGAGGAAAGGAAAGAGGACGAAGAGGGAGAGTGGGTGGTCGGTGATGCATGACGTCATCGTTCCGAGAAATCTCTACAGCTAGCGCCCGAGCTAGATTCCAAACATAGCTGACTGACTGAAATCATTGACCTAGCTTTCTAGAACAATATCATCCTCCTACAGAGGCAGATGAAGGAAAACCACGCGAAGTGATGAAAAACCTCCCCTTTTTTGCCTTCCAAATATAGCCACCCTTGGAACGCCATCCACATCTGCAAAGTCGGGTTACCTCACAGCATTCCGACATCTACCGTACTCATCCTGTAGCGACTATCCACAGCCTCTGACGCAGCATCAGGTCCCCCGCTGCACGCCAGCCCAAACAGACATCGACATTGAGAGTAGACTTTCATCATACTGTTAGTGTATGTAATACCCTCAAGCACGGTAATGAGTAGATTATTGACTTTTTACTTTTCAACACATACCATGCATGGCCTTAGTCTTCAACTCTTCCAGACCGCCGAAACGAAAGCAACATCAGCACCCTCTACACTCCTCACCCCATCAAACCGAAAGTGTGCATCAGCCTCACCAAACAACTTCTCCCAATCTCTCCTCTCCCTCTCCTTCGAATTAAACAGCTCCATCATAGCCAGGTCAAATACCCTACCCCATGTCAGCAACCAGTTCACACGGCGTCACTGTACTTAACCTACCGGACAAGTCCCTCCTGATACCAGCCCGCCGTTCCCAATTCCGGCACCACAAAATCTGAAACAACCACTCTTGCTCCAGTCTTCAACGCCGGAACCAGCGCACGAAGTAGCAGAATGCAGTACTTGTCTGGCCAGTCATGGAACATCCACCGAAAGTGGTAAACATCCGCACCGCGTAACGGCTGCGCCTTGAAGAAATCGTGCGCCATGAAGCTTACACGGTCACCGAGCTCCGCTGGTATCGATTGTCGTGCCTGATTTTCTAAGCTTGCCTGATCCTGGATGACGATTTTCATCTCTGGGAATTGATTTGCAAGAGCCACGGCGGTCGAGCCAGCTGAGCCACCGACGTCGATGAATTGCTTGACGTTGGCCCAGTTGAATGCGTCGCAGAGATGGTGCGGCGCGAGGTCTGCTATGGAGTTGAAATACGTCATCGCGTTGCCGAAACGCGCTGCTCGCTCGGGCTCGTCGGCCAGCATCTCAAAAAGATGCGTGTCCAGGTTATGCGCGAGTGCGTACCCCTGTGTTCAAGTGAGCCGGGTGTCTTTCCGGTAACGCAAGAGATAAGCTGATTACCGAGTGCTGTGGCTCCTGCGAGTTCGGCCACTTGATTAATGCAGGGACGACCTGCTTGCTGTCAGTAATCCAATGCGGGCGTGCGGGGAGGTGGAATGCAGACCTGCGTGGCGGCTGGCCACATCTCCTCGCACGTCATCCCAATCCACTCCATCATCATGGGAGATTCCGCGAGCATCTTCGACGTGGCTGTGTGCGCCAGGTGTTGTTCGTCGGTTTCCTGGAAGAGGTGCTTTGTGACGGCGTACCGCGCGATGCGGCGGAGGGCATCCTCCCCTATTCCACAGCTCTGTGCGAGATTCTTGTAGCTGATACTGCTGTTCGCAGGCACCAGACTCGGCAGCTTAAGTTTGTAAAGCGCATGAAGGTTGACCATATTTGTATGCTGGAATATGTGTTAGCCATACATGACCATCTTTGGGGGAATGGCTCCTCACTGCTAGAACTTGGTTGTGCACATGCAATCTGGGGCCCTGAACGAGGGCCTGCAGGTTTGTTGTGAGCTCCATCAATTCCGCCTGCAAGTTTCTTGCTGGCGCTAGTAAAGCTTCGTTTCTACCAGCATTCGGATCGTGCGAGGGGAGTGCGTAGCCATTCCCACGCAGAACTGCCATGTACTCTTGTGTCTTGGAAGAAATCTCCCGAGCAATTTTCTCCACCTCCGAGAGCTCTTTATCAGAGTTCGTCGCCTGTAGTTCCGCCATCACAGTTCCAAAGAGCTTCTTTAGTTACGGAAAGAGTCGGAGCGAGATTGTGGGTTTGGGTCGATCAATGCACAATGGATGGGCGGAGAGAAGACGCGTCAAAGTTCAAGTTCTTGGTCGCTGTTTAGTCCGCTCGCTTACTACAAAGGCGAATAAGACCTAACCCTTTCTTTTAATAAATCTATAACATTCTAGGCCAACATTAACTAGCTACTTTACCTATTCTCTATTTTAATTGCGTACTAAGGACGTAGGTAGTAAGTTCTTTTATTATATACAATAGAGGACCTAACTAGTCCTTTTTGTGACGGTCCGACTCGGCTCCGACTCGGTGCTTCGGCCCGACTCGGCTCCGCCCAAGTCACATGACCCTGCCTAGCGCCTTGGCATAGGCACCCTGTGTATATAGAGAGCCCTCGGAGCATCCTTCTGCTCCTCACCTTTGGATAGCTGAATTTGACCCAACCTACCCTGCTAGCACCCCTTATCCTTACAGCTCGTGGAGACAGTGCTGCCTGCAGCCGACTTACCCAGCTAGGTGTTCCAGGGGCGCTCACAGCAGTGGAGACCGCGGACCCAGCCCTCACACTTTTAGCTCTGCGTCAGCGATCTAAATCGCAACTAGCAGCAGCTCGTCCCTCCTTACATAACAATGATCGACAGAGGCCTAGCTCGATTAAGTCTGCCGCCGATTTTCCGCTATACCTACAGCAGATGGCTTGCATTCGGCGTGCCCTCGGCGCTATAAGGGATTAGGCGCCCGCGTGGTCATGATGGCTGACCTCAGCAAGAGGCGGGGCGTCCCTGTCTTCCCACGGCCGTACCCACTCCAATAATTCTGGCCAGTCGATGCACTTGTGCACCGTGCCAAATCCTGTCACTCCTCCAAGCTCCTCATCTTTCAATTCAATTGTCAGGTCCGCGTTGCACATCAGGCTCTGACGCAACAAGTCGATACAGTGCCGTATGTGCCCAAGAGTGTGCTCTTGAAGCGCTCGCTTCTCTGCGGGTGCGCCCGCGTTCTTCTCTGCCGCCTGCCCGCTAGTCATTTTCGAGTAGGCAATGACCTGGTCATGGAGAACGTAAAAACCATGCCGCAACTCGTCCTTGCAAAAATATTAGCCATGTTTATCATGCTTACGGAGTGATTTCGGATCCGCAACTAACCAGGCAATGCATTTGGTGAAACACAGAGAAGGCGGATCGCTTCGGTGCGAGTTCTGGGTGCACGAAGAAGCCGCCATGCTTTGGGAAGAGCGACTCCCAGGCGGCATTGGTTGTGTCTGAGGGAGGTTCGCCGAATGTACGGTTGTAGACGAACAGCTTGTCAGTGACTCCAACTATAGAAAGTCAGCGGTCGGCATAGAAAGAGAAAACCGCATTTGACCCACGTCCAAGAGTGCTCTCTGTTGACGTTCCCATCGATTTCTGGCCTACAAAGAAGCTGGCGACCATGAGTAGACAGATTAGGGCGGCCTTCAACAGCCGAAGCAGCCAGGACGAGGTCGCATCCTGAACGGCGCGCGAAGGAGACCCTTCTTCGTCTTTATCATCCTTCACAAGGTCGTATCGGTGCCGCTCGCCCCTGAACCAAGCGAGAATCTGCATCGTGGATAGAGAAAAAAAAATAAGCTCTTCGTGGCTCGCGATGAGATTAAGAGGCAGAAGGCTAAAGAAGGTCCGATAAAAGATCCGAGGCATGATTGGCGGCTATGGTGGCGCCTAGCGCAAACCAATGTAAGCAACCCCCCCCGCGGGTAAGATGGCGAATCGGTGATCTACTCACAGTCTTAATCAACCCGCGAACACTCCCAGTGCACTGAAAGCACGAACATTCAGCGCAGTTGTTGACAAAAGAACGATACATATGAACCGCCGCGACAGCGAAGAGAACGAGAGATTCTTGCCATATCGGGGTGACGAGAAACAGCCATGCCGCTGTCGGCACAAGCGGGCCTTCCTCCTCCATACGATCTTTTTCCTTCTCTACGTCTGCTTCACAGCACTCGTTCTAGTTGGGACGTTGACTTCCGGAGTTGGGGAGAGGCTAGATGCATTGAGTATTCCCCCTTTGTTCCCGATTTTTCAACCATCGCTGACTGGCATGTCCAGCACTCACGGGAGAATATCTCAGAACCCGCCGCCAGCGCTTTTCGTTAGCTGAAGAAAGCCCTTATGCCGGACCTCCAAGTACCAAAATCGACCAGGCGTGGAGCGACCTCCTCGAGCATGTCAACATACATGCCTCTGACGCTGAGCTTGCGGAGGCGAACCAAACGTCCGTTGCGCTCCCCAACGGGCAGGGCTCCTTGGTGTGGATGGACGTCAGCCACCAGCTGCACTGCGTGGTACGTTACGGTTTCCACATCGGAGGTGCTTGGTTGACCATGACCCCTGCCCAGAAATACTTACGCCAATGGATCTACCGCGATCACTACCACCCTAACGTAGGGCCTGACGAGGAGCCGCACTGGCTATTGCACACAGATCACTGCCTTGACCTGATCCGCCAGGCCTTGATGTGCCGTGCCGACACGTCATTAATGACGTTCGAATGGGCAGCCGGGAGGCGGGAGCCGATGCTCAAGCTGCAGTCGCCTGAGCACGCCTGCGTGGACTGGGAGGACCTGATGGACAAGGTGCGGGCCCGCAGGGTCAGCCATGCGGACATGGCACTGCTAGCAAACCCGGCCCTGGGCCCAGATAGTAGATAGTGGTGCGTCATTAGGCGGGCTGCGGGCATGAGGGATGGGTTGTCGTCGGTCGCCTAAGTCCGAATCGGGCGCTAGCGTCGATCATCTTTACCTAATGCGGTTAACATGCATGCCCCCGAAGCCCTTCTTTCTTGTGACCGCATTGCCATGCTCGACGGGATAACCACAGAACATTACTTCCTGTACTCAGGTCAATGGGGCTGAACCCAAATCCATCATGGCGCTCTGGAAATCGCCATTGTCCTATCCTTTGGAGCAAATCGACCATGAAAGACTACGGCGAAAGGCATTCTCCTGAAGAAACCGAGCCTCTTCATAATGATTCCACTGAACCACTAGCGCAAACCAGGCATACGTCAAGAAAGCTAATCGCAGTCGTTGCCCTGCTCGTTGCGTCTGCGGCGTTGAACGTTAGCCTCCTCTATGCCATTCTTCGAAAGCAGGACTCGCGTCATGAACAAAATGTCTCTCCATATGGTATGCTTTCTCCTAATTTATACATTACTTCTACCCAAAAATTAACTATTGCATCAGCACACCTCCCACGAGACATTCCCGTCAAGTACAATTCGCACTCCCCCTTCGGCCTAGGAAGCGTCACCGAAAAAGACCGGGCACTGGCCTGGGAGAGTCTCGACACAAGCGCAGGAGAAATCAGCCTAGACAAGGCATGGGCAGACGCACACAACCTCCCCAAATCAACGCCCTTTTTCTGGGACAAAGACCGACAGATCTATCTCCTCAACGCACACCACAGCCTGCACTGCATGGTAAATGCCCCCCAAAACCCTCATACACGCACACTCCTCACACAGACCCAGCGCAAAGTCCGCCGCGCCTTGACCCTTTACAACTACAACCGCCCGCAGCTCGACTCTTACCCCCACCTAGTACACTGTACGGACCACCTCGTCCAGAATATCATCTGCGAGGCCGACGACACGCCCTTCTACACCTCGCCCACCGCTAACATTACCACGGGGCTCGGTCAGGTGCGCATGTGCCGTAGTTGGGACCGGCTGACGGAGTGGGCGAACGAGCAGACGGCGTGCTTCGGGTACATTAATGAGACGCAGGGTGTGGGGGCTGTGATTGAGCGGTTTAGATATTGTCCAAAGGGCAGCCCGATGTTAGGGCCAATGCGTGAGTATTTTGGGTATGCGGGGGACTGGTTTGAGGAGAGGCCGAGGGATATAGATACCATGCCGAGGTATTGGGAGGGATTAGATGAGGGCGGGCGGACATGAATGTAGAGTATTCCGAGGCTTTTTTGGTGAACATAATCTCACGTTGGCCACATCTTTAATCTGGTTCAAACGCGTCTCTTTGCAATTCACCCACAGTCAATCCAAGTGCGCGTCGACGTCCGACAAGCCCTTCGCGAGTGCATCAGACACCGCCAACCAACTAGACCCCAACCCAAAGCGCACCCTCAATACATCCGGCCCATTTCCTCTCCAGGCAAGTATGCATTTCAGGCGTCCCGCCCCCATTCTCGCCCCGACTAGCGCGAGTAGGACCGTAACGCAAAACCAAAAAAACCAGGGCTAATCAGGATAGCCAGATCCTTATGACGTCCTTCTCCACCTCATACGCCACCCCAGCCCTGAGCCCACATGGAGATCTTCCGCCCAAACAGCAAGGCTCACCACATCTCACCAAGTATCTGCACCTCGCACCGCAAAGCAGCTAGCCTACGACGCAGCATCAGTAGCGTTTCCATCCCCACACCATGCAAGCCCCGTTCTACCCTCTCCTTCCTCACCTCCAGCCTCCACATCCAAACCTCCAAACCCCCAACACAAACCAACCCATCTCCACCACCAGCAGCCTTTTCCCATAACCGCCATGCGCTTCACCATCCCCCTCGCTCTCCTCACCCTCCTCGCCCCGAGTATCTGTGCCCCCATGCCCACAAACAACGGTACCCGCGCCATCGCCCTCATTTCGTCCCCCATCTAACGTCCCTAGACCTCGGCCGCTCAGTCACGATCACCAGCGAGGACCCAGACCAGGACGACACGGTTATATACCCCGACTACCGACGCGCAGTGACAGTGACGAGTGCGAATCCGGACGAGGACGACACGGTTATCTACCCCGACTACCGGCGCTCGGTGACCGTCCACAGCGAGGGCGACGAGGACGACACGGTTATCTATCCGGACTACTGAGCGCGTCGCAGCGGGGTGGGTCCACTCTTCACAGGAGCTAGAATCGTGTTGGAGAAGATGGAGAACCGAACCGGTACGAGGGCTATTGGGATGAAATTCGAGAATGTAAATAGCTGGAGTTTGGTTGATTAGGCAGAGTACCTAGGTAATGCCGGGCTTTGGGGTGCAGTGGGGTGCAAGAGCGGCATGAATGGTAGGAGGTAGACCTTCGCTGATTGCAGCCTTTGTTTAGAATAAAAAAATCCGTGTCTGTAGTTTTCGAGGTGTGTTGTGTGTGATATGACGCAAAACCCCATATTGTTTAATCGACTCGTAGCCCGGTTCGCCATTCATCGGTGCGCGCTCCAGTGGGCAAACCTTTCTCCTGCCCTTCTTCCTCTCTTCTATTCACCTCTCTTCCATCCTCTAGTCGATGACACCGTCACCCATCCCTTACACCGAACCCAACACGTACATGGACACACCCTCTTCGGCAGGTGCACGAAATTTTGGTGGAGATGCGGTCCGAGCGTGCTAGCTCTTTTATCTCCTGACTACCTCCGGAGCAGGGCTGATCTGAAGCGGGACTGAATAAGCGGATCGTTGCGGGAGAAGCTTCCATGCAAGAGCTGTAGGATACGGGACTGAATTCCCTCCTCGCTCGGCGGAATACCAAGAGAAGGATCGCACGACAAACACCAAGCCGGTGGCTATCCCAGAGATCTCGTCCGCTAAACATATCTGACTTTGAGAGGATGCAATAATGAAGACGGCAAGCGATGCAGGCTTTGAGATGGCGAGGCGCATCCAACGTGGACAATGAACGGGAAAGAAGATAAGTCCATGAGCACTGAGCCGCGTGAGTAAAAGTTGTTGTGAATACTGAAGCTCGCCTACCGTTCACCCTAAGCTCATGCGGAGAATCATCATATCCCGCAATGGCCACGAAGATAACGATCCTCTGGGCCAAACCATCCTGAAGCTCGCTCTTGTAAAAATATCAAACCAAAACAAGCCAATATCCCTTCCGTACCAAAACGCCAGAAACGCCATCCCTCTCCCGCTTTACCCATATCTCGTCCCTATCTCCCTGCCCGCACATTATACGGACTCTCCTCCGCGGCCCTATATCCATCCAACGAAAGCAGGCTGATAAAGTACAGCGCGACAAAGCGCACAACCATATCCGCCAGCCCTCCATTGCCCGCCATCATCCCCTGCAGGCCCGCGAAGCCACCATTGTTGACCGGCCTGCTAGGCGCCGACGCAGAGCCCAGCGTGTATCCTTTGGACTGGAAGTTCGCGCCCCGTGCGGCAGGAGTGGAGGAAGCGTCGTTAACGGCTTTGCGGACGGCGGTGGTTAGGGCGGAGGGGTTCGCGCCGCGGATCGTTTCGACGACGGAGTTGTTCTTTATGACGAGGAAGGTCGGCATACTTTTCAACTGTTAGCCTCTGTTGCCCTCCCAAGATGCCATCTTGTAGTTCCGCGCTGGGCATACGTACGCGCTAACGCCATACTTCCGCGCAACGTCCTGCTGACTATCCACATCCACCTTGCAGAACTGGACACGTCCCGGCTTGCTCTCCTTCTCTGCGAGGGCGGCGAATACAGGTGCAATCGTCTTGCAGGGTCCGCACCAGTCGGCGTAGAAGTCGACGATTGTGTAGGTGGAGGACGAGAGGAGTGTGTTGAAGTGCGCGGAGGAAGTTACGGGGATGATTTTGCCGGGGGCCATCGTTATGGAGAGCTTCAGTGAACTCGGGAGATTATCGTGAATGTGGTAGAGAAGTGGATTGAACGGGTTGTCGTGAGCTTGATGGGTGGTGGTGGGATGCGGCGGGGCGAGGGAAAGTTAACAGCTTGCGACAAGGATACTGTATTTCCCCACTCAACGCACAGACCCCACTCAACGCACAGTTTGAGGATGGCCATCACCACTACTTTTGAAGCTGTACAGCCCTATATAGATCTAATTATCACGAGATTTTTTAGAGGAGCATTCTTGAACGCTTGTTTGATTGATTGGCAACGACAAATTACGTGCGATACCTCTGTGGGAGGCGTACTTTGCGAGTGCGCGTTGATGGGCCGGATGCCTCCACCACCCCTTCAATGACCGATAGATCCTCAACATCAACCTCTGGCTCCTCAATAACACGAGCAGGAGGTGCAGGAGCCTTGAGGTTACGCGCCTTACCCTTTCTAGCCAATTGTATATCAGTCCTAAGTTGCTTTTCGGCTGCGCGCGCAAGTAGGGCTTCTTCGCGCTCTGCGGCCTTCTGCTGTTTTTCTTGCAACTTGATCTCCTGTGTAGCTATCCTTTTCTGCGCCCTTTACTCAAGCATAGCCTGTTTCTCCTGCTTTTTCTGCTCCTTAGCTAGCTTATCGCAATCCTTTTGGTGTTGTAGTTCTTCTGCTTTGGCGTCTTTTTGGGCTTGGCGATTGCGGGCAGCTTCAACTTTAGATAGCAACTAGAAGACGGCGCCGCCAGCGTAATCCTTGGAGGGTTCGAGTAGTAATGCCTTGCCACGCTTACGGCGCTTCTTCTCATTAATAAGGGCATCTCTGAGGCAATTATTTTCATGCTAGAGGAGCTGTTTTTGAGTCGCTATCGCGTGTATCGTGTGAGAAAGCTGCGAGGCGCGTTTATCGTAGATATTCTCAACTACCTCTCGCAGGAGTCGTTCAATTTTACGCCAATCGCTTGCAGAGAGTACTGACGACGTACTATCGCTGCTTGATAGCCTCTTAGGCTCTGGATCCTTGAATTTCTTCAATATAGCGTTGCTATCCAGCGGAGAGATGCCAGTGACTTCAAAGGCGTTGATGATCGTTTCTTCGGCGAACGCGATCCTATATGCCCTATAGAAGAAGCGGAAGAAGTCGCGCTTGGTGATAGATGTGAGTCCCTGGTTGTTGTATATATATTCGCTGAGCTCTTTCGTATATGCAGCTGAAAGAGGCTTGAAAAGGCAGACATCTAGAGGCTGTAGCGTATGGGTTGAATGCGGCGGGTAGATAGCCAGGAGGATTCGATTTCGATCGCAGAACTCAATAAACTTCATAGTAATATGTGAGCCATGCCCATCAAGGATTAGGAGCCGATAATCGCGCTTTGCCTTCTTCTTCGTCTCCTCTTGAAAGCACCTCTTGAGCCAGGCAATCCCGAGTTCGTTGTTTGTCCATCCAGATGGCGATGAGGCGAAGAAGGCCTGGTGCTCTTGAGGATCAAAATCCTGCAACCATGTATCCTGGATATTGCCAGAAGCCGCCTGATATATCAGGGCAGGATTGAGAGAGCTGCCGTCGGCGCATATACAAGCTATCGTCGTTATCCACTCCCTGTTGCCGTCCTGGAGTACCTGCTTAACGCCTCCTTGATTATATCGCTGTCGGGAGAACACGCGCTTCATTTTTGACACCACCCCGATCAAGAAGCCCTTCTCATCCATGTTGTATGTATTTGACGGCGCGATATCGTACTGCTTGATCTTATCGTCTAAAAGCTTGAAATAGAGAGCGTATTTGAAGGCTGAATCAGCTTTGTGGCGCTGGTTATCGATGCCGGATGTCCATCGCGATACAAGGTCAATTTGATGCCGCGCAATATAGCGATCAACCCAGTGTTTTCCAGGCTCTTGATGGGCTATTTCTGCTGCGAAATTTCGTATCATCTCTCTTGTAGGGGGTAGGCCTCGTACACACAGCTTATCAATATACTGCAGGAGCTGTTTTTCCTGTATGGTGTTGAGGAGTCGCTTTTTCTCAGCCCGTGATGTATTGGTGCCCTGAACCCCGCGATAACGCTTCGAGAGCCGCGACCGCTCAACGCCGTACTCCCGAGCAACCTGGGATATATTAGGAGGTCCTCCCAGCTCTAGGGATTTTAAAGCTTCAACAGCTGCGTCAATCGGGTCCATATTGGTGGAGTTATGAGGTGTTGAAAATATACGCGTTTTGGTGTTGACTGTGCGTTGAGTGGGGTCTGTGCGTTGAGTGGGGAAATACAGTAGAGGTGTAGATGCCGAAGAAATGCCGATTGGCTGTCACGAAGCTTTGCACAATCACATCAGCGGTACTCACATTACGCACTTAGGAAGGAACGTGTAGAGGAAATACCATGGAGTTTCGCTCCATGCGTCACGTTAAGACAGATTGAATATCAAGCTCTTGTATATGATAAAACGTAAACTTTAAGCCATGTCTCTCCTCGACCTGACGCAGCACATGGAATGCGAAAGACATTCATACTATACCTAGAACCCTTATACAGATGTGAAATGAACGATTAACTCATGCAGATTCTCAACGCAAGCAAAAGTGGGTATGCTGTGCTGAACCGTGATGAGCGGATCTAAAACAGAAGTGGAGGAGGCGAAAGTCATAGTAGGCTGATGATCCGTTCCTGCCTCAAGAGGGCTTAGAGGGTGACGTTGATGCGTCGGCTCGCAACTTATCCGTAAGCGCTTGAATGCTCGCGAATTTCGGATTGATCTCCTCCATGGGCTTCGAAAGCGCAGGGTGAGCTTGTGCCTCACTCACAGCAGTGGACTCTGCCTCGGGGATTGTAGACTTCTTGGGGGGTCTGGCACGCTTCTTCTTTGAAGTAGCCTCCTGTTCTTCGTTCGCGTCATCCAATTTGTCAGCGGTGCGCTTCTTTCGGGGCTTCCGCTTTGGCTCGGCTGCCTCCTTGCTCCCCTGCTCCTCGTCATCCTCTTGAGCGACGACCTTCTTCTTTCTCGGAGCCCTAGGCTGCTTAGGTGCGGAATCTGGCGCCAACTTCGGTGGCTGGATCGCTTGGCCAGTTTCTAGCGACTGAAGAACAACGACCTTGTACTCCTCCGGAAGGTTTTCGAGGCCATCCAACAGTCCTTGTTCGCAGAGTTCTTTGACCGCGTTGATATCGAACTTCGAGATGCATTTCCTACTGACATCAGCTTCATCCCCAGTGCGGTATTGGTAAGGCTCACCAATGCTTATACTGCCAACTCATATGCTCTCCGATGAATGGTATGGCAAAGCCCAAGCGCAGCTCACCCTTTGGGATCTTGATGCCCTTCTCCTTGCATGCGGGATTGCGGCAGCCGGCGGTACCCCTGCCGGTGACTTCGACCTTGTACCCGACAGCGTTCCTAATCTCCCCGTCGGCATCACCCACGAACTTGGCCAAATCCGGGCGGATGTCCTTCCACTCCGTGTCTACAACTCTGCCCTCGTCAAGCGCGAGCCTCACCTGCTCCTGGCTCTCGGGGCTGATGGTGGAGTAGCCGGGAGCGCTCTCGGGGTCGCGGGCAAAGAGCGTCTTGAGTCCTTCGATCTGCTTCGAAGTGGCGCATCCCCTGTTCAATGTCAGCTGGCGGTTTGGGTGGCAATCTTCTACTGAGGAAATGATGAGATGAAAAGAACAGGACTAGCGGAAGCCAGTTTAGGACAGAGAGAAGCACTCACCAATGCCTCCACATATAGATGTACTTCTCTTCTTGTTCGAACCATTGATGCGTGCCAATGCGCAGCTCGCCCTTCGCAATCTTGACGCCCGCCGGCTTGCACGCTGCGTGCTGGCACCCTGCCTTGTCGGACACGGAGTGTTCCACGCGATACTTGGGTGCGTCGTCGCCCTTCGACGTGTGGTTGGTTTGAGTTAGGGTTTGGGTCTTGGACCCTTGGGTCATCGTAGTGGTGAGCACCATGGCGACAGCGGATGTTGTAATTGCTTCGGATAATGGCGACGATGGCAATGACAGATGGAGGCAGAAGTAAAGTAATTGAAATCAAAGTTGTGGTGAGATGCCTGAAGTGAACACGCGACCGCCTTTTGGAGGAGGAAGTCGCGGGTCTTGGCAGCCGTCACAATGAAAGCGCGACAACGCCACAATGGTGAAGTTGAAAGACAAACTTAGGAACACGGTAAAAGGTATACTTTGAATGAGACAAAGAATCCTCGCTATCATGGCCATTTTGCTCCCCAGCCGCGCATGCACCTGGCAACGCCGCGGAAGAGTCGTCGGGGTTGTGCTTTACACCACAAAGGCAGGTGGCCGCCCAGCCGCATTCCGTCTCTTCTCCTTTGATATGTCACCTACAGTCTATTCACTCCAAGCTAAGGGACACAGCTAAAAGCTAGTGGGCGGGTGAGAGTGAAAGAGGTCCGGAGTCTCCCCGCGCTCAACGTTGTTTCGTCCCCGCTTTGCCCTCTTAGTGGTCCGTGCGGTTTAGCTCTCGTTTTCAACTCTAGTCACGGCGAACAGCCATCACTCCACCATCTTCAAAGACCGATTTCATCCGGCTCTTCCTCCGACGTATACATCGCATCTCAGCCGGCACTTAAGCTCCTATAGGGCGCAAGGTGCGATGGATACTTTCCCCCACCCTAGCAGGCCGTTCCGCAGAGACTCCACAATGCTTCACGGGAGTCATCGCCGTATGGTATCGGCATCCCAAACTCTTCCGGATCGATGAATTTGTAAGACATACGGGGATTGTTACACCGTTTCCTCGCACTGCTGTGCCTCGCAATCCTCCGCCCCGAACGGCAATACCTGGAAGAACCGATCCTCCCGCGATGCTCAGCGCGCGTCAGGTCAGAAACCGTCACGCTCTTTCGCATTTTCGGCCTTTTTCTGGGATTTGTCGATAAGCTTCCACACTAGCCTAGTCTAGCTGAGAGGCAGAAGCTTCGCGGGTGGCCTCTCGTGGAGCTGATCTTCTCGCATTTTATGCCGACCATGATTGGAGGTAGATATAAGGTCCACGGCCTCCCCCCAAATTTACAGCGATGCATCGATTCTGTGAGCATGAACCTACCGAACGGTACGAAGGAGCTCCTCGAAAAAGTCCACCGCCTCGGCCAAGAGCACCGCCACGACGACGATGCCTCGCGCAGGAACCTCCTCCGTGAAGTCAACAAGCTCTCTCTCGCGCTCGAAACACCAGCCGAAGCCGTTCTTCGCATAGCATGGGTGCAAAACGCTACTCAAGCAACCGTCCGAGTCGCGACGGATCTCAACATCTTCCACCATCTTTCCGGTGGACCAAAAGGCAGTGCAGACCTGGCCGCCCTGACTGGTGCAGAACAAACGCTCATTATCCGAATCATGAACCAGTTGACCGCCGTAGGCGTCGTAGCCCAAATTTCGTCGGATATTTTCGCCACAACGTCGCTCTCGCAGGCCCTGACTAAGTCTTCATTCAGCGCAGCGGTGCCCTGCCTGTATTTCCTCATCTCCGAGCATTGCCATGCGACTCGCTAATGGTGCCTCAGTGCAGCAGCCCAGGGCCCTGCTCTCCGTGCTACACCCGACTTCTTGAGAAAGCATGGCTACACGGACCCGGTCGATACCAATAACTGCCTTTTCCAGGCTGGTGTAGATACGGACCTACAGTTTCTTCAATATCTTACCGCAAATCCGAATGTGGGCGACATTGGACCGAATTCTACCCGGTGGCGAGGCTTGCGGAGGGGCTGAATAGGGACAAGAATGTGACATTGCTGGTTGATGTATGAGGCGGACTCTCAAGGTGCAGAAAACGTCGGATATAAGCGAAAAGGTCTCAACGCCGTATATTTCTACATATATACCATCCCTCCCTGCATGGCGAGACGCTCCTCGTGCTAAGGTATATAAGAGGTACTTTAACTTCAACTTACGTTCTATATATATACTAATATTTACTATAATTCTATATAAATTATTGCATAGCGAAGAATGCAAGGCACACTGCTAGGAGTTTAAATATCAGTCGATGATCAACCTACCTCACAAGTTAGCATAAACGTTTATAGGGAAGGCTGAGGTCAACTTCTATCCTTACCGCGCTCACACCTTTCTACAACAGTTTCTCTTCCAAGTATTAGACACTAGGCGTGCCTAGAGAGCCCCACCATCCTTATCGGAACGGAGCCTGGTTGGAATCTGTCCCGCTCTCTCGGCATCTCCCGTATGAAGGACCGTCGAGAAGAATTAGAGCGGTTACGAGCTCGTTTTGGGAAATGCGTCTCCGTGTTACCCTTAAAACGGGTATTGGTGATGCGCTGGACCTAGAGAAATAAACAGCGAGACTTAGTTTGGGCAACAAGTTGAGGCCTCGCGATGCCGAAGACCCATGCCTTCTCTGTGGTAATCGGCGATGAGCATCCCATGATTGGATGACGCCTTGATAGACGAGGCTGATGGAAAAGGCGAACGAGGCAGCAACCAGCGAATATGCAAGCCCCGCACACGATGCGCCACCACCTTCTACAGCCTCTCCGGTGGCCATAATCGCGAACTTTGGATCGATCCCGAGTTCCTCGTCTTATCCGACAAATATCTGGAAACGACTATAGCACGTACCACGGTCAAGATGCCATTTGACAGCCAGTTCGCACTCAGCATGGAGATTACGCGGTTGGTCCCGCTGGGGGGCGTCATCAACAAGGCAACGGAGACGGTGATCAAATTCGCAAGAGATCTCCGGGTACGTCCGGCTCTGCCCAAGAGGAAATTCGACAGATCTAACGGCTGGCAGAATACAGGATCGGATATAATGGTCGAAGCAGACCTGGCGGAGTTCTTTGGAAGATGTCGCATCGCCCGACATATGGAATCTTCCTTCCGAACCCTTGTTGCCGTTTCCGGAGGCATCACCGACCTTTGCGATGGGCTGGGGTTGGTTACAACGCCGGGGCCGACGGTGTCGCGGAGCCTTAAACCCGGACAAGAGCATTACCTCTCGACCGTCATCCAATGCTCTCTTCTTGCCTCGGTGAGTGGTCCTAGTCGAATAGGTTCATTTTGTCGACATAAACCGACGCCTGCTTAGGTACACAACACAAGCTCGCTTGCAGGGGCAATTGTCTTTGCCATGGAGCAGAGACGGGACCAGGCTCCCCCCAATGCCGAGTTCCAGTCAGTCCCCGGCCATGCTAATGTCGAAGGAGTCCTCGATGCCTGCCTGGAGCAGACGTCCCGGTTTCGCTGGCTTGACCTGCTCAGTTCTGTTGCCGCGAAACTCGGACTGGAAGAGCACGAAGCAGCGGACCCAATCGGACCAACGACATTTAGAGGCTTGGCCTTGATGTTTCCGCTCGCCCAGACCCTTCCTCAGGACCGAGAGATTGTGGTCGACGGATCGACGGGAACATGCGTCCTGGTTGTGTGGGCTCACCATGTACTGGGTCTCGACGTGGTCGTGAGGATCCCGAAGAGGGATGCACCAGGACAGGGTCTCCGCGACTATAACGATATCTATTTTGGAAACCCACCGGCCACGGTAACGATCAGGGTGCCGCAATCCTTGGATGAAGGGGGCCCTCGTGTCATTCTGCTCGAATCCTCCAGCCCAGAGATTCTTTTCTCCATTCTTCAGGACCCCGACGAGGAGCAAGTCATCACCTCCTCGGCCAAGCGACTAGCTCGTGGAAGTGCCATGCGTGTCCTCGAGGCTGACTGGCAGGCGCGGACCAAGCGGGGAGGCAAGGTGGACATCCAGAAAGGCTGCCTACACGAAATGATGTTGGTTTGCCTTGCCTTGGCTTTTCGCGCATCCCAGCACATCTACAAAATGCTGTGGATAGATGAGTCCTTGACAGCTGGAGAGAATGGTGTTGAGGACGACGTGGCGGATCTAAACCTGACGGATTCGGAGGGCCTTGCGCCCGATTGGTCTCGTTTTCAGATACCGGAGACGAAGCTGTTCGAAGCCGCAAGGTTTCTGTTCGATCAGAAGAACATCTCGCAGGACGAACTGATGGCCTACATTCAAGCTCACCGGATGATCAAGACGTCAGAAATTCCTGAACCATCAACCTATGCTGCTGTCCGTCAACAGTGTCGTATCGATCCGGCTAACTGGAGGTACTACCTGAGGACAATCTCGCGTATGAGCCTCCTGGTGCTAACCTTTGCGCATGTGGCCGATCTCAGCGATGCGAAAAATTTGTTGATCAATCGAGATATTCCTGTTCTCAACCTTGAAGATACATACTTGGAGGAAAAAATCTGGCGATGGGATGGAAAGAAATGCCTACGGATCAGAAGCGATACCTGGTTCCGGACCTATCTCGCGCTCGCAGCCGACAAACTTCCGAACTAGGGCCCGCGTGGGGATAGAGTTGCATCGCTGGTAAGTAGTCGGGGTTGGTCAGCGTACCTGCCAACATTTGGGACGCCCGACCCCTGTGACGTCGGCGAGTGAGATGTCGCCCATGACATGGTCTGGACCAGCTAACTCTACCAACTAGGACCAGGCATATTTTTCGTCAAACATGGAGTCCCCTGCAGGAATGGCGTCAGAAGGCGTCGGATAGTGGATCATATCGTTCCTATCCCCGGGAAGGGCTTTGCTGATGAACGTATGCCGACATATTCGGCTGGCGATCGAGTCAACCTGAGATCCAGAACTCCCACGGCTTTTGGGCGCTCCTTCTGCGGAGAAGAAGGAGATACATTCATGGTCAGTCTGCGTCTGGTCCAAAGATGGGAGGAGGAAAAGACTCTGAGAACTGGATATCGTGGCATGTACGATGCTGCGTGGCAGGTGATGCATACGTCCGAATGCGATCACTTCCCTCTTAGCGACCCAGACGACGATTTCACGCTCCCTTCCCGCACCTGCGCGACCGCCTTGCAATTCCCATTCGAAGCGACCTATGCTCTCAGCACTGCGAGTAAAGTCGTCATCCTACTCACTGCCGACAATCCTGCCGCAAAATGGGCGGCTCTGGCCAAGTTGCGCCAGGATGATCTGTTTCCGGAGGAGACTATCATTATGGCACGAACCAGGACTTGCTGTTGTGTTTGCGCCATCCAAAAGGCGCTCCTTCTTTCCCAGAAGTGCATCCTCCTTCTTTGAAGACGATGAAAATATCCCTTCCCTACTGGTAAGGGGTGGTCAGTCTCAACGATTTTCTGCTGGGGAGCTGATTGGAAGAGGTGGTTGACTTAAATAACGCTCCAATGATCCTTAGCCTGAAGGGGCCACTGGATCTTCCGGTTTGTGGTTCGCGAAAAGATTCTGGAGAGTTGAAGTGGAGATCGAGGTAGAAAATGATCGCGTCACACCACAAGAGATACTTCGCACCTTATACACTGTTAAAAGACGTTTAAATGATTAGAATTAGGTAGTTTCGAGCCTAGGCTAACTCTATGATTGCTCTTCAAATGGGGATTTTTATATTTACGATGAAAATCCTACCTCACGAAGCTGAACTGCCCGAAGTGCAAGAAACCTGATCGTGTTGTGGGTGCAGTGGGCTATAGAAACGCTTCCATTTATCGTGCACGTTCTGGGTGACGAGCGTAACGGCTTCGATTGTGGTACTTGTCTGCATTGGCGCTTTCAATCTCCTGACCTCCGTATGCTTGACGGTCTTCACGGAAGCGCGTAGGAGTCAGGTGTTTGCTGTCTCCGCTGCGTAAGAAAACCTCACGGCTTGACCTACTATGACTTTGGGATGCTAATTCATACAACAGTTTTGCAGCAGTTCAGGTGGTCTTCGTGTCTACCGACAGCAACTCTTAGCATGCAAGGCAACCTTCAAGACGTGGTACCAATGGACGACGACACGGAAGCAAGATGGGCGATGCTCGAGCAGAATTGGATCTTTCTTCTTCTCGGACACCACGCGTGATCAGGCCCTTTCATCCTCGTCAAAGAGCAGATCCACTGGTTAAAAGCGAGGAAAATCACGTTCTCGTCGTTGCTCGGGCAGGTCCATCCGATCCTCTTGAAAGGCTCGGTGTTGGAGCCATAGAAAGATATGTAAGCTGCAATGTACGAGAGAAGCATTTCAGCGCGTCATTGGGGAAGCAGTTTGGACACTTCTTTGCGACGGCATTAGTAGGGATGGGCTACCGGCTAATGCCTCCCATTCCTTGAATAGGGCTGTGAGCCTCGTTGCTTGGCCTATAAAACTGGTTCTCATATCATTGCTCTTTGCTACTTACCTCCAAGCATGCGCTCTCACCGCTTCATCGCCCTTTCACTTCACTCTCATTTTGCCCCCTTCACGAAAGCGGGCCAACTGTCCGTCCCCTTCACCACAGCTACCCCTCTCAAGCTCGCCTTCACCGCGAGCAGTGGCCCGTGCGCCTCCCGAGCCCCGTCTATATAAACCTCTCCCCGTCCTCAAACTCCTTTCCTTTTCTCCTCACCTCGTCTGTGACGCCTGGGTCTCTGCGGAGGCACTGTTGCATGTAGCAGCTATGGTACAACCATCACTCCTCTTCTCTTTTTCGCGCGCCAATCTGTTCCTTCGTCGCTCTTCACACACCGCAACAGCTCATTCCGCGAGGTCACATCCCTCGGCCGTGCGGTCGCATCCCGTCACGGTGGGCTGGCTACCCAGTGGGGTTTTGGCAAATACGGTAGTGCGGTGTGGTCGATACCGACGTTGGGATTCTGCACTTCGTTGTGGGCGTCTGAGTGCCGCGACATGACGACGACGAGATTCGGCAGACGAGCCACAAATCTGCACACAGCTCCCGCTTCGGTATTTGCCGCTACTGGGGATGGCTTGAGCCACTGCGCCCTCGGGTCCGCCGGAGTAGTTGCTGGTCTCGCGGGACTGGTGGCGAAAGGACTGCAGAGTGGTTACGTTATGCGCGCCCGGTCTGTGCTGTCTTGTTCGCGAGAGGCATCGGCACCTTGTACGCACTTGACGAGCTCACATGGACCGTGGTTGGAGGGAGGTGATGAAAATTGAAGCGGTCGAAATCGACGCTCGGGTCGGGGTAGGGCGCTGCTTTGCTGGCTTCGTTAGAGATTCTCGGCGGGCAGAGGCCCTTTGACCCCCAGTTTCCCGGGTAAGACGTGTCGTGGCCTACATACCTTCTTTTCTGATGAGTTTCTTGGATGTGATGTATGTGATGCTCGACTCAACTTTCTCAGTTCTTTCCACTCCAGTTCTCGCATCTGCCTTCCCCTTTCTCCACAGCCAGTACGTTTTGCTAACCCATTGACCTTACCCACCCACCCTGCTCAAGCGCCCTATCTCACCCCGTTCCATCCGCACTCACCGGTCCGCCCGCACTTCCCCGTCAGCTAGCAACGACTCTTCTTCACTCCGCATGTCGCTCCCCTCTTCGCATCCTCCTTGCCATTTACGGGCTTTCGCGCAATCCTGCACCTCCCTTGTCTGCGGCTCATTGCCTCTTCGAACAATGTCTTGAGTTTCATGAGAAAGTTTCCCAGACTCTCCACGTCGAAACAGTGATTTTCAGTCGAAAACTCTTATCATTTCTCTACAAGAGCAAGCATTCTGTTATCCAACTCCATGAAAGTTCATTCCCGTCATCTTCGTTCACGACACGTGAATACAATCCATATGCCTCGCCCGTGCCTCTCCCAGCCGCTCACTCTTCCATCCCTCCACCAGTCTCGATTTCATCATCGCTCATCCTGAGATCCTCCACGCCGTCCGCGAGTGCCGCCGTGGTCCTCCCCTTCCCCTGCTCCGGAAGAGCTAGTCGCCCCTGGGAGTGGGCTCCCACTCACTTCCCTCTGAACACTGTCGACGATATCGTGTAGTGTATCGTAGGCCTCGCGAAAATTCTCCGCGTGAGCAGATCTCGGGACCGCCGCCATATATGCGGTTGCAGCATTCAGAGCCGTGTCTCTCTGCCGCCTCAGAGTGGTGACCTCGTTCTCCCGGGCGGCCAGCTGATCGCGAAGTAGGCGACTGGCGTTCCTCTCGCGATTGAGGTTCTCATTAGCCTCATATTCAAGTGCCTGCGCCTCCTCCACCTCTTGTTGGAATTCATGTGCCACTGCGAATTCCCTCTCTATAGCGTAGTGGCAGCATTCGAGCTCCTCGATCTGTGCGTTCGCGTCTTTGACCTTTTCCTCAAGCTCGCGGTTCTCGTATTCCCAGGCCCCGAGTTCATCCTGTTGCTCATTGATCTCCTGCTGGAGTTCTTGCTGCTTGGTGCGCATCTCTTCTATCTCGCGTCGCAATCGATTGAGTTCTTCTTGTGGCGTCTCCACGGGAGCTCGGTTGGTGTCACCACGGTCGTTTCCTCGGTGATTTTCGTCCTGGTTGCGATCATGGAAGGCCATTGTGGAGATATTTGGGTAGCCAGATGGATGAGTCGACGCAGGAGGAAAGCAGTTTACTTATAGGCGGAGGCGAGCGGAGAGCGTCAGTTTGTCACCACTCAGGCAAACATTTCCGCGGCTTCAGGCAGCAATCTCCCAGAAGCGCATTCAACAAACCTCCGGATCGGTTTCCGCTCTCAAAGAGCGCCGTGTGATTGCGCAGTCCCCAGAATGACATGGTCACCGGAGGACTCCAAAGTAGCAGTGAGCAAACCATGCTATGAATAAACACATCGGGCAGGGGAGAAGAGGGGATAGTGGGACATTGTATTGTTAAAGTAATTTTCGGCATACACATCGCAGAAGGTAGAGCTAGGAAAAGGCAGCCAGAAGTCCTCCAATATATAACAAAAAGCTCACTTTGCGCCCCTTCCGTCCGCTGAACCTGTCCAGGCTCAGTAAATGTGACTATCGCCTCCATACTGGATACAAACAATTGGACTACACCACAAATATTGGAATCTGAGTACCCAGGAAGAGCATTTCTTTTTGCCGGGAAGCATTCTTTTCCTAAGCCAGAACCGCTGCTCGCAACTTACATCGAGACGTTCATGAAAGTTCTCTCTGGTTCGCGGTTCGTCTACGATGTCGCTCATGTCGCTAACAGAGATATCGCTAGTCTATCAAACCTCATTTGTTCGGGGTTCGGCGTTTCCGGTTCCCGCGCTCAAGAGCAGAGCCTCTCCGTGCAAGGATTCCCCACTTGCTGACTGAGCAGCACGGCGGATTCGCAAAGGCGAGCTCTCCGTGGGAGCGAACATCTCTCCATACAAATATAGCCTCGCAATCTCGCTTCTCTCTATTCCTATTCTTCACCTTTTTCCCAACCATGACGTTCACCCTGACAAACACAACCCAACACCCCGACAGCGGCGCCACGCCACTCAGCCTCGACGCCACCAGCGACCAATCAGCCCAAGATGTAAAGCTCGTCTATCCATCGGCCGAGAACGACTATCGCATTACGACGGCCATCATTCCGCCGGGCAGCAAATTCCACCCCGGCGCGCACTGGCACGAAGATTACGATGAGGTCATGCGCGTCGCGAAAGGCCGTGCGAAGATCAGGCTGGGAAAGGAGTGGAAGATATATGGGCCTGAGGATGGGGAGGTTCTGATTCCAAAGGGGACGGTGCACGATTTGATGAGGGCGGATGTGGATGCCAAGCCCGGGGAGGGGGACGAGGGGGAAGTGTGGGTTGAGGAGAGGGGTGAGCCTGGTATGGGTGTTTCGTCTTGCCATTTTGGAGCCTCCCTATAGGAAGATGGACGTGGGAACTAACGGGTCACAGTCGACGGCTCCAAGGAAATCTTTTTCCGCCATGCGTTTTCCATCACCGCGGATAAAGCGGCTTTTGGGTGGAAGTTTCCGCTGCAGATGCTGCTTACGCTCATGTATACGGATGGGTACGTGGATCTTGTGCCTGGGCCGGCGAGCTGGTATGTCACGCATGGGTTGTATGCGGTTGTGAGACCTGTGGCAGGCTGGGCGGGCTTGACGCCGTTTTACGACCAGTATACGCCCGAGAGATTGAAAGAGATTGCGAAGACATTGGAGGAGAGGATGATGGGAAAGAAGAAGGTGTGAAGAAAGACGAGGCCAGTGTTTGGCACAGCTGTGAAGACACGTTTTGGTTCTCGCTGAGGATATACTCGGGGCCGCAGCTCTTCAAGCTATCTGACCTATACCTTGAAGATGCAGTTGAGCATTCCAGGAACTTGGAATCCATGAGTGGTTCTTTCATGCCTCGCGTAAGGTGTATGTGCCGTCGTGAAGAAGGGTACGACATAGCCAACTCGTTTGGCCCGGACACGTGGGCTTCGGCGAGTGAAACGTATGTTCCGGAAAGGAGAAACGAGAGCGAGGTCGGTAGCCGATCTTACCACACGCCGTGGAGGCCTACCGTTCAGACAAGCTCAAGCTAGACAACGCCAGTTTCGTCTCATCCATGCTGTTCCACGTGGGTCCGCGCGAGACCTGAGCGAGTCGTTGCGGGAACAACCTGCCGTGCCGGAGCGAGCCTCCGTCAATCCAGTACCGCCTTTTCGATCACATGCTCTTCAGTCGATGATTCCGCTATCTTTGTTTATACCAGGTGTTCGCAGAGGTGGAAGGGGGACCTGCTGCGCACCAAGTTTTCACAGCTCCAAACTATACCATATCAAGCTTAGCGTCAGAGTCCCGTGATGCTCGGCTACCCGAGATGCCGGCCGATGACGTTCACCGATCGTGCTTCAGCTACGCCTCAGCTGAATATAGAACAGCACACTCAGCAGCTCAGGAAGCGCTATCGCCAGCCTCCCCTGCAGCCTCGCTCTCAACCATGGGCTAGCCGATCGTCCGCTCCTTCCTCTCTTTCAGCTCGATTAAATCGCCTCCAGCCCTCTAGTATCTAATTCACAGACCTACTTCCCCATCTCCTCACCGCTCTACTCTCCTCAATCCTTCCTGTCCCGCGGCCTGCGCATGTCCTCGCTCCCTCCACGATGACCCTCGCAAAGCACAACTACCACACCGCGGCCGCGATACCGCCGCACCTCGCGCCCGCGGACGTCATCTCCGCGCTGCACGACCACAACACCTGCCTCACGCTGCAAGCCCTCACAACAGGCCACGAAAAGCTGCCCGAGAACCCGCCCGCCACGCGCAAAGACACCTTCTGGTATCCGCCCGACAGACACCCCATCACGACCTACAACGTCTCCGAGTGTATAACCTGGATGCCGGGCATCGGCGAATGGGGCCGCAAATATATTACCTTCCCGTCGTGCTTCCAGAACACGCCGAGCGGGCTCAAGTCGCGGGCGGACGCGAGCGGCGTGGTGCTGCGCGCTGAGTTCCGCGTCATTGAGGGCTGGCATGGTGATGCGGAGGTGGATGGCGAGGGCGAGGGGCTCGGAGAGGTGGATTGGGTGCTGGTGGAAGATGTGGAAGTCCAGTGTGCGTGGTGGCTGATGCCGTTTGTGCGGGGCAAGATGGAGCAGGCGCATAGGGATATCTGTCGCAAGGTGGTCGAGAAGGTGGAGATGGAGAAGAGGCAGGAGGCGCTTGCGAAGACGGCGGCGAAAGGGAAGGCCAAGGTGGATTCGCCGGATCGGGAGGAGACGCAGGCGGATGCGGGGGCTCCGCCGGAGAAGATTACATATGGATAGGGGGACTGAAGAGTTGGGCGACAATGTATGTGCTGGTCTCATCGTTGGGGTTGTTTGGATTAGCTGGGTGACACCAACATCTTGCATCATGTCACGACGTTACGATTTCTTTGCTTCTGCAGACGGATGTAAGTCAGTCGACGCGATGATAATCTAATGTATTAGGTGCACCTCTCTATCGCTCTCCACCCTGATCTACAGTCACACCTTCGCCGCAGCTACGCCGTCAACCTCTGCCTCCCCCTCCGCCGTCAACACCTCCCTTAGCCTCTCAATCTCCTCATCGGTCAATCCCACCACGTCCTTGAAGTACCCCTCCGGCCCGCCCCATCTCTTCTCTACCTCCCCCAGCAACGCTTCCATACTCTCCCTCCGCGCTCCCACCATTCTCTTACACTTCCTCTTCGCCTCCTCAGCCCCGTACTCCTTGAACGCTCCCTTCCTCAGCAACCTTTCCACATTGATATGCCGCGTCGGCGCGAGCCCTTGTTCGGATAACGTGTACTCGTGCACAATCGACTCAGCGGGCACGTGGAGCAAGAGCAGGAGCAGCGAGATGAACACACCCGTTCGATTATTGCCCGTTGTACAGTGCATGAAGAGCGCCGGCGGCGGCGCCGCGGGCGTGACGGCGCGCAGGAGATGCGTGAGCACCGTGTGGAACATGTGTCCGCCTTCAGTTAGGATTTCGACCAAGGCCGTTACTATGCCCTAAAAGTCCCTACATGTCAGCTTTCTTCGCGTACGGTAGGCGGAATAGAAGTGCAGACCCTACCTCCGTGCCCTCCCCAGCATAAAGCTCATACCGCTTCCGCGCCGCCTCCTCCGTATACTGCTCCTCCCTAAACACCGGCGCCCATATTCTCTCTATCCCCTCAATCTCTCTATACCCGCCTGCCTTCTCGATCTGCTGTTTGCTCCGCAGATCGAAGTCCGTCTTGATGCCTAGCGCCCTGAGCTTCGCGGCTCCGTCGGGCTGGAGGTGGTTGGTGTCGGAGCCGCGGTAGAGAATCCCCTTGCGCACATGGCGAGGCGAGTCAGCGGGAGAGGATACCGGCCAGCCGCCTGTGTCGCGGAAGTTCGATATGCCCAGCACGAGGTGGAAGGGCAAGAAGGATGGGTGCGGTGCTCGGGGTGCGGTGGCTGGGGGGTTTGGCGCGGGTTCGTTGGCGGGCTTTGTGGAGAGCATTGCGATGCTAAGGATGAAGTACCTAGGTAAATCAGAGCAACGTGAGTGAGGTAATGTAGTTGAGCGGAAAGTCTATGGAGGTCATCTCGTGAACGCGACCACCCTCAGGCAGAAGCGAATCAGCATAATTAGGAAAAATCATGGAGATCAGCCGGCTGTCAGGAATCCCATGTTTGCTGACAGTTTCGTTTAGGTAGCTGTAGAGGACGGGGCGCCGGTTCGCATGGGGCCAAGCCTTAATAGATGGCGGGGTGGACGCTGCACCCCACGTTTTCTGGCCCTTTGCTTTTTCTGGTGCGCAACCAGTACGGCGGGAGATGTGCCGAAACGCTCGGCGCGCTGGGCTGGCTGCGTACTCTCGTTTTGTTTTCTGTCCTGTGCGGCCTTCGCTCTCCTTCGCCTTGTCCACGGAATTGTTGTACATGTCAACCATGACATCGCCACCTACAGGGCTGAGGCCTGCGCGGCCCGTGCCGAAGCATGACTAGCAAGCATCCTTGGAGTCACCAGGCACAGTCAACGCGGTGTAAGGACCATTTAGACATATTCTCAAAAGGACAGAGAAACTTTCTCCAAGACCGATCGATTCCCTATTGTCTATATTTCCCTTGAGTAGACAAACCCCCTCAGCATGTCGACGCTGGCCGCAATATCACAACCTTAAGACGACGAAGCATAGAAAGCAGTTTCTACGACCTGGCGAGCCCGCCTCGCGCAAACTATCTCGGTGCGAAGACTAGAAGTAGTACAGTTGAGTAATAGAGTCACAAGAGGTTGTTTTAGGGGCTGTGTTCATCGGCGAGTTTTCTTTACTGAGGTCCTCACCGTTTCCGCGACTTTGCAACCTCTACCGTACTCATCTCCCCTTTGAATATCATAACAGCATCTAGAATCAACGGCGATGTCCGCAATGTACGACTACCCCTGCGATTTCGACATGCTCGACGAACTCCCGGAAGCTCCTTATGATGGACCTCTCGACGACGATGTAATGGCGTCGGTCGAGAAGGTCGACGGCGATTATCTTTACGATCCTAACGAACTCCTGGAAGCTCCATTCGTTGGGCCTATCGATGACGGAGTATTCGCGCCGATCGAAGAGAACGTTGAGGAGGATTATCTTTGCGATCCTAGCATGTTCGATGAGCTGCTGGAAGTGCCTTACATGGAGCCTATCGACGACTACCCAATTGCGGAAATTAGAGAGAAGGTCGAGAATGATTATCCTTGCGATTCTGCCAGGCTTGACGAACTCCTGGAAGCGCCTTACTTCGGGCCTATTGACGACGAAGCAATGGCGTCGATTAAAGAGAAGGTCGGCAGCGATTACCGAGAGATCTCGCGGTGGTTTTCAGGACTATCACACACCGTCCCTGGAGCATGGATGGAGATGGTAATCGCGATGCCGGAAGAAGAGCTCACGGAGGACCAGAGAGAGGCAGAGGGATTATTCACGGAGCTTGATGGGCGACGGAAAAGCCGGAGGCTCGCTCTTCGGGCCGCGGAGGAAAGTGCGCGGATGGGGTAAGGGGTTGTGGAATGCGAAAGCATGGATGGAGTGGCTGGCGGTTTGACGGCAGCGGAGCCCCCCGTCGCACGTAGAATCGTGATTGAGGGAGCATATAAGTAAGTCCGTTCGCCAATCTCGCACAGATCTTCACCAGGGACTAAGTTCAGCTAACAAACACTCTACAGACGGAAAGGAACATGGATACCCCTTGGCTCAGTGGTCCCTGAAAGCATCAGACTATGCTCTCGCCGCCTATGCATCCGCTGCGCCGCAGTAGATAGAGTCCTCCAGATCAACGAACCCGCCGAGACCGCGCTCGTGCGCCCTCGTCGATTCCCTAGAACGCTCTTTTGCGGGAGGACGATTTGCGATCAGACTTACAGCGAGAAGACCGGCCGTGGGAGTAGCAGCAATACACGGACTGCAGCTGCTATTGGCGGTCTTGTGGTTCCGGGCGACAACGCTGGAGCGAGGAGGTGGGTTTGTACGGCGTGCTTGGGGCCGCAGAATGATCCGAGGACTGGCGAGGCTGTTTATTTTGTGGGGATTAATCCGCTGGCGGAGGGGGTGTGTAAGTTTTGCCGTTTGTTTGCGCCGCAAGGGCCGCGGGGTGTGAGAGAGGAGGGTTGGGAAATTGTTTAGAGCGAGTGGAGGGGCGTGGTGGTGTGGGATATGATACTATTTCTGACTACTATTTTTTAGTATATTTGGGCATCTATTGGCACTATTTTCCTAGATAGCTACTGCGCGTTGAAGTATGATCATCCTCTGACCTGGCTTCAGACGTAGGCATATTGCCGAGAAGTCTGCCAACTCCATCCCTCATTCAGTGCTCTGCCATTCCTAAAGGCATTCGCAGAACGCATCAGGTTATGAGCTCCATTGCACCAGTTCTTTTCTTTGACTGAGCGCGCATCAAATAGTGCTTCAATGGCGTTGAGTCACGCGCGGGCGGTGACACTAGTCATTGCGTTCATGAGGCACAGTCAACACCTGTCTTGCGAATGAATTACAATCTTGGTTTTTGCAAGAACAACGTCGCCATTTCATCGGTACGGTGGCAGTAGAATGCGTCAACATGCATTACTCATCGCTGTGAGAGTATAAAACCTTCCAGACTTCGAGTTACGTTCCTCTTTCCTAGCTGCACACAACCATTTCGCAACCCTCATTTCCATACTCGAGAATACCCAGACTCGTCTTTCTCAGTGCGAAGCAATCACTCTAGCGAACTCTACATCTTGGAAAGCGACCGCCAGAAACCACTACAGCTATCGAAGCCGCAACCCAAGTCCAAACAGCTCCGCGCAGAATCGTCAGCGAAGCAATGCCTGAACGTCGCGACCGATCGAAAAGATCTAAATCTCCTAAGGGCCATCCAAAGGATGGCGAGGTCTGGGTGAGGGAGTATACAAAGCATTACATATGCCATAAATGCGCGTATCTAGGCATTTACCTTTGACCATTTGCGGCTAACGGTCGAATCGCAGGCAACACGAAGCACAGCAAAAATGACGCCAGGACAGACCCGCAATGCTCCTGCATGCACTAGTATGTTTCATGCGCACACGAGAGCAAGTCGAAGAGACGGTGCAAGATTGTGACATAGGCCGCGATGGCATGTGCACGAAGCGTGCGCGGATGGGTCCGAGTCTTCCACGATGACTCTCTATCAGGAGGCAAAATCTGACGAGCGAGATATAATGAAACATTCTTTTAATACCCATGTGGATTCTATCAACGATCCAAGCATTACACTTACCTTTGTGAATTTTCTTCCTTCTTTGAACTCTCTCTCTCATATCCACCTCATGCCTTTCTTAAAACTGAGTGAGAATCAATCTGATATCGACGCTAGAAACGCGACAGCTGACGGTACGTTTGCGCCCGGCCACTAATGCTCCACGCGGTCAGGTATGGAGGAACTCTCTGCGCGGAGTCATGGAGCGCTGGCATCTGACCCGTCTTCAGACGTCGGTGGATCTCAACAACGCAATCTCTAGATATTATCAAGCAACGAGGAGGCCCGTCTTCTCACGCAATATGCATTTCCTAATGAATATCTTCCCTCTCAAATTTCCCCGCGCGCAGTCATGCAACGACGAATGAGATACAAAGAGTCAACGCTGGAATGACTCGAAGATCCGCACCCCCGTGCGCAAGGCTTCCCGCACTCGACTCACCGTGAACACGTAACGAACATGCACTGATGAGTAGCAGTTGGAGTCAGGGCTATGACTATGCTGGTCGTGACGGAGTGTATCCAAGAGAACCACTCATAACAGAGATACTTAAACGCTTCGTAGTCGAGTATCCCTTCTTCTTTCCTTACCATATCCCCAGTACACTCGACCTTGCATATTTCACCACAATCTTTAGCTTCAACTTCGACTGCTATTCATTAAAATTTCACATCGAAGAGCCGCACAACAAGAACTCCTTTGGACGCTGGCATTATGGCAGACGATTTCAGCGAGTTCATCAACGAGGAAATGTTCGAGGACGAGTACAAGGACAAGCCAAGGGACGAGGACAAGCCAAGTGAGATTGAAGACCTCTTCAATAAATCTCCTTCTGCGCCAGTCGATGAGGAAGCTGCCTCTAGTCGAGCGCTAGAGGGCGAGTATTGGGAGACTCTAGAATGGATTTCAAAGATCCTCAAGGAGAAGTTACTTGGATCGAGTCCTTGGGGCAAGATAGCGGCTTCCGCCCCCTACGATTCTCTCACCGAGAACCAAAGAGAGAGCCGACGATTGATCGAAGAGCATGTCGGGAATCAAATTGGCGGTCAGTCGACTCTAGGCGACATCGATACGATCAGGAAGACAATTGCAGACTACGAAAAACAGGACACAGCTGAGATCAATTCGGAAGAGTTCGACTCGAACAGGTCGGTTCTTGCCTTGGATGACTTCGAGAGCGACTTCAAAGCATCTGGGGACGAAGTGGACATAGACGAACGGATCGAAGAAGCGGCTCGGGAAATCGACAGAATCGGGCGGCACTTGAAAGATAGCGGCATGATGGACGAATGGAGCCTATGGGAAGGGAATGAGGAGGAACGCACGGAGACGGAGGAGAAAGGAACGAGCTCGAAGACTCCGACCACGGCAGATGTGGAATACGGCGTTCGAATGTCCGATACCTATACCCTGTCTTCCCAGGTAGACAAAGGGTTGCGACAATCGTTACCTTGGTATTGCCTGGCCACCCTTGCGAGCAAACGCCCCGAAGATATACCAAAAATCACGCCGAACCCGGCGCCCAACTCAGACCGACTGTTGAAATGTCCCGATGGGAACTGCCGTTCGACCTACCGCAGTACTACGGGATTCGGAGGAGGTATATCCCTCCAATTGTCAGCATATCGAGAAAAAAAGGTGGTAACTGGCGTTGTTGCCGCCCTGGAAGGGTATGTTGGAGGCAGATGGATATGTTTAACTTGCCTTGGACCTCAAGAAAATGTGCGTACTGGGAGGATCGTCCATAACGTGACTATCAACCGTTGGGACAAGGAGAAGACATGCCATGCGTGCCGCAGCATATTCTCGAAGGTTGTGGCGGGGAGGCAGGAGGATGGACTACGAATCATCTGAGTCTGCAGGGGAGCGTGTTGAATCTGTCTGTCTGTACTTGTATCTAATAGAAGGCTTTTCACTCTTTCATGCCGTCTCTAAACGTGATAGCTATGATACTCGCCCATGCCCCAATACAGCAACATGAGCGCGCGAACACTAAATCAAGAAAGCAGTGGTTCTTGCACACTATCCGAACCCTCGCCGCGCTCATCTTCGTCGCGGTAAAGGGGCGCTAATTGTCACGCCTGCGTACCTTTTGGGCCAGGGATCGTCGCATCAGTCTCATCAAAATCGTCCTGGTATCTATCTACCGAGTCGACAGAAGGTCGGTAGTCTTTATTGAAGAGCGCTTCCATGTCTTCGAGACTTCGTTGGCTCGTTTCGGGGTACAAGAACCCTGGATGAAGTTAGCAAGAGTGATGGAACGTCGGGCTCTAGAAAGGGATGGCGCACAGATTATGATCGCTGAAACGAGATTCGTGCTCATGAAGATGAAGTGCGTCTTTGAGCCGATGTTATTCATGCCCACAGGCCAGGTCTGTGAGGAGATGATGGCGCCGATGGAGGAGCCGGAAGCGGCGATGTTCAAGCCGCGAGCTCGGAAATTCGTGGGGAAGATCTGGAATACAATCAGAAAAGAATCGCTTCAGACGCACGAAGACCGACCTCAGACCCGTACACCCATGCTGCTGGGCCGAAGCCAATGGAGTACCCAAAGGTATAGATGAAGATGAACATGATGCAAACGTAGTCGGCTGCGTGATTGACGTTGTTCGGATAGGCGAGTGGCAATGCGCCGTTGAGCTGCAACCAGCTTAGCATTGCAAAGCCCGGGAGTGAAGGGCAATCTTACCAGCAAGGCAATACTCATCACAATACATGATACCACAAGGGTTAGCCGCCTTCCGAATCTATCTACCAGCCAGGTATCGAACAGCGTGCATCCAATCTTCAGAGTACTCTCGATACCACCGATCATAAGCGTCAACTTACGCTCGATACCGAGGCTCATGAAGATGGATGGCAGATAGTACTTCATCGAAGTATTTCTGTGCACGTCGTCAGCTATTATATTCCACCAACATCCAGTATCATTGCCAATTATGCGTTGTCGAGGAATGGCGCAGGGATGGCGGAGGCAGGGAAGGCTTTTGCGTACCCGCACATCTGGGCCATGAACTGAAGAAGCGAGGCGCGCCACAGCCGATTGAAAAGCGGACGATCTGTGAAGAGCATGGTCCAGGACTGCGAAGTCGCATGGCGTTGTTGTACATCGTCTTCGATCGCCTTCAGCTCCGCATGGACAAGCTCATGAGAGGGACTAAGAGCTCGGAGCCAGGCAAGGTTTCGTCTGGCCGCTTCGATCCGGCCGTGCTCGACCAACCAGCGAGGACTGTGTTTCGTCAGCGTGGGTCCGAAGGAGCAGGAGCGAAAAGTACATACGTCTCCGGGCAGAAGAACACTCCAATGAGGAAGAAGATCTCGGGAACGAACTGAAGAGCCATCGAAAGCCTCCAGCCGTAGTAGGTCCCGCGGGCTGTCTCCCAGTGACTCACGCCATATCCAACCCTGACATGATCAGTTCTGCGCTGGGCACGTATGATTTCGAGCTTACCAGAAAGCGGTGGCTAAGCCGGCGACGAGGCCGACGTGGTTGATAACGACATATCGTCCGCGATGCTTTGCGGGCGATACTTCGCTGTATCAAGTGAGTTCAAGTCAACAGTGGCTCCGGACAACAGACCTTTGGTACAGCGGAACAGAGGTAGATACAATGGCCAAGCCAAATCCACACACGATGCGACCTACAATCATCATTGCGACGCCATGCTCGCCTCTTGCCGCTGTCTGAATGGCTGCACCAACACTGGTAGTAAGGATACCAGTCGCGGCTGCTATTCTACGACCGAATCGGTCGGCCAAAGGATGCGATACGAAAAGGTAGCTGAGCCATGTTCCAAGGTAGTATATCGAGGTGATCAGTCCGGTCATCGCCTTCGTAGGGTTATGCAGTGACTTTTTAAACCCGGGATGCACATATATCGTGGCCATAATCCCGATGTTGTACCTAAACTGCCGTCAGCATTGCTTCGGCATCTACCATTGCCTCATACCCCCAAGCCAGCGAAGCGAGTCCAAAGAAGGTGCTGACTGCCAGAAGGCGAAGCGACGCCGTCTTAGGCAGAGGTGCTTTAGCCGCCGTCCGTGGATACGCCATATCGACAGAATCGCGAGGTATAGGCACGCAACGATAATTCCCGTCGAGCTCTGATGTCGCTGCAATGGGGAGATCAGCCCGGAGCGCTGGATAGGTCGTGGATTTAAGGTGGGCTCACGCTGGATCCGGGCCCCTGCTCGTCCCGTCGCGCGTGGCGTCCGGCTCCTCATGTTCCCCCACGGTCTCAGGTAACTGTAGAGGTCCGGCAGTTTGGTCAACAAATCATCTCAACACGCTGTTGCTAAGGGAGCCGCGTTTCACGGGCTAGGCGGGCTGTTTCCGGTGCAAACTGGCCCGAACCTTGGGAGGCGAGCTTGCCGCACCACAGCTAGCGTCCGCTGGCACGAGAGGAGGCCTGAATAAACTCGTAAAAGCCAGCAACTAAGAGGCTTGATCGAGAAGCGAGCTGGGAAAGCAATGCAGGCGTGCTTGTGCTTCGCCAGGGGTTTTGCGTCGCCAGTGGTCGAATTTGGTGTCGGATGACCACCAACCAACTGGTAGCTAAGAAGTCGGGAGCTTGTGTGGCCCTCAGAAGAGGTGGCTTGCGTCGTCCATTCGAGTTCGTTCTACCAGAAAGCTACCAAGGTAGGCCGGTTGGTTCGAAGGTCGCGATCATCGCAATGCAGGCGAAACCACTTGACCGGGACAAACATGAACGTCAGCTAATGGTCACAGACAGAAGAGCCAACCGAAAAGCAAAGAAGGATGGCGGTGGGGGTTGACGCGTGATAGGATGAAAAGCGACGTCGGGCCGGAAAAAGGTGGCGCCGTAGCGCGAAATCCCTTTCACCCCGCACTTGGCATTCACGGCCGCCAATTCACTGCCTTTAATCCCTTTCACCTCGCACTTCGGCCTTTATCAGCGCCAGCTCACCGCCTTCAGTCGCCTTCAACACTGCTCACGGGGGCGTACGCGTGCGGAAGAGCAGCGACAAGGTTGGTTACCGCCGCACTCAGTCCCACGGGGCTTCAACCGCTTCGGCAGGACACCTTCAGCAGGAATGCGGCACGCCACGATCATGCCAGTCGGCAGTAGCCCTCTTCCGTGGGCCAGAATTTCATTCGATCAGGCTGCTCCCGCTTGGACAAACGAGGGATCAACTGCATGACCGGAAGTCTTACCAGGCTAAATTCAAATGCCGAGCACTCTCCATCCGGGCGGGGACGGCGTGCGCCTCCGTAACAAGCGAATCGCATCGTTTCTCTTCATTAATATCCGACCAATTGCAGCCCCCGTCTCATTTCCACAGCCATCTTTGTGCACCCTGGTCCTTCCTATCCCAATCTACTCTTGAACACATCTCATTAAGTCGTATACACAAAACTGGACCAGAGAGGTACTTTTGAGCCACAATCTGCTCCGTTTGTGTCCGACGACCGATCAGCACCGTTCATTTAATGATATCATGGACGTGCGACCTTATCCGGGTAAGGAAGAGGCTCAAAAGCGCTCTGCGCCCGTTTTCTAGAAGGCGTGGTTTGATCAGTCTCCTGTCATTCCTTCCGCGTCGCGTGGTACATGCTCTCAACTAAGTGTAGCTTAATCCTTATACGGCTACGCTCATCTTGTACTTCACCAACACATTACTTTTCCAGTCCGATGATTCGACGACACTCTCATTGATTCGAGATGGCTAATAGGGGGGATGTGGAGGAAGAAGAGCGGTTGCTGGAAGGTCTGTTTCTCTAGGCCATCGTTACTCAATGATTCTAATCTGGCCCAGGGAAGTCGACCGATGAGAAGAATTCCGGTGTCACCACACGCGTACTAGAGGATAAAGTTACGTGGAGAAATCTACCCCACAAGAAGCAACTCCTGTTACTCGCACTCTGCCGCCTCTCGACGCCGCTATCCAATGCCTGCCTCCTCCCGTACCTATACTACTTGGTCAAGTCTATTCTTGATGACCCGGATCATCCGTCAGCGCCCCAGAAGATCTCTCGCATGACTGGTCTTCTGGTAGCTGCATATCCTATCGGCCAGATGATGACGAGCATGCTCTGGGGTCGGCTTTCGGATACATACGGCCGCAAGCCAGCGATTCTACTGGGTCTAACTATTAGTGTCACTGCCAATCTCGCTTTCGGCTTTTCGAGATCAATTGGCATGCTGCTGTTCTGGAGGGTACTGGCAGGCATGGCGAATGGCATACTGGGCGTGATGAGGACGATGACGGCGGAGATCGTGAAGGACCGGACATACCAGACACGGGCATTCCTGGCTCTGCCACTCATATTTAACTCGGGAAGGGTAGCAGCGCTGGCAATTGGGGGTTGCTTGGCAGATCCCGTGGACAACCTCCCCTGGCTTTTCGGTCCTACAGGCCTATTCAACTTTGCACGAAATCCAGATGGCGTAGCCTGGACCATCAAGTACCCTTATGCTTTACCAGCGCTCTTCAACGGCACCGTCCTAGCCCTTTGCCTCATATTCGCTACTCTGTGGCTGAAGGAAAGCCTGCCCACGAAGGAGCAGGATTGGGATTTGGGGCTTGCCATTCGCCAGTCCATCTCCGGCTTCATTAAACGCAAAATTCTCCGGAAGGCCGACTCCGGATATACCGCAGTACAGATTGAAGAGGCTGAGGTGATAATGGCAGACGTCCCAATCGCCGAGGCCACCTCTACAGGATCATTGACCCCAACCCACTCCACCACGAAGCCATATCGTCCTCCTTTCCGGGAGATCTGGACCCGCCCTCTTCTCAAGGCCCTGCTCGCGTTCGCCCTCCTTCCACTCCACAACGCAACCTTTCTCCACGTCTTTCCGGTCTTTCTGAGCATGCCGACGGCGCCGAACATTCACCCCACCGTCTTCCGTTTCACTGGCGGCCTTGGTCTGGCCTCACCAACAGTCGGTCTTTACCTCGCAACATTTGGCATCTGCGGGATCCTTCTTCAACTGTTCATCTATCCCCGCATCCAGAAGCGCGTCGGCACTCTCGGTGTCTTCCGTCTAGCAAATGCAATCTTCCCACTCGCTTACATTTTCGCTCCGTATTTATCGCTACTAGCCGGCAACGCAACGGCGAAGTGGCCAGCCATGGCTGGCGTGCTCTTCTCTCAGGTCATAGCGAGAACCATGGCTATCCCCAGCAGTGTGATACTCCTTACTGAAGCCGCCCCGCGACGAAGCGTGCTCGGCACCGTGCACGGCGCTGGCAATACTCTTAGTGCTCTCGCAAGCGCTACTGGCCCCGTTATCGGAGGCATGCTCTTGGCACGCGGCATCGACGGCGGTGCTGTGGGTGTCGTATGGTGGTGCTGGCTGCTGTTGGTTGCACTTGCGGCGTTGGGATGGAGCCTCATGCTCGATAAGAGCGAGGATGGCGACGAAGAGAAGGAAATGGCGCCGTTGGAGAAGGGTGTATAATGAGTTCAAGCATTGATATGTAGATATTTTCCCTTCCGCGAGGAACAGCAAACATCACTATTACAGGCTCTCTCTACTCCATCTGCACGACATGATAAAGGGGGACTCATCGTTCGGGGATCGCCCCTCAAGAGATACGCACACCCATCGGTCAGCACAGCATCCGACCCGTCATTCTTCGTTGTTCTAGACCAAGTAGCATGAATTTGAACGCTAGCAGAGTCGAACTAGACATGCTATGTAAAGTATCCGAACACTGCTTCTACCGGGCCATCGCGAATACTACGAGTCGGCACCACGAAGCGGTCCCTAAGCTCAACATCGCGTACCCGTAGCCGATAGTCCGAACTCGACACGGCGGCCGTGGGATCGCCGACCCCCTAGAAATAGATGCCGTCCCTTATAGTCGTGACGTCGGTGCTCGTTGAGAACGTGGCGTTGCGTGTAAAGTCTATGGCAGAGCAACCGCCATATGTGGAGCTGGAGAGAAGCTTAGCTGTGGTGTTGATAGTGGATGTAATAGTCCGGGGTGATAGGGAGGCTGGCTTGAAGCCGCTATCCTGGATCGGGCGGCCGACGCGATGGGTGGTGGGTGTGCATATTGGAGTAGAGCTGGTGCTTGGGGTCGTGGTCGTGGATGTGGATGTGGATGTGGATGTGGAGACAGAATTGGAGCGAACGTTGATGAAGTCGGGAGAAGAACTGTTACTTGTGGATGTGGAATGTAGACGAAGAAGATGGAGGAGGTGTCGAACGGAGTTGGCGCGGCGGGGGATGCGGACCAAGAGGACGGCGTTGGCATTGAAGAAGTCGGGAGAGCTGGCGCTTGACGTAGGCGTGGACATTGACGAGGAGGAAGAGTGTGCAATTGGAATGCGCATAAAAAATGTTTCAGCACATAAGGACTGCGGGATTCAGTCCCCTACTAAACCTCAAAATCGCCGCAGCGCAATCCGAACTCTGACATTCCTCACACGCATTCGCTAGAATTCACCACTAGCATCTCCACGATTTCATATCCCATCGACCTCTAACCGTTATTCACTTCGCCCCGCCCCCGGCGCAGCCGCGCACGCGTCTGGAAACCAGTGAATGCCAGCCCAGACTTGGTTTGTCAGAGACATGTTTTCACCACAACGATAGCATCTGTCTCACTTGCAGCAAACAAACAGCAACTTCTTTCGCCCGCCGACCTCAACTTTATACCTTCTCCCTCGCAACGCCCAGAGGCAGAACTCAACTACAACCATGCAGCAGCCGCAGGACATCCGGCGCTGCGCGCTCGCGCTGCTCCTACCTCTCTTCATCCGCTCGACGAACGCCGTGGAGCTCTGTATATCAGTATTTAGTGTCGTTGTAGCGACGCCTATGGCTGTGTGGATCGATGGCAAGCCGTTTAACCGCGAGCTGGTAAGTACCTACCTACCTACCTCATGAATGAACAGTACTCAAGCAGGTGCTGCAAGACTCTCGCTTGAGGGCCTTTTAGCGCCTTAGAAGTAGATAACACCACATTCCTCTACTCCGCGGTGTCTATCCTATACATGCTAACGCCGGCTAGGTCTTACCCGTCATCGCGGCAACTGCGGCGTCGTGGCTCGGTAGCGTGCTAGCGGACTATGTCGTTGTGGGCGAGTGGCTGCGTCTGCTCGTCACGTACGGGATAGCGTTCGATGGCATGGAAATGCTGATACCTGCATCCGTTGTCCCTGCGTCCAAGGTACGATGACCCCTTGAAAGTCTGTTAAGAATAGTTTTCACCTCCTCGTACAAGCAGTGGACTTTTCGCTGACGGCCCTAGGGCTGGTTTTGCTCAGCACGCGCTAACAAGTCAGTAGAAAGACCTCTCCAACCTCCGCGCCGCGCCCTTGCCCTCTAGTGCCTGGATCTTACCCGTCGGCGTATCTCTCCCGGTCACCCTTGAGCTACTGCCATACTACAACGCCCACGTGGCTCCAAAGCTCTTCCTCAGCATGGCAGTCATCTTCTGCACGCTAGCCGTCCACGTCCAAACGTTCTTGGCAGCCCTTACACGCGCCACCCTATGGAGAGACGCTAGCAAGATTCTGGTAAAGAAGATAGAGGAGGTACCCAGAATCGTGGTCACGGACATGGAAGTTCTCGACGGCAGGGCGAAAGAGAAGAAGAAAGAGCAAGGGTTGCAGAGGCCGATGATCCCGGCATACGATACGAAGATGCTACATCCCGTCCCCCCATACAAGACGAAGACGAAGACGAAGACGAAGAATGCGAAGAAGAAACCCCGGAAGAACAGCATCTCGGCAGATGAGTGGAAGAAAGCTGCGGATAAGAAAGGCCGGCCTAAACCGACCTCGAAATCGGTTGATCTGCTGAACGCAGCACACGAATCTCCCGCTCAGGTTAGGGCTCAGCTCCGCGAACCCGAGCTGGAAACAGGAAAGGATATGGGTGAAGAAGAGAGAAGGCAGGCCGAGGCAGACTACTGGATGGAAATCTTACTGGGAAAGAAAGACGGCGGTGATGCACTGGTGAAGATGGCTACACGTGGAAAGCCACGTCGACCGACGACGAGGAGGAGGGGTTAACCATGAGGTGATGAAAAAGCAGAAAAATAGACGACGAAGAGGAAACCTAAGAAACTGACATAGTTGCTGTGTAAAAAGCCCGTATGGCCACCACCCCGAGAAACCAGAGTAGAACTTTTCAAATACCCCGTGAGGAAACATGCCTTGCCCACGGCCACCTCTTTCACGCCTAGATCGCCCCGAACAGCCCAAGTTGATGTCCTCAGCATCAGTGACCCGAAGACGCCTCGCTTCTCCGGCGTTCCTCCACCAGGCGCTTCTGTTTCTCGGGCAGGCCACTGCGGACTCGCGATTAGACGACTAATGCAACAAGCTCGACGAAATGCCCACTCACAAGTATGTCCATACCGCAAGTGCATACCCTACGCTATGGTAGAAGTGCAGCCAAACCGCCGCCACCTGCATCCACGATATCCGCTCCGTCACAAACACCGGCGTCAACAACGTTGCCGCCAGAACCCCATGCAGCCGTGCACCATTCGCCGTCGTGCGCGCCACATACGCATCTCTGAACACCTGTCGCACAAATCAGCCCCACTCCTCTCCGCAATCTCTTTCCTTCTTATCTCTGTCCTACCTTCACCCCGGCTCTGTGGTATCTGTTCATTCCAGCCGCCCACCGCGCAAATATCGTCCAGTACAGCACTTCACCGCGCCATCCCCCCAGGTTGTGCACGAAGATTTGGGCCAGCAAGCAGACGCCGATGTGCCAGAAGGGTCCAGTGTGCTCGGAAAGCTCGGGGGAAAGCGTTTCGAGCGTCTCGATGTAGCCTTTCTCGATGACGAGGAAGAGGATGCCGATTGGGAGGAAGAGCGAGAGCGGGGTGGGCGAGATGTCGAGGGTGCGAAGGAGAGTAGGAAGGATGAGCGAGAGGAGGGGCGCGCGGATTGAGCGGAGGCTTTTTCCGTCCATTGCCAAAGAGACAAGAGGCGAGCTTGAAGGGTTTCGTTGCTTGGTATAGCGGGCGGAAGTGGGGTGTTGTGGACGTGGAGGAAAGAACGACCGGGCGGAACAAGATTTCGCCGAACAACGATCGAGGTGACTTGGGATGATTTAACTTCCACTTGACATGAAAGGTCTGACTCCGTGGGGTTTTTTTTTGTATATGCCCGCCCCAAGGCCAGTTCGGCGAAGGATTACAGCCCTCGATGCAGCTTCACTTTTCCGAGGTCACTCCGACTCGCCCTACCATACTGTTGCGCTTTTCCCTGTCCAACTCTTCCGGACCGAGACAACCGTCTTCCTGGCTGGAATAGCTGTGATTCTCACAAGCCTCAGCATACGTCAAACCATTTAATTGCGCAGATGGGGCACCGTCCTTCAGGCACCTGGGGCGAGTCAGTGGAATCACCTAGAACCATTCCGTGATAATCCTACATATACTTCATGCATGCCATAGCAATTCGATCAAAAAAGCCTTGAAGAATTGAGAAGATGACGTAGATAGTGACATAGCCGGTTTGCTCAGTCCAGAAGAAGACGTATATGACTATTGCGGCGAGACCATGCGAAAAGTAGGACACTGCAAGTCCGGAATTGCGGAGATGGGTCTAAAATTGTGAGCCAACTATCCCATACAGTAGGTACAGCACTTGCATTGGGATTCTTTAAGTAGTCGTCTGGCAACAGAGACGACAGAGCGCCCATCAGCGAGGCCTAATAGAGCAGCTCTCCCGCCCAGACGGGATGGTCGCTGTACCAATCCGCCCACTTCATTCTCATCGCATTGAATGCAAAGCAGATGATGGCAGCTCCACTAAGACAGTGTATCGCATAAGAGTCTCTCCTTGAGCTATTAGATAGTCTCGCGCATAACCCGCAAAGCGCATGGTACACGTTTAACTGTAGGAAAACGCGGAAAATTGAGGTCGAACCCATAATTCGTGCGTAGATCGGTGCCGTAAAGAAGACAAAGAGGTCTATTGTCGGCCTGGGAGCGTAAGACGGTCCCGACGAAGCCATGGCTGCGATAGTACGGGTAGAGAGTCGTTGCACCTCGCAAGGTGAGGCGAAGGAGGTGGATCGAGCAGATTTAGGGCTTCGGCATGTAGATACGGGACGCTGGCTAATCGTCAGTGATACTGGCGCATTAAATACCATGTCCTCAGGAGTCACGTGAAACTCACCTCACCAAAACTGACCAATCGCAAGCGGACACGCCGCTCACGCGATTTAAAATTGCCCTGCGGTATGGAAGCACTCGCAAAAAAAAGAGAGGAAGGGATGCATCGTTCCCAAAAAAAAGCAACGCCGCCTGATGTGTCGACAACTTCTGCGGCATACAGCACAAGATGGACTGACTCACAGGGGGAACAGGCGAGTTGCGCAACCGAATCTACGAGCTCTTCCTGCACTCATACCACACTGAAGACACTTGGGGCCGCGAATTCTGCACTCCCGGAAGGGTTGTTTGCCTACGTCAGCCAATCCGTAGACAGCTCGCCGCAACCACCAGCGAAGTGCGCAAGACACTTCAGTATTTCTCCTGCCGCTCCCTCGACTGCGATGTCGGCATCCTCATCGCTCCGGACTACAGCGCCAGAGTAATGCCACGAAACTTCTGGCTCTCGACACCGCGCAATTATTGGGACAGAGCTCCTGGAACATTTACACCTTTCGCGCTCTGCTAGAACACCGTTTTCCCAATGTTCCGGCTGTTTTCACGATCCGAACCTCTGTGACGTTCAGCGTAATTAACGAGGAACCATACTGCAAGGTTGATGCCATGGTTACGATGCCCGGCCGGAGTGTGGTGGAGAACCTAAGCGAGGTAGAGATGGAGATAGAGATGGAGGAATATATTTCGAGGAGTATGAACGGGGTTCCGGTTACCATTGTCGAGGAGCAGAGGCGGGAGGAATCTCAAGGGGCAACCAGTGGTACGACGACGTTCACGATCCTGGATTGGAATGTGGTTTTTAAAAGCCTGACATTAGCTTACGGGAGTTGGATATTGAATCAGGATCAAGAGGCGGCGGCTCTGGAGTACGTAGTGTAGGGCAATGGGAACCAGACCCGTGCGGTCCAAATTTGAAAAGGCCTCGCTGGGATGCAACCGTTCCTGGACGCACTCGGGAGCGCATCCTGATATGAGGGCCTCTGCTCACTCAAAGTGCGGAGAGCCGTGTAGCCTGGGAGGATGGACGCCGAGGTATATCCCAAGAACGAAAGGAAGCCACGAAATCGGGCTGTCCACCAAGGAAGATACATAAGCAATCCGGCGTTCGGATGTCGCGAGCAGCCGAAATGTTGGAGCGGACGTCGCGCAATTATAAGAGCGTGATGAGTAATACGAAACTCGGCTATGGACCCCGAAAACTGCTAAAGCTCGCTAAGTAGCGGCCGTTGTAGGGACTATTCCGCGGGTCCACCGATGACGTGAGGCGGGGTGCATCCGCGCATCCTTACACGTATAAAACGCAATAGATAGCGCAACAACCAACAACCGAAACAGAACATCCGAGTACATTAGAATGCCTACCAGCGATGTGAGTTAGCCTTCCTCATGTCTCTCCCTCGCATCCTACCGCGCTACTCCAGGCGTCTTCTCCAAACGCCGCTCGCGAACAAGCTGCACAGCAACATACCGCCCAGCGCCAAGTCATACTCACCCGCCATGCAGAAGATCCCCGGCTTCTCCGAAAGCGACGGCCAGTTCCGGCGCAAGCCATCCGCATTTCGGAATTTCATCTCGGCGGATCCGTCCTCTGCCTTCCCCGCTGAACCGAACCGATATGCGCTGTATATCCATCTCGGCTGCCCCTGGGCCCATCGCACCAACATCGTGCGCTCCTTGAAATGTCTCGAAGACATCATCCAGCTCATTGTCCTCGATGACGCAGAGATCAAGGACGGAAAGATGATGTGGTGCTTCGCGGGCGAGAAGAAGGATCCGTTGTACGGGTTCAAGTATCTGAAGGACTTGTATGAGAAGAGCGAGCCGGGGTACGACGGGCGGTACTTGGTGCCTACGCTTTGGGATAAGAAGACCGGTATCGACGCCCCGCTAGCCCCACGTGCCGTGCAGCAAGAGTGCGTGCTGATTCCAGAGCAGAGACGATCGTGAGCAACGAGTCTAGCGAAATAATCCGGATGTTCTACACCGAATTCGACGCCTTCCTCCCAGAACACCTGCGGGAATCTTCGAAGGGAGAGAAAGGTATCTTCCCGCCCCATCTGCGCGCCGAGATCGAAGCCATGAACGAATGGGTGTACGACACCATCAACAACGGCGTGTACAAGACCGGCTTCGCTACGTCGCAAGCTGCGTATGAGGAGCACGTGTACCCCATTTTCGCCTCTCTCGATCGCCTGGAAGAGCACCTCTCCGACCCGAAACACCAACCCTTCCTGTTCGGCGACCACATCACCGAGGCGGATATCCGGCTGTACCCTACGATTGCGCGGTTCGATGTCGCGTATTTTACCATCTTTAAGTGCAATTTGAAGATGATCCGGTATGAGTATCCGCGGATTGATAAATGGCTGAGGAGGCTGTACTGGGATGAGACGAATGGGGATGCATTCAAGAAGACGACGGATTTTGCCGCGGTGAGTTGTCCTCCGAATGCAATTGGAGTTCGTGTTGTGCTGACTTTGAGCGCAGTACAAGGCGGGATATTCGAGGGCCGTGAAGGCGGCGGTTGTGCCGGCGGGTCCGGTGCCGGATATCTTGCCTCTTGATGCGTGAGCGCATAGCGTGCTGACAGAATTTCTTTGAGACAACACTTCCTAGGTGGGCTGTGCTGCAGAATTGCGAGAAATACAAACCATAAGCCACTGGTAATACCTTGTGGCCAAACGAAGTAATCCCATGTGTCGTGCCCGGTTGGCTAGTGCTGCGGGTGTCAGGCACGTGGCAATGCCACGAGGAAGTCACGAGATATCCGGCCCAGCGCGTGAGCGTTCGGAGCAAACTCTCTTTTTTGATATAATTCCCAGCTCCCAATGAACAGGTTCTTTTCTGCCTTCAAGAATTGCCCGGTATGTCGGATTCCAACTCCACAGGAAACGCAAGTATTGCAGAACCTCCCTTTCGCTTCCTCGCTCTTCCTGGAGAGATTCGAAATCAGGTTTACGAATGCGTTGTCGCCAACTTCGAAAGCGACCGATTAAGGCACACAAGGAGTGTTCGCGAGGTTCTGCGCCATCTTCCCGTCCCGATATGGGCCTTCCTCTTAACATGCAAGCAAATACGAGCCGAACTCCTCGAACACTGCTACCGCTCATACGTATGGCTAGCAAACCTGCGCATTACCACCAAAGGGTTTGAGCCCTTTGAGCTCAATGGCGATCGTTCGTGGATGCTACAGCCTGAGGATGAGTGGATGCCTCCAGCTGGTGCTCTGAGCAAGGTATGCATCCGGCTGTACTACAGATTGCCCAAGGGCGAGCCCAGCCCAGATCAGACGTTTTGGATGTGGCAAAACGAACTGTCGAACAGGATAGTCTCCTCGATCGGGGTGAATCTTCTGGATAGTAGGCTCGATCCGCCATTTCAGGTGCGGGTTCAGAACGAGGTGGATCCGAGGATATCGAACTGGCCGGCGCTCGGGTCCTTTTTGGCGATGGAGCTACGTGCTACTACAGAGAACAAACTAGCGGGAATTATGGCCGAGAAGAGGACGAAGAATGAGGGCGTCACGGCCTTCTCAGTGGAGGACTGGAGGGGTGTTGTTAGAACGTTGAGGTGTGCGTTCTTAAACTTTTGGTCGACGCGGGGTTGAGGCTGTGATGGTGTGGCAACGTTGGTTCGGGATATAGCGGGAGCACATCGTCGTATTGCCGAGAGGGCTCATATTCTTTACCGCAGGTATTTGTCCTGACGGATGGCATAGAATAGGCAAATCCGAAAGATCTTTAGGATCCTCGTATCCACGCAGCCAGGCCCATCGGAAGCAACGCCCTATTGTTCCACGCGCTCTAGTCGTACCCACCGCGCCTTCGACGAAAAAGGAATTCCTTCTCGAACGTTATAACTACCCAGAAAGCTGCCCAGTAGCCAATGAGTGCCAGGAAGCTCTCGAATATGTCAAACAAGCGATTCCTCCCTGCACACGCGCACACGGTGCAGATGAGTAAACTAAGCTGCCCCTACAGGCATCGCACTCGATCTCAAGTCACTGTCTGCTGTTGATCAGGTACAGCATGGCCATTCTACTCGGGCTCTCTCCGGTCGGCCTTACAGCCGTCGCATTCGTCGCGATCCTGGTCTACCAACTGCTGCAGGTAGGAAAGCGTCTAAAGGGACTACCGCCGGGTCCTACCACGCTTCCAATCGTCGGAAACCTTCATCAACTGCCAGAGGAAGATGTTCATCTCAAGTTCAAGGAATCGGCCGATCAATATGGAGAGATGTACTCGGTCATGTTAGGAAATCAGAGGATGGTGGTGCTCAACTCACCTCGCGTGGTGAAGGACCTCATCGACGCACGCTCGAACAACTATTCATCCCGCTCCGACCTGTATGTCAGTCAAACGCTCATCTCCGGAGGCTACCGACTCGTCCTGATGCAGTACGACGACGGCTGGCGGCTTGCGCGAAAGATGATCCATAGCCTGCTGAACATCGAGACTGCCGTCCAATACATCCCCTACCAAGAGCTGGAGCTGCGCCAGATGCTGGCAGATATGGTGCGGAAACCGAACGCCTATCAAGATCATGTGCGCAGGTATAGCACTTCACTTATCACGAGTATCGCCTTCGGATGGAGGAGCCTGGCGTTCAACGATCCCGATGTTAAGGCTATTTACGACGGGTTTGAATAGTTCGCAGTCGCTTCGCAGGTCTCAGCATCGATGCTCGACTACTTAACCATCCTGCGACACCTTCCCGATTTCATGAACCCAAGCAAGAGGAAATGGAAGGAGCTCCACAGAGCAGAGCTAGCACTGTACAAGTCGTACATGTTGAAGGTCAAGGAGCGCAACGAGAAGGGTATTAAGAGCAAGAACTTCTGCGACGACATGTTCAAGCAGCAGGAGAAGCACGGCTTCACGGATGACTGGGCGTCGTATGTCAGTGGCACCTTACTTGAGGCGGGCTCGGACACAACCGCTTCCATCTTTCTTTCGTTTGCGGCTGCGATGATCAACTTTCCAGAGGTGCAGAAAAAGGGTAAGCACCTCTGATGGAACCTATGCCGCACGACTGACGCCATCCAGCCCAAGAAGAAATCGACCGGGCCATTGGCGCAGGCCGTCTCCCCACCATGGCCGACGAAACGTGTGGGCACTAAACGACACCGAGCGATATCCCAACCCGCGCACCTTCGACCCAGACAGGTATAAGGACGACTTCCTCCGCGCACAGGAAAGCGCGACGCTCAATGATCCCTACCAGCGCGGCCACTTCACCTTCGGAGCCGGACGGCGCGTGTGCCCAGGCCTGAATATAGCGGAGCGCTCGCTATTCCTCGGTATTGCGTACATGCTATGGGCATTCACATTCGAACATGCGCTCGATGAGAATGGCGAGAAGATCCCAGTAAGCATAGAAGCAGTCACGCAAGGCATTGTGTGTCGGCCTAAGCCTTTCCCGCTCAAGCTCGTACAGCGCGATCCGGCGCGCATCGAGGTGTTGAAGGCGTGGGAGAATGCGAAGGACTTATTGAAGACGTATCCCGAAGGCATGCGGAGTACGCAATATGTTGCGGATTGGCAGCAGTTTACTGAGGATGAGAAGTTCTAGCTAGCGCCGTAGAATGCAAATCAAGAAGTACACTGAGTCTCCCACCATTGAGGACATGCGGGCATGACACCTAAGAGCGGCTCACCGGAATTCCAAACAAGCACGCCGGCAATGACCCTGTCCCTCCACTCGTAATAAAGCCCTCAAAGTCCACGTTCTCAAAGCTGCTCCCGGCCTCGTCGCAATCCAAGATGTTGTTAATGACGCCCTCGGCATCCACGCCGCTAACGCCCAGCCGCCCGATGCCGGCAGTGAGGCTGCGAGGGGCATCTCCAACTGCTGCGGTCGGTTTAATGCCTTCGATCACCGGCAGCCTGAATCTAGCACAGCCCCTGGAGTGCACGACTCCGGACCCTGAGCATGTCGCAAGGCCCTCGCCGTCTGCAAAGACAAGGTTCATGCCGATGTTGCCCCACAGCTGCGCGAGGAGATACAGCTTGATGTTGTCGTTCATGAAGCCGCGGTACTCAGCTTCAGAGGGGGGAGTGTTCATGTGATTACCGCCGAGGAGCAAGTCGCCGATAGCCGTGTCGCCGGTCGCGTGGTTGGTAACGAAGACGTCGTCGTTCTGTGCCTTCATGTTGTTCTGCACCCAGGGCACGATGCTGCCCAGCAGCGAGCGGAGGATTGCGGGCTGGTTCTCGATATTCTGCTCGAGATCGGCCGGGTTGGCCTGGTTGAGAGCCTGGCCGGCGAGCTTTTTGAACAGCGGCACCGTGGTCCGGAACCCGTTGAGCGCGGCGCCAGCTTGCGCGCCCGGGACGGGGACGAATATCAAGCTGAGCTTCGCCAGCGTGATGAGCACGCTGCGCTTGATAGGCAAGGGCTCGGCGGTAGCGTCGTTCACAATGTCCTCGATGAAAGGGCTGCCGGAGATGTCGCCGACCGCGCTGACGACGGCGAAGTTCATGTTCCGCAGGTTGTTGAAGATGTTGATCCATGCGTTGGCGATGAAGCCAATGTGCGGATTCGAGTTGGCGAAGGCATTACAGTCGCCGCCCGGGCCGTCCACGACAAAGAAGTCCGGGACGGGTCCGCACTGCCCGAAGACAGCAAAGTCTGCGCATTCGAATGGGACGCGGCTGTTTGCGTTTTGAATGAACGCTTTGGGGAAGTTGGCGACTGTGGCGGCCTGGTTAGCAAGCGTACATAAGTCGAGGAGGGAAGAAACGCATACCTCCTTGCCCGAATCCCGGTGTCCCGGATATGGTCGCGTCGATGTCGTTCGCTTGCCAGTTGGCTTGGGTGAGATCGGAGTCTTCGCAACCCGTAACCAGCTGCACCGTGTCCTGGCCATGGACAGATGAAATGGCCGCGAAGAGTATCAGCAGGGTGGATGAGTAGAAATTCATGGCGAAAATTATCGTTGGAAGCTTTTCGAAGGGAATCAGAGTGCTTTTAGTTCGATATTCCTCGGTGGTGCTCTATACTTCCTGAGTAGCAGCACCTACCCGCGTATTTATGAGAGAGCCAAGCGCACATACCGTCATCCAAAAAGCACGCCGCAGGAAAAATATCTGAAACGTTTCAGCGGACGAGCAAAGTATTCTCACATACTTAAGCTTGGGGTAAGCTCAGCACCCGGCTGCGCCTCATCTCTCTAGAGGTGCTTTTGCTCATTGAGGTTTACGTACACCTTACTGGGGGCCAAGTTGGCTTGGCATGCTTACTCGAAGTTTATAAGGGGCGTGTATCAGTAATATTTATTTATGTTTAAATGTTTCCGCATTCGTATAATGTGCATGGCTTGGCCGACTGCTACTATTCTTTCTCGAAGCACGCGAGCAACGTCGAGTCTCATCTAGAACGGAGCGCCTCTTCATTGCAAGACGATTACTTTTCAGGTTAGATGGCAAGTATTGAGAACTGAGTTGATTGAGAATACGAGAAATATGGCTATATATATGACCCATAGTCACGTGATGCAATAACCATATCCGGCAACAAAGAGGGAAGGAAGTAGCGCCCCGCTCGCGTTTCGGGCAGGTGCAGCCGAGGTGCCGCTGCCCTTCAGGCGTCCCCTCCCCATCATTTTTGAATTCAACGTCAGTGCCACCAGAACCCACGAACTTCGATGTTTTACTGCTCTCAGAAGCCATGATGATCTTTTCTAAGGCGTTATTACCCCATCCACCGCGTTCACACCCTCCAACCCATGCGTTGGGCCCTCCATGTGCGCGGCATGGGCGCTGCAGGGTTTCCCATCCCGCCAAACGCCTCGAATATTCAGTGTAGAATCAATGTCATCCAGTGGATTACCCTCGATCAGGAGCAGGTCCGCGTTTAAACCTTCCGCGAGCCTCCCGCGATCCGAGAACCCGAACCGTGTTGCAACCACACTAGTGGCTGAGCGGAGCGCTTCCTCTGGAGTCATACCTACCTTGTGGACAAAGAGGTATAACTCTTGATGAGCCGAGAGACCGAATGCGGTACCCACTGCTGGGCCCGCGGCGTCGCTCCCGCTGCCTGTTGTTAGCCATACGGACGGGGAAGAAAGACTAGACCACGCACCAGACAATGTCGATACCGGCTTTCTTCAGCATGCGCACGCTTTCGTATGCATACTCCGCCTTTGCTCCTGACTGCGCAGCGAAAGCCATGCAGTTGCAGAGGTTGCCGATCTCCTTCTCGCCAATCAAGCCCTTCACGCGCGGATCGTGCGCAAACCGATGCTGGAGTTCCTTTCCTTCCGTCGTCAAGCTTCCGATAGCAGCCAGCGTCGGGTTCAGCCACGCGTTGTTCTTCTTGTACGCGTCGACAAGCTCCTGCGTCGGAGGCTGATCGCAGATTGTATGCGTCAAGCCATCCACGCCGGCTTCCAGGACCTCGAGCGTATCCTTCACGCAAAGTGCGTGCGCGACCGTCGCATATCCTCTTTTGTGGGACTCCTCGATGATGATCCTTTCGAGCTCGACCGAGGGCTTGGTCAGATCCATGCCCAAGCTCGCACCTGACTCATGCATCAATTTGATGTAATCTGGCTGCATCTCCTTCTTGTTCCACTCCAGATACTCGATCACGTTCTCCCTGTTCGACAGCTTCGGCCACGAAGCGATCTCCGCCAAAGTCTCCGCACTCTTGTCATGCGCCATAATAACCGGAATCGGCCATCCGTTATCGATAGTCGCCGCTTGCCCTGCGGTCTTGTAGGACGCAGTATCTGGTTCCAGAGTCTGCTTCTTCAGCTTCTTGACGTTGACGAGCTCGTTGTGCATCTCGCAGACCGTCGTGACGCCGAAGCGGAGCGCCTGAGGGAGCGCCACCGGATTCGCCTTGTCGGCATGGATATGGCAGTCGATCAATCCCGGGAGCAAAGTGTGTCCCGGCTTCGAATAAGTCTTGACTGAAGCCTTTGGGGTGCCCGAAGCCGGTCCGACAGCTTGGATCTTTCCTTCGTGGACGTAAATGAAGCCCGCGTCGATGGTCTCCTCGCCCGTGAAGATACGGACATCACGGATGATGAAGGAAGCCATGATGTTGGACCTTATTCGCACGTGGTCCTAGTATGGGGATGCTGGACCGACTTTTCGAACCTTGAACGCGCATCGACTTTGGGAAGCGCTGCAATGTGGACCCCGCAGCTATATATTCTCCTTCCTCCGGATCTTCCCCACAAAACGCCCCGAACCGCCCGAAGTGAGGTCTCGACCAGTGGTACAGCAGCACTCCGCGGCTAGTTCCGAAATACGAGGCGCGGACCAAACTTAGTCTTCCGGTTTAGCGGAGCAACCCAGGTCTAGCTTGAACCCGGCGCTATTCCAGCAGAAGCGTCCGAGGCCTAGCAAACACCGACAGCGCGAGACGACCCTTCTTCTTCAGTTCTCCTACTCGTGTGAGCTTACCTTTCTGCGCTCGACAGACGGAGTTCTCGGCCGGCAACATTTGTCGCAGAATGCCGCTACGACTAGCGGGTACGAAGTTAGCGCAAGCTTCTTCGGTCTGAGGTCGGAGAGCCGGCCCAGCTCTGCAAGCCAAAATCTGCAATTTCGTTCGAATCTGCCACGAGACTCCAGCCGCGGTCTCTTTTGATTCTCGGGATTCTGATGTGTCCTACTCTTTCATTCGGACGCGCATTTCGTTCCATAGTTTTCAGTCTTTCTTCTTTTCTCATGGGGTCGAAATCGATATCGGCTCTTGCCATCGCTCATTGTCACGTGACCTCAACCGCGCCGGGATCGCTCATCGCTCATCCATTAGATCCAATATGTTTCCTTTGGCATTCGTTTACTGTTGTTGCAACACCGAGATTGTAAGGAATAGAAACAGTCTGATGCATATTTCGAGGGCGTAATTATCGTCTCCTCAGAGGTTGGCATTGACGCACCAAGGCTGCATCAAGGAGCCTCATGTGGATTTGATTGGTGCTCTCTCTCTTTCGGCGCCTGGTGCGCCTCGTCGACGCACACCTGAAGGCTTATCAGGCTGCAGCTGGTAAAGCAACCTTTTCGCTCGACTTCAGCCTTTTTCGCAAACATCGCATCCGTTCCTACCTCCGTCAAAGTCATTGCTCTTACAACGATTTCGCAGTCATCATGGTCAGCTGTGGTAGGAACCTCAACTGCACTGCTCGGGACGTCATACAGGCGAATCCAGACATCACAGGCAACGGCGTACGCAGCCTGATCTCCTTCGCTTTGCGAAATCGCGAGATGCCATGGCAATTTCTGAAAGCTCTGTTTCCGTTATTCTTCGATGAGCCCCAGCTGATCTAGCAATACAGGTGCTCGCGGCGTTCATTTTGTCTGCGCTGATGACAATCATCGCTGTCATATATGCGTACCTGTCCGACTCTCTTCCTGAGGCATGCTTGAATGAAATCGATAAGAAACAGATCTCAAATTTCCAAGCAGGTCTGAAGGCCTCAAGCGCAGCACGGATCTTGCGCAGCTTACGGGGCTGTTGCGGTACTCTAAAGAGAAGACTTGCTCATGAGAAAGAGGAACATGTTCCGCATCGTCGAAAACTCAACCGTGTGCAGCGGGAGGAAGCTATCACGCGATTCATCCTCTGCCTCAGCGATCAGCAGCTCGCAACGGGCCTTGCTATCTTACTCGCGGCCATTGCGAATCAATGCACACTCTCTAGCGATGAGTTTCGAATCGCAATGGCCCTCGCCTGGTTTTCGGCTACCACGCATCTTGCCACATTAGGTTCGCTCAAACAATACTTCATCACAAACAGCGAGATCCGCAACTGGAGAGTCTTCGGCATGGTGATCCTCCTTGTCCTTCTGATTTACTGCTTCGTTGTCACACTAGCGTTGGAAGGTGCTGACAACACCATACCGGTGCAGTGCACGATCAACCACGGAGCATCCCCCCTTGCGTTCTATTGGAATGTGGGATGGTTTGATTACCTATCGTGGATCCTTGCGTTGGTCAAGCTCATAGATGGCTATAAGTCGAGAGTCCTACAGTCGTATGACTATCATTCGAGCTTCTCTCTTGAGCTGGCCGTTGTCATCCTTCGACTTTTAGCCGCCTACAACAAAAAGATACCAAAGAAATCCAGGAAGGAATGGATCAGAGTGCTTGGTGAATGGGCGGCCGAACAATCTTCGATTTCTCGCCGACGGCTTCTGGGGAAATTTCAGGAGTGCAAGAGGGAAAAGGCAAAACGGCCCTTTTCATCCCGACTCAGGACCCGAGTGCTAGTCGGTAAATTGATTGATGAGGACTATGTCGACTCTTTGCTGCCTCAGCTTCCACTGTTTCTATTAGCCTACGGCTTTGCGCAGATGGCGTACTTTCGTTGGGGCACAACCGCGCTTCGGATCGACTCCTCTATGGGATTTGGCCAGATCACACCGATATTTCTGCTCGTTCTTCCGATTCTTGCGGGTGGCGAGATATACTATGGTAATCTGGAACATGTCACACCTGTAACTCGACCTACTGACACACACAAGAAACAGCAACACATGCCCAACATCGCACGAGCGAGAGAACTACCCCATACAATGAGTCCAGTGAGCGAAGCTCTTCATTCGAGGCTACCGCAATCAACCGCGCAAACACACTTCCGCCCATGTGCTCTTCCGGCACTAGCGACCCCGAGCTCTCCGAGCTTGAAGTTTCAGGTCAGCGTTACGACGAAAAAATTTCATACGTCAAAAAATACTTTCGTCGGGAATCCAAAGTCATTCAAGAGGCCATATCATCCGCCCTTGACGAAGAGCATATGCGGCAAGCCCTCAAAATGAAGCAAGCCGTGCTAAGGAAGACAGAAGAGCTTCAAAAATTGGAGCCCGACCTTAATGACATCTTGTCGGAGGTCCAAGTTCGCCGCACGTGGGGAATAATTCAAGCCGTCACTTTGGGAATTCTGCTGAATATACCAATTTCCCCCGAGGTTTTGTTTGGAGCCCCAATACTTTTCACACAAAATGTCCTTCAGCTGTTCGTTCGCGCTACAAAGTTCCTCGCAGTACTTCGCCGGCTGCGAGCCGAAATCAGGGCTGGATCCGGGAATGAATCTTAGCATGTAAATCATCCGGAAGCCAGACTTAGAGAGATTCCTGATTCTATCAGCCTCTGCGCGAAGACCCAATTCCGCTTCCGCTTCCTTCTCGAATCAAGCAGAGCCAGATGGAGCTGTCATCAAGTTTGTTCGGAAGGCACCCTACGCATAGGCCCCGGTCTTCTACTCATTTCATCGGCAGACCTGTCACCGGAGCGTTGGACTACCGCCGATCTCGCAAGCTTCTATGGGTTCGTCGACACTATCTCACCGACGGACGAGATCTTATGGCATTGCTGATGCCGAGGCCCTGCAGCTGGAGACGTCAGGCCAGATTTACGATGAGTAAATTCATGATATCGTAAAAGCCTTCGTTCGAGAAAGGAAAGACGTTGAAGAAGCCTCCGCAGCGGCCGTTAACGTCGATGACACAAGCGCGTTGTGCGAATAAAACAAGATGTATTACAGAGGGCTCAACTGCTTCAGAGACAGGTGCGAGAATACCCCTGAATCTGTTTGACATAGCCAAACAATCTCTAAGTACGTCCCCGATAGGTCTAGAAACGGATGGATTCTCCGGAAACCTCATCAGTTTGTTCTTCTCCACCGGTTTATATGAGAGGCTCTTTGCTTTGCAAATCTCTCTCAGCACGCCTTTTGTTCAACCCTAGCCACCGCCGACCTCACCAGCTTTCATGACCTCAACGAATCCCTCATCCGCCGGCCACAGGAATAGTATCCAAAATGCGGGCAGCGGAACACCTCTGCATGATCAAGCGTCTATACCCTACAGGACGAGCCGAGTGGCCGCTCCGAATCGAGGTCAGTCTGATCCACCAAGCGTGCCGCATCAACTAACATGGGCTGAAGCGGACCTAAAGTGGAAACCAACCGGTCCTACGATAGAGGAGCAAATAGCCCAACGCAGCAGTTTTGGCCGCACTATCTTCGACGCCAACCTCAATGAAATCACGGAGAAAATAAACAACATGGACGCGAACCTCAGCAAGAGACTGGAAGACATGCAGATGGGCTTGGATACGAAGATGGGCAAGTTCACGAAAGAAAATGAAAGCCGTTTAGACCGCATGTCGAAGAAGTACCAAGGGAAGTTGGGGAGCTTACCTCCGCAGACGGCAGGAAAGTCCGATGGGAGAATGTAGCAGTGCTTTGCGTTGTAGATATTTTCCCGTTCAAGGAAGCTCATTACGAGGGAACATCATAGAAACCCCTCCCCTCCTCTTCTCCCCCGGAGAAAAGAGCGCCAGAATGATGGAATATGCAATTACACCATAGGTCCGTTAGTCATGGAGATATTACAAGCTCATCGAACAAATTCTCCTTTCATTCTCAGCATGTACTTCCGCCACCCTCAAAAGTAAAGCCGCGAGAAGGACTCAAATCCCATGAGCAAATTCGTCATTCCTCATTAGTGAAGTACCGGCCTACCCCAGCCTCAGAGGGGCGATCGACGGCGTGAGCTCATTTTCACGATCCATCGCTATCACTTCTTCTCGAATGGTGTAGAATCGCGAGAACAAACTGTTTTACCATCTCTTTCTCCTTGTCGGTGGAACCTCAAGCGAGACTTGCTTCACTTTGTTTTGCACATGACGTATGTTTGCTTCTATGTTTCCCTTTCCTTCCTTGCTATATAATACGGCCCTTTTCCTCCTGACTTTGGAATGTGCAGAGCGGCGTTTCCCAGATGACCGGAGGCAACGTTTCCCCAATGACCGGAGACAACGTTACCAAGATACCTTCAGGGATGGCGAGCAGCAAGCCGGAAGAGCATATGAGCCCAGAGGAGCCTCAAACAACCCCCGGCGAAGGTGGAACACCAACCAGCGATCAGAATGCCCGCAATGATACTAGATGGTCTGACGTCCAGCGGATGTTTGACTCCACCAACACGCCCGGTGTAGCGTCTGAAGAACAACCCCAACAAGGCGAGGCTGCCAATAGCCAAGCAGCCACTGAGCCAGGTTCCACCCATTCCACGTCCCCGCATGCACTCTCGCTCCCGGTAAGGCCCTCGCTGTTTGAGTCAAATTGGGCGACCGATCAATATCGTGGTCCCTCGTTCTCGGAAATCTTAGGCACCAACGTCAAGCAAAACCAACCCGCTCCCGCTCCACCCCAGCAACCTCCAGTTCTCCCCAGAACGACGTTCGATTTCTCCGCTCCCCCTCCCACCAGCATGAGAGACACGTAGACTACGCTCGTGCTCAAGGATCCTAAGACTGAGTTTGGAAACTTACATGCTCACATCTCTCAATGTCACACCGCCCTGCAGAGCAACTTGGATGCTATGGCGAGGTCCTTGGGCGGGGTTGCGGTGGGCTTGCAGCAAGTCAAGGATTTGGCTGTCGAAGCTAAGAAGGATTTCGTGGGGGCTGGGAGAGAGGTTGTGGAGTGCGGGAAGCTGAGGAATGAGTGTGAGAGAATGATGTTGGAGGTTAAGAGTGTGATTGCGGGTTCGGGGTTGACGGATTTGATCGCAAGGGTGGAGAGGGTGGAGACGGAGAACGCGGAGTTGAGGGGAGTGGTGGAGAGGCTGAAGGATAAGGATGAAAAGGAGGGAGAGGAATAGGGAACTATCAATGGCTCTATGAGAGGCGGAGAACGCATGTACCGAACGTGCCGAACGTGCATAGACAATCTGGCAAACATGGCAAGTAAAATAGAACGCAGTCTATGAGACTAAATTCTGTTTTGACCTTGGAAAAGCCCATCCTGGAGTCCTTCAGGCCACTATCGCAAGGCCAATCATTCCCTTGATGCCCCCGCCTACTGGCCTTCCCTATACTCGTAGCCTACCACACTATAGCCAACTGAGTCTCTAGTGCGCAGAAACACCATCTATCCCCACAAAGATTACCTGGACAGCCGCAAAGCTGCTTCCATCAGTACGGCGGTTACTTTCTTATCTTACGGGATACTCACACCGCAGTTACAGTGAACACATCGATTCTCCTCGCATCGGTAAACACACCCAGACACACCGAAATCAGCACGTTGAACGCCGCCATCGCACCCAGCCGTGCCTTGAGCGATCTCAGCGATATGAGCACCAAGATCGACGCAATGGGCAAGAGCGATGCCAAAATCGACGTTATCCAGAACGTGACTTTGAGCACCGTCGAATCGTAGTACACGCGCCTTCCAAGATGACGGTCCGCTTTCTTCAGGCGCCCGAGACCGCACTTAAAGAGGTGAATCGCATTTTCGGCGACGAGACGGGAGAAGATGTCCTGCTTCATACGAGGCTTTATGCCGACTAGATCTGGTGGGTGGTTGTCTAGCTCTTCCGGATTACCCCATGTGACGGAGTCCTCGCCATCCATATCAGCAGGGCCCATGTCGTCGCTCCAGAGGAAGAGCTGGATATCGTGGAGATCGAAGCGGTCCGGGGGTGTCATCTTGTGGAGAAGGGAATGCTGGATCAACGCCTTATCTTTTAAGGCGAGCACTGTCAGCAAGCTCCTCCGTCAAATGGACACGTGACTGGGAGCTCACTGTACTGCTTCAGCTTCTTCCTCATCTTCTCAATCAGGTCCAGCTGCCTCCTTCCCTCGTTCAAAGGCGCCTCTAGCAGGCACTGAAAGTCCGTCGCGAATTCTGAGCGCTTTCCCTTCTTATCCTTTTTGTCTCTCTCCTCCTGCTCCTGCAGCGCTTTCTCCAGTATGCACAGCTCGGCTTGCAGATAGAGCAGGTTCCTTGCATTCAGCGCGTCGAACCTGCGGAATATTCCGGTTTCGGGCTTCACTGCGATACGCTCAGCCAGTCGAGGATATCCGATGGGGAAGTTCTTCCATGCTTCGCGGAAGGGGCTGGTGGCAGCCGTCCCTTCAAGAGCTTTTTCGAGCATCGTCGGTGGGGTTGGCTTGTGCGACATAGGCGGCGCGGAAGAACTGTCGACGGAATTGGGCGTGCTGCTGTTCTTTAAGTGCTCATCTTTGGGCAGCGCGTTCATGCTGTGCCCCTCATGATGGGATTTGTGTTATGTTACACTACATTCTTGTTCAGTATCAGGTTGCGGGATGTGCACTTTGGCGCACGGGTATATTTAGGGTTCGGTGGTGGTACAGTAATCGTGACTTCGTCCTACCTCCCTCGCTTGGGTACTTCCACAGCCATGTACCCTCCCCTGTGCGCGCGTCAATTCCTGTAGTATTAGCTCTCAGGAGTCTCCTCAGGGTCAGAGCGAACCGCAGCATAGCGCGTAATTTCTAATTCCCGGTATTTCACATAAGGAAAACGCGCCCGGAGGGTCACATATCGGCCTTGCCATCTACCATCCCGGAGTGCTCCAAGGGCTAATAGGCGCCAACTTCCAGGTCGTGCTAATAATATTTTCAGGAGCAAAAGGTGAACACCTAGTGCTTTCTGGAAGTTTCGCCCATATATATCCGGTAACAAATATACACCAAAAGTCAAGTTTGCTGACCTGCTCGATGACACGGAGCTGTCCCGCTCCTCACTTTCCGAGAAGTTCGAAGGTGCGCTGAGAACTTTGTGGGTTCAAGTTTGCATCCACTAGCCTGGAAGTCTTCAAGGTGCACTGGAGAGGACGAAATATCCGCGTGTAAGTATATTTTCCTTCATTGACCTATCATAAAAATACTTTTCGCCTCTACCCTAATCCGTCACCTCCAGTCACCAAGGAATTCTGATCCCACGGCTTATCAGCACGCAAGGGAAACCTATAACGCAGATTGAGGCTACGAAGAGACAATTCTATATGACCGTGGCATTGTTGGCTTTACCTACCAAACTATACGGGAGTCACCACCTTTTCGTACTGCCTATTCCGCATCCTGAAAGCGCGTTGACGTCCTGCGGGCGCCAATACTAACCCAGATCCTCCGCTCGCTCTACGCATACCGTTCATATCCACTCATCTGATGAGAAGCACTCCACCATTTGCACCCCCAACCCCCCTACGGCGACTCGATCTCCACCGTTTCGGTGTACCGATCAGCTCCCCTCGCTCCACAATTCACACAATGCTTCAGCGAGGTCCTATCCGGATAGTGGCGGAAGCACGCATTGCAGAACCACCCCGTCTCACTCCCTGTATTCTGAGTGGAATCTTCCGAACTTATGTCGCTCGTCCCAATTGGCACCACGTCCTTGCATTCCTGGCATTTATTTCCATGCTGGGGCCAAGTTGGGTGGTTGTCGTGCTGGCATACGGTTCCCGAATAGCGAGACTCCGCCTCGTAGTAGTGGCACTGGCAGCAGACCCAGCCGGGAATAAGTGCCCGAGCTTGCTTGCGTTCCTTGGATTTCTTTTTCCGGTCAGATATCTTGCGACTGATCTTGTCCTTGAATTTGCTGATCTTCGATTGCTCGCCTCGTTGGCCCTGACGAAGTTGGGTGGGAATTTGAGCACTTTTCGAAGTCATGATGGTATTGCCGCTCGCGTGCTAGTTGCTGAGACATTCTTCTTCGTGCTTTTATATTATGAACTTTCCCCTTGCTTGCTATACTGGCAATCATGCCTCCACAACGTGGGTCACGGTGCACGTCAGTTTGTGTCGTCACGGAGGAACTAGGCATGAGCAAGAAAACATCAGACGGCCCCGTGGAAGCAGCATAGAGGCTGGTGGGCGCTTTAGAATGAACCTCGCAGTGAGTAGCAAAGTAGTGATGCTAAGAGCAGTAGGTGAGGGACCATCGCATGTGAGGACTGGAGCAGATGACAGCGCTTCCCTATGATCGCCCCAAGCCGGAAAGAGTTACGATAAGTGTTCACAGTCAATTGTTTTCCCTCCCGATAAAAGCATATTACAGTTTGAACTCGCAAAGCTTTGCGTGAATACATGGGCCACGTGACGCTGGCTTTCTATACCGGTTGGCAAGCGATACGTGTGCTATGTACTGATCGTGGGATTCTAATATCCAAAGTACAGCATACTGATTATAAGTTTTCTTATTAGATAGAGTTTGTACTTGTGTATTCTGAGGCTTACCGCAAGCGATAATCCTTCCAATGAAGAGAGACCAGCGGCAATGATAATCCGGGAGCTTTCTCTATCCTGATAAGCGTCAGCATAGCTACCCAAGAGAAACTCAACCATGTATAGCACTCTGAAGCACTTTAGGAAGACCTTTCCATACTCGCTCGCCCTCAAAAGTAAACGGTGTTCACATGGCTTGATCCGCATGGCATAGCTCCGCTTCATTCAATCTCCTGCCGAGCATAACCTTTAAGTGAATGCGGGTCAGATGCTGCATCTCGACCTAGGCAGCATTCTACCACGTCTGAAGCAGCAGTTGGCCGAGGCCCTCCGGGAGGCTCGATACGTATGGAAACTGGACTGAGCGTAGAGGGCTGAAGCACACCAAGAGGGCGCATACGTATGAAAATTAGACTGAGCGTAGTGGATTGAAGCACACCAGGAGGTCGGATACGTACGTACCTTCTAATTATGCTGCAGGAGGAATATTCAAAAGGTGCAGCATTTCGCTCTACGTTTTCTTCTCCCATCCTGCCGCGAGGAGGCTCTGCGCCTTTATGTAGTGCCGCCTGGATAGGTCTTGTCGGGGGACGACCAAAATGCAAGAGACGTAACACCGGGTTCCTTGGTATGGCGAGAGCAGATAGCCTGTACAGAATGGTGCTCCGGAGAAATACGAGCCCCCAAACCCGAAGATGTCGGCGCCGAAGGGCAAGCAATGTGACACGGAATAGACGAGGAAGAATACCATAAAAGAGAGAAGGTTGAAAGGATATAGGCGACAGATTAAAGGTCTAGGATTCGCAAGGCATGCGTTCGGGCAGGATTGGTTCCGGAGGGAGTGCCTCCTTTCCCGCCTCTTCACCTCGCAGATCTCAACATGATCGTGAAGCAACCTTTCTTAAAGTCGGATTAAATAATATAACGCACAAGCAAGAGAAGCGCAGCGCAGATACGGACATTGGCGAGTTATGAGGGTGAGTGAGGAAGAACCCGACATGTCTTCAGGTACCTAACCGACGTTCACACGCTAACCCCAATCCAGTCTAGCGCATTTCCCTCCAAATTCCCAACCTCAAGAACACCTCCCCAAAACACCACACCCTCAAACATCCAATCACACCAAACTCCCCGCTCTCTGCCCATGTCCCTCCCTCGCACCCGCCCGCCGCGCTACAAACCGCCACACTAGCCTCTCACTCTTGGCGATTCACCCAGCGTTTCAAATGCCCAGCCCAAACCCCTGCCCGTTAGATCTGTGGAGCTGAGACACAAGCGTGCGTCTCAGAACGGGCGGCTTCGCACTGCGTCGCGCTTGGAATTGCCCTGCACCACACTGTACGGAGCATAGACCGCGGCATTTAGAACGGCGGAGGAGGGTCAAACGGGTTCGGTTGCAGAGGGCTTGCGATGGCGAGATGAGAAGATGGGCAGCGTTTGGAGTAGGTGGTACTAGATGCAGTGGATGTGGCCTTGGGTTTTGCTTCCCTTCTCTTCGTTAGCTGTGCTCGCCTTCCTTTCTATCGTCTTATAGTTGTCTTATCTTCTCTAGTCGGACCCGGCGTCGATTATCGTTTATCGTTATTGCCTAGAAAGGAAGAAGGAAAAGGAAAAGAACAATGGACCCCCCGCACTCCTACAAGAATCTCGCGTCTCAGTCTCACTCGCACCACGATGACGACAACGACTCATCGACCGAGGTAGAATCGCTCGTCGGGCTAGAAAAGCACTGGGTGACCGACGGCTTCAAGAGCCGGACGCGGAGGCGGTCGAAGCGCAGCACGTGCGTAGCGATTCTCAAGGCGTCGCGCTGGTTCCTCGTGATAGGGCTACAGGTCGTCATCGTCGCGCTGCTGGCGCGAGATCAGGGCCTACTATCGAGCTTGAGATTAGGAAGTGGGAGGCGGACGACGAGCGCGCAGGACGTCGGGGGCGATGTGACGGGCTGGGGGCCGCACAGTATGATAATTTGCTTTACTTGCTCTGCCATAGCGGAAAAGGAAGAAACCGGGTTGGGTGGCTAACACACGTGCGCAGTCCCGACGCAAATCACGACGTTCAAGATAAACCAAACCTTCGCGCCGTACAACACATCCGACTTCTTCAAGCCGGAAACGCTGCGGGCCTGGAACGAGCTGATGCCGGTGGGCATGGGCTTCCAGCAGATCCCCGACCCGTCGCAGTACCACGACCTGCCGACGCCCATCGTGTGGCCGGGCGCGACCGTCTTCACCACGTCGATGACGCACCAGCTGCACTGCCTGTTCGCGGTGGTGGAGGTCTATAGCGGGCTGAAGGCCAACCATCCGCTGCCCGAGGACCACCACTGGCACATGATACACTGCTTTGATTATATGCGGCAGGCGATTATGTGTAGTGCGGATATGAGTCTGGAGGGGCTGGAGACGACGTTCCCGGATCATAATGGGGGGAGTGATGGGTGGGATAGTAAGCATGTTTGTAAGGATTATGGGGAGGTGAGGAAGTGGTTGGAGGGGGTGAGGGCGTATGATGATCAGGAGATATTTTAAGGGTGTGGATAGAGGAGACGAGGTGGAGCGAGGGAGGAGGAGGTGTATATAGGCGAGGCTTTGTCCTATTTCTTCTTGTATATCGAAGCGCGAATTCATTTCCTCAACAAAAATGTCGCGTTCCATCGTGCTGCTTCGACTGTGATAACTGTCAGGCATGCTGTTTCCAGTACTTCCGCTCGCTGGATCGTATCGCCCTTGTTGAACATTCTGTAGTACCATTTCTCCTTCGGCATTGGAGTCCCTGCCGCGTACGGGCTCGGCCTCGATGGTGGGAGCTGGCGAAACTGCGGCGGAATGCAGCCGTCCCAGGCGTGGTGGAAGAGCGAGCGGCAGGCAGGAGGCGTAATATTGCGCTTGGGGCCTGATTCCGCGGTAGCTTATTGGCTCAGTCTATTATAGCCACTGTTGCGCGTACGGCTGCGAAGTGGCGGTAAGTTTTGGAAGTCCCGCTACCGCTTGACGCACAAGTCACTTCGGATGACCCATTTCTCGCCCTGCAAAACCTCACGTCCTTCGTGCAGCATGCACTCAGCACCATGACGATGAAGCAGTGCAAGTCCGGCTTCGAGGCCCACAACGAACGGCTCAGGAGGAGGCTCCTTGCTCTTCTTTTTCAAGGGCACTGGCTCGGGATAAAAGACGGTTTCGCCTCCCATGCATCCTGTTGCGGGAGATGTAAGGTAGAGTAGAAGAGTCCAGGTTGTTCGAGCAGGTATGGGCGGTGACCCTGGGAGCGTCACGTAGTTGGAATCGTCATCTGCACTAGGTCAGCGTCGGAATGCACAAGATGGCATCGCTCTGTCAACAAGCCACAGGATTACGGAATGGGGCACATACAATGCTGGTCAAAGAACTGGCCTTTCGAATAGCGGTAGATGCGAATGTTCGGGTTGAGGCCAACCTGGGCGATGTCAGTGGCAGCATGGGAGGAAGCCGCGAGGGGGTCATTACCACTTCGCCACCCCAAAGCTGCTTCCGCTGTGCATCATCCAGACCAAGGCCGTCATAATCGACGTTCCCCAAAACCAGGTTCTTTAGAACAGTGCCGCTCCAAAGCCTTTCCGCAAAGACGGGGTCATCTATCTGGAAACGATCATTGACACGGACGGCCTCGCCCCTCTTGGGCTTGCCGGGAGTCGTAGTGAGCGAAAGCGAGGACAGGAACGAGACGTAGTTCTTGCAGAGGGTGGCTGTCCAGAAGTTGGGGATCGTAACAATCTGGCCAGGCAGCAGCTCTTGGAGCGAGAGATCTGACTCCGGTATGAGTGGAGCAAAAGCCGGCCAATTCGGCGTCTGCTTCACAGCACTGTGACTCGACGCGGGTGGCTTGGCCGATGAATCATTCTTCCCTTTCTTCTTGGGCGCCATCGCAATGGGGGTGCTCGTTCAGGTCTCCGACTCAACAATGACTCCGACCGAACGCCAGGTAACTCTGCGTACCGCCACTTCCGGTATTGAGAGAGAACAGAGTTGACAGCGGAGAACCAGCGGTAGTGAATGAGAATGGCCCAACTGGTAGAGAACCAGAGTTGGGGCTTTCCAAGGTTTCCTTCTCGTCCAGGCTGCGCTCTTCTGACCTCTGCTCCTCTGACCACTCACCAGCGCATCTAATCAAAGAGCATGGAGGTGTTACCGCCAATCGCTTCCGGGCTCGGAATGATGCCGTCTCTTGATGGCTCCTCCGAGATGTTCGATGGAGCAGGTGGGTCGCTGACGGGCCTCGCGAATGGCAGCGACGGCCAAGCCACTGCACGTGCGCGGGACACAGACCGGCAACCGCCGCCAGCTTCTTCCCAACGCCGACCGACCGCGACACCAGCCGACGACTGGCTGCAGGCTTTCTTCGACGACAACGACGCCGACGACGACTCCTCGCTCGCAGAAGCCATACACCCGCTCACCTTCTCTCTGTACGGCCTTGAGCATCCTGGTAGGCCTCTCGCACGCTTGCGCGCCCGTCGTTGCGGGCGCGGAGCGGCTGACGGCGGTCTGGGCTAACGCACCCCCAGAGTACACCCTCAACATCTCCCCGTGCTGCGACCATGGCGACGGCAGCATGCTCGTAGCCCCCGGCGAGCAGTCGCATTTGCTCACTGGACATGCCGCCGCCTCTCACGATGCCCCCCTCTACCCGTCCGCGACCGCACCTTCCCCCAGCGCAGACATGGAAGCTGCGACCGCCGATGCGCCCAGCGCGCCTGCCGACCCCATGGCTCCCACAGTCCCCGACCTCCCGGGCGCCTTCGTCCCAGACATTCCCAATGCACCGTTCGATCCGATGAGCACAGCGGGCCTCGAGGGGCAGCCCGCAATGGCCGCCGCCATGCCGAGCCTCGACGCCCCCATCTCCCTCCCCACCGACATGCAGTCTTTGGCTGCCGACTATACCATGGGAATACCCATGAACGGCTACACGCCTCATGCGCCTGCGCAACAGAGGCTAAGTGCCTTCGCGCGCCTGCGCTTCGACGACGGATCGTACTACATGCACACCTACCAGATCATCCTCGGCCGGAACGTCCAACTCGCCCACAAGGACATGCGCCGCCTTGCCAAGGTCGAACAATTGAGGGCTAAGGGCGAGCCGGAACGCGCGCAGGCCCTGCTCCATGGCAAGAAGCGCAAAAGAACCCATGGAGGCCCTCGCAGTGTAATCAGCGAGGCGGGAGGCATTGTAAATGCGCCCGTTTCTATGATGCCCATGGAGTACCAGCAGCGTCGTCAGAGCATCGCCTCGCACTCGGTCAGCTCCGGCCACGGCGAATCTGGCCAGGAGGTGGAACATGCCCCGCAGGAGATGCTCATGCAAGCCTTCCCCGAGGCCCCCGATCAGCTCGATGCAACAGTAACAGAGGACCCGAATGACTGCCCGCTAGTGCCCATTCATCCACAGCATATCACGCACCGGACTGGCGTCAGGGGTCCGAAGGGCATCAGCCGGCAGCATGCAAAGATCTTTTACGACTTTGAGACCGGCCATTTCTGCCTAGCTGTGCTCGGATCTAATGGACTGTACCATGAGGATCAGTTCCTGCCCAGAGGCGCCTGCGTTGAATTGAGCCATGGCGATACCATCACCATCGGCATGGTGGAGATGGCCTTCTTCCTGCCAGATATAGCTCTCACCGAGGAGCAGCGTAACCACCAAGAATCAGGTTCCCATTCTCGGCCGATGAGCTTTAGCTTTGAAAATGGTCAGGGGGAGCTGGAGAGCGACGACGGAATAGACGATGATTCCGTGAGCGAGGATATGAGCAGTATCAACCCGCGCCATGTATATCACTATCCGGTGGGCAGTGACCTTGAATCCGACGAGGACGCGATTGGTGAAGAAGACGAAGAAATGGTAAGTAGAAGTGACTCTGTATCACTCTTCCTGGAGCCCTTCAGCGGAAGGTGTTCAGACGGAGATGTGCTGCATCATTGAACGCGCATATGCTAATTATTTGTTAGGAGGACGAGGAACAGTACAGCCCGGAGCCCCGACCGACGCCGAACTTGAAATTGAAACTCAAGAATAAGCATGCGCCGCCGCCTCTCAAGCCCAAGAGGGGCTACAAGAGGAAGGCGATACGGGAGCCATCTCCAGAGGAACCTCCGCCGAAGAAGGCAAAGCCGCCCAAGGATAAAGGCAAATCTGTCAAGATTCCGACAAAGATGCCCGCCAAAGCGCCGGCCAAGGAGCCAGCAAAAGCTCCGCCCGAAAAGGCGGCGAAAGACTCCACGCCTAAGGATGAGACGGCTAAAGCTGCAGTCAAATCAGAGAGCCCAGTTGCCATGCGTAAACCAGAGCCGAAGGTCGAAGGCGAAGAAGGGGAGGTGGAGGGGATCATCACCGCCGAAGTCGCTCGACAGCACGGTCTTCCTGACTCACTCATTGGAACACCTCTCATCAAGCGGAAAGGCCCCGGTCGACCTCCTAAAGATGGCGTTATGTCGAAACGCCAGAGGTCCCAGCTCATCAAGCAAGCGAAAGAGATCGAGAAGGCTAGAGCAGCTGGCATCGACCCAGCGGATCTGCCCACTCCCACCGTCAAGCCCAAGATTGCGCGCCGCAAAGAGTCTAATGCTGGGGAAGACGACGATATCCGGGAGACAACCGAGAAGGGTGATGGTGTCGGCAGCACGAGCGACAAGAAACAGGCGAAGCCGAACAAGCCTCCACGAACCCCGTCGCCTGAAATGAGAATTGAGGACTATACAGAGGAGCAGTTACAGCGTCCTACTGCTAACTACGTCGTCTTGATTCATGAGGCAATATCGTCATCGCCCACGGGGCAAATGAACCTGCAGCAAATTTACAATTACATCGAGCGGAACTATCCCTGGTACAAGTTCAAGACGACGACGAGCGGATGGCAGTCCAGTGTTCGGCACAACCTTGGCCAGCACGACGCGTTTGTTAAGGGTGACAAAGAAGGCAAGGGATACATGTGGAGAATCAACCCCAGCGTGTCCATCGAAAAAGAACGCCGGAAGCGGCAGGTCAGCCCACCACAGGTGAATCAGGCGCAGCGGCAAGGATATTATCCGCCTCCGAATGCGTATCCGCCACCATACGGGCAGCCGGGATACTATCCTCCTCCCCAAGGCGTCCCACCGAATGTTACGCCGCGGCCTCCCCCTAGCGTCCAGCCTGTTCAGCCACGCCTTCCTCCCAGCTTGGCCCGCAATGCCGAATCTGCATCGCAAGACAAACCTTCGTATACCTCACCATGGGCAGGTGGAAATGTGGCCGGTCAACCAGCAAACCAGAATCCACTGCGCCCTTACCCTCCGCCCACCTCTCAAACATCACCAGCAGGCTTGGCTGCCCCACCAAGCGGACAGTATGGTGTCCTCTACCCGACGACTGCCCCTCCAACTTCTGCTGGTGACTATACATCCGCAGCTGCGTACGGCGGCCATTATGCAACATCAGGACCAAGCCCATATTCCACCCCAGGTCGCCCATACACACCCTATCCACCGTCAGGAACCCCCTCGACTGTTCCTCCAGCGCCCTCCGCAACAGCACCGGGTTCTCAGACACCGCAGACTTCTGCTTCTCAACCACAACCCCCCCAAAACGAATTGGGCATTCCTCACCCGTCGGGACGCTATCCACTGTCCACCAACCCGGACCTCATCCGCCAACTCGAAGCCTTCCGAACAGTCTATCTCCAGACCCGCATAGAGCCTGGGGAGGATAAGAAGGTTGACAATGCGATCCGGGCGTATGTGACGCCCGAACTTGCGATGAATCTGACGCCACAGGAGCAGAATCTTCTGAACTCGATTAAAAGCATTCCCATGCTCGAACAGCTCCGGGGTGGAAGTCAGCCCATCAAGCAAGAGGAAGGTGCTCGGGCAAGCGAAGCAACGGTGCACGTCAACGGAGAGAACAAGGACGCTGCTCCGACGGCGGCAGCGAGTACTGCTGCTGCTATTGCAGCCGACGCCGCGGCTCCTTCATCCAACGAACCGCAAAAGTTCACGCCGAATATGACCGGCCCCCCACCCTCCGCCACGACTCCGACTCCGACTCCAATATCCGCGGCCGTCCCCGCGCCCATGCGTGTGCAGACGCAGAGGCCGAGCGTCGAGCCCCTGACGCCGGTTCCTGGATCCCCAGCTATTCAGAACGGAACACCTATGAAGCGGCCTGCGCCTGAGGCAGGTGTTGCTGGGACGGAGGACACGGTGGGCGGTGCCCAGCTAGAAGTCGCAAAATCTGAAGCGGAGGCCGTGTCGCAGGTCGGGTCAACATAATGCATCCCGGCGACTACAACATCCACGACATTTGGGCCTACAAAAAGTTCTCCCCTTCCCTACGGATTTGGTATCCGTTATCCTAACATGCCTCATACTGCTTTGGCTTAGCTCGGTGCGGTCCTCCAGCCGGCACACGATTTCTGTTCTACGCGACGCATCATCTTTCTGGCGTTTATATGGTGGAATTTTAGGACTTAGGTTACGGGCGATTATAGATACCCGGCGCTCTCGAGATGCGGGCGGACAGCAAAAGTTTCATGGTATATGTCTCAGCTATGGATTAATGAATGGACTTTGGGAATGCAGGGGCTGGCTGCGCTGGGTTGGGTTGGGTTGGCGTGGTACCTCCTCTGAATGAATACGTACATGCAATAGAGCTTGGTTTCAGTCTCTGATGTGTAGTCCTTGAGAAGTGTATAGTGGAGCGTGGAGGCCTTCAGTCTCTTTCACAAGGGCCCCGCGTGATCTGCGGATGTGACGGTGGTCTTTCACTCCCACTAAGTCCCGTATGCTCGTGCACTGTGCCAAATGTGCGCTTTGAGGAGATCTGAAATTGCAAGGTATATCCGCACGCGCTCTCCACTCTTGCTATAGAGAAAGCGGGTAGAAAACGTCTAAGGTCGCAATTATGCCGTAGAAAAGACACACAGAAAGAAGTCCCGCGCCGTATAACAGGGCTGCCAAATCGCCCGGTACGCCGTCCAATCTCATTCGCTCATATGCCCGCCTTACCCGCCTATTATCGCCTCATCCTTGCGCATGCGCCGTCTTCGCCTACATAGCCATCTCAGCCTGCAGCTTCCGCAGCTCCTCCTCCTCATCGTCCTCCTCGGCCCGCACCGGCGTCTTGCCCTTGACTTCTGCCTGCGGTGCTTGTGGTAGCCGGCCGACCTTATCGCCGACGGGGACGTTGCCGGTATTCAGCATCTGCTCGTCGAGTTGTTCTTGCTGCAGCTCTGCGAGCTCCTCGTCCAGCTCGTCTTCGTCGATGCCGCCAGTGGTGACGCCAGATGTTATAGCTTCGCTGATTTCTTCGCCGATCGCGTGCTGCTCGCGGAGGTCTTCCCTGTTGGGTGGATGGGGTTAGCGGATGTAGATGCTGAGAGATGCGGGAGGGTGTCCGAGGGATATCAGGGGGGACGTACATTACATTGTCGACCTTGTCGATTGTGAGACCGGCGTGGATCTGCTTCATGGCCGTGCCAGCGTTCTTCATCGCATCCAGCGTCTCCTTATTAATATTCGCCGTCTCGATGCTATAAATCTCCTTCTCGAGCGTCATGATCTGGGAGCTCGTCTGCTCGAGGGAATGCTCAAACTGTTTCTTCCGCCTCAGTGCCGCCTTTGCCGCTATGCGATCCCGCCATCAGCACTCTCTTTCCGTAAGCAGCGATAACAAGGGCAAATGCTCACCGCTTTTGTTCGACGATACGAATTTTCGGGCCAGTGTGTCTTGCTCGTCCATCTGGTTCTGCAGGTGCTTTTCCCGCTTGTTCAGCATCTCGAGCTGCCCGCGGAGCTGCAGTATCGCCTTCTTCGGAGCTTCCTTTTTGGCGGCGCCGCCGCCGAACCAGCCTAGCCCCCAGGCGGACATCTTGCTGGCGGTTCACGAGTATGAGCGGCTTTGGATAGGGGCTTGAGGGACTCAGGAGGGGTGTTGTCGGCTCCGACTGCGCGGGGTGGGGTGTGCTGCTATGGCGGGGTGCGGCGACGGGTTCGAGGCGGGGGTGGTGGATCTGGAGCTGGCGATGCCTGAATGCAGCTTGGTGTCAGGGAACTAGTAGCTCAGGAGGGTCTGCGGCGGTTGGTTGCTCGGTGGATATAAGGTTGAAGGTTGCCTGGCAGCAAGTGCAAGGCGCGAGTCGGGCGCCAGTATGATGTCGTTGCGCTAGCCCGGACATGGGCACGTGCGTCTCTTGGCGTCGGGGAAACGAATGCCCGATGCAGGTGGTTGACCTTGTGAACATCATGTCTGGTCCGGTGCCTTCGAGTCTGGTACTGCTGAGCGAGCTGGAGGAATGCGCGCCTGGGGGAAAGGTCCGATTTTTAGGATGGTATGGTCTGCGCTTTCGATACAACCAGCTCCTGCTAATTCACCGCCCAGCGTCGAGGAATATGTCGTCAAGACCGCGACGCTCCGCCTGAAGCACGATTTCCCTCGCTTCAGTCCGCCGAAAATCGCGAATGTAAACGTTGAGCAAGTGCTTGAGTCGATCAAGCGAGCGGAAGTCGATGTCGGGACGTGGATCAATGTGATTGGCTACGTCGAGCGGCGGGAGGAAAAGGGCATCTTCGTCCAGGCGGTCACCATCTGGGATGCCGGGAACGTAAATTTGGACGCGTATCAGCAGGCGGTGCAGAGGAGGAAGGAGGTCGGATGAGACGGGGACCTCATGAGAACACAATCAAGAGAAACATTGCAAGGCTCGATCAGTCGCCGCAGAAGGGGCTATTGACGAAGTACTGTACGAGGATGCGGCTGCTTCGTTGCTACGTCCGAGCCTCCTCCAAAGCAGGACGATGGCATGGAGCCGTCATTCCTCTACGAAGACCTGGCACGGAGATTGAGGAATACGAGGCCATGAGCCCGGGACAGAGAGCTAGATCCCAGCGCTTCACCTCCACATACTCCCACTCTTTCCTATTTCTCAGATTTCGCGCCCTGTTACCTTCACCCTTGCTAGCGCGCATATTTTACAGCTCACTATTGACCTAGCTAGCACCTACCTTAACGTGGTGGGACCAGATATCCAGAGGCTTCACTTGGGCGACGTGGACACCAGCTGTACAAGATCGATCCTTCACCAGATCTATCTCAACGCGAGAACAGAGATACTCCTTCGTCTGCCATAAGCGCCACATAGACTACGTCGAGCATGCAAGGGATGATCAGGCAAGGAACCTGGGTCGAGAAATATTTCAAGGAGGCATTTAAATACGGACACGCTCAGCTTCACGACGGACTCTAGGTTCCGCGGTGCCATCGAGATAGGTAAGAGGTCCTGCTAGCCATCGACAGAATAAAGCGGTAGGTGCGAAAGGCCTGTTGGGTGGCTTCATGGGCGTTTGTGAGCTAGGCCGCTCTCTGGCCCTGGGCTTGAAGGACTCCAATTTCTATGACGCAGAGTTCCGCATGAAGTTTCCGTCGGCACTTGAGCATCTTCTCAAGACATTAGGGTCTATAGAATGAAAGTGTTGGGAGACGTGGGTGCAATACGAAAGCATGGTCGTGATCTGTCGAGCACTATCCAGGGGTGTGCGGCGCGTATAGTAGTGCTACGTATGTCAGCCCGCATTCCAACTGTCTTCGTTTCGTATCTACGAGCGTTTTTCCGAGCCCTCCAGAAGGCAATGGTCTAAAGTGTTGACTCTTCGTCTGAGCCGTTGGCCGACGTGTACCGCCTCGTCTATGTCTCCGACGAGTAGGAACGTATCTGACTGAGAGGCAATGCTGTCTCGGTCAGATACGTTCTGCTGGCTTCGATGCTTGCTGTCGTGGCCCAGCCCGTCGGTACTTCGCCAAGCAGTGCGCACTAGCAACGCACGCCTATTCGCGACGACGTTCGCGTGCGCCTTTCAGGAGTCGGGCCCCGGGTGATGAGAGGAAATAGCGCGAGGTTTTGGCTCGGAAATCAGGCGGATTAGCTGGCACCGTGGGTTGACGGGATGCAACCGAGCCAAGCATTGAAGCGCTGCAGGCTGCGATCCCACGACGCCTCCTTCGCAGACTATCGTGTCAGTGCAAAGCTCGTACGTCATTAAATGAGGCTCTCCCGCCTGCAAGTCGGGCAGCCCGTCCCTGGTATGAACGGTGAGATGGAACCCGATCTGATCTCTCACCGGTCGCTTACCTAACCAGGTACAGCCAATCAACCGTCGGTACCTTTCATGGCTCCTGCCCAACTGTTCTCCTTTTCGCCTCACATCAACACCAAACATTCCGTCGCGAATCACATAAAATCACTCGCGCCCCGACTTTTTCAGCTCGCATCCAAGCCCCAATCCTGCTCTTCTACGTGGCTCCTATGAACACTTCACCCGCTTGCCGAGTTCTCCGGTCAGTACTTAATACAGGGCGGCGCCCGCTGTTGAGGCAGGAGAGTAGTTCGCATTTTTCCTGACCGCCTGCACTTCGCCGCAGAAGTGTATATTTCCTTATCGACTCGCCATGATAGCCTGGAGGACGGGGCGAAATCGGTAAGCGTTGCAGATGTTGAGGGTGTTGGGACCGACTTCGCTCGCCGCATGAAGCAGGAACACGCCTGCCAGGCCCACAGGCAGCAGCAGGATGAGGTACCGTGGGGGCGAAGAGGCACAGGTAAGCCCTCATCCGCAAACTTTGAACTTCGCTCAGGATGCTGCAGCCTTCGAATTTAGAGTTAAGCTAGTCCCAGGGCGTACCGGTCTTCAAGAGGTGACAGCCCTCGGTACAGGGCTTGAAAGAGCAAGGGGTTGTCTGCACGATAAGCAGCCCGAGGCTCCTCAGCTTACACTGGATCTGCCGTCCGTCTACCACCCGGCGTCGGGTACTCCAACCTCCAACATGGTGACCAGATGGAATGTCTGATACACCCCTCATCAAGGCTGGCATGTGCTCTTCGGAAAGCCTCCAAAGTAGCACTACCATTGGCCTATCTTCGAATCGTCGCATTACTCTTGCATCATGACGAGTAGCCGGAATCAACAGTTGAAGGAAATCTGTACCAGGGCTTCTCTCGCTAGCCGAGCTTCATTGGCCTAGGAGGGACGTGGCCATCGGACGATTATCACCAAATGGGCAATATTTGAGGATGGAAACCGGTATTTCATTCGGCATACGAACGTATGTTGAACTCTGAAAAGACGGAGGGAAGATATCCAATGTCCGACCAATCCGAACGCCACCTTGACGCCTGCTTCGTACACTCCGAAACCCCTAAGACAGAACAACGACGACAAGCTAACGTATGGTGGGAAGGAAAGTCTTCCCTCGCGTTTTGTCTTGACATGACATTTTGCCTCCCGTATGGCTGGGAATGAATCCAAATGTTGATTAGGCGAACGTATTTCGGCGGGTCGAAAATGATGAGAACAAGACGCAAAACGCTGGAGAAGTCGCTGAAAAACGTATATTGGGAAGTCGAGAGTCAACCGCTCCTTCGTTTCCTCTGGTTTACCGGGACGGGCTGGTTGACGAAGACGTGCGATTCATCCGCTACCCGCGATTGCTTTTCTTCGTACTCTTGCGACGAAAGCTTGAGATCTTCGATTTGCGCCTGCGGACGTCAGCGAGTGAACAACAGCTTTGTTGCTTCGCGAGGCTACCTTTGTTAACGGAGGCCCGGAAGTCGTGACAAGGAAACCGTCGCGGCCCTGATGATCTAGTCAGCCTTGCTGCAACAACGTTGATCTCATGGTTGATATTCGCATGCCCTACCTGATGGGTATACGGCCTGACAATTGCGTCCGGCCCACAGTAATAATGTATTTCGTTTTGTATCACCGCTCTCGAGATGCCATAACCGGGGACGAAGTACGAATTGGGGCCAGCCATTGCGAAAAAGAAAGGGAAGAGCGGCAAACGACACGTTCGATGAAGTTGATCTCGATCAAGTCTGGGCTCCGATTATTTACTGGAGTCTAAATCGGCGAAGGCCCGACCTTATACCCGACCAGAGAAGCGTTAAGCTTCTCCTTCTGGTCCACCGGAAAAAGGTGATATCTGCATCAGCAATGAGCGAGGTGCTGCAGGACGTTGGTTGGGCATCGCTCTTTGCCGCGTCGGTTGGGCGAGGCGAGCGAAGTGAGGCGGCATCAGTGCAGCGGGTCGGGCTGCGACACCTGACACAAGGGCCATGCGCTACGGCGCCCTGAGTTCGGCCCTGGCATTCCTTTTCCTCTCCAGGCAATCCCATGTCTCGCCTTCTTTTTCGAAATTAACTCCGAGGAGCGATTACAGCCTTATACGGATCGCCGTGGTTGTGCGCTCAACGCAACCACCGCCAACGCAGCAGCCACGTCTTCGTTAGCAGCAAAGGTCGCATGGGAAGGAGGAAAGAACCGGTATAAATGATGCATTCGCCACACACTCTGCAGCGACAATCTTGAAAGTTGGCATTTCTCTTTTCGGGCTTCGTTTTGTCTGTGGGAACGTCTCGCTTAATGGGGCTTTCGTGGTGTAGCAACTTCAAGGCGGATTGGGCCTTGGCGACCTCGGGATGAACCACCAGCAAGTATTACGGCGATCCTACCCCTTCAAGAACACAAAACACGTCTTCACGTCTGCTAACACGACCTTGTCGGCGCTGGGCCGGGTTTGACAGCAAGTCGGTGTCCCATTTTGTTCCGGGTCACCGCCCCTCGAACGCCATCAGCCGCTGGAGGCCCAAACCACTAGGAACGCACAGGGAACATCCTCCTTTCCGTATCAACGCCGCCCCTTACGCTCGAATGGGCAGAAATGCAGCAGTTTCGAAGGAAGCATTCCGCACCCAAGTAGAGAATGTACGCGACTTTTGACTTCATGTTCCCGTCCTCGGCCAATGGATTATTCATTCGTGGAACGCCCAGGTGCTATTCTACACGACGCCTAAAATCAAGGTGGCAAATGTCACCACGCCCGCATTTTCTAGGACTAACCAGGATATCTCGCCAAGCGCTCCACATGATCTTCCTGAACACGTTGCAAGTGACAATGGCGAGATACTGGCAAGTGGGTGACGAGCCTGAACGGCCGAATCGGTCACGGCGGTGATCATACCGTAGGTAAACCGGCGCTTCCGGGCCCAGAGACAGTGAGGCTCTCCAACCCCCGAAAGCTGGGGACGGATATCGACAGTACAGATCAACATCAGCACACATCCCGCGATTCTGTTGACTGGCGATGGTACATTCCCTTCACCTCTACGTAATGAAGGCTTTCAGGTGTGCGCATCTTGTCGACACTCCGTAGTCCAGCGAGCAGGAGGCGGTGGATTACAGATACGGACCCCTGGCACGCTGGGAACAGGCCAACTCACTCTCTGACGTGCGTCTCGACTTGCGCCCAATGCCCTCAGATCCGAGGCTTTGGCGCCGGCTCGTACCACGGTCTATTCGCTCGCGATGCCAGAACTTCGGGGCTTCAGTTGGCCTACCCCGCATCCTCCAACACGCTCGTGGCGGCTCTAGCTGCTTTCTCAAGGCCCTTGGGTATGCGCAATAGAGCTCTTTGCCAGATTAACGACGTCATTGAAGTTGCGAGCTACGTTGTTTTCACGACACAAGCATCTCGTCTGGACTTGGTTGGGAGCCTTGGGATCGCAGGCACAAGATGTTGCAGGCATCAAGGCCTGCAGCTTGCAAATAACGCAAGCTGAACACCGCCTTTCCGCCCTAGTCAGGTCTCCACAACGAACGGGATGTGGCCGCAGCCGAGCTCCTCCATCGCCGGTACCAAAACAGATGTCCATCTTCCTGATCGCAACGGTCCGCCGGAAAGGCCTGCAGATCGCCGACTAGTCTATGAACCTCGTCCTCGGACGCAGCGTCTCGACTTTGCTACCCAAGTGGCGTGCAGAGTGCCCATTATTCAATACTCAGACCCTGTTATCTTCTTGTCACCGGACGCAATACGGTTGAGCTCGGCATCGCGGACGTCACTTGCCTTTCATAGATAACAACCCACGTGGGTACCTGTGAGTGTGCGCTCGGATGGCGTTCAGACTCCCTCCTGATTGCTCGAGCCCGGCAGATTACACCCAGGGAACAGGAAACCGCATACGTGGACAAGCGAAAGGCGTTCAGAAATTCTACCACCATTCACCGGAAGCGACTATACGTATTCCCCCGCGGCGCACGCTCACGGGATATTGTGCGATATTGTCTCAGAAACGAACATAGTCGGAAGCTTTCTGATACCCCAGCTCCGGAGTTGTTCGGCCAATGATGGAGGCACAACATCGCCGTCAGCATCGCATCGCGATGAGCCTTATCGACTGGGCCCGACGGATCCCTGCTATTCTTGCTATGGGAGACCACACCAGGAAACGCACCACCACTGACTTCTGGCGGTGAGGCACTCAATTGAGAGTGTTGCGAGTTTGAAGTCAGTTCCGAGGAAGAGTTCTCTCCTTTTGCTGAGAAGAAGCGCATTAGAGCGACGAGCAAGTATTATCCCCTATATCGAACTGTTGCCGGAACCCAGCTTGCGTAACACCTTTACTAGAACTCACAGGACAGAATTAGTGACTTTGCGTACCTAAGCCTCCCCTCGATGCTTCCCACAAGGCGACAACTTCTCTAGATCGAAAGACACGCGTCTTGCGTTTCGTCAGCCAACCTTTCTAGGTCTCTATTCCCTAACAAGCTTCACTTCACGCTCGATCATCGTAGGCCATCCGAGCTCACACGGGCGCGTTCACCGGCCACTCCTGTTTCCCTCTCCCGATCCCACCAGATCTTGACCACAACTGGGACGCCCTTCATTGTATCTAGGCAACACAACGCGCACGGATCCGTTCCATATGCTTATCAGGGACTCGGAACGCAGGGCAACGAATAGCACGGGTGAGTTCCGGGCCCCTCGAGAGCAAGATTCTGCTCAGGCCTCTTCAACGGGTATGGGCCATGGGGCTCGGATGCTCACCGGACCCAGGAGCGTAGTAATCTCAATCTATCCAGCTTCTCTCGAATAAAATCCGCTCTTACCGCAGAGCCACGGATTGCACCACACCACGAGCGCCCCCGAGCCGAGCCGGCGCTTACTCCTCGTCACACGAACAGCCTCCGTACGCCCCTATGCCCTTCTCTAGCTCTTCCTGCATTCACTGAGTGCGACATTCATTGGTGAGAAAATCACGAAATGGTGAGGCTGACGGGTTGATCGGCATCATCCCGGAAATATGGGACCCCGCGAAGTGTTTCCGCGTTGCGCTCAGACCCCCAATACCGCGCAGTCACGAGACGATACAAGCTCTAGAGATGAGCTCAAAGTACTTGCCGAATGCCCAGACAAGAACGTGGGGCAGCCAATCAGAGGCTAGTGAAAAAGGAACGAGAGAAGGGCGTCGGCGATGGTCCGCCCACAGGAGCGGAGATATCTCACGTCACCGGAATGGAAACGGATACCTCTGCTTGTTTCGGTGCTTGCACTGGGAAGCACGAATGTCCCTCCAGCCTGCTCAGACAGCAGCCCTTGCGAATCTTCAATGAATCTCTCCAGTTCACGCCGGAATCGCCCGGCACAGCAACATCAACATTGTCAGCTCCACCTAAGGACGTCAGGCTGTGTGAATGACATGAGTAGGTTCCGCTGAGAATATTATGTTGCTATCGTACTCCTTTCCGTTACGAAAATGAACTAAATATCCCTCTTCGACCAGAGCTAAACTCGCTACTATTTCTCGCCAGCACATTCCTCGACTTCGAGACTACGAAAGCGTTAGACCAACCGCCTAGGCATTCTGAGAGCCAACCCCAATCCCAGTCGGAGCTGCTTTCGGATTCGCCGCCTTCAACTGCTGCTGCTGTGCCGCCATAAACTCGACTAACTTCTTCCGCTGCACCAACAACTTCCGGAACTCCGGAATCTTGGAGGCTTCTTTAAGCCCACCACCCATGTATGCCCGCATTCTGGCATCAACCATCTCAAGGACCTCGGGGACTGAGAACTTGGGCTGCTGAGGCGCCGGTGACTTCGTGGCCGGATCCAGCGACGGCTGCGGCGCAGTAGCTGGGTGTAACATTTTAGGCTTCTTCGTAGGAGTCGTTCCTACACCGTCCGGGTCTTCGAGGCTGCGCTTCTTTCCTACTTGTGGAGTAGGGCTCGCAGAGGCGCCTGACACCCTTCCCCCGCTCCGATCGCTCTCATACTTTGTAGCAGTCTCCGAGGCTGCGAAATGGTTTGAGGATGAAGGTTCTGGGTCTGCTGGCGCCTGTGTGGCCGTCGGTAGCATCGGCGCAACCTTCGAGGGGTTTGAAGGCTTTCGGGCCTGGATGTCGAGCTTCGGCCGCTTTACTGGAGACCGCTGAGGCTCTTCTGCGGGCTCGTTGTCCGGTCGCTGGCGCTTGAGCGTTGGCGTCGGGGTCTGCGTCTGCGTCTGAGTCGACTCTGCCTCTGTCTCGGGCGTCACACTCTTATGGACAGCACTGGATAGTGCGTCGAGTGGGGTAGCGGCAGGCGTGGTGTTTCCCGGTTGCTGGTGCTTGAGCGATGCCGGTGGACTGCGCGTCTGGGTCGACTCCGCCTCTAACGGCGCGCTCTTATGAACAGCAGTGGATGGTGCGTTGATCGGAGGAGCGGTCTGTACGGCGTTGCCCGGTCGCATGTGCTTCCTCGTCCACGCATCGAAATGGTCGCCGGTCTCCACCTTCGCGGGGACGTAAGAGACGGACGCATCGTCCAGACGAGCAAGTTCAGGGCGGTAGTAACGTGAGGACGGTGGGTGTGCCATCATGACTGCCGAACCGTAGCCGTCCTTCGGCGCGCCGGAATCTATGAGCATCTCGGGGACCTTGCGGAAGATATCGATCATTTGCTGACTGCTTCCAGGTCAGTAGAGCCCTCCTACGTCACCTCAAGCGCGGTTGAACACTCACCTCGTCTCCAGCCTATTCGCCTGGATCATCACCTTCCCGCACATCTCCCGCAACACCCTGTGCAGGCCCTCCTCCTCTGCAAACTGCAGATCCAAGTACATCTTCACTCCCTGACGGGCAAACGGTTTCTGCCACCCGAGAACTCGTATCCGCGTCGTGTTATCGCACAGATGCGCGTGCGTGTCGCGGAGCTTGAACCCGCCCAGCAGCTGCCAGCGCTTGAGCTCGCGGATATACTTGCAGATGAGAAACTCGTCGGTTTTGTCGTCGAAGGCTAGGACTAGGCCCATGTGCGGGTAGGGCGCGTATTCGGCGAAGTTCCACGACGCGGCGTAGTGGAGCGGGAATTGGAAGGTGACCTGCTGGATCTTGGGGACGGACATTTTGGTGAGTGTCGCTTGCGTGTGGTGTTGTGTTTATGTGGCTGCGACGTTTTACGTCTTGAGGTGAGGTGAGCGCGGTGGGTAAGTGCTTGTTGTTTGTCCCGGGCTGAGGCGTATGGTGAGGTGGGGTGGCTGCGAAGCTTTGCCAAAGGATTGTGGAAGACGGTTTGTGGGAGAAGGTTTGTGGACGAAAGAACAGGAAGTGATGGAGGGAGGCGGGAGGTTATAGACGGCCTAGGTGACCGCGTGCTCGTGCGCAGCGGGCAGGCAGACGCGAGGCGGTGGTGAAAGCGCTGTCGGTGGTCCCGGTGAAAAGGTACGTCGACCCGGCCCACCCCACAGACGTGGCCCAGCCTTTCATTCTCTAGACTATTTTTATTGTACTCCTCCTTGCAATGTCCTCTAGACGGGATTTTGAAGCGCATCGTACGTGTAGGTGAAAGCTCTCCGACGGACATGCAGCGAGGAAGCGAGATGTATGTCACCATCTGCGCTCCGTTCACTACAATACTCCAGTCTTCTTCCACGCCCTGTTTCATTTCTCCATACCTACTTGATAGCTGCCTGCATCGACCTTCTTCTGCAGATGTCCCACTCTCTTGTAGCTCAGGGTCCCATCCCTACCCGACGTCCTTCACCTGCGTCTCTGCCGCTTTTCCCATTCCGTCCGCCAGCTCCCTAGCAACCACATAGAGTCGCCGTTTTTATTCCGCCACAGAAGGCCCACGCGCAGCCGCGCAAGAAAATACCGGTCCGTGTGCTAACCGTTTCCGACACATCAGCCGTGTTCTCCCAATAGCGCGTTTTCACCTTCGATTGTCCAGACTCGGTGATGCTTGGGCCCCTATGTCTCATTCTTCCTCTTGCGTGCCGACTACTTCGAGCAGGGATGATAAGGGGCGCGGTGGGTAACTAGCGGGGTGAAGGGAATGGCATCGACCTGCACGATGCATCCCTAGGATATCTAGGTGAGCGAAGCTTTCACGATTGTGAAGAGGCTCGGTACTATTTACTGAATAGGCATGCTTACATTTCCTCATAAGGCAATCTTGCGGTATTACGCCCCAGCCAGCTGTACTACAGTGGGTGCGGGGAATGTATAAAGTCTTGGAAATGGGATTGTTGCTGTTGAGGTAGTGGATATGTGGACGTGAGAGATCCGACGTTAGCAAGTCAATCGAGCTCCATGGATTCCTTGTTGCTGTGTTGGGCGGCTTGGCGAGGTAAGAAGGAAATACGGGAACGGGGTTTTGCTTGGGGCTACACAAGTTTGCGGGTAGGGAGCCCAGTGTCGGAGATGATTCAAGCTATTAACGGATTTCAGAGAGCTGTGATGGAATGGGTATTGTTTTCATTCATGATGGAGTTACACGGTGGGAAACGTTATTCCACATGCGCACCCCCCGGCCCCGGTGCTTTGAAGTATTGCACTCTCTCAAGCCCCAACGCCATCCATACAATCCCGTCCGCAATAGTTATTTTTACTCGTCCGGAACTGTCCCACGTTAGCAAGTCCGCCCAAAAACACCAGCACCAAACCGAGCACTTACTCTCAATCTCCCCGGACTCAATATCATCGCTCACCGCCTTGGGACTCCGCCCATCAACCTGGCACCCCGTGCTGTACGCCGTGCCCAGAATCTCCTTGACCGTGCCCTTCAGCTCCTTCGCCATGCTCTTGAACCGCATCGTCCGCGCAATGTTGATAATCTCATCCAGCGGGATCGACTTGGTGTGCTTGATATTTTTCTCCTTCTTGCGGTCGCGCGGCGGCTCCTTGAGCGCCTTGATGACGAGCGAGGAGGCGGAGGGCACGACGGAGACGGCGGCTTGGCGGTTTTGGATGGTCAGCTTGACGGTGACGCGGAGGCCTTTCTGTGGTGCTGGTTAATCTTTTATATCACATTGGACTGGATTGGAGGCCTTGTGGAGGAGAACGTACCCAGTCGCCTGTCGCCTTCGCAATGTCTTCTCCCACCTTCTTGGGCGACAGACCGAGCGGACCGATCTTGGGCGCCAGTGCGGACGAGGCGCCGACCTCTCCGCCCGTGGCCCGGAGGTGGATCACCTTGACTTCGTTGGGGTCGAATTTGGGCGGCATGGCGGCTGTTCTGCGGGCGAGAAGATGGTGGCAGGACGGTCGGCGGCTTGGTGGGATGTGTAGTGTGGGAGGTGGGAAATTAGGCGAGAGCGGGCTATTCCGAATGTGGTGTAGCGTTGGGAAATCTTGGCCGCTCGGTTCGACTTCGAAACCACGACAAGCGGTGAGAGTGAAGGACCGCCATCCGCCGGTGAGTGAACGCGTGCTATTGTCCAGCAGTTTTCAACGGATTTCGAAAGTTGCCCGTTTAGGAAGGTTGGTTTTCCGACCGTTTTCACTTCGCGATTGTCCCTTTTGCACTTCCTCAACCCCAGAGCGAAAGGCCTTCACCGCGGGTGAACGGTTCCTATTGTGCAGCAGTCTTCGACGGATTTACGAAACCTTCCTATTTAGGAAGTTGCGCTTCCAACGGCAGTCCAACTCCTGGCCCTCCAACCTCCCTCTTCGCAACCACATCCTCCTGGAAGTGACCGGGCAGCTCAACACGCCCTCAGAAATGCTTGTTACCGACCCACGCGGCGTAGCGATCAAGGGATTCCTGTCCCGCGATGGGCTGTATCGGCGTGTGCGACCTTGGCGGCTGCTGCTAGTGGTTCGTCACATCTGTGCGGACTCACATCTTCAAAGTTCTCTCGCAGACCCCCAAGCCGGCCACTTGCATATATTTGATTAATCGTCGCGGATGATAGTCATGCGCGGGAGCAGCATCCAGCCGTCGTTGGCGCTATATAGAGCAAAGAGCAGGGATACACTTGCGCCGTCTCTGAATATAAATAGCGACCATTTCTCCCCTCTCCCTCCTCCCCTTCCACAATTTCATCGCCCTGCTCCCAAGCCCTGATCCGCAATGGCTCCTACTTTAAACCTCGCATCCTTCCTCCGAACCCACCTTCGACCTTCCAATTCCCCAAGCACGACGGAATGCCCCATCTGCCACGACCCCTACGGCGGCACTCACATCCGCGTCCGCGTCGTCGAGAACCCTAGCTGCCCGCACGGAGATATAGAATGCACTCACGAGTTTGGCTTACCGTGTCTAGAGCGCTGGCTCGACAGTGGGGCCGCCAGCAGCAACTCCTGCCCTCTTTGCCGACGCATCTGGTTCTTGGACACAGCATCCGAGCGAAGACTGAGGTTTGAAAGCGCTCGATACCACCTATTCGGCCGGCCGCTGGCGGCTACGCTGGACAGGAACAACGCTGTTTGGGAGGGGCAGATGGAGCTGGACCGGGTTCGCTGGGAGAATGCCTGGTTGAGGGACAGCCTTGCGCACTCGGAGAGAGTGGCGGCGGCTGCGAGGCAGCAGTTGGGATTCTTGACGACGGCATGGGGTACACCGTATTGGGGCACACCTGGTATGTCCTCACCGATTCCTTGGTTTTTGCTATTCCCTTTTTCTGGTCCGTTTCTCTAGTTATGCTTCCTTTTTGGGTGCGGTCTCTCACCCTAGCCACTTCCAGTACTGATTGCCCCAGAATATTCCCTCTTCGCACCGCCCGCCCACGTTCAAGTGCCACTTCACCCGCTCCAGGTCGCTACTCTTCCCGGAGCCGCATCGACCCACACCCCTGTCGCCATCAACACATACTATAGCAGGCCGGAGGCGACTATGCATAATGCTCCTGGCCGGAGACTTCCAGCGCCCATCCTGACTCCACGGTACACGCCTGGCTCCGGATCTCATCAGCACCCAACTGGAGCAGCCCCTCAACCCCCTCCGCTTCATAAATCCCCTGCACCCATACAAGACCCACCCCCTCCCCCAGCGACCGAACCTCCCCGCTCTCCACTCCCAGAACCGACGGCAAGCCAACTGCCTCACACACCCACGCATTCCCTTTCTCGCTCGTCCGACATCGCGGCCGCAGAGCACTGCCTAGCGAGCATCCGGGCCTCTGGCGGGCAAGACGCGCACGGCGCCGAGCTTTTGAATGCTCCGGGCAGCCCTCGAAACGCTGCTTTGCCCATCTACACCGCCGACCCACTGTCTCATAGTGCTGTATCCGGGGCCAATGCGGATGCGACCGAGGATGTAATTTCTGGGGAGCGGGACGCAGAGCTGATGCCCAACGAATGATCAGGAGATGCGCTTGTGCAGCGGGGGCTAGATGTTTGTCAGTCAGTGTATCAGCACGAGGTCTCGCGCTCACGATGGGGATTGGGATTGGTCTGTAGCGGAGACAGGGTAGATTGCTGGGGAAAGCGGGTATTGTTTTCACTCAGTGGGGGGATCGGGCTGGATGTTAGGGAAGCTCTGCTTGATGAGTCATGACTGATGTCACCCTTTCGGGGCAGCTGTTCTGTATCATACCCATTAATATAAAGGTACGCTGGATGAGTCTCAGTTAATCATCTTCTACACGTTCCACTGGTACTGCCGTCTCTGACGTGCTGCCCGAAGGGGATCATTTATCCTTAAGGAGCAGGATCTTCGAGAAGCGGCACTAGATAATTAAGAACTCTCGAGAACAAATATTTCCGTTCAAAGATATCCACAAAGAAGCGAAGTGAAGGTATGTACACTCCCCCTTACCTGCCCCTCAACAAGCACTCACAACCTAAGCAAAGCCAGTTCAAAATATCCACAGAAGAATCGAAACCAACCCGTGCCCTTCCACCCACTTTCCCCTCGGATCACTACTCAGAAGAGGTGGTAAAACCCAACGCTCAAACGCTCGACCGCTCATCGCTTACCCCGAGCAAGTCCCCGACTTCGTCGGCTCGCAGCCCCCAGCGCAGCCATTATACATCTGGCACGGCACATCCGTATCATAGCACACATTCCTCAGCGTCGCCGTATCGCCGTAGTTCGAATTAATGCCCGCAAGCTCGCCGCCATCCACCGCCGTCGTGCCCTCGATATACACGTTGCGCTTGCACTGCTTGGAGCACTGTATCCCCCGTCAGCACTTATCCCCATCCCCCTCCACCCCACCCCAAAACAAATCAAAATCATACTCACATTCCCACAACTCCGATACAACTTCCCATAGTCCTCAACATAAAAGTTAATAATATTCACGGTGCCGCAGCCATTGTGCTGGACGACCTTGTCCGCGGCGTGGTACGCGCCGCCGCCGACGATCCACGTCTCCTGGCCTGCGGCGTCGTTCTTCACCGTGATGGCGTCCTCGCACACGTCCTCGAACCAGACGAATTCCAGCGTGCAGGGGCCGTCGCAGTGCACGCCTTCGGCTTGGTTTTTGCCGATGATGACGTTTTTGAGGGTTGCGCCGCTGCGCAGGAGGAAGACGGCGTCGGCGTCGCCTGGGTGGGGTGGGGGGTTAGCGTTGGGTGGGGTGGGAGGAGGGGAGGGGAAGGGGAGGGGGGAATGGGTGGGATGGGATGGGATGAGACGTACCGCCCTCTGCTTGGTCGTTGCAAGCGCCGCTGCCGCGATCGTACTTTGCCCATCCGCCATCGAAAGTCTGGCCGGCGGCGACTTCAATCACCTTGCTGTTCGTCTTGGTGGATGTGGGTGTGGGGAGGCCGCCAGTGTAGCCGAGACAGGCGAACGTGGAGGGGAGCAGGGCCAGGAGGCCGGCGAGCTGGGCGGTGGTCTTCATTGTGAGTGCAAGGGGACGGAGCGTGAACTCAAGGTGCAGAAGAAAGAGGAGCGTAAAGCGTGAGTTGAAACTGATCTGCTCCGGGCGAGAGATTGAATGGAAAGCTTAGGGAGAAAACGAAGAGGTGTATCGACGGTGTTTTATATGCTCCGCGGGAGGGGCATTATCTTGTCAATATAGTCCCCCGTTCAGCCATCCTTTCTGATGCTCACGCAAAAGGCTGATGACTATCCCCAGAAAAGGGTCTCCTCGAAGGATCCAGACCCCTCATTGGCGGAAAACACATTGCACGAATCAATACCCCATTTTCTCGGCCTCGTCTGCCTGCAACATCGAAATGAAAGATCTTGGCTCCGAAAGACATAGAAATGTTTCAAGGTCGTCCTTGGGATGCGATAATCAGATGGTGTTGTGCGTGGTGGCGCTCATGAGAGGCCTATGAAACATTTAGCTTCATCCTGGTCATGAAATTTGCCCCTTTGGGAAATGGACCGTTGCTGGGCACGAGGCTTAGTGGCTGGGCGGCTTGGCTGTATCCTCACTCTCCCGAAGGCAACGAAGTTCCACCACTCAGGAGCTAGGATGCGGTGGGGGATGTAGCGTGCTTAATATGAATCCCTAGGGGAGAGAAGAAGCTGTCCGCTGAAAGTACTTGTAGACGCATCCTTCCGCGCGGTGCGTAGGCACGAGGACGTATAGAAGTGGACGCAAAGTTGGAGAAGATGGACCACTTGCGGATTATGCCTTGGTGGAGAAACAATTTCCGCAAACAAGAAGATTGCGGGCATCGAGGTGCTTCCGTACTCGCTGCCAAGGATCCTATCCATTGCTCGGGGCCTCTGCTGCGTGCACTGGTAGCGATCCCATGAAGTCGAGCGGATGCCCCGGATCAAGGTAGAAGGGAAGTGTTTCATTCTCTCATCTTCTTTGTCATCAGCCAGGACAACATCCGAGCGCGAAGGACTGCGCTCACCTCTCTTTCCTGTAACATCTCTTGCATAGGAAGCGCTCATGGCGATTCCGAGGACATGGACGGAGAAACCGGCTCGAATGCAAGTGACTTCGGTCCAAAATCTTCCCTCCTCAAACTCGGAATAATCGGCCTCGTATCCTCGCTGTTCCTATGCGTATAGCTTATGTGCCATTGGCTCTGCTTCCTCTCCCGCTGCCTTGCATCTCCATTAGCGGCGCCTTGCTTGGAAGTGACGCCGATATCCGAAAACTCCAGGGCGCTAGGCGCACGAAGATTCGCCGACGAGGAGAAAAAGGTGTGTTCCCGTACGTGGGTAAAGAAGCGTGGAACAACGGGCAGGAACAGGACGAACATCCCAGACGCGATCTCTCCATAGCAGGCTATTCCCATAAGAGCGGAATCGTGAGTGAAGTCGGATGAATGCTTGTTGTAGTAGAGGCACATCACCGCAAAGCCACAGGGACTGCAGTGCATGGGTCAGCCTGAGTATTCTACGAGGAGAGGGGCGAGTATAATTGAGAAGGACGAGACGGAGGAGAAGTCACTCACACAATGCCAGCGCAGAAGACGAATGAGAGCTTGAAACGCTGCTTCTTCTCAACCCGCATCAAGTTCCAAATAACCTTTTGAGTGAGGAACAGTATTGACAGATCGCCGACGAGATTCACGCTTGCCGTCACCATTGCAATTATTCCCATCCCCATGCACTTTCCGGGCAGCCATGGCTTCCAGGCTTTGGAGATGGGCCGACAGTTGAAGATCATGAGGAAAGTAGCCGTCGTGTAATATGCCGCATTCGTCCATATCAAGGCATGGATAACGAAGTAGGCCTTCGATAAGGAGCCACGGGGTACGAAAATGCGTAACACCTGGATTAGCATTGATACTTTGATGAGCACGATCGACACGTTGTAGAACACGGCACTGAGGCGAAACCACTGGCGAAAGGGATTAGCGAGAGGGTTATCTGATAGGACCGCAATTGAGGGTAGCGTACAAGAAGATATTTTCCAAATGTCACCAATTGCATATCCCAACTGTGAATGATTGGTGCGAATTCATATATGATGAACCCGCAAGCGATCTGTCCTATCGCAGCAAGCTGCAGCTTGTCAGCCTTCCATACATAGTAGACTAAATTCTGCGCCTACCCAAGCAAAAGGTACAAGGTCTAGGTAGAGTTAGTGAGCTGGCTAATAGCGAAGGAGTCCAATGTCTCACAATCTTCAACATGCAGCGTCTGGACGATGCATAGCTTGACCAGAAATCGGAACCATGAGAACAGAGTAACCATACTCAGAGAGATTGCAAGAGTGGAATACGCCAAAACTGCCTTATTCGGTGGAGTATCGAAATCGGACCTGATGCCTTGGGGCGGCGGCGACACAGGTTGGTGCAAGTCAACCACATTCATCATGTACTGTGGTCCGAATTCCTGGTCGCGATCTAGGAGGGAGCGTAATATGTCATGCGGACGCAGCGTCTTTTGCTGAATGAAGGCCACTGGAGAGTATGTGATGGCAAGCTGTGGGTTGGAAGGGGCGGTGGTAGTCTGTACTAGGGTTTCGGGGTCACTCCAGATGAAATCGGATATTGCGAGTCGTCTGCGCCACGTCGACCTAGCAAGTTGTTTTATGTTTCCCCGAGGGCTTGGTTTTGCAAGGCTGAAGACGCGTGATAGCCCAGTTTTCATATGGGGTACAAGGGTTATAACAGGGCTGAGATCCTGAGGGATGCTAACCGCCTTACCAACACCAAGGCCATGCACGAACTCCGAGAATTTTTCTGCAACCACCAATTACATTCTTCCAATCGACGAAGGCGAAGGATTAAAGTTGACGCCCCAAGGCTGTTGGGGTATAGTGGCGGGAACTGAGATTTCAAGCGTGCGGCCCGAAGCGCATTAGATCGATGGTGGAGGTGGTTCATTTCGAAACTCGTTTGCGCAGCTACCATACGTTCGGCGACGTCCCCTCCAGAGAGTGATGGCCAGCGTGTGTCCAATCTAATGCCCATGTAGAGTGCGCGGGCAATGGATAGGGCTCTCCTCGGTTCGGTAACGTCGCCGTCGTACGAGTCTCCTCCAATATCCTCGAACACTCCAACACCGTCGTAAGATTGGTTCGGCATCGAAGTCGGCGACAGAACGTTGATGCATGTGCGGTTGCCAGGGTGCGCATAGATGACAGCCGCAGCTCGCCATTTTAGGAATGGCCCCATCGTTCAACCCCGACGCAGCTGCCCGGGTTCGTTCTGCGTCCTGATATTATAGGATAGAACTCGCGCATTAAAAGCTGCAGGCTCCCAACTTGGGAGAAGAACGGCCGTGTTGTCCGGACCACGCCACGTTTTCGCATCACAAAAGTGTGATCAACGCCGCTCGCTGGTAGTGAGCATCATCACGAGATGAAAGAGTTCTTAGGTTCTGTGTAGCCATAAGCCGCCTCGACTCCTCCCAGATCGTATCCCTTGCTCTTCTTAGGTGCGTACACCAATGAAGGGGTATGCCACTGCGGCAAGGTGCCATGCAGGACCCCATTGTCCACTCACAAGCCTCTCTGCACACTTCTCGATTTCTTTGCTCAACTCAGGACCCTCGCTAACAATACAGCCTTGAATCGTCCCCTCGAATCCAATTCTCTCCCCTAGTTGTGCGAACAGGTTTTTGAGCTCGATCCTGTCGAGCGTCAAATCTGAAGCGATGCGGCGTAGAACATCTGGCCAGCCAGTAGACTTGTCTTTCAAGACAACGTGACTCAAGCACAGGGATCGTAGCGATGACTTTGCTGGCTCGAGAAAATCGAACAGGTCATCCGCCGGATTAATGGTGAAGAGCTCCAAGATGCAGCTCTCTAGTCGTGGGTATTTACAGTGCCTTGCCATCTCGTGAAGAATGTCCATTTCAAGGCAGCTAAAGCAACATAGCTCCAACGTCCTGATGTTCTTGAATTTGGAGAGAAGTCGTACGATGAATGGAGCTCTACCGACTGGCGGTTCAAAACCTTCCTCTGGGTGCCTCCAGTCTCTTAGATTGAGTTTTAAGGCCTCTAAGCCCAAGAACACGTCGTCGGACCTGGCTAATACGGGCGATATCGACTCAAGACGCCCAATGCTGATGGCGCCGTACTTCTTGAGAGGGTCAATGGCTATAGTACGGACCGCAAGGCGGGAGATGGCAAGAGCGGCGAGAGTTGAGACGAAGGGCCGACTCATCTCGTTCTGGCTATTCTCGCAGTATCGGCGTGAGAACAGCAAATGATGCTTGTCCATGCCATCATAGGCAAAGGTGATAGACTGCAGAGCGAGCATCTTCTTGAAGATAGACGTAAGCGTTGTCTGATCAAACCGGGTCTCGTTCCAGTATTTCGCCGCCTCCTCAGCCTTCTCTTTTACTTCGGCATAGCGGTTCGTGAGTTCTTCTCGTCTGTCGAAGTCCTGATGTGCAGCGGCGTCAATAATGCCTTTCTCAAGCTCCCAAAGCCGGATCGCGAAGCGAGGTGTGGCGTCGACTACGAGGTCCTGCAAGCAGTCGCCGAAATTGGGATGCGAGATGACGTCGACCAGCTGGCGAAGGCTCTCAGCATTCCACAGAACAGTTCGTTGGCGAAAGAAGCGTTCCTTAAAGTGGTGCAGCGATTGCTGGTTGAGCAACGAACTGGCAAGGCGGAAGGAACGGAACGATTCCACATCCAGATCCTCGGCAATATGCTCCACGAGTTCTGTGGGGAGACACAGTAAGGCCATGCTATCGAGTCCACACCGGAACAGTAGCAAAGCATGAAACCGGGTCAGGCCGTGATGGCTGTTGGGGGTGGGGAAAAAAGTGGTGATGCAAAGCGGGGATGCTTATGAAGGGGCGAAAGAGGATCATGCTAGGCTGAATTCGGAGCGGCCGGATATTGCCACAATCGAGAATGTCGGGCCTTTGCTGCGGGCTTCTGCAACTAGTTTCTCGGTGCGGCTATGCATGATGTAGTGTAATTATTATTCTAGAGAGTCGGATTGCCGGCCCCGCGCTCATCAATCGCTGTCGCTGCTACCTGCCTCAGATCTGTCCTCACTTTCGCTGTCGCTCCCCTCGCTGCTTTCGCCGTCCGAACCTGAGGCTGAGCAGTCTTCCTGGCCGTCGCTGCTCTCATCTTCTTGGGCGGAAGTTTCCGTGGCCCGATCGGAGTCTGACTCGCTGCGTTCTCCCGACTCCGACTCCGGCTCCGACTCTGAAGAACTCGAGCTCTCTTCGCTGCTGCTGCTGCTCTCGCTACTGCTCTCCTCGCTCGACACTTCTGTCCTTGATTTGCGTTTGCGCGGTGTTTTCTGTGTACGCGCAGTGCTTACTGTGGACGTAGCGTGCTGGGTTGCTGCGCCGTTCGTGCGTTGTATAGAGGCAGGCGCAGCAAGATTCAGTGCGTGGAGTAGTGCTTCCGCGCGTTGACGTTTAAGCCGTCGAATGTAGCCCTCTAAGTAAGGGTGATTGAGCATGTTCTCGATATCGGCGTCAAGCTGCCTTCGCTTCTTTTGCCTGCTTAGTTGCTCCTGCAGAGCTTCGTCTTCAGCCGCTTTGCGGACCTCTGGGTCATCCATAGTGCTCGCCTCTTGCTCGCCGGCCGCGTCAATCTCTTCGACCGTAGCCTTGCAGCGCTCTTTCAGTCGCTCGATAACACCAGCGCCTTTTAGTCCTTTCACGTACTCAAGCAGTGCCTCCAAGTGCTCATTGGGGATGCGGAATATGTTGAGCGCGTTGTTAAGAACGTCGTTTTGCTTTGCCTTGTTGAACTTCCAGTTTTTCCGATTGGAGAAATACTGAGTAAGATACGAAAGATAGAGAGACGGGTCCTTCTTGGATTTAGATGCTGAGCCAGGTGGTGGCTTGGACTTATCGGCAGACCGCTCAGCTCCCTTACCCGGCGCAGGTGAACCTGTTTCAGTCTGTTTCAGCGCTTTCCTGTCAGGAGTCTTCGCTTTCTTCTCTTCCTTGGTGCTCGGGCTTTGAGCTGGAGGAATGCTATTAGCAGGGTGTACCTTAGGAGGCGGTACGAACTGCGCTAGCTCAGCTGGAGTAAACTCAGCGCTCGCACCCTTTTGCTCTTGTGCCCACTTCTTGAAGAGATCCGAAGCGCTGCTACCGTCGACGGTTTTTGTGTCCGGCGTAAAAGCGACGGACTTGCGGCGGTCGGTGCGAGGGGGTGAGAGAACCTCCGGATTGTGGTTGCTTGCTGACTGCGCTGTTGCTCCCCGCTTCTTGGGCGTTGCAACCGCGGGCGAAGCGAGATGGTCGGTTTCGATAGAGGCAAGTAAAGTTGGTCCACCGCTTGCCACGTCTCGCTGGCTAGGTGAGAGAAAGGTCTCTGACCCTTGATTTGCCGGGACCTGCTGCTCCTCCTGACCCGGCCCCGTTCTCGCTTGGGCTTTTGAGCTCGCTTGCCTTCCCTTCTTCTTGCGGTAGTTGGGATCCCCTTTTGGGCGGGACGATGGTGCTGGATCGGGAATTGACTCTAATGTCCCATTCTCTTCTTTCGCAGCACCCAGAAGCGCATCGCCGGCATGTCCGTCGGTGGGGTCCTCTTCATGGCTCTTTCTGCTCGTTTTGACTGTGTTGCCGTCTCGTTCAGCTGGCTCGTCTCGGCGTTTTCGCTTGCCAAGGCTCGAGTTGCTCTCCTGGGGAGACGTGAGAGCAGGGTGAAAGTCGTCCAAGTGCTCGCCGACATGTGCTCCATTGAGAGGTTGTCGCTCAGATTGGTCGGGCCTCTTGAGCGTGAGCCCAAGTCTCTTCCAGGCTGGAATCCTGCTACCGGCGTGTTCCATGTCGAAAAGAGGGAAATGCCTGCGTATTTACATTATGCCTCGGTGCTTTGCCGTCGCTCACGCCCGAATCAGCTCTTCGCACGGCGTTTGTCAGTATGGAAAGGTCAAATGAGAGGCAGCAGCGCAGAAATTTTGGGAGGTGTGGCTGATGACCGTGGCCCGTGCGCCCTGGCATCTCCAACGGCTACGTCCGAGCGACAGCTCCAGGCTCCCCGAGCACGCGTACAGCACCACGAAAACGTCGCCCATCAACACTCACGCCCCGCCGAGCTTACGTCTAATTTCCTCGAGCTGCCGCCGAAGCTGAAGAGCCAGTCTGCACATATACGCCCGCTGCCATCATGTCTGGTGCGTTGGGCGCTCCCCCGAGAGCTCCTGTTTGGACCGCCATGCTAACAGCTGCCCTCGCCGTGCAGGAAGCGCAGGCTACGACAGACACATCACCATCTTCTCTGACCAAGGCCGGTTATACCAAGTCGGTACGCATGCTCCCTCCGCCTCGCCGCTCCCCCTGCCGCCGTACACCACGATGATGCAGTGCTGCGATGATGGAGTGCTGACCCGCGCCTTCCAGAATATGCATTCAAGGCAATCACGGCCGCGAACATCACATCCGTCGGCGTACGCGGCAAGGACTGCGCAGTAGTCATCTCGCAAAAGAAGGTGCCCGTACGTCCTCACGCTCCCCCAGCTGCGGCCTGCGATTGACGGCTATGTATAGGACAAGCTGATCGATCCCTCCTCCGTCTCGTACATCTACAAGCTCTCGCCGTCGGTTGGATGCGTCATGACAGGGTCCATAGCCGATGCCAGGGCCTCTGTCAACCGCGCACGGGGTGAAGCTGCCGAGTTCCGCTACAAGTTCGGATACGAGATGCCCTGCGACGTGCTGGCCAAGAGGATAGCCAACATCAGCCAAGTCTACACCCAGCGGGTAAGCAAGGCTGCCGTCCGAGCTGAGTGCGGGGGAGTCTCAGGTCTCACTAACATCGCCGCCAGGCTTACATGCGGCCGCTCGGTGTCGCCACCACCCTCATCTCGCTGGACTCAGAATTCGGCCCGTCGCTGTACAAGTGCGATCCCGCAGGCTACTATGTCGGCTACAAGGCAACGGCGTCGGGGCCGAAGACGCAGGAGGCACTCAACTTCATGGAGAAGAAGCTGAAGAACAAGGAGTGCTGCGAGGGCAGCTGGGAGGACGTCGTCGAGCTCGGCATCACCGCCCTGAGCACCGTCCTCTCCGTCGACTTCAAGAAGGGCGAGTTGGAGGTGGGCATCGTGGGGGGTCCCAGGGCCGACGGCCAGGAGGGCACAGACCCGCAGTTCAGGGCTCTGACGGAGGATGAAATCGACGAACGACTGCAGTCCATTGCCGACAAGGACTGAGACGCGGCGCCGGGGACCTGGGAAGAGGCGCGCAGTAGAACTCGCGGCGAGCCTGCAGGTAGCACGACGGCCTTCTGATACGTCACGGCGGGCTTTCCAGGGCATGCCGTATCAAGGATTAATCTGCACACTCCTGCATAAGCACACTGTGATCTGGCATGAGGACGCGGGTTCAGGATCACCAGAGGCTCAGCTGCGGCTCCACATGGTTTGTATGTACCATTAGCCCTCACGTCAATGACAGCGTTTCCTTCTCCCTCCAGCTGCAACGGCTCCCTGCGCGCTCACGAACAGTAGCTCGACGTCATTTGACTGGCCAACTTTGACAGCACAGCCGTGTGTGGCTGACACCGGCTGGAGTTGCGGTGGCTCTCGGAGCGTTGTGGAGTCTCTCAGATTACCAGCCCGGCACGCCTTTTCAGTTCACACTCAGCATCGAGCACGCGAAAGCCGCACCGCTAATTTTGGATTTCTCGCCAATCACGAGCCCTGCTGCGGCTCTATCTCATTGCTTGGCTCAGAGCCTTACCGGATGAGGCCGCGCCGCTAGGCCCTTTCCGGCGTTGTGGCGTTCGATGGGGTGCTGATTTTCCATCGACTCCAGCTGTCATGGTACGCTCGACAAAAAAATAGCTGATTGCTTTTGCGTTTCGTCGCCGAATCTCCCTCTCGACTCCATTCCTCAATGCTACTCTTACACCTTATCGTAGCCCCTTACGTTCCTTGCGATGCTGAATGGTGCAGCGCCGCCAGCTGGAGAGCGCTGCTCACGACCCAATGTGGATCTCGGCAAATGTAGCGGCGGGAGCAGCCCTGGACTATCGACCTCTACGTGCGCGACTACTGTCATGAACGCCCGTTGAGCTTCATTATATAACGGTCGCCACGCCGCCATCAACACCACCACAGCAGTCAAGCCTCAGTGCACTTTTCTTCAGCCTTCCTTTCACACCCAATCCACTCCTTCCAACTTTTACGCCATCTCCCGTTCACTCCCCGCCACAATGTCCGACGGTCGTAAGGCTGCCCCTACTCCCAGACTACACCTCCCATCACTCCCCTAGTTTCCACGCTTCCATCCCATATCAAAAGTCGTCTTCAAAATCCACCCCGATACAGTCAGGTTACTAAGACATGCTCCTTTCTAGTCAACGATGCCCGCGCCATCCGCGTTGCGGAGATTATGAGCGACTTCCGCAACCTACAATACTATCTCAGCCAGCTGCGCGCTACGCCTACTGCAGAGGAGTACTATCTCGAAGGCTATTCGCTCCTCCGGCAATGCACAAGCGAGGCCCAGGCTATCCTCCAGAGCCCCTTCGCGGCCAGCAGCTCGGGGCCCGGCGGGGACACGGAGCGCGAAAAGCAGCAACTGAGGGCGTAAGTCGCCCTCTTTCCATAACACACCACTCCTTTCATCTTCAAGTCACACTTCGGCATATTCCGGTGCGGAAAATCTGACTGGAAAGAGGAAGTTTGATGGACGAAGCGAGGCTGACGTCAGAGAATAGGATCATTGCCGATGCAGCGGTGCGCCGCTTCCAGTGCCAGAGGGCGTACCTGAGGGCGCATGCGGGATTAAGGTGGATGAATACTCGAAACAGCATCCTGCGAGGACACAAGCCGAATGCGAGTCACCTCAGCGCCCTGCAGGCGGCTGACAGCACGTTGCGCATGGTACGTCACATCACGTCTCACTCCTCGCCGTTCAAGCAATTTGACAAACTTTTCTCTACGCTGGGGGGCCTTACTGATGGTACCTCGCTCCAGGAACTCCTCGCCATCACAGACGCCCACGTCGAAAACACGCTGCGCGCCCAGGACACCTCGCAGGGGAAATGGCTTGCAGAGGACCCGACACTGGCCCAGATTCAGCAGATGCTGATGGCTCGTCGATAGACGTCTCGTTGCACCACTTTCCCTTCGGCTGCTACACTTCGATTGCCCCGGCGCCTTCGCTCTTCCCCATCGTTCGATACTTTTCCTAGACGATACCCCGACAAGCCTTTCCACCACGCGTTCATCGGCTCTCCCGACGCTATCTTCCCCGTTTCCCCTCATCTCGGTCCTTTTACTTCGGTGCATTGCTTCCGTATCTACTATACCACACTACACTACACTACACTACACACTACGACGTGCATACATCCCGTCAAGCGACCTTCTAGATTGTTCCTGTCCGCGCTTCGGGACTAGTTATCCGCGTTCCAGCCTCTCACATCTTCTTCTCCCTGCTTACGACGACGCCGGTGCCGGTCACCGCCGTTTTCACTTCTCCTTGGACAAAAGCATACATTTCGGGTTGCATTTCTTTGGACCTTGGCTAGGCTATGTTAGCGTTGGCGTAGACTTTGTCGTCTGGCGTTAGGGCTGGAGGCCTAGGCGTTGGCGTTGGCTCCTTCTGGGCGCCGGCGCAACATCGTATGGATGGGGTGCGGTCCCGATTGGGCAGGATTAAGCGATGGTCATGTATACATGGATGGCATTGGCAAAAGCATGGGATATACCGGGTGCCTGGGATCGGGATACGGGATCGGCTGTGCAGGGTCTTGGACTTTCGTTGACTTTTTTTCTAAGATTTGTTTCTGGGTCTGATTTTGAGTCTGGCTTCTCGTGCGTTTCCTGGCTTCTTGTGCATATTGAAATTATCTGGTATATACTTCCATACACACCATGGGTAACCAACGTTTCCCATGCTGCATACTCCTAGTAGTGTGAACCATGGAACCAAGCCCTTCACCCTTCGCGTCGCCGCTTCTTCGGCACAACCCCAGCCCAGTCAGTCAATCCCAAGGCCCGTCGTTACCGCTCCCTCCCTCCATCGCTTAGCAGTTTTCCCTCTATGCGCGTAGGCAGTCTTGCCACCCCCGGTCCCGCATTAGTCCATGCTGTTCTGCATCCGGCAAAGCATTCGTTCAGCCCCGCGCGGCGTCCTGCTCGGGGCCTAGCGCTCTGCCCTAGTTTTCAGCTTGTCGAGCGCGCCGGTACGCTCGCTGACCGACCGTGTGTTTGGGCGATGGGGCTCAGCTTCCACGCGCGCGGGGCTTCTGTGCATGCGTGGGTTGGCGCGCACGTGGAGTCGAGCCCTGCGCTGCTAGGCATGTAACGTGAGTCTGACCAGGCGTGGTATCTCACCTCCCTTCTCGCTAATCTGGCAAATTCTTCCCTGCCCTGTTGCTCGCCGACGGGACTCCCCAACAAGACAAGACGGTTTGCTCGCGGCGGTGGATACGGGCTGCGAGGTCAGGGCAGAGCATCACCGCCCTTTCCTTTCTTCTCTTCACACCGACGACGAAGACGCCGCGCATTCGGCGCTCGCCTTGCGCAGACGCCTCCGTCGCACGCCCCGGGTTCGCTTAGCCTGCGGTTCCACGTGGCACCCTTGTCAGAGCTTTGCTGGATGGGGGAAGGCGCAGATCGGGGTTGCCGATCTCTGGGCGGTGCGTACCGTGGGACTTTTCGCTGCGGATTGCGTGTCGCGAAGTGCATGCGCGTGCATGGCTGTTTCGCGGATCAGCACCTGGTGGAGGCTAAGCAGCGTGTTTGGAGAGTGTGGTAGGCGGGGCATTGGCGTGGTTGAAAAGGGGAATTTGGACGACGGAGATGGGAGGAGATGGGGGCACCGTCTGGATACGGGGAAAGAGAGCGATCTGCATATCGCATATGGGGATGCGGTGATGTTCGTCGGGGAGCGCGTCGCCATGCCTATCTGCTGGGTCGTTCTTGATCTTGAGGAGAGGTGCGGATATCTGATCGGCCATGATGTACGGAATGGTTGGTTTCTTAGCGGCTACATCCAAGCCTGAATGACGGGAAGCAAAATTCATTCACCGCTCCAAAGGGGTCCGAGAGGTTATGGACTCCCAATGTGTCCGACTGATGGCCCGAGAAACCCGCTGCGTGCGGGCAGGGAGAGATAGGACGGGGGAAAGGCTGATAATGAAGAGCAGGAGGGGTGAGCGCGGAATATTGGGCATTGAGGATCTTCATGGGCAACTGGTATGTATCTATCGATATGACAATCACGCCGGATGCTCAATTCAAAAGGTTCCAGGGTTGGTCGTCAGGAGCGCCTTCCTGCCCCACGCACGGGCTATCAATCAAGGAAGTAAGATCTTTTAACCCGGAAATCAGTCCAGAAACCACCACCGACGCCGCAACCTCAATCACCACCCCAAAACGGCTGCGTGAGGCAATGTAGCACCTTATCGACCTTCCAGGCGCCTCAACTCCTCCCGATGCCTCACCACCAGCTGCTCCACCTCCTCCAACTGCCGCTTCCGGACATTCACAAACCGCTCCATGTTCTTCTCCCTCTGTGCGATGCGCTGCTCACGCTGGAACAAGTGCCGCTCACGCTCATGCAATGCGCGCTCGCGCTCGACGAGACGCCGCTCTAACTCGTCGGTGTCGCGTCGGTGTCGGTCAGTGGGTTGGTTACGGTCGTTGGTCGCCCGGCCGGGATGCATATCGAGAAGAACCGGCTCGGGACTGGGTGACGGGCTTATACCAAGTTCCATGCGATCGACGGGATTGGGCTGGCGGTTGTAATGTCGAACCAGGCGTTCGAACGGATCTTGGCCAGGGCGAGGAGCGGCTTCGAGAGAGTCGGGCTGGAGAACCTGGCGCGCACTTGCGTGGCCGCGTGCGAACAGGTGTCTGTCGTTGGCACCATTTCCGCTGGCCGTCCGCGCCGCATCTCGTCGCTCGCGGCGTGACAGCTGCGTGTTGCGGGCGCGAGTGCGGATGTCGGCGATGTCGCGGCTGAACTGCGTGTAGCTCTCGAGCGTCACCTCCTCGTCGCTGTCGCTGTCGCTCTCGATATTGATGACGTGGCGCGGTCCTGCATCCCTCCCGCCTTCACTACTGCCGCCAGGAATAGCGCCTAGCGCCTGAAGCCTCCTCCTCATGTCCATGAGCGCTGCTGGCACCCGGCTTGGGATCCACACTGTGCGGCAAAGTGGGCACTTCTTTTCGGTGCTGCCGTTCGCGGTGAGTATGGCGGTCAGGCAGGAGAGTCCGATTACGTGCTCGCAGTTGGGGATGTTGATGATTTTGCACGCGTGTTCGGATTGCGCAGTGAGGTTGTAGGTTTCGAGACACACGGGGCATTCGTCGAAGGGGCTGAGCTCGGTTCCGGGGACGATGAGCGTGTGCGTTTGGATGAAGGCTGTGGCTGCTTCGAGGGCGGTGGCCGACGGGGCGGCCATGGCTGAGTAGATTGGAGAGCAGGCCGTGTTCTCGAAGTGGGGTGGGGAGCAGACGAAATGGGGAGTACCGAGACGAGGCAAGTGGCGAAAATTTCTGTCTCTTTCACTCTGGTGAGTGAGCCACGGGTCGGGTGTCCGATCCGATCCGGTTACCACGCAAGTACCGGCGGTCTAGAGGGAAACCAAAGGTACCATCAGGCACGACGTCGATGTATCCAGAATCTGAGCGCCTGACGTGCCGAGCTTCTTTCCAGATTGCGATCGCTCTATTCTCCGCTGACCAAGGATTTGATTCGCAGACACCGTCTGCATAGAATATAGAGTCCGTCCGGCTTCTAGTGAAGGTCCGCGATGGTATTGTGAACAGGAAAGAGGGAATGCAAGAGAATGAGATGAACAGCTACCCGTGGGGCCAGAACTGGGAATGCACGCTTTTCACAAGTGTTGATTAGGATCCAGTGAAACTTGAGGTATAATGTCTATATGGATGCGAGCGAAGTAACTCAGGATATTAGTACTAACAAAACATAAAAAACCAGGAAGCGCAGCAGCGGAATCCACGCAGCAATGTAAAGCAGAGCCTAAAGTCCTCCAGCGCCTTTTCCACACCCTACTTCCTCGTAAAGTCAACAAAAGAGGGAAATCCAAGAACCACAGCAACGAAATCCGCGCATCAGTGTAAAGCAGAGCCCGGAGTCCTTCAGCACCCTTTCCATCGAACCGCTTCTCACACGCCCATACCCATAACAGCCCTCAGCTCCACCTCTCCCCATACAACCCCGCGATAACCCTCCCCGCCAGCCCATCAAACCCCTGCCAAACCCAACAAAAGTCGCTCCGAATATCCTCCAGCTGCCCCTTCAGCGGGCCTTCCATCTTCTCCGCGACCTCCCCAATCCAGTCATCCAGCTCGTGAAACGTAAGATCCAAATCATTCAACGCCTCCCTAACGCCGCCAACCTCCGGCAGCGGATTCCTCTGCCTCAGCGAAAACAATTCCGCAACCCGCCTCATACTCTTCTCCAAACCCGCATAGTCCTGCACGATGTCTTCATATTCCGTCCTGATTTCCCCATCCATACGCCGCTCCGCGCGCTCCCTCCACGCGCTGAGCAGCGCGCCCACCCAGTCCAAGTCGTGCAGCATCGCCTTGAAATCCCGCGCCACTATCACGCGCGCCCGCAAAATAGCTTGCTGCGCGTAATCCGCCGCTGCCAGGAACCACGTGCGCTTGCACGTCGGACAGGAATTGTCCGCCTCGCTGAGACGGGCAAGGAGGCAGCTGCGGCCGAAGGCGTGGCGGCAGCCGGGGATGTCGGCGAAGATGGGCTGGTGGGTCGAGGTGTAGGGGGAGGAGCAGAGGGCGCAGTGGATGCTGGGGTCGAGGGGGCTGCGCACGGGATGCAGGTTGTGTTGGATGAAGGAGGGGAGGCTGGGTGCTGGGGACATTTTGGAGGGGGATTGGGCTTGGGGGTCGAGTGGTCTTGGAAGTAGTGGAGTTTGCTTTGCGGGGCAAAGCGTTCTTGGAGAGTAGTGGGGATGGGGATGGATGGGGAGGAAATATTAGGGAGTGGAGAGGGATTCTATATAGGAGATGGATTTTTCTGGAGCTGAATTAATTTTTGCATTCTTAGCCAATGGATCTTCTTGCTGGGTGCTGCTGGGTTGCAAAAAATACGTTGGTCGAGAGGAGCTCTGGAGTGTTTTTGTTGAAGTGAATTTTCGGCTGCACTTTCCGCCTTTTGCGTTCAAATACTTCGGATTTCCACCAAAACACACGCCAAAAGTAGGATGAAGCGCCTTTAGCGAAGGGAATTTTCTCTTTCAAGAAAATTCGCGCCGTGATACCTTGGTATCGCAAAGTGGTCTTCCACGGAAGAGAGAGTTGAAGATAGTGGTGACGAATTAGGAGCATGCGTACTTCTTCACATGCAGGCATTTTTCGCTAGGTATTTAAAGTTTCGTCTTCGCACGGTTTCTAAATCTGCATTCATCCTCCCATCCCATTCCAGCAACGTAAAGCCGCGCGAAGGACTCCAAGCTCCCCAATACCAAACTCGGGCATCCCATCGACCCCATCACATCTCCGACACTCGATAACCCCTTGAAGGTCCCCAGGACCCCGTATCCGAAGACAATGTCTGCAGCAAGAGCCGACAGCCCCATGCAGGAGGAGCCCGGAAGCCATGAAGCAGCACTGCTCCGCGAGCTCACGCGCGTATACGAGTCCTTCAGCACACGGATCTCCGAAGCTCGCGCCATCATCGAAAACGGAATCCGCGTTAACGGCCGGCGGCCTGCGGTGCAAGCCGCGGCTCAAGAGCTGGAGCGAAGCATGCTTGCTGCTCGTCGAGAGATCAATACTGCGCTTCCGACGGTGATGAATATCGCCAGAGGCCTACGAGCGGGAGATGAACAAGATTGCGGTGTTGTGGAGAATGGTGTATTACAGACTGCGCAGCAGGAGGAGGATGCGTGTAGCGTCTGGAGTGACGGTAGCGTCGACTCGGTACTGCGTGGTTCAACCAGGTCAAACAGTCCTGTCGACATTTGGATGAGCGATGCGAGGGTGGATGGAGAGGGGAATCACGCGATTGGAGGGTTTCCCTACGAGCGGTTCGACGATGGGGAGGACGTGAACCGCCCTACCGGAGGCCGGGAAAGCATTGGCGATGAGGGAGAGGGTTATCGTTCCGCTGCTGCTCGGAATGGCGAAGACCGGGGGACTATCGCTGATGGAGCGGATTCTCCCGAGCAATAGGGTTTTGGGCAGCTGCTCCGATAACGAAGGCGTTGAGGGGCGCGAGCTGGTGGAACGGGTTTAGCGATACGCTTGGTGGTTGTGAGGATGAGGATGGTTTGTGGCTGGTATCACAGGTTGTAGAGGCCGTGAAAATAACCCCGGGACTTCTGACAAGGGCGAGGGATTGATGGTGTGGATGAGGAGGGGCCTTTTCCCACATATGTAGTCCTGTGGTGTTAGGTAGTAACGAAAGGTGTCCCAGCGCCGATTTATTTCCAAAGACCTCGGAGGTCCTGTGCCACCGTCAAAGACACCATCCTGCCATCCGCGGACTCACAAACTGTAGTTGACTCATGCTCATATGGGACATGCCACGTTGGAGCCCATCCCAGCGCGAACCCCCCTAACTGAACTCCTGATGCGAGAGAGAAAGAACCTTCCCCAGAACAGAGTCGCCCTTCGCCGGAAAAAAAGCCCGATTCTCTGCTCCATCGATGCGATGCACCCTTATTCCACCGCTCCCGTATTTCGCAACACCTCCAACGGTCCGCGTAGTGTATTCACACCTCTCTCCGGGCGCTCCCCGCTACTCGATACCTTTTCTCGGTGAGACAGCCCAATTCATCCTCGCACCGCAGCAGCTTGGTATGGAGAGAGAGCGATGGCTTCAAGCGTTCGTCGACGTTCTGGATGAAGTGTCGCGCGTGTTGGTACTGTCGTATCGAAGGAGAAACCGTTCTGGAACCAGAATTAGCGACGATTGGGCGAGTGTTGCCGTTAGGCCCTGCGCCGTCCAGCCAGCAATCGAGGCATAGATGGAAGATGTGGTGACTGCATTCGATGCTTATCGATGACTCGTAAGGGAGTGCAGGCTTCGCTGTACGGCTCTTCGCAGACTAGGCACGCTGCGAGTGCGCGTAGGTCTTGCAGCGGGATGGTTTGGAGGGGTGTTGCTTGAAGCGCTTTCCCTACCCGCTCAATGGCAAACAGAAAAGCGAGGCAAGTAGGAAGGAGCGGGCTAGACCTTGTTGACCACGCACGCTCGTAACCGTGCCTTTCGCGGCTCTGGGCGGGAGGGCACACCTGGGCAGGCTTTGAGACGCAAGTGCCCGTCTTGGTCAGAGAATCAAACTGAGATTAGGGCAACAGTAACGGGGCGGGGCTTCAAGTGGTGGGACGAGGCGGGAGAAGACGCCATGTCAATGCGCCTGCATCTGCATCTGTCTAAGAAGGGGTGGAGAAGCTGCGCGCATTCACGCGTGTTTCCTGAGTAGGCTTAGCGCGTACCATTGCGTTGTGGCACCTTGTCTGATGCACCAAATCCTCCAGACCTGTCTATATCTCTTGCTCAAACTTAACGATAGACTTGCGCAATCACACCCCAGGAGGCTGCCTGCTGAAACTTTCGCTAAGGTGGGGGCTGAAGGATCGGTCGTGCACCGCGTGTTTGCTCTGGGGCGGGTCGCGCGATTCGCTTCAACGGCTGGGCGGTCCTGACCCACACTTTGGAGAAGGGAGATCTGAAGAACGACGACCCAGTCCTATAGCGCTCAGCTTCGCGTGACGTCGAAAGCTCCCGACGTCCTGGAAATGTGACGGGTGTGACGGAGCGATCAGACGGCACCACGGCGCGAAATCCCCACGCCAAGTAGCCAAGCCCGCTAAGGCGCTCCTCCCTGGGCCCGTTTCCACCTGGAACAGCAAACCTCACCTCACCTCATCCCGCACGCTTCGACACACCATTGTCTCTCTAATTCGGCGCCACCTCCGCCGTCTTCGTCTAACAAGCATATATTGCCCATCTCGGCGCTTCATTTGAGAATTTTACCTGCGTCGGGGTCTCTGCGCCCGCGTGCGTTAGCCCGGCCCCCCGCCGCGCCCCGCTTCTCGCGCCTCACACAACCTGGGAAGCTTGCGATTAACCGGCATTTCGTCTTGCATATAACAACGAGCGCGCCGCTCCACACAGACGTATGCTAACTCTGGGCCCTGGGAAATCTTCCGCGTACCAAGAGCGACCGGCGTACCCAGCCTTGAAGTCGGAGCGCCTCGGAGCCCAACGAAGCCCGTCGCGAAAAGCGCCACCTCGCCTTCCAGCCATCTCGCGTGTTCCTGATCAGCTCTAGAGGATCGCCTGTTTCCTGGCCTAGTACCTGGGATCGTCAGTGCTCGTGAAAATAGAGGGTACGCCATGAGCGAAACTACGATGAAATGGTATCAATTTCTACTGAAAGAGACGGAGACGGACCTCTTTCACACGCTGAGAAGCATCGAACAGGACGGGGTCCCTCCCACAAGGAATGAAGTCAACAAGCTGTAAGCGGAACAACAACCCTCTGATCCTACCTCCTCCGTGTAGTCATCTAATGCCTGCCCAGGAGACAAACGCTAGACCTCCTAGGCTATGCTGGGGACCAATGCCTCGGGCGATATCATGTTGATGGCAGTAACCTGATTTTGGAATGTGCGAAGATAGGCGCTGTAATTCGGCACAAAATCCTCGGCGGCGATTGGGACAAGCGAGCAACCCACGACGCGGACGAGGATCCCGCAGACGAGCCCGACGCCGTCCTCGATACGCAGCCTGCCGACACCGTTGGCAAAGCCTTCTCCGACGATGAACCTATCTCGTGGGACGATGTGAAGGAAGAAGTGATCCCTTCCTACGTGAAAACCGTCACCTTCACTATTGCAGAAGCAGAGATAACGCCAAGTCGACGGAAAGAGTTGGAAGAGCGCTTCCCCGGCGTTGCAATCCAAGTGGTCTCGCCGGCGCTAGTGTCTGCCAAAGTTGGAAAGCCGAAGGGTATCAAGAGCGCAACGTTCGAGCTTGACCGTCTCGAACTAGACAACGATCCGGCGCTACAGACGAGCATTGGCAATCAATTCCCATGGGCCACCATCCGGCCTGAGCCGGTCGCTAGCATTTCTTCATCCGAAGCGCCTGTCAGTGCAACAACAACAGAGCCCCATATTTCTCTTCACCTTGCCCACGACCTCCCGGGCCACACCAAGAAAGGCCCCGTAGTAAGGAGAGAGTCGGTCGATGCGTCCAGCGAGGCCACTGACACATCGCCACGGCCTAGCCCAAGAAACCGTAGTGCCATTCAACGTGAGACTCCCGGTAGAGCTCGACCGGCTACTGGTATTGTTCAAGCTGCAGCGGACGAGGACGAGCAGGAAGACAACCGACAATCCAAGCTCGATGAGTCAATACAGTCTGTTCCTAAGGGCCCCAAAGGGCATGAATCAGCGGATGAGACAATTAAAGCTGTCGCGAGACAGATCGGCCTAGAGATGGCCCATCCTGATGTCATCTGCGGAATGTACTCCCAATATTCGAGAACAAAACAGATCCGGCCCTTCGTACCGAAACTATACAAATTGGACCACTACTACAGCAACCTCGTCGACCTCTCTATCATCGCCAATAAGAAGCGGATGGCGCCCCTGGAGTATGCGCTACTGCTTAAATTCCAATGCACCAACTACCAATACCAACGCCAAATCCCCGAGATCCCGATTGCCATCAAAGCATTTCAGTACTTGCCTATTCGATCTCCTCTCTGTCGGTGGATGACGATCCTCTACTCTTTCCTATGGGGGACAGAGGATGAAGGGGATTACGACGCCTTTTGTGCGTCGTACGAGGGGTTGGACCAGGCAGCGCTTGCAAGATTCCTTTTCGGGGTTGCGAGAGTACGGTGTCCGTTTACCACTGGACTCGACGCAGCCGTACTCAAGCGATGGTGTGATGTGCATTCACATGCCCCTGGGTCGGAAGAAGAAAGGCTCTGTAAAGAGACAATATCAAAGAGCAAGGTGTCCATCGATGATGCGACGAGGGACGAAGAACGTCTTCGCCTAAAGGAAGCAGAAGCCACTATCAACGAACTTGGCGGCACTGTTATAATGCCCCCGCAAGGCGCTTCAACCTCCGGGCCCGGAAAGCGAAAATATGAGGGTGCAGCAAACAGCCGCTTTAGCAAGAAGAACAAGAGGGGCGGTGGCCTTGGTCTTGGTAGGTGATGCATTTGTGCTTCGGCGGACGTCTGCTATTTACCAATTTGCTACCACTGTCGCGCGCTGTCTGGTTTTCTGTCCTGGATCAGCGGCGAGGTTCATGTATTGCGACATTGATATCATCCGGAAATCGCCTTGCGGCATTTCTCTACAATGTTGGCTCGCTTCCTGTCCTCGCCTCCGTTTCTTAGGGGCAATTATGCTCAGAATATGCTGACCTCTTAGGTACCCTTACCAGTTCTATACCTGCTGATGCGGCTGCGAACCTCCATCCAACTCCCAGTCCCATCTCTAGGCGCAGCGGTGGAGCGTCACCAGACCCGTCCATACTCCATTTGAGTAGCAATGGAGACTATGTACAGGAAGAGTCACCGCCTCTTACGCAGCTGGACAACGTGCCCGATCATCATCTTGCTGCGCTTTCGTATGCACCCTCGGCACGCACAAAGGCGCTCTATGACCACTGGCTTGGCAAATCTTCCTTACCGGTACATCGCAATCGGAAAGGACTCCCTGCGCGCATATCGACAGCTTATACGTCCCCTAGCAACCAAGTGTACGATGAACTTTTAGATCTCATGATCTATGCCAGCAATGAAGGCCTCAAGGATGGATTCGAGCAAGCGGTGTTGAAGAAATGGCAGGGAACAGATTTCTCCTCGTCCTATGGATTCCCAACCCCTAGCCTGCGCCTGGTGGAGAAGGCGTTCAACAACCTCCCCAAGCACCACTCCCTGTTGAAGTATTTGGTGAGGTTCTTTTCTTGTTGTTGGCTTGCCGACGATGCGGTGTCGATAGGGGAATACGAGCCTCGTGGACCCGGGTTCGAGAGGTTTCTTTATGGAGTTTGCTGGCATAGGTATGTGCACTCTTCAGTTGCAGCAGCAATAATCGATCCAGAACATCCTCATGGTCGGATGTACAGACATTGAAATAGACTGACCGATCACTGGAACAGAGCTATATCGATGGGCAACCTTAGCGATATGCTCCTGTGGAGATGGTGCGAGTTCCACGATCACGCGTCTGAGGCAGAACACCGCAAATGCCACGAATGGCGAGACTCTCTTGTCAAGAAGGGATGGCAAAAAGAGTGGGAGAACAGTGCTAAGGAGCAGATGGAGGTCAATCTTACTCTGAAGGACATGAGCGTGAACCGCTTCCCGGACGTGCCGCAGGGTAAGCCTAAGGATACAAAAGAGCGACCACTCGCATCGTCGATGGTGTGGGATACCAAGCAAACCCCTGACTTGCGAACGGCGGCTCAGCTTGGAAGCCAAGGCCAACAGAATGGCGTGAGCGCTGTTGTCGATCTCGGCTCGCCAATGGATACATCTGGCGAGGAACATGTGGACTCGCTGTACGCTGGGGCTGCTCCTGCAAAGGCTACGAATGAAGCCCCCGCTCTGGAGGAGGCTCCCGCTTCGGTCTTGAAAGTGTCCGACGAAGCAACGGAAGATAACGGCCTCCCAGCTATCATAGACCTCGCTAACGAAGACGACGATTCGAGCTCAGACGACTCCGTTGCGTCAAAGCGATCCATCAATATCGGACGCGGAGCGCTGCGGAGCGCCAAAGCGATTGCTAAACGGGCTAGGACTGGTGATCCTAGTGCTATCGGGAAAAACACGTTCAAAGGTCACAGAGCACGAGCCATTCCTCGCAGTGGACGCATATTCAATTCCTCCAACGCGGCCGAGGATGACTGGAGCGATGACTCTGCGAAGGCAGAAACCAATGCGTCTGCCTCAAAGCCGTCTCGTCCGCTTCAGCGCGCGAGCGTAGGAGCTCCTCGCACGCCAAAGAAAAAACAGACGGCGAATGAGGATCCGGAGCTTGGTACACCGGAGCGACGCAGCAATCGCACGAGCAAGTCACTGCCCCCGGGTTACTTCAAGGAGAAGCCTGCCCAGAAGGACTTTGGGAAGACGATGTGGAAGGGGTTTTGAAGTGGTGGATCGGAAGAGTTAAAGGGAAGATGCTCGCTCTGAGGGGATGTGATATGGAGAGGTTGAGCAACGCTGAGGGACCTGCATTCCAGGAGAGAGGTCTGGAGGAGGCCTGGGGGATTCCAAACTTTCGGTACTTTTCTTGGCAATCCTTGTGAAGCTACACGTCCGGCAATTCGCTAATTCCGCGATTCCGCTTACCCCTTTAGGGCTTGCCCTTCCTGAAAACCCTTCAGAGCCCTGTTCATAGGATGTCACTTGAGTTGCTAGGGGCTTGTATAGCTTCTATGAAGCCTACTGTACAATGATCTAGCAGCAAGGGAGCTACTGTTCTATCGATTCAAAGCAAGAAATAAGAGCTAGAAGCCACTCGTTGCCCCCAACGGCCTTCACAACTGAACCCCGTCTCTTCGACTAACAGTGTAGAACGTCGCAACCGCGCTATACTTCCTTCCCCGGCCCTTCCAACCATCTCATATCTCCGATCCATCCTCAATACTCCACGGGAAACTACACCGCGGAAAGCCAGCGTCACTCTGCTCCGATTCCGTCGGCGGAAACACGCCTGCGCCGCCATTCGCAGCGCACACGGCCTGGCAGGGAGTTAGTTCGCCAATCCAGTAATATGCCCGGTCGGCACACGAAGAAGCTAATGAACACTTACAGCGTTCATTAAGATGTCAGTGAGCCTCATGCCGAATCTGCCCAAAGCACCGCTCTGGGTCTGTCCGAGCTGGTGGCTGGACTTGAGGCACTTGACGCCCTGTATTCATAGCTCAGCGTTCTATTGCGCTCGGCGTCGGTAAATGGCTGGACTTACTACGCCTGGGACATCGCCGTGGAAGAAGGGTGTGCGGAGGATGAAGCCATCGAGACCGGCGGGGACTTCAGGGGGATTGCATCGTTCAGGTGGCTGGGACGAGCTTGTCAGAATTTTCTAGAGAAGGCGAAGGCGCGGGCGCTGGGCTTACGGCGTTCGAGATACGGATCCGCAGGCCTTGCTCTTGGTAGATACTCGCGATGAAAGGGAGAGCCTAGCAAAAGCGATTTACATCAGCGCGTCCATTCCATAGATCTCATGGTGGACCGGAGCCGCACATACCGTCTGCTTAATCAGATCGTCCCTCGTTTTATCCTTGAACGCAGCCAGCGCGCTCTCAGACATCAACGGCAACATCGCGCCGCTCTGCAAGAATTCCACCGTCTGCTGCGGCGTCGAAATAAGCGCGAAGTCCACGTCGCCGTTGCGCATATAGTTCTCCACGATGATCTTGAGCAGGTCCCGTATCTCGGTGTAGGAGGCTTGGAGGGAGTTCACGAAGGCGGTGCCGTCGTTGACGGGGTCGTTGCCGATGTCGAAGTCGCTGAATGCCTCTTTGACGAGGAACTAGTGTGAAGGAGTGGAAGTCAGCTCTGAGGTGGGATATGTGGGCGGAGGTGTAGGGACAGGCGCACCTTAGCTGTTTCTCTGATGAGTGCGAAGAGTCCCTTGATGACGGAGCCGCCGACGACGCCGCCGATGAAGGAGAACATGTTGGTGATAGCGCCGATGAAGAGTCTTCTTTGGATGTCCTTGACGTCGTCGCCGAATTGCGTGTCCCGGAATACGACCTTGGCGAGATCGTTGTCGCTGACGGGCAAGGCGCGGTTAGCTGGGTGATGGGCGAGGGCAGAGCGTGCGGAGAGACTCACTTCTCGGCGAATTTCGCGTGGGCCTCGACGTATGCGGCGTCCTGTCGGTCGGTCGACTTGCGCAGCGCGTAGATGGACCAAACAACAAGCGCTGATTCAAAAGAATCATAGCCATCGCAGTCGAAGGGCACGTCGCACGAGTCGGTTATGGTATTGCATACGATAGGCGAGGTTCTTTGGACGCGTCCTGCGGTAGCGGAAGCGATGAAGTTGGTAGCGAAGTCATCCTCTGCAATGGCATCTCGTTAGCACAGTGTTCTACCAGCAGAAAACTGTATGAGGCATGTCGAGAGGAGGTCAGAGCGGACGTACTGCCATTCGCCTCCAGGTATTCCACGAGCTTGGGCGTGACTTCGAACAGGTTCCAGGTGTCGATAGGGCTATGGATTGTCTCGGGCCACACCCCGCCCCTTGTGCTGCCTTGGAATAGCTCGCAGATGGTGTCCTTGACGGTCGTCTGCTCGGGTGTGTATGTCTGGACATTGAGTGTGTTTCTAGCCTGAGCGTTGGCCAGGAGAGGAAGGCATGGCAGGAGCGCCGCCGCGAGTGCGGATATGAGTATCATCGCCGAAGATCCCACAGAAAAGAAAGAATCCCAGTAGAGATGATCGAGTGACGAGGGTCGAAAAGCGTGAAGCTTGTGCGAGGGCATCTGTACCCATATATCCTAGCGTGACCTCCTGCACACGACGCGCTATCGCCCCTCCGTTCACAATGCCGGCTCCTCGCCCCGTTCTCACCAAGGGATGAATCAGCAGGTCTATTTTCGCGGGTATCTCTCATCACACTTGCCAAGTACGACAAGGCTCGTGTTCAGATCCTACCCATTTCCACCGCACTTACTCATCATAGCCAAGGCAAAGCTTATTTCCAGGGTTGGTATCGAGAGTCGAGACTCTATCTTCCCAACGATCTTGGAAGGGAAGCACGTACCATGGCTGTGACCGTCAAAGATTTAGAGGGTGTTCGGTATCATGGCTCGTAATGGCAGTCGAAGGTCTTCAGGAACAGCTTTCTAGAGCAGGATTCGACGCCCCTGTCACCCAATGAAGACCTCCGGCAAGGGTTTTCTACAGTTCGATTAACGATGTCGAAAAGAGGCAAGCGAGTTCCGCAGTATCGTTCTGGGAGTTCCATTTTTGCCAGAGGAGCTGCAGGGTCGTTTCGGAGAATATCCGAGTGTCTTAAGGACAAGAGTGTTGGCCAAGCCGTGGCTGCGACGCCTTGGCTACATGCCAGGAACGACAACACCGAAACCCCTCTTAAGCGCGTAGGATTGGATTGGATAGATCCAATCCAGCCCCAAGCATAGGTATGTGAGGCTGCGCTTAGCCTGTCTCGAACGGGTCTTTGATAGAGCCCCTTTTCTCCTTCGTAATCAGATAAAGCCGGTTCCAACGATCTGGGCACTGCAACTGCCGTCTTCCTCAAGAAATTCGACCCCTGCGTCGTAGGCGGTGGCGTTCTAGTGCCTAGTGCCCAGAGCTTCTTTCCCACGAGAGGTTATTATAGACCGAGTAGGAGAAGGGAAGCGAGCGGAGGCCGTATATCACCACCGCTTGCCGCACTCTTCTCATAGGAAGCGCGCCATCAAATCTTCATCTTCCACCACTTCTCTCCGTCTCTTTCACTTGGTAATTCCATCCACTCCCACCATGGACCAGTCAACGGCCTACGAACCACACACCCAACTCCTTCCTACCTCAAAAGACCCTTTGGAGAAAGCAGCCGCAAAACGCAGGAGCAAAGCAAGGAAGAATGCCACTGCGTCCGGCGGACGAACGGCAGCCCGTCTTCGCCTCTGCATCCGCATCCTCTCCTTCGCCCTCACAGCTACCATAGTCGTCGTCCTCGCTCATGCCGTCTCAGTCTACTACTCCACTCGCAGCAAGACGACAAACGAGAACGCCTTGCATGTGGAGCTGAGGATGTGGCCGACAGATCTGGTCATGAAGCCCACGCTCTTGCTGCTCGGTGCTGCGGCGACTGCGACGCTGTTAAGTGGTGTTCTGTGTCTTGCGAGTTTAGTTCCAGCCGTACGCGCTTCCCCAGCAGTCAGTTCCTTCTCTCCGCCAGTTCAACGCGCTAACAAAAGGATTCGACCACAGGTTCGCCACATAAACACTCTCGGTAATGTCTCTACCACCATCGTCTCCACAATCTGCATAGCGCTCTGGATCGCTGTTCTCGCCTACTACCGCGTCGTCGACGTCGACGCGTCCTCCAAGCACGACCTCCTCACTTTCACCTGCCTGCACCAGAAGAACACGCATATCTTCCAGGTGACGGGGAATATGCATAGTTTGTGTCTGCAGATGCGGTATAGTTGGTGGGGCGCTGTTGCTGTAGGAGTGCTAGAGGTTGGTGCTCTGGTGACGGTGGTGTGGGGTTGGATGGTGATGAAGAAGGAGGGGTCTTATGTAGAGATTGGGAAGGGTGACAGAAAGACGGGTGGTCGTTGAGTTGGTATGGTGAGGCGGGTAGAGTGTATGGGTTAGAGGGGCGGATGAAGAATGTGGAGCTTAATGAAGAGCAGAGACAACGAGACAGCCCGGTTTTGTGTTGCATACATTATGTACTGTTCAATTGATGGCGTCGTCCACGATCTGAAGGGGAAGACCAGTCGAAGCGCGCGATCGCAGTGAAGATTAGCGCAACCTATAGGGCCAACATGGGCGGTATGAAGAGAGAGGAAACAAGAGTATTGTCCTTTGCATTTCTTTCTCCTTGATGCGTATTCCATGATGCATATTCCCTGAATACCTTGGTCGTAGGGGAGGGGCGAGTCGAAAGGCGTATGACGCGGCCTTTGTGGTAGACCCTTAGAAATCCTGTAGCATGGATCCCTAGACTCTTTCCTTCTTTCGCAGCATAGTAGCGGATATGCTTAGTTTGAGTCGCCATATTCAGGGTCCTCAGGTGGCTGCAACAGTCTTAAAATGTTCTTGACACATCTCTAGTGGTCGAATGACGTTCTTGATGATCTCGCTCCGCCAGCTCTTGCCGACATCACCCGCTCCCGTGAAACACCATTTAACGGCGGCGGAATAGTCTTCACCGCCCTCACCGCAGACACTCCTTGACCACCGCAGCGCTGCCATTAGGTCGAATGCTTGCTTGGACTCGGTGTCACCGACTGGATACTTCATGCGCAGAGGATGGTCTTCCAATCTCTTCCCGAAGCAAAGCTCGAGGAGCAATATGCCCAGAGAGTAAAAGTTGCGGTCACCGGTTTCGCTAGTGATCGGGCTGGAAGCGGGTGAGAAGCCTTGCCTGATGAAGGGCTCGCTGAAGGGAACGTCGTGGTCATCGTGACCAGAAAAGAAGAGAACGTCCTCTTTTACAAGACCCGTACGCAGCCACGGAGTGAACTGAAGCTGAGCCACAGACGATGCAATCAGCAGAGCGAGAGCATATCGTTGGCGCCGAGATAAGAAGCCCTCAAAATCAGAAGAGAGAATGTGGTCGAGAGTGAGGGCCGACTCGTCATCTGGTTGTTTCCGTTTGGCAAATGGGTGTAAATGATACGTCTCGCCATCGTGACCTATGACTCCCATGCAGTTGCGGCATTCCGGATCTCCAAGCAACTGACATAGCTGGAGCGAGGAATCAGGGAGGTGACCAAGATGAATCGTGGGCATGACTGGGGCTGGCGTCGCAAATGCCACCTTCTTGGCTTTCGTTAATGGAGCAGGCCTTGGGGAGCGACCGGTAACAGGTTGAGGTGAGGCTCCAGATCCATCCATACACGAACCCAGTGACTTCTTAGCCGAAGCCGAGCAGTCCCCCATATGTCCGCATTGTAGCTCTTTCCATGACCATGGAATGTTCTGTTGGCTAGAAGGGGCCACAAACATGAGGATGACTTCAAAGCAGGTCTCAGGCAAGGTACGATGCTCCAACCGGAGGTTCGCAAAGTGGTACTGTTGACATGAGCAGTTCCAGGCATTCTGCAGTGCTTTGAATAGCAGATCGGACTTGGTGCAGGCTTTTTTGAATGCCGTCTCTAGGGCTGTCATCTGCTTTGTGGTGCTGGGCGAAGCATTTTGGAGAGCAGAAACCTTATCGCTGGAGCTGAGAAGCTTCTCCAAGCGCTCGTTGCACTCTTTAAGCTGCCCAAAGAGCTCTTCTCTGACCGTTTCTCCAAGGCTGAACTTGAGCCGAAACATCTGGTAGTCGAGGTTTGACTTGCTCAAGATCGCTTTCGATGGCTTGTTTGGCGAGGGCTGCCTTTGCTTCTTAGGATCGGCGGGAGCCATCCTGTCCTGGACAGTGGCCTTCTCGAAGCACAGCTCCTTCGTCAGCTCGCCGGCGGTCTCGTTCATCTCCGCTATGATGTCCATATACACCTTGTACGACTCTTGAAGTCGTGCCTCCAGCCGATCCTGCAGTGTCTTGTCTTTCCACCCCCTGCCCCCGGGATCGCGCACCAGCCGGCCGACCTCATCGGCATCGCTAACGATGGGCAGTAATAGCTCTTTTAGATTGCGCTTGTACAGAATCTCGTGGAATTGCACGTCACTCCGGCATTTGGTGTATTCTTTCCGCACTTTCCAGAAAAAGCCGCCCACTTTGGCTACGTCTCGCCAATGTTCTAGCCCGGAGATGATGAGGGGAAACGCACCGAGCAGAACGCCGGCTATCTCGAGGCCGCTCATCGGCAGACAAAGGCAATGAAAGACAGAGGATCAGGGTGGCCGGGGGAAAGATGTGGTGTTGAGGTTTGGGCGGGAGGGGGCTGAGACGGGAGCGTGGTGAGGAAGGTGCGACGCGCCACCAGCCGACCCCGCTCTTGTGGCCCCCCAGCCGCACGACGCAAACCTCACCACCTCCAAGACGCCGTGATGGCACAGCTTCCTATCCCCCACCAACGGCGCCCGATCACCTCGACATCTTTGCATTTTGCACCGGGCATCCGAGCGAGGACCAGGTGCCGCTGCGAAACATGCGGCCTCGGGCCCCGCTAAGGTCTTGTTCAGAAGGATCGTAAGGCTGAAGGCCACGCCTCCGTTCCGATTCTCAACGTACGGAGAATGGCATCGTCAGTATCGGAGCAATGTCGCTCCTGCATCTCAACGCTGCGAGCCATTTTCTCGACACTATCTGCATCAAAACGACATGGACGAGTGACCTCCGATCAGGCCAACGAGCAATTGGAAAGATTCAGCCTCTGGGTCGGGAATATTGGAGCGCTCCACCGGCCCGCATCCGCCTTATCCATAGAGTCACGGCTACGCGAGGCTGAAGATGTCCTAGCCCACATCGTAGAGTTGCTCGATGATCTCAATGAGGTGACGAATGAGCGTATGTTGGCCCTTCTTACTCTCTGGACGTCTCCAGGCTGATAAATCGCATCACAGTGTCGCAGATCACGTCCGGCAAGCGCGAAGGAGAGGTGTCTTTTGCCGACACAGACGAATGCACTGATGGAGATGAGGTGGAGGAAGTCGCCGAGGAAAGCGAGCTTCTCGAAGAAATCGGTGATTGCGTTACTCGACTATTCAGAGTTTCCAGCCTCATTAGACAGGCAGCTCCAACGGATCTCTTTGCCAAGGCACTCTTGAGGAACCGATACCGGTTCAATGACCAGTTTGATATCGCCCATGTAGGCGAGAAGTTCCCCAAGCTAGCCTCCCAAGTCTCCGGCTGGCTACGAGAGCGCCTTGGACGTGCCATTACTCGACGCCGTCAATATCTGAGCTACATTCAGGACCACCGCGACAAATTGGAAGGCATGCTGACCATGCAGGAGCCCAACGATGCCGCTGTATCCACCCCCGAAATCCCTGTTATCAAGCACTTACACACAGCAACGCCCGTACTCGACACCACAAGCCGCCCTTCAACATTCTTCACTAAGGCCACAAGTCTCGCTCCAGGCCGGATCACAGCCCAGATGCTCACAGCGGAAGAAGAGTCGGACCCTGAGAACGATGCGAGGTCCTACACCACCGTCTCGCGTTCGATGGATGGCGACATAGAAGCGTCGACAATGGCAAGAATACCCAGGCTGGACGATTTGCGCGTAGGAAGCAAGAAAGAGGTGGAATGTCCCTTCTGTTTCCGGATGAAGAAGTTCAAGAACGAGCGGGTCTGGCGACGGCACGTCTTCTCTGACCTCCGATCCTACGTCTGCACGTTCCAAGACTGCGACGCGCCGTATTTTGGTGACATCAATGAGTGGTTTCACCACGAGATGCAAAATCATCGCGTAAGCTACCTATGCAGGCTCTGCAAGGGAAAGACTTTTCATTCCAGCGACCGGTATCTTGCTCATGTCAAACGTCATCACCCTCAGCTACTAGAAAATGGAGATGAACGGCCATTATTGGAGATAAGCCGGAAGCCTGTTGACCAGATCCCTGCACACGATTGTCCTTGTTGCTCGGAATGGGAAGACAGGCTAAAACATCGCGCAACAACACACGGGCTCTCCATGGAAAGCCCCGACAGCATCCTCACGGTCTTTCCTACGGACTTCAAGCGCCATCTTGCATCGCACCTGGAGCAGCTAGCCCTCTTTTCCATCCCAGTTGGCTCAGCATCGGGAGACGACGTTGGTTCTAATGTCGCCATCGAAGAGGAGAAAAGTACTTTATCGGACCGCTCCAATCTGTCTGCCCTCACCTTTGATAGCGATAGACACTCGTCAAACCCAAATCTTGATCGCGACGATGAAGATACTCATCGTTACCGAAGTGATGAGGACCCCGAATTGACCTCTGAGGACCACCAGGCTCAGAATCAGCCCTCCTCGGAACTACCGGACATGGCCGACAACTTAGCAGTCGCGCGTACAGGTCTCAAGGCTATGGAAGCCACGCATATGGCAAACAAACTACCAGACCCCGTCCCAGAGCACCCTGATTTTGGAGTGGATAAGGAGGTTCCCTGCGTGTACTGCAACGAACCCGAAGACAACGATCCAAGTCCAGAGTTCGAGTTAGTCCTATCATGCGAGGTATGTGGAGACATGGCACACCGGCAATGCGCCCGAGGCGCTGGCACTTTTGGCCCCGATGATGATCATGCAAATGTTTGGCGCTGCACAGCATGCGTCCACCCGGGGAAGGAACCGCAGGGGCATGCACTATACATGTCCGACGAGGAGTGCGATGCCATCCAACAGACACAGAGTGCCGCTATTGGAGAGGAGGATATGGGATGGGACACAGATGTCAGCTTTGAAACCAATATTAAAAATCCTGTCAACCTTGTCTACGAGCCCGTCCGCCATCCGTTCAAGGTCCGTGGAAAAGAAGACTATTTGAGCGACAGCATGGGCGAATTGAGCTTCAGGAAAGGCCAATCCATAACCGTCACTCACCATACGCCTTCGATACCTGAGAAAGAGGCATTCTTTGGGTATTACCGGAAGAACGGTACTATTGAAACGGGCGCATTCCATAAGAGTGCTGTAGCTGTCGAATTTGGAGCGATAGCGAAGAGCGACTTTTTCGGGACCAGTGACAAGAGCAGTCTGGCTTTCAAGAAGGGCCAGTTCATCAATGTCACGTGGACGGAAGAGCAAATGTGGAGAGGATGGTATAGTGGCGAACACGGCGAGAAGATCCGGGGTAGATTTCCCAGTCATCTTGTTCAATGGTTGTCTCCAGCTGATACCAGTGTCTCCGAAAATGCGGAAGGTGATCAATCCACGGCCAGAGGGAGGATCCCAGGGCCGTTCTCTCAACCGGTGTATGAACCCGTTGCATCCCTTGACGTTGTTGCCAAGCACAAGACCGAGCCTGCTTTTGGATCCAGCTTCTTGTACATGGAGCCTGGGGACATCATCACCGTTACACATGTGATACGAATAGAATCCGAGGAAAGATACTATTCTGGATATTCCACCAGCCAATTTGGGGCAAGCTTAGATGGCATTTTCCATAAAGCATCGGTCGTCCCTCGAATCTCTGTGGATACGCAGCCAACTGAAGGGGAATGGGACAATGGTCGCACGTTATGCGTCTTTGTCTCTGATCAATCATATCCCAAATTGCAGAGTGTTGCTTTGCGCTGGAGACTACGAGAATTAGCGGGGCTCTACGATGGTCAAATTTCGTGGCTTCCTGGATCATCCGAGGCGTCGCCACGTTTACAACTCCACGGAACGAGCCGATTCGTGCTTTTCAAGAAGGTATTGAGGTTTGGCACCTGGGCGATTGATCCCGAGTTCCAGGCGTTTGAGGGCAGAGTCGTCGAAAATTTTGGAGGAGAATCTGTGGACGACATGCCCTTGAGGAACGGTGAACTGGTCGGTGTTCTGAATTACGGCCCTACTAAGGATTGGTTCATGGGAATTGTGCCCGGAGATGGTGGGATCGTCAAGCAAACGGGCAAGTTTCCTGCGCGCGCTGTCGAGCGGGTGGAGAGAGGTGGAGCTGTAGGAAGTTGGCCTCCTACCCCCTTCAAGGTCATGACGCTTTGCGTGGGTTCGTATTTCACTGGACAAACCCTCACGGTGACCGAAGTCAATGGCGACTTGATAACCGCAATGCCTCTATCGAATTACACGGGACCTGTCCATCTCTTTGCGGCACAGGTAATGCTGGTCGAGGAGACTGCCAATCCTGCGAGAGGAGACTTTGATGCAGAGTCTACTATCGACGAATCAGCAGAGGACAAAGGATCGGAGACGTCCACACTGTCCCTTTGTATGTTCTGCGGCGAAGAGGAAGAACCGCTTTATCTTACCTGCACCGTCTGCAAAAGGGGTGCGCACCATTTCTGCACGCCAAGATACGTGGCACTCGACTCCATGGAAGACTGGGCCTGTCCAACATGCGCGTCCACGGATCACGTGCCACCTGAGGAAGTCATCGCTGAGGTTCGACGACGGAACGACATGTTACATGGGATACTCGACGACGCCAATATTTTCCACACGCAACTCGGCAATGGCGTCATTGAGATCCGTCTGGAAGACAATCCTGACATAGATAATAGCACCCTGAAATATAGGATACATAGTATTCTGGAAGACACCAAGAAGGACTTTGATCGAAACTATGCGGGGCTTCATACGGTCTATCGCCGGGACAATCGCTGTCATGGAAGATACACGTTGGTCTCCGGTTGGACTGACCGGCGAATTCAGAGGCCTATCGCAGAGACAGACCGTATCGCTACGGACGATAAGATGCCTAACCCGGAAGCGGGGAATCGACTGCCGGACGCAACCTCCAGTGAGGGCGAACATGCATTTCAGAAAGAATCGAAACTCGGCGAAGTTGGAGCTCAAGGCAAGACTGTACCGCGCAGTCCTAGTCCTCGAGGTCCGAGCGACTCGAGCTCCGTAAATCCAACCCCGGGAGTACCTGCCGTGCCCAAGGACACGCTACCTAAGGTAGCCAAAACTATGGAAGACGGCACTCTTAAGATCACTAAGGTCCATAGAGCACTCGGAGAAAGATATGGCGAAAGTCATCAGGCAACCTCAGCAAGCGGGGGAGCTATAGGTGGAACCGGTCAGGTCTCAGAAGAGAGAAAGCTGCCTGACAACATGCCCGCTTGGCTGAGGTTGAGCAGAAAGGGTACGAACGCCGATACCTGAGCCTACTAGCGACGGCACGTCTTTTGCTGACCAAACCTAGAAATTGCCGCCAAATACGCCGACCTGGGGCAAGAGGAGCGGAAACGACTCTTCGAAGCTGTGGAGGCTGGAGAAGACCACAACTCGCATTGGGATGTGCCGCCCGTGTCTTTAGTTCAGGATCGAAACCGATACGTGAATGTCTATCCCTTCGAATTCAATCGCGTCCGGCTCAGGCTGCCAGAAGAACGGGGCACCTACATCAATGCTTCCCATATTGTGTTGAAGCAACGTACTGGGATCCAGCAGAGATTCATTGCCGCACAGGTACGCTATCTCAAAATTGTGACGACGGCCTTGTTACTAATTTCAGAAGGCACCAAAATCCAACAACGAGGGAATATCTTCATTCTGGCAGATGATTATTGATGCCTGTCACAAAGACCCGGCCGACAAGGTCGTCATCATAATGCTCGGACAACATTCCGAATCTGGCATAGAGAAATGCGCACACTATTTCCCTGAGTATCGCCCTGGAATGTCTCCAACTTCTCGGACGTTGGACCTAGTGTGGGAGGTGCACCTAGGGCTAAAAATGCACGTAGCGATTGTGCTGAAGAACTTCGAAACGAGCGACAGGCTCCGCTCCGAGGTAAGAGAGCTGAGCGTTGAGAATGCTCTATCGCCACTAGCATCGGCCGACGGCCATGTCTCAATTCATCCAGCTGCAAGCGTCCAGCATTACCTTTACGGAGGCTGGCCCGATCGCGATGTCCCAATTGGCGCTGATCGCGACGCCCTTGTTAGACTGGCGCGCCATATCCGAGAACTAGCAACTACTACGTTGGTACCTCCTATCGTTCACGGCAGCGCCGGTGTGGGTCGAACCGGGACCTTGATTGCTCTGGATTATCTTCTGTACGAGCTTGACCGCGGCGCCTTCGACCCCGACCCCCAGTTACACCGCATTGCCTTGTCTCCCTGGGATGACCCCATATACGCCGTCGTTGACGAACTCAGGAAACAACGAATGTTCATGGTACAGGGGGAGGTTCAGTATGCTCTTCTATACGAAATATTGAGAGAAGAGTGGATATCCCGGTGGAAGTGGGGAGATCCAGATGCAGCACTCGAAGCCGGGTACGACGTCTCAGAGCCAGACTATGAAGACAAGGTACGCGATAACGCTCGCTACCCATGGCTGGGTGGATGATGGCCGTAAAAGAGTGTTCGGAGAGTCAAGGCAGTTTTGGGGCATTACCATGCTGGCCTTCTTCAGCCGTTCGAGTTTGGTCTGGTTTCCGCTGGGTGGTGCTAGAGCGGAGATGTAGCCAACCATGTAGAAGGACACGATCTTTAAGGGGAGAATAGGAAAATAGGATTTTTCTTGGATCCCGGGGCCTGTCGCTCTTGTTGAAGGCACGATGCGCTCGAACCGCCATTCCATAATTCAATCTTCACCATGCTGATCGAATGCCGACTACGCAAGTGTCTAGACAAACAAGCACTCCTTCCGTTACCTCCCCTGCCTTTCTTACGGTCCGGAACTGAGAAGGTTCGTTACACTGTCAGTGGAGAATAGAGGCCATAGGAGGGTCTCCAGCAGCTGACGCAATTCTCTGAGCCCCACGACGATCGCTCAGCATCTATAGTACTCAAATACAATGGGTGGCGAAGGCGCTTCTTAGCGGTAAACACTAAGAATCTATCATAGAGAGTAGATTTACGTAACTTTAGTTCTGTAGAGTAGAATACCCCTATTTTAGGGCTCTATCTCTCCATCTAGGAGTAAAGGTAGGTAAATAAGAGTGTGCAGAGCCCTACTTTATAGGGGGCAGCCCTAATATAGGAGGATGTATAACCGTAGTGCCCTATATTTAAACCGACGCTCCGGCCGAAGTGACTGAAAAAATGCAAAAAGAAATTCGCAATAATCACACAGGAAACAACTCCTGGGTCAGCCCTGCCAACCGGTTTTGTTAACGGCGATTATATTGAAGATATTTGCTTGGATTGTAGAATAATTGAATATATATACACATAGGATATTAGTGGGAAGCGCAAAATTGTTCCGTGTGGGCCGTATCTCCAGCGTCTACAGCGCGTTCGCTCTAGCTCGCATCAGACCAATACATAGCGCATCGACGTTCTCGTGTTCCGGGCCTTTCAACGAACCCGCCATACTCTCTACTTCCCAGCATTCAACTGCGCCGCCATCTTATCTACCAACGACTCTGGTACCCCATCCATCTTCTCCGCCTCCACCATGCACTCCACCCACTTGCGTACTGCCTCCTCCAAGCTCGCAAACCCATCTTTCTTCCCCAGCCTTTTCAACAACTCCGCGCTGCTTCCAATATCAACGCTCGCCTGATCAGCTGGCGGTTCTTCAATACGCTCCGGCCAGCTCCTCTCCGGCGCGAACTTGCGGAGAGCGCCCAAGACCTCGTTCCACGTGAACTTCCCCGCAAACGCCATCAGCCGCTCGTTCTCGACGTCGGGCTGAGAAAGCGCTGCGACATGCAGCAGCGCGACGTCCTCGACGTCGACGTACCACTGCGGCGGGATCATGAACGCGATCTCCGGGTGCCCATCCCACAGCATCTTCGCGAAGCCCGCCGAGGACGAGAACCCGGTATATATCGCCGCGCTCGGGGCGCCCAGCACGACCGGCGGACAGACGGTGTTGAACGTAAAGCCCGGCTTGTGCGCGGCCATCCAGTCCCAACACGCCTTCTCCGACGCCGCTTTCGAGCACGCGTAGTTCACCAGCATGCGCGCGAGGCCCTCTTCCTTGGCGTCGGGGTTCCACGCCTCCTTGAGCGCGTACTCGTTCCAGGAATGCTTGTCCAGCACGCGCGGCTCCCCGGGGACTTGGTGCGCCATCGCGACAACGGAACTGGTGTACACCACGTTTTTGACTTTGGGCTCCTTGGCCGCGGATTCCAGCACGTTGACTGTCGCCTTTATAACCGGCGGGATGAAGACGGAGGGATCGGGATCTATGGCCGTGTTCGAGGCTACGTTGGCAACGGCGTCGCAGCCTTTGACGGCTTCGTCGAGGGCGCCGGGGACGCTGAGGTCGGGGACTTCGGAGAGGGAGAAGGACGGCCCGTAGTGCGTGGACATCCATTTGTTCTTTTCGAGAGAGCGCACCGTGCCGCGGACTTTGTAGCCGGCTGCGAGGAGCTTGTCGATTAGGACGCCGGCGACAAAGCCGTTGGCGCCCGTGACGAGGACGAGGCTTCCTGGGGCAATGGGAGGCATGACGAGGTTTGGAAAGGAGTGAGCTGGGTGGTGAGGATGTCTTGGCTCTAAGGGGGATAGCGAAGACTGATGAATTGCACAGGTCCTCTGCATTACTTCCCTCTTTATACCCACGAGACCCATATTCCGCATCCATCCTATCTTTCATCTCTTTCCTAGGACGGGGGCTCGCGTCCAAGCATGATCCACCCAAAGCTCGAAATCCCGACCACGTGACTCTGCGCGAACGACGCTGTCTCAAAACGGCCTTATAATAGACCCGATAGGCATCGGATCACGTGGTGCCGCTACTATAGATGCCCCGATGAATATCGGAAAGCTGACAAAGCACGAAGAGGTTATTTTCCTGATTGGAGAGAGGGAGATCGGCGGACGAATGGCGGACGGGACGTGATTGGACGTATCGTCTGTGCGAGGGAACGAGTCTCTATGTCTTGGAAGATGATTTCGAAGCATGGACGGGAGGACTGATGGTCCGAGTCGGGGGGTTGATCGCTCCATCTTCTTGGGTGGGTGGATTGCGAAATTCGATGGCGACGCGAGGCAATGTCTTAGGAGCAGATACTCATCGAGTTAGCCGCGAAGGGAAATCAACTCTCAGGATGTCTAACCAAGCAGGACTTGCCGCTGTAGGAACATTTTCGCGGGTACGTAGTTGGGAAAACTAGAATTGATACAGACTGAGCCATTAAAGCAGAACAACATGCATGCTCACCATCTCGCAGAATCCCTCAGCAAACATCCCAGCTCACAGCGTTCCTAAGCCAAATAGCTGCTGGGCATCTGCTATGAAGCATTGCGACTTACTATCCTCTTGCGACAGTGTAGTATGGGTCAAAGGATGTACTGGCTGAGGGTCACGTGACATCTCCTATTCGCGATAGCATCTGCGCCGTAACGACCATAACCATTCCTCCATCAGCCGCCATCCCCGACCTCCCTTCGTACTATCAGCCCCTCTGCTCGGATACCCGTAACTATACTTGTATCCGTCCTACCAATCCTCATGATGAGGATGCGCCGCATCCGCTAACCCAGTCCCCCCAAACAATCCAAACCCACCTGCTGCTAACATTCCCGTTCCAGATCCTGAAGAACTCGTTTCAGCATCAACGAACAACCGCCGCCGCTATCTTTTAGTGCCGACGAGCCATCAAACCAGCCAGAGGGTTTATCCCACAAGAGGCCAGATGACGAAAGCAGTAAAGAGGAGGACGGAGTGGAGACGGGAGCGCATCGTGGTTGTTCTCAGATGGTGAGAAGTGCGGGCGGTGAAGTACGGTAAGGCGCGGCTTCGAAACGTCGGGCTGGTGTATGCCTTGAGGCCTCAACGCGTCACCTGACGCTCGCTTGCCTAGGCTCTTGAGGTTTGACGGTCTGTCGAAGGGCGGAGTGGAGACTAGACGGGAGTGCTGCTAGTAGAAAGGATGGAAAGAAGAGGTGTCGCATTGGCGATGTGTTATATGAAGCTGAGGCTGTATAGGAGAGGAGATATTGGGAAAGGTATAGAAGGAAACGGTACCGAGTGTGGCTGGGGAGGGGAACGTGCGCATATTCGCGAAGAGAGACTGGTTGTGCCGACGAACGCTACAGAAATGTTGGATGACAGTTGCTGAGGACATTGGTGAACCAGAGTATCAGTGCAGGCAGCAGGCAGGGCGTCCGGAAAAGGAGAGAATCTGACGTCACCGAAGCATAGATCGACATATGAAGCCAAAAGGTAAGGTAGCTGGAAGTGATCATATCATATGCATCATTCAGGCACAAGCACTAGTCACCATGAGCCCAGTACTATTCCCGCTGCCAGAGAAGATGCAGAGCCACAGCGCCCGGCTGGAGTATGTCAACTATCATCTATCATCCATTTTTTTCCCTAAGCACGCCAACCAGGACACTTCCTCCCACCCGTCTTTGCCCAGCACGGGACCTCGGCCTGTCCGCGCTCCTCAACATCGACACCACGCTCCTCTGCTTCAGTGGCGGGCGTTGCCTCGGCCTGTCGCTCTGCCCGAGTCGGTGGATGACGGTGACCAGGAGGGCACGCAGGCGGCCAGCTATCATCATTCGCTTGCTTGCCGTCGATGCAGAGGGAGGTGTAGGCTGGTGCTGCCTCCTCAATGTGCGTCGTCGGGGCCGCCGTCGTGATGGTCGTGATGGTAGGCGTTGTGGCGGAGGGACGCGTAGGCCCATCAGGAGGGCAAGCAGGTGGCCAACTATCCTCTTTGGCCTCACCGGGACGAACTGCAGAGATGCAGGGCGGGCCAGACCAGGCAGGTGCGCGCTCTTCGATGCGCGACAGCGTAATGGTGTGGAGCTGAGTGTTGCCGTTGGCGACGACAGTAGAGATGTCGAGCTCAATTCCCACGAGGCGCAAGGGCTTGGCGATATCGGCCTTGTCTTCCCCAGCTCCGCGAACCTTCACCTCATGGTCAACCGTAGCGGTACGCTTGTACTCCGTTCGAAGTGTCGATGCGGGAGCCGCGACTAGAGCGGGTTCCGCCAGAGCGAGGCCGAGGGCTCCGCTGAGCGCGAGAAGGGCAGCGGCGAAGTGCATGGTCGCTGTTTGTTTGCTGTGGAGTGGTTGTTGGCGAGGTGTGAAGGTTTGGAGGAGACGTGAAGGAAGGTTGTGGTGGAGGTGGAAGGGACAAAGATTTTGCGGCAGACGGTCAGGGTAGGTATATATACGCTGATGACGAGCGCGGGGCGGGAGCGGTGAAAACGAGCAAGATAACGAGTACGTCACGGTGGGTCGAAGCGGAAATGAAGGTCGAGCAAACAATCAGCGGCGAAGGTGGGGGAGGGGAAGGAGCGACGCACGCATTCTGTGAAGGGACGAGCGGTGAGAGAGTGGCAGCGTGGGGAGAGGCTGAACGGCTAGGGGGTCGCGGCATCGTCATAACATGACAGCAGGCCGTCCGTACAGATAATGCAATACGCCAGTATCCAAGCCATGCTCTGGAGTCCCACCCCAACGCCTCCATTCTAGTCACCCAGCAATCCGACGCCAAACGATTATTCCGGCAGGACATGCCTCAAACGGCGGCCCCAGCCTTCTCCCCATTGACAGCCTTGGCCGCTGTCGCTGGTTGCGGTGTCTCCTTCTCCCTCTCCCGTTTCTTCTCCGTCTTCCTCCGCCGCTTAGGCTGATAGACGTCGTTGAAGTTCATCACCATAGCCAGCCACCTCATATCATGATCCGGTTGGTGAATCAGATCACCGAGCAGTATTGTGATCCTACTCTGGAAATCTTTGATGAGGTGTGCAAGGCGCTTGCGGAGCGCAGGAAGGACGTCGTCTTCACCCGTGCCAGCGTCGCCAATCTTCAGAAGAGCTGGCGGGAAGGGCGAGTCTGCATCTGCGCGGGATGTGCGGCCGGATGCAAAAGGGTCGGGAGAGTCGACGGAGAGACTGTCCTTTTCTGTGAGGCCCCAGCGGCCGGCTGCTGTCCGCGTCTCAATTTTTGCCGCGTGTTCCTGTCGACGGGTGAACTCGGCGACAGAGAAGGAATATAGACCGTCGACGGCGTCCTTGTATGCAAGCATTGTCTTCAGCAGCTCGTGCAACTGTCCCGTGAAGTCGCTGCTTTGACTCCCAAGCAGACCCTTCCTAGTGATACTGTTGAGGTACTTAGCATGCGCGTCGATCATGTCGTCCAGCGTGCTTTCAGGTTTATGCAGTGCTTCCTGAAGTTGGTTCCACGACGATTCGATGACTTCGAAGAGGATGTAGTACTGGAGCTGGTTGACGAAGTGGATCATCTCTGCGATCCCACATCGGACCTTCTTCCAGTCCGCACCAACCTTGTCCGAGACAGTGGCCAGGACGCCACGAGCGCCCGTCATGCATCGCCGCCACGTGGAGCCCAGAGCGAATTCGACGCGCTTGACACGCCAGAGGAAGTTGAAAACTTTGAGGTATTGCTTCGAGCCGAGGGGCGTGACAATGACGTCGACAGGCGCGTCTATCTTATATTCGAGCGTGAAGACGTCCCATCCGATTTCTCCATGTGACAGTTCAAGCATGCGGGAGTCGAGGCGTCGCAATACATCCGGCGAGTCGAATTGCGCGTTTGAATTCCTCACGGCGTGTTCGAGCTGAGCAGTGAGCGTGTGCCGATATTGCGTGTTTGCCGGACGGTCAAGATTTGATGAGAGAGATTCCATGAGCACGGCAATGAAGTCACCCGCCCCAAGCAGTAGGTACTTCTTCAAAGCCTGCAAGTGCTCGAATAGCTTGAATTTGTTGGCCATCAGGTCGATTAGCCGGGCCATGGTCGTCTTGTAGGCGTCGCCGATGGATTGCTCGAGATTTGCCGTGTCGCCATACTGCAGTTCTTTCGATGCCTCCTTGGAGTATGTATCAACCCATGCCGCCTCGCCACATCCATAACGGATGAAGTTCAGCGTCTTGCCAATCAAGAACACCTTCTTGGCAAACTCCTCAGTTATTATCGTCGGTATCATCCTCTCGTTGAGCTTGTACTTGTCTTCCCACACACTCGTGGCCCCTCCTTTTCCCTCCTTGCCAGAATCGCTAATGTCTTCTTCGCTCTGCTCTGACACGAAGAACTCGCCGAAAGGGTCTGCGAGCTCACCGTCGTATATCCATTGCCGTAGCATGTCGTAGAAGGGTCGCGTGACGTGGGAGAGAAGACGCTCGGCGAATGTTTCCACATAGGGATCGCCATGTGAGAGGGAGAACGAGTGAATCAAGGATATCAGCTCGCCACCCTTCTTCCTCTTCGATTCCTCCACCATTATGCTCATTAGCCGCAGCCCCTGGGTCGCTTCCCGTGTCCAGATCACGCAACGCTTGAGTGTGACGCCGGCTTTCCCGATGCCATGATGCGGTTGGCTCTCATCCAGCTGAGCTAATGCCCGTCTGATCTGGCCTTCCAATGTTGCGACCAGTCCGAGGTAGGACCTCAATTCCTTGCCCAATGCGGACCGGAAGCTTTGTCCGACCAGGCCGCCATCCGTGGATTCTACAAATTCGGATAGGCCGCGGTAGAGGAGTGATGGCTCGGCGATGGTATGTAAAAGGCTTATGAGAGGAACCGGCAGCGTCGGTGGTAGCTTCAGCGCAGTGGACGAAGTAAATACAAGATTGGTTGAGGAGAGTCCCTGTAGTGTAAATGGCAGATCCCGAAGGAGAGAAGGTTCAGATGGGCCCTTGGCGGCCCTGGGCTGCTCTCCGTCCGTGGCTTGCTCCTTGCTTGTTTCCTGAGCGCGCCTATCCCGCCGTCGCTCTGTTCTTTCGACTGGTGCAGCCGGTCGCGGGGATGCTCTGGGCGACCCGTCGTTGACCGGTATTTGCGGCAAGCCTGGTCTCGCGAATGCATCTGTGAAGGCTGGACTGCCGAGTGCCTGCGCATTAGAAGGGTGGTGTCTCGACGGCGTGATGGGCTCGCGGGACCGATCGTGGCGATGGCGGTGACCTGACGATGCACTGGGAGGCGGGATGTCGGAGAGTTCAAGCAGGAAGTAGAGCATCCGCCATTTCTGTTCCAGCACCGGCTGCGATATCAGCCGGGAGAGGAGGTTGTGGAAGCGGGCGCTCTGCTGCGGGCCGTCGACGTCCGAAGATACTACTCTACTGTCAGCCCAGTCGCGTAATCCCTTGGAAGACCCATACTCCTCCTGTCTATCAGTCCAGCGACGTGGTTGATATCCGCGACAACTGGAAGCGGCCCGGCGTTGCTCAGTTCATCGATGGCGAAGTTGAAGGCGCCCTCGAATCGCTCGTTTGCCGTTTCGTCGTCCTCATTGGGATCCTCTGGGACTATTCGGACCAGCAGTTCGTTTAACGCGTGTTCGACGCGTTCCCGGTTGAAGGTGGCCATTCCGGCGCGTCGAAAGTATCCGCACTGCTGCCCGACGAGTGTTTTGGTGTTGAGTCGGCCGGCGGTCGCGGGGCAAGCGCACGGGCCATCGACCACACCTCAACCTTCTCGTCCACTCCAGTTTTCCACCGCTCACATCGTGGCCCTCAAACTCATATCGACACCCTATCTGGAAGCCGTTCGTCCCAGAGCGCGGGACTTCCACCAGCAAAAGACATGGCCCATGAAACCCGCCCTATCTTGATCAACAAAACGCTCCATTCCTGTGGTCTTCTTTGCACTCTTCCTCGAATACTCTGCTCATGCCAGCATGCTGGTAGTCATCTCTGACGCATCCGAAATAGAATAATGGCTCTTGTCGTCGTGGTTCCTGCGTACAGTCATAATAACGATCGATTCAGACCCATTGAGCCACTCAAGCATTTCCGCCTTCTCCTCGTTGACCGGATCATGGTACAATGCTCAAACGGTCCAGAGGACACGAATTCATGCCATATATCTGCACTATTTCAGAGACGCAAAGACGACTGTTGGTCCACAGCTTACACAGCTTACGGCGGCGCGCTTTCCCACCGCATGCTTAGACACTTTACTAACGTCGGCCTACTACTGGCGCCCAAAACTTCACCCGACAGTGCTTTACCTTCGATCAGGTCTGCAGCCTCTGTCTGCCATCTCACTTGCCATCTGTCGAAGGCTTTAGCAGCTCCCGATCTCACTTCAACTCGAAGGGTACTGCGGCTGCTTTGCCTTTATCCTCCCTTCAGGTGAGAGATTGCGGACAGCTCCACGATCCCCGCTCCCATAGCTCCTTTGCCACCTATAAATACTCCACCTCTCCACACTCTCTTCTTCCCTCCAACTCTCCCCTTCTCCGCTATTTCCCTCTTCTTATCAGCTTCGTCATGCATCAACACAACGCAGCCGAGCCTCGACTGATGGGCTCCCGGGCGTCCACGGCCGACGGAACCCCACCCGCGAAGAGGCTCCGAACTACAATGGCCAATAGCTCTGATCAGGACCACCACCAAATGCCGAGCGTCCCAACCCGCGCTGTCGCTATGACCCCGCCTACTTCTTCTCAACGATCCGGATATGATCAGGCTCTCATGGCAGGTGAAGTCCAGGCCAACCAATTCCCAGGGAGCTCCAACTGCGCGGATGCCAATGGCTATAGCAATGTCCATGCGGAAGACTTCGCCTCTTTTCAGTCAGTCCCGCCTATCATTGTTTCAGTAGGCATTGCTGACATTGGCCAGTACACTATTGAATACAACCACCACCATCGCATATGGACAAAAGCTTGATAAGGAGTGCATGATCCACTTGGAGCTGCTCTGCCGTCACAGCCAGAAGATTAGCGACCTATTCACTCATGCTGAAGAGCTCTCTCGGTCTTATGCGAAAGTCAAGTCAATCAGGAAGGCTACCAGGTCACTACTCCCACCAGAGACGCCAACCGACGTGTTTCTGGGCGAGAAAGTGGACGATATGGTCGTAAAGGTATGTCGAGTGTCCTTCAGACCCTATATTGCACTAATACAAGATAATGCAGGCCATGAATCTCATTATTGAAAGCTTCAAGAGACTTCCTCTTTCTGAATATCAGATTCCGGTGAAAAAGGCTCTGGAAACCGTGACGGATGAGCAATTCCAGAACTCAAAGCTTTGGAAGGAACCTTCAATCAAGCGAAAGGACTATCCTAGCACGCAAGTACTTGAACGCCTCCAAGTTATGAAACCGGAAGCGGTGCTGGCAGTCCTTCGACGGCTGTATCAATCTCTCTGGCGGATCAAGGCAACGGAGGAGCAGAAAGCTGCAAACAACGAGTTAAAAGCGGCAGCACAACAGCGCATCCTGCTTCCGAACGTCGATGAGAACGCCGTCGGTGCTATCGTGCAGTGGATCTACAAAGGCACTCTCCGATTCACTGATGCGAACAATCTATGCGAGATCTACGGTCTTGCTGGACGCCTTGGGATCCAACAATTAGCAGACACCTGCATGAGCAAGCTCTCAGGTGGTACCCTTGCAGCTCTCCAGCATGCCAATATCGAAGGCATTCATCTTCAAGAACTGCTCGATCGACCTCAACCCCCCATCACGCAGGGTTCCCTTCCCGATTTGGTCCGCACTGTATTCTTCTTCGTCCTCAAACATGAGAAGCCGCCGGCTGCGCTCAAGCAACTGGTCATCGAAGCCATAGCAGATAGTGCAGACGCTGGCTTACTCGCTGTTCTGCTGCAAATCATGAACTGCGATGTGAGGGGTCAGCTCTGCATTGCCTTGACGGATCGATTGGCCAAGGTCAAAATGGAGACGAAAGAGCATGGCGCCATGGATCACAACGGCCACTCTTCATTCGACTCCATGAAATCCGAGGTCCCATTCGATGAGGGTTCTGAGAGCAAGTATGACTGGAAGGGTGCCGGTCAGCCGATGTCTGATAGTGGCTTCTCCACCAACCACAACGCTTACCCTGACGGCGTCTCCGCAAGCGATTCTCATTAGCAGACTTTCCACGTGGGCTGGGCTGATTAGCCACGTATGGCACTGCTATCTCCGACATTCACGGAAATCGGGCTCCGGAGTTTCTATTCAAATTGCGACATCATTTCACTCTGGGGCGCTTCAGCCCTCCCCTTTATGCACTTTGGCCGAACCTGGGGTTCAGCCCAAAATTGCAACATCATTTCACATTGAGGCACTTCAACCTTCCTTTTACGCACTCGCCCGAGCATAGCTGAACGGCTCAAAGGTAGAGGCTCATCCAAGCAGGGCAGGCGTTTCAATCCTTCGTTTGATGTATCTCAGTTCAGGTCTAGCTAAAAGTCTTATTCTTATCCGTCATTGGTTCGTTTCCTCTCAGCTATTCGCTTCCATAGCTCCTTTTGCCTTCTTAGCCCATTGCTACTACTAGGGGTGATACCGAGCTCTGGCCCATATGGAGCGCTTGGGCGGTGACAACTTCATCCACCGTTAACCGGCTTACCTGGATAACCCCCGAAAAATTAAGCGGCTGTACGGCATTTCTGTGCCTGTCACTGAATCGCCTCTCGGCTCGAGGATCTCTTTTCCGCATATGGGCCGCATTGCTTGCCGATCGAGAACTTGATCTTTGAACTTTCGGATCTCTTCCGCTCGTGAATTCTTATTCTTTGAGCTCAGCCCATATCAGTAACACAAGACGCATGTTGGTACGTGCTAACAGGCCGGTTCTGCGGCCGCACGTAGAATGAGCAGGTTCTCTGTACCTTTCCGAACCTGCCGTACAGCTAGACAAAACATGGACTGCATATGTGCCACTAACATTACTAACTAGGCCAACGATGGAGACTCGGATGCACTATCCGATCCATCCTCTCGTGGCGCGGCGACACAAAGTCGCAGGTCCTCAGACACGTCCGTCCTCGAACCCCAATGCGGTAATGACGTCTCGGCGGTCCGCAGCTGGTGCGTCGATCCGTATACGCTGTTTGGTTCAGTATGGAAAATTTCGTGGGAGGCGAAGTGCACACAGCTAGCGCCCCTTGCGTGTAACATAGCCGTGCCCGTGAGATCCCGGTCAGGAGGCCCCGGCAACCAGGTCCAGAAATGATGTGAAGCGTGCATTATGATACGGATCAGGAGACTGGCATGAAGATGCGTCGGTGGCTGATGGCCCAAATGGCGAGGGCAAGAGTAGGTCGAAGTAAACAACTCGTAGCAGCACGCTAATCACGGTAGGCATCAGAAGAGGTTAGGCAATTACGAGAGAGGTTCCTCGACCCATGGTCACAGAGAGCACTCCACAGCAACGGTCCGCGTCTTCCACAGCATCTTCGTACATCGCTCGTCCCCCTCAATATACCAGCGTACTTATCCCAACGCTGACAAGCTCGGAGACACACTAAAACCTCAAACGCTAGCTAGCAACAATGGCGTACCTTGCAGCGCGCATTAGAGGCACAAACACCGCATTTGTGCAATGCCGTTGCGCCCCACATCCCAACACGCTGCCCGTACTACAGATACCTCGGTCGTCACTCCACGATCAGCATCGCGCTCCCACGCCTCCTTCACCAACACCGATGTAAGCTTCAGACAGTCTTTCACTTCTTGATGAAGGGATGACACCAATCTAAGTACTACCGCCAAGCTGCCTGGAATGCGTCCGCCACGATGGAACCCCGAAACATCAACAAGCGCTTATTTCCGCAGCCTCTCATCCGGGCAAGCCACGCAAGGACCTCGTTCTTTCTCCGCCTTCGGCGCTTTTACATCGCGAGATCTAGAGGGGCACATATCGCCAAGCGCAGCTCTAAGAGGGTCCTGCACGTCATGCCGACGCCCTAGCGTCCGAATTGAGAAGGAGTACAGGTTAATGTGGAGAGGAGGCGTTGAAACAGCGTGTTCGCGCCATGTTGTGTCTTCCTAGTTTGCTGCATTCCACGTGGGTACCGAACTACCTGACTGAATAGGGTAGTCCGGCAGATAAGGGCGCTGAGCCGGCAGTTATATTACGGACTCGTGCCTGCTTGTGGGCTCCCGTTATTCGCGTGTGGTCAGTGAGTACTCCTTGCTTGAGGTTTGCCCCCTGAGCTGGTGAAAGTCGAATGGTACCCTTGCGAGAGACTTGTTTGTCAGTTATCGAGAGGAGGTTTGTTTGTGTATATATTTCCCGGACCGACTGGTTGTCGCACCCTTTGACTACTGAAAAACGAGACCGAAGCACATTTCAAAATGCCATACGGACGACAGTACCGGCAAATAACAACTGCCTCCCCGACACCAATGAGCCATTGGAAAGAGAGAGACCCGGTTCATGACACACATCATCCGCCGGACCCAGCATCACTTCCGTTCCCGCCCTTCCCACCAGCGCTCGACTTCGACGCCGACGACTTCATAGCCCCATACCACCACTCAATCGATCTAGAAAAAGCCATCATCCATCCGTTAAGCTCCCTCGACACTCTTCTCAGCGACACACCCACTCCCATCTCCACCGCGTCCTTTCCTGGCCTCCCTAAACCGCATCTCCAACAATGGCACATGCCCCTCCCACCGAAGCGCTACCTCCGCTTTGTTCGCCACCTTCGCTACACCCTCCTAACGGTATATCGACGGCTTTTCACGCTCGCCTTCCTCGCAAACCTCATTTCCCTCATTCTACTCCTCCATAACGGCTCCGTTCAAACCATCGACCTCAACACCCTCGCCACAGCGGCATCAGCAAACTTCCTTGCAGCAATCTTGATACGGCAGGACTTTGTCGTGAACGGGATATTCAGAACAGCGTGGATGGTGCCCTGGAGCGTCCCGCTGAGAGTAAGAAGATGGGTGGCGAGATGCTATTGCTATGGCGGGATTCACAGTGGAGCTGCGGTTGCGGGGACAGGATGGTGGATCGTGTTCAGCATCCTGCTGTCCTTGCGTTTCGCGCAGGAAGGGATGTATACACTTCCGATCCTCATCACAACGTACTTCATCCTCAGTCTTTTGATCGTCATTCTGGTCCTTGCCTTTCCAACGCTCCGATCTCGATACCACAACACCTTCGAACTCACGCACCGCTTCCTCGGCTGGTCCTCCATCGTACTATTCTGGACGCAATTCCTACTCCTAATCCAGTACGCCCACGGTGCCTCTCGCTCCTTCCACAGCCTTCTCCTTCACCACCCCACATTCTGGACCCTCACACTCACCACCGCCCTCCTCATCCACCCCTGGCTCCGCCTACGAACCTGGACATTCACCCCGGAACTACTCTCCCCCCACGCCGTCCGCCTGCACTTCAACGAACCCGTCCACAAATTCTCCTGTCTTTTGATCTCTTCGTCGCCATGGAGGGAATGGCATCCCTTCGCCACCTTCCCGTCCCCCGACCCAGAGCGGCCCGGGAACTCGATGATCATCTCCGATGCCGGAGACTGGACGAGGAGCCTCATTCGCCGCGCGCAGGCGCAGGCGCAGCGCCTCCACCAGCACAACGCTCTTCTTTCCACTGTGACTACTTGCCAACAGCCAGACGCGCAGATGCAGATGCGGTTCTGGGTCAAGAGCTCGCCGAAAGCAGGCGTCCTCAGCCTCTCCGCCATCTTCCCGCGCGTCATCCTCCTCACCACCGGGTCCGGCATAGGCCCGTGCCTGTCCTCTCTTCTCGATCGACCAGCTACGCAATTCGCGCGGCTGATCTGGAGCACGCGGTCGCCGATTGAGACCTACGGAGAGGCGTTGTATGAGACAGTTCTGCATACGGATCCGGACGCGCTGGTCATCGATACGACGAGCATGGAGCGCCCGGACCTAGTCAGTGTGGCGTGGCGGATGTACCAGGAGGTAGACGCGGAGGCTGTGTTTGTGCTGAGTAACGCGGCGGTGACGCGGAAGGTGGTGTATGGGCTTGAGAGTAGGGGTGTGCCTGCTTTTGGGCCTATTTGGGATTCTTGAGTCACCTGTTCAGGCGAAAAGGGGGGGCTTCGTGTACTGCATACGTTTTGACGGTCTTCAATGTAAACTCTGCATAGTATCATATCTAACTGTTGCTCCACTCTACCACCTGCCGATGCCAGCAAACCTCACGAAGTCTTAGCAGCAGCCGACGCCTCCGCCTTCTCTTTCTTCTTCCGCTCCTGCTCCGCAAGCTTCGCCATCTTTTTCGCCTGGTTCTTCGTCATCGGCTTGCCATCCGGGCCGAGCACGATATTCTCCCCGCCCTCTTTCTTGCCCAGTCCAATCTCAGCCACGCCCAACCCCTTCTCCACATTATTCAGCCTCATCGTCGGATTCTGGTTGCCCTTCCACTCCAGTTTCCGCGGCCTCATGAACTCCTCCAGCACCTCGTCCGTGACCTTCTCTCGCGCCTCCTGAAACTGCTTGACGTACGCCATCATCATGGTTATGCACTCCTTCTTCATGTCGCCCGTCAACATTTCGCCCTTGCGGTACGCATCCGCGAACTGGACGAGCTTGTCGTCGTCGTCTTCGAAGTACGTGAGGTACTGGTATGCGACATCGATATCCGGATTGCCTCCCTTCTCTCTATGCAGCTCCAATGTTTCCTGACCGCCACTGAAAGCATGCTTGTTGATTTTGTTCTTGATCTGCTTCTCGGTGTCGGACATGAAGATTGCGGAGTTGGGGTTTGACGCGCTCATTTTGCCGCCGGCGCCTTGGAGGGCGGTGAGGAACTTGGAGTGGATGAGGGCGGGTTTGGGCGAGGGCTGGTCCATGCGTGAGCAGTTTTCGCGGACGAGGCGGAAGTAGGGGTCTTGGTCGATGGCGCAGGGGATGAGGCAGGGCATGGCGGCTAATTTCGCATCGCGGTGGTACGTCTTGCAGTCGATGCCGAAGATGAAGGGGTAGGAGGAGGCGAAGGCGGCGACGCATTGCTTCGCGGCAAAGGCGTTGCTGCCGATGTTTGTAGAGCCGTGGAAGCCGAACGCGCCGCGTACTTGGTTGTTCGTAACGAGCTTCTCGAACTCGGTCGTGTTGAGCGAAAAGTGCCTGTTGAAGCCGGAGGTAAAGAACTCGGAGTCGATGTAGACGAATGTTTTCTTGACGTCGAATCCCATGCTTATGATGTCCTTTGCGTTATCGCGCGCGTAATGGTACACCTCGGGCTGTTTCAGTTTCTCCTTGAAGAGGAACTTCTCGTCGTCTGTCATCATAATCACGAGCGGGACGTCGAATACATCCTGTAACCATTTTGTGAACTCGAACGGTATCGTGTGTCCGATGTGCATGCTATCGCTGCTTGGTCCGCGCCCCGTATACAGCAAGAAGCCTTCTCCGCGCTCATACGTGTCCAGTATCAGGTGGAGATCGCGGTGGGAGAAGAAGAGGCCCCGTCGCAACCAGCGGTGCGGTTTGTGTCCTGTGACGCGCTCGAAGCGTTCTAGCAGCGCGGCGTCGATGAGTTTGGTATCCCAATTCTTGGAGATGGCTTCATAGTCGAATTCGAGGATGTTGCCTTGCTCGTCGGTGGCGGCTTGGACGTCCCATGGGTTGATCTCTTGCTCGTGTGCTTTACTTGTAGGATGCGTTGCGGTTTCGGCGAGGCTGAGGGCGGCGACGGACGACGGTTCTGGTTCGGTCATGGCTGCTGGTGTCCGTTCAGCTCAATTGATCGAAAAGTGGTTGTAGAGGAACGAAGAATGCGGAGGTGTGACTGTATCAAGAAAATAGATTGCTTACTGTTTGAGTCAAGCAGAAGTGTCCCGCAATTCCCCCGCCATATGCGACGCCACAGTTCACTAGCCACCGGAGCTAACGGCGGTGCATCCTCGGCGGCAAAACTCGTGATGATCGTCAGAGCTCCGCACCAGGCTCACTCCCTCGCACCACAATCGCCTCATTCACCCCTCCCTGTGCGACACAACCCATCTCATTCAATTGCTGCCGCAGCAATTGCATGCGCGGGACCATGCCAGTGGAACGGCTACGCTAGACCACGCGCTTGCAGAGGTTGCCTCGAGCTCCCTACTCCTCATCCCCTCGCCTACGCGACAACGCCTCATCCGAATACGACCCAGTGCGATTGCTTGAGCGATTCCTGTCAACATGGTCAAATTCTACTCCTCGAACGACACATACCAGTACCCCTTCCCCGCCGTCACGCTCGCCTACTTCCTCCGGTACCCAAACCCCTACTCCACGCACGTGCTCACAACAGACACTATTGCACGGCACTTCGATCCGGAAACACAGCGCCTAACCACCGTTCGGCTGCATCTCAAACGCTCCAAGCTCCCCTCTGCCGTCCTCAAGCTACTCCCTCGCTCCCTGCTCGGAGCCTCCTCCGGTGGCGATACGCAGTCCTTCATTCTCGAGAAGTCGGTTGTGGACATCAAGGAAGGATGGATGGACACGGAATCGCGGAACCTTGAATGGACGGGCGTGCTGTCGGTCGTTGAGCGCCAGGTGTTCCGACGACCCACTCCGGACGTCCCCGATGAAGTCAAGATCTGGCAGGGCATGGAGGGCGCTGCGCGAAGGCACGGCTTCATCAACTTCACCGGTATTGGCGCCGGCGCGAAAGTAGAAGACACAGGCGAGACGACCGAAGTCGAGAGCAGCGTGACGCTTCACTCACACATCGGCGAGAAATGGAAGAAGCGGAAAGCGGCGGAAGAAGGCGTCTCGGAGGAGGAACACCCACAGAAGATGGGCTTCCTGCGAAGCTGGGGCACGCATTCGTTGCAGCGCAGCATCGAGAAGATCGGGATGAGCCGCACGCTGCGCAGCCAGCCGAATGCGCGGGAGGGCATGAAAGTCGTGCTGGAGCGGATGAGGGAGGGCGGTCTAGTTGCTGTGCTGGAGGGCATGCGACAGGACAGGGAGGCTATCTTGAAGGGACACCACGCATTCAAGAAGGGCCGTCACCACGATGACGATGAGTAAGCGCGCGAACTGGATCAAGTTATGGCGCAGCAGGGAAAAGCACACCCCGAGGTATCTTATGGCCTCGATGCTCTGGTATGGTATGGTATGGTATGGTATGGTTTTCATGAGCGCCGGAGTTCAGGTTCCTCTCCCTACTATATACGTCTTCTCTTCTTGCATCGCTCGCTCCTTTCGTCGGTTGAGCTGGGCATCTGTTTTACTATCGTCCCTTCGGCTCTCTTTCCGTTGGATGGCAGGGAGGCCTTCTGTATCATACATCTCACGGTTCTGTCCAAACGCGTAGGAATGTAAAAGTTAATAACTGCCACGCCTAGGTATGGTCTAATTTTCCTTGGGTCCACAACGTTCACTCCCCATCCGGCCCGTGGCTGGAGACCTACCCGTAGCTCTTACAGGTGGCTCCTATTTTCGTTCTTTGAAGCTCGAACTCTGTACAAACTCAACCGCCCAACCGTGTAGCTTTTGATGACAAAATCAAAGCATCAGCAAGTGCCCCCGCTGCTGCCAACGGGCGGTATTTGCTGCACTTAACCCCCAAAAGAATGCCCGTTCCCACACCGAAAACGTCCTCCGTGTCGATCGCTTCAAAGCTGTCGTCTCGCCCACCCGTCTCGTGCACTGAAAAGGCGCCACGGCGCGCCAAACATCCTGAAAATGTCTCAAGAACACCCGTTAGCCCTCAACTACTTAGCAGTCACAGCGCCCGATCTACAAAAGCTGCTAGAAGACAGCAAGATCACGAGCGAGAACCTCGTGCAAAGCTATATTGAACGCATAGAGAAGGACAACACGTATGGAGCGGGGATACGAGCGCTTATCGAAGTGGCTCCCCAGGAGATCCTGGTGCAACAAGCTCGTTGCTCTGACCAGGCGAGGCGTGACGGTTTCGTTAAAGGTCTGCTTCGTAGCCTGCTACATCGTACTGAGGGTCGGAACTTATGGTCTGTTTTCGTCTACGGAACCTAGGTGACTGAATTAGATTGTGGGATTATATCGGAACCACGGATCATCTTCGAATGGGGTCCGGGTCCCTCGCCATACACGACGCTACGGTTTCCACGGATGCTACCTGGTTACCAAGGTAGGGCAAAGAAACCCCCCCTGCTCTCTTTCACACATACGCGCACACGCACACGCGCGCGGGAAATATCACTCGCTGATACATCTCCAACTCAATGAAGCTGGTCTGATCATTCTTGCTAAGGCGAACTTCACGGTGCGTACATCCACCGTTCCTTGTAGCGACCTCTCTAACAGATTGACGAGGAATTCTGAAACTGCAGGTGAGTATGAATGCGTAATCTAGATTGACGGGGTAGAGAGCACGAACCTGAACTCCGCCACGCTGTCGACTCGGGATTCACATTGACGCCTGCAGAACATGCGCGACATTATCGACTCAGTTGTATCTAAGATCAAGGCCGCCGGTGCAGTCGTCAACGACTCCGTTGAGCTGAAGTCTCTGCAGGACATGCTAGAATTCGATCCAGCAAGCGTCCAAAGTATTCTCCAATTACTTCTCATCAATACGCTAGACGAAATAACTCGCGGACTTCGAGTTCAAATTCGGGCTACAAGACTACCTCTCAACCTTTCAAGATACCGATATCAGGACTCTCTCAGATGTGATGAAGTTCAATCAGGAGCATCCTAAGCTCGAGTCTCCTCCAGGTAAGAAATACTGATGCTCTGTTTCTCCCACGTCGGTACCATCTAATTACGGCTAGATTTCAATTATGTCGCCCAGGAGACATTTATCGAGCTCGACAACTGCAGAGGACGACAAAGAATCCCACGATGCGGCTCTGACCAAGCAATTCGACGTCTCCCGCCGCAATGGAATCGGCGCAGTCATGCAGAAACATGGAGTAGACGTGCTTATCGTCCCGTCCGAGGCTACCAGACTGGCCGCAATAACTGGCATGATAGCCACATCATCTCTCATAATAACAGTCGGGCTGACTTCAGCGCCTGGAAGGCTACCCTATAGCAACCGCACCCGTGGGATTGGATGACGAAGGAGTGCTTTTCGGGTTATGCCTTTTCTCCGGTAGACTGAGGGGGGGCACCTTGCTTCGCGCCATGAGTGTTTGAGAAGCTCTACCCGCGGGTGTATCTGCCTTCCTTTTTCGCAAAGGATGCTTGCATGCCTCCTATCCGTTGAAAAAAAACGTCAATAAATGCAAATTCTAGGAATGGTTTTCAACTTGCTTATGGTCCAGGAGAGCGTATTGGAACGCTCCTGCCTCATCACTCCTTCCTCACCCGCCATCCCGATACTTCTTTCCTTGTCTGTCATGTGGATTATGAGCGGTGGAGACTGAGGAGGCTTATACTGGGTTACATTTGTGTATTGTGGTGTTTGATGGATTAGTGATTTGCTCAGGATATATGGGATGGTAAATGGAAATAGGCGTGCGAGGAAATGTTCGGATGACGAAAGCCGTCCATAGAGGAAACTATGGCTCGGTGGAGGGTACAGATCGCAGAGTAGACGTGTAAAGGGGGAAGTACGAATGGATGGAGCTTTACGCTATCCCCAAGATGGTTCCCTCACTGATGTAAATGGATCCCATAACGGCCCCTATCCGTGACTTTTTTTCTTTACTAAGCTCTGTCGCCCGTCCTAGGTATGAGCATCATTCCATAATTCCTGTATCAAATCCCATGTTCCGTCACCGATCACAACGCTCCTTCCTCCCTCCCCCCTCACCATCCAAACCCCAAAAACAAAAGCTATCAACCCCCTATCCTAACCTCATACGTATTCGAACTCAGCACCAAAAAAAAAGAAGCTCCCGTCCAGCCCCACCCGTCGCTGGGCCCGTTCATAAGAATTTTTCGGTTTCTGTTGCGGCTATGCCGGCCACCAGAGCGCCTACTTTCAGTGGATTGAGAGGATTCCTACTCACACCAGGTCCTTTACAGAGCCTGATGTCTGACTGACGTTGGGCGGCGGAGGCGTGAGGTGTCCTGAGAAGATTTAGTATGTGATTGTTAGATGTTTTGAGAATATCTGGATATATATGGGATGAAAAGGTGCAGGTGGGCGAATGACGATATTAGCATGATTTCGTTGTCTAGCGGAAGTAGCACTGAACGTGCGTGGAAGGTAGGACACAGGGAGAGAGTCACCCGTAGACGATAGATAAGATGCAGGGAGGAGGAAGCCGCGAATGAGCAAATGTGCGGCACTGCCTCTGGGTTTCTAAGTTTTGTTCTTTGGGGATATGGTAGGCTCACTGACGGGCTTCTTCAAGATACTTAGATCTTCTTGAACTATGACTTTTGCGTTTCTAGAGTTCTGTTCAATGTTCGTGGTCGAAGTGCAGCTAGTCCGCACCATCCCCCCTACGCCAACCTTGAACGCACCTTCCCCCCTCTCCTCAGCCGCCAACACAAAAGAAACTATCCATCCGACGCGGCTTTCCCTACTCGAACTCAAGAGCAAAAAAAAAAGAAGATTCCCAAGCACAAGCCCTCCATACTCGCACGGCCCGTTCACAAGATCCTTTCGGCCCCCAAAGAGGCCTACTTTCAGCGAGGTTTGATTTTAGACATCTCTGATTCCAGAGATGTCTCGAGATGCTGAATGTCGGGGCGGCGGAGCGGTGAGGCTTGCTGGGTTTGTGTTTGTGTGATTGTTGGGGGGATTTGGGGATAGTTGGCATATATCTGGAATGAAATGGGATGACGGCGGGATGAGGGGAGGGTGGAGGGTGCTTTACATGCGAGTCGAGAGGGAGGGAATGACGCACCGGGGGAATGAGAGCGAGGTGGAAGGAGCAAATGAGTTGTGTGGATGTGAATGGAAGGAGCAACGGTGGTAGGCGGGACTGGGAATAGGATAGCTGGAGGAGAGAAGGTGCTTGAAGCGAATCATGCTACACTACACAAAAGGAATCAGAAAAAGAACCCGAAGGAAAGACGATCTCACGTCGTTTATAAAATGCTCTTGAAGCCTTTATTCTCAACATTGCGCATCTTACCCTCTTCACTTTCGGTCTCACGAGATGAGAACGTGTCTGCATACTTGATTTCTTGTGAAAAGCTTATCAAAATTAGCAATAATATACTTCGGGTATGCCCCATCCCCCCTTCTACATGCCCTAGACAACTCATACTCCCCATCTCATCCCATATCCCAATCCCCACCACCAGCACAACTCCCACCATCCTCCCAACCCACCTCCTCAAAAACCCTACGACCCCCTATACGTCGTATACCCAAACGGCCCCAACAGCACGGGCACATGATAATGCTGCTCCTTGCCCCCATCCGCCTGCCTAACCACAAACTTGACCTGGACCTCCGGGAAAAAAGTCTTCACGCCCCTACTCCCAAAGTACTCCTCAGTATCAAAGCTCAGACTATACTGCTGGTCGCCCTCGCGTTTGAAGATAAGATCTAGGGAATCGGCGCTGAAGGGCGAGCTGGGCGTCCAGGAGGTGACGCGGCCGTCGGCGTTTGTGGTGGCGGCGAAGACGAGCGGCGAGGAGAGCGACGAGGGCGGGTTGTGCAGCGTGAGGGTTACGGGGATCGAGGCGGCGGGGCGGCCGAGCGTGGTGTCGAGGACGTGGCAGGTGATGGGGGGTTTCTTTTCGGTTGCCATGTTCGGGGCGGGTGCGGTTTGAGCGGGTGAGGGAGCGGAGATCGAGGCGGTCAATTGGTTCGAGAGGGCTTCTATGCGCTGGTTCGCCTGCGCTGGGCGCGATGTACTCATACAGCTGCTGGGTTTGCGATGGGCGTGGCGGAGCTTGAGCGGGATCGTAGAGCTTCGTAGCTGGTCGGTTGGGCGTGAGGTTTCAATTAGGGCAATTAGGTTCCGGAAGAGAGATGAAAAGAGAAGCTGAAGCTCAGGCCTGGCTTTGAGGTGAGAAGTGGGTGCAATTGAGTCCGAGATAGATAGCAAAGCACTGCTTTCAAGAAAAGAAACCAACCCTGCCCCGCATCCACCAAACAGCGTCATCGGGCGCCTCCGAAAGCACCTCCGCGCCGATCCCCGCGTGCTTCCCAAGCCTCTAGTGCCCTTTGGTAAAACAATTCTATCGGCTTCTCTACCACAAGAGATTCACCGGAAAACATTGCGAATCCCAAAGATAGAACTGCTATTGCCAGACATGTGACGCTGCAACCTCAACTTATTGAAGGACGCGCTACACGAGTTTCACGTTTCACCCGCTAGTTTCACGATTCCCAGGCTACTGCTGCAAGTCAACTGTCAACCCATTGAAACAACTCCGCTGATCGCGCGTGGGATATTCATGCTGTGCAAGAATGATGATCGATCGATCGAGTTGATAAGATGGTATCACTAGCTTCATTAAGCCTACATACGAGGAAAAGCCGCGTGCTGTCATCGCACATCTTCATCGGATATCAGGACAGGAAATCCATCATTCGGAGACCTAAATGGCCCATTCCAGCCTCTTCCCCTCTCGTATCGACTGGAAATAGATCATCAAGCCCCCGAACCCTAGATAAAAGTATACCCGTCTCGTAAGACCGGGGTCGTAGAATCAGAGTGAATAAAGGTTACAAGAAAGGTAGATAGGTAGAGAGATGAGGTGCCGCCGTGGCTGACTGATATCTTATCCCGAAGTTGCTCACCGATGAGGTGGCTTTCCCAAAACGCCCGAATGAAATTCCCTTTGCTTTCCGTCATGGAGCGCTTCACCCGAGATCGCTCCTGTTGTCGTCTGAGAACGGGCTCTGCGTGCGCTTTGATGCGCTGCTTGCACGTTTCGACTCCTCGGCGATGGGCGTCATGGGTGCGCGCAGCGCGCTCGACCGCGATGTGTGTCGCTGCGGCAGGTCCGGACGGTCAATCGTCGAGCTGTCGGAGAAGGGACTCTGCAGCATGCCCGGTGTATCTTGAATCTCAGTAATATCACTATCGCGCTCGCTTCCTGAGGGCAAAAGGCTGCGTCGCGCGCGGGAGTGATCGTCATCATCGGACTCGGAGTCCGATTCCACGTCGGCGGCTCTCCTTGCACGTGCGTGCGCGACACCGTCGTCGGTGGATGCTACGGATATTTCCGTAAGCGGTCGCATTGGAGGAACCAGAGTTTCTGAGGTTGAAGTAGAGGAAGTTTTTGCGCTCGCATTGGAAGGAGAGCGCTTTGGGGTCGTGACCTCGGTCGCCTTCTTCTTGGTAATGTTCAGTGCGCGGACCGGGCCAAGCGTCGCAATGCTTCTGATGGAGCTCTGTGAGCTCACGGAAGAACCGCTCATCATTCGCGGCATTTGAATGCGGATCGGTTGCCCAGTGTGCTTCGGGTCGATCTGGGGTACCGGCGGGGCCTCCGTGCTCGGCGTCTCTGCTGGGCTATTGGAGCCACTCGACTTGACGCTGACAACAGCAGCCTTTCCTCGCACGATGGTCTGAGCTGGAAGGGGAGACACGATGGCATTCTGGCGGTAGACGGTAGATGCGACGCTGCCCCTTGCGAGACTCGGCGCAATGCTAGTACGGGCGTAGCTGCTGCGTCCGTCGGTGGTGCTGGATACCATTGAGTCGCGGAAGTCTGGCACGAAGAAGTGCTGTTCCGAGTCGGCGTACGGGCTGCTGAGACCGGATGAAGGGGACATGGCGGGGATCGGGGGCACCGGTGGGACCAGCAAGTCTGGAGATCCGGGGCCGGAGCGGTTCGTGACGCCGGGGATGTATGCAATCTGGATGATGTTGGAGGCGCGAGTGAGGACGGACGAGGCCATGGAGGCAACGGTGTGTGTAGACGCCCGAGTGCTCCTCCGCGACACAAAGTCGATCTCGCCCTTCTCGTGTGCCGCCATATCCACCTCCTGCCACTCTCCCTCCTGGTACGGCTGTCTCTTTCCCTTCAGGCAGAACTTCCATATGACGAAGACCAGAATGGCGATGAATGCGACACCGCCAACCACGCCTCCGGCGATGGCCCCTACGTTTGGCTTGTTCGAAGATGCGGAGCCTCCGACGGCAGGATCAGGTCTGCAATCTACATGGGAGCAGACATTGCAACTGGGTGGGATCTGGACGCAGATTTGGTTGCTCGGGCAAGTGACGCCGGCGCAGGAAGGCGTCCCCTTGTCGCATTCGATGCAGCGGCGGAAGATGGTTCGCATGACATTTTCGACATCTAGACGATCAGCATTCGCGAGCGACGACACAGGACTCGAGCTGTATGTACCTCTTTTGGTGAAGGCGGCCATGGTGACGGTGGTGACAATGTCGCAGGCTCAGGGATCGGCGTTGCGGATTAAGAGGATGGAAAGGAGAGGCAGCGGCCCAGCACAGCGACTGGCACACCGGCCGGCGATGTGCGACGACTCCAAGGTGCGGTAGAGAATGTGATGGCTGTCGTGCTGCCGTGCGACGGTTTGCGGTCCCTGGGATCGGCGCGACAAAGAGCGGTCGGGGACAGACAGCGGCTGCAAAGACGAATGGGAAGCGGCGACGGCCGGAAAGCGTCCTGACGGGCGGAGAGAAGAATAAAAGTAACGAGTGACAATAACAAGAGCGACCAGTAGCAGCGGAAGGGCGAGGGAGGAGAGGAGAGGAGGTGGTGAAGGGAGGATCGGGGCTGGCTGTTGGCTGCGGCGCTGTTGCTGTCGCTGGTAAGCGGGCCTGGGCGTTTCGAGCAGGCGATGGGTGAAAGAACGGGCCAGGGGCTGTGGCGTGCGCTTGGGGTTCCGCGACAAAGAATCACGGCCTGCACTCTGACTCCTTGTTGGGGATGCAAAGTCGCTGTAGCGGACAACGGGGCGCGCGACAGTCCTCCGTAGTGGTGCGGGACTGCAGGTGCGAGCGAGCGGCGATATGTATGCCATCGCAGCTGACCCCTCGACGGCCCCATGGTGGCGGGTCGCTCCTTCCAAGTGTGCCTGTCCTGGATGGTGTTTGCCCTTTGCGGCGCGCCACACGAAGCCTAATCTATTTTTGCCAGGGGCCGTTGGACTGCCACCCCTCTCCCTTCCTTCCTTCATCTCGCGCCTGCACCACGCAATCTAGCAGGATGCAAACCCCATCATCTCATCAATCTCCCCCCGCTGCCGCCGCCGCTGCCAGCTGGTTGCACAAGCCCGTCTCCCGCTGTGCTGGCCCACGACGTCCGCTGCGAGCCGTCGCAGTCAGCTGCGCACGCGATGCCTGATTGGCCTCCCACGTTGGATAAATGCTGCACACTCGCGTCCGCCTTACCCACAGCAGTTACTTCGCCTTGGCCAATATAACGAATCCTCCAACTGCCTCTGCATTCTGACCACCGCGGGGCAGTTCACGAAGCAATTCCAACATGTCGAGGCCAGATGTCGAGCAAAGAGCGGGCTCCAACTGTTGTCGGCACCCGCTCTCATCAGCCGAGCGAAACCTTCTCGCCGGTTCCTCCAGTCTCCACTCAGTTCAAACGACAGCTTCCGAATGGCTCATCAGGTAAACAAGTGCTGCAACCTCATCTTGTTGAATCTCGGAAATGCTTTCTAGACCTTTGCGTCCCGCCACCGTTACACTACTCCGTATGTACGTGTCTGCTGGCGGCGGTACCCGCAGAATATTCGTGCAATTTCTTTGTGTCGACCACTCAGAGAGCGTCAGCGACGAAATTCGTACAACCGAAGCCACTTCTCGAAGGGAAGCCCCTGCTGTCGGAGAATTGCTGCCCAGGCCAGATCGCCCACTAGAACAGCAAACCTCAACGCCCTTCCCTCGCGCATTTCGATCGAGCGACCTCCAGCATATGCATGCACATGTCCTTCCTATTATATCCGGAATTAGCTCACCTTCCTACCAGACTTCAGTATCTTCACCCATCACCGTCAGCATCACACCACGACCAGCAAGTATCCTCATCGGTATATCCAAGACTCTTAGCATCGAGACATATACCTCGTCTCCACTTGCGATCCCCGCAGCCCAATGTAGGCAAAACGAAAGTTGACGAAATCCTCAATCTTGGTAGCCTGGCACACATCCTTCTCCGCATTTCTGCTGAACACATCCTTCACCACTATACGCGATAAGAGGCCGTCCTATACGTCTTGAGATCCACGATGATCATCATCATCACCAGACTCTTGTCGATCAGTTGGCGGGGTGCGACGATGAGATTGCTGATCCGGCTCATCGCGTTTGGGCACGAACGTGCTTGATTTTCCCGCTCCCAAAGATCGTCCTCTTGCGACGGATCCCGTCCAAAAGATGCGCCTTGGTTGATCTACTTCTTTTGAAAGTCTTGAGCATGTGGCATGGCATTGTAAGAGAGGGCCAAGCCCATCAGCCCTAAGCGCATCTTGGGTGTCTGACACGACGGTTTGGCCAGTCTACGCGCTTGAGTAATTCACGCTAGGATCGAAGGCTCATTTCGGGAGTATCGCACGCTCATCGAATTGCAATTCTCAGTACCGTTCAAACACTTTCTCGCAGATGCGCATTCATTCCGGAGCTATATCCTCCGCTATTATACCCACAAGACTCATCTCAGTATTTGTGCACGTTGTCATTCTGTGAGCGTAATCTGCTTTCGTCCGAAAGAGATACGTCCCATCACTAGTACCATTGCCTTGGGCTCGCTTGTAAGGGGCACTGGCCAAGCTTCCGTATGGCCTGTTGGTCTGACAGCGGATTATATGCTTGTCAGCATGCCAACAACCCAATCTGAGCTTTCTCGCATAGAAGGAGGTCTTCTTAGCGGCACAGTCGTTGGGAGATCCGGCCTCGAAGCGTACGAGCTTCCCCCTGCATCCTGAGGTTACGCAGCGACTTCCACTTTCTCTCACATCTGCCTCGGACGGATGTGTACTACACATGCGTAGCCTAGAGATTTCGGAATCGCGCATTGCTTATGTCCATTGAAGTCTACAGAGCATCCATCTCCACTACCTAAGACTTGGTTGCCTGCGTTCTGATATCTGGTCAAACAAGTCAACAGCGAGCTTTTGGATCGTCAAGTTGCTAGCCAGAAGCTGCTGGAACGGCATATCGATCTTGAACTCGCGGAAGATCCAGTTGCGGAACTCGGCACCAATCATGCTGTCCAACCCGAAGTTAGCTAGTGAGCTCGTGCTTCCTTCAATATCCTCAACGTTTATCATCAGCAGCCGCGATAGACGTTCGACGATATACTTCTCCATGCGCTTCACGGTGTCCGCGTCGTCCGAGGCACTCTCAATAAGCACTAGCATACTCGTGTCCGTCGCAGTATCTTTGGGGGAGGAATATTCACTCATCGCAGCAAGCAGAGTTCGCAGTCGAGGGTTCATCATCCATGTGAGATCAGCCTTAGCAGCTTTGACGGATGCCGCAAGCTGCATTGGCTGCAAACCTGCGATAATGTGATCGATCTCACACGGAAGCTCATTCAAAGGTGTCATGGCGACTTCGAATGCGCGGAGCATGTCCTCTTCGCTGATACAGGACATGCCCCTCCTTCGAATGGAAGCTTCGATCTCCGGGTTTTCTGAAACGTAGCCTACATCTAGCACAGCGGGAAGAATGAGCGATACTCCGGGAAGCCCCAGGGCTCGACGATGATGTGCCAAAGCATCCAAGAACGAGTTCGCTTCCGCAAGGTTAGTCTAGATTGGTCTAAACTCTTGGAATCGTGAAAAGCTTACCTGCGGCATAGTTGCTTTGACCTCCCGCTCCGAGCGTGGCAGCGATCGAACTGGTCATGACGAAGAAGTCCAGTCCTCCGACCCTTGATAACGTTTCGTGCAGAACCAACGATCCTTTGACTTTCGGGGCAAGAACCTGGTGCCAAGATGTGGCCTGCATATTATGAAAGAAAGTGTCCTGTATGCTCGTCAGCAATCTGATCGTCCGAAAGAAGTCTGTCGATGCCTCACCCTCAGGACGACCGCCGCATTCACAACACCACGAATTGGGAAACGCGGATCGATAGTAGCGAAAGCTGCCTCCACTTCAACTTTCGAAGTAACATCCGCTCGAAGCACTTGAATATGAGCTCCAGACCGCCGAAGAGAGGTCACCAGCTCCGCAGCGAGTGGACTATCGGCACCGCTACGAGATAAGAAGGCAAGGTGTTTCGCCCCTCGCTCAATCATCCAAGATGACATGCTCCGACCTAGTCCTCCCAGGCACCCTACCAGGAGATATGTTGCTTGGTCTGAGAAGCGAAGTCCTTTGCGTTGCTCCTGGTACTCGATTAAGGAGTCAGGCGAGAGCGAGAGAGCGACTCTGCCATGGCCCATCTCGGGTGAGATCGACCGTATCGCTTCCGTCGACTCCGTTGGGCGCTTGGGAATAACTGGCCACACTGGGTTGATGGTTCCTTTGCGATAGAGCTCCGCGGATCTTTGCAGTAGCCTGAGAATGTTAGCCTTAGATCGCGCACATATTAAAAAGACATACCTCTTGACGATACAAGGTTTGTATCGGTACAAATCCGGAATGCTGAAGCTCAGAAATGAAGCATTTCGTGCGGCTAAGGCGGGGAAGGCCTGGCTTGGGGTTCCGCAAAAGATGATGCGTCCAAACGCCGCCATGACCCTAATGCATTCCTCCAGTCTCCATGAATCCATGATGGCGGAGCAAAGGACAACATCTATTCCGGCATCGTTTGTCAAGCGCTCTAAAGTCGTGGCAAGATCTCCTTGAGTTGGCCGTACGATGCCCGCGAGCGTCAGGTTAGAAGATCGCAGCAGATCTTCAGTACGCTCAGACTCGGTGACGACAATAGCGGTGGCCCCTTTCGCTGCGCAGATCTGGACTGCAACAAGTCCCACAGCACCGCAGTCGTCGAGTATGACGACGTTGTCTCCGCTTGCGACTCGCGCCAAGTCTTCGAGCGCATACAGTGCAGTGGTAGAAGCCGTTGGAAGAGTCGACATAACCTCCCACGCCTCAGGCTTAGCCATCCGTTGGACGAGGTCGTACCTAGTCTTCTGTACCGTAGCCAACGTGTCGAAGGAGAGCCCGAACACACTGTCGCCGACCGCGATGGATGGAGGCACAGAAGACCCTACGCGAGTAACCGTTCCGGCAATCTCGTGGTTGAAGAAGGGCGAGAAGTAGTCTGAGTTGGCCGCAATATCCGCATCCTCCTTGTTCAGGCCCAGACTCCGGACTTTAATCTCCACTTCTTCAGCGTGTAGTGGAGCTTCGATGCGGTCGTCGCGACGGAACGTGAGCTTTGCCGACCTGGATTCGCCTTTCAGCGCTGGTGCGTCTTTGACCGCAACACGCTCGGGTTCCTGATGCCTAGTGGCAAATCTCTCATTTATACCGTCATCCGGGACGAGTCGTCCAACGTACACCGCACCATCACTGATGCAGTATTCGTTCTCGCTACAAGACTCGCCCCTAGCTGCCCATTCATTCACGACACCTAGGAGGACTTTCGCAAGACGTTCCTTCGAGCTCGGCGCATCATCGACATCGACGAGCACCAAGTCTAGAAGCTGATTCTCATTCCGAACGACACGTCCCCATCCGCCAGCCATGGCGTACTCGGGGCGTAAGGCCTTCAGCAGCCCGCCGGGTGTGACCCACGCGATAGAAGAGATACCTTCCGTCAGCCTTTGGACAGCATGTAGCTCTTCTGATGTCAGGGTGGCGAAGACAGGGCTTTCCAGTTCGGCGAGGACAATGATTGGCTCTTGCTGTCTGGGGATAGCGTCGGCTAGGGAGCTAGTTCGAACGGCAAAGCCGGCGTCTGCGAGGATAGAGGCAAGTTCAACTTGGAAAGAATGAGGACCTTTGCGATACACCTGTGATCCGATGTAAGCGCAAGTTAGCACAGGCAGAGACACGGACTGACCAGTAGGGCTGATCTGGTATTCGGAACTAAATCATGGTGATGCGTGGATGGTTCTAAGTGGCCGTCTTCCACTCCCCCTTCCGAATGCCTCCATACGGTGGCGTAATAATCTTGAACACGCAATGAGAAGGCATGGCGTAGCTCCACCGGACGCTCTAGCACACCTTCGTACACGCAGTTAGCGTAAGTTTCAGGCTACATAGGAGATCACTCACGACTAGGATCTTCCAAGGCCACTAAGTGGCCTTGAGGCTTGAGGATTGGCTGTATGACTGAGGACAATTCGACGAGATCGGCAGCCTTTGGAAGGACTACCAAGTCGAACGCATCGAGTCCGTGGCTCTCCTTCATGAGACTCCACGGAGCGCCTACTCGAACAACACTAACCCCTTTGTCCGTGGCATACTCGGCTCGCAGGCGGTCTACCTCCTCTTCCGTGCCAACTGCGACCGTGATACTTGCCTCGAAGTGCCTTTTAGGCAGATGCCCCAGCATCTCTGCACCGAAGAAAAGGGCACGAAGACTCGCATTCTTGTGCAAGAAGATGCCGAAGAGGCGGTCCAGCGTCATCTCACCCATGCCAGAAGCAGAGAAGGAGTCCGCCAGGTGATACAAATCCAGCTCCCAGTGCAGCTTCGAATACAAGTCTTTCCGCGAGACCTCCGCATCCGGGAGTCGACCAGCCTCGTAGGGGACACACCGGTAGCCCGAGAAATCAGCAAGAAGCTCGCCATCTGGTCCCACGAGCTCGGTATGGCACACGAAGCTCCGGTTTCCGCGGTGCGACATCCACGAGGTGGCACTCGCGTTGCCGTTATTTAATTGCGCCGGATGCGGCGCCCATATAGACACCTCGGTGAAGTGTGTAAGGACGTTGGCGCAGAGGACGTCGTCCATGTTCCCTTTGTGGATCGCTACGAGGGATGTCTGGAGGCAGGAGTCGATGTTCGCGGGGTGCATCACGTACCGTGATTCGTTTACCATGAGGCCGCATTCTTGCTTGATGAGCGTGTCCGCCGTGGCGACGTGCAATTTGTTGTTGGTGTGGATGGTGGTGGAGTTGCGAAAGGTGGGGCCGAAGTCGAAGCCTAGGGTGCGGAGTTTGTTGTTCCAAGAGGTGTATGTTGATCTGACGGGGAGGGATGGGAGGGGTTTTGGTTTGCGCCCTGCCTTGTCGTCAGTTGGGTGTAGTGATGGATAAGGTGCCGTCAAGACTAACCTCTGCTGCGTATGTTAAGACTGACCTTGCCAGTTGCGTGCTCCTTCCATTCCCCATGACTGAGCGAAGACACGGTAAAGAGGTGCCACAGCCCAGGACTGCTGGCTCTGTATTGTGAGCAGGGCCGTAAGGAGAATAGAGTCTCGACTCCGTTATCATCATCAGGGACTACGATGGCCGATGGGATAGTCACATCTTTCAAGGTATATCCCTTGATTAAATGCGGCTTCTGAAGGAATGAATTGGCTTGCGTCACAGCCTCGATGGCCATGGCAAAGTAGCCAGCGGCTGGGAACACAGCTTCACCACCCAGCTACAACAGCGTCAGACTAGATGGAACGATATTCAAGAGAGACGCGAGCGCTTACCGAATGATGCTTCAGCCAAGGAAGGTCCTTGTGCCGCAAAACGTTCCGCCACACAGGCTCGATTGTAGACGTCCCCAACACCTTGCGTCCGAGGATGTCATGGCGAGGGTACGGTGACTGGCGATGCTCGCGGCTATAGCGAGACTCAGCCCAAAGCCTCTTGGTGTATGTCCATTGATAAGGAGGAAGATCCACCAACAACTTCCCGCTTTTCCGCACGACGGAGCCATCCACGTTGCCCTGCTCGACGCAGGTCACCGCGTCAGTATCGACCGGTGCTTTGCGGGCCCAAAGCTGCCCCGCCAGCCTCAAAAGCTGAGCATGGTCGTTCTCATTGCGCTTGAGACTAGGGAGATAGATAACAGAGGACCGATTTGATTTCGCGCAGATTTGCCGCAAAGGGCCAGAGAAGGTCGAATGCGGGCCGATTTCGACCACGGTGTCAATGCCCAGGTCGCTTGATAGCATGCTTTGCATTGCTTGGTTGAATAGAACCGGGTTTGTCATGTTCTTGCACCAGTACGTTGCGTTCATCGATTTGCTCTCGATTGAACTGCCGGTGACGGTCGAAAACATCGGGATGTGCTCCCTAATGTGTGCAAACGGTTCCGAAGTCTTTGATTCGAGACGGAGGAGCTCGAGGTATTTGCAAGCGATATCGGTCATATGGTGAGAGTGGTATGCTTGCCCACCAGTTCGAACGCTTCGAGCAAAGATGCTGTTGGCATCGAGAGTCGACTTCAGTTCGTGGATCGCTTCCGCCTCACCACTGATAGTGACGCTGTCCGGAGAGTTGTGGCAAGCTATAACGAGGCGCCCTTCTTGCGCCGCCAAATACTCCTTGACCTGCTCAGATCCCAGGCCGACTGCAAGCATAGCGCCTTGCTTTCCTGGGGATGAGACGACTCTCCCTCGAAGATATGCAATTGTGATGGCATCTTGAGCGGATATAAGCCCCGCGGCGTACGCAGCTGCGATCTCCCCTTCCACTAGTCAGCGTTCTGCGAAAGGGCTCGGCCGGTAAGGATAGCATACCTGAGGAGTGTCCAATAGTGGTCACGGCGCTTATGTTCCAGCTTCTGAGTAGTTCGACGAGTCCAACCTGGATGGCGGTACATAGCGGCTGAGCGAAGGCTGGTTCATGAATACGACTGGCATACTCAGATTGCGTGAGAGCGCCTGTAGTGTGAGTATCAGCAGGGCTACGCTATAGGCTAGGAATAAAGCGTACTCTCTATGCTCCAGCCAGGAGGCTCTACCAGGCGAGCAAGAACCCCGTCAAGACTCTTAATAATGGCGAGGAAGCTAGGATACATCTGCAGAAGATGGGAGCCCATGCCTGCCCACTGTGCACCTTGGCCTTTGGATTCTATTAGCTCTCGGCTGCGTAAGAAATGTGGTAATCTGCTCACCGGTGAATGCGAAAGCTACTCTGGCCGCACACGTCGAGATACTGATGTTCTCAGAAGCCATATCAAATCCCAAGTCACAGCTAGACTCCCGACAAACGGCAAAGGTACGGCAATCATGTTCAGAGCGACGAGCCGCCAGAGTATGAGCTAGGTCTAGAAGACGTTCGTTATGGCATGCTTCGCGAAGCGCCTCGACGTTCTTCATCAATGTAGTCTTGTTGTGGGCCGAAAACAGAAGGAGATGCGAATGATCTGCAACTCCATTGTGGAAACCGTTCTGAGATGCGCAGCCAAGCTCCCTCAGTCGCCGATAGCCGCAATATTCAGAGAGGAACGACGCCGCGCTCTCGATTATTGCGTGCCCGTTTGTACCACCGTAGCCGAAGGCACTAACGCCGATTCTCTGGACTGGGAGAAATGGGGGGAAAGGAGTAGGCTCGGTGACCACTCTGACGTTGAGAGTTTCCCATGGAACTGCGTTCGCCGAATTAGCGGGGAGTCCTGATATTCCATAATGTTCTTGACCTACTGGTCGTATTCAGCCTCTTCACCCCAGCCGTCGGAGGTATGATTCCCTTCTCCAATGCCAGTACTGCCTTCATAACCGTGCAGATACTGCTGGCCGCTTCACTGTGACCAATGTTCGGCTTGATCTAAATGTGGTCAGAGTTGCCCACGTGTAAGACGTGCATCACTTTATGGAACTTTACGTACGCTTCCAATAAGGATGGGCTCTTGCCGCTCGGACCGGTTTCGGAGGGCCATGGAGATTGCGCGAACTTCGATCGGATCTCCAGTTGGCGTGCCGGTCCCATGGCATTCAACATACGCGGTTGATAACGGGTCAAGATTGCCCAGCTTGTGGGCGGTCGTAATGACGCTCGCTTGCCCTTGCATGCTTGGGTAGGTGATGCCATTATCGGAATGTCGTCCATTTCTACACGGACGTTAGAATCTGAACCGCAAAGAAGGGATGAACTTACGCGTTAGTGGCAGTGGATCGGATGACCGCTCGGATTGGATTCCCGTCTCGCAGTGCCGCGCTCAAGCGCTTGATGTACAAGGCTCCAACGGCCTCAGCACGACCGTATCCGTCCGCAGACTCATCAAAGGAATGGCATGTGGATGTTGGAGACAGAACTCCGAGCTTCGCGGTATTCATATGCTGGTCTACGGTCAAGATCCAGTTCGCGCCACCGACGACCGCGCCCTCACATTCGCCCCTAGTGATTGCCAGGCATGCGCTATCCAGGGCGTACATGGAAGAAGAGCAAGCCGTGTTCACAAGGACGCTGTGCACATCAGTACCAAAGCTCGACCTTTGGGACTGAAGGTTGATAGTACATACCTTGGTCCTCTGAGATCGAAAATGTGACTGACACGATTCCCAAGCAAACCGGGATCTATCCCTGTCGTCCCGTAGGAGTGCCTGAAGTCATGTTCTTTTAACGTCATTTGCTGGAAGTCGCTAGTGAACGAAGCGACGAAGCACCCAGTGACCTGACTTGAGACCTGCTCAAGCGTAGAGCCGCTGTCCTCAAGGGCCTCGTAAACAACTTCTAGAAGCTTGCGTTGCTGCGGGTCCATCCACATAGCCTCTATAGGAGAGATCTTGAAGAAGGTGGGATCAAAGTCTTCCGGATGATCATCGAGAAAATAGCCTCCAGGAGTGCTGAAGCTGCCTGGTCGATCGTTGTCTAGATGATGATACGCATCAATGTCAAATCGAGAAGGCGGAACTCGGGAGGTGTTCGCGATCTCCCTTTTCATGATCAGTTCCCATAGGTCGCCAGGTGACTTCACCCCTCCAGGAAGGCGGCATCCTAGGGTATGGTCAGAGCGGTGATGATTGATAGCATTGACCTGAGAATATCATACCCATGCCGACAATTGCGATCGGATCCATGGTGATTCAGACTGGAATTTTGAGATCAAATCGACTCTTGGATAGTGTGGAAGTGGACGATTGAAAATATACGTAGAAGTGCCTTTCTGTAGGTACCATACAGCCTATGTAACTCTCTTTCTCGTATGTTATACAGCGCGGCGGCGATGGAGGCACTCGCAATGGCGAGCTACGATCATCTCGACCGTGGTATCTCGGCCGGGCCTCCTGAAACTGCACGGCGCCGAGCAAGTGCTCTGCCTCAAAATTCCAATATCATCGCCGGAAAGAGTCGAAGGACGGCAAAGATCCCTGCATTACCTGCGGGCGGGCGGTTCGGTCCTTCGATTGCCTCGGGGAGATATCAAAAATGCACCGACATGCAGGGCAAGGATTTGTGGGTGTGGGGCCGCAATGCAGAAGGGAGCTAACGAGGTGGTTTCCGTAACCGGTGAGAGAAAACGAAGCAACCTAATTCGAGGTTATGGATATACCACCATGCGCATTGTTGCACCAGGACTTCACCGACCGACACCAATGAAACCGCTCGGCGACTCGACCACCAACAGCCTCATCACAATATAATGCTTTTATCCGCTGCGCTCTAGTCCCTCTTACTAGTAGGTATATGAGGCACAGCAAACTCACACTGCCTCGTCGAACGGTGTTGCCGTTATGCACGTCGGTGAGCGAAGGACAAAAGTAATATGTATGAGCTGGGGTATTGGCCGAATGCGGCTGCATGCATTTCAGGGGACTCCGTAGGATGAGATGTATGGAACCCATAGAATCGGGCGCAGCGATCGTGTGATTCTGTATGGGTGCCAAGGTTAGGTCGACTGAGAGGCCCAGATTTATCGCTACTGGACGCCACTTTGCGAAGTTACTATTAACTCTTACCTCCGCTTAGAGATTGCCTCCTTCAAAACAATACTCACTGTTTTCATCACTAAGCAATTGGCCCATTCGCCCAAGAAGGTCATGGCATCGCAATCAGCCAATCCGACATTCGCTCCCGCATACTTCGAAGAAGATCGCGGTCCAATAGCAAGAGGAACCGCGATCGCATTTATCGTCCTTGAGGTTACCATTGTGACCTTACGATTCGTCTCACGCCGGCTCATCCGAGCCAAACTGGGTCTCGATGACTATCTCGTCTTCCCGGCGTTGCTGTTTTGTTTAGGGCTTTGCATCCTGGCGATAAGTATGCTGTCGATGGCGTGTTGGTGATTGAATTGGCTGGAAGACGCTAACATAACCGCAGTTGAGACGTATATCGCTGGTATTGGAAGACACCTCGATGTACTTGCTGTCTCCAATCCGTCAGCCATCACCAACTGGTCGAAATGCGGCTATGCGATCGAGGAGCTGTACTGCGTCGCAGTAGTATTCCCAAAGCTATCCATTCTGGCATCTTATCTTCGCATCTTCCTGATTCAGCGGTACCGATATTCTGCCTATATCCTCGGCGGCATCATAGTCGCAAGTGGCTTTGCTGGAGTCGTGGCATCTCTTGCTTCTTGCCATCCGTTCTCAGCTCGCTGGAAAGGCGTCGAATATGCGTACTTTCACTGTATCGATACGGTGGCTTACTGGCGATGGATCAGTCTTCCGAATATCGTGACGGATGTGGTCATGCTTGTTCTGCCTCTTCCCGTCATTTGGGGCCTTAGAATGTCGAAGAAGGAAAGGGCAGCCTTGACATTCATCTTCATAACCGGCAGCATGTGAGTGCAACCCAGATTTAGCCCTGTCGCTATGCTCACTGCTCGAAGGGGCTTGGTCACATCCATCATTCGTTTCACGATCTTTTTCAATGTCAAAGCTCTCATCTACGATGGTACGTTCGTTTCGGCGGAATTGGCAATCTGGTCCTTGGTAGAGCCAGGGATCTATTTGGTCGCAGCATGCCTACCCACGCTACGACCCCTCATCCTGAAGCTGTTCAGCGGAGTGCGAGCAGTAAAGAGCACTTCGAACAACAGTAGTGGTCCGAGCGGTATCCAGCTTGAATGGCGGCAGCAGCGAGGCAATGACCAGCGGAGCGACGAAGATAGTATCCTCGGTCATTGAGATACCGTCGCGCCACTTGAAATGGGATGACAGCCTTAACTCGTTGTCACCTCCATCGGAAACTCCGGTTGTTGACGTTTGTTTCTCTATCCCTTTGGAATCGTAGGGTCGGAAAATCTCAGTATCATCTGTCTTGGCGTAGATCAATACAATTAAATTCCTAAAAAGACACTCCGTTCTGCAGGGAGCCTCAGTCATTCGAACTGGGATTAGAGATGCCTAGTGGTCCTCAAGGAGGCGGGGGGATTGCGGTGCAGAGTTCGTCAATGAACCAACAAACATGCCAAGATGCCCTGATCCGAAGTATTGCGGACTTCGAAGTTTCGACGTTGTGTAGCACGGCCCTAACATTCCAAGCCGTGAAGTGGACGTCTCCGTCCTTGCGGCATGCAATATATCATGAGCACAAGGATCAAAATCTGCTCATGTAGGATAGTATCTCGATATTCGCCAACACAATATAATTTGGTAAGAGTCCTCCATTGCTGCAGGTGAGCCGATACTTCCTTTGTGGATGGGGTGCATGGCGGATCGCGAGCACATTGGTCCATTTTTGACAGGGGCCTCCAAAATCGGTGTGATATCCGCCGGAGCATATTGCGGCACAGGAGTGAATGCGGGGGCCGAGAACCGAGCGCGTCGGGCTCGTCTATCAACAGCATGTGAAGGATCGCTGGACCCTAGAGAATGCTGCGAACAATAAGGGCTCGGTCCGAGACGGGTCGCACCGCAGGTCGTTGATATGCGCATAGATCAATCCAAACTTTTGGGCCGTCACGTCGCAACGGGATTGCTCCATGGAACTGAAGTTGCTGTGCCGCTGGATTGCAGGACTCTCAGAAGATCCAGTGAAGAGCCGCCTTGTTCCTATTTGCTGTTGGAGCTGACACGGGGCGGTCTAGGAACGAGAAAATGCAAAGGCTTATGGTCCAGAGGAAAGAGGAAGAATGGCCCCTGTCCGAAGATCCAAAGGTTCGTGCGGCGACTGAGCTGACATAAATACGGCCCTTCTCGATGCGCAACTTCCAGACGAAGCAGAACAACGACTCCTCGACTTTGTTCTACTATTGCCAGTATTTTCGATCACTTTCCGCTCTGAAGCAGTCCTTCTCTATCTTACCACCATGGTTCCCAACGTTGGATTGATCTTCAAGAAAGTGCCGGAAGCATTCCCGGTCATTGGAGAGCATTTGGACGTCGAGACCAGGCAGTTCGATCTCAACACCGAACCTCCCGAGGGAGGGCTGACGGTGAAGAACCTCTACATCTCATTCGACCCTTATCAGCGAGGTTGCATGCGCGAGCCTGACAATGCGACTTGGGCGCCGCCATTCGCCCCAGGGCAGCCAATCATCAGTGGCGCCGTTTCTAAGGTCCTCAAGTCGGCGGTGCTGGACTTTCAAACAGGCGACCTCGTATGGGGCATGGTCGGCGCTGAAGAATACTCGGTTGTGCCTCCGTTCTTGCTGCCATTCGTGCGAAAGTTGCAGAACCCCCTCGGCTTGGACACAGTCCTCTTCACCGGCGCTCTAGGCACGGCGGGTCTAAGCGCATACGCGTCGTTCTACGAGATTGGCAAGCCCCAAAAGGGGCACACCATCTTCATCTCAGCTGCGAGCGGCGGAGTGGGCCAGGTCGTTGGCCAACTTGCCAAGATGGAGGGCCTAAAGGTCATCGGAAGCGTTGGTAGCGATGAGAAACTGAAGTTCATCATCGACGAGTTGGGTTTCGATGCCGGTTTCAACTACAAGAAAGAGAATGTGTCGGAGGCACTGCAGCGGCTGGCCCCAGAGGGGCTGGACATCTACTACGACAATGTCGGGGGTGAGACATTAGATGCTGCGCTGGCAGTAATGAAGGATTTTGGAAGAATAGGTACGTACCCGCTATCCTCCCAGCCTTCCCCACGTAGAGCAGATTTCATGTGCTGACTGCGATTTAATAGTCGGATGCGGGATGATCAGCCAGTACAACCTGCCCCAGGAAGAGAAGTATGGCATCAAGAATATGATGAATCTCTTCCTCAGGCGCCTCACCATCCAGGGATTCATCATATCCGACCCGCAGTTTGTGGGCAAATATGCCGTGGAATTCTTCACTAAGATGAGCGTGTGGCTGAAAGAAGGGAAGATCAAGACGAAGGAGAGCGTTACGGTCGGTATGCAGAATGCGGCCGCCTGCTATTTGGGTATGTTCACGGGAGCAAATTTCGGCAAGACAGTGTTGAAGGTTTCGGACGAGGAATGACTTTGGCGTACTGATCTGGGAACGAGAGCCGCCGCGCGTAGTAGACCGTAGAGTAGCAGAGTAGGTACCAAGTCGGAGGGATTATTGCAATGCGCAAGGCCATAGTGTAGCACATTTCAAGTAGCTCTTCCTGTACCACGAAACCCCGCGTGACCGAGCTCTTCCAGCGCCAATTGAGGAAGTGCACAGTTCGTGTGCCGCCAACTTGTGAACGTGGATGGAAGAAAAAGACTGCGGTACTCCACGATAGGGCGCTCGACGGGCTCTCGAAACACGCCGCGGGGCGGAAACGCCGGCTGAGCGATTTCTTGCTTGATCTACCTCCTAGTCAGCAAGGCGCTTACCGCTTACACGTAGATAGAAACCGAGGCCGCGACGGCAGGATGACCACGACCTTGGAGACCTCGGGGCAATATCATCGAGCCCTTCGGAGGTTTTGCATTACCTTGAGCCTCGCCGCACAAATCACATTGGTCCCAACGACCAGATGACATCATCAGCGCATCCACACCCAAAGCGGTAACGCCCCGTTCCAGCGTCTACCCCATCACAGTAACGAACTGCGAGATCTGAGGCAACGACGCAACAGCCTCGCACATTGCACCCCAAAAACCAGCTGTGCTCCCTGTCTAACAATAGAGGATCCCTGGAGCATGCGACATCATACCGCGACATCATACAAAACGGCGGATATGGCATTCCCATAGTCCAAGACCCTACTTCCAAACCAAGCACTACACTACTTTTTTCCCAAGCCGCTATTGCATACCATACCTACTTCTGCCTTGATTCGCACTAGAAAGCCAAACACACTACTTGCAAACCAACGAAGCACACCACACAGCACAGCAAGCACCATGGGCCTCTTCCGCCAAAAGCACTCCGCCGCTGCAGCGCCCTCGCCAAACCCACTTATAACCTACACCATCGCGCAAAACCTCGCGGGCAAGCTAACCGTGACCTCGCCCGTGCCCACCGCATACGCATACTCTATCACGCTGTCGCTCAAGAAATCCTTCCGCGACACCATCGAAGTCGCCATCCACCGCAGCATCGCCAGTACCTACGAGCAGCACGCCGACGTCGTGGGCCACTGCCTGATCCAAACCGCGAGCGCCAAGTTCCTCGACTGCAAGTTCGACGCGTACGGCACGGACGTGAAGCTAGAGAAGAGCGGCGGCGGGCTCAACGTGGAGAAGACGACGTACAAGCTCGAGGTGCCGCGGCTGGGCAAGTACAAGTGGGTGCACGACCACGAGGCGCTGACGAGCGCGGACAAGCGGTTGAAGCTGGTGGAGGAGAGCTCCGGGGCGGTGCTGGCGCGGTTTGGCGGCGCGCAGGGCGTCAATGAGTTTGGCGTGCTGGAGGTGTATGATTGGCGCGTGGCGCAGGATCAGGATTGGTGTGGGCTGTGTGTGTTGACGGCGGTGTGCGTGTATGCGCGGGAGGAGCGGACGAGGGAGCGGAAGAAGAAGGCGAATGGGATTGTGAGTGCTGTGGGGAATTGGGGTGGTTTGTTGACGATGGGGATGCCGGTGGGGAACTAGATGAATGGTGCGAATGTCGAGTTGTTTTTCTGCAAAGTCGGGGTTTAGCGCTCTATTCTTGTGGGTCTTCTCTTTCAGATTCTCCTGCTCTTCCTCAGCGACGATGAACGTCCCGTGAGAGGTACCTCCTATGTGGCTCACAAGTATCGTCTCACTTCTTCCCGAGTCCCAGTTTCTTCTTGATGTTCGATCCGACCTTCTTAAGTCCCGACTCCTTCTCCCTCTGCTCCTCCTGCGCCTGTCTCGCCCCCGATCCACCTCTCACATTGATCTTCGTCTTCTCACTACCAGCTCTTCTTGCCTCCTCACTCTTACCTTCCTCATCTTTCCCTACTACAATCTTCCAAGCTTCCTCTCCTTCACCAGCCTCCACCACCATCGGCTTGACCTCCCAATTCCCCTGGCCCTCCGGGTACGCGTACCCCTTCTGATTACTCACAACCAGCTTCTTCCTCCCGTCTTCCTCGTCGACATATTGGCAGCTGAAGTGCGTATGCCCAAACGCCCAGAGTTTCACATTCAGACTCGTCCAGCAAGCCTCCTTGCTCAAATCCGTCCGAAACCCCGAATTAACATTCGAATCCGCATGCACTGGATCATTAGCGCGCGGATCCGCAGTAGGCGAATGATGCGTCAACACGATAATCTTACGGTAGCCCTCGGAAGCCGATATAGCCCCAACCTGCTCATTCAGCCACTCCAGATCCCGCGCGTGATCCGCATTATGCTGCTGCACCGTCCGATCTCGTATGCCATTCGTCTCATGGAAGTCCGTAAGCGCGCTCGCACACGCCTCGCTCTGCCGCTCGTCGATCCTCGACCACAATGCACAACCGAGAATCGTGAGCGTAGGCGAGACATCCACCCGCTGCCTGTCCATAAACCAGAACCGCTCTCCGAATTCTGCTCGCACGTGCTCTTCAAAGGTCCTCATAGCGCTCAGCGCAGCGTCCATGGGCATCCCATATGCCTCGTGGTTTCCGGGGACGTAGAAGATGCGGAGATTGGGCGTGCGCTCGAGCAAGTAGCGTAGGAAGCTGAAGAGAGCATGGTGTTGGACGAGCCCGATGTCGCCGAGTAGGAGCAGATTGGATGCGAGGAGCGGGAAGCGCGTTGGGCTGCGCGAGAAGAATGTGTACGACGGGTGGAGAGTGGGCGTTTCGAGGTGGATGTCGGAGAGGATTTGGAATTGTGGGTTGAAGAGGGTCATCTTTTTGGGTTGCGGAGTCGTGGTATGCGAGAAGGAGCCTTAGGCCGTGTGGCTGTCGATGGCTCGATTTTGTCGTGGCTAGTGCATCGTCAAGATGATGCGATTCCGATCGAGGATGGAGAGGACCAAGCCTTCCGAGCCGGAAGACACGGGTGATGCGGGAGCTTGGGGAACGGGTGGAGCATCATATGCAGAGTCGCGGGAGATCTTCGCAGTCTGCAGGGTTACATACTCAGATGCGGCATTTTTAATGGGAGTTGTTAACGCGCCCTCTAACAGTAGAATATCGCGCCCTCTAATAAGTAGATTTTGCCTCTATTAAATAACTAGATAAATTTAGAATAACTAGAAGAAAATAAAGTGCATAAAAGATATATTTTTGCGGCACGGGGGGTTTTGCGCTACGTAGGGAGGGACGTTATTATTCTTGCCAGAAATGTAGATCTAATCTCCTCTAACACCGACTCCGCAACTTCCCCTCTGTCGCTCTCCGAGATGCTGACAATTCATAACACTACCAAACACCGACCCCGCAACCTCCCTTCTGTCGCTCTCTGATAATTGCGAGATGCTGACAATTCATAACACTACCAAACACCGACTCCGCAACCTCCCCTCTGTCGCTCTCTGGTAATTGCGAGATGCCGACAATTTATAATACTACCAAACACCGATCCCGCAATCTCCCCTCTGTCGCTCTCTGACAATTGCAGCTTGGTGAAAGGACTCCGACTCCGCATTACTCATGAGAGTTGGAGAATGCCCGAACATATTATGGAGGGACCTGAGATGAATAGACTGAAAATCTTGTATATAAAGGACCTCTGATGTTGTATGTGACAGATATACCACCGCCGATTTCGTTCAGACAATCAAAAATTCCAACTTCCCAACCGAGTCAACAAAACAAATATTGCGAAAGTCAACATGGCTTCAGGCAAACGCATCATGCTCGTCACCGGTGCTAACACTGGGATTGGATACGATACAGCGCTCTTCCTTGCGAGAGCCGACTCTCACAACCACGTTATCGTCGGCGCGCGAAATGAGCAAAGGGGTCTCGATGCCCTCAAAAAACTACAAGCCATGAAACTCAAGGGCACTCTGAGTTTCCAGAAGCTCGACGTTGCATCCGACGAGAGCATCTTCACTGCCGTCAAGGAGATCGAGGCCAACTTCGACAAACTCGATGTTCTTGTCAACAACGCCGGTATTTTCGTGACCGGTCCCACGACACGCGCTGCCATGCGCGAGACCTTCGAGGTCAACGTATACGGTCCCGTTATCTTGACCGACGCCCTCGCTCCACTCCTCCAGAAATCGAACGACCCTCGCATCATCAATGTGAGCTCCGGCCTCGGGAGCATAGGAGCGCGTCTGGACTCAACCGACGCGTTCTACCATCATCCAGGTGACGCCTATCGCATGTCGAAGGCGGCGCTCAACATGGCCTCTGCGAACCAGAAGTACAACTACAGAGAGAAGCATTTCAAAGTCTGGTCGTACTGTCCAGGGTTCGTCATTACGGATATCGTAATAGGAGATTCTGCGCGAGGAGAAGAGTCTAGGAAGAAGAGGAGGGAAGTGGGAGCTGAGAGTAGCGAGACGAGTGCTCAGGGGATTTTGGATATCGTGGAGGGTAAGCGGGATGCGGAGATGGATCTCTTTGTTCAGCGCTATGGGAAAACGTGGCCGTGGTAGATCCCACGAGGGTGAGCGATTAAATCGCTACTGCGGCAGAACACGGCAAGTCAGAGGTAGTTCAGCCGCTCTGCCCGGCGTTTTTGGGTCTTGTCTTAAGCCTTACCCAATTAAACTAGCTATATCAATACTTCTTCCATATGTATGACTGTGACAACAGATGAATAGATTGTGTGTCACTAGAGTTTGCTCGTGCGCGTGCTCACAAGGTCTTTCACCTCTCTATGCCCCAGTGCGGTAGGTGCGAGCTCAACCGAATAGCAGCTTTAAGTTCGCCGTAAAAGGGGCATATTGTCATCTTTTGATGCCCTCGGGGTCGGGGCGAAAAGTAGTCTGCATCCACTCCATCTGTTGAGAGAGAGAGTATTCAGTCCGTGGACGCGAAAACTTTTCGAAAGCGGCGAAGCCTTGGAGAGAACTCTCTGGTACAACGACTTCGCGTTCAGGTCGTCGGTTCAGCTGTTCTGGTAGTGTGCCGGACTAGCCCTGTTCCGGGCGCATACATGGCCTCTATCCATCTTGGCTGACATTCGAAACAAGTAAAAATGCAGAGTGAAGTGCCGATAAAGTTACGTCCAAAATGTTGAAGAGAAACACGCTAAAAATGAATAGTTGACGTATTTACTTTTCCCTGCAGCCCACCTGCACGACGGCCCGAACCTCCAGCATGAATCTAAGAGAAGCGCGAGTATGAGAGAAGGACTGAATGTCGTTCCGCGCCGTCGCACTGGGCACGCGTTTGCATCCAAAAAATTCCTTGTCTCCAAAGGAAATCCCGCTAATTTTATGAATCCCCCCATTCACCCATGCCACTAGCTTCGGAGGGACACTTAAGTCCAGAGAAGGGACGCTCATAACGTTACGGAAGCAGCGGAGCTCACTAGCTGTGCCTCCAAGGGCGACTCCGCGCGCGTTCGCCTCGTTGTATGCGGTCTCAAACGTGCACGGCGGTTGACCAAACCCACATCCACTAGTGGAAAAGTCATCCACAAGCTCAGAGCGTAGTAGATCATTGTAGAACTTATTATCAAAGCGCACCGTACACTGTCCGCTGTTTTCAGGTTTAGTCGTTCCGTATTGTCGCCATAAAGGGGTGCATTTGCCTTACCATTCGTGAGGGCCGTCTGCTGGGAGGGCTGCCCGATTCGAACTGCCGCATATTGGGCAGTCCGGTGTTCCCAAGGCGACATTGTATCCAACAAACGCTGCAACAGTAATGCGACACCCAGGGAATAGATGGTCGATTGCAGATAGAGAGCGGGAAGGATCATCGGTGTAGAAAACTGAGTAACCTCCGTCCGTCACGTTTTGTATTTCGCAGCCTCTCGAAAACCTATGCCTGATAATCGCATGGAGCAATGTACCGTCATATTCTGACGGCACTGGGAACTTCACACCAAAAGCGTCTTCGACGACGACAGGGTCCTGGAAGAATGTCCATCGGGTGTTCACGGCTGGTGTACACGTCTTAATTTGGACAAGGATTGTGTATATCTGCTCTGTGGATTCACTGGAAGCGGTTAGCAGAGCATCGAAGAGTTCAGTAAACACTTACCATAGTCGGCTGAGCATCTGCGCAAGCTTTTCCCACGACGACCCAAAATCTTGGGCAAGCGCACGGATGAGCTTCGGCAGAGAAAGACCAAAGTTGTCTAACAGACCTTCCTGCTTCTTGACCGATTGTTCGATGCACACAACAGATTGGTGGGTATCCTCCGTGATCTCTTGGATTCGATCACCGCTGATCTTGAGACTGGAAAATCCAGCGTTCATATTTTCAAGCCCAAGCTTCAGAAGAAGCGTGTTGATCATCGCGTTGTGCGTGTTTAGATACGCCTGCAATTTGCGAACCTCATCCTTCTCCTCAATGCCCCAGCGAAGTTTATCGACCGCTCCGCGGATTTTGGATGGCTGCGACCATACCCCTAGGGAGTGATCATACTTTTGCACCTTGTCGAGGAACTGCTCCAAGGTATGTCGACAACTGAGTGCGGCATATTTAACTGAATCGAGCGTCGGGTTCGGATGGGTAGACTGAAGCTGGTCTATCTGCTGAAGAATTTGTTGAAGGGTCTCGAGCTCGCGCTCTAGCTCCTGGTATTCGGACTTGGATCCTCCAGAGGATCGGAGATTGCTCGATATATCAGCGATGACTTTCCCGACGGCGATGAAATCGCCGATAGAGATTCCAAAGGACATGATGAAAGAAAGCGCCGCATAAGGGACGAAACGGAAAAGGATGGAAGTTCTGGCAGTTATTCAACCGCCTGTTGAGGCTGCGCCCCGCTCGGTGCGACGTCTGTGGAAGAGCGGAGCCACCGAGCCCTCGACACTTGTAGCAAACTGCGTTATTCGTACGACGAAGGGATGCTCGTCCGGTCAGTTAGCGAGGAGCGACCGCAACAGATGTGTGGATCACTGAAATCCTTGACTAGCTGACACGGCTTCGCCTCAACGTTACCCGTAATGGTCGTTTGTCCTACGAATGCATTAGAGAAGTCACTCCAAGGGTACCATGTGCTCACCCAGAAAATGTACGTCTTCTGCTCGCCCCAGTCCCATCTATCCTTCTCACTCGCCAAGCTGATGTCGAATGCAAACAGCAGCCTTGCCAACGTCACGCGCATCTCCGCATACGCGAGCTTCATGCCGATACAGCTTTGCCTTCCAATGCTAAATGGCTGGAAAGACGACATGTCATCGGTGTTTGGGTCTGGGTTAAGAAATCGCTCAGGTATGAAGGAGTTCGGATGCCGGAAGTTGCGCGACTGGCGGTTTGCTGAAAACTGGTTGAAGCTAACGTAGGTCTACATGGTGATGAGCTTATAAAATAGCGTGAAGAATAGCAGTGCTTACTCCTCCAGGAATCTGCTGTCCACAAACTGAATCTCCACCTTCGGGGACGACTCGGGGCACGCCGATAACGATGGGTGGGTCTAGCCGCAATCCCTCGTTGATCACGGCATCTAGGTAGGGTAAGCTACCTGTCGAAGCAATCTTGATATCGTCCTCCTTCTCGAACGCGTTCCGAATCTCCCGCGTTAGGCGGTTCAAGACTCCACGGTTCTGCACCAGCTCGCGGGTTATCGCCGTCAGGGCGCTGGCCGTCGTTTCGCTCCCCGCAAAGACGATGACCACCATGTTGACCTGCCACTCTTCAATCGATAGCGCCACCTTCTCTTTACTGTATTTCTTTGTTGGCGTGATGTAGTCCGGTCGGTCCGTCTCAAGGGCTAGCCTCTTCCTCGCCATGGCGTAACTCATAGCACGATGGTCAGTCTGCCTCTGCCTGATGTTCTTCGGAATCACATAGCGCAGCAATTTGTCGATTGGCGGATATTGATTGACCGAAGCTACGAGGGATAACCCTTTTCCGAAATCTTGGGCAATTTCGACCCAAGGATGTGCTTTTCCAGTCTTGAGGCAATCGAAGGATTCTGCGAAAGAGAGGTCTCCGGAAATATCGAATGTCAAGAAGTTGAACCACACGTTAAGGTCGACAGTCTTCTCCGTCCATTGCCTACCTGCAGCAGGCGCCTTTAGCTGCTTCATGAAGATGTCGAGATAACCCTCGATCACGGGCGACTGGTCCCTCAAGCTTTTCTCGGAGAATGCATTCGCAAAAGCCCGTCTCGTCTTCGCATGGGCCTCCTCGTCGGGACCCATGATCGAGTGAGGCTCGCCTGGAGACATTGGCTTGAACCAGGTTGAGCGCGTGAAAGGGAGATGGCCAGGTCGGTTGCCGTAGATGTCTTTCCAAGCAGCTCCATCAGCGTACGAGAGCTCGTTTGGAGCGATGCGCACGACAGGTCCGTACTTTTCATGGAATTGCTTGAGTCTCTGGTGCATTTCTCCTCGATGAGTGGCGATGACGTACGGAAACCGGAACGCTCTCCATGCCACAGGTCCTGGGTATCGACGAAGAGGATGTAGGAACGTATTGTAAGAGCCATAGAGAAATATCGTCTGAAGGTATTAGGGTGTCTTAAGTGAATGGGCGGAGCGACTTACAATGAATAAACTCGCTAGAAACGTTGCTACTAAGGCAGCACCCTTTGGCAATGCTTCCTGATCCACGGAAATGGTCATCTCGGCGGCCATACACGCATCCTTTATCTCCGGGCGGTATCACGTCGCACCACTTGTTCCACACAGACGGCCGCGAAGTCTGACCTTGGGAGATATGTTCCCTGGTGCATAGAGTCCTCAATGAATCGAAGGGTAAGCAATGAGGTCAAGACAGTTGGCCTGCCCCGCCAGGCTATTCCCCATCGGGAAGTGGCAATCCTCGCGAAGAGATGCATCACTGCGAGCGATGCCTTCAGTCGCTATACTCCGCTTTCGCCGACAGACTTCATCCATCCAACGCTTCCGAGGTGCTCTGGCAATGGCAACGAAGCGTGGTTGGACTTGGCTTTCTGCTACGTCGCGCAGACAAACAGCACACGCCAGCCTTGAGCCCGTCGCCTGCTCAAAACGAAACGGCGCGCTCGAGCCATGACACCTCACATCACGTTCTGCGTCCTCGCGCTTCAAGGAGCGACTCTCGTTCCTCTCGTTCCATTCACTCCTGCGACTCGTGTTCTCAGTCGAAGGATCGGTTCTGCAATTATTCTGACGTCCCCGACTCGTGTGGATGGCGACGGCACACGGCATCCCCAGCCGTCAGCTCGGGCGGACTGCGGAAGAAGTGGAATCGAAGGACCGCATTAGCCCTTATCGTCGCTCAGGAGCTCCATATTCGACTCTTTTCGTCGCAGGCAGATGAATTCGGGCACCTCTGCTCGTCACGGTGGGTGTCACAGTTTCGGAAAGCACGATGCAGGAGATGTCAAGTTTGAGGTGCCCCACGGCAAAGTCCACGCTATGCAGGTGCACTCGAGATCACAATCCGCGCCTCATGATATCCGAAACGGAATCGAAGCTTTTGAGAGACTCTCGACCGTTCCTCTAGCTTTGGTACCTGTATCAGGATCTGCAGACCGTGCTCTTGAAACTCCTCGCTTGTGCCCTGACACGAAGCTTGAGCTGATCCCTAGTGTTTCAAAACAGGAACCTTCCGTCACTCAACCTACACAACGCCACGAAGAAACACCAACTTGAATCATGAAGAAGTTCGTTTTGCTGACAGGTGCATAGGCCCTTGAGGAGCCCTCGCGTCCCTTACCCGAGCACTCTCCAATATTCACCGGAGCTCGAACAGGCAGCCCAATAGCGCTTCGGGCCTCGGGCCCTTCTTGCAGCCCGCTAACGGAGCTAATATCGCCGTCTCAGTCTTTCCTTTTGCAGAAGGCGGCTTTGGACGAGGGCGCGACAAGGCGCTCATTTCATTATGTGGCCTGCGCGAGGCTCGTGTAAGTGCATCGGATCTCTGCTTCTCCGCAAATCCAATATCGAGTGCGAGGGTCAAGAGATCTCCTCAATATACCTCTGCCAGAATCCGGGAAGACACGACAACTCTCGCGTAAGCAACGGCTCGTCTGTCTTCCCAATCCTGCCCTTCGCTCCGAGGCGAGGCCTCCTCACTGGCCGCGAAGCGCGAAGGAATGCGTCTAACGCTTACAGCCATGAGGTGAGGGCTCGCCGCAACATCCGGCAATATCGGGAAGAACGCTAATTAGCCCACATTATTGCCCGAAGCGGGGCATTAGGGTAGTGCTGCAGCCAGACTCAGGCCATTTGCCGGCTAATTCGGACCTTCTTGGGCAAATTTGCTAGCGTGGTGGTTGGCGTTGTTGGCATGCAGAGCACGGACCGCCAACCTCCCCACGAACGGGTGAATGACGCCTGGGCCACGTTCCGACCCCCTCTGTTTCTGCCGTCCAGCAACTCCAACCTCTTTTCTGCGGGTACCTGACAAGCCGTTTGAGATTTTCAGTGCCCGTTTGGAGGGCCATGGTGAAACTAGGACAGCCCTAGAGCTGACAGCTGCGGTGCGCATCGTACGATGGAGGGCAACCGTCGTGGGATGCGTGCGCAGAGGGTACGTAGAGCATTGTTGGATCCAACGCTCGCGTGGCCTCTTGTGCGAATAGAGCGTTTCCACGAAAGCGCTGCAGACATGCGGCTCAGTTGACGGTTGGCAAAAGGCCAGGCGGCGCATCGAATCGCTGGCGCAACCCATGGCTCCGATCGCGAGGCTGAGCGTATCAGGGGCGCTTACGGACACAAGCATTTTTAACCGCTTCCGCTCTGGGCAAGGCGCCATCTGTAAAAGCAGACCCCGGCACTTCTAAATCCATCTCCAGGTCTCACCAATTTGGGCCGTGCAGGTCGCTTCAAGGATGGCCATCCCGTCGAGTTTGCCTTGCCTGCATGTACATGGCGCGTGGGCCGGGATGGCGACTCCGTGGCCGTGTGTCTGCTGAACGGGCGGGACTGCAGGCCGGCCAGGACAGGTTATAAGATGGACAATCTCCACGTCGAGAAGCCGTGGAACAAGGACACCAGCCTCTTGTCTCTTTCAGCTAAAAGGAAGGCACGACCGGGGGAAGCTACGCCCAACGTCGACCTTGGAGCCTCTTTCTTTGTTTTCACTCTATCGCGCCTTCCCGTTTAACTTTTGCCACTGGGTGGCCCACCTCGTTACAACCTATAATCACGCGAAAATATCTTCCATCCTCCTTACTCCCCTCTTGCCTCCTCGTCTTCCTATAATTCTCTCCTCTTCTGTCAAAAACATCCTCAAGTCCTCCAGTACTACCCTTCACCATGCTCTTTCCTTCCCTCTCCACGGTCGTCACCGCTGTGGTTGCTCTCGCATCCTCGGCCAGCGCCTTGCCTCACCCGCCGCGGAGCACCGATCTCAACCGCCTGGCCTCGATGATGCCGCTGAACACCCTGCCGGCACCCACCGGTCTCCAGCTTAAGTACGTCCTGCTGGGCATTGGGACCCAAAACTACACTTGCGCGACGAGTATCTCGACTGACGCACCGGGCACCACTGGCGCGCTTGGTACGTAACCCTCACCTTCATGGTGGAAGCCTTCACTTACGTCTTCACAGCAAAGCTCTACGACCTTGGCTCGCGACTCAACAATGACCCGATGGCGCAATGGAAGCTCGGCAGCATCTCCGGCCTTGCCCTGTCCCTCTCGCAATACGGGGCCTGGCCGCTCGAGACGTACCTCAACTCGCAAGGTTACAGCAGGTGGCTCGGTAACCACTTCTTCACTCAGACGACCCCCACCTTCTCCCTCAACCAGGTCAAGTCGAACCCCTTCCCGCTCGCCTACGTCCTCAAGAAGGCCGCAGTGGATGCGCCCAAGACAGCTTGTCCAGGCACCAAGAACGAGGGAGCAGTCCAGTGGCTGAAGCTCGCCGACGACAACAATCTGTCCCAAGGCGGCATCAACACCGTCTATCGCATCGAGACGGCAGGCGGCAACAAGCCAGCGCAATGCCAGGGCCAACAGACGGCATTCCAAGTTCCCTATGGTGAGTGCTTCCACTATCATTTGTAGAGCTTAAGCTAACCTATGGCAGCTGCCCAGTACTGGGTCTTCGGCCCACCGTCGTAAGCGCTTAGTTCGCGACGCCGTTTCGAAGAGATTAGGAATCTTGTCTACCACGCATGAACGGTTTCGCGATTCCCTATCCGCATACCCTTATGTACTTTCCCTTCCGACTCTCTCTCTCTTGAGTCTCTCTGCATGATACCATTTCCCTTTCTTCACAACATTACGCCCGGTGTGGTGCACCGGGCGCGGCGTTCGGGAGGATACCAGATGGATCGGGTGGCCAGCGCATTCTCGCGGCCTCAAAATAGAATACCTAATCTACACCCTAAATGTTGAAATCTTCAACTCTTCTCCAAGAAAATGGCTTGCCGTGAAATCATGACTTGCTGGAAGAAGAACGTAGCACTGACGCTTTGAACAAGGCCTTTGTCCCTCCGCATTGAGCCTGTCGTTCCTTCTCCTTCGAGAACGCCCTCCAGCCTTCGCAAAGCCGTGCATCAGCAAAAGCGAAGCGCCGCGCATTAGCTGCCGGCCGCCCTCACAAGCCCTTCGCCATAGCTCAATCTCCATGATACGTTGCCCGATGCGGTAGACGCCGCGCCGAACCATTCATCCGCCCTCACGCATCCAGCGTGCCACCTGCGTACGACGACCGGCGCACGCGCTCCATTCGCAATCCCGCACCACCCTCCATCGACACGCTGGTGTGGGAACACAAAGACCGCCGTTCTAGCGGCCCAGTGAACCGCGCAGGCATAATTGCGCAAGCGCTCGAAGTATTGAAGGCAGCCGTCGCGTCTGGGTACCGAGACCGGCTGTGGCCCGGTGTAACGGCCGGCCGGGACCGAATCGCAGGCCGAAAGGCTGGTCTTTGCGTCTCATAGGCTGGAGGGGGTGCTGGGGTCGGCGGCGCTGGGTGCGGGTTTGGGTGTGGTTGGTTCGGCGGGTATTTTGCTTGGCGGGGAGACGGGAGGGCATGGTACCTAGGGGAGGTGGTACAAGGGATTACGGAGGTTTTGGATGGGTGGGATGCCGTTTGGATGTGGCTGACAGGATTCGGGATGATATCGAAAATTGCACATTGAGCCTGCTGTCATGTATGTACATACACGAGGCCTTCGCGAAATTCCCGGGCGCGTATGTAGGGGGGAATGAACACCCATCCTTCTTCACCCATCCTTCGGATAACTCGGATTTCTCCTAGTATAGAGAAGAAGAAGAAGAAGTTTGGCTACGCAATGTCGCGCGGCGTCAAATGTTCGTGATCGATTGCCATTTATGGAGCCCCACCCCAGAGAGATCTTAGATACGCTGTAGGTGAGCGGCACGCCGACGCTCGGCGGCTATCCGCTTGGTCGGGCTTGGAGGCTTGTCTTATGCGTTGCATGCGTGTCATTTCCGATCGTGGACTTGGCGGTATGAAGGCGTGCTGGTCCTGGTCGGTTTTCGCGTGCGATGGTGTGAGATGGAAGGGGAAGGGATGGTCTGCGAATGTTTGGCGGAGGTTGAGGTCGTGGATGAATATCTCGTGGGGTGCGGGCGCTAGAGGGGATCGGCGGGGATCGGCGCGAGACTTGCGGGCTTCGAGGCTTCCACAACGACGAGAACTTGAGAATGACGTTCGAAATGGCATCCTGAATCTTCAGGCGTTTCTATTGAAGAAATCTGCGTGTGGCTGGGCCCAGTGGTGCGTGCGTATGCGGAAGGACTAACGGAGCCCTGTCTCCTTTCCGACACAACACTTCAGACGTCGTCAACGCCGTCGTCACCAGTGTAATCCTCGCTTTTTATTCATACGATCGCTACGAACTGCAGTCCGAGGATACTGAGCCGGCGAGACCTAGAATAGTACCACGGCGAACGACCGAGTCCGCACTCTTCGCTCTTCGCGTCGAACGCACTCTTCGCGTCAGACTCTTAGGTGACAGCGCTCCTCTCTTCCAATAATGCAAACAGACCACTCTACCAAATCGAGACCCACCTCAATATCCAGACGAGCGCAAATGGAATGTTGGATCCCGATGTAGTGCATCGCTACCGTCCAACGTTCCTGCGATGACTTGGACCTCTTCTTCATCCGCGTCCAAATCCAGCGCGTTCCAATTTCATCGCACGCGAAATCTGGGGATTCCAGAAGAACTAGAAATAGGTAAATATTCAACGGTGTGGGCATATTCATATGACATGCATTCGGATCGTGAGCGCTCCGCTGATCTTACGCAGAAGTCCGGATCCTGCGCGCCCAAAATATCCAACGGTACGGTCACATGGCCTGCTATGCGACCGGCATGCGGCCTCGTGGCCATACAGGAGAACGTGCAGCGAAACGTCCACTTTACGCCAGCACAACTCGCCCGCCTGCAGTATGGTCACCGCTATTGGGAACGGGATTGATCGCGCTGGCTCTCTCACGCACTGTCTATGCTGATGCAGCCATTACCAGATAGGGACATCGCTAAAAATGACACAGCAGTGATGTGTCACATGCGGAATAGGTCCTAGATAGCAGCCATCAGAGGTCACCAAGAAAGGTTGGGCATCTTGCTGAGCATTGCCGGTATGCACCTCAACCTCCAGCGAGCCTTCGAGGTTGACACACGTTACTATATTTGATTGGTGTACACTCGCAAGCATCAGAATCCTCGCCAGTATCGGAGGCTCGTATTGCCGTACTTTGTTCGCTCGCCGGACTGGACCCGGTTCGCGTGCTCGAGTCTCCCTCTGGGAAACCTTTCTCGGGACGGTGCCAATCTACTAATGTTAGTCCGCGATCGAGCCATCCAAAGCAGGCCTGGGTACTGTCTAAGCAAATTCCTGCTTCGCAACTAATGTGACCGTCACTCTTTCTTACCTTTCAGGATAGTCTGCCCGTTGCTCACCAAGATTGGAAGGCTCTCCCCAAGCCTCTTGTCTACCAGTCTGCTTGTTACTATTCTTGTTTCTTTGTCCGTTCACATTTCGAGTCCGCCCTTTGGCGCAACAAAGAGATACCAGAAAAGTGGCAAATGACAAAGAGCCATGATCTCTGCAACAAGGCTGTTGTTCGCCGGACAATGGATCTTCATATATGGAATTGGTTTTCGCCGGCTTCCACTAGCTGTTTGATTCAGACATCTTCATTTCTTCCACCTGTTATCTTTACGCGTCACATCTTAGAGTCCATTGATCACGCCTAGCAGGTCCGATCGAAACTCTCACTTCGTTCCACCTTAGACACTGCAGTTTCGTAAGATCATTCAATTCGCGATGGGCAAGTTCAAAGGAAAGTGGAATAACAATAACCAAGGTGGGAACCAGCATGGCGGCGGCGGCCGCGGGAATGGCGGGAACGGCGGGAAGTGGTGTAAGCACTGCAAGAGAGATAACCACAACACGAACGAGTGCAAGAAGGCACCTCAGCACGGAGGCCCGCAAAACCAGAATAACAGGATAGATAAACACAAGAACAAGAACAAGAACGGCAACAATCAAAATAACAACGGTAATAACAACAACCACCAGCACCAGCAAAAGAGGCGCGATCCATGTACGCGCTGCGGATTCCCGGGCCACGAGTACAAAAATTGCCACGCCAAAGAGGTCCCAGAGGAGGAGCGCTGCGAATGCCAGTGCGACTTCCACCGCTCCCACCAATGCCCTTGGAACAATGACTACCTCGAGCGCGAATCGGCGGTCCAGCAAGCAACCGGCAAGATCTGCCAATGGTGCAAGGACGCCGGCGACGGAACGCACGTCTACGAGGAGTGCAAGGAGCCTAAGAAGTTCCGGAACCAGCTTCTCTCCACCATTATGCGCGCGTACGACGACATCAAGTGGTGCTGGCACTGCTCGTCAGTCAACCATGCCACGCGCGGCTGCTCAGCTACCTCGGCTGATGAAGGGAAGATCAAGTGGAATGCTAAGATCAGCGATCTTATTTCGGAATGGCGCTCATATGACACTTCGTCGTACGAGGCGAGATATCGCGATGACGATGAGGATATCGCGATGACGACTGCGCGTAACCAGCAGAAGCCGCCTGTGGCTGCGGATTTCAAATGGTGCATTCTTTGCGAGGAGTTCGGTCACTACGCCGATGCTAATGCGACCGACTGCAGACGCGGCGAGTACGAGAAGAGGTGTCCACCGCAGTTCAAGAGCCAAGTCGTTGTCGCGAGGCAGCCCTTCGTCCCCGCTGGCTTCAACGCCGCTGCGAACGGAAGAGCTGCATCGAACAACGCGGCAGGTGCCTTCGGCGCTACTACCACCTTCTACCACAAATGCGTCTTCGACGACTGCCGCGCAAAACTAGGCCCGTGGTACATCCCTTGCCCGCCCAAGGGCCAATCCATCATCTGCCGCAACTGCCACCGCGCCAACGCGCATCCCTCGGGCCCCGCCCGGCGCGACTCCAAAGTCGAGCTGCTCGACATGGTCCTCAAATTCATCTCGAGCAATGGCAACGGAGGCAGTGCCAGCGCGCTCACCAAGAAAAGCCGCAAGCAGAAGATCCTCGACGCGATCAAAAACCCCTACCTCAAGCGGCCCTCGATCCTCCTCTCCAAGCGCCTCGCCCTCTACGAATGGCCCCAGTCCCAACCCCAATACACAGACATGGCGGCCTCGAAGGACAAGTCGCCCATCTTCCACCCCATGCACGAGTTCAACATGCCGGGGAATCATCAGGCGTACTTCCCGGCTGTTAAGTTCCACATCAGCGAGGCGATGATGGAGCATGCGAAGAATGACGAGTATAATATTAATAAGGCGGGGCGGATGGGGCTGGTGCTGAAGTGCTTAAAGTGCGATATGCCGGCCAAGGTGCTGGATGATGAGGGGGATTTGGTGATGTGTGGGACGGATCCGATGTGTACGGTGGGGATGGGGACGGGGTATGCTTATTGGGCGGATGAGAAGGGGGTGCCGAGGGGGAGTTGTAGGTGTTTGAAGATTCTTGGGCAGAGTAGTGAGCCGGGGTGGGTGGCGCCGAAGGTGGGGAGGTAAGTCATATCGTTCTTTGCGATCGTTTCCCCGTTTCTCTTGTTCTTAGCGTATGCACTGCATATACCTACCGCATAAACGAGAATGATCCATTGCTTCAACACTCGTCCAGTGTGCTCGTGTGCACAACTTCCTCCTCGCCTACTCTACGACCCTCCCAAATCCAAATCCCCTCACACCATTACTAACCCACACACCCTCTCCAACCCTCACTGTCTCCTTCCCAACTGGCTCCTCCATACAAAACCCCTTCTTCAGTGCCCATCTCCTACTCGTGCCGCGCTGCCCTCCCGCTCCCACCTTCGCACTCCTCACACTATGCCCCCAACGCCCGGCAAACGGCTTCCGTAGCTCGCCTTCGTCTCCATTCCCGTTGCGATCTCCGTCTTTCAGGGTGGAGGAAGTGAATTCTCCGGCTGGCACGCCAACGGGTGGCGTCACCCACCGCCCACCTCGGAAGAAGTACAGAGAGGTCATAGTGCCTTCGGTTAGTTCGTTAACTTCGTTGTAGAGAAGGACTTCGGTGAGCATAGGGCTAGAGGGGTTGACTGGGAGGGCGCGCTGCCGGCTCTTCTCATAGAACTCTCTGTGTGTGGTCTTGAGGAGGGTGAATGGAGTTGAGGGGGTGGGTTCGGTATCGAGTTTTACGACCCATTCTGCTGCTGGTGGTGGAGTGGACTGAGACTGAGCGGGCAGAGAGTCCGTGGGTCCGAGGTTGAGAGCGCCGCCTGTCAAGGGAGATGGCTTGAAAGTGTTTGCTGGATGGGGAGTTGGGGTTGCTTTGGGAGGATTCAGGGAGGGTGGGTAGAGCGTCGATAGTGGGACGGGAGGCAGGACCGCGAATTCGACCGTCATGTTGGCGTCGCGATCGAACAGTATTCGCAGCTTTGGGATGTTAGACTGAAGTCATCTGGGGTAAACAGAGAGTATTTACTTTCAGCGCCTCATCTTGCCCGCCCTTCTCCACCCACGCCCTAACCTCCTTCAACAATGACTCATGCAGCGCTTTGCCGTCCTCGAGTCTTTTGGCGACTTCGCGGAATTCGAAGTGCTGCGCCGCTTCTAGCATGCGATCTCGGTGGTACACCAGCATGTAGAAGGGGGATGGTGAGACGAAGTTCAGCCATGATTGGGAGTTCTCCTCCGAGGTGAGAAGGAGGGGGTCGTAGCGGAGGGAGGTGAAGAGATGGAATTCGGTTTCGGAGGGCATATCAAAGTATTCTATACAGCCGTGGGAACCTCGGAAGGTTAGCTTTTATGCTCGGAAAAATTGTATAGAGTCATCATGGAAAAAACGGGGTGGTGAGACGCTGATTCGTTGGAGCGCCGATGCCGGGTGTCGCTGCAGACAGACGTGGCAGGTGGATGCCCAGGTGGGGTTGAAGTGATATGCCACTGAAGCTGTAGAGAAGAGACATCACTCCCCGCCTGAGGACATATCAGGGGTCAAGAGGTTCTTTTCAGGCGAATGGCAAGGATTGACGGGGGTGAAGGAGCAGGTCACGTGCCTGTCCTTGCATGCTTGTCGAGACCTGTGCAACGCTTGGCGAAAAAGAACGGCGAGGAGGATGAAATAGCTTACACTTGCCTAAGTGTATAGTCGGGGAATATGTACAAATAGACGAATCTAATTGCGCTCGCTTCGAAGGTGTTTGAACGGTCGCGGCTTTCGCCTGTTTGATGACGTCCGACTCTGAAGCTCAGACCATCGACCTTACTCATCAGGCCCAAATTTCCATCCAAGCTCCAAATCGGAGCAGCAACCCCTTCATCGACATAACCGCCGTCCATTGAGCGCGCCCTTCCGCTTCTTTTCATCTCCATTCTACGCGACTAGTTTCCTCTTAATCTCGTCTTTCCGGTCGCGCTCCAAGATGTCGGCTGACGGAGCTCCACTGTCCAACGCACCAGGCCCTTTCCCCGTCGACCTTCCAGATCCCGGCACAAGCTCGCTATGGGACCGCATATCAACATGGGCATCCGAGCACAAGGGCGTCGTATACACAATCGCGGGGCTTACGCTGGTGGTAGGCGCAGGCGGCGTGATTTACTATCTCTCGGATTCGAATAAGGATGCACCGGCGCCTGGGACGACAGCTTCGAGTAAGCGGAAGAACAAGCGGGATCGCAAGAAGGCGAAGGAACGAGCAGAGAAGGAGGCTGCTACAAAGGAGGAGAGCAAGGCTGCCGGTATGTCAGCTCGGGAGCGGTCGCGTTTCGCAGGGTTTGCTGATGATGGAACAGAGCCTAAGAAGGCTTCAGTGGCGGCAGCAGCCGAGGACGAGCTCCCAGAGGTCGATGAGAGCATAGTCGCTACCCTATCGGAAGAAGTATGATGGGTTGGTATTCCGCGCACGACATGGCTAACTGTTCGCAGGAGCGAAAAGAATACGCGGCGAAGCTCAAAGCTGCCGGAAACAAGGCTTACGGCTCGAAAGACTACAATCGTGCGATCGAACTCTATGGCAAGGCTATCCTCTGCCGGCAAGACCCTGTATTCTACTCGAACCGCGCCGCGTGCTGGAACGCAATGTCGAACTGGGAAAAGGTTATTGAAGATACGACTGCAGCTATCAACCTGGACAACGAATACGTGAAGGCGCTCAACCGACGGGCGAACGCATATGAGCAGGTGGATCGCAATAGCGAAGCTCTTTTGGACTACACCGCTAGCTGCATCATCGACGGATTCCGGAACGAGAACAGCGCGCAGAGTGTCGAACGACTGCTCAAGAAAGTCGCCGAGGCAAAGGGCAAGACTATTCTCGCCTCGAAAGAGAAGAAGCTGCCGAGTCCGACCTTCGTTACAAACTATCTCCAAAGTTTCCGACCGACGCCTCCGCCGTACGGACTCGAGGACGATGCGGAACTGGACGAGAATACTGGGAACGGACAATTGCGGAAAGGATTGAGGGCAATGAGCACCAAGACTGCTGAGGGCTACACTGAGGCTGCAGCAGCCTTCGACAAGGCATTGGAGCTCGGAGATCTCGGAGACCACGAGGCCTTCGCATACAACATGCGGGGAACGTTTAGATACCTCAAAGGCGACAACGACGATGCGCTCAAGGACATGGACAAGAGCGTCGAGCTCCAGCCGTCCCTGACCCAGAGCTTCATCAAGCGCGCCAGCATGCACTTGGAGCTGGGTAAGGCCATTTCAGATTATTTATTTCCTCTCAACGAACAGGTAAGGATTCAGCTAACAGCAGAAGCAAATCCCGACGCCGCTGAAGCCGACTTCGCCGCCGCCCTCGCCCAGAACAAGGACGACCCGGACATCTACTACCACCGCGCACAGCTGCACTTCATCAAGGCTGAGTTCGGCGAGGCCGCGAAGGACTACCAGAAATCGATCGATCTCGACAAGGATTTCATCTTCTCACATATCCAGTTGGGCGTCACGCAGTATAAGATGGGAAGCATCGCGTCTTCAATGGCAACGTTCCGCCGCTGCATGAAGAACTTCAGCCAGGTTCCCGACGTCTACAACTACTATGGCGAGCTGCTTCTTGACCAGCAGAAATACCAAGAAGCAATCGAGAAGTTCGACACCGCCGTGGAAATGGAGAAGTCGACAAAACCGCTGGGCATTAACGTGCTACCGCTCATTAACAAGGCACTCGCGCTCTTCCAGTGGAAGAATGACTTCGCGGAGGCGGAGAAGCTATGCCAGAAGGCGCTAATTATCGACCCAGAATGCGATATTGCGGTTGCCACGATGGCGCAGTTGCTTCTGCAACAAGGCAAGGTCACGGAGGCGTTGAAGTATTTCGAACGTGCAGCGGAACTTTCGAGGACAGAGGGTGAAATCGTCAACGCGTTGAGCTATGCGGAGGCTACGCGGACGCAATTGGAGGTAGATTCACATCCATCCGCTCTACATTTCGAAAGCGACTGACAAGCCACAGGTGCAAGAGAAATACCCCAAGCTCGCATCACGACTAGGAGCTATGGGCGCTGGGCTCGGAGCAGGAATGCGGTAAACCTTTTAGCCCTTCCGTTTTCCTTGCCCCCTTCTCCCACTGTATTTACACCCCATCTTTCTCTTTCTCCTCCTCTTTCTGCATATTGCATATCTCTACTACCATCCCCCCGTTGAAAACTCTCTTTAATACGTTTTCTGCACCGCGCTCTGCGAATGGACTGGCTGGAGTGCATGTCCATCTGGGAGGTCGACGCTCTGAGCTTAGAAGTAGCGAAGGAGGCGCGCTTGTATGATAGACCGAGGGGCGCGGCGACGGCGGCGGTGCGGTACAGGCACTATTTGTTGTGCTCTTTGGTAGACGACAAGAGCCCTGCCCTTTTGGCAGGGATAAAAGTACATTTGGGCGGGTTGAGTTGGAGACGATCGATCGATGAATGGAGTAATGCATGAATGGTATCTCAACTTCTCAAAGCGTTCCGTCTTCATTTGAGCTTGCAACGACCACTAGAGTCACACACCGAGCACGCAAATACTAAGTCTCTCCTCCGCGTTGTCCACATTCGAAAAGGATATTTGCATTTTACCCTCCATGCATCTAGCTATGTCAAGGTTCCGCCCGCGCACTACGATAGCACCTAACATCAAGTCAGATGCTTGCTCATAGCCTCATCATCATCATTATCGACCGAAGATCAAGCCGAGTCCGCACCAGCATCCGGTATCACACTCCATCCAGGCCATGCCAGCCAAACACCGTCTAAAACGCCTGGGTCATCATTCCAATCTAATCCTCTTTCCCGCGTCGTCGTGACCCATTACCTCCCACAGAGCTGTACGCTCGTCATTCTCCCGAAAGCTGCAGGATAAGCGTACTCGCAACGTCCAAGAAGGGAAACGGACTTGTACACCGCTTCTCGCCCTCCTTCCTGCCCGCACCGACTTCCTCGGTGCGCTCCCTTAGCACGCCTTGTTTCCCGCCCTCGCGCAACTCGCGTGCCAGATCCTCGGGCAGCGGCTCGCCTTCGCCGAGTCTGCGCCACACGCCCTGTTCATCGTCCCAGCCATCTTGGTGCTGTGATGTTGAAAGCGCTAGATTAGAGATGGATGTGTTGGAGGTAGAAGCAGCTTTGATTTCGCGGACGAGACTGCTGACGAGCCGTTCGTAGCCCGCGCATTTGAAGTCTACGACGAAGAAGTCGCGATCGATGCTGTAGAGTTGAATCGACATGTATATGAAGACGGCTTCGTCTGGCTGCGGGTAGCGCGAGGAAGAGTTGCTCGAGTCGCCGGCAGCGGAGCCTGCTCTCTCGGCGTTGGCCGTAGTAATGCCTTCGATGGGGTTGAGGCTCGATGTGCTGGTATTTGTGGAGCTGCGGCGGCGGAGAATGTTGGGATCGTGGAGGTCGACGCGGGAGGAGTGCGTGGACGACGGATGTGCGACGCCTGGGGGAAACATGCCGTCTTTGCGGAAGCGCGCGTTGATCACCCACGGGTCTTCGGGGATGTTGTAGCCCCAGTCGTTTGCAGCACTGTAGTGTTTCCTTGGGCGTCCTCTCGACGGCTCCTCATCGTTATCCTTGTTACGCACCGTTAGTGGCTCGCGACGACTGGGGGACGTGTCGCGGTCGTTCTCCCGCTCTGAGACCTCACACTCGTCCTGCGAAGAGGACGAGGATATTGATGATCCACGGGAGCGATTCGGCGACATCGATCGAGAATGAGATCTTGAATTCCGTGAGCTGCTGCGGCTCCGAGACTCGCTTTCTCCGCCAGCCTTCCGTATCCTGGGAATTTCCCAGTCCGCACCCATTGCTTTCAAGGCCTTGAAGATGGCCAACATAGCCTCGGCCGGCTGATTCCTCGAGCGAATACCGAACTGCCATTTGGTCGGTCGTGGTTTCTTCGCGGGCATGGCTGTCATGGGTTCCGGTCGTTGTCTAGCTGGGTCTGGGATTGCGCGGAGGTTAGGCCGCAGGCGGCGAGCTTGTGCGGCTCGTTGTTCTTCTGATAATTCGGCTGGAGGGGTGCCTCCTTCCGGCTCTTGGGCTCGAGTAAACGGTTTCGGATGGCCCTTCATGTACGCCTTATGGAACTCTGGGAGACTGCTTGGTAGGACAGCAATGGTGCTGATGGGACTCCGTACAGTCGCAATCTGACTGCTGGATGTTGAACTCTGGCGTGTCCGTTCGGGATCGGATGGTGGAGGTATGACCTGCGGACGACTGCTGCCCATCCGCTCAGGTATTGAGCCTATGTAGTTGTCGTGTGACGGAGGCGAAGTCGCGAAAAAGGGTTGAAGCGTTTTCTCTTGCGTCAACAGTGCTGCATTCCAAAGTCAGCCATATAGGTTGCAGAATCGCGGACCATAGACCGGGAGTGTGGGGTTACATATTGTACTACAGGCCATGGTCACAAGGCACACGACCAGGGTACATCGTAGAGATCTCGGAATGAAGAACGTAGATTGAGCGGGGGCAGATGACTTACGGTTTTCCTTCATGAGCTGATTTTCCCGGACGATTAGATAGGCATCCTTTATTGCGCTTGGCTCGTCGCGTGCCAACGCTTCTTGAACATCATGCTTCGCGTAACCCATTGTCTTTCCTAGCTTCCCGACGACTGTCTCGTGCAGCTTCTGTATTACCGCGGCCGGCTGCGATGGGCCGAGGTTCTTGGGATCGATAGCTTTGTTCGGATCCACGCCGGTATCATAGAATTCCTCCGGAGTTGGCTTGAGGTACGACGGGAGATCTTTGGTGAACCAGGGATCTTGGCGGATCTCGGCCACGGTTATTCGGTGCACTGGGTTGACCATCAACATCTTCTTAATAAGTGAGACGGCGCCCGGCGACAAATAGCTCGGGATGCTGTAGTTCCCCGCCGCAATCTTCTTGAACAGGGTGGGGATGTACTCGTCGTCGAATGGCAGCCGTCCCACTAGCAGCACATAAAGGATCACACCGCAGCTCCACACATCAACTTCTGGTCCGGCGTATAGTTTCCCCGAGATCACTTCGGGCGCAGCATAGTTCGGGCTGCCGCAGCTCGTCTTCAAGAAATTGCCGTCGGTCATGATGTTGCTCAGTCCGAAGTCTGCAATCTTGACATTGTAGTGGTCGTCTAGCAGTAAGTTCTCCGGCTTCAGGTCTCGGTGGACAATCTTGTGACGGTGGCAGTACTCGACGGCGCATACGATCTGCTGGAAGAACTTGCGAGCCTTGTCCTCCGCTAGCCTCCCGTTGTTGACGATGTAGTCAAAGAGCTCACCGCCGGCGTACTCCAGCACCATGATGATGTCCAGGGGCGTCGTTATCACCGTATAGCTAGCGGAGTCAGCATCTGTTGCTCGAACGCAAGCTGACTCAACTCACAGCTTGATGATGTGCGGATGGCGCAGCAGCTGGAGATACTGGATCTCGCGCTCTATCCTCCCTGCCATGTCTCTGGTTACGAGCCTCTTCCGGTTGATGATCTTGAGAGCCACCTTCTGGCCGCTGACCTGGTGCGTGGCGAGCTTCACCTTGCCGAACGAGCCCTCTCCCAGCGTCTTCACTATTGTGTACTGGCCCAGTCGCTGGCTCGCCTTGGGATCGCGGCTCTTGGTCTCCTGCACAGCCGTTGTTGGCGCTACCGGCGTGGACGAGAAGTCGGGCGGCCTGGCAGAGCTCCGCCGCGGAGGAGGCATGGAGATGGAGAGCTCCTCCAGGTCCTCGTTGTCGATTGCGGCCGACATGGCGAACGCAGCGTGCGGCGACGAGAGCTCGAAGGCGAGTTGGTATTACGGGTTAAAGAATGGGGTTATAGAGTGATCCAGGGGAGCTGTAGGCAGCGAAATTACTCGGATCGCGGAGTTGCAGGAGCTATACGTAGTGTTAGCAGGCTGCTCTGGGCTATCGCTGGGCCCAACAGAGCGGATGAGGGGTCCTCGGCATGTGATGCTGGGCGAGACAACGCTGGACTGCCAAACAGCCAAGATAGAGAAATACAAAATCAGCATGAACGGCCACTTGCCTCGCGGGTTCTTTGGCTGCGCGGGGGGGTAGATGTTCGCTCAACCGTGTATCGGGCCGTCACCCGCTTGGACAGACGCACTGCCCCACTCACGGATGCGCTGGCTCCTCCACCATTGACGGTATACCCAGCTCTCCGAGATGGTATGCGCGATATAAGGAACGCCTGGGCGGGACCGATCGGTGAGGGCGCGCTGAGGGAGACCGGGGCCGACAGTCGTGGAAAGCGATGGATGGATGGCCGAGTGGGGCGCAGGAAACAGCTATAGTGCTCGCGGCGCTGGAAAGGCTGCAGTGTGCTCGGTGGAAGCGACAGGCAGGCGGGCAGACTGTGGCGGGCGGTGTTCTGGCAGACGGTGGGAGGGAAGAAGCTGCGCGAGCTAGAGGGGATGACGATGCTGCTGAAAGACCCCTCAACCGCCGCGAACGCCTCACGAACTCACTGCTGGGGCGGGTCTGTGCACGCCGGCCAGGCCGATCATCCGCTACCATCCAAGCGTCACCGCGTCCATCGCACCAGAAACGAGAGGAAAGTCCCACGGTCTGGAGTCTCCAGAGTCGAGACTTCCATCCCTATTAATTCTATTCCCGGGATACAGCTTCCCCGTTCGCTCGGTGCGTCAGCTCTGGGATGCTGACTCGCATATGAATGGTGCCGTCTCCACGCGCATCGCGCTCGTGACCCACCAGGGGTCTGCAATGGGCATTTGACATGCCCATCAGGAAATCAAAATGCCTGATCGGTGAGATCCCGCCCCAATCCGAGGCCACGGAAGAACTCCTGTTCGCTGCAAGGGTGGCAGCACGAGCCGGTACCTGCTGCTGTGTCTAGTGCACTCACTCCACGCCCATGGAGCCACGATGTTTACGCTGCCGCCTAACACGGCCAGTCGAAGGACCCCAGGCATATATTTACTCAAGTGGGAATGCCCTACTCTTCGTCTCGTCGGTCTTCGCCATCCATGTCCTCATCATCCGGGCCATCCGGACCTTCCGAGCCATCCTCACCACCAGCGCTCTCCTCGTCTGAACCACTCTCATCCTCGCTCTCAGTCTCCTCATCCGACGCAGCGCCGTCAAACCACATCCTGCAACTCCTGTCCCATTTCCCCCTATTACTCACATAATTCTCCAAACTCCTATCAATATTCATCCACACATCATCCTCATACCCCTCGTCCTTGCTCTCCTCGCCCGTCCAATGGTTCATACTGATCTCCGCCGCGTCACTGCACGGAAGCTGGTCAAACACCAACATCATGCGGGATGGGTGATGCCGAATGGCATCCCAGAGCTGCCGCCACTCCCAGCCCTTGCCGTGACAGCTTTTCAGCTCGAGGTGCTTGAGGTTCCGTGCGAGCTTTACGAAGCGCGCGAAAGCAGGGAGGTGGAGCGAGGCGCCAGTATAGAAGCGTTCGAGGGAAGGGAGCGCGATAATAGAGTCGGGCAGAGGCCAAGCAAAAGGACATCGTGGAACCCCTGTGACTATCTCGAGCGTTTTGATGCTTTGGGAGCTTTTCTTAAGGATTGAGGTGACGGCGAGAGCAGCCCGGGCTTCGAGACGCTCTTCTCTTCCGAGGTCGAAGTTCCTGTCCCCCATCTTCTCCCCTTCCCCGTCCTCCCAGGTTTGTGGGCGGAAGAAGAGGCTTTCAAGATGTGAGAGGTCGAGATCTTGCAATAGGCCATTGTCCGCCCAACTGAAGGTCTCCTCGGCGCAGTATTTGATGTCGAGACCCGTAATGGTCGATCCTGCGGCGATCAGGCTCGCAATCGCTGTGTTGAAGACTGCTCCGCCGACGGGCTCTTGTGGTCGCCGACAACGCGCGTGGTTGTGACCGGCATCCCAGTTATGCTTGTGCTCGTAAACTTCGCATCTGATTTCTTCCCAACCCCTACCCTTCGTTTCGACCCTGTGCTGCAGCGCGATCGTTTTATCGAAGTCCCACGAACCCAACGTGAACATCCCAACCTCCGGGAGCTGCCTCAAGGCACCCGTCCAAGCTCTTTCAAGCCTCCCGCTTCCGAATAACTCCCGCGTCTCGTTCGCTCGCGCCATGTATCGCACAAACCCCTCCTTGATCTCTTCTTCCCCAAACGGCATCTCACCGCCCATGTACCTCTCGACAAACCCCCTCACTCCAAGCACTTCAACATCGGAATCATGCAAGAACTTCTTACCGTTGCGGTCCCAGCCCCCAGTCTCCCACAGCTTATCATTATGCCTCTGACAAAACTCCTGCAGCGGGGCCACTGTAACAATCTCTTCGAACAATTCCTCCGTCATCGCCCAGCTGTACTTGCTCGGCTCAAACACTACGCTCTGCACATACGGCCTGATGCTCTTCAGGTCCGTCTTCTCCGCAATCTCGACATGTTCGGGCGAAGCAACGAGCCTGATGCTCTTAAAGAGCGTTGCTAACAGGCGCGGTAAGAATGCATACTGTCTGCAGGCCAAGCGCAGATTCTTCAGATGCGGGAGGTCCAGTCTGTACGAGCCGTCATTATCACAATTGATGCGATGATCAGGGACTGATCTTACCCTGACGGAATCCAGAGGAGCTCTTCGAGTATCATGACCAAAAGCTCGACTGGGAGGCGGTAGAATGCGGGCTCGGACATCTTGTCAAAGGCTTTCGCGTGAGGTAGTGTATGTATATGTGACCGGGCTAGATTGTGAGGAAGATGAGAGAGGAGGGGCGTGAGCTCGACGATATTGCTTTCGTGCGGATGCAGACCCCTGCACGTCCGTCCCCGAGTTAAGGCAGCCACGCCAACTCGTCCACAAACTACTGCCTCGCTTAGTCGCTCTTAAATGGAGCTCGGATCCTTCTAAAATTGAGTGGGCTTTGCTTCGATACGAGGGACAATTCGGAAGAGAAATCCAATGACGCAGCTTACACAATATAGTGAGAATTTGACCTCGTCGACCTCGTCCTCTTCCCGCTGTTGTATCTTTGATTGGAAAATTTACAAAGCTATTCTTAAAGCACCTCAGCATGTGTTGGCCGTAACTATTGGATATCAGGCATGCTCCTAGAATTTGAGGATGGCTCATCAGCACCGAAGGCTAGAAAGACGGCGTCTGCTACAGAGTTGTCCCAAAGCCTCCACTTCCGTGGCGAGGCAGTGTGATGGATCCCATCACCGGAAGCAAAACATGCGACCGAGCCCGCGTTGTTGCACCTCCCGCCTCGCCGCTCCATCAATGTATCCATCTCCGCCTTCCATAGTCGAGCTGCCGCTGCTAACCTGCTTCGCCGTTCCGTTACCAAAGATCCTCAATAGAGTCACCATAACGGCTGCGCTCAGGATACTGGCGCACAGTATCCCGATCATGACCAAGTTGCTCTTGCGATACTTGTGTGGTCCTTTTGCGTCTTCTGGCCATCCCGTATAGAGCGCGTAGGTCGTCAGAATGCTGCCGAGATTACCCAAACCGGACACGAGCGCGCTGGCTGCTGCTACACCGACCTCGCCGTGGCGCGGCTGAAAAATTTCATTGGTCCAGGTCATGCATATTGGTACGGTGGGGCCAAGACCAAAGCCTACCATCAGGAGGCCTCCGTAGCGCGACCAGGAGCTTGAGCCGTTGCCTGCGAACGTGGTGACAAGGAGGCCTGCTATTTGGATCATGACGGCGGCGCTGAAAAAGAGAGCGCGGTGGTGATGGAAGCGGTCGGAAAGGGGAGTTACGATGAGAATGGCAATGAGATCCATCTGCTTCGGGTTAGGCCACATGTCGGGCTGGAGGCGAAATGGACTTACCACCCAGATTGGAGCAAATAGCAGACTGAGCTCGATGCCCGTCAAGCTTGGGTTTATGCCGCGGATGATGACGGTACCATAGCTCTGTGTACCAATGCCGACTCCTACCACTCCAAAGTACATTATGACCAAGGGCCACAGCCGCCAGTCAATCATGACGTTCCACAGATCATTCATATTCCACGCACGCCGGTGGTAAACTCGCGTCAAATCCTCGTAGTGGATTCTGGCATCTTCGCCAGTCAAAGCCGGTCTGCTTTCCGGCATGTACCTGTGCCATCCCTTGCGCTCTCGAACTTCGCCGGGAGGAAGTGGTCGGTCCGGAAGCCACCATAGTAATGATATGCCGACTACTGTTCCAACAAGGCCGTAAAGCAGGAACATCCACTGAAAGCCCACAAGCCCACCTAAGCCATCCATTTCTTGAAAGCCGGCTGAGACCAGTCCAACAACGGCAGCAGAGACCTGAGCAGCGGTGAAGTATCTTCCAATGCGCTTGCCTGTTCGCGACGGAGGGTAGAAGAGAGTAAGATAGTACGACATGCCTGGCCACATGCCTGCAATCACGATACCGAGTAGGAGGCGGAGCAGGCTAGACAGTGTGTTAGTGGAACAAACCCCCTTCTTTCAAAAGATACGTACTAGAAGCTCCAAGCGGCTTTCATAGCGGTCAAGCAAGTCCCGATGATGCCCACTCCAGTAACAATACGGCTCATCCAGACATGCGGGCTAAGCTTCGACATGACCAGATTGGAGGGAAAGTCGAAGATGACATAACAGACATAGAACAACGCCAGACCGGTCGACACTTGCTTGGGCGTCAAATTAAGCTCGGAGGCCAGGTCATGGCCCTTGTCCAGATTCATGGTCTGCGCAAGTCCGACATTGGATCGAATGGCGGAGCAAAGGAAGTATAGGACCCAGAACGCTACATTCTGTGAGTATGCGAACTAGGGCTCTGCCGCATTGACTGTAGATTACCTGGTAATATCCGTCGGTCAAGTTTGCTGCCATTCTGTCAGTCGCTTGAGACTAGGGGCTAGTCGAAGGCGCTTACCTATACACCTTCTCGATCCGATCAATATCAATCATCTCCGGCCCAACCTCAACATCCTGATGGAGGTCCCCGTACTTGGGCGCATCGTCCTCGCCCTCTGCAATCTCTTTCTCTAGTGGACCGCGTCCTGTGATGTCCGCGGCCATCCTCAACAATCAAGGCAATGTACAGGAAAAGACGAGGAATCGAAACGAATTCAGAAATATCCTCGGAGAGAAGAGTAGAGGCAGTTATAAGTCTTTACCATTACAGCCGATGCCGGCCGACGCTCATAAGGCGCGGGAGCTCAGAGCGGAGCATTCTATTCGTTGACATGAAGAATTTACCTTTGGTGGGGTCACTAGTGGTTGACTGGGATGTGATCATGCACGCTGGCGGTCGAGAGACCGGAGGCACCACCTCGGCACAGAGAACGTGCTCATGTGCGGTAAAGAAGTTCAATACTGGCAGCTGCCAGAGGCTACATACGAGATCAGACGAGACGAACTCGTCTTTGGCAGTGCGCTAAAGGGTTTCAGAGGGAAAGGTGCCTAGGTCGAATAGGGAATGGTCTGTTTCGCTAAATTTTTGGAGCTCGGGCCGCCAGATGTTCGTCATCGTGTTGAGGGAGCTTCAATGTGAGCTCAAGCGTCAATTCCAGCCCAGCGCACCTCTTTCGTAGGTTTCCCGTACAGTAATTCCTATAAAATGCTACCGAGAACAATTACTCGGACAGCGCGCCGCGCCCAGACCTCATGCAGAGCTCCCACACTTTTCCTGCGAGGTTCAAGAAATGTATCAACGCTTCCGGAAAATCCACACATTGTAAGCTTGTAGACTTGACTGTGCGGTAGCAGCTAATTCTGTATCAGTACGTCTTCAAACATCCTTTAGACCCTGCTCGATCCCTCCTAACCCTCCTCCCTACCAATCCTCCGACCCTCGAACTTGCGCTCGGAAGCTGTACCTCCATCCCACCAACGCCTGCGAACTTTACTGAGAACGCCTCATTCCATCCCATATTACAGTCTGTTCTACACAATTACGCAACCCAAGATCCCAACGTGCGGCAACAAGCGGCTGTCTTCGCCTCACCAGGCGGGTTCAACCTTGGGGCCAGATCCGGCAGCAACGATGGCGCCGGAGGCGCGAATCATCAAGCGGGAATGGGCGGCGCAAACAGGGGAGGCTGGATACATGTGAGCGACGAGAGAAATCCGCCAGACTGGGGTAGGATTGCCTGGCCTGAAGACATCTTCGGAAGTGTAGAAGTGGATGGCAATGGGATGTTTGTTTCGGTGGATGGAAACTATCAGGACAGCGGGACCTATAGAATGGTGACAAGAGAGGGAATGTGAGTACTTCGTGGGGGTTTTGATGGGCTGTTGCGTGGTGCTGACGGTTGGTTCTAGACTCGGCCTGACACCCTTTCTCCGCGAGAAACTCGTCGAACGACTTCGTCAGCTTGAGAGCCAGATGAGGAAGAAGTAGTGGTTCGGCGAACGCTCTTGTCTCCGGAACCGAAGCCGAAAGCCTCCCTGCTCCCGTTCGCTGCATGCGACGAGCGGCGCCGTAGCATTCGCGTCCGATGGAAATGACAAGGTGTCTCCACCATCCGCAGTGATGATACCATGCTTTAGAGCCGTATTAGCGATCATCCATTGTCCGCGGCCTATATTGCTATTCCTGGGCAAGCGATTAGTAGGAGGAAACGTTTCGGCAGGGAACTCTGTTCTCATTCACAAGGGTCCTAAGGTTCGAACGGATGAAATCGTCTAGTGTATCATCATCTGTAATCCATGTAATCATAAAATGTATAAATATCGCAACTTTGGTGCCTGGCGATCGAGCTTGACAGGTCTTGGCACTGCCAGAAACCCTCCGAGATCATATCGCCTCCAATGTTCTACATCAACACCACGTCCTCCTCCCGCAACCATGACTGCCGGCGAAACAACCGCAGGCTCGCATGCCGACAGAATACCTACGGGCGCCTCGCCGAAGCGCGTCTCAGTCCTTTTCGTCTGCCTAGGGAATATATGTGCGCTGCCCCTCCCCCGCTATTCTCCGCATCCTGCAGGACTAACACCTAAACAGGCCGTTCCACGATGGCTGAAGGAGTGTTCCAGTCGCTCACACGACCATCCAAAGGTCAACCGCACCCTCTCATCCGCAAAGTCGATTCTTGCGGTACCGGTGCCTATCATCTCGGCAACGATCCGGACCCGCGCACCATGGCGACCCTCGAAGAGAACGGCATCACCACATACACACACGCGGCGCGCAAATTCTCGCCCAGCAAGGACTTTGATGAGTTTGATTACATCCTTGGCATGGACGATTACAATCTGGAGGACCTGAAGCGGTTGCGGACAAGGGAGGTGAAGAAGAGGGGCGGGGAGGAGGGCTTGGGGAAGGTCATGCTGTTTGGAGACTTCGGGGGAAAGAAAAGGAGGAGCGGGAGGGGCGAGGAGGTGCAGGATCCGTACTACGGGGCAGATGATGGCTTCACGATCGCGCATGAGCAGTGTGTGCGGTTCTCCAAGGCGTTCCTGGAACAGCTGGAGGCCGGGGAATTGAGTTGAGATGTGTTACAGGGACACCGACACATTGGAGTTCGGTGGAGGATTTGATACCCATAGACACACAAGATGCCAGATGCGGCAGCTCATGACCGTTCACGATTCCCATTTTGGTTCCAGATAGCCCCTCGATACAGACCAAACCAGCCCTCGCAGCCTCATTGCTCCCCTCCGCCAAATCTCGCAAATCGCCCACGCCCTCAAGCCACGCCTGACAAAGCCATTCCACTCCGGTCTTTATGTTCCCTTTTACGATCTCATTCGAGCACGGCTTGGCCTCAGCCGCACGCTAGCTCCCCAAGCTGACCTTTGTTCTGGCTTCCGGTGAAAAGGAATCCCCCAAATCCCAAGAACGCCTCCAAAAGAGCCTACAATGAACTGTTCCCCCTTGCATACAAACTGTTTCGCGGTTTGGTGGTTGATAGAGAATAGCCGTTGCGGATGAGACGGTACCCGCCGCGTAATGCAGGCTATCCAAATTTAGCACTGGTGGAGTGAATGGGTGGTGCTGTGGCTAAGGCGGTGCGTGGCGCGTGGCCGAGCAGCCGTGATGGCAATGGTGCGTGCAGGGATCCCGCTCAGGTTTCAGGCTGGGCTGAGAGCTGCTGAGTCGCTGACTGCATTTGTATACAGAATACTCTGCTCCCTCCCTCGTCTTTGCAGGTGGAGAGCATTATCCTGTCTTGCGCACTCCTCTGCTCTAGCGCTTCATCATTGCGCAACCGCCGTTGCTGTGGTAAACACGCTCCGTCTCCACCAAGCACATCTGAAACCGTCGGCCCTAGCCAGTTACCGCATCTCACTCGAGAATCACCAAGCGCAGTTTCGATCTTCGCCAGGCACTCCTTTCAACCGCTTGTTCCACCCCAGGAAGTTGCCGGGTGATATCATTTTCCCGCCGCTGTGCAGGGAGGTTGAAGGCGCAGCAACAAAGCACCCAGGCACGCTCTCTCCACCATGTCTGGCTATAATCGGCTCGGTAAGTCTCCTTGCCTCTGTTCGGAGCTTATAGCATTACGACAACTGCATAGCCCACCCCCGCGCGTACCTCCCTCGCTTGACCCCAGATATCATTACCCCCATTCCCAGCCGAGGCCTGACCACGGTTCGCGCTCGTCACCGCCGCAGTATATTCCTTCGCTCGACATCACTAGTCTACTCGTTACACACGTTTGCGCGCTATCAACAAACACTAATCACAGAGGTGTGCAGGCTCAGCCGGGGACGACCACTATTCTCCAGGCATGGACCCACGACGACCAGGCCGCTCGCCCTCTCCAGGGCATCCTCTACAGAGCTACCAGCTCGACGATAGATATGGCTCGCAGCCCGGCCCTCTCGAAATCCCAATGGGGCCAGGGCCGGGGCCCGGCACACCAGGCGACAGACTGCAATTACAACCCAGCGTGAGTTTTCTGGAGGAATGGCGGCGCTGGGTCGGGCTAACGACAGCTAGTATTCGGTAGAAAACATTCCCTACGGGCCCAACGACTACCACGACGACTACAATCCGCATCCCCAGCGCCACGGCAGCGATTACTCCCTCGACCCGCAGGCGCATCACGATGCATACTTCAACCAGCCCTACAATCCCTCGTCGCACGACGAGAGCCCGCATGGCTACGGCACCCAGCCCGATCACTATTGGCAAGATGATGATGACAGGCGGCCGATGATACCGGGCGCAAACTCATACGGCCCAGATCCGCATGAGGCTGACCCGGGGAATCTGCATCCAGAGAACCCCTTCCACGACGAGCCGCAGCCGACGCCCAGTCCAGCACCCATAAAGCGATGGAAGACGGTCAAGGAGGTGCAGCTATTCAAGGGGAACTTGGTGCTCGATTGCCCGATTCCCCCGCGGCTACTCAACCAGGTCCCGCATGCACAGCCCCCAGAGCGTGACGAGTTCACGCATATGCGATACTCAGCCGCCACGTGCGATCCCGCAGAGTTCGATGCAGAGCGCTTCACCCTGCGCCAGCAGCTGTTCGCTAAGCCCAGGCATACCGAGCTGTTTATCGTCATTACCATGTATAACGAGGAGGACGAGCTGTTTGCGCGGACAATGATTGGTGTTATCAAGAACATTGAGTTCATGAACTCCCGGACAAACAGCAAGACGTGGGGCAAGGACGCGTGGAAGAAGATCGTAGTGTGTGTCGTCAGCGACGGACGTGCTAAGATCAACCCGAGAACGCGAGCCGTCCTGGCCGCGCTTGGTGTGTATCAGGACGGCATTGCCAAGCAGCAGGTCAATGGCAAGGATGTGACTGCTCATATCTACGAGGTAGTTTGGACAACAATGCTCCGTCAAGCATGATGACTAACAAATGACAGTACACCACCCAGATGACCCTAGACATCAAGAAGGGCGTTGTGGGTGTTAAGAAAGGCAACACCCCTGTCCAGATGCTCTTCTGCCTGAAGGAAAAGAACCAGAAGAAGATCAATTCCCATCGATGGTTCTTCCAAGCTTTCGGCTCCGTCCTCGACCCGAATATTTGCGTCCTGATCGATGCCGGAACCAAGCCCGGAAAGGACTCCATTTATCAGCTCTGGAAGGCTTTCGACCTCGAACCCATGTGCGCGGGTGCTTGCGGTGAGATCAAGGCCATGTTGGTCCACGGAAAGAAGCTCCTGAATCCGCTCGTGGCAACGCAGAATTTCGAGTATAAGATGAGCAATATCCTAGATAAGCCTTTGGAATCCGCTTTCGGTTTCATTACCGTGCTTCCCGGAGCCTTCTCCGCCTACCGTTATGTTGCTCTCCAGAACGACAAGACCGGACAAGGGCCTTTAGAGAAATACTTCGCTGGTGAGAAGATGCACGGTGCCAATGCTGGTATCTTCACAGCCAACATGTACCTCGCTGAAGATCGTATTCTTTGCTTCGAACTGGTCTCCAAGCGGAATTGCCACTGGATTCTACAGTACGTCAAGTCTGCCAACGGCGAGACTGATGTGCCTGTAGAAATGGCCGATTTCATTGGCCAGCGACGACGATGGCTCAATGGTTCTTTCTTTGCCGCAGTATACGCCTTGGCTCACTCGTTCGACATCTTCCGAAGCGACCACTCTTTCATACGGAAGATGATGTTCCTTGTCGAATTCACGTACCAGACCATCAGCATGCTCTTCGCTTGGTTTGCTCTTGGCAACTTCTTCCTGGTCTTCCGCATCCTGACCGCTTCGCTCGCTACCGAAATTGGCACAGCTGGAAAGGTGTTGTTCATCGTCTTCGAATGGCTCTACATCGGTGTCCTGATTACCTGCTTCATACTGTCGCTCGGTAATCGTCCTAAGGGATCTAATAAGTGGTACATGAGCATGGTGTATTTCTGGTGCCTCATTATGGGCTATCTCATGTTTGCGTCCATCTACATCACGGTCCGCTCAGTGCAAGAGCAAATCGCCAAGAACAACGGCTTCAGCGTCTCCGACATCTTCAAGGACAAGATCTTCTTCACCTTGATCGTGTCTTTGGCGTCGACATACGCGATGTGGCTCATCGTCTCCATCCTCTTCCTGGATCCCTGGCATATGTTCACTTCATTCATTCAGTACCTCCTCATGACGCCTACGTACATCAACATTCTCAATGTGTACGCCTTCTGCAATACACACGACATCACCTGGGGTACAAAGGGAGATGACAAGCCTGAGAAATTGCCTTCCGTCACCACAAAAGCCGACGGCAAAGCGGACATTCAGGCGCCCACCGACGACGCAGACCTTAACACGCAATACGAAACCGAACTCCGCGCTTTCAGTACGAAGTGGAAAGAGGAGAAGCAGAAAATCTCGCCTCAGGACAAACAGGAAGACTACTACAAAGGTTTCCGGTCCGGTGTCGTACTCTTCTGGATGTTCTGCAATCTGGGCCTTTGCGCCCTCGTCTTGCAGACTGGTGGGTTGGAGGTCACTGTCAGCGACCCAGATGAGCAAGCCCAGAAGAAGAACGAGGCGGCGACAATCTACCTGGCGGTTGTGCTTTGGAGTGTAGCTGGCTTGAGCGCGTTTAGGTTTATTGGAGCTATGTGGTTCTTGGTTGTCAGGATGGTAAGTTCCCTTCCATGTGGCTCTTGAAAGGAACAACGTACTGACCTTTTACAGTTCCGCGGTGTTTAAACCGCTTCCGTACAATGTTCACTGCGATCTGGCGCATAGGGTTGGGCACGTCCGTCCGGTCTGTACGGGTACAGGACCTTTTGGATCGGCTTGAAGGTTTGTATGTTGCATCTGTTTGGACACAAAGAGTTCCATGATGGTCATGTCTGTGGGCTTGATGGTTTTCAGACGAGTTTCATGACTTGATACCAGTATTATTAGGACCACGATGTCCTACGTTTGCATGAGTATTAGGTACTTTAATTGTCTTCAGCCTTCTCTCGTGCTACTTCTTCTTTAACAAGGTCTACTCATCAGCGGATTTCCATTGACTTCCTCTACTCCGTCTTGCATTTCGCATTCTTCAAAGCTTATCTGCGAATCATGATGGCTCAGTGGTTCTCATTGCGTCCCTATCCTCACTGTCGGATTCTTACTCCCTTGACCGACACTATTACCGTTGTCCAGGTGCAAGCCCCCGCCTAATCTTTCCCCTTGCTGTTGTTTAATAGACCGCCGTCCCTGTATAGGAACGTAGTACTAATGGCCGGTCGAGCAGTGTTGGGTCGCTGATAGGATGTCACTCAAGGTATGTTCCTCTTCCCCGACAGGAGCTGTGGTATATTCAGCTTGTATATTGCGCTGATGAGGGTAGTGGACCTTTCCACTGCACTACATTAATGTCCTGTGTCAACTTGCGGGAACGAGTGCGTTAAGAAATGAGACCTCGGGATGCGGCGCTCTCACTCTTCCGCATCACATCTGCGACGAGGTACTCGCTCGCTCCTGCCACATTGCGCCTTCCTAATTCTCCCTGTTTTGGAGCAGTATAAACATCAACAGAGCACCGAACCCTTGCTCTTGTACCTCACTCATCTGCAGTCATTGGCCTTTGCCCCGCCCTGCCACTGCTCTCTGCAAACGAACTATCTTCCTACATTTTCTCCGACCTTCCTGCCCAAGATCAACCTTCACCACGCCGTCGTCCTTCGGCTCGGAGAAACTTTCCGCCTCCCGAGCTCCGAAGCTATAAACACGACAGCGCCGACAACAATTTCTTCTCGCCCTCGCCACCGACTTCTCTCCTCCACACCCGTACATTCGACGTCGAGCGTGCGCTTCTGGCCCCTCTCTCTGCTTCCCTTCCTATATCAACGTCCGCGTTCGTCTTACCGAGTCGCGCATCGAGTCGTTAGGTGAGTGTTACCCGCGCAGCGCCCTCAGGTGAAGCTGAGCGGTGCCGACCTCACCACAGTCAGCCTGACCATGTTCAAGGGCCTTTCGACTAACAGCGGCTTCTAACTAGATCTACCGTCCCCTTCGTTTGCCCAACCCACCTTCTTTCCCTCATCTTTGGCGACTGATACACACGATGAGCTGGAACAACGACGGTACGTCACCACATTCACTTCTTGCAACCATGGCTAACACATGTGCAGGCGCAGATACCTGGGGCTCCAGCGGAGGCGGTGGTGCCGATGCTTGGAACTCCGGTGGCGGCGGTGACTCTGGTGGCTCCGGCTGGAATGATACCTCAGGCGGCGACGCTGGCGGCGATGCTGGTGGCGAGACCTCTGGCTGGGGTGCTGGAGATGACTCTGGCGGCGGTGGTGGTGATGGAGGTGACAGGAACTGCCGAATGTGAGTATCCCTCCTTACGCCTCCAAGATTTGTCCAGCGGTCAAACGGATTAGTTGGGCGACCCATGGGCCCGCTGGTTCCACAAGCCTAGCGTATCTCTACACCGTGCTAACGCACAACAGCTGCAACGAGGCCGGCCACTTCGCACGCGATTGTCCCCAGAAAGGCGAGGGCGGAGGAGGACTGACTGGCGAGTGCTACAACTGTGGCCAGGTCGGTCACAACAAGGCCGACTGTCCCAACCCCAAGGTCGATCGTCCCTTCACCGGCACCTGCAATGCCTGCGGTGTTGAAGGCCACGCCGCGCGCAATTGCCCGTCGAACCCGATGAAGTGCAAGCTTTGCGACCAGGAAGGCCACAAAGCCCTCGACTGCAAGTCTCGCCGTGCCATCAATTGGACTGGCGTCCCGGAGCTTGCTGCCGAGGAGGCGTGGGTCAAGCTCGTTGATGCCGCCAACGCTAAGGTATGGAAACTAGTCCCGGAGGTCTTCAGTTTGTATCGCTAACGTGTACTTTCCCCGCAGGACCTCGACGCCTTTCGTCTGTGCCTTCGAGCGTACGCCCGAGCCTTGAATGAGTCCTTCGAGCTTCCCGCTGTCGAGGAAGCTCTCCGTTCTGACGGGCTGCCTATATTCTTGATTGCCAAGCAACAGGAGATCGCCGCGAACATGACGATTGTCGACCTCATCGGCAACCCTGACCGAGAGTATGTTCTCTCCATCCAGCTATCCGCCAAGCCCCGCCGTATCAAGCTTGCCCAGGGCTGGCCGGACGACGCAAACGTCAACCTGGAGCGCCTCAAGTCCGCGGGCTTCGTTCAAGATCGTGGTGTTCCGCTGTGCTCCAACTGCGGCGAATTGGGTCACATTAGGAAGCACTGCAAGCAGGAGGCCGTCGAGAAGGAAAACATCGCTCCCACTATCCAGTGCGTCTATTGCCAGGAGGTCGGCCACCGGGCTCGTGATTGCCCTAAGGAGCGTGTCAACCCTTACGCCTGCAAGAACTGCAAGCAGGAAGGCCATACTTCCAAGGAATGCCCCGAACCTCGCTCTGCTGAGGGCGTCGAGTGCCGCAAGTGCAACCAGACTGGACACTTCTCTCGCGACGTAAGTAACCTATCTGGGGGACTGCAGGAAGAGCAATGACCAGCTAACCGTCTCTCAGTGCCCCAACGTTGAGCAGCGACCCCCTAGGACCTGCCGAAACTGCGGATCAGAGGACCACATAGCTAAGGAGTGCAATCAGCCCCGCAACCCAGATACGGTTACCTGCCGCAACTGCGAGAAGCAGGGTCACTTCTCACGTGACTGCCCTGAGCCGAAGGATTGGTCCAAGGTCAAGTGCTCCAACTGTGGCGAGATGGGTCACACTCTCAAGGTACGTGACTGCTCGCAATTCTCTGAAAGACTCCCGACTAACCTATACAGCGCTGCAGGGCTCCTGTTGCGGAGGGCGACGCGATGGGCGAGGGTGGACCAGTAGACGCCTCTGGTGGCTGGGACACTGGTGATGCCGCTGCGGCCGCGGGTGGGGGCGAGGCCTCTTGGGGCAACAGCGGAGGCTGGTAAACGCTCCAAAGCTCTCCGGGGTACGTGATGTACGACTACAATCGGGTTTCACGGATTGATACAGCATATGACGAATATGCTAGGGGATATGGCAATGGGTCTGATCTTGGGTGGAGGAACTGACTGCGTGGCGGCAACTCCTCTATGGAGGAAAACTCGTCCAGATTTCGGTAGTTACCTAAGAAAATCATGACTTCTACAACGATGCGTTTCACTGCCGTGGTACATGATGGCGGATGTAATGAAGATGTCGAGCGGCTATCTCAAATTTTCCTACTGACTGAAAGATGGGAAGCCGAAGGGAGGACGGCCTCTGTTATCAAAACATGTAAGAACGCAACAACCAGCCAAAGGAGCAGTGGAGGACATGTACGCAATACAACTCCCAGCATTGTCGCTCCACCAGATACACCGTATTCCTTAGACAGGGTCCCAGTCCCGACTGCAAGTTACAAGCTAATGCATATTGTGCTGCAAGCTTGTGCGTCTGGTGAGAGATACCTTTCCTCGTTCATTCTTAGTTGGATGTAGGGACTATAATTAGGGTAGGTGTGGGTTGAAAGGAAATCGGTATACTACGGGTACTTTATGGCCTTCATCACACGTGGGCGATTGGCTTTGAAAGTGAGCTGTATGTGAGCGTACGGTTTCTTGAGCTCGATGCAGGATCTTGCACCTTGTAGGTGAGACGGTTGTTTAAGTTCTGCGGCGTTTAATTGGGGCGGGTTATGCGAATGAGTAGGCCGACATCTTGAAAACCGTGGTCAATCGAAACCTCTGCACAGCGTCGTGGCTGTTCGGCCGGGGATTACGGTGCCGTGCGAGTAGCAAGAATAACGATCTTGGTATTTTGTAGGAGGTTTACCATGATGAGTTGTGGGCGTTGGAGGAAGAAGTAACTGCATCGCTTTGGTCCCGGCGTTAATCTGAAACAAGTATGGCGTCTTTGCTTAGCATGAATGGCGTCTTCAACCCGGCCAAGGTTCGCCTTCTCGTGGATGACTTCGACCTGCCGGTGCGTGCCATCTTGATTCCTTACTTTTGTACTCGGAATGTCACTTCATTGATGTATCCTACTCTAATCACTGAGCAGCATGGCCCTAGCCGTCCGTCTGTGCTCGAGTTGACAAGCAGACATTGTTCGCTTTTGCTACATGATCACTCGCCGGCATCTCATGATATTCCAGGGAGCTTATATTTGAAAAGCCTTTGTGCGAGATCTCGAAGACGTTGCCGGGGATGAACCTTTAGCCATTTATGTAGACTCTGGCCGCCCGAGCGGCTTCACTCTTCCTCCCGCATCCCTGGGTCGCAAACTTTTCAGCCTCTCCCTAGAGGGTGCTGCAGCAGTTCGCCGAGATTGCCGTTGTCGAGAAGTCGCGGACGTGCGAGCTGGGATTGGTACGGCATCAGCTGTGCTGGTTCCGCGGATTCGTGCCGACCGCTGCTTCGTGACGGGTGCAGCCTCGGAGCCTAGCAATGCGCCAGCCGTGTCTTCTTCACCATGCTTCTCCTTCCGTCTCTTGACATTTGATCTTGGTAGGGCACCGTCGTCTCCCTGTCGCATCCTCTTTCCGCCTTCCGTCAACTTTGGCTTCTCCTCTCTCGGCGGTAGAATCTGTGCTGCCTTAATCTCGCTCACCTGCTGTAGGACCCATTGCACCTTGTACAGCTGACGTTGTTCACTTGCCTGTACCGCCCGGTACTTCTCCGTCTTTCGCATAAACTCGCCGATAGCCTCATTCCTCCTAGTAACATCGATTAGCTCCTTCGCGGCACCCAGCTTCTGGGCCCCGCGAGATGCTTTGTAGCGTTTTCGAGTGTTCGTTGCCTGTTGCACCAAGGTGGATGCTTCTTCCGCCAAGCACAACGCTAGCGTAGCCTCGTTAGCCTCAGTCTTCCGCCGTTGCTCTGCTTCGGTTGTGACCAGATCCTCTTCTCTCTCAGTTCCCTTCAGCACCTTGGCTGCCGTAAGCGTCTTGCACGCCATATCATGTTGCGACTGTAGGCTTTTGACAGAACTGGTGAGCCTGTCAAGCCACCAGTACTCAAACTCGAGGTACTCAACCCAGGTTGTCCACTGATCCTGTCGCTTTGGGTCTTCTTCGAGCTGCAGAGGCTGGGTGAATCCATGGTCGGCAAGGCGACGCTTCGCTACCTCGGCATAGGCTGAAAAGATTTCAACGCCGCGATCATTCCTGTCTTGCTGCTGTTGGCAGTTGCCTCTTTCCCTTTCCCATCGGCGGCGCATGGTATCCTCGAATTCGGGGTCGTCCGTCAATTCGGAGGCTTTCATCGCCTTATAGTCTCGTCGTTTTGCTTCGAGGTATTCAGGGAACCCTTCGTCGGCCGCAATCCCTCTGTTATCGAGCTGCCATTTGCGAAAGTCCAGCCAGCGGTCCCGCTCTCTCGAGATGGCTTGTCCGTCGTCCCGACTCCTCGAGCGCAGATCTTGCACCCACGGCCGCAGCAACTCATGGTGTGATTCGGGGTCATTCAGCACCTCTTCAAGCCGGCTGAGCGGGAAAGGTGGCCGACCACCGTCCTCGATGAGCTCGTGGTAACAGGCAGACTCGAAATCTTCGATGATCCGGGGTTCAGGCGAGAGGGTTAGCGACCTTCCGCGGGAGGGCCGCGACGGCGTATCCATCGCAGCAGCGGCCGCGGTTAAGCGTGCAGCGAGCTCCTCAATGTCGAGAGGCGCGGCCGTTACTTGTTTCACGGCAGTCCTAAAACGACGCGTCAATAAGGAAATGAGGCCCCTGTGCTGACTGGTGTATCTCCAATCACCTCAGTTTCTCGCCGAGTAGCTCTTTCTTGGCTGGCGACGCATTCTCCCATCCCTGGATTTTTAACCCGTCGAAATTGCCCATCGGGTTGCGCGCCTTCTGCAAAAACTGGACAAGCGCGGAATCGCTGAGATTGAGGATATCATCGACCGTAGTTTCATGCGTCATGGCTTCGTCGTTTGTTCTCGCATCGATGTCGGGATCAAAAGATTCGTGCGTGTCAAAGAACGTAAAAAGTAGTAATAAAATATAGTAAATAGTACTAGTAAATAGTTAAATTCTTATAACTACTTCTTTTCTCTTTCTAAGGCTTTCTACTCTAAAGCTTCTTACTTTAAGGCTTCTTATCTTAAAGCTAGAGCTTTTTAGCTAATTAGAAAATAGAGCTTATACTCTTAATAGGCCTAGAGAAGTTACCTAAATAGGGGCCTTTGCCTTCCCTCTAATTTAGGGGGGAGTAGAACCGTAGTAGCTTGTACGTCTATAGGTAAAATTGTCTATAATGCGAATGCGACCCCATCAGGCAACCGACGATTGTATCGGTGAACCATCCCACTCCAGTCATATGGGTATTCGGGAATCCATTGACCCAGGCCTCAGCTGTCGGCAAATGGATCGCAATATGTCTCAATAGCACTTCCGCGCGACTTCCATTTGGCTAAATGAAGCCTATATTCCATTACTCCGCTCCTTCGGCGCGCAATACGTGAGCCCGACAGGCCCGAGCAGCTCTACGCGCTATCTAAAAAGTCCGTTCCCGTAACTGCGGAATCCATGATGGCGGAGATCGTCGGTCTTGGAAAGCTTGTTCGCACTTCTACTTCTGACTGAGGTAAGCTTCTTAAACTGCCTCCGGTAGCTTCGCAGCCAGCCCACGCTCCATCGTCATCTATTCCTAAGGGCAACTTGAACAATTCTACTCTGGACCTCTATAACTTCGCCCAGAATATTGTTCGTCGCGTCTCTGTCCAAGCCCGGGTCTTGCGCGGCCATCCCTGCCCATAGAGTCCTGTAACCGAAAACGGAAATCCACGATGCCGGGCTGTTCCTGGGAGAAGGGTACCCCACGCTATCGTCACCACGGTTCGTCCAATATACCGCTCATCTCGCTGCTTACTGGATGTTGTTCTGGATGCAGTAGTGCCATCACTGCAATCACTCGTCGCATGCTGCAACGCGACGCTGCCCGGCTTCACAACACCGAGCCTGTGGCTCATTGGGCGTATACAAATTGCATGTACTTTTTGCATGTTACTATTCTCGTATTCTCCATCTCCCGCACTCGTGCTATCGATTTGTACAATTTGAAATGGTTCGACGCGTCTATTTTCGTCCACTAGAGCGGCTCTTAGACATGACGAGAACAGGAAGACCTTCCTCTGGACCGCTTTAAAAGGCACGCTGAAGTACCACGAGATCTTCAGTCGAGCAGTATCCAGCCTTCAAACTCAGTCATTCTTCTCGATTCTCATCGCTCCGTACGGACAACGATCACAATGCGCTTCATCACTATCACCTCAGTCCTCGCTGCGTGCAGGTCGGCTTCCCTCTTCCACATACTCTCCTCTCCTCTCTTCTTAGCAGCCATCTAACACATCCCAGCGCTATCACCTCCGCATTCGACCCGCGCGCCGCTGCCGCCCTCCCCAACGCCGACCCGCAGCGCCAGCGCACCCGCTGCACCACCTACGTTACCACCACCGAGATTACTCGCACACGCGGCGATGTAGACACCTCGACCAGCACCGTTCTTCTGCTGCAGCCGATCACGACTGTGGTGTACCAGACGATTACGAGCACGACGACGTTCCTCGTGACGGAGGATCGAACCAGGACCCGGACTCGGACGCAGACGGTGTCGCAGTGCATCGTTGGGCAGAAGATGAAGTAGAGAAGGGGAAGGCTGGACGTGGAGAGGAGATACGGGGAGAAAAGAATGAGAAGCAAGGTGCGATTTAGACGAAAGGATTGAGGTGCTGAAGAGCAGCCAGCGGTGGGCTTTCGCCGCTACCGTTTGCGCGCTCATCCAGCGGCCCTATATATCCTCCAACAATCCAATCCAATCCGCCCTCAATCCACCTCCCATGCCCTTTCACCTTTGCGCTGCAATTCCTGTGATGTCGACGCTACTCGCGTTCCTTCCTTCACGTGCCTTGGAAATTCCCGTGTGCCCCACGGGAGGCATCCAACATCGTGATACGGTCCACCCGTCCACAAACTCCACCCGCCAATGAATCCCCGTACCGCCCAACAACTTCCCCTCCCCAACCCTGTTTCCGCCTCACCACCCACCTGAAATGTAGCTCTCCCCTTCCCCCTTTCCCCTTCCATCAACCCTCTCAAACCCACCTCCCACCATCTTTATTCGCCCCAAACGCCGCCCGCGCGCACGATGTCCGACCCCCCGTCCCCCTCCACCAAACCCTTCCTCCAAGCCGTCATCCTCGCCCTCCTCACCCTCGGCTTCTTCGCCTCCTGGCCGCTGATGGCCCTCTACGTCGCGAAGAACGAGACGCCGCCGTTTCCGGCGAACAGGGACATACACTGTGCGAGCTGCAAGGAGGTGTGCGAGAGGAGTAGGCTCTTGTGTCGCCGGTTGGCGTGTTATGAGTATGATGGGAATGCGAGGGTGAGTAGAAGCTAATAATAGGGGAGAAAGGATGAGGGAAGGGAGGAGGGAGGGGTGGAGCTAGGGGAGAGAGAGAGAGAGAGTGGCTGACGAGACATAGGAGCTTAGGCAGATTGAAAGTCTGGAGCGGTGTTGGGGGATTGAGCATGGGAGGGATGAGTGGGGACGGGTGGTGGGAACGTAGGGGTAGGAGGGTAGAAGGGTTGGGATTGGACTGGATAGGAGGGACGTATAATAGCAAAGCAGCAAGTTTAGGCCGTGGGAAAAAGGGCATAAGAGTTGGAAATGGGAGATAATAAATCGAGGGGCCGGGGACACATACCGCTGCTCGCCGGCACGGCTCGCTGCATGCATGCTCTATAGGTACTGTACATACCACCTTTAGTCATGACGCCATTCCGGCGTAGATAAAACATACCACAATCCTGCCCCGTTTTATTTCCTATGCTTCCGTTCTACGCCTTTCACGCAACCCACTCCAAACTTAAACGCAAGGACCAGAGCACGGGACCTAGTACTCCCTTATTACCCGATGTCGGCCTTACGTGTGCTACGCCCACGTATTCAGTGTTTCGACCTCGCACGAGACCGTGGTCTGGGGACCTACTTCGACTGGCGGATGCAGGCGGAAGCACGATTACAGCAACAGCATAGGCGATGAACTTTGCACGTGGTGACAGCCATAAACTCATTATTGATGCCCTCCATGACATAACACTGCAAACGACCCAACACATTTGAACTATGGATTGTATTTCATTGCATAGACGTACACATCCCATCTCCTTCATCCCCATGCATGCCCAGCGTATGTATGCAGCACATTTTGACCGCCCAAAATGGCTGATCCATCATTTCTACCCACCCCAGCCACCCTAATATTGCAAATGGAAGGAATCGAAAATGTCGAAGGCCCATGTCTTTGCCTCAAATACACCGCCAAAGGAAAGTGAACCGACAAACTAAGTGAAAAGAACGCCTAGGACCCAACCAGACCACCTAGGTGGCAAAGAAAAGCAAGAGGCTCGGTGTATGCCGTGCGCCGCAACACCATCCAGAATATTCCACCCACGTATGTACACAGATACAGGTTACTGAAGGAAAGAGGATATCGATCGTGTTCGCGTGTTTTGGCCCGTCCAATAAGAGACGCCTTTTGATGGGAGGTGAACCGGCTCCACAGATGATGATGAGGTGACGTGCGCCAAGCTGCTCCGGAACGCCGGCCATGCATTGCCAGAAGACGGCGTTGCGTCCGAAGGCCAAGAAAGAGGGAAAGCGCAGGAGATTACAAGGTGGTAGAGTTGATTATGATTATGTCGGGGGTGAGAGTGTGGTGCGCTCGATAGACGACAGCGGAGGGCGCTTGACCATCGCTCTGAGCGCATGAACGATGGGCAAGCACACTCGTACGCCTAGCGCACTTCCAGGATGTTGCTTATCTGGAAGTGGGTAAGTGACTGCCGTATCATTTGAGCGGGTATGCGTTCTCCTGTCCTTCTGGACCTGGCACCCGTTGAGGTGGGAATACGAACCGGTTCATCATCTGAGCGCCCGGTTGCATGGGAAGGCCCATGTGGACGCCATTGGGCTGTAGCTGAGCGATGCCGTACGGATTCTGGTGGTTGATGTCGCTACCAAGGAAATTGTTCATAGCTGCACCGTGGAGACCCTGAGCCTGAGAGACGGGGCAATCCTTGTGAGCCAGAAGGAGGGTCTTCAGGTTGACAATCTCCTCACGAAGCTGGGTAACGGTGGCGGAAAGAGCATCGTTCTCCGTACTAAACAGCTCGACCTTGGCTTGGAGGTTAGCCAGCCATTGTTTCTTTCGCTGGCGGCACTTGAGCGCAGCGACCCTAAACAGGTTAGCAGCGACCCTTCGGGAGGGTAGACATCGACTAACCTGTTCCTTTCGAGGAAATTCTTGCGTTTCTCCTCATCCGTCATCTTCTTGCCGCCCGACTCCTCGTTTTTGATGTCCTTACCCTCGTCGTCGGTATCCATCATCTCGTCTTCGTCGGGGAGGGACGGGGGTGCGCCCTTCTTCCTGCTACCGCCTTTGGGAGCTTCATCGGCCTTGCGCTTCGTGCCGGCGGTTTGCTTGCCGTTCGCGCCGCCTTTCTTTGCTCGCGAGCGAGTGGTTGTTTTTGCCTCTTCGCTCATTCCGCTCTCCGAGAAGTCGCCAGTGTCTGCGGAGCCAGAGATGCTGATAGAGCCCTTAGTGTTGCGCCGTCCGTTATCCTGGCTGACGGGCTGGACGGGCATGTGGCCAGCGTTCACCGGCAGTTGTTGCTGCGGCATAGAGAAGGGCTGTTGGCCGTTGCGAGCACCACCATTCTGTGTAGCGAACGACAGAAGATCATTGGCGGCATTGCTGACGTCATGGTTAGCATATGGGTCGTTCTGGGCACGCTGTTGAGGTTGCTGCGCTTGCGCGTAGTTGTTTTGCCGATCCATTCCAGCCGTTGCTGCTTCGGGCTGCGAGGTCGGTGCCGATGTAGCCGGTGCCTTGCCCTGGTTTGCTTGAGCAGCAGCGCGGAGAGCAGACTGTTGGAAGTCCGCCGTGCCTGGAGTTACGCCGGCGCTCTGGAGGTTGAATATGGCTTGTGTGTTTGGACTAGGCGCCGGGAACATAGACCCACCGCCGCCTGGTGTAAGGCCTGTCCGGAGAGACGACTCGTTAGGAGTCGGGAAACCGCGAAACGACTCGCTGAAGTAATCTGTTTGGCTCGTAGGCCCAGTGAGCATAGCAGGGCTCAAAGGGCCTGCGCGCAACGACTGCCAACCCGGTGTGATACCTGGCAACGGCGAGGGGGACGTAATATTGGCGACCGGTGGCAGGATGGTCTTTCCAGGAGTTTCTACAGAGGATGTGCCACCTGGAGTTATGCAAGGTCAGCGCAAGCTCTGCGGAGAGAAGGATTGGGACGTTGCCCTGTTTCAGAGCCGGTAATGGTTGCACTGACAACAGCGACCTGGAGATATGGGTTTGGGCTTACCGAAAGATGCTTCAAATACATTGGGCTCCAGACTGAACGGATTATGGACACTAACTATCCGTTAGCATGCATCCTAAGCAATGAAAGGAGCGGAACGAATGAGCAAGCTGAGTCTCCTGTTCCAAGACTTCGACACCACAATGAGCGGTGGCCAGAAGACCAGCTCAAGTGCGTCTCCAATGAAGCAGAGGACAAAGGGGGCATCTTCCATGTGTATTCCCGCTTTACGTACGTATTGAAGTAGTCTGGCGTGTCGCCAGTGGTACTCGGTCGCGGAGGAGGACCCAAGGGACCATTTGACGCCGTCGGTTTCGTGTCCGAAGTCGTCTCTTCAGTAACGGGTGCTGCGGTTGCAGTCAGCATGATGCGCGTGATGGGATGGCAATCAGAGGACGCTTCTCCATGACGGAAGTGCAGTCGCGCCGGCGGCATGGCTACTCACCCTGTGCTTGAGAGTTGGAATCGACCTTGACGGGCTCTGTTGAGGTTGCTGTTAGCAATGCTGCGCATTAGGATGAACGGAACGACAGGGCGATGCAATGCGATGCATGCGCGGGTGTGGGCGCGGGTGTGATGGTTGCGATGAAGGGGGTGGCGACGCAATTGGCTGCGCGCGACAATGGGCACTCACCTCCAGCGGGGGCTTCAGATTTGGGTAAGCTTTTCTTGTTGTTTGGCGATGACATCGTGCTGGATTTTGAGGTAGTGGCAGCGGCCATGGGGTGATGATGAAAGCGGTGACGTCGTGGGCTCTCGGAGACTCAAGCGAGATCGTCTCGCGTGGACCAGTCCAGCACCTTCTCACCCTCTCGCGCGCAGTGTCTTTTACACGTCTCAACGGAGTAAAACCTCGTAGTCGAATCGTAGGACGCTCGTTTCTATCGAACAGCTTGTCAGCGCACCGCGGAATTGGCGATGACGGCACTGGACGCGACGAGCTGGTTGCGGTAACAGAGGCGTCGCAGGGCCTCTCTCGCGACGGGCGACAACACACAGCGGCGACGACAGCGAAGTACGTACCGATCAGTGCCTAGGATAAACCGGCCAGCGCCAATGCTCACTTGCGCTCAATCAGAAGCCGGATGCAGCGTTGTGTTCCTTGCTCGGATGAGCCTCGAGAGATGCTGGTGTGCGCTGCGGCAAGACGTCATAAGCAGCCCCCTTATAAATCGGTCGTCGCGCCTTCCCCTCACGCACGCAGCCGACTATCTGGCACCGGCACACGGAGATGGGGCTCGGAATCCTTTCACTGTCGCTTGGCTATTGTGCGCGTCGTGGTCGGTTGCGCCGTGGACGTTGTATGAGAAAATTGAGATGGAACAATGACGTGGAGCAGAGAAGGCGGATGACGACAGAGTCGCTGCTGTTGCCAATATTTGGCAAGTCACGTGCCCGCCTTAGCGCAATCAGACGTGCAGCCGCTAGGCCAAGCCTGGCGAAGATCATCGTGCGCGCCTCCAACACCCGGCCATTTTGCCGATGCAAAGAACAACTCTATTCGCGCGCCGGCCGTTCCCCGAGGCCAGAGGGCCGTCACAGCGCTGTGCAAGCGAGGATATCGTGGTCGCGGTCGTGGTTTGGAGCGCAGCGCGCGACCTCGATACGAGAAAGCGGCGGCGAGGCTGCTGGGGGCCGAAAATACGGTGGCCAGGAACCTGTAGCATCTGCCGCAAGCGGCAGGTACGAGAGGCGAGACAAGCATCTCCGATCTCTGCTATTCTCCCGATCGAGGCCGGCGTTCTTTCGATGCTGGCCCTCCGCGTTCACGGCACTAAGTTCATGATTGCCTTTGAGTGTATTCACCTGGGCAGCGTGGCCAGACGTCCCCTACTCTTGTTGTATTTGTAAGTTGACATGCTGCCGCGGTAGCTTCTCTGATGGAGGCCGGCCGTTACGTAGACTGGTGTCAGGCGAATACGGCGCCGCACTCACATACAGTATCAAAGGTATTATGACTTTCAGCCGCATAAAGGGCGAGCCTAGCTGACGAAGGCACAGCATACATACACAGTAGTCTCTGACTAGGTCTTGAACTTGCGTGGACCATTATGGCGTCCGATTAGCCGAGGCCGAGCGTCCTGATTCTCGTTATACAGGACTACCTACGGAACACTAGGCTTTTGAAGGCCCCAAAAGACGCTCCAGATATGCTTGATCGGTCTCGGTAGAGTTCGGAGTTTCTACCGAGGATCCCGTCTCATCTCACCTTGTCCCTGTCCAGACCGTGCCTTCCACGCCCACCTATCCCTCCTTCCTTCCTTCCTTCCGTCCTCTGCGAAAGCAAGTGCTCAAAATTGCGAACCGAAAAGGAGAAAAGCCGTTGTGGCACTCGAACTCCAACTCTTTTCCATCGTGGAATAAAAAAGAAGAATAGAGTCTTGGACCACATACTCGCACGCAGAGCAGAGCCGTGCGCAGTGCGCGATGTACGTTTCGGCCTTCACGAATGAATAGCCTACTTTTATCAAGTTTTCTGCCAAGTATACACCTACATACCTTTAGCACTTGATGAGAGGATGCGAGGCATTTGAGTATGGGCTTTGACTAAAGCACCTGTTGTGCGAACTGTTGAGGAATTTTGAGAATCGTCTGACATATATATGGGATGAAAGGCTGGTAATCGTTCCGAGGTTGATGATGTTGCGTAGACTTTAGGAAAGGAAGGCGCCTTCGTATGGAGAACATCACCCACCAAGCGGGTGCATGCGTTGGCCTTTACTTGAACTTATAGGGAAGTCGCGAATCCCTTTCTACCTTCCTTATTATTTGGACCCCTACCGAGCCCATTCTCAAACGCAGACCGCCCATTCCAACAGGACACAACGCATACCTCCATAGCGGCCTCCCCCTCAGCCATCAGTCATCAACAGCACCGTCAATATCCTCAGTCGTCCCTGTCCGGCCCAACCATACTCTCCCAATAATTATCCCAATCTCCCAGCGGATAACTCCACGGCCCCTGATCGCCTCCATATCCCGGCTCATCACACCCCTTCTGCTTGTTCTCCTACTCGAATCGTCAGCTCCGCTCTTTTCTCCCCTCCCCTCCCCTCCTCCCGCAAACTCCGGGGCAACGAAGAAGTCACACGACTTACGCAGCACTTGATCAACCCTAGCCCGCCACCGCACCAGCGCGCGTATTTCTTGGGGCAATGCAGCGTGGTGTCTTTGTAGTCCTGGAGGGCGTTAGATGGGGTGTTGCTGCGATTGGGGGTGTGTTGAGCGATGGACTTACTTTGCATTTGTGCGAGCAGCAGTCACGCGGCTGCAGCGTGGCGCCGCGTTTTATTGCAGCGATGGCGTCGCGGGGGATTGCTTCGCCGCTCGGTGGGTTCTCCGGGAGGGCGGAGGTGATGGCGATGAACGCTACGATGGCAGAGAGGAAGGGGACGTGCATTTTGACGTGGTCTGTGATGGAGGGGTGGCTGGGTGCGGGAGGAGGGAAGAGGAGACTGTACTGAGGATGTTTAGTGATGAGATGGAGAGGGGATGCATCTGCTCTTGTAGCCGTCGTGGGATATGGGCTCACGGCTTCTTGTGATGGTTCGTTGGGAGCGCACCCCGCTCCCTCGACCCACCATGGAGGAAATATGTACATAGAAAAGTGAACGCCAAAGTGGACAACTGAAAGACTCGTCGACTGACAGAAAAGCTCTAAGCGAAATATGGACATCAAAAAGAAAGACGCTTGGAGGATGGCGGGGCTCACGCAGTCCACGCCCGAGGCTATCTCTTCACATATGGCATCAGCGTAGTAGATACTGCGGTCGAAGAAACCGACGGCTGTATCCGCTTGGATCCCGCGAAAATATCGGTCTGCGCGCCCTCTTTCCAACCGCATTTCTCGTTATACCCAGGAGCGACCGGCCACTCGGTCTCGATATTGTTTCCCGTGAGCTGGTGCCAAGCAAGCATCTGCTTCGCACCCTTCACGCACTTCGTCCTGTCATCAGCGCAGTAGACCGGCGGTTGCGCTTCCGCGAGCGGAGTCGTCGAGCGCGCGTTGGTGACTTTGCATTTGAAGCCTTGCATGTACCTGATCCCCATCAGTGCATGCTCAACGATCCCAGGTGGAAGAAAGGATGAACTCACATATTCCCCTGTCCACATCCATCGGGCACCCAAAGCCACGCGCATATACACCCACCGTCTGGGCATGCGGGCAGATCAGGCACCTGATACGTTGCCATCCTCTTCCATGGCGTATGCTTTAACACGCTGAACACGACCAGATTCTCCATCGTCACTTTCTCCAACTCGCTCTCATAGCTGATCGCCCACGCCGTGCCCGCCGCATGAGTCTCGTTATACGCATGCAGCGCGCCATCATCCAAACAGCTACTCCCCGGTCCGGTCCACGAATTCCAGTCGTCAGGGTGGGTTTGGCCGTCCGGCCAATCCGTGGCGTATTTCCCGTTGTACGAGAGCGTGGTGAGCGCACGGTTGTGGGCTAGTTCCACGGTGAAATGGCCGTTGGCGGGGAGCTCTAGAAACTCGTCCGCTGGAGGAGGAACGAGGTCGCAGCCGCGGTCGTGCTGGAACCACCAATCTTGTTTGGTGAGGTTGTAGAGGGGGTCGACGGCTGTGCGGGTGTTGGGTTCATCTTTGGTGGGATCTGCGCCGCCGCGACAGTACATGCCCTTCGCCCAAGCGGCTGTATGCGCGGAGGCGAGGCTGATGAGAGCCGTGGAGAAGAGAGCGGTACGGAGCATGGCGCCCTGGATTTGGTGGAGGATAATGAGGGGTAGGTCCGGAAGTATCTACTGTAAAATTGAAAGAATGGAACGGAAGGAAACCGTCGAGAAGATGGAACAGAGATTATGAAGAATGCTAGACGGCAGACTGAATATGAAGAGGCCGACGATCAACTGACCTGTGTACAACGCGACTCCGGTGGTCTACATATACCCTCCATTTCCGCGACCTAGTAGCGCTATCCAGAAAGTTTCACGAAACATAGCTTTCTTTCATACAAGCCCTACTGAGGTACTTCCATCGGAAGTCCTTACCGGAAGTAGTAAAACTCTGGAGCGGAACCACGAGGCGGAGATGCTTGTCTCTCGTGATGTGAGACGGAGCGGATATCTCAGATCAACAAAACCGAATGAAGGACCCGGAGCTAAGCTTCTTCAGGCCATTGATAAGAGATTAGATGAACCTGGATAGAGAGTTTGGAGGAGATGCGGAGAGATTTGATATTGCTGATGGCAGGATGGGGAAGTACTGAAACGCGATGACATTGGTTCGAGGCGAGATTGAAGGGTGGCTTGGATCTTGCTGACGGCATCCACGCAGCGGGCACCATCCACGGGCGCTCTACGATGATCGCTCTCCTCCATATTGCTAGACTGGGTTGTGAGATGCGGTGCATCCCTATGACACGTGGTAGTGGCCTTATTGTACTGACTCTGGACTTTGTTAAAGCGAGCAATGCGCGAGGAACCGTTCGGGGATTCATCTAGGCACTACCGACGTTTAGGTTAAGAATAAGAACCAACATACTCACCACATCGATGTACGGGAGAAGAAAGGGATTGCTTCAATACTGTGCATAATGTGAAGCTGCGTTCGCAGAGGTGACATCCCTCGTGGCGGCTGCGCGGTGGACGTGAACGTTGCAAGCGGTACAAACGCCGCTGCAACATCCCAAGGGCTGATTTTGAATCATCGTTTCCAAAGAAAACAAAAGCTCTTTTCGAAGCACTATCGAGAACGAAGGGTGTTCGTCAAGTCAAGGCCTTGCCCTAAATATAGCGCTGCGGGCACCGGCATGTCATTCCGTGCATGTTCGTAACGGCCCGCGAACCGCGACGCAGCGAATCCCTCAGCCTCCCGGGCCCTTAGCCGGATCATCAGAGTGACATCCACGCCTCCGTGTCCTCGACCGCGCGACAGCACTTGCTAGACTCTGATACCCTTCTTTTGCTTCCTTTTCACTGTTCGCACGATCCGATACTGGACTGGATCTTGGAACGAGCAGCCGTTTCCAGCGCGATGGCATCCCCGATGGTTGAAGGAAGGGTCGATCCCCACAAGAAAGCACACTTCAGCCTGCACATCAGCGACCGGATAACAAAGGACAATGGAGAACTGGGCAGTTACAGCAGCGTTAAATGTAAGGGCATCAGCCGTTCCGTCCCGTATCCCTTCCGATGTGCTAACCTTGCTCCTATAGACAACCACAAACCGGCGCAGTCCACCACTTCCAGAACCACGACGCTGACGTCTACAACCGCCAACACATACAACCTCAGACTTGAGGATGAGAAGAAAGGGAACAAGAAGGACATTTTTGTCTTTAAAGGGCAGAAAACCGTGCCTAAGAAATCGTACATTCTCCTCCTTGACCCCGCGTCACAGAAAGCCACGCTCGAACCGCTCTCCTCCACATACACCTTCAATCTTACCTCCAAGAATGGCGCCGATGTTTCGTCTTCGTATCCAAAGCTATACCCACGAAAGCAAAAGGAAGATGTGCAGGATGCAGGGGTTGCTGACGACCTGTTCGACGAAGGGGGAGCGGGCGATGACCCGGATCCAGAGAACCCCTACGACTTCCGGCATTTCTTGAACAAGGAAAAGAGGGGCGATGAGTCGGAGTATAACATCGCTTCATCCCCAGATTACAGAACAGGCACGGGCAGCGCGATGAACACGCCGCAATTCCCCGCCCGCAAGCCCGCGTCCGCCGTGAGCTCGAAACCAAAACCTACAGCACAAGCAGCGCCTAAGCCTAAGAAGCGCAAGCCAGACCCGAAACCCCTTGTATCGAAGAAGGCAGAAGCGAAGAAACAGCAGGCGCCACCCATCCGCCTCGAGCGCCGCGCAACCGAGCAAAAGAAGCCCCAAGCCTCCGCCGCAAAGCCCTCGCGCAAGGCCGCCGCACCACCTCCCTCCGCAAAGATAAAGTCCGCAGAAATCGTCCACTCCTCAGACGAATCCGACACCGATGCCGAACCCGATCATGAGCCCGAGCTCGTCTCTTCTCCACCGCGCACCCAGCGCTCCCCATCGCCCGTACAACGCCGGCAACTGACGCCTGAATCTGACGAAGACGAGACCATGGAAGACGCTATCGGCGGGGCCTTGGGCCTCGAAATCGAAGTCCCCGACGCGCGACCCTCTAAACCGCGGCACAACGCACTCAAATCGCTGGGTTTGGGTCCGAATCTCGGGCTCGGATACAGAAAATCTCCATCTAACGGGCCCATCTCGCTCGTCAGCGCCACGAACAGCGTCGAAGGGAGTCCGAACCCCCACACATTCACGCCACGGAAGAACCGCGCCCAGGAAGAAGACGGCGTTATCGACTTCGGCAACTTTGGTGGGAGGGCAGATGATGAGGATGAAGAAGAGGCCGATGATGGCGATGTAGAGCCCATGGATATTGGCCCACCTGCGCAGGCACAAAGGATAATGAGTGTGGGAGGCGGGTTGGTCAATGAAGCCGACGCAGAAGGCGAGGAGGAGGACCCGCTGTATAAGGAGATGATGGAAGGGCTGGCAGGAGGTGAGAGCAGCGAAGAGAGTGAGGAAGAATAGACCAGTGCCATGGCGTCTATGCATATTGATCTTGGAAGCGCGTGTATGGATTGGTGTTTAGAATACCCTAGGTCTTCGGACTTGCTCTTATCTCCCATCTCGTTGCGATATCGACGCTTTGGCGTATGAAAATGGCCTGGATTAGTCGCGGTAAGGTTTCTTGCTGGTAGATTTAGATGGCGGACGATGTGCGTGCAAAACATTAGCATAGCGACGACTACTAGTAAAAATCACATCTTTAAGACATGGCTCATTGAAACCGTATATTGAAACTTGAGACCTAGGAAGCCCTCAGACTCCCCAACCCTCAACGCCATACCGAAGCGCCATAACTAGCCGACGCCGAACCCACACGCACGAGGTGCCACAAACCAGCATCATCCAAATCCCCCCTCAGCGCTCCTGGCAGTGCGCATAACTCGCCAACACCTTCTTCCCCCCAACCCTCTTATTCAGCGGATACTCCCAGTCCTCCTCCTTCGCCGCCTCCGTGCCCACCGCCCCCTTACCGTCGCGGTACCCCATGTTCGCTAGGACTCTTCCGCTTCCCCCGCCTTTCTTGTTAGGCGGTGGAGGGTTCGAGGATCCGTGTATTGGGTGGGAGAAGTTGGGTGTGGATAGGTCGGAGCTGGGCTTCCCTCCTCGTTTGAGGACCGAGAAGGCTTTCTTCACTTTTCCTTTCTGTCCCCTGCTTTTCTCCCCGTTACTAGTCGTGTTGGGTGTTTTGTTGTGTGACTCGTCGGCGTTGTCGTCTACCGCCTGGGTGGCCGTGATCGTGGGAGGTCCTTTCGACGTCAATTGGAGCTGGGGCTGCGTCTCCGTCGCGAGGTCGGGAGTCAACACCGCTGTGGGCATCTTGATATGATGCAGCGCGAGGGCCTGCACTTGTTTGTTGGACTGAGTGGGTGGGGCCCGTGTCGTGGAGCTGTGTTTTCTACTCCTGGGTGTCTTGCAAGAGTGGGTGGACGAAGGGGGTGAGAAAGTAGCAGGTGATGGAGAAGATGCGGCGGGGTGTTCCTAAGGTTTTATATTTCGGGTGCGCGTCCTTACTTTCACTTGTGGAATGGTTGTGGCGGTGCTTTCCGCAGCAAGCTCTTACCTGTGGTAACGAGGGTGAATGCGCGCATCAACACATGGAAGAAAACTTGCTTACCGAATCCCTTTATGTTGGCGCATACGGAGAGGGCAGAGGTAGACTCTGTGCTTGGTGATAGTATGAAGGCAGAACATGCAGCACGAGAAGTTGAACGTGTAACCCTTTGGGTGGGACTGAGGTGGAATTGGACGAGGGCGGAGGAAGTCAAACCGTGGAGTTAGATAGGATAGGTGCGAGGCTTACCCAACAATGGCATCTGGCGATATTTCTATCCGTCTCATTTAAAGCAATTAAGGGCATTGCGCTGAGCCCGGCCTTGCTTGTGTGCGCGTTTGTTGTTGTTGCGTGGCGCTCGAGTGGTGAATGATGATTGAAGGTGCGTGAATGAAATGACGGACCGTTTTCATTCTCATCGTAGAGAAGCCGAAAGACAGTGAACCTGCGTAGGAGGCCTTCTATACTGGAGGAGTATAGAGGTCAATGGATGGGATAGCAAAATATATCTGCTTAGACTCCAGCGCTAGGCTACGGCGAAAGCTGATACGTTCAGCTGCGAATATATGGCCAATGTCTCCGAGAATTCCACGTCGATAATGAGATAGATCGCGTTGGAAGACTATATGTTGGGAAGCGCAAAGCGCACGATGATCGTCTGCTTCGAATTCACCCTTTCCCATCTGTGGACACCGAGGTAACGGCTCTCAGATCGACTATTCTTTGGCGTGCTAGCGTGCAACATCGAGGACACACCAAAACCTAGATGCTGGCGTGGAAGATAACAGTATCACAAATAGACTCAAGTTCTTGTTATCGAAGTTACGCGAAAAGTGCCGTTATCCGCTTGCCAGCACTGCACGGCGCCTCGTATCCATATAGTACCCTATAAAGCTGCATACGGACGAGGGGAATGAGCCCCAAAGTTCGGTTCCTGCGAGGATGTCTTCAATCTGCTCAAGGTAGTAAGCTCGGAGAGGGCCGAGTGGATCTCGATATTCGCAGGGATGCTACCGAGACATCGCAATGCTTTCAGAGTGCCCTCGCGTATGGTATCGGTATTCGCGAAAGTATTCGGTGTCTTGCTCGCTATTGACGGCTGCCATAAGTCAGGCGTAGCAATGAATGCGTCAGCCCAACGGCCATCTTCGCTCCCAGCTGTTCTTGAAGAATTGCTGCGCAGTATTAGTGCCCACTAGTAGCTATGAATAGTGGTGGAGATGCTGCGAGTGTATATGAAATGCACGCCCACACAACTAACAAAAACCGGTACCCAGCCTCCTGACTGAGCTAAGTGTAGCTAGACTCGGTCTCTGGTAGCTATCCAAAGTATCATCACTCGGATTCATCTGCCGTCATCTGAAGCAGTGGAGCCACTGGCTCACATCGCAATATTGATGTCCGTGGGCTCCGGGTAAAGACCCAAGCCCAAGGTCCTGGAAGCTCACGATATTGTCAGAAAGCAAAACTAGCTGGACACTTGGGAAAGATAAATAGATGTCTCAAATTCTGAGGGTACCCAGCGACTCACCGTTTTATACCCTGGAACTAGTCTCCTTCAACCATCTCTCCGCTTCAACTCACTGCCTATATCAACACCATGCACATCTCCAAGCTCCTCTCTTTCCTCAGTGTCGCCGCCGCGGCCTCCGCAATGGCACTCGAGGGCCGCTCCGACGTCGGCGGGCCATGCGCCGAAGACAATGATTGCTACGGCGGAGCCAACTGCTGCAGCCGAATCTGCAAGCTCGGGAGTTGTCGAATGGACGGAAGTTGCGACGCAGACAACGACTGCTATGGATGGTGTCATAGTACGTAAAAACATTCAACAGACTCCGTCTCGCCCGTTAAATACTTGGGCTCGCTGAGTTTCGGGGAATGGCATTTGCGATGACGGGCTTCAAATCGGACAACGTACCCGGCCTGCTCTTTTTGAAGATACGCTGACTTTAGGGTCTTTCTGACAGACAACTCGGGGAAGTGTTGCATCAAATTTGGAAAGGAGGAAGGAACCTGCAACTGTGTCTCAAGCAGGTGTTAATTAGTTCTAGCTCGCGGATGTGAAGGGAATAGTTGGAATTGCCGGCTGGAGTTAGGTTGGCATCAAGTCTAGACGAAACGGAATAATGTGTAGCTCAGAAGGCGTCTAGGCTGATTAAGATGGAGTCGCCGGATTGGCAATCCGGAAAGGAGTGGTAGCAATTCCACGGTTGCTTATGGGCAGACAGCCATTGACGGGGTAGCCGACGGGGCGTACCTTCTAGCATTTCCAGTAGTAGCGATAATCTTAGAGAATACAAGGAAGGCGGAGGGATCTGTGTACCGAGGCAACGTTAGCCGAGATGACGTAATACCGTAATCGATAAGGCTCTGGTCACCTCCGAGAGGCGCTTCGCAATTTGACCACACGAGCTCGGGGGTTTTTGTAATAGCTGTGTGATGTGGAAATCTTTGCAAGAGTTCCAGGCATCCTTATAAACACTCTCTCTTCTCTGTCTAACATTATTGGACCCGGACCGCGTCAATGGGTCGTCAGTCGTTGTTCTTGCCAGACATTCTTCCATGCCCAGGACCCGGTAGATGCGAGTTCCACACCAGCATCTTCGGTGGCTCCGACGATCCAGAGGCGGTCCCCGAGGTATATTCCTGCCCGAGGTGTCAAGAGGAACATCCCACTACCATCGACCCGCCCTCTGGTTCACCATCTCCGACCTGCCCAAGCCGGCTGGAATCATTGCCCACAGAGATACTACAAGACATCGGCGAAAGGGTCCCCATGCCCTATAGGGCCTTGCTCGCATTCTCATCTCGCACACTCCACCACAAGCTCGGAAAAAGGGCCTTCGATGTTCCTACCAGAGATAGGCTACTGCTGAGCGATCTCCTCTCTAGAAACATGCCTGCCTATGCGACCTGTTGGGACTGTAGAACGCTTCGGCCATACTACTCTGCGCTTGCTTGGCCGCTCCTGAAGATTCACAGGAAAGAAAGGGGGATACCGAGCTCTATCTACGGTGTATCCGAGTTCCTGATGACCAAAGCACTAGCCTACTGTGACTCACAGCGGAAGACGGGGAATTGCTTCATGTCGCTCTTGACATGTGCTGGCACTTATATCAAGCCTTGGGCAGACAATGATAAGAGTTATGCGGAGGATGCCGGCTTCAGCAAGGATGATCTCCAGATGGGTCTCCAGATCACCTACGAAGCTAGCGGACGGATATCGACGAAACATACCGCGGACAGGCTTGTGACGCACGTCCAGTATCGTATTAACCTCCCACGTCCATGGACATCCTTCGCAGTCGCACAGCGCTTTGCCATACTCCGGGACTTCTATCTTTGTCCGCACGTCTACGCGTCAAAAGTTCAGTATCGCGACCCCCATGACCCAACCTTTCCTGCCGACTCATCTATCAAGCACTGGCTGCCTCACGAAGGACCTGTACCTGAAGCTACTTTGACATGTTCCAAGTGCTCAGCAGAGTTTCGGAGCACCGTCGAGGACGACAAGGGCCATCAGTCTATCACTTTCGACGTGTGGAGCGAGTCAAACAGGACATGCAATGATGGCTTGACGGAGACGACATTCTGTCAGGGGACGAGTTATTCGAATGGATTGTTGGGGAATTCGAAGATTAGAGGAATGTTTGAGTCCGCGCCTGCGATATAGAGCGGATCAAGGAGGGTAGGCCTCCCATTCTCGCGGCGAATATGGCAAGGCACGGTGTACCAGCGTCATGGTACTGTTGAAGGGGTTTACCGAAAGGTGACGTGGCAATGTTGCAGTCCCCCAAACGACATTCTACGGCAAGGCCCGCAAGCAATTATGCCTTTATTTAGGGGGCGGGTGATTATTATTCTCCGAGGAGCAGGAAGATCGGCAGAGCAGGAAGATCGCTAAACGATAGGACTCTACCTCAGACACCAGCGGTACTACCTTCCCCGCACAGCCACTCTCCCCAAAACTATCGCGAATATCCGGATATGGAAAAGCTGCTTGAACACCAACCCGCCAACCTGCCCAAATGAACTTGATGTTTACATTCTACGTTTAAGAGCTTGGATCATGGCATCACCCTGGTGTGATGGGGTGCGTTGTAATGGAGACCTCAATGTCAATGTCGAAGGCAGGGTTCTCTCACCACTACCGCTGCCCTGATTGATCACTGTTATGTGTGATTGAGGACGGCGCCAGGGAGTACGTCTATAAAGGACGGGTCACTCGCCACCGTCGGCCGCTTCTATCACACTGCACAACACGAGACCTATCTCCTACCTTCTCTGTCACTCGCTCTACATACACTCGTTGAATACATTGTCAGACATACTTCGTCAACATGCGTGCCATCATCGTCTCAGTTCTCGCATTCGCCGTTGCGGCCTCCGCCCTAGGCCGTGCAGTGGTGGTAAACAACACCCCCGAAACCTTCTACCTCTGGTCCGTCGGCGACGAAACCGGGAAGCAAGTAGAGGTCCCTCCAGGTATACGCTATCCTTACGGTCTCTTTCACACTCGGCTAACAAAAGCTAGGCGACATCTGGCACGAAGAATTCCACAAAGGCAGCGTCAATCCTGGCGTCGCCATCAAAATCACCAAAGAAGAAGGCGGGCTATCGCTCGGCGCCCCAACGCAGATCTTTGGATATGCTCTCGATGGCGATAAGGTCTGGTACAGTTTGGATGCGGTGAACGGCGAGCCGTTCGCCGGACAGAGGCTGGAGCTTATCAGCAGTGGTGGAGATATCCAGTGGCCGGAAGGAGTCAATACCGGGAATGCAACGAAGGATACTAGCAGCAACGAGGATGTCGTATTCACTGTTGGTGGAGGGGCTTGAGGGTGACGAAAGGGAATGGACATGACAGAAAGCGGATGAGGGCTAATCTTAATGGAGATGCTATAGTCGGAGGAATTGATGAATGGAAAGGATATCCCTATCAATCAGAAGCAATGAAACCTTACCTGGTAGTAGTGATCTTTACCAATGATCCAAAATTCCTCTTCCAAGTCCATACCCGTAGGCGGGTGTTCCAATGTCACAGTCGGGTGAGGTCTGATAGCAGCGTGGGGGTGCCCCGTGTCGCCACCCGCCTTGCGAAAGCGCCATACCGTCAAATACCGAAGCTCCTGCCCGATGCAGAAAGCATCGAGAAGACCCAGCTGGATGGGCGAGCGCGTGGTGGAGGAATCGAGGCGGGATTTATGGACACTGGAAAGCAGGTACGTCCGTGCGTGCACCGCATTCGGGCCTTTGCTCAAGCCACCTGCATCTTCAATCCATTGCGTCTCTTTTATCCTGCATCGTCGTCTCCTGCCTACTACTGAGAATCGCATCTGCATACGCAAAGCGGCGCTGCACGCATCCGAGTCGACCCAATTCTGGGGCGAGAGCTGTTGGCGCGCCTTGTCCCCCTTCCATCCGACCCGATGTCGCCCACCAACACACACAACCTCAAGCCGGATAGGTGGTGTCGAGCATGTATAGCCCGAGTGATATCGCACCACCAACAGCTCGACACGATGCTCAGGCCGGTTGAAGCGCTTTTAGCAGCACCGCGCCGCAATATGGCTCGTCTCCTCAGAGATCAGGCAGTAGCTGCGATTGCGCGTCTGCGGCAATATCGGCTCGAAAATCACGCGGCGACTGTTGGCGGCGGCGTCCTATCTCGCAGCGACAGCGACGCCTCGCCCAGCTGCATCGACGCCGTTTCGCGTGCGGTTGCTTGCGCCCACGAGGATGCGGGATGGCGCCACGAACGATCGTCTGGTGACAGCTCGTCCTCTGGAGCCGCACGAATCCTTCGCAGCCCGACGCACGACCAGCTGCCGTATTTGTGCTACCGCGCACGCCGGCATTATTGCAGACGCCTGGCGGTCCAGTGTGCCCGTCGCAGCCCTCCATCGCGAGCAGAGCGAGCACGATGTGGGTGTGCTCTGGAGGGCCGGGCTGTCGTGCAACGCGACGGAAGGGAGGCCCCGGCGCATCAATAGGACGTCTGATATCACGTTTTTAGCCGACGTCTGCTCCGGGTGCAAAGGACGCAGATCCGGCCGCGCTGACGGCTCTCTCAGCATTTGTGTTCCTGGGGCGGGGAACGGCGTCGCGGAGCATTCATTGGCAGCGCCCGCCTGGCACGCGCCGGCTGCTGCCACCACTGACGTCCATGCATGCCCAGGTGTCTCGCTCCAGCTTGCCGTTGCAGAGCCTTATCATCCCTCAACCTGGAACGCCCTGGTCTCAATTTCACATGGCTGAGCAGTCTCGGGGCCCGCGCGTCTTTTCGGGCAAAGCGCCTTGCTGCCGCCTACACGCTGCTCAACTGCTCTCCCGGTGATTGGCCCCGGCCGCCCACAATGCGGCCCAGCCGAAGCCATGTACTTCAGCGCCTTGCCGCTTGCCACAGAACGAGCACTTCCGAATGGCGATGTGTTTCGTGCAACAATATATGGGCCGGTGATTCTGCCCCGCTGACATCTGGAGGCGCTGTCTTACTTGCATCAAGGCCGTTTCCATTTTTCCATTTGCGTCATTCCGGCTCTTTCTTTTGCTCCCCTTCTCCAGACATGAGCATCAACCTGCGACGGCCCTTCTCATGCGCGCGACGAGGATCATCCACCAGCATCCCGACCACGCCGACGTCCTGCGCACATGTATAAGATCGCGTTGACCCGACACCATGAGCGCGCGGACGCTGACCAACGTTGTGAACGACCAGACGGTCGCGCTTAATGCTCTGATATATGGATACGCGGGCCACTCCCTCGTCACACCACAGCATGCGCTCCAGCAGATTTGGTGGACTGAAGAGAGGATCAACGAGAAAGTTACACCGGACTTCATCACTTCCAGGCTGCGCCCTAATGAACGAGAATGGCTGCATCGACCCGTGGGTTTTGGCGACCTTACCGACGACACATATATCGAGTGGATCCTAGAGAAGGCAAGGCGCTTGTTCCTGATTCTGGCCGAGATTGGAGAGTCGGACAGAATTTTTGCCGTGGTGGAAAGAGCGTGGGACGATGCCGATTTGCCGCTTCAGATGGAGGATATCGAGAAGCTCTCACTTGCGAACAGGCGAGACGACCAGGCCAACGCTCGGTTCTACCACACGCAGTTCTCCTTTCTCCTCCGCGTGCTGCGCGAAGGCGTCCACATTGATTACGCACCAAATGAGGAAATTCCGCTCGAATACGTTATGGAATTGCCGCCGGCCGTGAGCCTGCAGCATTGGTCGCGGGTGCATCTCCCAAAGAAACCGAATGAGGTCTATGTCAGGAGGAAGTTCTCTCTTGGAACCCCGGACTCGCCGGACGCGTACGTGGACGACTATCTTATGGATGTGGAGAGTGCCAAGATGGTTGGACATGACCATATCGCGCCAGTGTGGGCTTCGTATACGGCAAAAGGGACTGGGTTCACCTTGACGAACTTCGTGGGGCAGCATACCCTAAAGACATTTATCGACCATCGAAAGCCGCTACAGTATCAAAGGGTACCAAAGCCGCAGAGGAGATATCTGGTGCTCAACTGGTTGCACTGTTTGGCGGATGCGGTGGCAACGCTGCACCAAAGCGGATTCTGCCATTCGGGTATCCGCCCTTCAAACATCATCATTGATGAGCGCAACAATATCGCCTTCAGCGACATTGCTAGTTTGGAGACATTTCAAAGGGACAAGAAGCCGGATCCAATGGATGCATACGTGTACGGGGCACCGGAGGCTCACATCTCTACGGCCCCATCGGAGCCGGACACCCCAGCACCCGCGCCCAACATCGGCACGGTTCGAAAGCCCTCGAGTGCGAGCAAGACCTCCGCCGGTTCCTCCAACAGCAGTGGCTCTCAGCGCCAGAAGCTAACCAAAACGCCAACAAGCGATTTCTCCGGTTTCAATTTTGGCTTCAGAAAGGGAAAGAAGCCTGTGAAACCACGCTCGCGGATCCATGACTCTGAGCAAGCGGACATGTTCTCTCTGGGCTGCGTTTTCCTGGAGCTGGTGACTTTCATGCTGAAGAAGAAGCCGCATGAGTTCATCAAGCACCGTTCGTCGAAACAAAAGATCAACGCGGGAGGTAAGAACTCTCGTGTCGACTCGTCCTACCATGCGAACTTGGAGAGGGTAGAGAGCTGGATGAAGGTTATCGAGGATGCAGCTTTGGCGGAGAAAGAGGATGCCTTCCGCGCCATGCCGTACATCATGAACCTCATCCGCGGTATGCTCAGCAGAAATCCCAATATGCGCCCGACCGCGAGAGACGCTCGCGACCGATTGCTCGACATCCTACTAAACTACACTTCTATTCCGGATGTGCACTGCGGCGCACACAAGCACGACATCGGTGTCGCAACATCCTCCAACTCAGGCTCCGACCGGGCCTCCACTATATCTTCCCTTCGCCCATCTTCCGTATCGACCATGTCCACGATGTCTACCATCTCCACCGCGAGCTCCGATGCCGATACCATCCGCTTTTCCACCACCTCCTCCAATATGCGCGTATCCTCGATCCTAAACTCGTACACGGACCGCTCGACGCTATCGGGGATATCGGAGCTAGACGACGACGACGCATCGACGTATACGGTAGGAAGGTCGACGCCGGCACCCATCGATATGTCCTACGAGTCTCCAAGGAGAGCACCTCAACCACCGACACCGCCCGTCTCGCCCAGGTCTCCGAAATCGCCCGCTTCGCCTGATCTGGATAGGTCTCCGAGCCCGTCGAGCTCGACCGCGACTTATAAGATTAAGCCTTGGAACAAGCCGTTCCTCCTGCTGCCGTAGTCGAGAGTGTGGGGAAGCTTTACAAGTACCCCCCGCCTCAAATCTGGGGTTCGGAAGACAAGAGCCCCCTATACCTCAACGGGCAACGCATCCGCTGCCCGAGTCCCGAACAGCCCGACTGGAATTTCTTAAGCAAGCTAGATTTCCTCCACACACCTCGACAGTGAGGGGAAATGCGTGCGCTATATTCGAGCAGTTTTCTGAAGGATTGGGGTTAGCTGGATCAGGAAGGTAGCGTTTGGCAGGGATGTGGATAGGATCTGGGGTCGTTCGGGGCTGCCGGTTTGTTCCCATCACGCGCAGTCGTTCCACTACGAAAACGGTCCGCGGGAAGCCACAGGGCTAGGAGAATTGGCGAGAAGAAGAATGCAAAAGAGGTCCAGAGACTTCCGTAGCACGGCGGCGCACGAGAAGTGCCAGCTGCTGTAGATAAATCACGCAACGCAGATTAATTGCAATAGGGATTCCTTTGTAGATATGAATGAAGGGATATGCTGAGCTGACGTATGTTGTTGTACCCGGGAAAATCGAAGCTGGCAGCCCAAGGATTGATTCCTGGATATAGCTTGTTACGCTTCTGGGAAGGTGCTTGGTGGTTTTGGCGGGCACGTGGGTCCTGAAGCCACCCTCACGTGCGTAGGCTAGCTCTTCTGGGGCTAATCTAGACTTAGTGCGGGGCTTGAATCTCACCGCATCGAAGCTTCATTCTCCACATCAGCGCCAGCCGTTAGCCAGCCGCCAGCCTCATCACATTGCTTACGCCTCCCGCAGTTCCTGCATCCTGCTTTTTCCTCTTGCCAACGCATCGTACGTCACATCGACTACGTGCCCATGCACAGCATGCCATTTCGAAGTTGCATCGATTGAGAGCTGCGCATGCACGAGCTGCACCCCTCACCGACCAAACACCGCATTTTCGCCAAGCTACCTATTCGGTCAGCGCCCAACGGTCATGCTTCTGACTGGTAGTTTTCTTTTGTTCACATCTGCCATTGCAGAGCTCGCCTTTCTCCTCAAGGGATGACGCAGCCTTGCTGGCCGGAGCAAGGTCCACGTTGAATGCTATGGTAGCTCCCTCATGACGAACCATCATCACCTTCCTGTCAGCCCATTCAAGGAAGAAAGCTCGGCCTGATCATTCTCCGGAGAATGGGTGCGGGGTGCAGATCTAGGATTTTTAGTATTGGCCAAGGCGCTATCAACCGCGTTCAGGGCAGCTTGCTTGCCCCGGTCCATATCGGCTTCCCAAAATCCGGTATCCTGTGGTAGTCCCCATATCTCCCCTTTCTATTCATTCCGCATCTACGGCATTTTTGCGTTACCCCAACAATCCCCGCTTCAAGTCCGCACTTTCGACCAATTTCGCATCAATTCCGCTTTTTCCTCTCAAACCTCAACATTTATTCTCAATCTGTGCTTGTCGTTTGCGCGTGGGACTCGGGGGTGGTCCACACGGAGCCCCCAGCTGACCGCAGCCGTTTGAGTCCAGAAGTCAGCATAGAAGCATGCTGCGATGATCGACGAAGGCGTACAGCCACCAAGCTTGATCCCGCCGCTAGCCCCAGGCCAAGACAAGCCATGCATGGCACGCGTTCACGGGATGCAGCTCCAACCCTGGGCTCTGCCGGGGCATTGGCATATGCCGTACCTTAAGTACCTGGCTAGACGCGCGCCCGTCTAGCTTTTTCTCTGCATATCCCACTTCCTCCGCCAGCTCTTTGCGCTCGAGTCGAAAGGCTTGGTTGTCAAGATGCATCTCTCAATTGGGATCCTTTCTTCTTTGTTGGCTACTACGGCTGTTGCTACAAGCAATAGCAGGTTCTTCAAGCGCCAGGGCTACAACAGCACGGATTATGTGCTAAAGCAGGGCCCGCTCGATACTCCATGGACGGAGAAGGTGGGCACGGATCCATGGCCTGAGTATCCTAGGCCTCAATTGGCACGTTCGGAGTGGAAGAACCTCAATGGTGTATGGCGGTACCAAAATGCGACCGGGTTCTCTGAGCTCAATGCTCCACCTTTCGGCAAAGAGTTGGAGCTCCCCGTCCTGGTTCCATTCTGTCTGGAGAGCGCTCTCTCGGGTGAGTACTTTGTACAAGACTCGGAACTCCACTAACCGGTTACCAGGTGTCATGGGCAACCACACCATCTACAGCTGGTACCGCACGACTTTTGACGTCCCCTCCTCTTGGACAGCTGGAAATCGAGTTTTACTCAACTTCGGTGCTGTGGACTGGAATGCTACCGTCTTTGTCAATGGGCACCAGGTCTTTAATCACGTTGGCGGATATTTCTCCTTCTCTGTGGATGTGACGGATCAACTATCCACAAATGGGACTAATGAGCTGTATGAGTTTCCCTGGGTTCTGGGCTAGAAATGAAGCTAATTGGCATATCAGGATTCTCTTCGTTTTCGACCCCACCGATATGGAGGGATACAACATTCCTCTCGGGAAACAGAGGCTCGTGCCCTCGCACATCTTCTACACACCATGCAGCGGCATCTGGCAAACTGTGTGGCTTGAATCAGCACCGGCAAATCACATCACTCAGCTAGATGTCAGCGCCGATATGTATGGAAAAGGTAACGTCACCGCTCTGCATGGAAGCTGTCTTTACCAGCGGACTAACATGTTCAGTGAACGTTACGGTACACGGCTCCGGCAATACTAGCTCGATAGTCCAGGTCACTATATACGAACCACACAGCACAGTTGCCAAGGTGACCGCCAAAGGGAGGGCCAATGAGCCATTCATTTTTGATGTTGATGACTTCGATCTGTGGTCACCGGACTCGCCCACTTTGTACAACATGACGGTGAAGATGGACGGTGACACGGTACAGAGCTACACGGGATTCAGAACGATATCGTCTGGTGAGGTTGATGGTGTTCCACGGCCGCTGCTCAATGGCGACTTCGTGTTCATGTTTGGAACACTAGACCAAGGATACTGGCCAGATGGTCTGCACACGCCCCCGAGCCGAGAAGCTATGGTCTACGACTTAGAGGTCTTGAAGAGTGTAGGGTACAACATGCTCCGCAAGCACGTACGCTTATCCCTTTCTTTCACCCGAGGTTTCCGCTAACACGGGTTTTTAGATTAAAATTGAGCCAGCCCTCTTCTATCAGGCTTGCGATGAGATGGGTATCATGCTTATCCAGGATATGCCTGCTCTGGTTGACGGTTATCACATTCCTGGTAACGTGTGTCATGATACTGATGATGTCAAAGACGAGGCTTCGCAAAAGGAATTCGAGCGTGAGCTCGCTCTTCTCATTGAGCAGCATAGGAATTATCCCAGCATCGTAACCTGGGTAAGGTAGTCCCTACTCCATACCTGCACCCGATCTAATCATGGGAAAATAGATGATCTATAATGAAGGTTGGGGGCAAGAGAGAAAAAAGGAATACCCCGAGTTCCGACTGACAGACATGGTCAAATCGCTCGATCCTACACGGCTCGTTGATTCGGTGTCTGGCTGGCATGATCACGGTGCCGGTGATTTTCACGTGAGTAACCCTAAGCGGCAGTCAATACGAATACCTCTCTAACTCGTTTTCTCCTAGGATAACCACCATTACTCAAGCCCGCAGTGTGGCACGCCGTTCTACTCCACCGCCAGCACACCCTACAATCCCAGTCAAGACCGTCGCATCGCCATCCAGGGTGAATTCGGTGGTATCGGAAACAATATCACCGAAGAACAGTACGTCATCGACTTCCTCTTCCATTTCTTCCCCATTGACTCGCATGGCCTGCTAACATCTCTTCAGCGCATGGAAGGTTAAAGCCTCCATCGACGCCGTCAACGGCACCTACGAGCTCGACGACACAATTGAAATCTGGAACTACCGCGCACACCACATCCTCAAAGAGCTTGAGGAGCAGATCACGCTGTTTGCATGTTCCGGCGCAGTCTGGACGCAGACGACGGATGTCGAGGGCGAAGTTAATGGCATGATGACGTATGATAGGAGACTTATTCGAATGGATAAAGACCAGTGGAAGGACGATATTCAGGCCTTGTATGATGCCGCGGAGAAGCGGGGGAATTCCACGATGAGGATGATGGCGAGGGGTGATGATTTGGATGTGCTATGAGAGGGAACATGCCGAGGCTTGCTATACTGTGCTGAGTGTGTCGCACTGGGTGGTGCGGCATAGAACATTTGGGTTTGTTTTAGATGTTATCTATAAATGTTGATATTGACCTCATCGACTTCGGCTCCCGTCGCAGCCTCATACGCTTCGCTATGCGTGATCTCAGCGACATACGTGCTCCTGTGCAGCACAAGATGAGTTAGGGGAGATCGTATCGCCGAAACATCCGTCGAATATTGCTTTGTCGAGATTCTCGCGTTGCCGTGGCTGGCACCTCTTCCGCATCTCGGCACCTTCTACAGACAGTCGAGACTCACATGCCTCTGAGTGCAGCATGGGCAGACTGTTGCATCTCCCACCACTCTCGATCAATCATCCCCATCTCGATGCCGTCCCAGAATCGCCCCTCATGCCACAGCGCCTCCCTCTCTCTCCCTTCATGCTTAAAACCAAGGCGCTCATACAGCTTGATCGCGCCCTCATTCCACCCCAACGCGCGTATCCTAACCTTGTGCAGCCCGACCCTCCGAAACGCATAGTGAAGCACCCACACGATCGCCTCCCCGCCATACCCCCTCCCCTGATAATCCGGAAGAATGTCAATACCAATCTCGGTATTGCGATGGTGCGCAAAATGCGGCGGGCAGGCTTTCAGATGCACGCAGCCAATAGCTATACCAGCCTCGTCGTCCTCGCTGACTTCCCTCTTTCCCTCTTTGCTTTCCCTATCTTCTTCTTCACCCGCGCCCATCGCCTTCGGTAAACATATCACCGCGCCAATCAGCGTCTCCTCCGCGACGTATTTCTGGTAGTTCTCCGCGTCTTTCTGCCCCGGCAGCTTGGCGTTCGACGCGTTGCCGTTCTGGTACCCGATGCGGTCCTCGTTGAGCGCTGTGAAGAGCGCGTTGTCCCCTGGCGTGCGCACGGCGCGGTAGATGAGATGTGTGCTGCGGAATGGGTCGCGCGGGCGGGGTGGTGGCATTTCTGTCCACCGCGGGGTTGGGGGCTGTGAATGTTCTGGCAACGGGCGGGATGGGTACTTTATAGTGCAGACTCTTGGCCAAATAAGAGCTGTGCGGTTGGGAATTTTGAGATGGGAGGAGTGCGGTGCTATGGGGAGGAGCGGTCACGTGGCGCTTACTTATCGCATGCCCGATAAGCCTGGAGCAGTAGCGAGCGTCCTCCTACAAAATGAGATGGCATATAGCCTAAGGTACAAAGACGCTATCCCTTGGTGCCTACTACCTCTACTAAGAAACTAACAGTACACCCAACAGCTCGTGTTCCGATAATAGTTGTCGCCCGGCTCATACCAATTTCCAACCTGACACCTCGGCACCTTATCCCCGTCCTGGCCCTGAGGATACGAGGGGGTAAACCGGTAATTCCCGACCGTGAAATGAAACGTCTCCTGCTCACTTGTATTGAACCCCGCCTCGATTTCCAGGTCCGAGTACAAACCCGGCACTTTGTTACTCCCTCGGTCGCCAAAATAAAGCTCGTCCCAGTCAGTGCTCATCGGCGTGATGACCTTCTCCCGAGCGTCGCTAATCGACGTCCTGGTCGCCCAGTGGTGCTCTTGGTCGTTGTGCGGCGCAGACCACATGTTCTCTTCGACGAGAAACGTGCAGATGCCAGGGTAGTATTTGGCCCTATCGGTAAGAATGGCCCAATCTAGGCCGGTGCTGTCCATGTGCTCCCCGCCATGTCTCCAGTCAATGCCCGGAATGTCCTGGCCGGCAGGGCATTCGTCGAATATCTTGGCCATGTTGGAGTTGCAGTCGTCTTTGTTTATTGGCTGGAACGCGTTGTCGAGGCCGCTGGTGGTGCTGGAGACTAAGAGCACGACCTGGTCGTTGGTGTCTTTGTTGTACGTTCGCTCGATTCTCTTGTGGCTGCCGATTCGTCCGACTCCGTCATCCCAGCTTGTTGCTTTGGAAGCTTCTTCGCAGAAGTCGCTGATGCCTTTCTGCATCGTTTCTGGGCCGACCCAGAACTGTGCTGTGTTGTCCTCACAGTTCAAGGTCTCAGATGGTGTTGGCTCTGTGGTAGTCGGGGATGGGGATGTGGTGTCGGTAGGAGATCCGGACGGGGTGCCAGAGTCACTCGCGCTGCTGGACGCAACACTGGAGCTATCTGAAACAACACTCGATGTTGGGGTTGGAGTACCACTTCCTGAGCTATTGGACAGGGTTGTGCTTTCTCGAGCTGTTGACGACGAGGTTCCACTAATCCCTGTATCAGATGGTGAGACTGAACTACTCGCCACCGTTGATAGTGTCGTGGGAGAAGGCCCAGTGGTTGGTCCAGTCATTCCGCTACTATCGCTCACAGTCATAGAAGAGAAGCTCATCGTGAGGGATTGGAAGATCTCAGGCGGCGTGTAGGTACCATATTCGAAGCCAGGCTGAGAGTACCCTACACCGGGACCATAAGATGTAGGCCACGATTGTCTAGCACATGCAGCATCCGAAGCAGACATAGTGACCGAGGCCGTACCAGTAAGACTGCAACCCGACCGAGTACCTGTTTCGATCGCGGTAGCGCACTGAGTCCCAGTAGCTCCACTCGTCGGACAAGAGATGTGAGTCAAGTAGTCGGTGACTACCGCACCGGAACACGACGAACTAGATGAGGAAGTACTCGTCGAGCTTTCTTGGTCGCTTGAAGGTGTTTGGGAGGGCGTATTCGATGTTTCGGGATCATTTGGATCGTTAGGGTCGTTCGGATCGGGCTCTTTGTTTCTATTTTTCGGATCGTCGGGGTCACTATGGCTATGTTCACCATTTTCGCTCACGGGAGGACATTTCCCTAACGGTATTTCGATGTTGATAATAGGAACCTTGGCCTTGATGCAGCCACCAAGATGGAAATCCGGCAGATTTGGAAGAGATATCTGAACATTGGGGACCTTGGGTATGTTAAAATAGACAACCCACAGGGCGGCCGCGTCGTCGTCGTCGTCATCGTTATCACAGTTGCCCTTGCAGACACACCCACAGTGAACGATGGGAAGATCGGTAGGCTGGCCATTGACGTTGGTGTGCAGCCAGAAATTCTTCTTCCAGTTCGAGTTCGATGTCTGGCTGGCTGAGATCGTTGTGTCGGCTGTGATGGTTGACGAGACTCCATAGTTATCCCAGGTAGTCATTGACAAATAGCTGTTAATTTCTTCATCGGAATATGATACCGTGGTAGGTGCTGGTGGTGGAGTTGTAGTGGGTTGGCCGGGTGGTACTACGGTAGCAAAGGTGTCAGTTGGCGTGGTGTCAGAGACGGAGGTAGAGACGCTCGATGGCACGCTCGATGACACGTTTGGAGACTCGCCCGGAGGAACAATCGAGGACGCACTTGTCGACATTGACAGAACCGACGATGTATTAGTGAGAGACCCCATAGCTAAGCTGCTCGTCTTCCCAATGGCGATCGATGACGAAGTGATGGGCGAGTTGGTGCTGGATGGTGCCAATGGTAACCCATCTGTACCAGTAGGGTGCGGAAATGTACTGCCGGTCAAAGTGATTGGTAATCCATCCGTGCCAGTGCCGAGCGACGTTGGACTGCTAGATGAAGCTGCTGAAGGTGTATCAGACGAGGTCGGATCAGCGGAAGAAAGCAAGGTGGAGAGAGAAGAGGAGGCTGGATCCCCCGGAGTCGCTGGCAGTCCTGTTGAGTTTCTCGAACTCAAAGCGGTAGAGTCAGCTGCAGTGCTAGTCTGCGAGCTAAGCTCTGTAAAGGTTGTTGTCGAATCGACTGGTCCTGTGGTAGTTGTGCTGGTGTTTGTGAAGTTGAATGGATAGATGGTAATAAACCCCGTTGTCTGAATAATAGGTTGCCCATCAGAAGTGACAGTTGTAACGAGAGGTACGGTTGTAATAGGTGTATTCTGGTCTAGCATAGTCCCAGTTCCAGGAATTTGCGAGTCTGCGCTTGAAGGTGAAATTTCTCCGGTAGAGGGAGTGTTGGCATTCGCCGGGTCGGTACTTGAAGATGGAGCCACTCCGGTAGAAGCTGGTGTGTCGGGTATCTGGGATGTATCCGCAATCTGTGCCGTCGCCAGAATGGCAAGCAAGAGAAAAAGAAAGCTGATTATTCGAATCATAATTGGAAAATGCGTAGGCCACACTGAAAGTAATGAGCGATCTACTGATCGTTATAAGTATCTGCTTTCATTCTAAGAAGGTGGCGGCAAACGTTACTATCTGAAAATCCTTGATTCAAGGCCCGATTGAAGGAGATGCCAGATTGCGTACTTTTCCTTCCCTGCGCCCCAAATGTAATTACACGGATGAGGTATTCGAACATACAACGAGAAGGAAGAATTTTTGGCGCATCTCGTGATGGACAAGGTGCTGGATCAGGATGAAATTTCGCGGCACAGCTGGACGCCTTGATTCTTGTGATCCTAAAACCTTCAAGTGTTCGCCCGATAATGACGTTAGTCGACCTATGGAACAGCTTTGGATGACAATTATAGCCCTGTCGTGCAGGAAGTTGTATATGTAGCAATTTAAGGCGAGGCATAACAAAGGTTGTGAAGGAACAAAGCTCGGGTCGCGTTCAATCTTCCACAGTTGACAGATTTACGGCATAGCATAGATCTGACAGACATCGGTTGACTGCAGTACAGAAGGCGGACTCGCTACGCCTCCAACACCAGAGTTCCTGAAACGGCTTAAAAGTTGCCCGAGAGTTATATTCAGCCCCTAAATCTGAATCTCCACTTGCTGTGTCAACACGTGGATGAACGCCTCAACGGATGCAGGAACCCAGACATAGGGGACATCCTTAATCCGCGAAAAATACGAAACGAAGTTTGAGAAAGGCTCAAGGCAGCCATTGAGGAGGATGGGCCGGGGAGCCTCCTGACCAAAACTTTTGCTCCTTTTGGATTATCATCTTTATTCGATGGTTAGCTGACACGTAGGCATTTGAATGAGATGCATTAGAGAAAGTCAAGCATTTAAACGGGTCGATAACTGCTCTCGACCCAAAAGTGGCAGTCACATTACATCTTCGTAGGACACCATGCATCAGCATCCCATCTATCACTTGGTGCTTATTACAGCACTGCTATGCATTTCTCCAGCCATCTATGGATTCTGGAACTCTGCTGAAGTACATCGCTCAGTGGTAGTAAAACGCGACTTTACTCCAAAGTACGAAACCGGAAAGAAATCTTCAAACATAGGCTCATACCTTTACAGATCTTACCATTCGCTTTTGCGACGCGCCAACGACCCAGAGGTCGACGGCGAAGAAGACCTTCCAACCAACCTCGGAACCTGTGTCCCTCGTTGTGTTCTGACAGACACAGCACGCGGCACTGATGGAACCAAGGCGAAAAGATCAAATGTTTTATCAGATGCCTCCTGTCTCCTCGGATCGTCTTCTTGCCTTAAGGCACGCGACACTTCCAATAACTCAACGAACCGACTTCAAAAGCGAGCTCGGCCACTTCCCGGTTATGGCTCCAATGATGATCTTCGCACCAAGACTCAACAACAATTGAATGATTGGATCATGCAAAGATTGCCTGATCCTCGAAATACGGGTACTGATGTTACGATGCTTTGGAATCAAAGAGATCCTGGACAGTGGATTGATTTGAAGACTTACCGGGGAAGGAACGGAGAATACAAGCCGTATGGGATACCCACTTCGTTTTTCCAACAACCAGGCAATGATGCATTTGCATGGGGAACTATCGGCCTCATAGGATGCAGTATGTATATCATTATAAAGACACCCACGCCGCAGGATACAAGATCGGGCGTCTACATGGCACACATCTGGGAGTAAGTTTTGAGACCTATAGTCCCTGGCGAAAAGCTGACTCGATAGGTCACCGGGATTCTCCAACGACGTCGAAGGTACCAGGACTTGGAGTTTGGCACAGACAGGGGCCTACATCAAGGATTTCATCAGCAAGGGCTTCCCTCAGGCAAACTACAACAGGTGGATCCCGGCCGACCGTCGTGAACATCAAACAACTTTCCAAGAGGGTTTGAACAACTACGGCACGCACCTTGGAAACGGACATGTCATTGCAATGCATCCGCAAAAATACGACCTTGAGGAAGTTAACGGAGTGGAGCAATATGTTCCGGGCGAAGGCCCTCAGCATCCAGACGGTCTCAATTTGTTGAAGACCACCGTCAACAAGGTAATGCAAAGTAATCATCAGAGTACTCTCACTTGGTTAGAGGACTATCTCTACCTTCCAAACAGGGAGGACGAGAACCATGTCCGAGCTTTTACGACTCCAAATGGGCGAACCCTGTTCGAGTACGATCCGCAATTCGATTTAGGAAACGGTCAAACCACGAGAATGGGAATGCTTTTGCTTGAGGATGGGGGTCCAAGAGGTCGACAGAATGCAGATGGTACCTATGAGCCTGGCCCCGGTGGACCTTTTTTCTTCAATTTTGGCACCACGTCCGCCTAGCACGGGAATTGTGAGGATTTATAGATTCTACACCATAACTATGGCTGGTAGTATGGGACAAAAACATTTCGGAATGTGTTATATAAAACTCAACTTTAGGCGTAGAAGAGGGTTGAGCTTCTGGATCTCAAAGCATACCTTTTCTCCTCGTACTCCTCTGCACCATTAGAATATCCTTTCTTTGTCCGACTCTCCTTTGCGCGACTCTTTGGCAAAACGCTCTTGACTCTTCTCATCTTTGACTTTACCTGAAACTCCCCGGTCGGTCTTGCGTAGCCTGGTTTCATCAACTCATCGAAAGCATCTCGCCTCTTAACAAATTCCTCCTCAGTTTCAACTCCGTACATTTCCTCTGCCAACTGCACAATCCTCATATTCTTACTTGTCCTCATCCCGTCCAGCGCACACAGCGTCTCAATATTGTCGATCGGGAATAATCCGCCATACATTGCCATGCCCGTGCGGTTCTTCGCGCGCACATCCGCACCTCGGGAGAGGAGAAACTGGACGGCTTCGTAATCGCCGCGTTGTGCGGCGTCGTAAAGCGCGGTGACTTTCGTACGCGGCACTTTGGGTCCCCCACCATAAGGGTAATGCTTGGGGAATTCATGAACGCCGTTAATGTCGACGTCGCGGTCGAGGAGTGAGGCTGCGACTTGGAGACGGTAGGGTCCTGTTTGGCGGAGAGTAGTGAGAAGGTCTTCTAGTGATGGCGTTGATGGGGGAGGGACAGAGGGTTCTTGAGGAGGACTGTCCATCGTGTCGGGTTGGGCTCGCAGGAAGCTATTGTTCGGAAGACGAGGGGATATTGTATTTCCTCCTCGGGGAATGTGATGTCCTTTTCAGTACTTCACATTATCAGGTGAAGTCTGTGGGTTAGGCAACGATGATGATATCGGTAGCCACGAATCCACTTGGTCTTTTCTCATGCTGTGCCGCAATCCTCCTAAATACTGTGGCGGTGCTGGAAATGAGGCGTCGCTGTCGGGAAACGGCGGATCATTTCGCCGACAAACTCCGCAACTGCGGGCGTACGCACGAACAATAACACACGAAATGGCGAGTCCTGTCTTGACATTGATTTGAACACTTTATCTTCAGATTGGAACTACACTAGTGCTTCGACGGTTTTGGCCCCTTTCCTATTTTGGGATGGTCTGGTCCGTTTTCACTAGCGAGCCTTTGCAAAAGCCGAAGACCGCTCCTTATGATTCCCGACGGACAACAGTCGGGCACTGTTTTAAGGCCAGTCTCCTGCGGCTACGCTGCTCCACCCAGCATGCGAAAAGTTCCGCGATGCTTGAGGCTCGACGGGACGGACGATTGATGACTGCGCTGGGCTGGGCCGGGCAAACCCCTGCTCGTGCATGGCCAGAAGGAACAATGACACGGGAATTGCGATCCTTATTCGGCTAAGTAAACTGGTTTACTAGGTAGAGACGCGCTTTCAAGATGGAATCTGAAAACCTGAACAAGCGGGTCGAGCTAATAGCAGGGACCTGCTCGAAGTTCGCGGTGTGAAGCGCAAGAGACAGAAAACCCCGGCTCTCTGTATCAGGTCTCGGGGTTGGCCAACGGCGCAGGAGGTGGCCAAACTCTCGAGGCCGATCTGCCTTGAGGTGCGTGCTCTCCGTCGCCGGCCTTGGGGATGTCGGTTTAGGTAAGGTATTTGGGAGGGGTACTTCTATGCCTGCTGCCTTGCGGCGTCTTGCGCGCGGGGTTCCCTTTGCTACTCTGTATATTTTCGTTCCTTGACTTCCATCTCGCCGTTTCTCCCAAGTAGTACTTCTTCAAGGCAATTTCCTCAGGATGCCGCATTGCCTTCCGTTCGGACACGGCGCCACTGATCCCGACTTCGACATGATACAGCCGCGACCAAGATCAAGAGAGTCGAATCCAAATACCGACATGGACGGAGCAGTCGTCTCCAACGACCTCTCAGAGAAGTTGCATTTAGGAACGAAAGCGCGCAAGCGCAGAAGAGCGCACTCAGATCCAAAAGGTTTCGCAGCTCGGCCAAGACGGTCTTCCTTTGGTGGATTGCGGAAGACGAAGTCGGCGCCAGTTGGTTTAGACCTTCCTGCAGTACACGAAGACACGAAAAATATGAAAGAGATGGGACGATTCGAGACGGTATCAAAGTTACTCAAGCCATCGGATACCCTGATAGAGGCGAAAGAGGTTGATCACGCAAAAAGAGACGCTCTGGCCTCGAACACGTCCAGCTCCATTACGCGTTCCAAATGTCCGCCGGCAAGGAATTCCGATGGGACCCCAGCCGATCCAATCGCGACGCCGTCCCCGCCTGCGACCCCCCCACAACCCAAGAAACAGCCCTCGGTGCTTCCACCTCTTCAACTCCCAGCGCACGAAGCAAAAGAAGAGTACAAGATCCCCCAATTATCACCGATTAAAGTATCGACCCGCATATCCTGGAATCTCCCGAACCTCACTCTAATCATCTCCGATCGATCTTCGACAACTCCAGAGCCAAATCTACAGCCAGAGGTCGAGTCCGAACCCCAGCCCGAGGAGAAACCACCAAGCTCCCGACACTCCTCTAAGCGCGTAGCCTTCTCTAAAGCCGCAGACGAGATCATCGCACCCAGAAAGCAGATCCCCGAGCACTGTCCTTCACTCCACCGCCAGTCCTCCTGGAGCAGCGTATTCCTGCTCACCGTAGCCTCTCCTGTGAAACCGGTCAAGGGCCAGGCGGTCGGGAAACCAATCCTGAAACGATCGAGTTCGAACCTAGAGGACCGCATAGAAGAGCAACGCAAAGAAGAGGCAGACAGAAGTGGCGGCGAGCACGTCTACCTAAGCGCACTGATGGAAAAGAACCTGAAGCGACTGCCGCGGAGCAAAAGCGGTATGAAAGCGAGCGGTGCGAAACCTACAGTATCGCTGGTCCAGCTTCCGGAATCGCTGTACTCCATGTCTATTTCGGATGGCCGAAGAACCCCGCCTGCTATCCAGCATAACGCGTCGCCGCCTTCCTCCTCGTCCTCGGCGACATCTTTCGACTCGTCGTCATCCTCCTCGAGCAAGGATAGCGCGTTCAAGGCCGTCACTCTGAGCGAGCCGATTCACTTCTCAAGGCCGCGTTCGCGGGGAGGTTCTCCTGAGATGCCGCGACCGACTACGTCACCTGCGACTACGCCCGTGCGGAGTCCGAATAAGCATTCTAGCACGCAGTGTGAGGGGAAGTGGCTTCGAAGAGGGAGCAGAGGAAGTCTCCATGGTGGGCAAGCTGAAGCTCCTCCCGTGCCGCCGCTTCCGAAGAGCCTTGGGGCATTGAGGGCCTGCTAGGCATCTGTCGGACCCGTACAGCAACCTCACGTGATGCTAGCATAATAGAAGAGAAGAGACAATGTTGAGAGCGACATGGACTATCTACCGGGGTTAGATAAGACGAGATAGAGTTGGCTGGGTCACCACAAGTACACATTTTTCATAATCATATTTCATTCTTATTCCAACATCAATTCAACGCCTTCGCAAATTATCCAATGCTCCCGCAAGAGACGCTAGCACCGCAAAAAACCTTCTACTTCTTCTTCCCCGTGGCGTCATCGCTTTTTTTCTGTCCCGCTTCCCTCTTTCCCTCCTTCTTTTCCTTCTTCTGGGATGCCTCCCACCTCGCCACCGCCAGCATCGTCTGCCGAGTAAAAATCACCTCTCTACAGTTCGGGCACCGCGGATCAACCATCTCCCCCTTGCGCCCAACATGCACCTTGATAATCCACGGCTGCACGCACTCCGCATGGAAGACATGTCCGCAGCGCAGCAGCCACACGCACGGCTCCTCCCCTGCCGTCATGTCGTCGTAGCAGATCGAGCAAGGGCGGTCGTCGGGCGGATCCCGCACCGCGTTGGCGTACTCCAGGACATCTCGACCGCGGCTGCCCACCTCCAGCTTCCCATCGTTGATGTTGCTGAGGTGGACGCGGTCGTGGGAGAAGAAGGCCAGCACGCCGGGTGGATGGTAGAATGCCGTGCTGCCACCCAGGGGCAGTGCGTCCAGGGCATTGTCGCGGATAACCCGCGCGATCCGCCCCTCCGCATCGAACCCCTTCGTCCGCACCGCGTCCAGGATCCAGCCGTGCATCCTCCACGCCAGCTGCTCAGCGCTGATCGTGCTGCCCCGCGGCGCGATAGCCGTCGGAAACACGTGGTTCGCCAGGAACAGCAGGGTCGCGCCGATGTTCTCCTCGGCCAGCACGCGCCGCACGCGCACCGGCGTCGGATCCGTCCAGTCGCCCATGCGCAGCGTGTACATGGCGTCGAGCTGGCGGGCCTTGCCGTCGGCGTTCCAGAGCGGCACGCCGCGCTCGGAGCGCAGTATCAGCCTCCAGCAGTGCGTCCACAGCTCCGCGACGAAGAGCCCCAGGCGCACGAACTCGTGCAGCACCCAGTACACGGCTTCGGCGTCGAAGGCGCCCGGCGCGACGAAGGGGCGCAGCGCGCGCCCGAGCCCGTGGAACTTGCTGCCCGGGTGCGTGCCGGGGCCGTGCGTCTTGTCGTACTGCATGACGCTGTCGTAGGCGCGGATGAGCATGTCGCAGTGCTGCTGCGTGGTCTTGCAGGGCAGGTACTGCGGCTGCGGCTCGAGGTAGGCGGACCATGTGCGGGCGAGGGAGCCGTCTGGATCGGCGTCAGGGTGGATAGCACAGCGGAGGAACCATTGCTGTCCGCGGGAGATTTCGTAGCCGTAGGGCGGCGGGCGGCGGAGGACGATGCGCGCTGGATCCCCGATCTTGCCCCGGTTCTTCCGGATGATGGCCTTGTAGGAGTCTACGTCCATGATGGTGGTGAGATGTGGCCGACCCTTCTCACCGACGGTGTAGCGCTTTGTTCCCCAGGCCTGGTAGGCGTCGTCGAGTTCCTCTTGGATGCAGCTGCGGACGTGGTCGGACTTGGTGGTGGCGACGAGGTGGATGTTGATGGCGAGCTCGCTCAGCTCTTGCAGCACTTGGATCACCTCGTCGACGGGGCTGCCGTGCAGTGTTGAAGCGAGATCGGGGAGTGGGATGTACTCGGGCTCGCGTGGTCGGCCCGGCGCTCGAGCCAACGTTCGGAAGCTTGTGAAGTGCGGAAGTTTGTTGTTGAGAGACATTTTAGGGGATCTGTTTGGCGCTTCGCAGTTGTGATCACTAAGGGGTCAAGGGGGTTAGATGAGACGAAGTGCGTTGTTCAGATGAAGTATAAACCCCAATCGTGCATTCACAATGCCAGGCCAGTGCCAGTCGTGTAGAGATACCCGTTGAGAAATTGATACCCTTATTTTGGCTAGTCACTGATGGTTCCCTGGTTCGTGATGCTGCTGGGCAGTGGTCGGTGTTGGCGGGAGCACCCGAACACCACTAAAACCCCCTCAAGCGGTCGTCGAACCAAGCTCACCCAGAACTGCGTCTCGTCTAGTCTCCTACAGTAATTATACGTCCTCGTAGTTGTCCATCTTCTTCTGGGATAACCCTGCAACATCTCGACTCTATTGGTGGTTAGCGTGTGCAGAGCTGCGGGGAGTGAATCCTGTCTCTCGATCGCGAACAACATTGTGCAGATACTTGAGCCAACCTGCCATCCGAGTCTCTCCTGGTGTTCTCGTCCACTACTGCTCACCAGCGCTTCCTTGTCTGAGTATTTGTCCTACCCACCAATACTCGAGAAAGGGCCCAGTGTCGGTATTGTAGAAAGTCCACACTGGAAGCATGAGAAAGTAGTACCGCTATCGCCGACACTGCATCCTGCTATTGCTACAATCCAACACTGATGCATTCTTTCTTCCGGACCTCTCAACTCCTTCCAAAACCATTCATTAAGCTTCCACACAGTGCCGGAGGACCCTTAGCTACGGTGACTAAGCGGCTGCCGCGGAAAGGAGTGGCGAGTGGCTTCGACTCCCCTAGCTGACTTTCACATTCCAGGAGCTCGTCAACAACCGGCCCAATGCGTCGGACGATAACATACAGACAGCCTTATTGCTTCGACGAAGAGGAAGAGGATGAAGTCCAGGGAGAGAACGGGGCTGACGAATATGAGGGTACCTAGCGGCATAGTGAAGTCGAGTATGGCGACGTTATGGTGGTGTCATCCCGACTTTTTATTGTTGATCTTTGGAAACACGTACGACTCGTAGCCGAGTCATATACGGAATGCCCAATGCGACTGTATGGCGGCGAGGATGAGGCCTGGAGAGCATTAGAGGATGCTGGCTCAGGTTTCGTAAGGACCCCTTATTAGCGCCCGAGGTGCAGGCAAAGGTGCGCGAGCCGAGGGCTACGAGATGAGCGTGGAGCAGATCCGAGAATGGTTTTGATGGAAGCAATCGAGGAGTCGGACTTGGATTTTTCGCCTGGAAGATGTCTGCCAATTGCTCGGCCTGACCATGATGCATTAGTGCCTTCCAATTCGGCGTCTTACAATCCAGAATGCTGACCGTTGTTTCCACAGCGCGTACTGCTGTTTGATACGCACCCTGTTTTTACCGGTGCCGGAGCACGAAATAAATGCTGCACGTCTACGTAAGCGTGAACATTGCGTCGTTTGGGAAAGGAATTTTCATTTCGCACCTGTGCAGTGTCAGTGCCTAGACGAAGCAATGGTGCAATTGATGCGCGGGAAACCAAGTGAAATCTGACCATGTGCACATCTTGCCCTACCTCGTGCGCACTTCAACGTCCTCGACACTCACTTCAGCGCCAAACACAAACCATCAACGCGCAAACGCGCCATAGCCAGCAAACAACATGAACCGACCCGACCCCCTCCGATCGCTTCGCGATACGGCGCCCGCATACGACTTCCCAGATCCGCTCGCTAGCCAGGGTGCTTTCATCCGCTGTCTCCGCCAGGCGCTCGTCTTCTATCTGGACGAGGCCACAATCAACGGGACGCCAGAGTGGACATGCCGCTACGACCGAGGTGTTGGATACTTCTGGGTGCCTTCTGGGCCATGTGTACAGGATATCGAGGTTGTCTTCAACTGCTTCTACCTGCTGGTTTGTACGGCTCTTGTGCACTTCCAGTGGGGTCAGAACCCTCGCTACCCGCGGCGAACGATGGAGCAGCTCCTTACAAGTCTTGCTGCTTTGCCGCACTGGGATGCCCACTTTCTGAACACTCTGGCCCATATTGATCCCAAGGAAGTTTGGGATGCTACCGTCGCCAATGCGTGGGTGATAGGGACCCCAAACCTGCCGGCCCCATCTGCAAGCTTCCTATCGCGCGGCAAGGCGTGGCTCATCCGGTGTGCACTCCATCCGGACATGGAATGGGAGTCGTTCCAGATCGAGGCTATCAAGAAGCTGTTGATACAGCAGCCATACTACGTTCGGAGACCCACCGACTTAAGCGAGCAGTGTCGTGTTGCCGAGACCGGTGATGATGGCGAATTTCCTGCGTTGGCTGAAGCTCTCCGACCCTTCCTGGCAGAGCGCACGGAAGAAGGCGTGTGCGACGGGGAAGCCTTGGTAGCGGTGTTCCACCAATTCGTCCTCATCGCCAGCGCGGTGCTTGAGACATGGCGGCTCTGCAACCCAACCGATGAAGATTCTGTGAGCCCACCCCCATACTTCATGTACATCAATGCGTACTTGCAAATCGAAGCCATCTGGCACAAGCGGGTCGAAGATCCTTTTTCAGAAACCCCGTATCGAGTTCGGCAAGTCCTAACGAGCGTCAATATCAAAGGATGCTGGGACCTGCTTTGGGCAGTAATGTGGAAGATCGCGACGGATGCTCGGTCTTTCACATATGCGTCTACGGGTCTTCGGGATTGGTTGACGAACAACGCATCAAGTTCAGTCGTTGACCCGACCGGGGACATGTCCCGGGTTGTAGCTGGATGGGGTTACGTCAATGGTACGTTGGACATAGGACAGCTTTTTTGGGCTCCTGGACACCGTGTCTACGGGCCTGACGAGGTGGAACTGGCGTTCTACGCCGACGACTTCGGCCGCTTCCCGGACTACCAGATCGAGTTAAGGCGGCTCGACGACGATCTGAGCAGCCGCCTCAACCTGCAAGATGCTGAGTTGGTGCCCGTGGGTCCGCCCATCGAGACACTGCAATACATGTTAGCGGAGCTTTATCCTGCAGAGGAGGAGCTGTGCACAATCTGCCTGGATGGCTTCGAGCATCCCGACTTCGCATGTGTGCAACCGCGAACTTGCAGCCACTGCTTCCATTTCGACTGCATCGACCAGTACATCAACAGCGGGACGGCAGCGAGCAACACATGCCCGAATTGCCGAACGAGGATCTGCGCGCGGAGGCCCAGGATTCCGGCCTCTCAAGAATGAATGCGAAGCTTCGATGACTCTAGCTTGCCGTTGGCTGGCTACGATATGCGTCTTGGAATACGGTGCAAGGTGGCTGACGATTGTGATGCCGCATGCTTATCGACTGGCCATGCGGTGGGGGGAAACAGGTGTGCGATGATGAGCGATTGTACTCAATGCGGACGAGAGGTGTCAATGTCTGCAAGGAGTTTTTATATGGACTGATATTATAAGTAGAAACCCCCCAAAAAAATATAAGAAGAATAATAATAATGAAAAGTTGTGAGCTTGCAGAGTGATGGTGAGGCAGGATGGAGTGATGGAGCGAGTGCGTGGGTGACGCGATAATCCTGGCTTAGTCAGCGGCAGGTGTGAACGCATTCGAAGCAAGAGCGACGTGAGAAGCGGCGGACAGATTTTGAAGGGTCGTAGTAATTCGGGAGAGACCTGCTACCGCTAAACATCATTTGGGCCATCCGGGGCCGTACGCGGTAGAAGGTAGAAGCCGAGTGGTACTGTTCTCGCAAGGCAGATTGCGCCCCCCTTGCGGAGTACTGTACCATCCTTCCTCACATGAAGATGCAACCAAACTGTAAAATGAGGCTCCGGATCGTGTACCGGGGAAGCCGTTTCGGTGTGACGTTGGTTTGTTTCGCACGCAAGGTGGCACCCCGGTGCGTAATATGCGTGCCGCGATCCCAACGCCTGGACCCCCTAATCTCAGCGGCATCTCGAGATGCATGCAGTTGGGTCTCCAGCATCGAGAGCAAAGAACACAAGATGCGAGATGTTTCGTGTTGGAACAGGAACTTTCCTGTCCGAACAAAGGCAGGACAACCAAGGATGGCGCGTTTGGCGGCGGGCTCAAGCATGGATGCCAACGCGAAACACGGCGGCTTGAGCGGCATTGGCCAATGACGACGCTTGGCCGAGCGAGATGACGTGCGCACCGGCACATCGCGCGCCGGCGCGTTTCTTATCGCAAGCTCTCCATCGCCGTTCGTGCCGTGCATGGCAATTTGACATTTGCCTGCCCGCTTTGACTGGCCGGATCGAGGAGCCGGGGGCAAGGTCCTCGCTCCATCCAGGAGCCAAATCCCGGATTTCTCTTCCTTCCACCCTCTCGTCAACTTCAGGAGGCACGGTGAGAAGGATCGGATCTTTCACTCGCTACTTCCCCCGCGTGCTGCTTGCGACTTCTGCGACCGACCGTGTGTGCGACCGCCTGAGACGTCACCTAGGCAGACATCAACACCGCAAGAAAGCCAGGAGCTTCCTTTCCCACCGCACAGTCACTCGTTCCGCACAGCTCTACTGTCAACATCTTCCCTCGTTTAGACCCGGGCCCCCGCTTGACCACCGCCGTATCTCATTCCATCTCCCATTGTGTCTATCTCTGCGCCTTCAGATAGCAGCCGACCATGCGCACCGCGCTCTTGACCTCCGCCCTCGCCGGCGTTGGCGCTGTCAACGCGATCGCTACCATCTCGGTGAAGGGCTCCAAGTTCTTCACGAGCGATGGCGACCAGTTCTACGTCAAGGGTAGGCCCATTATGAGAGTATACAGAGCGTCTCGCTGACGGAATGCCAGGCATTGCCTACCAGCTCGTCCCCGACGACCCGCTCATCGACAACACACAGTGCAAGCTCGACGCAGAGCTAATGAAGTCAATTAGCACCAACTCGATACGTGTCTACCATGTTGATCCCTCTGCCGAGCACGACGACTGCATGAGCACCTTCGCCGACGCCGGCATCTACATCTGGCTAGACTTGGATACCTTCGATACGCAGATTGAGCAGGTGCGGACATTGTGACAGCACACCGTCTAGAAGCAGGCTGACTGAGGTAGACATCGCCGCACTGGAACCAGACCCAGCTTGACCACTTCTCCGCCGTCATGGACACCTTCCAAAAGTACGACAACCTGGCTGGCTTCTTCGTCGGCAATGAAGTCCTCACGACAGGTATGCCTCCCCCCTCATCATTACCCAAAACGCCTGCTGACCATTCGTAGGTAACGGCTCCGTCGCCGCACCCTTCGTCAAAGCCGCCGCCCGCGACCTCAAAGCCTACCGCGACTCCAAAAACTACCGCAACATCCCCATCGGCTATTCCGCCGCCGACATCTCTACGCTGCGCCCCATGCTGCAAAACTACCTCGCGTGCGGTGACAATTCCTCCGAAGCCCTCGACTTCTACTCGCTCAACGCGTACGAGTGGTGCGGCGAATCGTCCTACATGCAGTCCGGCTACAACATGCTCACCGAGAACGTGACGAACGTGGGCTACAACATCCCCATCTTCCTGTCCGAGACTGGCTGCATCAAGCCACCACCCCGCACCTTCGACGACCAGGCCGCCATTTTCGGGGATGAAATGGCCAATGTTTGGTCCGGTGCGATTGTCTACGAGTGGATCATGGAGGCAAATGAATATGGCCTTGTCAGCTATGGCCCCAAGGTTGAGCCTGGCCCCAGCGCCCCGCCGGACGGATATACCCGCTCTGGAACACCGACGCCTATCTCGCCTGACTTCGATAACCTGAGCAACCACTGGAAGACGCTGAGTCCGTCTGGCGTGAAGGAGTCGGAGTACAATCCTACGCTTACGGCTCCTCCGTGTCCAGCGTTTACTTCCGAGGCTTGGGAGGTCGACCCTACCTCGAAGCTCCCTACGCTGGGGCAGACTTACCAGGCGCAGGCGGGCGGTACTGGAGGTGGTTCTCAAGCTACGGGATCTGGAAGCTCAGCGACAGCAAGCGCGACAAGGGGCGCTGCTCCAGGCAACCCCGCGCGGGAGCTACAGAGCATGGGCATCGGTCTCGTTGGTGTTTTCGCCGGCTTCCTCATCTGGATGTGAGAGGCACCCTTCTTTTCGATTTCGAAACCATGCGCAGGGACGCATTTCAAGGGCGCGTACCGAGAACGCGAACCGGGTAATGGGCTTGTAGAGATGGTTTGCAATAATGGCTTGGTCGGTACATATACCCCGGTTGTTTCGTTTCCTTTTCCATACTGGTGGGCCTGGTTGCATGAGCAGTTGCACAGCGAGCAATTGGGAATGGCGTTGGTTCTATGCATACGGACATGATACCATGTAATGTGTCGGTGGAAGGAAAACAAAAGTACCTACCTACTCATACCCTTGTAGATATCGAATAGCATGTCTGATATTGGCAGTTCTTGCATCCCGCTGAGAGCGCAATAGTGACGGTTTCCTTGTTTCCCCTGGAAATCACATCGGATACAGTTCCCCCTTGCGTTTTGGCTCCCTTCGTATGACTTTCGTTCATGTTAGAGGAAATACTCGGTTTCGCTTTCTCCCGCTTCTTCCTCCACTTTTCCACCTAGCCACAACCCCATCGACAGGTCCAAGCAAGCCTAGACTGCCACTATCCCTCCTCATCCATCCAAAAACCCCTCGTTTCTTCCCCAAGCAACCTAATCCAGAACTTTTGTAGCACATTTCACTTCACTCCACTCCACTCCATCAGAGCACTCACTCGTCTACACCACACCACCCGCGCACTCCCTACCTCACCACGCTCCGCTCACAGCACTTCGCAAATTGAGCCGATTGTGCAAGCAGGCAGGTAGGTAGGTAGGTGTACGATGCATCGTTCTCGTATTGTATCATGCCTCGATCAACTCATTGCACCTACGTCGACCGACCGACCGACCCGCGTTCCACGCATGTTGACGGACGGATTAAAGGCCGCAACAATGCGCATACAGATCTTTGGAGCGTGGTACTCTTCCTACGTATATTGGTTAGTTCCCCCTCACCCAAGTGCAATACACCCGTCCTGTCATAGCTTGGCTGCCCGGCCGACTGACTGGCATAAAAGTAGACGTTCCGCGGTCCGAAATCTTGGACGCACTGAGTAATCACATCACAGAGGGATATCACATCGTATCGCAAGGGTCCAAGAAAAGACAGTATGGAGAAGAACAGACTTAGATTTCAGGAATGGGCGCCAGCTCAAGAACAACCCGATCACCAGCACAGGGCTTTCCCTCCTTCGCCGTTCCACCCACCAAAGCAAGCAGAACAGAGTCCGAGTATCTTTCCCTCATTAGTGCATGGCATTGATACAGTTCCCTCCATCCGTCTAATCCCCAGGGTGCAACATTGAATAGTTCTTTTTGGTGAAGTCTCTGATATTTCCGATCCGTGCTCTTACTCCGACATCATGAAGAGATGGAGGTATTTGTCAAGACAGGGTATGGAAGGGAAGAAACGCGCAGATGGTGACGTAAAGGGAGCGTCTACCACTGCACAGCGCCCTGCTGGGTGGTCTCGGCGCCCCAGCCCTCGGTGCCGGCCTCCTGGGTGCCAGTAGCAGCCCAGTCCGTCGCATCGGCGTCCCAGCTGCCGCCACCTGGCTGAGCAGCAGCCTGGGAAGTGAAGGCACCAGCAGTAGCGCCAGAGACCTCCCACTCGCTGGTGAAGCCCGCTTCGACCGGACCAGTACCGACCTCGTCGGCACCGGGGACCTTGGCCTCCTCGACACCCGTGGCGTCCTTGTTCTCCTCCGCCTCAGGGTCGCGGTAGAAGTACAAGTCGGTCATGACATCCCACTCGGTCTCGCGGGAGGCGAGGGTGCCACGCAGACGAAGGACCTCACGGGCAAGCATCCACCAAACTAGACCAATGGCGTGGCGTCCCTTGTTGTTGGTGGGGATGGCAATGTCGACGAACTCGGTGGGAGAATCGGTGTCGCAGAGGGCCTTTCTCCATTAGCATCACCCGTTTCCACGTTCCCCGAGTAAACTCACAATGACCGGGATGTTGACATAGGACGCCTCCTTGATTGCCTGCGCATCGGTGCGCGGGTCGGTGACGACGATCAGGCGCGGCTCCTTGAACGAGCGGGTGATGTAGTTGGTGAAGTTACCGGGGGTGAAGCGACCAGCAATGGCGACGGCACCGGTGTGCGCGGCGAACTTGAGCACGGCACGCTGGCCGTAGGGACGAGCAGAGATGACGCAGACTGCAGATAATTAGCTATCAATCCTTTATATCCAATATCCCAAAATTGCATGTTCAAGCGGAAGCTTGAAAGTTCCGCTACGGCCTGAAATAAGAAATGAGAACGTACTGTCGGCGGGGTTGTCAATGGCGACGATGATGCGCGCAGCCATGACAATCTTCTCCCACGTCTTGCCAATGTTGAGAACATTGACGCCATCCGGGCGTCTCTTCCACAGGTATGGCTCCATGTGCACCTGGAGATTCTTGGCCCCGAGATGGCACTGCGCCGCGAGCATCATCTCGATGTCCTGCTGCGTCGGGTTGAAGATGGCGGGGAGGTTTGCGGGCGCCATCTTGGAGGATTGGCTGGTGTTGTGAGTCGAAAGGAGGGTTGTCGTGCAGTTGGAGCGATGTCGTGGAAAGTTTGGAGGGGAGGTGATATTGGAGGAGCTCGATGTGCGAGCTAGCTGCTTTGGGTATGGGGGGATCGAACCGGAAAATCTGCTCGGATGAAGTTTTGGCGAGATGGTTCGGAGGAGAGCTGAGAGCGTGAAGCCCTCCAGCATCCCCAATGCCGCCTCGAATACCGATATTATCCTGCCTGCGGGCGCCGAAGAGTACTTCTCTCCCTATGTTATCGCTTAGCCAAACTAATTGAACCAGCAGCCCTTCCGACATCCCAATTCACGCTCCCGCTCCGCCCTTTCTCCGCAACACCCCTTCTCGAAGCCAAAGCCAAATCGAGATCAAAGCCATCCTCTGGCAGAAAGAAGCAGACTCACGATCCGTATGTCCTTGCCCAGCAAGCCCGAAAAAAGGCTGCCAACCTCTCCCGCCGCGCCGACCTCGAAGCCGGACGCGTAGCCTCCCTCGGCGACCCCATCCGCGGTAACCCTACCCCCTTCATCGAATCCTTCGTTACCGGCGCGCCTCTCCAAAATGCAGAGGATGCGAAGATACCGCAAGATAATAAGCATCTAAACTATGCTCTCAAACCGGAGGCCGTTCAGAAGCAGCTCGTGAAGAGCGAACAGATCGCGATCCCACTGGATGAAGCGAAGCCGAAGGAAATGCCAACACCAGGAGCGATGAACGTCCTGTACAATCGAAGTCAGCAGAATAGGCAGACTCCAGAAGCGCCTGAGCCTACGGCGGAAGAGATCGAAGCAAAGAGGAAGCAAGATCATGCGCGCGCCGCCGAAGCCATCGCTCGCATCACTGCGCTCGAGAACGGCAGTTCCAAGGACAGAATGCGCGTCAACATTGCGCGCTGCGTCGAGACCTTCGGCCGCCACAAGACAGACCGCATCTTCCCCCCACGCGCCCCTCCGCTACCCTCCATAAACTCCACGGATCCGCATCCGATCCGGCCCGAGACGAACATCGAAGGGGTCAAGAAGCGCATTGGTCCGGATACCGGATCGTCGGAGGTGCAAATAGCGATCTTGACGGCGAAGATCAAGACACTGGCGGATTTCCTCGAAAGTCGGGGCAAGGGCGACAAGCACAACAAGCGTAATCTAAGGCTACTCGTTCACAGGCGTCAGAAGCTTCTGAAATACCTCCGGAGGAAGGAGAGGGGCGGGCCAAGGTGGCAGCATTGCATTGAGACGCTAGGGCTGACAGAGGGGACGTGGAAGGGCGAGATCAGCTTGTAAGACTCGGTCCGTGACGGCGACGGTGTATATTCAATTGTATAACATTGCATCGCGAATAGAGAGCATTGGACATATCCATTCAGTCCGCTTAGTGATGGACCCCCAGTGGGAATGTGGATGAGTATATGAAGGGTAGTTTAGGGGGATGTGAAGTGCTTCGATAGGTAGAGCTGATGTGTTCGAGCTTCTGTAGATATGCGCCGCTCACTCGGACTTCTAGCGTGCCGTTTTGTGCAAATGATCACAATGATAGGTAGGCAAGCGTCACTAGTTGATGCCCCGTTGATACGGCGTTTCGCAAGGTACAATCCGCAAACTTTATGCCGTCGAACGGCTGCATCGCGGCCGTCGCCTAATGTCCTGATATCACTGAAATGAAAGTTTCCACCACCTCCACGCAACCTTTGAAGTTTTATCTCTGCAAAATCGAGCCGAAAGATGAGCCAGCATGGCTTCGATGTTCTTCAAATTGAATCTCCGAACCCCGCTCATTCGGGGTGACCGGTCAGCTCAACGCCATTCAGCACAGCCACATCGCAATGTGCGCTGGCGATTCCACCTCGCACTGCGTTAATTAGTCCTCCAATCCTCGAGCTCTATAAGAATGCACTGGTTCTCCTCGACCTCCAGGCCTGTCCTGTCCTCAACGATCGTGGTTCGAGCTACCAGGGACCTCCCGAGGTCACTGCGTTTCGCATGGCAGAGGCAGCGGGCCTCGCCGTGGGCGTTGCAGCCTTGTTCCAAACCTGCATTGAAAGCTTCAAGATCGTTTTCGCCGCCCAGGATTTCGCTAAAGACTTTGAGGTGCTGAATGCGAGTTTTCAGCAGCAACGACTGCGGCTGTTACTTTGGGGAGAAGGGGTCGGACTCATTTCACGTCTTGGGACCAAGAAGAGGCCGTACTTTCAAGAATTGGACGCCGACCACGTCAGACCCACTATTCTGAAGTCTCTGGAGTCGATACAATATCTGTTGCAGCAATTCAAGGCCTACGAAAGCAAGTATGGCCTAAGGAGCAATGCAACTTCTAGTTTGGTTAATGTGAGCGGCCCGTACGCACCGGAAGAGAGGTTCGCAGCGATAGCGAGGATGAATCAAAAAGAGAAGAGTGTCAAGACGATTACCAAATGGGCGGTCTTTGATGCGGAGAAGATGAAAGAGACGAATGAGATGTTGAGAGTCTTGGTTGATGGGCTCGTCAACATTAGCACGGAACTGAGGAGGATGGGAGAAGCGTGCGACGCCGCAACAGGACATGGGCATATTGGAGCAAACCCGATGTCCTCGTGCGTGCGTGATCCCGGCTTCGAAACGAGCGAAGCAGTAGAGCGCTCCAACTTGTCATTTACTGCCTCTCGATATGTCGAAGCTCTGGATCTGGGAGGCTCAATCGAGACTTTCCGCACCGCCCTTGAGCTGCACATGTCACTTGAGACTTTCCAGACGGCTCCGGTCTCGCACCATTCTATTCATACCTTCTTTGCGGCGGAGTCCCTCGTGCTGCGACCGAAACAACTCGAGATGGAACATGGTCAGCAAGAACCCGAAAACCGACCCACGAATGTACCGCAACTCCCGCTACTGCATTCGCCAACTAGTAAAAGACCCCGGGATTCCGACGATACATACCTTTCGATGTGCTCTGCTCCTGAACGATCTCAGTTTGGACTCACGCTCGCCAGTCGACCTGCGCCAGAGGACCTTGCCAGTCCCACTGGTTTGCCAGGGTCCTTCCAAGAGATCTACGCCGCTACTCCGCAACAGTTCAGCGAATTGTCCCTTACGTCCGAGAAACTTTTCATCCAGCATGACGGAACGACAGATGACGGTAACATGAACCTGCGGATCTTCCTTCCAGCGACAACTCGCGGCGTCAGGATGATGCACATGTCGCTTTTCCATTTGAAAATGCAAAATCTCAGAAACCGAGATTTCTCTCTCAGGAGGTATTGTCGGACATCTGGGAAGGAAGTCTGTCGCACAAGTGCGCGGATTGTGAGAGAAGGGCATAAAAGATTAAAACTCAGCAACGTGTTTTCGAGATCCAGCGGCAGTAGTGTGCCATCATACTACGACGCCTTGCCCTGGAGTGCGAGTTCACTGCGGACGTCCGGAAGAAGTCAATCCCGCGGTTCCATGAATTCAATTAGGTCATGGTTCGGACGACGTGGCTCTAGGTCATCACAAGCATCTAGTGCCTCCAACGCGTCCAACGCGTCCAACGCTTTTGATAGTGAGAACAACCGGGAGGCTGACGAGCAGGGTGTCGAGGTTACAGCCGAGCACACCACAGAGAAGAAAATCCTCTTAGAATTCTCGAACTACGCACGTGTCGAAGTGACGAGACAGGGTCACGGCAGCAAGAAGAAATACACATTCGAGTATTGGGGGATAAAGTACAAGTGGAAGCGGCAAATGAAGGTCAAGAATGAAGACGTATCAGATTGCCGGTGGCATTGCTTTCGTCTCTTTCTTGAAGGAGTAAAGGAGCCCATAGCATCCATCGAGCCTGAGGTGGACGAGACTGGCTTGCTGAGGGAGGAGGCCAATACAGGATGGGTTCCGCCATGCGAGATGCGCATTTTGGATCCGAAAAACCTGAACTCTGGTGGTGATATGTGGGAGTAAGTCTACCAAACCATAAAACATACAAGAACACGTCTCTGATTGGAAACATTAGCATCGTCATCGCCACTGGGGTTATTGCACTGGTGGACAATGCAATCCGCGCGTATCTCCGCATCTTAAGCTCCCAAAGTCCTTAGTCAACTCTCTTTGCACCGATACCGAAGCTCAAGACGGCGTTCAGAAATACATCATCGATTTTCTACTCTGGTGTGACCCGCTGCATGCATTCGTGCAGACAGAAGAGGCGAGCCCGAAAAGCCTTCCGAAGAGCCTTTGGAGCTTCTAACATTAGACATGGAGGGAACACAAACTCACGCCTGTAACGTATTGTGACATATGACACTTTAGCTAAAGGCAGATTGGGCAGTAAGCGGCGCTACGATGCGCATGACTCACCACGGCTGTACCCATTCCAGGCTCCACCGAAAGCATGAAATCCGCCATAAAGCGATCGATCAGCACTGTCTTTTTTAAAGCTCGGGTGCGACTCTCGAGATCCACACTCGAATCCAGACTGTTCTTCGTAGAACTTTCGGCCTAGGATCCGTGATACGAAATACGGGTGATTCTGCTGTGACCGCTCAATAGGGCAATTGCATGCGGCCAGTCTCGGAACTACCTCACTGCCGGTGCTGCAACTCGCAACTCAAGAGCCCCACCATGTCCGTCATCGTCGAACCCTACAACCCAGAATGGCCAACCCAATTCGAAACCATCAAAGCAGTCCTACGATCCCACCTCGCCGATGTCTCCGTCCAATCCATCGAGCACGTTGGTAGCACATCCGTACCCGGCCTCGCCGCAAAACCGATAATCGACGTCGACATCATTGTCGCCCGCGAAACTGTCCAGTCTGCCATTAATACTCTCGTTTCAAGTGGGTTTACATACCTCGGAGAACTCGGCATCGCAGATCGGCATGCGCTCAAAGATCCCAATCAGCTCCCCAAGAGGAATATCTACATATGCGTCGACGGCGCCTTCCAAACGCGCAACCACCTCGCAGTGCGAGACACGCTGCGCGCCAATCCTAAGCTGAGGGATGAGTATGCAGCCGTAAAGTTACAACTCGCCGCGCAGGGAACAAATATCGTCGACTACGTCGAAGCGAAGAGCGAAATCCTGCGGAAGATCCTAGAGGCAGCCGGAGTACTCACCGCAGACGAACTAGCCGCCATCGAGAAAGCGAATAAGAAAGGCGAGCGCTTTGGCGCTATCAAGACGGAGCGGTTGCTGCTCAGGGAGTTCGTTTCAGCCGACGAAGAGCCGTTCTTTGAGTTGGAGAGCAAAGAGGAGGTCGCGAGGTACCAGATGTGGCCGCCGCGGACGAGACAGCAGGCCAGAGAGGAAGTCGCGAAAATTATTCGCAACTCTGCCGCTACGCCACGCACGCATGTTGAGCTCGCTGTCGAACGCGGCGGGTCTTTCATCGGCCGCGTGGGCGCGAATGTTAAGCGCGAAGTCGACCCTCCGCATGCGGACCTGTGGTTCTCCTTCCTGCCGCAGTATCAGGGGCAGGGTTTTGCGACGGAAGCGATGAAAAAGCTTACCGAGTTGCTTGGGAGTCCCATGGAGCTGGAGATTGAGTGCGATCCGCGGAACGAGGGGAGCTGGAAACTAGCGAACCGGTTGGAGTTTGAGAAGGTAAGTTTAAGGGAGAGGGCGTTTGAGTGCAAAGGGGAGTGGGTTGGGAGTTTGGTACTGCGGAAGATAGTGTAGGGATTAGGGGGCCCGATGTTCCTTAGGAGATTATACGCAAGTTGTTTTCTGGGTGCAGAGCTGATGCGGGTGGGTAGATGGTGGATGTGGATTGAGTAGGTATTAGCGAGCCTGGAGCCCTTCCGGGTGTTTCGCTGAGTTCGAAGCCGAGAATGAACTTTCGTGAGATGCGCAGGTATTAGCGAGCCTGGAGACCGTCGGGGCATCCTACTGCGGTTGAATCCGAGAATTGAGTTTTCGTGTAGACGTAGTTCGGGTCGCGGCTCCCAGGGCCACAGTGCTGCCTTCTCAACAGAAAAATGTTCGCTCCTTCCCGTGGTTGACATCAAGACAATTTTTACTTAGGAAGCGACTTTTTTACTTAAGGAGAGAACTTCTTGCCATCTTACCTCCTCATCTCCACATCCACTTGGTCTTCCATCAGAACTCTCTTGAAAGACCATCAGATATCTTCAGATATCCTCAGATACCATTACCCCATCATCACCATGACCCTCAGCATCCCCTTCCTCTCCAGTCTGGAGAGAAGACTGGACTCCAAGCTCGGCCTCCGCTCACCGCCCCACGAGCAAGGCCTCACCATCGGCTCGCTCCTCCGCCGCTCAGGCAGCCTCAGCGGCCTCTACTTCGCCGGCGTCGAGGACCTGTGGCGCTCCACCCGCGTGCTGCTCAGCAACGCTGAGCAGATCCACGAGTACCTGGCCGAATTCAAGGGTATCGGCGAGTTTGCGAGGACCGACATCGACTACGCCCAGGTCGATGGGGCCCCGCGGGGACAGGATCCCTTCGAGCGGGCGAAACCCGTGTCCCGCCGGGAGAAAGAGCTCGTCAAGACGAAGCGAGCGCTGCTGCAGTCCGTCGTCAGCTTCCAGGCAGGCGCGGCGCACGTCTACAACGAGCTGCGGATCTGCTCGCCTGAGGGGAACCGGTGGCCTGCGATCTATGGTCTGCAGGAGTACGACCCATGGAAGATGCTGCGCAACGAGGCAGCGCACTGCTACGGCTGCCAGCCAGATACCAGCTTCGAGCACTTCGACAGCAGGAGCTGGTGGCTCAGGCTGCGGAAGCGGTTTGTGGAGGAGAAGGTGCTGCAGACGATCCAGGACCTGGAGGGATGCCTCTGGCGGACGAAGGAGGCGCTGCGGAAGAAAGAGAAGGAGGAGGTGGAGGCAGAGAGAACGGCTGCGGAGAGAGCGGCTGCGGAGGCTTCCGGGAACGTGCTCGCCCTAGTTCCCAGCGAGAAGTGCGAGCCTGAAGAGGCTCAGTGGGTGGTCGAGCCTGAGCCGGCACCGCCCGCAGGTCCTCGCTGGTTCAAGCGCTGCTTTCGCCGTCTCCGGACCGCTGTTGCGCGCGGAGTGAATCGCGTTGGGAAGCGGATGGCGAGGAGGGCGGGAGTGGGCCCCATGGGGAAGTGGATGGCAAAGAAGAGCAAGCCGTACGCTTCCCGCGGCTCGGACTGGGTAGACCAGTCAGAGGACTGGAATTACCAGTGGGAGTCGGATGCTTCGACGGTGGTGGAGGCGGTGGAGTCGTGCGCTGGCGATGAGTGGGGGATGGGGTGGGGGGGAGGGCCAGGAAGAGGGGGGCCAGGGAGAGGGGGGCCAGGGAGAGGAGGGCCGGGGGGAAGAGGGCTGGGGAGAAGTCGGTGTCAAGGGGGAGTGATGGGTTGTTGGGGTGTGGTGTATGTAGTGTTAGCGTCCGCAACGTAGAGATTGTTCTCTTCTCGTCCACTCACACAGAAAGATGCTGTGGGATGTGCTCGATGCTGTTATTTATGTTGAGGTCGCAGTGACATGTGACGAGGAAGCCTTCAGTCTCCGCTTTCAAAAACGTCTGCAAGTGTGGGCGGGTCGAGGAAGAGCTCGGCGTGCATGACTTCCTGGGCGCCGTCTTCAAGAAGACACATGCAAGATCGAAGAAGTCGGATGACGCGAGGAGCATATACTGTTAGAGAAGACGTTGAGGTCGTGGACCGCGTAGTCGTCCGCCAAATGGAGAGAGCAGATGGCTTCTGGGAGGGGAATCCGATTCAGTTCCGCTAGCTATCTAACCAATAATGCGTCAGCGTGCTTTCAAGATGCACGTGCAGCTCCGCCTTGGGCATGTTGATAATGAAGTCGCTGAGAGATGTCATGCCACTGTGGCACCGACGCAGGGCTCGGCAGCAGCGGAACCTTCGTTCATCCTACCAGATCTGGATTCCAGCGGTTCGGCTGGCGGACGAAGGCGATGTTAGATCTTTCAAACCCTGTCTTCGAATTCGACGGACCGTCGGCGGGTCGATTGACGCAGGGAAGCGTTCGGCAATGGGCGGGCCCCTGAACGGCTCGCTTACTCAGCCGCCCTGCGAGCACGACCAATCAGAGGCCGCCTAATTTTTAGAGACGCCCAGACCGTTCTCTTCGCCTTATCTCCACACGAGCGCGGCGTACTCGGTTCTCGCTCCATCACCGCTATCAGGCGCCCCAAAACCACCGTGGCCGCCGCGGGCTACGGCTCATTTCCACATCCACTGCCAAACTGACGCGTCCCAACGCCTTTCATGATTCGGACGCGACCGTGAAACTAAACCTCTGCGTCCCAAGTCGCCTCAGGTCATGGCTCCGAGGTGTCCAAGAGCTCGTCCCCTGTCGACACCTGCGCAATCTATGCACAAGATATCGAATGGCCCAAGCTCCTACCTCTTTCGACTCGAGAACCCGCCTTCAGCCTCACCCTGAGCGTTCCTTCTCCTTGGGCGTTGACCATGGCTGGCCGAGCGTCTATTGATTTTGTTCAGCGGTTCTTTCCTCACTCCCGCTTCCTTCACTGTCTTGTCAGTCTGCTAATCCACTGTCGCTTATATCCTCATGCCTCTCCCCCAGTATCCGTTATCACGGCACAAGCTCCCGCTCGCCAACTGACAGCTGCTCCGCGGTACTAGTCCACCTATGATATATAATCGGATTGAGCTGCTCGCGGTGCTTTCTCGTCAAATCAGCCCTCGTTTCTTTTCTTCTTGATTCCCTAGATACCCCGTGTCTTTTGCATTATTCCTGACTAATTCTTAATTCTGCATTCGTTCTCCGGCGACCGGGATATCAACATGTTTTCGAAATCCTCCCTCCTCGCCTTCCTCCTCGCATGTCAGCAATATGGGGTTGCAGCACAGCCGTCTTGGCCCGCGTCTATAGACGAACTGGAGGACATCATGTTCCTGAATTCAGGTTACCGGGCACGGGGGTTCGCAGCTCCAGTAACTCCCTGCTCGAAGGGAGTTAGCGCTGGACGAATCACTGCTGCTGAATGGCTCCGAACCATCTTTCACGAGGCCATCAATGGCAATGTATACGACGGTAAAGGAGGAGTGGACGGCAGCATGCAATTTGAACTCGGCAACAGCGAGAATGCCGGCAATTTCGCGCCGTCAACGATCGGAATGTTTGCACCCTTCCTCTCCAGCCGCCTCTCCCTGGCCGACATCGAGGCTGTGGGCCTCTACGCTGCAGTTCGATCGTGTGGAGGGCCCGCCATCCCGGTCCGCGGCGGGCGCGTAGATGCCGCAGCAGCAGGGCTCTCTGGCTTTGTGCCCCAACCACAGAACAGTGCTGGTATTTTCGCAAACCAGTTTGCAAGACTAGGATTGGACACAGTGGGGATGATTCAAATCGTTGCTTGCGGGCATACCATAGGCGGGGTGCATGCGTCAGAAAATCCGGATATCATCAATGCCGGCACTTTCCCGAACGACTTTGCAACCATGGACACCACTCCTTCAACTTTCGACAACGCTATTGCTACTGAATACGTCGCCGGTACAACGAACGATCCCCTAGTGGTTGGTAAATCTATAACAACCAGCAGAAATTCAGACACAAAGGTCTTCGCCGCCGACAGGAACGTTACGATTAGGACTTTGCAAGATGCTACGGCATTTGCGAGCGCCTGCAAGACTGTATTCCAGAAGATGATCGAAGTCGTTCCCTCGAGCGTCACCCTTACAGATCCCATCACCCCGTATACGGTTAAGCCATATGATCTCCAGCTTACTCTTCTCGGCGGTGGCACCAACATCAAATTCACGGGCGACATCCGTATCCGCACCAGTACGCTTACCAACGTTGCTCTAGTTCAACTTGTCTACAAGGACCGCACGGGAACAGCCATGTCTACGCCCATTAACACCACTCCATCAGGAACTGCTTCCGGCTTTGACGACACATTCTCCTTCTTTGGCTTCTCCACAGAACTTGAAGCTGACACTTCAATTTCATCCTTCAATGTTCTTGTCACTCTGACTGGCGGATCCACGCAAGTCTTCGATAACAACGGCAATGGCTTCAAAGTAGACGACACTATCATTTACCAGTCCCCCCAAAGCTGCCTGGATGGTTCCGGGAAACTGACCGTTGTCGCCGCTGTCCGCAACGGAGCATCGTCCCCGAGCGTGAAGGTAGTAGTAAAGAATGCCCAAGCCAGCCCCAACCCGGTCCCTTCCTTATCCACTGCTACTGCCGCAATGGCAACCCAATCCGCTGTGGGCTCGTACCAGCTTTACTCTGCCGCCTACACCCTTTCCGGATCACAGGCCTCGTCCGCTGTGTTTGGTGTCTTCGCCGATAGCTCTTCCGACAATTACAAGAGCCCAAGCGGCCTCCCAACTGCTTGCACACCTCTAGGCTCATCAACGCCGACTTCTACCCCAACGTCTACCGCTTTCGCCTTCCAGGGCTGCTACTACGACGCCGGCGCTCCACGTGCCCTTGGAGAATCAGGCACCACCGGCGATACTATGACCGTTGAGAAGTGCGCTACCTTCTGCTCATCGTACCAGCTCTTCGGCTTAGAATACTCAAAGTATGTAACTCTCCTTCCATTTCCGTATGATCTAGAACGAGTGCTGACATACTTAGGGAATGTTACTGCGGCAATACCCTGGATGCTACAAGTACAATCCGGGCTCTCTCCGACTGCAACATGCCCTGCGGTGGTGACTCGGCCGAAATCTGTGGTGCCGGCAATCGCATCAGCCTGTACAAGAACCTCAAGTACTCACCGCCTGGCAACCCAACTATTGCAGGCTATGACTACAAGGGCTGCTACAGCGAGGGCTCTGCGGGCCGTGCGTTGTCTGATAGTGCGACTGCCAGCGATAGTATGACTGTGGAGTCTTGCGCTACTTTCTGCAATGGCGCGAAGTACTTTGGCGTCGAGTACGGAAGGTATGTGTTCATTTCGCGCCTTATCTTAATATGAGGACATCCGCTAATAAGCTCGTAGTGAATGTTACTGCGGCGGAACTCTCAACGAAGGCAGCACGCTGCAGACTTCAACTGACTGCAACATGTTCTGCTCTGGCAACAGCGCTGAGTACTGCGGTGCCGGCAATCGTCTCAACATCTATGAAAAGGCTGCTAGCTCTAGTTCCTCTACGCCGACACCCACACCGACGCCCTCTTCGACCCCATCTAGCTCAAGCGTTAGTTCCCTTAGCTCCAGCACCACCGTCTCGCCAGACGTCAGTCCTTCTAGCTCGAGCGTTGCTTCGTCATCTTCATCCTCCCCAACGCCAACGCCAACGCTAACATCATCCTCCACTACCGTCAGCAGTAGCACTAGTTCTTCCTCACCGTCGTCCACGCCCACACCAACCGGCCCTACGTACTCAGGCTACAGTTACACCGGTTGCTTGACGGACAGCGTGACAAACCGCACTCTAATTGGCAAATCCCGCGCCGTCTCCACGAACTCTTACTCCGACTGCGCATCATTCTGTTCTGGGTACCAGTTCTTTGGTCTTGAATACAGCGCGTAAGCATCTTTCCCCCTTCCTCTACGCCTAAACTAAGCACTAACGCGTTCCTAGGGAATGCTACTGCGCCAACGTTCTCGAATACCTAGAGAAGAACCCAGACTCCGACTGCAGCATGACCTGCTCCGGCGACTCCTCTCAATCTTGCGGCGGCCCCAACCGCATTACCGTCTTCAACTCCACCACGCTCGTTCAGCAGCCCGGCAACCCCAGCATCCCCGGTTACGCATACGCCGGCTGCTACACGGACAGCGTGGGCGCCCGCTCGCTGAACGACGACTACATGTTCGATTCCGCCATGACGGTGGAGAAATGCGCAACAAGATGTAATGGCAGTAAGTATTTCGGCATGGAGTATGGCGGGGAATGTTATTGCGGTGCGGCGTTTGCGAATCCGAGCACCAAGGTGGCGGATGCCGAGTGCAGTATGCTGTGTGGGGGCAGTACGATGGAGTTTTGTGGGGCGGGGAATCGGTTGACGGTGTATGAGAAGGACAGCTAGACGAGGGGAGCTGGACGTTGCATTTGAGTATTGGTTGTTTCTTGCGAGATACCACGGAGAGCACGAGGGGAGTGTTGCATCGTGGTTCGCCCACGACTTAGTTAATGTTTGATGATTTTTAGACTGCATGCATGGTTTGCATAGTCTGAATGATAGTAATATCTAAACCCCAGTTTTCTCTTTCCTCGCTCTAGGAGATGTGTATCGCACAGCACGCTAATTCCTCATACGTATCGGACCTGCATTGCATAGCGGAGAGCGCGCCGCCCACCGTGACCATGAGATGTAAGACATGAAGTCGGAAGTGTGTGCCACGTGGCGGATCCCATCGGGAAGTCGCGATGAGGTTGCGGTGCGTCCCGCAGCGCTACGAGGAATGAGAGAAGCACTCTGACGCACATGACCGAAGCCAGCTTCTCCCTTGTGTGGGTGTTCGAGCCGAAGGGCTTCGTCGATCAGTACCCGCTCTCAAATACGGCATAGCTAAGCTGAAATGCTGAAGCACATATGCAACATCTTTGGTTCGATAGAGCAAGAGGGTACGGGAGAGAAGTGTGGTTCATTACAAGATAGTCCTACTTATCTAGGACAAAAAATCAGTACTCCGTTTCTAATTGGGAGCACCCATCAAACCTCTTCCGTCTTCTCTTCAGGCCCTGAGATATCAGAGTACGCTGGCGGCTCAGCCGAATAATCAGACGCCAATAGCGCTGCCTCGGCCTCTTCCCTGGCTTCCGCAAGAGCTTTCTCCTGCTGCTCGCGCACGATGCGCCGACGGAAGAAAACGGCCGCGCTGATCACAACAGCCCAGAACGTGAGAACGCCCCAGGAATCCGTGATACTCGAAAGCATCAAACGCAACGTCCTCGTAACCGTGCCAATCTTCCCGTAGTAATCCCACTCCAGGGGGTTATACTCGGTCCGCATCATAGCGAGCTTGCCGCACTTCATCTTGAACGGCTTCACGCGGTCCTCGCGCTCCACGACCTGTACGTCCTCGATGTACAGCTCGGCCCTGTCCACCGGCTCGCGCAGCAGGATCTGCACCATCTTCTGGCCCTCCTTGTCGAGCTTCGCGCTGGCTGCGTTGTACGTGGAGCGCTGGTGCACGGCGGTGACGTCGAACTGGATCCAGTTCCTGCCGAACGCGCGAGTCCCGATGACGGCGTGCTCGTACTGCAGCTCGAACGTCCCGTACTTTGTGCCGACGACCCAGCTCCGGTCCAGCATGTGCTGCGTCGTCATCTTCGTCATTGTGTCCTGCGACAGGTTTGCGGGTGTCTGGAACGCAGATATGCTGAGTGGCATCGGGTCGAGGGGCGCGATCCGTTTGCCGTTGAGCAGGAGGCCGGGGCGAGCGTCGTCAACGGTGAAGTTGAGCAGCTATCCATAAGTCAGTCGCCATACTCTGAGTTCGGGATAGAGTGGCCCCACCAAGGAGTTCTCCTGCGGCGGCTCCTGCCAGTGCTCCACAACCTCATACAGCTCGCGGACGCGGAACGGACATCCCACGCACTCCAGCTTCACGACATAGCTCTTGTTCGCCGTCACCGTCGTGATAGCCGGCGCCAGCTCTGGGAGTGCTTGTCCATGCTCCTTGTACCAGGCAGCCGTCTTGTCTGGCAGATAGCTCCATGCTGTGTCTGCGCTGTCCGCTGCAGCTGCGAGAGCGATGAGTGAGCCCACGAGAGTAAAATTCCTCATAGCTATGTAGGTGATGCGAGGGCGAGGATGAGTGATCGCCAGAGCCCGACCCGATGCCCAGGTGTCCTCCTTGCGCTAACGTAGCGCTAATGCCAGTCTAGTCTAGCGTCGGATCTATTTTGGGACGAGCGGACCCTGCATTGAACGACCGCAGCAATCTTTCTTCCCACGATAATCGCCGTCACCAGGGGACCTTTCTCTCGTACGGGAAATACCTGCAACACCGCGCCGCGACACGATTTCCCATTTTCGGCAGCCGTCTCGGCGTACTGCGCCCTGATAGCCCCCTGATAACACACTGTCGGTGGGAGATCCAAATCTCCTCCACCCACCGGACCTGAAGCCATCGCTAAAATAACGCCACACGAAACCCTTTTCAAAACGCTTATACGATAAGAGCGCAGATCCTCTTTCGCCAGGAAGGCTTTGAGACGAACACGGGAGAGCAATTCCTCTCTCAGCCCCCACAGTCACAAAGCGTCCTGGCAAGCCACGTCCCATCTCAAAACACGGACCCCATAAGGCTGGGAAATAAGATTCAACCCATTGGAAAATTGGGCTCGTGCTCGCGTCCCATTGGCTTACATCACGAATCCTCCTTCGCCGTGCCTCCCTCAGCTGCCTCACGCTGCTTGGAAAGGGGGTTTCTCGTATCGTCTTCTCCCTGGACGGACACGTAGTTTTTGAACAACGCACTCTGCATCACGAAGGCAAGGAATCGTTTGACGAGACGTTGTGAGCCCTTGTTTTGGTGTTGCTGCGGCTGCGAGGTAACGATCGGGACATGGAGCGAACCTCGGGGTCGCTAGTGCAGCGGAGGAACGCTGAGGGGTTGCTTACTTGGTGTCAGCCTCAACCGCCCGCTCCGCCTCTACGCCCGACGCCCCATGCAGTGTTACCAAATCCGCATCCTGGGTTGCCTGGCGCACTGTCATTTCCCAAGCCCGCTGCAGCAATACTTAAATACATTGCGGCCTCGTGTCGTCTTGTGGTTTTCTTTCATTGTGTTGGGATTCCGCAACCGGTCATCGCGTCGCTTTTCACGTGCTCGCTTACTTTCACCGACGTTGAAAGACGGTCACTTGGGAAAACACACATTCCTTCAGCTTCACCCTAGCCTCTGGCCTGATCGTCCCGGACTTCCAGACACTGATATTTAGTCGACTCCGCTGAACGTTCGCTCTTCCACTACCACATTTTTCATTCTCCGACTCCAAGTTTTATACACCCGTCACCATGACTACCATCCAGAAACAAGAGTGGCACCACTCCGGTGCCTCGTGCTGCAGTCCAATTGGCACTTGTACGTACTCACCACAATCGCGCACCGCGTGGAACTAACACCCGCGTAGGCTGCTTGGCTTGGTGGTGCCCCTGCATTCTCTTCGGCCGTACCCGCTACCGAACCAAGAACAATGGCAACATGAGCGGCCATTCCTGCTGCAACGGCTCCGTACGCCTCCCTCCCATCTTCCCCGCATACCCACTAACAACCCACAGTGTGCTGCCTTCTGCGGTCTCATGTGTCTCGGCGTCCCCTTCATTCTCCCCTGGATCAACCGCGGCGACATGCGCGCCAAGTACCACCTCAAGGGCAACGGCTGCACCGACTGCCTCTGCGCCTGCTGCTGCACCCCGTGCGATATGGTGCAGCAGGAGAAGGAAGTCATCTACCGCGAGAACCAGCCCTTGATGCAGCAGCCGGGCAAGGAGCATATGAACTATGCACAGCAGCAGTATGCCCCGCAGCAGCAACAGTACGCCCCGCAGCAGCAGCAGCCGCACTTCCACCACGGTTAGAGCGCGCGTCGACGGGACGTGAAGCTTTCCACTGCTTGCTTTTTCAAAACCGTTTTCGAACCATCTCTTTCGTTAATTGCGCGGCGTGTTCTTTTGGGCAGATCGGTACAGAGTTCGGATAGTCCGTGGAAGGAAAGGATTGACTTATTGATTCGGCCGCGACGCCCCTAAAGATACCAAATTTCACAATTTTTTTCCGCCTCTCGCAGATTTCTGCGTGCCTCTGTGTGGTGTTGAATCTACCCATTGTTGCGTCTAGCACTTTCGACTTCTCCCAATTCCTCAGTCGGCGATTCATCCTGTTATTGGATATAAGGATGTTATTCCTACAGAGCATAAGGATTGCGATCCTTTTTCTCCAAATAGTTGTAAGCCCTATATTCCACATATATAGGTAGTTAGCGTGTGTAAAAGGTTTTACGACGCTCTCGCTACTTACTACTCGAGTGAGGAGATAGAGCCCGCGTTTAAATACTACCACTAACACTATTACTCTTGTTTGCGTAGCTCTCTACTCTACGACGAGGAGGTAGAGGTTACGAGGTAGTGGGGTGTGCTAGCGAATATATAGGACATTATTTTACAGAGCAGAACGATTGCGATCCTTTTGCTCCTGATACATTCGGATTCTGCAGTCTACCAATCTGGTTAGTTCGCGCACGGCCCACAGACTAGTAGCAAACATCAACCCACATCTTTCTCTTTCGACCTTTGCTCTCGTACGAGCGCAGAGCCCACTCCGGATGAACAGCATGGCGGCGCCTTCTACAGCCGCTACAGCCCCCCTTACAGCCGCGATGGCCTTAGACCGAGGCCGTGAGCTGTACAAGAAAGGCGACCTACTAGAAGGTACGGGCGCTACATCGTAACTTGCTGTTCACTGACTAGACCTTCTTGCAAGCCAAGGCGGCATTTAAAGACGCAGCGCGCCTTTCTCCAACAGACTCTGTGCCTCTTTCCAATCTGTCTGCAGTCGAGTTCGAACTTGGCAATTACACTGGTTGCGCCCTCTTCTCGCGGAGAGTGTTGGCGTTGCTTGAAGGCCAAGAGGAGCAAAACAGGAGCGCATGCGTCAGAAAATCTTCCAAAGATTAGCGAAGGCTGAGTTTTATAACCTGAATTTGGAGGACGCTGCCGCTGCCCTCTCAAAGCATGAGGCCGGGGCCACCCGTTTGCAGCTTGAGCCATCCCTATCCATCACCACTCGCATTCGGGAGACCACGGATGAGAAGACGTGGCGAGATAGGGTTCTGGACCGTCTTCCGAAATACAAGCCCCAGCTGTAAGCCACCTGCCAGTGGAATCCACGTTGCGGTCATTATCCGATATTTATTGTCGCAGGCAGGACGAACCGGAATACTTTTCCGTGGGACATGACGCAGCGGATACGATGGTGACTCCGCCTATGCTCGCAACCTCCGGCAAGACCCTCGCTTTCCTCTTCTGTGGTATCGGTGATGCTCGCAATTTGCTCGCCACTCTTGCGTTCATCAGTTTGCTCGAGATGCAGAAGCCCACCGCTAAGACGTTTCACTTCACGATTGTGGACCACAAGGCCGCTGTTTTCGCTCGAGATCTCTTGATATTTCAGCTCCTTCTCGATGCGGTCAAAGAATCCAAAGCGAAGAGCCGAGAGACGCTAGTGGTGGTAAGCTTTTTGTTTGCCGCCCAGGTTATGCCCCAGTGGGTGTATGACCGGCTGCAACAGGCCATCAGAACTGTACTGGGTTCTCTGGAGAATACTAATACCGATGTTATGGGCATGTTCTACATCCCAGCAGATACACGATGGCGGATTTCCCGTCATCTTGAAGCTTGGCAACAGCCCCCCGAGCCATGGTATAACACGGCTAGCCTTCGAAGGCTCACACGCGAGCACGTGGGTGACCAAGACGAAGAATTTGGCACCAGCAGAGATCCTATCCCGGGAACACCCGCCGGCTGCGAGAATGATGGGCCCGACGCCTTGGGCTTTGAGGAAATGACTGTTCTTCTCCCCCACATGGACCTGCTGGAGGCCAAGGAACCACACTTCGCTAAGATATTCCTGGCCTATAGTCGAACTCACTCTCAAGCTCTAATGAAGAATATCAGCGACTACATCGATTCAATGTGGCAACCTAATGTGACTCTGGTGGATCTGGACTACGAAAACAAACGAGAAGGCACGCATCGACCCCTCATGGCCATTCGACCACATGAGGTTGCGCGTGCGCTCTTCGGCCACATTCCGGCTACAATAGCCGGAAAAACCAGCGGCGTTCTTAACCATATCGTTTCATTCTTCGAATTCGTTGCCAATTTCATGGATAAGATTCGCTCACGGACCGCTATCGAGGTGGTTATCGGAGAGATGTCAGATACCTTTCAGCGACTGCGACACGGGCTTTTGCGTGACAAGCAATCCAAGATGGGCAAGCTCGATCCTCTCGTCTTTCCGGACAACTACGATCGTATCCACACTAGTAATATCCCGTAGGTACTGCCGCAAAAGGAGCTTGTGCATCTAGCTGAACAGTGTCCAGAGACTATGTTGGAGGGCCCCTTTCCACCTTCCTCCATGGCTTACCGATCCTGCGCCGCAGTAAGTCGTCCTTGTTGACTTCATACGTTCTGCGCAACATACCCGTCTGGATAACGCACAACGACTTTCTCGCTGAATACCTACTTTTGGGTAAGCGAGACCAAGTGCATAACCAGTTCAACACCTTCATCTGTGACACATCCGTCAAGAACGAGGAAGAGCTATCGGGAAAGCTCATCGATGGTGGAGGGTGTGTTATGGCGGAGAGGTATAATTGGGCGCGAGACGCCAAGTTCCCATTACCTTATGGTCGTTTGATGCCACGGCCGGAACTCGAGCGTTGGCTGTGTGCTCATTTTCTGAAGCTCTGCTTGCCATTTCCTCGGCCTCAGACGGGTCGTAACCAAGTCTTTGCACCCCTCAACATGACGACGATATTTCACTTGGTGCTTCATGCGTCCGAATGCGGATATCCGGCTCATTGGCTCTCAGACATCTTGGCCAAGCTCTGCGACGGCGAGGTTACTACCACGGCACGTGCACCGCGCCTCCTGGTCACTAACGCGAAGGAATGCGAAAAGCGATATCCGCCCATCAAAGTCTGCCTGCGTCCCTTCATGGCCGAGTTCAGAACGCTTATGGCCTTATGGCGACCCCTGTTTCCATTCGGCGTCCTGCTTTCCCGCGACACGCTTCCAGACTGTCGAGACATTAGCGAATACAAGATCCGGTTTCCTCCTCTTTACCCACACAACCTGGAATGGCCGCACTTCATCATAGTTTTCAAAAACCGACGCTACGATGTCAGGCACGACTTACGAAGCGCCTTGCTTGATGACGAGACCGGAGACATAAGTCCGGTGGCGAAAAAGACGAGAAATGCCCCCGGGATTCATGTCATTTCCGTCTTCGGCTGGAAGACTGAGACAGCGACGGCATCGCTCTGGCTGGGTGATGCTGTGGTGAGCGGATTGCTGGCGGAGCCCGGTTGGGAAGCGTTCATTTGGCGCGCGGATGATTGGACGCCCGCCATGGGTCCGGTGTCCCTTACGGCGACGGGTGTGCTTGCAAAGGGAAGTGCTTGGTGCTAGGCGACTAAGTAAATTATGCTGAAGCACTTGAGGATATGGCTTTAGAAATCCATGGGAATGACAACGGAGGCTGCAGACACAATATACTGCCGCCTTGAAGGGAGGACATCGGTATAATGTCAAAATAATTTGGTGGCATGCGTACCGTTCAAACTTTCACAAAAGGAAAGGTAGCCGTAACGTCCTCGATATGTCTCACCCCAGTGAGTCTCACCCGAATCCACCCTTGACAGTGACACGTCCGGGATGCCTTCTTTACTACATGCTCAACGTAGCCAATTGCGATATCCTGAGTTTCAGAACTGCACTCCTCCTACCGTTGATCCCCACTAGTGCTGTTCGGCATTTTGTTCGGCGTCAAGGTCGCGGGAGACGCACTCGTCATGTTTGACATTGGTATTCCCGTTTTAGGCCCGAGGCATTCCATTTGACGTACCATCACCTTGAGCTACCCTGATCTCCTATGCAGGCTGAAGCCGAAGTATTGGCAGCCACTCAGACCCCAAACGTAGCCGCAGACGCAATAGTAGCGCTCGACGATAGCCAGGGCTTCCACCTCATCAGTGGCGCGATAGAGAAGACAAGATATGAGAAGTGGAAATGGCGGCGATAGGTAGGGCGGCTCAGGCGTCTTACTTTATTGTCGGCGGGTGATTCGCGGTTGAGTTCGAGCTTGTGCGAGAGCGGCAGAGCGAGAGTGCGAATGAGTGAGTTACCGGCCCGCCGTGGGAGGTAACGCCGTTGTGGGAATGAGCGGCGCGGAGTCAAGCCGGCTTCCTCTACATCTTTTAAGACGCGCTGATCGCGTTTCATTAACTTCCTAAATATTTTAGTAACACTGAAGGTGAATGTATTGGGCACAAATCGAACGATGAAGTGATACACTTATATTTGTAGTATTGGGTGAAGGAGCTGAACACGTAAGCCGCGAATGTGCGAATTAGAATGCAAATTCATCTATGAATATGTCATGATATCCTCCGCTTGCCCGTGACGGAAATCGGTTCTTTCATCGCCCGTGCCGCTTCAGAACCATGCTAATGAGCTAAGTCGCGGATTCTGTGAGGGTGGCAGTGTCTTCGCCGTACTGGTTCCGAGGGGCTGGAGCCGAGCTACTATCGTAGGTAGAACCATTACTGGTGGCGTTGCCTCCCGCGCGATGTGGACCATGTACGCTCTGATCATAGCCGGATCCAGCAGGCGAAGGTATAATCGGCCGGCGCTCACGCGGCCAATAGATCGGGGTCCTACAAAGCGGGCAGAGAGGAGAGCTTGGCTCGATGCCGTTGACCCAGCGCTCGATACAGTGGGCGTGAAAAACATGGCCGCATGCTACCTTCCACCGGCCCGTTTCGCCCAGCCCCATTTTCGTGAAATAGTTCTCCAAGCAGATACAGCAAGCTGGATCCGTTAGGGCGTGAGCCGGGCCTGCGATGCGATTGGCCTTGATTCGGGGTCCGACAGCTTCGAACCGCACATCTTCGAGTGCCGCCGGATCGTAGTGCTGCCATCGGTCGATGAGGGAAGGCGGAATCCGGCAATTGCTCAGATGCCCAGGTACATAGTTCGCAACGGCTGGAAACCCTAATTCCACGAATCGGCTAAACTCGCTGGTCGCGTACCTTCGCGATATTTCGGCACGCGCATGCTCTCCAACCGAGCGGAGAGTGGCCTGGATGTACCAGTAGAAGAGCTCCCAAGCTATGTACTCGTGGGGTGTATCTTCGAGGATCTCCTCTGCCTTCCGGACAAGGCAAAACTTCCCCGGATATTGACCTTGCCGAGGGCGCGACGGACCGAGAGAGCTACGCTGCTTAGGGGATCGGACACCAGAACCGACAAGTTGTGAACAACGTAGTCGGTCAGGGCTTCCACAGTTTCAGTCGAAGGTATATAAGCCGTTTTGCGGAAAAGATCGCACACAATGGCGACGAGGAAGGCGAACTCTCCATTGGCGATGGCCCAAACCGCTGGTTCGTTGTTGGCGACGAAGCGGAGAGCTCTATGTAGCTCGGAGAAAACGTAGGGGCCTTTCCGAGAAGTGCTCGTGATCTCCTCGACGTTGCTTGGTCGATCGGTATAGACCGGTTGTTCTGCGACCAGCCTGTTGAGGAAGTCCTTGTAGCGGCCTTCATAGGTCTGATCCAGGATTCCCAGCGTATGTGCGACGTGGAAGTTCATTCGTAAACCGTTGAAGGTATAAGGGTTGATGGCCCGCACATTGCCGAAGTCGTGGAGCCGAATCACGAGCTCGTTCCAGAGCAGATCGAAGTCCCATCGCTGTGGACGTTTGCCGTCCGACCGGCTCCTAGACCATACGGCGGGCTTTGCGCGAGCGCATCTTCGGAGCGTTTGAGCGCAATCTTTACGACTTCGCAGTAGGCTTTCAGAATGAGTGTCCGTGCGTCATGCGTCATGCCCAACGCTAGAGAAAGGTCGAGATATTCGAGCGGTGCGGTGTTATGGTATTCTGGATCGTAGGTTCTCCGCGCCATGATGGAGTGTGATGGTATTTGCTGAGTTGTGAAGATCAAACCGGTTGAAAAATTTGATGAAGTGTGGAAGATCGTTTGGTACCGATCTGGCTGTGGATTTTTCGGGAAGTGCAACTCCTACCGGGGTTCAAAGCTCAACATCTATGATATCTGGAACGCTAAAATTGGACGTTTCAATCATCTGGAAGCCTGAGTGAAGCGGTTGTTGGCCGGCTGCAGCTGTTCGTGCGGAGTGGTAGCGTGTAAAATATCGAGACCATGTGAATTTTCGTCGCAATTGAGACATTCATTGTGAAGGATTGAAGCGCTACAGGGAGTGTCTAGTGAAAGTGTGATGTTCATTACTTTTTTGCGGTAGAGCCGGTAGAGGATTGCGCGGTGAGGACGCGCGCACAATATTCGACGTTGTTCCGTGACCATGATTCAAGCAACCTTTGACCGAACAATGGAAGTGTGCGGGCCATATACAAAAGCTCCCGGGCGCTCTGAGCCTAGTTCGGCAACCAATGGAACCTATCGAGGAAATGAATGATCAAGAAGCAGTGACCACGCCTCAGACTGATTGCCGTGGAGCTTCCCCACGATTCCGTCGCATTCGTCTACCGGAGCTGGAAAAGCTGTTCGGAAAGCCTCACATTCGAAAGAATCCACCAGAAGCTGGGCGGATTTTGGCCTGCTTCACCAATCTCAGCCTCTGCATCGCCTCTGGCGCGTACATTAGCGCGGAGGCGGCACTCGAAGGCGTATGTACATACTGGTACGAACTAGTTGAGACAGTAGATCTCAATGACGACAACCGGTCCCATCTTAGGCGGGTGGACCTCGCACACACAGTCCGTAGGCTGTGGGAAGAAATCCGGGAGGAACGGTGGCGTGGCTTGTGTGGCCAGGATCTGCTTCTTCGAGCGGGCGCTCAGGTGAACATGGTGGGCCTCCTTCTGTTCGGAGTGGAGAGCGTAGATGATCCGCGAAAAGAGCAGTTGCTGCAGCAGCCTAGCCAGCTTTTCCCGATTTCGTTTCCGCGGCGGCGTGAACGTGTCGAACCCATTGATCTGGGTGCCATTTCCTCCCCACTAGATAGCCGCACACCCGAATCGGCGGAAGCGGAGTGTGCAATCTGTCGGGATCGCGTCGAAGATGGAGTGAAGATCAAGTGTTGCCGTCACTGCTTCTGTAGAGAGTGCCTCGACGCGTGGCTGAACGGCGAGGGAGAAGGCGCCACGGACAACTGTCCGATGTGCAAGGCGAAACTGACTGCCTGAAAAGTCCATTCTGAACAGAGCGGCGCCGTAGGTTGTCAAAAATAGCGAATGGGGCGTTCATGGGATGGGATATGTGGTTGATGCCGGGCACGAAGCTTAACTGGATTGGGATAGGCGCGGACGCGGGGCAACCGCAGTCTCCCTTGCGGCGCAAACGCGGTGGAAGCTACTTGCTTTACTTCTTAGAGTTATTTCAACTGACTAACTGCGAAGACCCTCGCGAAGACCCTCGGCCACTACATGTGTCGAAGGTCCCGGCAGAACTCTCATACCCCTGCGTGACTCATACAGCCAGTCATCTGCACCACAGTAGCAAGTGCCCTACAACTTCCAGCCCAGTCGGATGTATCAACTTATCGCGCCATGTCTTCCGAGACCACACCTTTCTCCGACATGCGTCCTATTTTCCCTTGCGACGGAGCCTTCTTCACGCGCACGACAGCCTCGCCATGAACGCCGACCACGCTCTTGGCCCGATCGAGCATTATCCATTTCTAGTGGAATTACCAAGCTCCATCCGAGTACAAAAGGAAAAGTTAGCACAATGGCCTTCAGTGCCCTTTCCGAGAACCGCATGGATATGAATAGCACTTTAGAGTGCCCCTGTGTTGGCGGATATAAGGAATCATAACTGAAAGAGCAGAAGGATTAGATCCTTTTGCTCCTAAAAGCTATAAGCCCAGATATTCTGCATAATACAATTTTTTTTTATAACGCCCTTACTACTCCGCAAGTTATACTATACCCCGCGTTTAATCCCTACCTATATCTACCTACCTACTATAAGCCCAGAGGCATAACCTAGAGGCAGTAGCTAGCCTAATAAAATGGCAGCTTTCTACTCGCAAACAGACGTTTGCTTACTACAAGCTAGGGGGGGTTGTTAGCAGATATAAGGAATCATAACTAAAAGAGCAGAAGGATTAGGTTCTTTTGCTCCTGAAACCCTGCTTTAAGCCCACGGAAGACCCGGATCGAACACTACAACGGAAAGAGGACCGGAGAGAACGAGAATCCTAGCGTTAGAACTCCCGATACAGTCCTCCAATGCGCTATTCGCACTAAATCTCCTTCGACCGACAGTCGGTTGCCGTGCGCCTTCGGCGGATCATTATCCCAGTCTAGGAGACATAAATTTCCGACATATAGGTTTGAGGCTCAAGACTCCCGGCGGCCCATTTCAATAGGATGCAATCCCCTGACCGCGTCATTGTAAGGTGACATCAGACAGCCACGTCAGCTCATTATAGGTACACATAGCGGCTAAGCGCACAACGCGGACTCTAGAGCATAGCAGCCGAAAGATAAAGGCATCATAACATTCTCGCAGTAAAACATGGTCAACGCAACTAAGCTGCTTTCTGTCAAGCCCACTGTCCAGCGTGGAAATGTCAAGACTGCAAACCATGACTCCGGAGATGATGCAAACTCTGGCTACTCCCAGTCTCAGCCGAACCACGTTCCCGCTCGTCGCACTATGCCTCATGCACATCGAGACTTGTCTCGACGACCAGCCCGAGGCCTTTGAAGATCGCTACCTGAAGTTCTTGCGAGTGTACGCTGATGGCCTCCTCGTCGCGCTTCGGCAGAAGAAGGGCGAGACCATGGAAGCCATCGCAAACGACTACAACAACACTTCACTAATTTGGGATAATGACCTGCGTAGCCAGTACGCCGGCGCTCTTAACCTCTTCCCGGATTTTGGTCCCATCTTCCAGGAGATGATCAGCAATATCCGGAACTGGACAGTAGAGCCTATGGAGGAGTGGGAGGGGCCAAAGATTCTGTATGGGCTGCGCTTGCACCCAATGCAGGCTTGGGCGATTGAGGTCATGGAGGTCGCGAACTCAAAGTATGCTGGTGTAGTACAACAGATTTTCAGGAAGCAACCAGTCTATTATGATGCGCCATCAAACTTTGACCAGTACCTGCAGGCTGGCAGTACACTAGGGGCGGATCCATTCATGGAGCTGACGCAGGCGCTACGCCCGTTCGTTCACGATAAGGACGCGATCTTCGATGTCCTGGATGCGTTCATGCCCCCGCTGATGCTGACGGTTGAGCTCTTCCGCATTACGGACTTCGAGCCCCCTCGAGCGGAAGTAGACTGCCTCACCGATTTCATTGTGCAGTGCTGGTCGGCTATCGTGTCGAACCCTCTGCAGAGCTCTCCAATGCGAGTTCGCCAACATCTCTCAACCATCAACGTACGCGGCATCCTCGAGATGTTCTGCCATGAGGCGAAGGAAATACTGCGCATTCGCTCTTCCTCGTACCTCGGGTGGTACATGCATTCCTGGTTCTTGCGTAGCGCAACTAGCGACTTCGTTGATCCGCATCATGACGGGTACATACGGTATGTCATCTGCGAACTCCGCGGTTGGGAGCGCCTACTTACCGACCATGATCCAGTAGTCGACTATGTTCCCAATGGCTTTCAGCCGTTCCGGCTTGGTGAACAATTGGAGGATCTAGTAGATATGGAAGATGTGCACTTTAGGCCCGTCGGCCCGCCGCTGAACCCTCTGGACTATGCTGATCCAGTCACTGCCGAGGACCCACAGGAGATTTGCGTTGTTTGCCTGACTTCGTTTGGGGTGCGCCCTCTTTTAAAGCTCCGGCCCTGCCTGCACGTTCTCCACCGCGAGTGTCTCGATTCTATGATTAACGGAGTCCATGCCTCGTCCAATCGGTGTCCTCACGATAGGCAGGAGATCTGTTCGCCGCGGGCGAAGTGTGCCATCCTGGATCTTTAGGGATACGCCATTGGACGCTGCGAAACTTGTTCTTCCTACGGGACCAGAAAGGGGCCTCGAAACTGCGCTCTCGAAGTGTTCAATAGAATCATCCCAGATAATCAGAACATTAATCAATCAAGGATTAACTCCGTGATGAAAGCTACGTAGGCCGGTATTACTGCGCATGAACCTTCCCCTCGGAGAATGTAGGAAGGGCATGCTTGTGGTATGTGCAAAAAACATAGTCATTGTGTATACACATCACCGATTGTGTTAGCCTCTGGGGAAGATGTCTGCTCTTTACTATGAAAATGTTCAGTCATACTGCTATCATAAATACGAGTATTCGCCCTGGTAAAGACCAGACAACAACACATTGAGCATTGAAGAGAAGACAAACGGTCCACAACACGCTGTGGTTCAAGATGAGTCACACGGAGAGCATTCTGCCACACCTCAAGAAATGCCTGGAGCATATCGAGGAAGTGTCGACCGATTTTGCCGCCGACTTGCAGGGGGTACTCCATCGCTACCATATGCTCGTCCAACTAGCGATGCTCCAAGGCAGCGGCGGGGAAACGAACGGCGTGCATCAGCGCTATCTCGACAAATGGACTCAACATGTCACTGAGAAGCATAATCGCAATGGCAAGGAATTTCCCACATCTGAAGATATCTGGCGAGAAATCGTCGCCAATAATATCTGGTGGGGCCGTGATGATCCTTGGAGGAATCACCTCGTATCACAGTCGGGACAAATGACACTGCGCTCTATACTTTGGACACTTGAAGCTCCTGTAATGGCTGACCCAAAATACAAGGAGACTGTTGATAGCATCGTCGCGAGGCAACCTCGATTTCAAGATCAGCCGGCAGACTTAGTGAATCTCTCTAGCGAGGATATTCTGCCACCTCTCACCTACGCTCTTCGCCCGTATTTGCAGCACGAAGACGCCCTCCTCGGCATTCTCCGTATGTTCGCAATCATTACAACGATGTTGGTAAGCGCGTTCCAATGTACGGGCTTCCACCCCTCCGCTATCTACTGTCGCAGCGCTGAAGACCATATGGTGAACATGTACAGCTCAATGGTATCCGACCCCTTGAGTCCCGTGTCTTTGGAAGGACGTCGGCACCTTGCCGATATAAATATCCGTGGATTGTTGTGGCTGCTCTTCTCATACGGAGAGCACATAGTTGCGACGTTCGGGGGCGAACATCTAGGCTGGTATATGCACACCATGCTTCTAGACTACGCAAGTGGTCGTTATGTTACCGACGATGAGGATCGCACCGTGCTAAGGAGGGTGATGTCGCAATGCTTTGGCTGGGTTCCTCCTAATCTACGGGAAGACCGCCCAGTAGTGAACTACACTCCGGGGGTTTTCTACGACCGATATTCCTTTCGGATACAAGATCTGCAGAACCATGATACAGATCCGGAGCAACTAGAGGACATCGAGTTTGAGCCAGTTGGAGAGCCGCTAAATCCCTTGGACTACGGGAGTACGGCAGAAGGGAATGCAATAGAAGGGTCCTGCACCATCTGTCTTGAGGATTACGGGATTGATACACTGGTTGAGTTCGCCTGCAAGCACACTTTCCACCTGCGGTGTGCGACGGAGCACATCAACGAGATCCACGGTTATTCCAACAAGTGCCCGAACTGCCGTCAGGAGATTTGCTCCCCGAGGCCGAAGCAGCGAAAACAGCGAATAGTACGTCGTAGTAGCTAGTGGGGGAGTAGCCTATGATACTTCTGGGCTAGAATGTCAAGATAATTAGACTCAGTCTTCATGGCTCGCAAGACGAGCTGAAAAATTATAGCGCTTAGTAGAATTCTCACATTTAATCTAAGAGTGTCTTAAGTTCGGAATAGTCAGTTCAGGGAGACTCATTTCCTTTTGACCATCGCTGTTGGTAGGTATTCTTGTTTGACACGTTTTTCTCTTGGGATCCACGATTTGCGTCAGTTGTGATGGGCAGATAGTCCTATTGGCACAAAGGGCACATAACACGTCAACTAAGGCTAGTAGATCAACTCACATGTCACAATATTCCAGTCTTCCATCACTTTAACACTAGCTAGCGCGGCCGTAATCCCTGTGCTAGGACGCATAGAAGAAGCGAGCCCAGGCAAGGTAGCAACTGTTGGACCTTCATGAGCTGAGACGGGCGGCGCGAGAGCAACACAGATCGAACTGGCTCAGGATTGCGTCGAGCGTAGCGGCTCCGTCAGTACTGGAAGCGAAACATACCCAGCCATGGCGTGTAGCGCTTTATGACCTGTTCTTTCATCTGTAGTTGTACTGCAGCGAGAACAAATTGGAAGCTTATAAAGTATCCGAGAATTAGAGGCGCTTGATCCTTGTAGTTAAAATCACGGTGGACATCATGTCATGTACCTTATTGTCAGAGAATGTCTACTAGAAATTGAAGAAGTCAGCCAAATAGCTCTTGAAAGATCTTCCGTTGTGAGCACTAGATGCTCCATCTACAGATCTTTTCAAATACGATGTGAAAATTATGACGCTCATTGTAATTTGACAGATCCTGTCGATAGTGGCTCCGCTAGTACTTAAAACGGGGCCCAAGCTAGGGGATCCTATTTTCTTCCCGCCAACTGACGATCGGAACCATTATCTGAATATGGAGACTTACACCCCGATTCCGGTCTTCACACTGACGTTCAAAGCGAATGCCGACCGCAACTTCCTCACTACGCAGCAAACTATCTGGGAGCTCACGGAATTAGTCTTCTCAGCATGGCTTGCACGCCAGCAGCGCGGGGCTAGTACGCGCCATCGGGGCTACCGGCGCTGCCATCGAATATTCATGGACCCGGACTACAACGATGACGAAGTAAATCCCCACTATGAGGCACAATGCAAGATAGTACGGGCGGCCTTTCGCGAAGCCATGTCACGTCTGAACATTAACTTCCGTGAAGTTTGGAAACAGCTTATTCGTAATGCCCCTCGGATGGGAGGTGGGATAATGCCTGAACGCAGCGGGATGGAGTATACTGGAAAGAGGGATTGGGATAATCGGTGGGTCATTGAGTGTGCGATACACCCTGAAGCTGATACGGATGGTTCTCTCCGACCGTGGCTGGCAAAATACCTAGATCAGTTTCCACCACTTCGGATAGTTGCGAGTGACGCTGTGCAACAGTCGGGCGAGGCTGGTCCTACAAATAAATTCCCGGGGCTCACACGCTCGCTCCAGGGGGTATGTATTTCACCAGCTGGGTTTTCGGAAGAGGAGACTCAGTTTCTCCGCGAAACGTACAGTCGTACTCAGCCTGAGGTAGAAAGGACAACATTCCCGCTGGAGCCGAATACGCTAGATCTCGTTGCATGCTTTGCCAAGTACCAGTCGCAGTATTATGATGACATTTTCCACATCCTCTACCAGTACTTTCGTATTGGCATGAATGCGGTAGATGCTTTTCGGTGGTGCTACAACGGCGAGCATTTAGAACATCAAGCTATCGAGATCTGTCGAGATCTGACACATGAGTTGATCGCGAATACTCTGGAAGACCCTTACGCAGACGTCAAGCGCCACAACACGGATGGGCGTACATCTTCCCGGATTCCTATCTCCTCGACGGCTAAGAAGGTCATTGCAGACATGAATGCCGAGGGCAACTTTGACTTTCTTATCGAGAATGTCGTCCTTGACTTCTCTGAGCAGGGCTACGCAAATGCAACTTACGGTTGGCGGATGTACTACTGGCTCATCAACGCTGCAACGGCCATTGAAGGCCCTGAGATTAGCTTCACTGTCGCGAGCATCATTAGGAACCATTTTCGGCTTGATGGCCACGAAGTCCAGTTAGACTTCCGTCCACCCGGTATGGAGTTCGAAATGGGGGAGCTGTTCGGAGAGAATGAGGACTTCTTCTACGACCTAGGAGACCTAGAATACTCAAACGTGGAAGTTGAGGCTTATGGGCCGCGTGTTCATCCACTGGACGTCGGTGCAATTATCTCAGAGACAGTGGGATCCATGTGTGTAATATGCCTAACGCAGTTCGGAGACGAGGACGATGATCAAGAGCCACAGCTCAAAGACGTTCTCCAGCTAGAAGGCTGCAAGGATGTGTTTCATCTCCACTGCATCGACACTTTTCTTAACTGCGCGCACCCGGGGATGGATACGGTAAACTGCCCGTGTTGCCGACATCCTATATGCCCCCCACGATCGCTTCGCCCGGTTGAGAACACAAGCTGACTGACCCTGATAGCAGCCATGCGTCAAGGCATATGGTGTCACTTTTATGGACCGTATAAAACTATACTTAGAGCGGAGATTGTAAATGTTCTAGCTACGTGAGTAATATCTAAGTGGAAGAGAATGGGAATGGGTATTTCGTTTAGCAACTGAGAAAGGTTGAGTGAGAGTTTGGTAAGGCGTTCTTCTACGGGGCCGTGTCCACCGTCCGTTGCATCCGTAGCCCTTCCGCGATCTCACTGAGAAATCGAACTCGGCTATTCCATCCCTACAAAGCTTCCCAGACTTACCCGAAACCTCCGTGCACTTATCGCCCGCATACCATGCAAAGCAGCACGCATTCGATCCATCATCAAGTGATGAATTGAACCCAAGAGTGTTCCCTTCCGGCTCGATCTGATTGCTGTTGGGCAAGCTAGCAGCGTTACTTGTCTCGAAGACAGTGACACGTCGCGTTTGTATGACTTCTTTCCGTTCAATTTGACAAAGATGTCTAGCTCGGACTAGCCGTTGTTCCAGTAGTTGGAGGGCTCTTCGCTGTGTAGGGAAAGGATCTAGCCTATAGTTCTCGGAGCTGTAGCGGGCGTAGAAAGCGCCAAAGACCATCGTGGCTCGGTGGTGATACCATTATGCGCGCATTGTTTAGACCGATGTACTACCCATCACGCCAGACCCCTTCGTCATGAGCCTGGACCTCGCTTGGAAAAAAAAAATCTGCTGAGCTCGCTAATCTTGACCAAGAACATGATGGCCTTGAAGGTGGCGCTGCGGCTGAACCATGAAATACGACATCATCTGATTTGACTTTGGCGGACACTCTTCAGCCCATTGACTGACATCAGCACGACCTACGCTCACTGTCAGACCATCCAAGGGCGTGGCATGATCGTGAATGGGCCTTTGAGTCCTTGCTCACATTGTCACTATACTTGAATGTGGGCGATGTCATCAACTCACATCCATCAGCACCGCGACCTTATTCCTTCTATTTTCAAACATGTACGGCGCACAACTAGCTTCCTTTTTCGCATCGATCACCTTCATCGCCTTGGGTAATGCACTTCCTCTTTTTGGTTCGTCGCAAGCTTTCCCTCTCACTCGCCGAGAAGAAGCCTCGTCGGTCACAGCATCTAATGAAATTTGGGCTACCGTCATAGCTAACGTCGGCCCCCTCGTGACCTTGGTCGGCGAGCAAAACTTCAAGGCCTATCTCAAAGGGTGCACCAACAGTGTGGAGTATGGACTGTACAGCTGCGCGCCAATGGGGGCTCTCAGCGCTGTTATCTCCGTACTTCGACTCGTCGGATTTCCTTGGGTCTTGCGACTTATTGGCCGGCAACACGAACGTCGTGCACAAGTCATGATGGACATAACGCCTCTTTCCACGGGAACGGTTCGTCAGCAGTACATTCTGTCGAGTGTGGAGCAGACCGAAACTTGCAATCCGGACGATGAAGCGCAAATGGTCGTAAGAGGAAGTACGATTCACCAAGACTCTGGCCAAATGCTTTCAAAGAAACCGCATCATCCTGTTATCCGACTGGTGGACACTGCGAGGTTGGCTAGCAGGCTTAACAATACCGTGGACTTCTTGAATCGTCTCCGCGCGGCATCCGAAGCATGTCGGCAATTCGCCATCTCTGCTGCCTTGTACAGTGCATTAGAGGTGTCAGACGATCGGGCTGCACTAGTTCCTCACAAGTTGCCAATATCCAGGTATGTGCAATGGTCATATCCAGTTCGTACTTCCCTTAACATAGTTCAATTAGGCAACGCCTACTAGAGGATGTTACCGCCATACACAAGTTTATCAATGTGGCCTTTGGCAAAGGTGACGGTAAACCCCTTACAAACTCATGGCTACGGAAACGAGCCATTGCTCTTGGCTTCGAAGTGCAGTGCTCCGGAGTCTCTGCGCCTCTAACGTTAGGCCAGCCACGACGTCGAACCGTCTTCCTAGTGGGAGCGAGTTTGATCCAGATGGTAATCGTTGCTGCTTACCTCACAGTCCTAATTGCGGGAAACAAGAGCGAGCCTACTACTAACGTCCTGTTCGCTCTAATTGGTTACATTTTCACAGTGATTGGGATGACTGTGTTGATCTGGACGATTGCGCGCAGCACATTTCTTGAATCTGCAAGCGTTCCGCCGGTGAGCGTTTTCACTGCTTTCACCAGTGAGAAACAACCACGAGGCTCGAAAGTGTACTCCACACTTCGATATATCTACTTCGCAAGGGAAAATTTCCAACTCCACAAGAAGATGGGCCATCTGTCCGCTTTTACCGTAACAGGCGGTTTTGTGGTGATGTATCTCGGGCTTCGGCAGCTTCGTTGGTGGACGGTACGATCGGCCAGTCGCTGCCTTAAACCCTTGACTGATGCTGGCTATGCAGGTTATGATTTGCGCGGGTCTGACCGCGCTTTCAGCGCTCATACGGTCAACGCTCAGCAGAATCGAGAAGCCAACCGGCCAATTCCGACACTACTTGAGTGTGGGAAATACCTTTGCTAGTTTTGGCTTTAGTGCCCTTACAAAGAGCGGTACCAGTGCGAAGGACATATGGGAGCAAGAGATAACTGAGCCAATGGAAGAATGGTCGGTGGCAGGGCCCTGGGCAGAAAGAACGGACCAGGCCCATCGCGCGATCCGACTTCCGGAACCAGTTGCTATACTCCTTAGATTCGACGATATACCCGACAAGGATTTCTCTCCAGACCAGCTCGCTGTTGCACGTCTCGCGTATCAAGTTGCATTGAGGTTGGCTGAAAACGATAGTTTCCTTTTCCGTCGAGCATCCACGGAGTGGAAATGCTTTCCTGGACACCGATCACCTCTGAGACTCTCCCCACTTATACTATGGACCGGGAACACCGCCTTCAAGGCAAGTGCATTCGCTGCTTTCGACAGACATGAGATGATAGGAGCGCTTCGTGAGGGGCCCCCGGGACTCATCGCTTGCCTGCTGATGTTTAGGCGATCCTTCGCTGGGTTAAATCTGGAATCAGCGCCGATTACGTCCAGTCTGGGCGCCGAAACAACTTACAATGGAATCTGGGATCTCTTCGGCCAAATGCCCGCCTCTTGCTCGGTAGCAACCAGGAGCATCCTTGAAGGACTGCAATCTGGTCGCATGGAAGGATCTGTAGTATACTCCCCTTCCGCGGAATACCTTTGTCCATGGGTTCCTCAGCTTATCCTCTGGCTGTTGATTGTTCTTGACCTGGACATGCTACGGACATTTCAGACAACGACCGGGAAAAAATCGATCCTACCAGACTTGGGCTCGCTTGTTGATCACGTAGCTGAGCACATGATCCTCACACAGCATCTGTGGTTTGGCGAGCGCTGGGAGCGTGGAATTATCAACCCGGGAAATCATCGTTGTACAGTTCCAGCGGAATGGCCTTAAGGCTGATAAGTGCCGGTGCGGCTGGGTCGACATCTTCTCCTGAGCGAAATGGTTCATGCCCGTTTCCGAAAGTGGCCATGACCAAGAGCTTTGCCGCAATGCAATCTATTTCCATGTCATGCGCATTCGCGCCGCAATATGGGCCGTTGTTCGCTTATCCGAATTTTCAGACCAAATGCGGCACAGCATTCCGCAGATTTCTCGCTCACTTGAGCATGAATTCGTCGTCAACCACGCCTAGGACTTCCAGAGACCGTGTCGAGCTATTCAGAAAGGTTTATTAGAGAGAATCTGTCGGTATGTTCACGAGCGCGGATGGCTTGAGTGCTGCTCGCAGTTCTCTAGGCTTATCACCACGGACGACTATAACCATCGTGTTTGCGTGCACATTTCTCGCCCATAGGTTGATGGTCATTATTTACCGCCTTTTCATTTCTCCCCTAGCGAAATTCCCGTACCCCAAAGTTGCCGCAGCCACCGGACTCTACGAACAATACTTCAACGTAGTCCGAAAGGGGAGATACGTTTTTGAGATTGAAAGGCTTCACAATGCGTATGGTACGCACAATACATTTCTTTGTACACGACAATAGGATCCACTAACTCCCGCGAAAAGGTCCCATTGTGCGAGTCAATCCACAGGAACTGTCAATACGCGACGCAGACTTCTACGATAAAGTCTATGTCTACGGCAGTGTACGCCTAACCGACAACTATAACCATTTCGTGGATGGCATCGATTTTCAAGTTATGAGTCTCATTGACCTCTGTTTCTTCCTGCTGAGCTTGAAGGATCTCATTTTTTCACTACACCACACGATCTACATCGCGGTCGCCGCAAGCCCCTCGAACCATACTTCTCGAGACTGGGTGTCGACCGACTTGAGCCCACGATTCGCGATCTCGCGGAGAAGGTTGTGAAGAGGTTCGAAGCGCTGAAGGATACGGACACCGTAGTCCGACTCGATTATGTGATGCTGTGCTATACTGGCGATGTCATCAGCAACGTGTGCTGCGAGAATCCGACGTCTCTACTGGATGATGAGCGATTCTCTACGGACTGGTGAGTGGCTGCCCACAGCCCCCGAACACGACGTAACAAGTGCAGGTACGAATCATTGCACACTATTATCAAATCGTACCCCTCTTTGAAGGCTTTCCTTGGCTGATAAGGTATGCATTCGCCCCGTACGCATGAGCATTCCGCTGAGAGCAAATCAGACTCGTTCGATCGATTCCGGAAACCATTCTGCTTCGGATAGATCGTAGAAGCCAGCTCTTCAATGACTGGAAAGACGTGCGTCAATTCAAAACCTCATTCTCATGCTTTGGTCCCTAACATCGCAAAATAGATGGCCGAAAAGCACATCCTGGAGGTCAAACGTGAGGAGAACCGTACCGATGGCACTCCGCTCGTACGCAGGGGAAACCACACCACGCTTTTCCGTCACTTTGTCAATAGCAATCTACTAGAGTCCGAATTTTCGGTTCCGAGGTTGGTAAACGAAGCGCAAGTCCTTCTGGGGGCTAGAACTGCCTGCGTGCTTGATCTAATATGCTACTACATATTAGCGGACTCCGACGTTCGAGCCCGAATGACCGAAGAATTGGCCGAGGTCATGGCAGACTGGCCAGGGAAGCGGCCGACATTGACGCAACTGGAAAAGCTCCCGTACTTTTTAGCGGATATAAAAGAAGGACTGCGGTGAGTTCTCCTGGCTCACGGACCCTAATCCCCGTTACAGCCTAACTCATCGTCCAGACTCAGCTATGGGATGATGCGGCGTCTTCCGCGCGTCTCTCCAAATGTCTCAATTCAATGCCGTGAGTGGAGCATACCTGCTGGAGTAAGTTTTTCTTGTTATGGTGGAAAACATCAGACTCTGACTTGCTTCCAGACACCAGTGGAAATTTCAGCGTACATGCAGCATACGAATCCAGATGTCTTCCCTGAGCCATTCCGGTTTCTCCCAGAACGATGGCTTCCAGGCAACGTTACTCCAGCTATGAATCGCAATTTTGTGCCTTTCTCAAAAGGCTCGCGTAATTGCCTGGGAATAAAGTAAGTCTCCCAATACCCGGAGCGGGCAATCGCTAATATTAGGAAGTCTCACGCAAGCCGAAATAAGCCACATTCTAGCCGCTCTCTTTCGAGAGGGCGCCCCTCAGTTTCAGCTATACCACACCGATGAGTCGGACGTTGCACTTGTTCACGACTTCATCGTTCCTCTGCCCAAGATAGATTCGAAAGGAATATGTGTTATCTTTCCATGAGTGAGGGTCTATCTGGAGGACCGAGAGACGCCCGTAATGGGACCCGTTCAGAATTACACATGCACACACATTCTAGCTCACTCGGTTCCTAGTCTGTGATATCTCTATTATCATTTCCGCCCGCAAGTCGAAAAATCTCGTCATGGGCCTTTACAATGCTGTATAGGCTTCCCGTTGCCTCCGTCAGTGCGTCTTTAGCGGTTTCCACTCGCCTAAAAACCTGCCATTTTCTCTCAATTTTTCCCTCGCTTCGATTTGGGGTTATCGGGGGTTTTAATCTGCTCGTCCCTTGCTTCCTCTGCCTCTAGCTATGTATTTCGTATGCTAATCATCGCAGTAGACACAACCGCCGTCACCTCTGCTTTCTTGGCTTCATCGGACTACGCAGCTCGACCACGGTTCCGGGGTAGCCCCCCATTCTCATCACCCTCTCTTTCTTCCTTCCATATTACTCTACTGCCTTCTTGAGTCCATTTGATACCCAGCAATTGCTGTCATCCACTCTTTTCCACGAATGCGTTAATGCTGAGCTGTGTCAGGAGCTCTTCGACAGCGTCATGAACATTGGCACCGGGAAGGAGCTTTATTATTGTTTGGATACGTTTCTGAACTCCTATGGGAGCACGAGTCTTGGATTACTTAAGGATTGGGGCCCACTGAATACCCGGAATAGGATGATACGGTGCCCCCTTGTTGCACTGATTGTCGGCCTTGCACGAGTTCTGAATGGGTTCTTGATGGAATGGGACCGGCGCTTCCTGACCTGGCGATTTTACATTGCTCCTTTCAGGGTCACCTGTATAGCCTGCTCAACCGGAGCCGGTGGTAGAATGCATGATAGAGGGTACGCGGTTGCGTGGTCTGGAAACGAGGTCGCACAACACAGTTACGTGGACCAACCCCTCAGGTCGCATCTATATACTCTTGCAGCTAATTTAGGTTTGTGGCACGTGTTCGCGAGGCTGGAGGGAATAGAGCCTGATGGATATCGCGCTGTTTCATGTTCGGAATGTCATGTGGCAATCATTTAGAATCAATTTGTGGTAGATTCGGTACGAAATAGGCCTCGCGATGCCGGATGTCCCGTAGTCTTCGCGAACGAGGTTGCTGTGGAGTGCGTTGTAACTTCACAATGCCATAATCAACCAACACCCTTAAAGCCTCCCGAGATGTAAGAGAGGTTTAAGCAGAGAGATTTATGCCATATTTCGCAGTAGTCATGATGCTCCGCGGGCCCGGATCCGATTATGTGGACTTGGAAAACGTCCTTGAAGTTTATTGGCATGTCTTTGATGTCGTCGTCCAGTGCCAGGAGCTCGATCCACTCATCGATGTCGAGGAGCGCAAGCCGTGCCCCTGTTCAAATGAGCCCATGGTATACATTCTGAAGAAGGGTCAGGATCACCTAGATGATGTATTGTGCCCTGTAGGCCTTGCCGCGCTCGACGGTTGCGCTTCGATTCGTCGCTCATTCAAACCTAAAGTATGGCAGCGGTTGGAGCGCGCATACCTCATGTGGAACCAGTGCGACTTCGCCCTGGATACCATGTTCAAACCCATCCGCGAGAAGTTACGTACTATCGGCGCGCGAGCAGACTGGCTGAGCGTGGACATAGCCCCAAAGTTTCTGCTAAATTTCGCAGGTGATAGAATCGAGAAGTTGGCGCATTCAGTGATGGCAGTCACAACGTCATGCGGGAACCAGTACATTGTTGATTTCACCATCGAGCAGTTTGGGTACGACTGCGGGGAGTGGCTGATGCCAGAACAGGTGTATCTTGAGCAATACACCACGGACGGATGTTGGCGGCTGGCAAGCGCTGAGGACCAGGATGTGGTAGCTTTCGAGGAGAGGACTGGGGACGAAGATCGGGAGTGGCGAGAACTTATCACCGAGTTCTGCTATGCATTAGATTGGGCTGAGCTCGACGGGATGTCGCCGGATGCTCGTATCGCAGTCGTTCAAAAACTGGCCAGGGGAGCGTTCGGGCTCACCTAGGATAAGCGAAGTCCGGTATACGAAAGGTTCGCGTCTATTACTATAGGATCTATAGTACGATAACTCAAGAAGAGAATTGTCCGTAAATTTTGCCGTTCAAATGTAGTGATACCGTAGAGTTGATGCTTGTCTGTACTGAGGAGACAATTGGATTCTCTGCGTACCTGACACCGACTCTTGCGCTCAATTTTCACCGCAACTACGGAGCGCATAGCTCTTGTGTTGCCGCGGATCTCGCGGCCCCTCGTCGTGAAGATTTGGAGCCGGAGTCAGCTTACTGTAAGCACCTTAGCTTTATCTTTAGCTCCGCGCGAGAAATGTCAGTCCAAGAGCCGTGCCGTTTCTAAACCCGCCGTTCTCCCGTAAGCACGGCGCGCCTAAAGTAAAGATTTCACCGTATAGATATATTACCTCCACTGCCTCTCCAACCTCTGTGGCGATTACTATTCTACCCTGCCCGAAAACGCGACGATGAATCATTCCCAGAGCGATAATGCATTTGTTCCAAAGCCCGCCTTGAGCCCTACAGCCGAACTGTATGATGAATTGACTGGTGACGGTATGGAGAACTTGGCCAAGGCAACGATAGCGCAGATGCCACCTATTCCGGACGGTGCTGTGGTTCACGATAATGGTTGTGGTACTGGGGCTGCCACGGCCGCGATACTTGCATCACTTTCTGGTTCAGCCGCCTCTCTCTCGATCAAGGGCACCGATGTCAATGAGAATGCCCTGGACGTCTACCGGAAGCGAGCCGATGAGCGAGGATGGCCTGCAGAATCGATCCATATGGATTCCAGTCAACTGTCATTCTGCGATAACTTCTTCACCCACTCCATTGGAAGCGCTCTTCTCTTCGTGCTCCCCGAAGATGGCGTCACAGCTATGAAGGAGGTGTATAGGACTCTGAAGCCTGGTGGAACTGCCGCTGTCAACTGTTGGGCACACACGCCGAATATTCGCCCTATTCAAGCCGCCGCAAAAGCGACGCGACCGGCCGGTACTCCTTTTCCGCGAGAAGGCGTCGACAAATGGAGCGATCCCGACTTTCTTCTCGGAGTAGTCCAGAAAGGCGGATTCGAGAAGGGGAAGATTAGAGCAGACCGACGTCCATGTTTCAACCGTGGAAATCGTGCGCTTCGCGACGATGGCTTGGAGCTTTATTGGCGGTACTTCAGAAGTTGGGTGGCTTCAAACAGATGAGGAGCGCTGGGACCAGGCCATTGGTGTTGTCGTTGAGGAGTTGCGAAAGAGTAAGGGATTCATGGAACTAGACGGAGGCCGATGCGAACTAGAGTTTATCGCGAATATTGTTATAGCAACCAAGTAAGGCGTATCTCTTGCGTATAATCGCTTAGTAAGAAATAAGCAGAGTAATCTACATTTAGGTTCTGAGAAATCCCAGCTTTTCTTTAGTACCTAACCTAGACTGCTAGTAGTAGACTTACCCAGTTAGAAGCTCTAATCTAACTGCTCTTCTACTTAGAAAGATAGTATCTTTTTATAATTATAACTTATTTAGCAGTTATTAGCGAAGTACTTAGCGGCATTGCTATTAGAATTTAACATTAGAGAGCATGCCTTGTGCCTTCGTTTTATTAAGGCTAGTATAGTTCTAACAAGATGCAATCTGCTAATTCTGTATTTCAAATAGAAGCTGTCGAGTTATTACGTGCTTGCCAGTGTGAGCATTTGGAACACCTACAATTACTAAGTTATCGCATGCGTGTAGAGTATGCCAACTGGTTCAAGGGAACATAGTTGCTAGTTCGTGAGAAGTTATTACTCTATAAAAAAGCAGGAAGTAACAATGAACCTAGAACGCCTCACAGGGGGTGCTCTCGTGCTGTAATCCCTGTAACCGTCCTGCCATCGCACACAACTTACAAACAATATTTAGCCCACCTCCTTGAGCGCCTTACACCAGTCCCGAAGAGATTCCTTATCTTCCTCAGTAAATGTGCACTCATCGCCGAAATAGAGATTCCGATCTTTGAGAGTTTGATGAAGTAGCTTGTGCAGTGCATGCCTTTGCTCCAAGTCTTGCTGAATCAGAATGAAGAGACAAAACCTGGGACATGTACTAGGCCATGCTTGAGGCTTCACTGCTAGAATAGCGTCATTTGCTCCAAAATTTTCCTGAAGATCCTGAAGCAGGGGAAAAGAGGTTTCGTCGGTGCTAGGGTGCACTTCTAAAAGCTTTCGGTACATGAACGGAGGGGTCGTGCTGATGGAATCGAGGTGGTCGTAATCTGGACCATCCATCCAAAACCTTGCCTGGTTTGGAGAGATGGGAATCTCCTCGCACGGTATCCAGCGAATGTCAGGGCTAGCGTCGGAGGTAGGGCCACCGTCTTCCGTAGACTTAAGAATAAACGACGTGTTACGCAAAGCGTGGAATACCGAAAACCCGCCTCGCATTTGCTGAACCTCCTGCACCCGCCTCTGTAGATGGATAGCGTTGAAAGGTCGTGATCCATATGCCGTAATGCCTGCAGGGGATGCATTTGGGACGAGGGATGAGAATGCGCGGGCATGAGAGCATTCCCAAACGATGCAATTCAGTACCCGCTGAATCTGCCAGGTAGTCTGCTCGCAGTAGGTGTGAAACAGGATTGTACAGTGAACCATGCCGCTAGAAATTGGTAATGAAGAATGCGTAGTGTTGGTCCAGAAACTTGCAAGGCCAAGGAGTAGCTCCCTGGGTATAGTGAAGGTACAGCTATCCGGGACGGGAAAAGCAAATTCCGAAGGGATCCGTGCATCTTCGCTGGGTATTGGGGCAGTATAAAGCTGGAAGTTGAAGGAGACGATATCAGAGTGACGTATATTGGCCACCGATGTCCAGCTCGGTGAGAGCTCGTGCTCCGCCGTCCACCTGAGAAAAGGATGCGAATGTGTGTCCATGACTTCCGAGATGGGTTGAACTTCTGGATCGGACGTCCTTTGGTCCATGACTTGGAAGAAGTGGTCTGTGCCCTCTACGTGTAGTAATGCCTGGTCCATTGACAATAGGTCTAGGTCGTGAGCAATCGGCGGAGACCTCGGTTCAGTAGGTACAGACAGGGAATAGCGAAAGCGATCCGTTGTGGCTGGAGAGTGCTCTCTGTGCTCCATATTGGGCCCAAGAAGACAGCTCATGATAGCGGGTCGATAGATATCTCTGGCCCATGACCATATATAGTCTACGATGAGCAGTAACTGAAGAGCACCATCCTGTGACTCTATCGTACCGTGCCATAAATCGTAGATACGCTGTTATAGTACACGTTAGCATCCGGTTGCGACGGGAGGTAGCCATTTCACTTCCACGAAGACTTACCACTTTGGGACTTTCGAGTGTACCTGCGTACAGTCGCCATTCTTCTCCCTGGTAGGCAAAGAACCAGACTAGGAACGGCTCACAATCGACCCCACATACAGATCGCAGGTCGTTCTGCGCTTGTAGAAGCCGGCGCACAGGAAATGCTGTCTGTTTTTGGATTGCTCTGAAGCCCGGTGCGTCTTCCTCCTTCTTTGCTTCTATGACCAGGAATGGGTATACAATATTTCTTCCCCGTATTGGACAGTGAGACAAGTGCCGTGGAGCGGCAGCGATACAGTGGTTTATCCTACTTGTTGGTCTCAGTCCGATCACCCGGTCGGGTTTCATGGGCACGCTCAGATGCTGGAGAGCATCATCTTCCGCGCAGTGAGTAACGACTGCCTCCACCGCGAAACAAAAGACAGGACCATCCTCTTCCACACTTGGAAAGTCAGCTTCAATGGCGGTGATAATGTGGGGTGCATTTTACTTATTCCTCGTCCGCGCAAGCGGAGGCCCAGACTCGCAAGTGCATTTCTTCCGAAGTGTCTGCCTTGCTCGAAGAGTTGCTCTAGTGCCTTGGTCGAGCGGGCTTGCTAGAAAATCGGCGAACCAAGTTTCGTCCCCACATCGACGGCTAGCTATGCGGTCAGCGTAATTACAGTCAATAGCAGTGCAGTGGGAAACCAACCAAACGACGTCCTGCTCAAAAGGTTCGCTGACAACCTGTTCCAGAGCGGCGCGCCATGTAGCCTCATTTATACTGAGATCCTCCAGAAGATCAGATGCCTTCTGGCGAAGTTTATTGGCTCGCTGCTTGTAGAGCCTCCTTCTCTCTCTCTCTACATTTCTATTATGCTTGTAATCATCGTAGCGAATATAAGAAATATCGCGGATGGCATGGAAATGACGTTCGTGTTCACTGGGCCAGTCCCTGGGCGGGACAGGACCTTCGAAGCGAATGCCGTAATTCCGAAGAAGGTCCCGAACTTGTTCCTTCGAGAGCTTCTCCTTTTTGGGCGGCATGGGTGGCGCTTGCTTATCGAGTATGCCGGCTAATATTTTGCGTGACACTCGGAGGAATATATGCTTTGTTGGTAGATGTATTATTCGATGAATGAAGTGGGGCGAAGCGCCCAAGGCTACCGTGTACATGCCATGCAGCCGTCGCGTGATCACCCACGTCGGCCCGAACAGTCTCAGCTGTCGAATAGGAAGTGAAGCCTGCCACCCGGCGCCGTATCTGCTGGGCGCTAAAATGTGGCCGTGCAACGGGTGGACGGCAACCCCGAACCGCCCCTGCATAAACCTTAGAAAATTGGCGCTATAGGATTAGCCCATACTTTAGATAGCCCAGGTGATAAAGCCACAGCGCACGATAGGATACAAAGGATGCCTTCGGAAACATCACGTGGGGATGCCAAGAGAAGCCTCAAGATTTGGATAGAGGCTAAACGAGAACAATAGCTTTCACCACCACCGCTTCGCTCTTGAATTTCACGTCAAATCCCCCAGAACCACGACAACCCACTACCTGGTTCGAGCCCGCACGAGCACGTAAGCCTGGGATTAGAGGCAGTTTGACCTGGCATTTCATATTACCCACGCCTACGGGGTCTGTTTCCATCGTCCTTCCGTCAAAGCGGTCCGAGATTGATGGCCATGTATCCTCGTATTCAGGACCAGTCAGAACGAGAGACCTGACCTTAAGTGCCCTGATGAAGACTTCCGAGAGGCACTGTCGCAATTTAGCGGTGGCGCGAGACCGGGAAAGATCATCGATGAATACGTGGAGTACGTTTAGAAGCCGTTCCGTAAGTCTTGAAGCCAAACGAGGGAGAACTACGTCGTTGAAATGGGCTTCCTCAATGAGCAACTGATGCGCTGCGGAGTCCACGTTAGCAAGCCCGTCTTCCCCGCCTGGAGACTGTCAGTTTCCAATGTCTGCCTAGAAGATCTCATGGTTCCACTTACAGATTGAGCTGATAATATGACAATACTTCTGCAGGAGCGGTGTATTCGCCATTGCGTCGCAGTAGAATTCGTTCCGGAAGACCCATTGACATACCGCAGCACCGGTCAGTGCTTGGATCATCGCACCAACTGGCACATCTGGGATGGCCTCCAGTGTCTTCTCCTGTGCAACACCCAAAATACCATTCAACAGATCCCTCGTGTCTGAAGATGATTCCCAGATGGCGGCCGGCGGAAGCGCCCGAAACCCGCGAATGACGAGTAGTGAGGTAAATTGACTTTGCATCTCCTCGAAGCTTGAGTGGAGGGCTCCAGCATTCGGAGCTGGCCCTTGTCGATTCCCCAAAGCGAGGTATGGCTGAAGCCAGTCCTGAGCGGTCAATTGGGCTTTCTGGGTGGCTATCTTGCGGTTCTTCTTCTCTAATTCCTGCTGCATTTTCTGCGAAAAACCTTTCGTTTCCTTGAAGGAGCTTATCAGCTGCCGTTTCTCTCTTGCTAGATGCTTACACTCTGCTTCAGCATCTTCGTAAAGAGATCGATAGTAGGCTATGTCATGGAGCATATCCTCATACGTAGTGTCTGAAAAGGTATTCTTGCAGCGGCCTGGGGTGGTACCACGGCTGGGGGGTGTCGTTGTTCTCTCGTGATCGCACGTCGTATGCTTAGACAAATTAGATGTCGTAGTGAGCTTGGTCTCACAGGATTGAATGGACGCAAACGAGTCGAGCACAATACCGGATGAGTATGGCTGTTGAGGTTTCGAGTGGTCCTCCGTGCGTGGAACGATAGCGTCGCGTACTCCAATGTGCCTATGCAAGACCGATCCCACCTCCGTTTCAGCCTATCTCAACGTTAGTAAGAAACAATCTATCGATTCCGAAGAGGCAGTCATACCTCTCCATTTCCTATCTCATTGATCGGTGAGGGGCATCGCGGGAGCCGAGAGGAAGGCTTGCTTGTTCTGGTTTTCCGACGTGACTTCGCGACTTTGGAAGAACGCTTGTGGTCTGCAGTAGGCTGGCTCGTAGAAACTGCTTTTGGGCGCCTTTCCCGAGGCCCCTCTAGACGAATAGACTCCAGGTTATGGCGTACGAGTTGCCGCGTCTGATCATCGAGTGTGCATATTTCGGAACTGCCGAGGATGAAAAGCCGTGGGAAGTTATCCTCGGGGTACATATATCCCTGGCAGAAATCTTGCCAGAACCTTTCTTGGATCTGTGTAACAGTGTACTTGTGGGTCAACTTGGCGCTCAACTCATGGAGGACCTCTTGTTGCCGGAGCTGGGCCTCTCGGTCTGTGAAAGATCTTGCCTCTCGTCCTTCGACGATGAAGTCGAGATACGCCAACAGCCTGGCAAAATCTTCTTGGGGCCATGTAACTCCGTCCGGCGTGTTCGCAGTCGCCATACTTGATGATGGCCGAAAGAGTAGAAATGATTTAAAAATGCTGTGATGGATGGAAAGAGATTTTAGAAAAAGGGCGGCTGGACAAGACGCATTGCTATCCACCGACAGCCACGACGAGGGCAAGGCGCAGAGGCTGCTGTCTGTTGCCGCCCCTACTACACAGGGAGCTTAGGCAACAGCGATTGCTTTGGATCATCTGCAGCTTGTGGAGGGTTAAGGATGACATTGGAGGGTGGTGATTGGTGTTCGTTGCTTCCCAGGACAAGGTGGCGCAGGATATGAAACAGTCACCGTGCATGACTTGCTACGCCGCGCGCTCTTGCGTGGGACGCTCTTCGCCCCCAACAAAGTTACCGTTAAGCGCCCGTGCCCTGCTGAGCTGGACGCTGCTCCCGGCAAGTCTATATTGGTCTCTATTCCGCTCAAGTATTCTGAAACGGTCTCCTGCTTAATCGCGAAATTCAATTGATAAGAGTTAGCGCAACAGGAATTGGAAATGGTAAGGCAATGGCTCCGGAAAGGAGAACTTCAGGGCGGGGGTTCAAGCGCTTTGATCCTGGGCCAATTCTAGAGGAAGACTCACAAGATGGTGACGTGGAAATGACCTTGGACGGTGATGATGAGCAGCGAGAAGATGCGCAACGAGAGGAGCCCGCGCTAACAGATCCTCTCCACCTACTGGATCAGGAACGACTCATAATCGCAATCGACTTCGGCACAACTTTTTCGTCCGTCGCCTACGCTCTGTTACCAAAGGGCATGTCAACAGAGCAGATTAGACTCAAAGACATCAAATGCATCGGTGCTTACCCAGGGTACGAGCCCCCTCTCGGTATACCCGATGCTAGGGAGGACGTCCCTACCGAGCTATGGTACGATACTGGTCACCGACAGATGCCGACGGATGACCACCCAATGGGTGAACTGGAAGAAGAAGGCTCAATCAATCTGTTCGAAGATACATCTAGCAGCGGGGACGATTCCGACGACGAAGCATCGGAGTTCGACGACGGAGATCGTATCGAGCAAGCCTGGGAGGAATTCAATGCCAACAGAGCTACTCGTGTTGGTACACAATACTGGGGCTTTGGCGTGCAGCAACGTCTCAGTGCTACAGATATTCCGAAGGACGAGGCTCGGCCACTGTCGCGGTTCAAACTCAAGCTGGACGAGAAAAAAGAGACGCTAGAAGTTCGCGAAAACCTAGCACCGATTCTCAAGAACCTGAGGAGAAAGAAGTTCATTCAGACCGACCACGACATCTTTACGCACTATCTCACGCATCTTCTAAGGCATACCAAAAGTCAGCTTCACCTCCACAATGCACTGTACCAAGACACTGTTGTCGAGTTTGTATTGTGTGTGCCGGCAAAGTGGCCTGCCAAAGGATGTCGAGCGATGCAGATTGCGCTGACTGCAGCCGTGAAAGAAGTCGGACTTAATGAGTACGCCAGTGGCAGCGTAGGCAACCTCTTCATGATCTCCGAGCCCGAGGCTGCTGCTGCTTGCGTCTTAAGTGAGGCGGACAACGAAATCTGGGTATAGCTCTTCGGCGACCTCGATGAGTCCTATGCTAAGCGCTCATTACAGTTTGAAGAAACCATTGTCATCCTTGACGCTGGCGGTGGGACGGTGGACGCGGTCACATACCAATGCACGAGCAGCGAGCCGCTAAGGCTTTCTGCTGAGGTTGTCCCTCCACATAGTGAGTTTACCGACGTATTCCCGTACTTGCGCTGAGTCCTTCAGGCAAACTTTGTGGTGCAAGTTACATTAATGAAAAATTTGAGAAACGACTCATGCAAAGGCTCAAAGGAGAAGCGTACCTCGTTAAAAACGGGAAGACGCTGAAGAGCATCGTGGAAGCAAAGAGTACCGCCTTTGAGAACAATGAGAAGCGAAAGATCGATACCACCAAGCCAAACAGCCGCCTTCAACCGGTGTACATTGACGATCTTCGGGAAAATCAGAGCAAACGATTCCACCAGAACCGGATGGAGTTCAACCAGTATGTGCAAAGCTGACCCGTTTCTCCGAGTAAGCCTAACACGTTTCAGCAAAGAGACAGAGAAACTCTTCAAAAAGTCGCTAAAGGGAGCGCAAGACGTATTGAAGGACCAGCTCGAGCTTGCCGCGAGCGCGAAACATAACGTCGAAAAGGTCATTCTCACTGGCGGCTTTGGCCAATCTAAGGCTCTCCAGAGTTTCCTGAAGTCGTATCTGCGCAAAACGGTCAACAACTTAGGTGGGAAGATAGACCTTATAATTCCGAAGAATCCGTAAGCGCACTGCCCGTTTGACACTTCTGTATGGAAAGAGAGTCACGAACACATTCACAGTTCTACTGCGGTCGCGCGAGGCGCTGTACTCCGAGCGCTAGACAAACAGCGTGGCCCTGCAAGAATCACGCAGTGCAGCTATGGCCTCTTGGCCAGCGAGCCGTACGAGCCAGACGCCTTTGAGGCGCACAGGCAAACGAAGTGCAGAATCAATAAGGTCGATGGCGAAAAATACGTTGACGGGACAATAAAATGGGTAGTTCAAGCCGTAAGTAAGCTTTCGCTACGTGAGATTTTGTTGCCTAGATTGAATCTTGTTGACCACATTGTTCGCCAGGGTGAGATTGTTCAGAACGGAAAAGTCCTCACATACCCGGTCACACATGTCTTCTCCTTGACCGCCAAGAAGTTTCTGTGTGAGGAGGTGCTATGGGTCTCTGATCACCGTCACGAGTCGCACTATAGAAGGACGCACACGTTGAACAAGGCCGCTGAGAAGGCTGGTACCATCATCGCGGACATGACGTTCTTGAAGACGGAAGGTCATATTCAGCCCCAACCACCGTCCGAACTCAGCGGATCGAAGAAAGGTTACTGGGAGGTCCCCTACGAAGTGGTCATGATTTTCGAGGGCCGGAGCCTGCGCTTTCTTGCGCGTTGGCCACGAGAAGAGGATTTGCGACCGGGTCAACGCCAGGAAGTCCTCGCTAGGGATCAGATATGCGTTGCAGCGGCATTCCAGCCAGGAACTGCTTAAGCAATAGCAGCTCTAGCTACTACTCCCTTAAGATTTAGAGCGTTGCAGGTAGAGTAGCTATACCTCTATCGTGTGCATAAATCCGTAGAAATCTTGGCGCTCTACTAAATTTTCCGCCTACATCCGCATCGCAGCTACGCCTCTACCTCACTTCGTTCAGATGCAAACCTTTCAAAACATCATAATAATCGTGCAAAGGATTGCAGTTCAATCCCCACCTTTCACCCAGTTCGATATAGTCCGCGTCCGCAGTCGTACTGAACGTTGTACTCATAAGGCTCTTCGGCATATATAGATCGGAGTTTCCCATTGCTGCCGTGAGGTTCTCTCCAAACCTTCAGCTCGGATGCCGTCGGGCGCCTAGCACCGGACGGTCGTTTGGGAGTCTTGCTCTTCCGGAAGAGGGGCGTGAGATCGGAGAAGCATACATAGAGATTGCCTGAGGCAAGTTCGGCCGCACCCCAGAGGAGGATTTCGGGTTGCTTCTGGGATTTGTCGGGACTAGCGCTGTTCTTGAGTCTCACGAAGAAACCAACCGTAGCGGAAAAAATTGCGCTGCATCGTCTTAGTGAACACCGATACGTGCATGCTTCGGAAGGGGTATCTTGAGATGCTGAAGTTTCGGGGCGGTCACTTACCATATACCAAATCTAAAAGCCACGACTACGAGGATCCTCTTCCCCCGGTTCATTTGCGGCTTCTGTACAGCATGCATAGGAAGTAGCAAGGTCAAATAATCAGTGACGGTGTTGAAGCCCCCACTGATATTCAAGATCCAGCTCATATTCGAAATCTTTTCGCGGGGGTTGCATTCGAATATCTTGAAAAACCTTGCGATGCTGTAGAAGCCAGCCATGCTAACAACGAGCGTGATGATGGCACTGTCAAACCGGCTCCAGCGAATGGGAGAGAAGACTCGGTGATAGAGAAAGACGACCGAGGTTTTGGCAACACGATCATGACACCATACTCGATAGAATCCATATTGGACCAGTACGCTGCTTGATGCGCTCTTGCGGGAGTGATTAGGTTAGTGACTGTAAGGAGGAATAAGGATATTCTTCGGTCTTTCATGGGCATTTTGTGGTGAAGCCTAGCCAGTTGCTCGTTGACTCGATTTTCGATTCGATCGTTACATAACCTGCAGACTGGGTCAACTAAATGCCCTACGCCCATTCGGCCGGCGGCAATCGTCTCTGAGCGGCATCTTAACATTCTAATTTGAGCCTGATGGTCATAGTGTAATAGTTGTTTTATTGAGATTACACTAGCGCTGATGTAAGAGCCTGCTTATACTACATTGGGCTTTTCTCAAAATGGCTCTTCGCACCCGGTTGGGTTAGATGCGGGGTTCGTCGCCCGTGGCTCGAGGTATAAGTCCTCGCACGGTTTCTGCGACACCCACACTTGTAGTAATACAAAAGCTAAAATCCTAAATAGTAAGGTAATACTTCCGGTATTCTTTTGATACAAATAGCTCCTTTGTTTACGCAGTTCAATGTCAAAGCTCAATGCTCACACATACAGGTACACAACGGCTTTTGCCTTGTTCGAGGCCCTTTGGGAGGTATGGTACCAATTAGAACAAGTGGACCCATAGGCTACGTAGTTACCCTTACACCTAGGCTGGAATTACCGCATGTTTCGTCAACGTGGGTTCTGATCACCCGTTCATTATCGAGGCCATTGTGAAAGGGAAAAGAGAGCGTCCAAAAGCATGGCCAAGAATGATCACATGTCCTTCCGAGATCACTGCCATTTCGCCTGACGATGGCTATGCGAGGGTATCGGGGCAGCCTCAAGCAGTCATCATCCATGTGGATGTCGGCACGCAAGCCCTCGGACAGGGTGTCCACAACGCAAGTATCGGCCGCGCTCCCGTGTTCATCTTTGCTGGTCTTTGCCCATACATCGAGTCTGGAGAGCTACTTGGCTCACGCAACGAATACATACAGGACGTACCAGACCAAGAGGCAATTGTGCGGCAATACTGCAGGTATACGGGAGAGGTCCGCACAGGTCTGAACATTAAGCAATCAGTCGGACGCGCCTTGCAGTTTGCAAAGGGTGCGCCTAAAGGTCCAGTCTATCTTACTGCCGTATGAGAAGTCTTGGCCGAAGAAATACAGCTCTACTCGTTGGACCAGACTCAGTGGGTACCCATTGGACCTAGCGCACTTCCAGCGGATGCTGTCATCGATATCTCAACGGCTCTCGTCAAGGGCAAGCGACCACTCATAATAACCGGATACTCTGGAAGAGACCGTCGAACCCCGGACCTCCTCGTTGCTCTGGCAAATCTCGTTCCTGGAATTCGTGTCCATGACACTGGCGATAGCGACATGTGCTTCCCGTCTTCGCATTCAGCGTCCGAAGGGTTCCGGCATAGCTTCGACGAATGCACTCGTGATGCAGACGCAATACTTCTGCTGGACTGTGACGTCCTTTGGATTCCTTCCCGCAACCCATCTCCAAAGGGAGTTAAGATCTATCACATCGACATCGATCCACTCAACCAACAAATCTCCGTCTCATTTTTCCCTGCCCATGGACGATGGAAACAGTTTCACAGCTCTTACGCAGTTGGTAGACTATATCGCTACGGACCCTGTACTTACGAAGGTGCTCAACGATGGCAAATATGCAGTTCGCGCACAAGAGCAGGCTCAGGTGCACCAACGTCGTCTAGCAGATATCGAATCCCAAGCTCGCATTGCGGAGGAAGACCCTCTCAGTGCTCACAACATTGGTAAGCTTCTGAAAGATATACTTCCTCGGTCAACCACATTTGTCATCGAAGCCGGCACTGCCGCCCATGCGATTCATGACCATCTCCAACCTAGCCGTCCTGGGAGTTGGACCCACCGCGGCGCAACTGGAATTGGCTGGAGCAATGGAGCTGCGCTAGGTGTAAAGATGGCCTTGAAAGATATGGAGGAGATCGGAGAAGCAGGGCCGAGCCTCGTGTGCTATGTGGTGGGTGACGGGAACTTCATGTGCGGAGCACCGTCGAGCGCACTATGGGTGGCAAGCAAGTACAAGATTCCAGTTCTGACATTGGTATTGAACAACGGCGGTGCGTATTCTCAGCATCACACCCTAGCGTATCGCTAACGTTGCGTCGCACTAGACTGGAAAGCGCCTCGAAACTCCACCGCGCTCGTATACCCTGAGGGCCTCAATCAAGTTGCTTCTGATGACGAATTGAATATTTCGTTTCGTCCCACGCCCAACTATGCTGCATTGGCGGAGGCCGCGACTGGTTCTGACCTTCGATCTCCCGAGTCTAACAGCAATTCTCTGTGGATGAAGGGCAGACGGGTGAAGATGGTGGGAGAATTAACAAGTGCACTTAAGTCTGGAGTAGAGAGAGTTGACGAACAAGGCAAGGGTATGCTTATTGAGGCTCTGATGTAGAAGATTTTTAGTAAATTAAATGCTTTTTAGTAAAGCTTATTAACTTGCTGTTTATAAAGCCTTCTTCTTTATCTCTTTATATTTCTATTATACTTATAATTATTATAGAAAATAGAAGAAACCTCTACTATAGGTACTAGAGCGTCCAGACATATACAATAAGCAGAATTAGTACGCATATTAGTATAGCGTTATAGGTAGAGATTTGTATATATACGGCGATATTTTCTTTACTGCTGCAGTAAGAACATATTAGCTTGCGTTGCCTAGCTTAGAAAGACTTTGTGGGGATCTTAATAGAGTACTGAAGAATGAGGACGCATGGACGCTTCCTTCGCCTACCCTGCCGGTCTGGGACTCAGAGGAGCAGCGACAAAGTGTGAAGTTGGACGACGTTCCCGAGGTTAGCAATGATTTTGCTAGCGACGTTGCGGAGGCTTCTGAGAAGAAGGATCATCGTGGCTGCATTCCAATCCTGCATACCAAGTTGCCGTCAGTCAGTAGCAGTTTTTTTCCGCAGTCAGTGGACGAGGAAGGCTGTAGATCGTGTAGCTGGCTCTATGCTAGATAGTATAAGGGACTGGGAGTATAAGATCTCGAGAATAAGGTAACGGATGAGTGCATACCCGATCAAGTAGCCACCGAGGAATGGCTTCCATCTCGTGACTATGCAGATGCTTGGTGAGCACGACACATCCAAACCTACCCATCTCACGTCATTTAAGTCCGGAGACTAGTGAAATGGTTATATTATAATAGAAGTAAGTATATTCCTGTAAAATCATACCAACCGCTCATGCAATATGCTGACTACCGAACAAGTCAACATGGTTTTTCATTGCTAGGATGGGCTAATGTAGTAGGTTATACGCTTTGCCGGATTCGTCAGGCTTAAACTTGAGCATCACTCCGCCTCCGTTCCTCCCGCTTTCTCCAGTACATATAGAATGCGAACGCAAGAAGCGTCGACGGTATGGTAAGGATGAGCCAGACCCACAAACGCGAAGTCTGGGCCAACCATGCATTATCGTCGAAGAAGGGCATTGATAGAAGAGCCTGTGGACGGGTATTAGATGGGAGCAGTTTTGCGCATGTGCTGTGATCCGTACCGCGAAAGAAGCACCAGGGAGAAAGAACATTGTGACGACGGCGATCTGTGAAGCCTAAGCGAGGTCAAAAGCGGTGACTCTAGGTATACGTACAGTTTTCATCGCTACGCTGTCTTTCTTCATCTCTTCAGCCAGTTGCATCTGCTCATCGGCCATTTTGTGGGTCATTCGAGCCTCATCTTGAGTAGCGCGGAGGATTTGATGCATAGCCCTCCCATTTTCGACGAGTAGTTGATCGCTGCTGGTCTGTATGCGATTGAACAACTGGCAAGTGTAAGCAGGCGAGGGGATAGCGTCCAGCCGGTGGCATGCGACGGAGAATTTACCAGAGCGAGGATATTCTGGATCTTCTTCTCTAGCTCTTTCGCAAAGGTGCTAGTCGCTTGGATCTGAGACAGCACCTGGCTGAAGTCTTGAGAAACCTTGTTGGCGGTATCCCCATCGCAGATGGTGGCATAATGCGAAGCCAAGTCGAGCGTGATACCTTCCATGCTGCTCAGCTCAGATCGATATCGATGCAAGTGCGCGTCGATAGAATGAAGTGCCCTATTGAGTCTCGCCGATACATCGTCGGATGTGTCCTTATTGGAGCCCATCTCCTCTTGCAGCGTTGCTTCCTGGGCCTGTTATCCTAAAAGATCTATAGAAGCCGTTTATGGAAATTAAGAACTTGACTTACATAAGCTATGAGCTGCTCGTTGACGCTGTGAAGAACGTTTGTCCACCATCGCAATGCACTGGTGAGATAAATAAGGTGTGCGAAGGACAACGTCTCAGGATTCGGTGTTTTCTGCCTGCTCCGGATGCTTTCGGCAATTCTCTTTTGCGGCTCTTCCACCACCTTAGGCCATCCCCCATGCATCATGTTGAGAATAACACATGTGGAGGAGCCGGTTGTTTTCGATACGCGGAGTGTAACTGCAATGAACGACCCTCTGATGTCGACATTCGGACGCGGCAGGTGTAAAGGATTGAATGGGTTCATCGCGTTGCTGCTCTCTTTACCGGGCGCGTTCTCTCGGTAATTATTGCTACAAGGTACTTGCACCCTGACTGGAAGAAGATACCAGATATTTATAAATCTTCCAGCGGAAGAGTCCGCATATTCGCGCATTCCCCGACCCGTTGGAAGATAGTACCTTGAGAGCGCGAAAGTAAACGAAGGTGGAATGCTATAGTGGAGGCTGAGGCGTTGAAACGCACGCTGGGATACTCGTAGTTTGTTCGAATCATGGGGGAGAGGGGCGTTGCGATCCTTTACTAAATACTTGTTGATGAAGCTGGCCGACAAATTCAGTGGGTCGCACAAACTGATGACGGTGGGGTTACTTACAAGAATACTGATCCATGGCTCAATTGTTCTTTCTGCGCCCCAGTTAGTTCCTCCAGACCCAGTAAAGCTGATGGATGACTTTACTTCTAAGGCCGAACTCAACTCAGCCTCGTTAAGGATCCCTTTCTCTAGCCTGCTGCTCTGCTCGTCTGCCTTCAAAAAGCAGATCGAGGTCGTGTCGGATAGCAAAGAGTCCTGGAAGATATCGAACGCCTTTAAGATCTCGGAGCAATGTTCCCTGATTGCTTAGCTGAGTGAAGCCGGATGAGGTTTGAATCAGCGCTAGGACGTACAGCTCTGGCGAGTAAGCCGCATTCGACGTGATCCAGTCCATTGCGATGTGTGCTGTAGATCACCGCATCTGCGAGGCACGCATTGCGCGATTGTAAGTTGTGAGGTGCGATGCATGATTTTGAATTGTTGGAGACGAGGCCGACTCGGAACAGCGATGCCCAGTAGTGGCGGTGGCTGGACCCTGCGCTCTAATCTATCTTTGGACTAGCGCCAGGTGAACCGGTGAACGCTGCGCACTTTGCGATCACGCTTCGTGCCAGAATCCACATCTCTCCAGCCGTGTCACCCTAAATGCCTCCCTTTCAATGAGCCTTCATGCTCGTCGCAAGACTTATTCGTCAACATTTCGATCGGACTGGGTCGTTCCCGATGGCCCGAAGAGTGACGAGGGGGATTCTGCGCGTCTCGATTCCCTCGTCGCTCCCGGCAATGGCGACTCTGCCGCCGGGATACCCTCACGCGTGAGTGGCGAAGCTGATAGCAAAGCGCCTGGGGAATTCGTCAAGAGAGAGGGATTTTCGTCCAAAACAGAGCCATGCCCGCCCAAGCCCAGGCTAACTGCGAACCATGAACGGCTTAAGCCTCGATACTCCACCTTTCACGCGAACGATTGGACTGTTCCGGGCCCTCCCAGCGAGAGATGGGCTGCTCCAACTACGTCCGAACCGGTCGACGTCGCATCGGACGCGACCGACCACATGGATAACGAGGAACGCGCTCAGCACCGCGCAACGCATCGTCGGTGGTTTCATAAACGGTCGCACCGGCAGGATTCCACGAACATGCCGGATCCCACAAAGCTCAATGGCTCAATAACTCGCCCGTCCAGCGCTGGCTCCGGCTACGATGCGCCCCCGAAACCGCCGAGCTTCGCGCCAACGTATTCCCCGGCTTGATGACCACAGCAAGTCTCGTCCGCACCACAAGTCTGGAGGAGATAACTACAAAGTCTACGGAGCAATGGGCACCATGACTCGTTAATACATGGTGTTGAAGGCGGCATTGCCATGCGGAGCTCACAGCGGCGTATGGAGGGATTTGCTGCTCTGTTCTGTTATATCTGGGAAAGTCGGTGATAGATGCCACTATAGACTCGGCGTGATTTCCAGGCTCTGCATACCGCCGTATATTTCAGCTTGTGGCGGAATACTACGAAAATCAATGATAATCTATTTTGAACTATGTTCGCTGGCTACAAGCAGCTCGGCCATACCCTGAACATTGGCATGATAAGCGCCACGCCCCAGACGACCGGTGAGACGAAAGCAGCTTCCTCGTCAGCCTGATGGCGAATGTGGCGCACTTCCCATCGATCGATAGGATGCCACGAGCTTAGCCTTGCTGCGGCCGAGTGGTCCCCGTAAACCGGTCAGGCTGAGGTGACAGCGCAGACAAACTTGCAGCGCAGCTGGCTTATGTTTTAGGCTCTCTTCGCTCCTCTGTCATCGACACCACACCCATATTCTCTGTCCTGCCCAACATGCCCGGTACACCCAAGGACAAGAAAGCGCCAGACCTACCCTTACGCCTCAGTAGCACAAGCGGCGGTATAGTCAAATCCATTCGAGACCGTAAGCGTAATTACACTATCGTTGAATCTTGATCCTTATGTGCTACAGGGCTGCATGGCGGAAGACGAACACCCCACCCAAGCGACGCATCCCCTCTGAATGCTCTCACGGGAGCAACGCTCGTGAATTCGCCGGACTTTGGACCCGAACGCAGACCTGATGGCGGTGGACGCTCTACCATTGACGCCGTGGGTCAACCTGGAGTTAACAATACGTCCGTCGAGGTCTCCAAGGAAGATTTCGAGCCATCGTTGAATAATGGGCATCTCCTGTTCCCGGACACGCGATCGGTGTTCGCCTTGGATGTTTCGGGAAGCACCGCAGGGAAAGTTCTCCGCGTCGAGAAAAGCGCAGTGCAGGCTATCAGTGACGGCCTCACTGCTGCAGGAAAAAGAGCTGCGCACATCATACCATGGAACAACCGCGCCCGCCAAACCCTTCAGCTCGACGAGTTAGACTATGTCAACTCTGGGGGAGGGACGGACCCGACAGCGCTGCTGACTACGGCGAACTGCAAAGAATCCCTCATCCGAAGCGATCTCTGGTTCCTTTTGACCGATGGCGAGATCGATGACGATCTCATTCGGAGCTTTGCCCATGGAATCTCCAATGCGCAACTGCACGGAACTGCTTGTGTTGTGGTCGTCTTCGCCTCTTCCCTGGATCGTCCAGTCATGTGCAATATCTCAGTCGGCAAAGCATTGTTCGCAGTTGCGCCAGATTGCCTGTTCCTCTTCCACGACTTCGAGACTGGGGATGTTCGCATTCTCCTGTGCAAGGGGTGTTTCCGAAAACTTCTCCCGGAGAATAAGGCGATGCCCTTCATCAACTACTCCACAACATGGGAAGATCTTCCGAAGTTCGACTACCAACAGTTACACGACATGCAAATACCGAGACCCCGAAAGCCTGAGCAGGAGACCATTATTCTGTCCACGGGTGAACTCCTCGATCTCAACGAAATCTACAACAATTCCCTCGATGAGACTGCCACCCAGCGCCTGCTATCTCGCGCGGAAGATTTGGATACATTAGTATTGACAGCGCATACAAGAGGTCGGGCAGATGACGTACGGCGGTGGGTCCACAAGCAAAGAGTACAAGTCCGCGACCCTCTTTACGCTGATCGACCCGATGACGATGGCCGTGGCGCGAGTCTCATCGTAGCAACGATTGAGGCACTCAGGGTCCTTGAACGGTCAGGCAGACAAACGACCATCGAGGAACAGTCTGACCTCCACTCAAGGCTTGAACGTCTCAAAGAATCGCTTCGTAACGCACATAGAGAGAATTGGTTACGGTTCTGTTCGGTTCTTGGGGTTGAGTCCGAGCGTAGGGTTGATCGGGAAAGGGTTATCCAGTGTTGCGATACAGGATTTGAAGTAGCCAAGGAGCGTTCACCAAGATGTTCAGCGCCTTGCTCACCAACCTTGAAGGAGCCACACGGGCGTTTACCACCAGCAGTAGCGCGAGCTACTCAGCAAACTGATTCGCCTGCCACCCGGTTCAATACTAGGCCAGCCACCGCTCAACAAGCTGCTACCCAATTACCGGTCCGTCCCCCTACGAGTGTACAGGCCACAACCCCCTTGTCCAAGGACCTTCTTTTCTTGAAAGGTTTTGAGGCTCTTCGGAAGTGTAGAACACTCTATGAGCAACAACAAATCGGAGGTGTATATGACACATGCGGCCTCTGTGAGGAGACGGAGGTTATCATGTGTCTGCTGCTGAAAGAGCCCCCCAAGGATCTTCATACGGATGCCTTCCCTCCCGTCGGAGCGGACGCGAGGCACAAGTACCCACTCGTGCTTGGGAATTTTCCGGAGACCGACATCGTTGCCTCCATGCTCTGCTGCGACGCATGTTCTTCGCTCATGGTTCAGCATGGACAGAGCGTCGATGGGGAAAAACTGGTGGCAGCGTTGCCTTTGGTCCCATTGTATAAAGCCAAGAACAAGGCCAATTGGCTATCCACGCTGTCGAAGGCGTTCCACGGTCGATTCAACGACGAGATTCTAGCTTTGGTACTTCTCTCTTCCATCTGCGGCGCTATCGACGATCTAGGTGCCTCTGACTCCCGGCGTATTGATGCCACCATTTCTGGGCTCAGGCAGGCATGCTTCTACCTCTCCACTCTGCCATCCGCCAACGAAATTCCCGGGAATGAATCCCCAATCATTGGGATGGACCCGTCAAAATCGCTTCGAGAGATCTTGGGAACCGCGCTCGAAAGGATGCGCAATGCGAACTGTCAGCTCCTCTTCTATCCGCTCGATGGATTCGTGGTCCTAGTTCATATCGCCAACATGATCGACCCAGATGGATCGAAAATCTCCACCTTCGTCTGGCTCCGGATGCTGTTCCATCTCACTGAGAAACACTATGCCCTGATGGCAGATGCTGGTGAAGAACAGGCAACTGCGGCCCTGTTGGCTATCCTTGCAGACGACTCCGAAACAGTAGAAGAAAGCACAACCACCACGAATAGCCACAGCCGTAAGCAGACAAAAACATCCGTATCCATCGGCCAGCTCGAAGGGACGTACCAGCTAAGCTCGGAAGAGCTCGCCACCTTCCAGAGGCTTGGCGATTCCTTTGTCAAAATTCGATCAAGCGCTTCCTTCGCGATTGCTGCTTATCTGGATATCCTTCTCGAGTACTCTCCTAAATTTTCAACGCCAGAGGGGTTATTCGACGAGATGAAGAAACGGCAGAGTTTGGCAGGTGTGTTCTGGGCACCGTATAAGATAAACGAGGAAGACGTATAGAAGGTAATTAAAGCTACTAAGCTATAATATTAACTTCTCTCTCTCTTATAGTTTCTTTAAGGTATTAGTGTTTTCTAGAAATTAGTATAAAAAGAAGGAAGTTACAACTATTTATATAGGTTTTATAACTCTAGTTTATAATATTTATATTTTTTATTAAAGGTTGCTCTAACTCTTTAATCTTAATCTCCAGCTCTACCGTCCTCGCCTTTTTGTCCAGGCTCTTCTCGACGGCTTCCTGGCGCGCAGCCATGCTCTCTTCTCCGGCCTCCTTCCACCTTCGTGCCTCCTTCTCCGCGCCCTCAAGCCTGGTCTCCAAGCTCGTCTTCTCCCGCTCTAGACCCTCCTTGTCCTGCCTCAGGGATTTGAGCTGGTCGTGCAAGTCGTCGCATTCGGAATTGGACGTGTTGAGCGAGGCTTCCAGCGATCCGTTGTGCGATTTGAGCGTCGACAGCATGGACTCGTAATCTTCTTTTTGGGACTTGAGCGCGGCTCGCAGGCCGGTGACCGTGGCGGCCTGCGAGCTAACGGTTGCTCTTGCGTCATTGAGGGCGAGGATGGTGGTGTTATACGTATGAACGAGAGGGTTGAAGCAGGGCTGAGGCATGATGGGAATAGTGCGACGGTACGTAGTAGGAGCGATGTGAAGGATAGGGAGCAAAGGAAGAATGCTAAAGCCGGCGGTGAAGAGAGTGTAATTGATGTGTAACCAACCCAAGTCTAAGTAGAAGCGTTTTCACGGGGTGGTGCGAAAGAGAATACAAGTGCTATTAGGAAGTGTGGAAACTTGAGGGGAAAGAAAAATGTGTATACGGGGATGTTATACTGCAAGGGGTTCTGTTGGGGAAATGCAGGAGAAGACGGGAGAAGGGGAAAGAATGAAAGAAAGAGAGACAGGGGGACTAAACGGACTGTCCGCGCCCAAGTCCGCGTGCGCTGAGACACTGCGAAACGAGTCCCCCGCGAATCAACCACGTCGCATAGAAAGGCTTATGTGGAAATTAGACACTTGATCAAGCATCGCAGCTTAAGACCGTAGCATGTCAAGACCCACGACGCCCTCAAGGGCCTCCAACCGCTTGTTCGTCTCCTTCTTTTCACTCTTAACCCTATCCATGGCTCGTTCATGCTGCTGCCGCATGTGTGCAACCTGCCGCAGGTGCTCCTCCCGCATGTCCAGCACCCGCTTCTCCACCGCCGCCTTCTCATCCTGCAATTGCTTTATCTCTGTCTTGTGCTTGGCCGCCATATGTTCTAAACGCGACTGCAATTTAGCATTCTTCTCTAGCTCGTGCTCTTGCAGTGTGAGCGCAGAGATCTGGAGGTTAAGCGATGCGATGGACTGGGTGATCGGCTTGCGCTCTTCAAGAGCTTGCTTCGCCTGTTCGGGTTGAAGAGGGGTGGAGGCGAGAGCGAGAGCGGCGTACGAGGCCGCCTCGGTCTGCAGTTTCTCTTTGGCTTCTTGGAGGATGCGGATCTGGGTTGAGATATCGCGTGCCGTCGCGTCTGACGATGACGGAGCGCCCAGCGTTACCGTTGTGAGGTGCAAGAAAACTGCGTTTGTGGTGGAGTCTTTCTTAAACTCTAGCCTATACATGACGTCGTCCACATTGGTATCGTGAACCTCATGGGCGACTTTGAAATCGACGCCTGAAGCTTCTCCCTGGAGCCCAATTGGCCAGATCTCTGCACCACTATCGACGTTAGCTTTGAGGGCATCTAACAGGCGGGGCGAATCACGTTCTGTACATTGCCCTGGTATCCAGTCCAAATCGCGTTAAAGTCGGCAGTGCTCATAGACGGATCGTGAGGAGTCACGGTCACGCTCGTTTTGCGTAACTGGAACTGTTGAGTATTACCGCCCGCGACAAGTCTGAAGGGCGTGGTAACGGCGGCGGAATTCCTGGCTTCGGCATTGCTCCTGCTCTAGGCTAAGCTTAATAAGCGGCTTGTGCTATCGTGGGTGGATAAATCGTGGGTGGAAGGTGGGTTTTGAAGTCAGAATTGCGTACAAGAGCTTCTGATGCCGAGGAAAATTACGGTGAGATTGGGCATCTCTATTTATCACCGCGGATACTCTCCTCCCTATCAACCTTCTTCGTTTCGCTGGATGTGCACGATGTTGGATCTCTCCTCTGTAAGTCAGTACCAGTGTAGGTTTGGCAAGCCACGACAAAGGGGATGGTACGAATAGCACACCTCTTCGATACGCGTCCGCGTACAATGTTGCCGCACAGTCCTTTCCAGAGAAAGAAGTCGCATGCACAATGCTGTGATACTACTCCAACGGACGAAGCATTGTACGTGAATAACACTTTGTTTGCGACGTCCTGAAGGCGAGAGTGGACGACGTTACGCAGTGAGCGGTTATTGGGTATCGGGTGTGCATGGACGAAAAGGTCATCTGGTAGATGGACGCGTGCCTTATGACACCCGATTGATGCGTCGCAAGGTCGAGCGCGAGAGGGGCGTTACACAGGATGCGTCTCATTAAGCAGGTATCGTCGACTCGTGGGACCGTGGTTAAGGATCTGTTCCAGTCGACGAGGGAATCGAAATGGAGCCTGCTGCCTGCGCATCTACCCGTCGAGCACGGCAACCGGCATTACCAAGCCCCACAAGACATAGCCGCTAGGAAACTGAGGCCGCTCTGTCCTCGCAAACGGCCACCCTTCCTCATTCTGCTTCCACTGCCGCCAGCAAATTCTCCCTCGGCCGTCATGGATCCCAGTGCCCATGCGTTCTGGTCTCCTTCTCGGGATCCAAGAGGTGTAGCACCACGAAGGGGCGAATTCGCAGCGCCACGTTCAACCGACCTGCTGGATAGATTCTCGATCGCGGGCCCGTACCGAAGCGCGCATATGGACGAAGGGTATGGCCTGCGTGGAAGAACGGCGCGAGGCAGGGAGTACACTGCTCCACCGTCCAGAGACGTCATGGAGCGGTTCTCATCCCATGGACCGTCCCGGTGGCCGGTGATGAACGAGATCCAGGCCTCTGCGCCGTCCGTGGAGGGTTCCATTGGGGAGCGAGGGTCGTCGGTCGCATCCAGTATGACATTTGGGCGCGCATCGACGCCGAATGGCTTTGCGCTGGGTGGATCTGCCCGGTCTCCCTCTACGAACGCTCCAGTCACGATGCCGCCGCAGCGTGTGTGGCAGGACCCACAGTCGCCGTTGCACAGCATGCCTGCCAATCATGCGCCACCGCTTCGTCGACAATCGACCTCCACCTTCAGCTCCAGTGTCGCGCGTCCCCAGCAGCGGTTTGGCGATTTGCCGGCGACTCCTCCATTCTCGCCAGATCTGCCTCTTGCTCGTCGCCGCTTCCCGGCTTCGCCCTTCTCTTCTCCTCCCCAGCGCAACTTCGCCACGATCGCGACCAAAGGGCCTTCAACCAGGCAATCGCGAGTGGATTTCGGCGATCGTAACAGCGAGGGCAGTGGGCGACACACAGGTTCCACCATTTCTCATCGTCGCGGGCAAGAACCACCTCTCAGCGTGGTATGAAGGCAGCCAGCTGCCGCGCGACTGGGTTATAGCTGTCTCCGAAAGCGGCTGGACAATAAATGAAGTTGGTATCGCGTGGTTAAAGCACTTTGACGCGCACACCAAGGGTCGCGTTGTGGGCGTGTATCGCCTGCTAATTTTAGACGGCCATAAAAGCCACAGCTCCGTCGAATTCCAGCAGTACTGCAAGGAGAACAAAATCGTGGCTCTCTGTATGCTGGCACATTTATTACACCTCCTGCAGCCACTTAATGTTAGCTGCTTCTTGCTATTAAAGGTAGCATATAGCTGCTAAGTTAAGATTCTAATGCGCAGCTATATTAACCACGTTACAAAAACTAAGTTCCTGCCTACGTTTTACGCGGCTTTTTACGCGTTAATTACAGACAACAATATTAGAGCAGGATTTAGAGGCGCTAGCTTAGTCTTATTTAACCTAGATTTAGTAGTATTAAAGCTTAAAGTTTAATTACGCACGCTAATACTCTCTACTAATAATGCTACTACCTAGAAGTGCAAAACACCTAGTAATCTTGTTAAAGCAAGGTTCTAATTAACTCTAATTTAATTAAAGATTATATAGCACCTTAATTTGTCGCTAACTTATATTATTAAGTCGCTTAATTAGCTTAAGAAAGGTAATAAGCTAATAGCGCATTAGCTAGTACTTGTAGAGTCTAAAGTCGCCTAGCTTTAAGCAGCTAACGCATAGAAAAAGAAGCGTAATTCGTATAAAAGAAAGTAGATTTAGAAAGAGAATACTCTTATAATTAAAGCTAGCTTGTAGCTAGTCGCTTAAAGAGAGGCTATAAATTAGAATAAGAGTAAGAAGCAGCGCGAAGAGGTAGTAGCACGCAACGGCTAGCTAGCTTAGCAATACTATAGACGCTATAGTAAGCTAGAGTATAACATGTAAACGTGCTAGGTAGTTAAAGATAATATAGATAAGTTAGATAGCTTATCTAGATTTATCTTAAGTAGCTTAGAGTTAGAGTAATCTAAATAAGATAGTAGTATTTAGTAGAGGCTTAGTATTTTTAGGTTATTTATTTATATAACACGTTTATTTATAAAGTACGTTAACTTATTTTATAACTTTTAATTTACTATAAATATATAAGACTATATAGAGTTACTATATATATAATTTCTATAATTTCTATAGTATTAAGTTTATAAGCTCTAGAATCTCTATACTCTAATTAGCTTACTCTATTATACTAGTCTAAAGTAAGTTAACTCTAACGCGCTAAATATTTCTATTAATATTAACTACTCTATACGCTCTTACCTTTAATACTACCTTTTCTATTAATTATTACTCTATAGCTATTACTAAAGCTCTTAGAAAGTATAAATACTAACCTCTTATATATTATAAGCTATTCTCTTAACTAAGATTAAGGCTTACTATTATAAGAGAAGGTAAAGAGTATACTTTAGACTAGAATCTTTAGTAATAAAAAGGTAGAGGTAATAATACTATAAATTATAAGTTATAGTAGTAATTTAATAAATAAAGTAATAACTATAAAAAGCTATAGAGAGTAAGCTTCTTCTAATTATATATATATACTATTTTAGCTAGATTAAGTACTAAGATCTAGCTTATATAGATTCTCTAGATTAGAGTCTAATCTATAAATTAGGCCTAGATTTCTTTAATCTATCTAATCTATATTACGTAGTTCTAATTATTTTTATAACTCTATATATAACTTCTTATCTTATAACTCTAGACTTAGCCTACTATTTTCTTTATTCTAGCTAGTTAACTCTATTTCTAATTCTATAATTATAATACTTACCTCTTCTTCTAAAGTGTTATTCTAAAGCTCTATCTTACTTCTAGATATAGTATTTTATTATTTTATACTATTTCTATATAAGAGTAGTACTATCTATAGTTCTATAGTATTATATTCTCTTCTTTTCTTCTATTCTTACTATACTACCTACGCGTTATAATAGTCTAGTTTAGGAATTTACCTTAAGTTATATAACCTTAGGTTACGTAATTCTATTACGTAACCTAACCTAGCGTCTTAGTGCTTAGCACCTCTATATATAGAGCCTCTTAGAGCCTTTTCTTAACTTCTTACCTTTAGATAGCTAAATTTAACCTAACCTACTCTACTAGTACCTCTTATTCTTATAGCTTGTAGAGATAGTGCTACCTATAGCTAACTTACCTAGCTAGGTATTCTAGAGGCGCTTATAGTAGTAGAGACTGTAAACCTAGCTCTTATATTATTTAAAGGTTAATACCTCTTTAGCTAGAGACGGCAGCACAATATCTAGCTAAACTAAGTAGCCTTATTAAGAAGCGTTTACTAATAGCTAATACTAAGAATTAGAGCTATAAGAGCCTAGTTGCTTACCTAGAGAATTGTAGCTGCGAGAGCTCTAATTACTTATCTCTTTAGTACTATATAAGACTACTAGTAGATCTAGTTAGTAGTAGAAAGATACTAGTACTAAGCTAAAGAGAGCTATTAAGAGCTCTATATATAGAAGAACTTCTATAGAACTTCTACGTGTAGAAACTTCTTCTCTCTTTATAAATTATAAAAAATTAATAATTCTCTACTCTACTAGTAGAGCTAACAATCTCTCTACCCTACTAGTAGAACTAATAACCTGCTACTCTACTAGTAGCTAAATACCTTCTCTCTTTACTTCTTTCTTAATTAAAAAGCTAAATAAATCTAAACACTATAGAAGAACTCTTATAAAGCTAATCTAGAGATAGAACCTTAGCTCTAAAATACCTCTTTACCTTAATAGTTCTTAAATCTAGAGTAGCGAACCTGCTAGTAGAATATGCTAATTAATATTTCTATTACGAAAACTCTGTTTAGTAATACAACGTAATAACTAATAAGAATTAGAATAATAACTTTAACTAGAAGCTTGCAAGGCTCTACTAGAGCTTAGTAATACTAGAGCTATTATTAGCCTTAGGTTTATATATACTCTCTACCTCTACTAAAGAGCTTTAAGAGCTCTTTCTAGAAACGCTAGCTTAAATTATTAATAAAATAGTTAGCTAATTATATATATAATAGGTATATAAATAATAAATCTATATATACTACTAGATTACCGCTAACGCTTTTACTAAGAGAGATAATATATACGTAAAATATTAGATATAGGCTACTACTCTAGCTAAAAAAGACGCTAAAATCTAGTAACTATAAGTGTAATTAACCTGCTCTAGAGACTAGATACTACTAGCTGCGCTAGTTTAACGCGTAACGCGTTTCTCTATAACACTAATTATACATAATTTAAGCGCGTTACTACTAGAGAATTTAATCTTAGGTTCTTACCTCTCTATATACTAGCTAGCTATACCTCTAGCGTTATAAGTACTAGAGAGCTAACTAATACGCTCTACTAAGTTTCTAGATTTACTCTTATTATTAGATAGTAAGAGTGTTACTTTTAAGTAGTAGAGAGATAGCTTATATAATAAACTTTAAGCTAACTAGAATTAGTATACTAGAGATACACTAAAGAATACTAAGAAAACTATTATTACCTATATCTACACACGAACTAAAAAAGATACGTACTAGACTCTATTAGTAATACTACGTACTATTAAGAATAGTAGTGTAGTAGTTTTTTATAATTATATTCTTAATTAGCTAGAAAGAAGCTATAGAGACCTATATAAGAGGCTAAACGCTTACTATAATTTCTAAAAGCTTTATTGCTAAAGCGCTACTAACTTTACCTACTTCTAGAATAATTTCTTCTACCTTATATAGAAGCGTTAGCTTCTAGTAGATTAATAGGTAGAGAAATTTTATAAGAAGCTACTAGAGAATATACGCACGTAGTTAGGTATATACTAATATTAATACATTAATAACTATAATTACTATATAGACCTTACTTAAGACCTTACTTAAGAGCTTACCTCTAGAGAAGCACGTGTTACTACTAGAAAGGCTAAAAAGCGTAACGTAATTACGTTAATACTATAACGCGCGCCTCTAGCTCTTCTAGGTTTTCTAGTACTTAATAAAACTCTAGTAACCTAGAAGCTAGTTACTTATTTTTAATACTACTAACCTAGCTACCTAAGTTATAATTACTCTAGAGCTTCTACCGCGTAGAAAGCTATTAAGAACGCTACTCTAGAGAAGCCCTTAGAGCCCTTAGAGCCCGCAGAGCCGTAAGCACCTAAGAAGAACGCGTTAGGATATAAATCTAATAATTTAGAAAAAGCCTAGCTCTAGAAGAAGTCTTCTCTCTAGAGCTACCTACTAGAGTAATAAACCTACATAAAAAGCTATTTAGTAGTTCTACGTTTACTCTACTCTACTAAATATCTATAAATAGTCTTATAATTAAGCTTAGAGGCTTAATTAAGATAGAAGTAAGTAGCTACGTCTTAGTATACCTAAAGCACCTTTAAACTCTTAGAAAAAACCTCTACGTTAAGCTATCGCGTATAAAACTAATCCCTCTTACTAGGTATAATAGGTAACCTAATAGCTAAGTAAATAAGTATTTTAAAGCTAATCTAGTATTAGAAAGCTACTAAATTCGTACTTACTTTATATATTATAATACTAGCCGCTATAACGTAATAATTAGTTATAAGTTACTTAAAGAAGTAGACGTTTAGGTTAACTATAAGTAACGCGTACTAATATAGCTAGATACTAATTAATTAATTAATTATAAACGCGACGCGTTTATCTTTACATAATTCTTTTAATTTAACACTAAAGCTTAAGTAGCTTACTAAGCTAATGCTAATTACTATAACGCCTTAATATTAGTAGTAGAAAAGCTAAGAGTAATATAATAAAAGAAAAGAGAATTGTAATACTAGATGCTTTAAGAAAACCTACGCAAAATAGACAGGTAGCTTAAGAATCTTAACTCGCCTACTAGGTTACCCTGTAAGCTAAAAAAGCTACCTATTTTATAGAAAATATGCTTAAAGACTAGGCTTAACGTTAACATAATTAGCGTAGCTACCTTTATAATTAACGCGCGTTAAAAAGACACTATAATTAGGTACCTTAGTGTCTATAAGGTTAATTAGCTTATTACTAATAGGAAGGAAACCCTAGTCGCTAATCTAGAGAAGGAACTCTACTAACTAGTTACTAAAAAGCTTCTATCTCTAGAATATACTAGCGTAACTATAGCCTATTTCTTAAAAAAGAATTCTAATACTCTACTATTTTATAGAGAAAGTGTAGATTATAATATTAAGCTTATAGTAGAAAATACCTTAATAAATAGTTCTCTTTATAGCATATTACT